GAGAAAAAGTTACTAAAGAAGAATTAGTCTAAAGATAAGAGAGAGTTATTATAATAGAATAATATTTTTTAGCTAGCTAGATCTCTATTATTATAGAATATTTTAAAGAAAGATAATACTTCTTAGCTAGAGCCTTCTCTACTATAGGAGAAGAGCCTTAATTATAAGAAATACTAGATAGATTTATCTTTATTATAGGAGAAGAGCCTTTATTATAAAAAATACTAAAAGAATCTATCTCTATTATAGAAGAATTAATATTATCTTTTATACTAAATTATATATACTTATTATTATTTAGAGAATCTTTACTAATACTATTATTTAACTTCTTACTATAATTACTAGTTATTATTACTAGCTCTACAGGCTAATTATATAACTTATTACTATAATTAATAAGAAAACTAAGATTACTAGCTTAAATAATAAATTTATAAGAGTAAAAAAGATTAGTAATTATAGATAAGAAGTATTTACTAAAGAGAATATATACTTATTAAAAGTATTAGAATCCTATATATAAAAGCTCTATATATAAAATAAATATATTAATCCCTAGTTATTTTAAGTATAGTTAGTATAGGACCCCTAAAAGAATATAAATCTATTATAACTAGGAGTAGAGATATATCCCCTAAAGGGACCCTTATCTAAAGAATAATTATTATAAGTTAATATATAGTTATAAGATATACCTTACTACTAGAGAATAATAATTAATATATAGTCTAAATAAGTATATTTCTTTATATCTAGCTTCTCCTCCTTATTAAACTTCTAGATAATTAGATAAATAATATCTATAACCTTTAATATACTTTTATTAGGCCTATTAAGATAAGCTTCTACTACTAGTAAGAGATAATTACTAAAGCTAGGAAGAGTACTTACTAAACTTACTAAAAATAATTATACTCTTTTAATAAATAAGATAGCCTTTATCCTTCTTTTATAGGGTGTCTATATTCACTAAGTATAAGAAGAATATAAGAGATTAATATATAAAGAAAGAGGTTTATCTAAAAGAAGATAGTAATTAATATAATAAAAAGAAAGATACTTACTATACTCCTAGCTAGTAGGAGGTCTTACTCTAGCTCTAGTTATAAGGATAATCTTATAGAGTTAGGCATAGACTTCTAGCTAATTAAATATAATAAAGCCATACTAGTTAATAAAGTAGAGTAGGGTTTTAGTAACCTATACTTACTCCTAGCCTAATAGGGATTATAATCCTATCTAGGGTAGGAGCCCTATGACTACTACTAGATTCCCCTATAAGTAGGGGAGGAACTAGGCATCTAGGGGTAGCTCTATCATCAGGCTAGAAGCCTAGGTAGTAATACTACTAGTAGTAGGTATAGGGGTATCCTAGTTAGCCCTAGAAGTACCTACTAGAGGTAGTAATAGCCTAAAGATAGAGGCTCCCCTTATAATAAGGGCTGGCCATACTCTTATTAAATTAATAAAAAAAGGCCTATATATAACCTTATATAGGGGGAGGAAGGCCCCCACAGGAATAAGGGAAAGGGAGGTGGGAGGAGCTGTAGTAGTAATAGTAGTAGTAGTAGTAGTAGTAGTAGTAGTAGTAGGGGTGGTAGCAGTAATAGGCCTAGTAGTAGTAGTAGTAGTAGTAGTAGGCATAGGGGGAAGGGGTATAGCAGGTAGTAGTAGTAGTATAAAGGCTACCTCCTTATTCTTTTATAAGAATTATTAGTAAGAATACTATAGACTTATAAGCCTTTACTTACCTCTAAGAGGTTAGAGGGGATAGATAAGAGTAGAGATATAAAGAAGAAGATATAAAAAAATATTTTTTTATAAAATATCTTATAATATATTAACTACCTCTTCTTAAATATTATAAATCATAGAAGGTCCCTTACTAAAACTTTTATAATAAAAACTAAGAAAAATATAGAAGATAGAGAGAAGAAGAGCTTATATACTCTATAAAAATTATTACTATCCTAAACCCTACTCTATAGAAATTTTATATAATAAGGCTATTAAGGGATTTATAGAAGTATTATAAGAATAAGTAATATAAACCTAAAATATACTATAAGAAGATTTTAATAGTAATAAAGATATTATAGTTAAAGGGATCTATCTATAATTAAGCCTTTATAAGAAGATAAATAAATATAAGTTTATAAAAGAAAAGGATAGTAAATCTTTTTTATTATTTATAATTTTCTCTTTATAAAAGAGGGTTTTTACTAAATAAAGATTTTTACTAGTACACCCTATTATGAATAAGGAACCTTAGATAGACCTTAGGGGCTAAGGTCTTTCAAGGGGGGGGTAGTTATAAGGATTATAAAGGTCTATTATATATTATATTAAAGCTATCTTTATAGAGGAACCTAATAATAAGAAGGCTCCTTATAAGAGGTTATATAAATAGTTATATAATCTATAAAGATATAAACCCTACCTGCAACCACTAAACTTCAGAGTTTAGTGATAATCTCTTTAAATAAGGACACCTATATTTAAATCTATTCACAATCATTCTCCTTTCACACTAGTTTCTAATTCTCGCGGATTATAGATCCTTATAATAATAGACCTTCGCAATCCTTACACTTAGGTACCTTATATATTATATAATCCTAGTCTAGTAAGTATATAAACTATAGGAGAAGGTATCTATACTCTTCTATCTAATATTCTTAAAAATATACTATATAAAGGATAGGATGCCTAAAGACTATCCTACTATTACTTAGTAATACTATATATACTTATAGCTATAGGGTGGGTAGTAACTAGTATAAGTTATAAGAATAGTCTTATAATATTATATATAGATTACTAGCCTTAAACTAGGAGTAAATCTATAATAGTAAATATATCTTAAGATTAATAAGAATATCTATTAATATTTATAGCTAGATAAGAGCTTAGTACCTATTTATAGGGTATAGCCTAAAAGTATAATAAATATCTATATAATCCTAGGGTTAAATTATATATTAGATAGATATTTAATAAAATAAGTATAAGCCTACTTCTTAATTATTATAGCTACTAGAGGTAGTATATCCTAAGCCCTCTATATAAGTAGGCTACTTAAGATAGAGAGAGGATTAATAATAAATTAATCCCCTAACTAGAATAGTTAGTATATAGCTATAGAGAGTAATTATAGAATAGCTTACCTAATTTACTAGCTAGGGGACTACCTATATTAGAGTTATAGAACCCTAATATAAGAACTAAATAAGAGAGGGGAGGAACCTAGACCTAGGGCCTAGTAGGGGCTAGAGAAGTAGCTATTATTATTACTAGGGGGAGAGGGACCCTATAATCTATAGGCTAAGTAAAAAAAAAAAAGAGGTATTAGTAAAGATAGATATAATATTTTATATTTATAAAATCTATAAAGTTAACTAAAGTTATTAAAAGAGAAGTATATAGAGGTTTATTTATCTATTTATAAATATTAGAAGTAACCTATAGATAAGGATATTATATAAGATAAACTTATAATAATACTCTGCTTAAAAGGTCCTACTATAATTAAGGGATAAGAGAAGAACTACTTATAGATAACTTAGATTATTATCTATAGATATAGAGATATTATATAAGGAGGTAGTTACCCCTACTTATAAATAGAGGGATAAAGATACTTCATGACGAAAGGGTTACGGCCAAACCCAAAGCTAGAGGGCGGGACAAGACATTGCCCCCAGTGGTTGAACATCCTAGTGAGCGCCAGAAAGAAGAAGCACTCGCAGCTGCATTGAAAGCTGGATACAGCCAGCATTTGTTTTCTGAAATCCTCAGATACAGTACAAACCTGAACCTGTGGATTCTCGACTATGACCAAACGCCCGATGGTATAGGGATAAGACCAGATACTCAGGACATAATACCCATTACACCACTAGAATGGGCCGTAGAGCACGAAAGGCTCGATCTTGTTAATCTATTCCTGGAGAACGGCGCTGACGCGAACTTCACTGTCTCCCTGTGAGATGGACCGGGGGTTTTCTAATTGAAGCTGGTTGCAGAGGAGCCACAGGGGTTTATATGTTAAACATATGCTGAGAGACCCACACGCTGTATCTCCTATGTCCCCTATTATCTAGTGTAATAATACTAAAGGTGGGTAACTATTATAAGGCCCCTATAAAGATATAAATACTATAATTAGCTATAATAAGCCTAGAATAAGGGAAAACCCTCATGCCTAGAGGATTCTAATAGGTTAAATATAGATGCATAAAATAAGGCAGTATATATAGCAGGATAATAATAAGTAATCCAGGGCTAATAATATATATACTATATAGTACTTAGATATACTCTAGATAAATATGCTACCCCCTATTACTTCTTATTCTTCTATAACTTTCTTATTACTCCCTACTACTATCTACTACTATCTATTATTATATAGTGCTCCCCATTCCCTTCCTATTTCTTTAGGATAGCTATCTTAGAATAGATAAGATTAGCTTATAGGCTTCTTCATAATAGTAAAGGTAAGGTATTAGTTAAGATAGGCTATTAGAAAGTATTATATTAGTATATTATACAGAGTTAGATTATAATAAGTATTTTATAGTATCCACTAAAACCTAAGATATAGTAATAAACTTTTATATTAGTTTATTATATACCTAGCTTTTTATTATATTAACCAGCAGTATTAGTTACTTAGCCTAAATATAACTCTAGGTTACACAGAGTCATGAATTTACATCTATAAAAGGATGTAGTAAGCATATTAATAATAGCAGGGCCCTAATATAAATACTTAAGTCTTTATTTAGATGCCCTGGAACAATAATGATTATAATGGCACTACGGAAGGCGTTTTTATTGCAAGCTTCTGGACTTTTCAGCTATCTCGCTCAACCCCCGCGCTGCTTAAGGCAGTGAAAAGAAAGTCTCAGAGGCTGCTTGAGATTCTTGTACAGAAAACCGACCGCGTCTCCTGCACCAGAGCCCTCGCTCTCGCAGTGGAGCAGCAGGACATCATGACCGCCAATACCCTGCTTGCACATCGCGTGCGATGTGACTTTGAAGAATCCGATCGGCCTCTTCCGCCTCATCCCTTCTTTGGGGACTACGACTCTAATCTTTCGCGAGGACTAGAAGTGGAGGACTTGACACCTCCTCTCGCCCGGGCTGCTAGACTAGGCAATGTGGCTCTGGTAGCGTTGCTCCTTGAACACGGTGCTGATGCCAATGCCGCGTACCACGATCTAGGCGGTCGTCGCGATGGATATGAAACCAGAGATTCGACAATCCCAGCCAACTTCTCCTGCGGAAGGGTCGTACAGATAGCGATGGAGATGGGTCATTCTGAGATCGTCCATTTGCTCGTCGATGCCGGCGCAGATATCAACCTTACACACCCGGTCTGGCCGAAACCAGTCTGGCCTGTGCCGGGTCACATCTGTCAGCCCGTACCGAGGGCTGTGTACGTCGAGGTCAGGGCTGGCCTGGAGGCAGCGGTAGCAGCAAAAAGAGGGCAAAGCCTAGCAAAAAAATCCAAATTGATGTAGTACTATGAGCCCAATATCGTGAAAGGCTCATTTAGAAATATATATCAGTGTTTCGTGTGCTGACTTGATTTCTGGCAGTTAAGAACGGCTGGCCTCCTGGATGCAAATGCCTAACAGACATCAATTAGCATTGCACATCTGACCACAATTAGACGAACCAAGATAGCCATCTTAGCTCCTTATTGCCATTCCCATTCCAGTAGGTGTCCATTGTCACCCTAAATATAGCGCGACTAGTTTAAAAGTAGCTACCAGGGGTAAAATTCATACCACTTGGGTCACGAATAATCTGAACTGGAGAGCAGGGGATGACGACCAGTCCTCCATACCTGAAAGGATTGGCAGATAAATCGTGAGGGTTGGCCGGAATATACAGAAACACGGAAGAGACCGCGGTGCTTGCAGGCCATGCATGGTCTACGAGAATAATGGTTCTCCTAGATGATACTGTCGTAGTAAATCTCTGGTGAGATTTATATCTGGAGTCGCCTTGCTGGACGATAAGCTTTGCTATACCAACCGCCAAACAATTAGGACCAACTTTTTTTTAATTTGACTTAATTAATACTTCTATTTCTATCTTTATTCTCATACTTGTTCTTCCTTGTTGGCCTCTAGGGGGATAAAGATCCTCGTGGACGATGGTTGCGTATGAACTATTTCCTCCAGCTAGCTTGAGAAGCAGCATTATTGGCCAAGGCCAGATCTTAATAGTGCTAATATGAATACATGCCATGTGTGGAATACTCCTTGAAGCAATGTACGTGCTATAATTGTTGATTGCTTTCATGTAACGCGGATAAACTGAGAGACTCCACATGAGATTTTACTGTACTGACACCGGCTTCATCAGCTTTGTTGCAGTGGCATTTGGTTCCGAATCTGTGATGGACTTACTTCTGACCCAGGAGGACACTGATGTGAACAAACGAAACATGCATGGGAGACCGCGTAGCGAGGCTGCTGCAACAAAATGATCTCGAGATTGACGTTCCAGACAATTTCCATGGAAATACTCCATTTGCACTGGCAGTAGCCGACGGGGATGTAGACATCGCAAAGGTTCATTAATGTGATGAATGTAATGCTCTTAAGAAATGAAAAGTTGGCCTCCTAATAAGTCTTTGTCCTTGTTGTCCACCTCATCATCAATTTCGTAGTAATGCCCCCTCCTTTTCATGCGAGATGTGAACTGCTCATTCAGATTCTGCAGAATGGTGTGAATTCTCCTCTTATACCCAGTCTCTGACTTTGCATTCTCAAAGAAAGGGTTGCTATAGGTTCCTTCCACTACAGAATTCACAAGATTCTAGAAATACTGACTGTAATGAAAAAGATAGGACGTCTGCTCTTCTTAAGTTGTTTATGACTCTCCTAAATTTTCTAGCTTCTGTGAATAATCTTCTATTTTAGCTTTGATCTCCTCCATCAGACTGGGTAACTCCATGGCTATCTAAGCTAAGAGGAGCTTGCTAAGATGTTCATACAAATGATGAATACTAATGTGGGACTGGGGTAAAGCCTCCCAAACACCTGAAGCAAAGAATGCAGATTCTTCTTTGTCTCACTCTGAAAACGTCCATGTGCCCTTTTCAGTGTCTATATTCTTTAAAGTATGCCAGCCTAGGCGGAATTTGACCTCTTGGTTTTTGGTAAGTAACACAAATTAGGCTTCACTGTCTGAGTTGTGAACTAAGGTGTTGAGCTTTGTGATAACACCCAAAGTTTAGGTACTGTATAGATCCGCTGCATGGGCAAGCTTGAGGATAATCTAATTAGGAACATCATTCTTTGCTGGTACCACAGCAAGAATAATGCTTCTTAGCTCCTCCATGTAGGACTTCACTACTTTATGGACTACTTTACTATCTACTGCTGAGTGCTGTTTTATTTCAGAATAGATTAAGCCTAGAAGATTAACAATAGTTAAATATAGACAGTCTGGCCCGGATACCTCAACCTAAAGAAGGTTATTTAAGAAGGATTTTACATTAGTGTAAATGCCCATGGCAGACTTAGCATTCTTGATTAATTGGGGAAGGCCCTCAAAGCTATCAAGCTCCTCATGGAATTAGGTAAGCACCTCCTGTTCAGATTCACTATGAGACTAATATAGGACAATAGATACACAAACACTAGCCTGGCTACTTTTGTGTAGAACAAGCTCTGTTAGGAATTAGGTGCTTTAGAGAGAATTAAGGAAAATGTTCCCTAAAATTATAGATTTAGGTTAGTAACTTCCCTTAAGAATAACAGCCAAGGACAAGAGGGGAAGAGTAAAGTTAGTCTTCACCCAAGTCAACCAGACTAATATCATGCTCCTAAGGTTATATTTAGCAATAGATGGAGTTTCAGTGTAGATATATGGAATTTCAGAGTTCTGGTATGAAATCCCTATCTCCTAAGTTTCTTTTTTTTTTTTCTAGTATTTTATCAGCTTCTAGCAACATAAACAGGTCATATTTCTAGACCCTACACAATTCCTAGGCTAGGATATATTTATTAAGCTATAACTAACTCCCCTGCTGGTGACAGGCCTAGAATATAATTAAGTACACAGAACTGTTTCATCAGGTGATTAACAAGCAAGGGCATTATAATGCCAAAGCACACATAGCAGAAATAATCACACTTCTCAGCCTACCTCCCAAGGAGTTACTCACAAAATCTGATGCCATGACTAAGTTTTAATAGCCTAATCCTATACAAAATGAGGCAGACAAGCTCTGCAGGAATGGGCGCGAGTATTTTAATAGGCCCTTTTTTAATGAAAGAGGTGAGCAGTGCAGAAACTTCCAATAAATACCATTATCTTTTCACTGGCCTATTCATTCTGGAAGGCAGACTCCTCTATCATGATCTGATACCTACCTAAAAACTTAAGGATTCAATCCAATCTTTAGAAGAGGAGAGACAAGTCTTCTTGTCCTTTATCTATCAGATGCTTACCTGGCTTCCAGAAGACCGACAGACAGAAGGTGAGAGCGAAATTTCCTAAATTATCTTGTCAGCTTTATATTGCTTTATGGCCCAGTTGTTCATATCTTCCTACAAAGTCTACAACGTCCTGTCTGTTCCCTAAATTTCAAGAAGATTCTTGATTTCTGAAGCGCCAAGGAAATTCTACTAGGCCAACGATGCGCCCTGAACTTTGTATCCTTTTGAGGTAAGAAACGCGGAGAAAGCCGACGAGCCCATACTGTGTATATCTATCGCCTGTTAGATTCAGGATAGCGCAAACTAGCTTGGCCTCGTATCATTGCATGACTCGCTCCGGATTGCCGGAATTTCTGGGCAATCTTGGCTTGAAATGGGCCACGGAGAACTGGTGAACAGAAAGATCGCGAAGCGACTAAGCGAGGCTGTGGTCATTGCCCAGCCGAAAACTCAATCAGCTCTCCTTAAATAAAGGAGGATCCTCTCCCGTCTCATGGCCTGGCTGACTCTTTACTAAACCTTACGGACTGCAAGCTTTCTCACAATAATGCACCCTCGACTATACTGTCTTCTGTTTGCTGGTGCACGGCTATCCCTTGCCGCCCAAGTGGGATATTTCGACTCCACCAAATGCGCAGATGCTTCTGGGTTCGCCACGTGCTACGACGATGCAGATGAATGGTGGGCCGACTGTATCAACAAGAATTGCGCAGGTCAAAACATTGATTGCCATAATGCCTGCGAGTGTGTTCGGCAGGGAGCCTACACGCGGTGCGCAGTGAGTTCTTGCTGGAACATGGTATGTCCCTCAAGGCTGTGGATCACCATGCCAAACGGGTCTAATGGGAGTCGAACCGTCTTCAGGTCTACAGCTGCGAGTACCAACTTCAGGTCGCCGACAAGATGGATTCTTGTATTAAACCCGACCTCGATCAGACCCCTTTCTGGCCACCGCCCGATAATGCGAACGGACGCTGCTCGTGCAATATTGGCAAAATAACGACCGCTCAGGTACTCACAAATGAAGTGGTTGCTTGGTGTGGGGATCTGGTCGATCCATTCACTCAATCCAGTAGCGAAATTGAGAGCATTGGAAAGGCGTGTCTGTGCTGCGGATACAGCGGCTTACTCTCCAGGTGAGTCTCAGTCTACACCACTTCGGTCACACATCGTAGATATTCATTATGGCTAGTTTGGCGTCATTCTGTCCCAAGCTCGACCCTGCAGAGCTTAAGATGGATGGGTTGGAGCAGCTTCTGGCAAACCATACTTCCAGCTTGGACTGGAATAAGTGCGCCCAGTATATGAGTGGTCATGATTGCGCTGCGGACTTCAAATATCCTAGCTCCATTGAAAAATACTATGGACCTGGTCAGATTCCAAAGGGAGGGACAGAGACATTGCACAATATCAATGCACTCACAACCCCTGTCAGTGCGACTGTGACATTCACCATGGGAACTCTGCTATTGCCCGTTACCGCTGTCTCAACTAGCCCCTTGATGCCCACGGCGTCCAGCGACAATGGCAAAAGTAGTGACAGCAGCAAAAGCAGTGATTCGAACAACGACAACAAGGATAGCACCCAGGGAAATTCGGGTGGCGAACAGGCAACACCTACACAAAACACCAAAGGCAATACGGCTGTCCATCAGATAGCTACTCACCCTTTACTTGTTCTGGCTGTGGTGATTAGACTCGGCATCGTGTGGCTCTTGTGATAGGCAGAACGCTTTCACGGGAAGTGTCAATTAAAACCAAGGCACAGCATATCGAGATCATGATGTAAATAATTACTAGAGCTTTGGATTTGCCGGAAGGATAGACCAGGAGCAATCGTGTAGCAAGAACCAAATGGTGCCTTCCTCAAGATAGTCCGGGCGAGCATCTCGGAAGGAGGTTCTTTCGAACTTCTGGCTGGGTAACTCTATCCAGATGTGTTGTACTATTTTCCACACTCATGACTTTTGCACCAACAGACATCCTGTCAGTTCATGGCGCACAAGTATGCCGTATGGCAGGTTACTTTCTTTAGGAATTACCTTACAGCTCGAAAGAGTGATAGCCTTAGCCTTAATAATGATTTATGGGTGCTCTATATAGATTAGATTAACCTAAAGGACTGCTTAGATAGAGAAGAGGTTCTATATAGTCTTATAGGCCTTACATACTATCTCTGTAGTGGTGATGCAGGGCTGACCCATCCAGAATAATCTAAGAATGACCTACTACAGAGTAGTAAGCCTGCTAATGATCATATAGTAACTCATCTGTTACTATTAGTAGAAAGATGATAATAGATTAAGTCTATGATAATCAAGCCACCATGTTGCTAGTTTCATAACACAAGAGATTGTTGTCCAGAAGCTGGAATATGAGCACAGATGAGCACAGAATACTGAATGATGAAACCGGCATGGTTCTCATTGCAGAAAATTATCAAGTTTGAGTAGAAGAAGGTCAACCTCCCACGATTAATAGAGATTTAAATTGAATTGATAGAAATATTCGTTAATCATATATTTATGATCTAGTCGTATCTCTATTTCAAATCGAAGCATGGAACTCCGACATGTAATCTAGACCAGCCGATCCACAAGCCATTTATTTCTTCAAAGTCGCCAACTTCTGCTTCATCATCTCCGCAACATCCTTCTCGTTCCAGATAAAGTTCACACTTTCCTGCGCAACAGTCACCTTAGCCCATCGAGTAAACGCCGGCGTCCTCTTCTCCAACAACTCAGGCAGGTCCTGCCGCAGCAACCCGGTCTCGGGCTTATGGAACGAGAGGATGCGCAGCAAGAACGAACCAATCAACACCTCCACCAGGGTCAACTTCTCGCTGCCCCCGAAGAAGGGACCGCTGCCCGTCTGCGACGAGAGAACCGGCTCGATTTCCTTCTCGATGGCGGCGACAAAGGCCTCGCCGGCATCGGTGCGCTCGTTCTCGCTCGAGGCACGCAGGGAGGCGATGAAATGCGACTGGACCTTGGTGAAGAAGGTGTCGACGAAGAAGGCGATCCGGGCACGCTTGAGTGCGCCTTCGGGGGTGTTGGAGGGGGGGAGGAGGTGCGAGGGATGGGCGTCGGCGAGGAACTGGGCGACGATGGCGGATTCGGTCACGATTTCGCCGTTGTAGGTTATGCTGGGGACAAGGCCGCGCTGTGGGGAGAGGGTGTATTAGAGCTTTGCATGTTGGGAGGATTAGGAGGCGGAATTCAGGTACATACGGGGTTAATTTCGAGATACCATGGTTCGCGTGGTGTGTCCAGGTCGATGATGACTTCCTCGTAGTCGAGCCCGAGTTCCTTCAGGGCGATGTGGGCTCTATGCGCCCATGGGCACCGATGGTTGGTGTAGAGGGTGATCTTGGGGACAGTCATGTTATGTTTGGGTGTTTCTTTGCGATGGATGAGAAGGAGGAAGGAATAGCTGTGGGGTCGGTTGCTTAAGAGGGAGACGAGGTCGAGTGGGGAGAGCAGATCGATTTATAATCGGCTGGTGAGCTCATGTTGAGGGGAAATGGCGATGATCATAACCAGATAAGCTGGTGGTGGATGTGGTCGACGCACTCCCCGCATAAGCGCTGGATCGGCAAATAGAATCTATCAGGAAAGCCTTGACCAAGTTGACGCTGATGTCGAACAGAAACCAGAGGAATATATATAATTATTAATAGGTATCTAGCATTGAAAAGTCTACCAAAGTTCAGAATAAGCATCTGCCTCGCTTCAAACCCTGTTGCGGGGGAGTATTTTAGCCATTCAATCGTTATCTATTATTAGCTGCTTCGCAGATTATATACAATCACTCTTATCCGTCATGAAATTCCAGAGAAATATTTTGTAATTTTTGCACCAAAGAGAGAGAAGTTTGAGCACGGTGCTCAACTGCTATCCCATGACTTCTTCCAGCATTGAAAGATTCTCAGTGCACGAAAGGGTATAAAAGAAATGAACAACCCGAGGGGCGATTAGTGCTTGGAGCTGCCCCCGGCAAGTACTCAGAGAGCCTTGCTTCCCCGTCTAATTGGATTAGGCTAGCATTCCCTCTGAGAAGAAAGTCTTTTTTTTTTCAGGTGTCGTAAGGATCGCACAAGAAACAGTCATTGTTCGTCATTGACTCGTCGCTGCCTAAAGTTGGGAGGCACATGAGCCAGTGCTGGTGATATACACCGAAGATTTGAGGACTGTGGAGGCATTGCGGAGTCTCCAATGCCCCCGTATCGAGACAACTCAATCAGCGCAGAGCTAGGTATTGCGCCACAGCTTCGTGGTGGATCGCTGCAGCCTTGTAGTCCTTTGGTGTTCGCTTCTTGGGAGCAGCGGTGCTTGATGAGACGCCGCTGTTGTCCTTGAGCTTCAGGGTCTTGGTGAAGATGCCCTTGAGCGTTGAGGCAGATGAGGAAGTTGTATGCATCGAGGCGTTGTCCATGGTGGTGGTAGACTCAGAGGACTTGGGCGACATCTTGATAGTTGTATCGTGATTAGAGACGATGGTTCGTAGTGTATCAGATTGCTTTGGTGGTCTCGCAAGATTCAATGGAAGAGGTTTAGAATGAACGATAACTCTTGATGCTCACAATATTGTCAATTGATGGTTGATAAAATGCTTCATGGTTAAGAAAACTCCCCTGTTTATATAACTCTCTTGAAGGCCTTCGAGTCATCCAGTGTACCTTGGGAGCCATATTCCTTTCTTGATAGATGACAAACCCCCCAAACATTACAAACGCAGTAGATGACGTTCATCAATGGCTAGGCCGATATATTTGAAGCTAAAGATGCTCTGCAAATTCTGCAAACCAGACAGACTGGGGTCGTTGTGCCTCGAATTGGGATGGTGCTTCGTATTCCGGCCACTGGCGCTGCACTTGGCTGGATGCCAAGCTTCAAAGGGCGTATGAATCAACCATGAGCCTAGGTGTAGCCCTGTACAGCCCTGTTTGAGACTAACTGGGGCCCATCAGAACTGAGATACGTGAGTCATTTATAAAGCAAGGAATCTGTGTATGGTCGATGCGATCGTTGGTGTATGAGTCGATATCTCGGGACCACACCGAGACAGCCACCCCCACGACTGCTCCGGGTGGATACGACGCCCTACCAAGTACCAGGACCCAAGTATCGGCATGCAATGGATGAATGGCTGCGTTGAAAATAATGATTACAAAGATGAATAGACGAATCATGGTCTCTGTTTGTAGCCTAAAGCTTAAGTAGCAAATTGATATCGAATCCACCACTTTGTTTCAATCTAGCCTTATGTGGTCATGGCCCCGAATAACTACCCACTTTTGTGAAGTTTGGCTTGCGGGATGAAGTTTAATCTGTTCAACGGCACTGTTTTCCAAAGGTTATAGAAGAGCAGAGAATTGTATTTCTAAGCATCGCCGTCATTGAACAATGAGCAGTTCAACTAGCATATCTCCTCGTCAAACCATTGAGTCTCTCCCTCCCCCCGTTCTCCCAATCATCCCAACACAAACTCAATACCGCCGAGTGACAACCAGGTCCCAGCCTCACTCGGCCGGTTGGATCTGTGTTCGGAATCTTGTCATCCATCCCACCAGTCGAGACTCCCTTCTTCCCCTCGGGTAACACTCGTTGCCAACGAACGATCCCCTCGAACTGAAACCCCAGCCGCTGAGCCGCGGCAATCGAGGAGTGGTTCTCGCTAAATGCCTGCCACTGCACGCGACGGAGATGCAGTCCCTCTGGCCGTGGATTCAGTAGATAATTCAGGAGTAGCGCGTGGGCAGTCGTGCCCACAAAGGTGCGCTGGAATCGGGGAAGAATCACAACCTGGGAGAGAGTCATTTGGCTTCGTTCGGGGTAGAACACGGTAGTAGATGCACGTACATGGCCGATTTCAGCCGCTGCATTCTCCGTACTGGCGTTTAAGATCCCCGTGGTCCCTGCAAGGGTACCCTCCTCGACTTGCAGCTCTTCAACCTCGTCTGAGCCGGGTTGGCGTTTTCTAACAACGCCCGCTTTCAAGGCGATGGCAAAGACGATGACCGACGCGGGTGCGCGCACTCGCTCGATGTACCAGCGTTCATATGCATCAACACTCTCGAATGGACCACAAGGGTAGTTCTCAAATATTTCTGGTGTCTCGGAGGTCTGCTTCACGTATGCTTCTGCTAGTGGCTGAAAACTGAGCTACGACAAAAGTCAGTGATGTGGCCGAATTTGAGTTTGAGCAAGTATACATCAAATGGCACCAACCGCAGCTGGTCATTCTCCAGCCTCGACAGGTCGAGCGGAAAGCAGAAATTAAGTATGTCTGGGGATGTTGAATTGGCCATCGTACTTTTGTCTGGTTACTTGGTAAGAACGAGGGGCAGCTTGGTGAACGCGTCTCGTAAGAACGTGCTGGGCTTGGCGCGTGCTCAGTCGCCTGGACAGACTCATATAAAGTGGTTGATCTAGGGGATGGCGACTGCGAGGGATTGCAGAAGAAAATATGTGCTATTGATTGTTTCTAAAACTATTTAAACTATCCACTTAAATCCCATATGAAGCCTTTTTTTTTTTTTTTCTCGCTGTTGTCGTTTTGTGTCACAAAGACACCACCGCATCGCCAAACCACCTAAAAAAAGTATGAAACCTGAGGAATCCTAACCTGCTGTCCCGATGAAATAGTTTTTTGCTGATAAAGACGATGGGCAATCCCAAAAAGACCTGACCGATTTTTCTGCTGCCTTGGGGAATCAACAATTAACAAGCACCCTTCGCCATTTGTTTCATCCTTCGAAGCGTCCCACGAAGCGACATCAATATTTGGCCTGTACTGATCCGTAAGATACCCCATTGAACTCGAAATGAAACAGCAGAGATGCCGAAGTGGGCGTCATGACAATTTGATAATCAATTCTGTAGTACTTCTTCCCTCGAGAATCGGTTCGCAACTTGAAGAAGGATCTCGGAATTGCGCTGAGATAAGTCTTCAGGGTGCAAAACTTGAAGACATCTTGAGAGGATGGTTAGTAGACAGAGACTGTATCCGGGAAGAGTTCATTTCACACCTGCTGTTTTCGAATCTGGAGCATCGTCCATGTTGCAGATGTATAGGGAATCTTCCACACACCTTAGGTCTTGCTCGGCAGCTTTCAGAGGAATGGCTGCGTACCATCTCATCTTGATGGGCTTGTGCTCAAACAATTCTTTACCCTATTATTTGTCAATGGCAACGATGATTCACAAAATCTTTTTTCATAAGTAGAGATTCAGACCTTTTGATGCACCAACTCATGCGATTATCCACAGACCACTCCTTATAGAAGGAATTCCAATACTTGTCTGTCCGATGATGAATTTTCGGATCGTATTTTTGGGAGAACGAGACACCATAATGACGACGACCGATTCGCTTGTTGACCTGATTTCCCTCTAGGCCTCGAAGAACGGCACCCCTAGAGACATTTAGCAGGCTGGATCAATCTTCCATGGGAAAGAGCGTGGTGTATACCGGACAACAGCAGACCACCTACGAATGGTGTCAATGAAAAATACTTCGAATCTGATGCAGGGATACTCACGCATTTGGGGGCTGCATCACTGTCACATTAATGATGGCAGAACGCAAACGCTTGAGAAGACACTCGGAAGACCCGAAACCGCCGACAAGAAGAATGGCCTACTGTAGTTAGCATAAATGAGTTGACGCTCATCGTGAAGAATTGTGGTAACTAACTCACCTTGATCTGCTTTCCAGTCGAGGAGACCTCGACCATCTGCTCCTGAATCAGTGCTTCGATCTCATCAACCACAGGGTTGAATATGCCTCCGGTTGTTTGCCTGGGTATCATCAGTACTGTGTTGTAAAAATTTTCTAAAAACACCATGACGAACTGGCTCAGTGTCAGCAACCCACTCTCAAGTCCTATCATTCGTTTGTCCCCAACACCCGCAAGAGGCACAAAGTAGTCGACACCAGAGTAACCGCTGTCGTCTTCATCCGATAATCCAGCAAAATGGGGTTTGATATTCTCCTGCCAGTACTTCATCGCAAACTCCCTGGACTTCTGAGATAGATTACGGTACTTTCGCTCGCCCAGGATTCCAATTAGGTGATCTTCGAATCGTTTGTCGAGGAGGACCGAACCACAGATACTTCCTGCATTGGCTTGATAGTATCTACGGGGAAGAATCCCACTGCGATACTTACCGGTTCCTGCAGTGGCTTCCTCCAGTCGAAGAGGGTGGATGCTCTTCACACAGTAAGAAATCAAATCCTGTTTAAATTAATTGCCGCTGCCTTAGGTTGTATTTGAGAGCACATACCACCGTTCCACCTCCAGCGTCGCAGATGAGGACAGCATCGCCATTCTAGACAATATTCAACCAAGCGATTCTTGCATTCTCACAGGAGTTCGCACCTTTATAGTATTTGGTTGTATCGACTTCAGGCAGTAGAGAGCTGCCGCCTCCGGTTCTGACACCAAAGTCAAGTCTGTAACAGGGATGCCTGCCTCGGTTGCTGCTGTCAGAGTGTTATTCTTTGCTTTGTCCGTCCAGACAGCTGGAACGGTCATCACGTATTGTATCTCCATGGTTTCTATAGCATCCCCAAAGCGACATTTAAGAACTTCCTTTGTTTTCGCAATGAGGAGCTGGAGATGGTCTCGGGCCACATCAGCTGGATCCTTGTTGTACTTTTCAAGTATCTTCTTCGACTCCGCCACCGGAGTGTGTTTGATCTCCTGAGTTGGGTCGAGCAATAGCTTGATGCCGCGAATCACCTCACCAAACATGCTTGTCTGATGACCCCACAGGATTTGATTGTTCTCGTATGAAATGGTAGTAGGGACCCTTGGCGTCGTTTCTGAACGAATTAGTTGATGATGGAAGATATTCCCAGAGGTTGACGTACTGTTTCCGCCACCAGGCCACGCAGAAAGCACCTCGACATCGTCAGGAGACGTCTGGAGTGCCCATGCAACACTAAATCTGTAAGACAACAACCGCGAAAATGTGCAATCAAGTAGCCTTACCCACTGTTACTCGTTCCAAAGTCGATGCCGACGACGATACGTTGACGACAAGACATTGTGGATAATACTGACGGAGAAATTTTTAGCTCTGGAAGAAGGTAGTGGAAGATGAAGAAATGGAGAGCCTGACGAAGCTGTGGATGGAAGTCAGAGAGGATGTAGAGAAATACAAGAATGTCATTTGACAGGTATATGAATGAGTTATGAGTTATTAAGCTTCTTGGTGAAAGATGAAAACAAGGCAGATCATTCTCACTCAGCCTAGGGTAGGTGGTATCAATTAATCACAATAGATCTCTCACTTCAGCTTCATTCTCTAAAATACATGGTTCTTTGATCATCACCTTATTCTCCCTTAGTGTCAGATAGTCATCCACAGCTAACCTTACCTTCGCCTCCTTAACAACCAACCGAGTATGTTCTCGTGATTAACTCACTTCAGATCCCGCTCTCCAGGGAGAAACAACCAGCCTAGGAAATCCGGTACTTATTGTTTCTTGCTTCAAACTGTAGTACTGCTAACAGCTGACCACAACACACAGTGTTCAACGCGAAAACACTTCTAGAAGCCAACAAGAGACCGCACTTGCCCAGGCACTTGAGCAACACAAGCCGGAACCTTTCAACAGAGACACAGAGCAACGGTATAAAGATGGAAACAGACTGCTCTCATTTGCTCAGGCACCAGGGTCTGTTACGCAAGATCAACATATCCATGGAGAGATCCTACAAGTACAGGAGCAGGCCGAGAAATCTTGTGAAGAATCATTGGGGTCGTTGCAAGAAAAAGATGAGCATATCGCCGAGCTTACTCGGAAGAGCAACTCGTTACACTACAGTCCAGATACCCTGAATGACGACGAGATTGTACAGACCATGAGAAAGTTGGACCAACAGCTCGACTTCCGGGTCAAAGCTAGCTTCAAGGACCCGGCGCTTCTAAAACGACTCGCACAAGTAGATCTTCCTGATGTGTCTTATGGGGCTCACTATGTCAGCGATCCAGCACAGGCGCAGAATATGCACGAGAGATGGTCGTACCTCCGAGCCTTTGCTGCCACATACGTTTTCTACCATATATTTGACCAATACATGCCGGGTATAGTTGATCCGAACCTTCAAGAGTGTCTCGGGAGCATAGAATCAACAAACTCGAACAAATGTAACATTCAGCCAGCCTCAAACACTATTCCTACTACTATTATGGTGTCCCTTGACCAAGGCCCGCGCCACGTCACTGCTACCTGGCGTACTGCGACTACTCCGTACTGTTGGCGTCAAATCGCTAAACCGAGATCTATGGTGGATATATGCATAATTGTTGCACAGTGAATTGAGCAACTTGCGCCTTTTGCATCGTCTGACACCAGAATGAGAGTAGAACAGCTCTTTAACATTGTGACCAAGTGCATGGATTTCAAACAACGCGGTGTTGGCTGGGGATGCAGTTGATCAAGGTTAGAACTTTCGGCCGAAATTTTCTAACTCTTGGCAAGGTTAGAAAATGTATGTTTCTACGGAGTAAAGGGAATCCCAAAAGCTGGCCAAGGTTAGGTGGGGCAAAATGTTTCTAACCTTGGCCAGCTCTTCTCGGCCGAACTTTTCTAACCTTGGTCAACTGTAAGCCTGATTTGTTTGGAACTTTGGATGTTTTGGACCCTGAATAGTAAGGCCTGAGGTGTCTGTTGTGGATCTGCTAATCCATTCTTAGTCAGCGTGGGTAGCTACCCCACTATACCTTATTTGTACATTGTGATTGAATTAGTCACCAAGCAGCTATTGCTGGTTCGAATCCCGTCAAAGTCAGTTTCTTTTTTCCCCCTCTGTACAATGAATTATCTGACCCATACAGGTCACATAAAGGGCACACATAGTGAGGCTGAGCCTTCGTTGACAGACTTGGTATAACCTTAACGACAGCTTGTGCGACCTTGTCAAAATTCCCCTCATAATCTTCTGTCAATCTACTCATACTCAGCTGATGTGAAGTCATCCGGGGCTGCAGCATCAAAGATCGCCACATGCAACTGACAGTTCCACCAGTATTTCATGCAGCCAATATTTGACTGCTAAAAATTAGAAAAAAAGATACCTTGTACTGAGATCTCTGGTTCTCCATAGGCTCTATTGGTGCAATGAGACCGCATCTGGACTGGATATTTTCTCAAGACACCTGATTGCCTACCTACTACTCTATGACTCGCCATATACCAAGCTAACAGCATGTCTAGGGGAAGCAACCAAAACAGACCGGAATATGTTTCCGCCAATGCAACTACTTTCTAGGAAACCAGTCATCAGTCCTCCTGCCTGGTTTATTGGAGGTTGCACCCCAACACAAATACGAGCCCAGAATAGGGCCGAAATGGACCGAGTGTACCTACAGTTGAAGCTCAGCATTCCCTCTCAGTACCTAAATCTGACTGGCTGAAAAGGCCTAGTCGCAGACTGATCAGCATTGGACCCTTGTTGCAGGATGATATAATTTTTAACTGACAGCCATCGAAGCCAATCAGATAGCTGACGAGAAGTGGGACTGCATGCACAGCCACAATGCGATGTACGTTGCGCAGACCAGCAAATGCGAACTTTCGTATACCTTCTGTTATCCTGAATTCATGCTAAATCAATGTGGAATCCCGTCAGAAAACAAACAAACAAATTTAATAGCCGAAAAATCAATCAGACGCCGTTGGTAAACCCGTTGCCCCCAGCCTCTGTATCAATCTTCATCGAATCGGCCAACCCACAGACCTCAAACAGCTTCTTGGGCCCCAGTCCGTCAGGGATACCTGTGACACCATCCTTCTTCAATCTCTCCAGCGCCGACTTGATGCCCAGGTATGCGGGCGCCAACGAGGCAAAGGAGAAGATCATGATCCGGAATCCCATCTCCTTCGCCTCCTGTGTGGTAATCACCGGTCCGGCTCCGTTCTCCACCATGTTGAGCAGCAGCGGCCAGGGGGCCAGATCTTGAACCGCCTGGCGGGCCATCTCCTTTGACGTGAATCCCTCCAGCAGACCCACGTCTGCGCCAATGTCCCGTGCGGCTTTGAGACGGCGGATGCACTCGTCGTAGCCGTGCTGCTGCAGCGCATCAGTGCGCGCAATCAGCACAATATTCGAGCGCAGACGGTCCTTGGTCATCTTTGCGGCGCGGATGCGCATGAGATACTCGTCCAGGTCGACGACCTTCTTGCCGGCAAGATGGCCGCAGCGCTTGTTCTGGATCTGGTCCTCAATGTGGAAGCCAGCCACGCCGGCTTGAATGTACTGTTGCACGGACTTGGCAACCATGAGAGGGCCTTCTCATAATTAGCAAATGCACGTGTAGTTTGAGGGGAGTGTGGCAAGCACATACCTCCGTAGCCGGTATCCATATCGGCGATCAGAGGGGGGCCAAAGGGATCCAGGCTGGCGATCATCTCCGCATTGGTCTTCATGTCGTGGAGATGGGCCAGTCCGAGATCTGCCATACCGAGTCTGGAAGCAGTTGTACCCGCGCCAGTCTACAAGATCAGCAGGTGGAAACGATAATCTGGAGGAAAATAAGGGGAGAAAGACGTACCATGTAGAGGGCCTTGAAGCCCAGTTCCATGGCAATGCGCGCGGAGAGGCCATCGTAGACTCCGGGGCAGATGATCAGCTCCTCTGTATCGCGAATCGCTTTGCGGAGTTTGGCAGCGCCGGCAATCATAAAGAGATTCACGATGGGCTCGCGGCTCTCGCCGTTAATCTCGTAGAAGCCGTCCTTCTCCACGGTGATAGTGATGCTCATCTTGAAGACTGTGCAGAGGGAGTGTTTGTACTGCTGTTGAAAGGCTGAGAGAGAAGGTTGATGATCGATTTGATGGAAGATGAATCCTTCTGATCCCTTTTATAATTTCCTCATCGCCTTTATTCGGTCAAACATCTCCCCGCCGAACACAATTCACTAGCATCATACTGCTGTCCCTATCGTCACCTGGGCTGGGCATGATACCCTCCACGCCGAGTCGCGACAACCCTCTCGGCATAATCGCTACGCTCCCACGATCCCGTCGAGCCATCACCATCGACTCTGCTTGGTTGCTGACGAGTCCAATGCGCCGAGACTGCTGGCGCAAATGTGGAATGCTTCGACGTCGCCCACTATCGATCCAATAAGAACGACGAACCGTTCATACGACAATCTATTCCAATGCATCGTGCACCGGTCCAGCCGATAAGCCATGCGCCGAGAGGGAGACAATTTCAGGCCAATCTCGTGTGAATGAAAGTGATACACTCGAGCCTAGAACATACCAACACCGAGCATCTCGTCTGGAGGCACCTCACTGTGGCGCTTGTAATAGGAGGAAAATAGCAAGCCGTGTCAACAATGCTATGCAAGCCAGACGCTCATTTGACCAGAAGTATCCATGATTGAAGCTCTTTGCTCCCTCAAGAATGGTGTCTTTGAGTTACGGGCAGTGTAAGTCCCGTACGCTCAAGAGTACGATCTGCAGCTCATCAACGCCTGATTCCCTTCTCGACACGCTCGTTAGCGGTTGTTGTATATCCCAAACAGGCAAATAGGCAAGACAACACTGGAAGCCAAGCGGCTTGGACTCTGTGAAGGTGTGACTGGGTAGTATCTGCAGTCTCAACGTGGTGTACCCCGTGAAACAGTATCCCCCTTGTCCCAGTATCCACAAAACACGAGGCACCAGCTTGCAGAATTTGTTTCCGTCCAATCAACAATTCTTCACATTCCTTTGCAGCGCACCGAATCACTCCGAGGGTCTTCATCATTTCCGAGGAGCGTTTCCCTCCGGGCTGGCCCAGCCAAGTCGCTTGGCGTTAAGGACCCGATCCTCGGCGCCACAGACCCCGCTTAACTCTACGAGTTCGAGGGTTTAGAAGTTTTTCAATGAGGGTATGTGAGGAAGCATTGGAGGAGACAGGTTGTCTCGCGGCAGATGCAGGACCGATTGGTGGTTGGGGTATCGGGGCCTTTCGTGCTGATCCCACGATAGATGTGCGGATTGTTGATTCAGCACTGAATGAGCAGTTGTTGTGGAAGCGAGAGGGGTTCTTAATGACTGATCTAAAGGGTAGTCCCCGGTCTCCCAGGTTCGGTTCTCCTTGTGAAATCAAGATCGGATTCCCTCGATTCTCTCTCCTTACCATGCAGACGTCCAAGATGTCAGACCCAAAGAAGAAGACCCTGTCGAGTTTCTTCAGCTCAGATATCAACGTCAAACATGCAGAGATCCTGCTCTATGCCTGCTGTCTCAGCTCCGGTCTGGTCGATAGCACGATCTATAATGGTACGCGATATCAGAACCACCCTTATCGAAATTGACATACTGACGAAACAGCTTACAACACTTTCGTCTCGATGCAAACTGGTAAGTCGCTCTCGCATGGTACATGCAAGCCCAGCTCACCGTTTAGGAAACACAATCTTCGTCGGCCTGGGTGCTTCGAACCAGAATGCGCGCCCCTACGGCTGGGCTCGCTCCCTTACCTCGATCGGTTGCTTCGTTATCGGCTGCTTTCTCTTTGCCCGCCTGAACCGCCTCCTCGGCGCCAAACGCAGAGGCACACTGGTACTGTCATTCTTTCTGCAGGTGGTACTGATCATAATCACTGCCGCACTGGTACAGAGTGGCGTCATTGCTGGGATCCCTCAACACCCATCTGCTGCATCGGAAGTGCAATGGAGCCAGGAAGCCCCGATTGTCCTGCTGAGTATCCAGTCCGCGGGCCAGATCGTGGCAAGCCGAGCGCTGGGATTCAACGAGATCCCAACTGTGGTGATCACCAGTCTTCTTTGTGATCTCGTGTCGGACCCTAAGCTGTTTCTCATTCGGAATGAGAAGCGAGACCGTCGCGTGGTGGCCTTTGTCTTGACGCTGATCGGTGCGATTGCTGGCGGATGGATCACTAAGGCCACGGCGGACATCTCGCCGGTCCTGTGGCTGGGGGCGGGGATCAAGATGGCGATTTCTATATGCTGGATGTTCTGGAACAATCAGGAGGTGGATAGTGCGGTTTGAATATTGCGCAAGACACATGACTCGATCACTCGCAACTATAGATGCGAAGGGGTCCTAAGCTATTTAAATCCAAGCATTCTGTTCCTTCCCATACCCATATCCAATGAACGAGTCACGGAAATACTTGTTCAACACCACCTGCTCATACGACTTATCATCCACACAATAGTCACCACCCGTGGGACCGATATGCGCACAATGCACGTCCGGACGGTACTTGACCATGTGTTTGTGCACCTCGCGACACAGCAGCGTGTTTCTTCCAAGCTCAAACCCCTGACCGAAACGGATCTTGTTCGTCAGGAAATCCACGCAGGCGTCCATACTCTCATATTGCTGATCCAGGCCCTTGCAGTTTTCCTCATGTGTCGTACATATAGAGCCGGAGAATAAGTCCGTAATTTCCTTCTGAACCACGGCAGGATCGGTAGTATTTACCCTGGCAGCCTCGGCCTTGAGCAGGGTATCAAGGAGGAAACCGAACCAGCGGAAGCTTGAGTCGTACTGAACAATCTTCTTATCTGTGTTCCACTCAAACCACGTCTCGATGGTGACGGGCACAACTATGCCAAACGAGGTCGCGTTGAAAGTGACCACTGTTGTTGCGGATGCGATATTTCCGTTCGCAGCGAACTGAGTGATGTTGTATGCGATTGGTATGCCGACCAGACTGACCTGGTCGGACTCGGAGAAGAGACCGGAGATGTACTCATTGTTGAGCTCGCGGCCGTTAAAGGTGCGGGTGATGTCTACTCGGCCTTGGACCTGGGTTGATGTTAGAACCCAGCAAATTATAGAGGTCGCACGGTAGTACCTTTTCAGCAAACACAGAGTCATCTGTGGCATTGATCTGAGCAAGATTTGCTGGATAGAGAAATGCATCCCAGTAGTTCTTCTGTAGCGCCCAAAGTTCGTCGAAGGAGAAGCTGGGTCTGTCGTCCTCATAGTGGATGGGAGACGAGGCTGCCGTGAGAACCGAGAGTCCACACACGACTAGCAGTGTATAACCAATTCGGTGTGAATGCATATTGGGATGTTTGGCTGACTGGAATCATGCTATCGGTCGTCCTTCTTATATAACGGCACACAATAGGAGGATGGGACCATTCTTCGTGGATTGCAAGAATGTTTACACAGACAATCATTGGACCTGTTCCATCCCATATATGACATATCTAACTTACCCTGACTTTGACGAGATCGACAAACGGGAAATTTCTTACATTCCTGTGATGTTTAAACCTTTCGGCAGTAGCATGAATGTGAGCAACATGAATTGACGTATTGCTTTGGGCGTATGATGTTTGCTCAGACATCATCAACATCAAATCATTTGGCACTCGAGCAGGGATGACAGGTAGAGAAGTGGCGAACAGAAAGAACTCTTCAAAATACTGTACTGTTGTAATGGCAGAGGCACGGAGTATTCCAGTGACTTACAGAAGAGAGCGACTGGGACGGAGGAGAGTGAGATCTGATGGAACTGCAAGCAAGGGGCTAGAACAATATACATTGCAGTATGTACACAATAATTGTGTATCCACAATCTCCTTTGGGGAAGTTCGTCGCTTTCATCTAACTAATCCTCTAGAAAAAGGTATCCTTCCAAGCCGAAGCCACAGCCTGCGCAGTAAGATCGTGGATAGCAATTCCGGGATGGTAGTCATTGAACCACAGACACGACTTGCCATCCTCATTGAAGCAGGTAGCGTTTTTGGCGCCATATGCTGTTGGGTTATCCAGAGCTGTATTAAACGGCGCATGAGTGTCCACAATCTTCGCCGTGATGCCGCTGTTCTTTTTCTTGAACTGCTTAAGATTTTTAGCGATGAGGTCGTTGTACTGCTTGATGACGGCGGCTTCTAAGCTGGTGACGTCTTTGCCTTGAGACAGCATCAATGGGGACCGATCGATTGCTGGAAATGTCTCAGTAAATGATACCTGCTGGAGCCGTGAGGAAACTTACGGGGAACAGTGAGCAGCACAAAGTTGCGGAGACCTGCGTCGTAGAGAATCTGCAACTGTCCAAAGTAACTCTTCATGATAGCGTTGTTGATGCCAGTAATATTGGACTTCGATTAGGTGTTGCCAACGTCATTAACACCCATCCAAACGCCAACGAGCGAGTTCTCGGCCGTCCACGGGGCATAGGATGGCTTTGTAGCGATGCTGCTACTGAATTCAGCAACCTGGTCGATGAAGCTCCGGACGGTCGGTGCATAGGGCTTCACGATACTCGCGTTGGTCGTGGCTCCTCCGTAAGCGAAATTGTATGAAAGAACAGTGGAAGTATTGTACTTGGAGATGAGGGCGCCGATCCAGTTCAACCCTCCGCTCGATGTCCATCCTGGCAGCGTGGGGTTTCCGAGGGGATTCGACTCTGAGGGCTTGGTGCCTGAAACGTCGAATCCGGTTTGTGAGTAGGAATCACCGCTGATTGAGTGAGTAAGTGAAGAAAGCTCGGTGGGTCGGGAAGCTCACAATGTAATGAAGTACCTTAGCCCAGTTGCTGAGGGACTCGGGGATGGTGCAGCTGAGGTAGTAGAGACTGGTGCAGCAGTAGCTGTCGATGACTGCATCGTGCTTGTTCCAGGAACGCATTGGTCTGGGTACTGTCAGTTAAAGCCTTACAGCCAGAACTGACTATAATATACTTACGGTACCAATCGTTCCAAGCTGTGCATACGGCCCCTGAGACGCAGGAAGTGGGACCGGAGTAGCCCTGACCTCCGCACTGGGCATACAACGGAGCTTGGGCGTGAGCGCCAATGGACAAGGCTATCGCAACTGCGCAGGATGCTATAAATGACCGAGACATGGTGGGCAGCTGAAGTCTAGGTAGAAAATTAGGGGTACTTGAGGTACTCCTGTAAACACCGGTGAATTGATTTTCACCTCTTGCGAGGACAAAGCCATGCAATATATATACCCCAGATATGCTTGCAGATTCATGATAGCGAGCCGTTGGTGGGAATGGATATTGAAATTGCACTGCTGGAGTCTGCAGAAGGGCGCCACTGCTAAACCTCCGTGATGAAAAAGGAAAAGAACAGTCTGAGGGCGGACCAGAACTCCGGCAATCCCCAACGTGGAGATTATCCCCACTATTCAAACCTCAAGTGAACAGAGTTGATTGGCTATTTTGCTGGTGTCTGGGGTCGAGCTTAGCTGTTTTGATTTGCCTGTCTCATCTCTGACGATTATGCCCCCGCATATTGACTCAAATCCCTGGGGTCAATGGCTGTGGAGAAGTTGAAAGACGGAGCGCTCATAGAACTGGGGCATCTTTCTCCTTTCGTAACGGCATGTTTGCTACTTAGTCAAGCGTACTTAAAAAGACGCAACATGCCATTGGGTTGAAACAGCCAAAGGGTGCTCGTTCAATCCGGTAATCATGTCCGAGTCCGACGGCCTCAAAAGAATGGTAGCCAGGTAAACTAGATATACGGGGCTCCATTGGTTTGCAGACATGTAAGTGGTAGATTCGTTCCCATTCAGTCGGTGTTTCCCTGGGCCGAGTCCACATGATTTCATGGTTTATCCTACATATCCAAGCTATCTAAGCTATCTAAGCTATCAATCATACATACTGTCAGAAGCTTCAGCGGGCATTGGTATATGTATTAGAGTTACGGCTAGAACTATGAGCTAAGGATCGCCGTAGAGATACGTCTAATTGCATATAAACATCCTGCCTCATAGTCCTCCATTGCAGATTTCCCCATACCTGATTGTAGAACCCTCGATGCTGATAGAGGGACCCTTAATAAAAAGTAACTTTCCAGATGTTGAGTGAGATCAGCTACGCCACAAATAATTCCAATCACGGGGAGAAGAAGACCTTCTTATTATGCTCTTTCGATGGTTAGCTGTCTAATTCGATTGGGCTCTCTATTACTCAACCCAATACTGGATGCAACCTGACTCGTTTTGTCATAGAAAGAATCCCACGACGGTCACCTACGGAATCATGCACGAAGAGCAGGTATCACACAGGATACGGCGTTGCTCAGTAATCAATTGACGGGGATCGGGCATGATTAAGGTGAGACCTGTCAGCTTTTTGCTTCCGCTGCACAAACAATCACTTGCAGGCAGAGTGAATCCTGGCCAATGTTGTTCTTCTTACTGACTCAGATCTGCAGGAAGAGACTTGGCAGGGTATTGATATCGAATGATTCCGTGGAGAAGGCTGCATGTTTTAGAAGTGAGATTTTAGAACTGCAGCCCAATCACACTGTACACCAACAGCTAACTATCAGATCATGGTCACATCAGGATTTACCCCTGCAGAAATGGCGGGGGGAATGGGTATAAAATCATCGTTCTCTCTCATCTGGGGTAGAAGTCAGTCGCAAGCAATTGAACGTTCTAGCACCATGCTTCCGACGCTCATGCTCTTTGTGCTACAAGGCCATGCCGGTAGGTAAAGGTCGCAAATGGGTAGGCGTACACTGACGAGATGTGTAGCTCTCGGCCTGGCCGTCACTGCCAGCTCAATCACCATCCGTCCGAGTCCTTTACCCACCAGTGAGCCAACACCGACAACACCGGCAACACCGACAACGTCGACCAGTGGCAAGTGGCTGATCATCGATAACACTTCTATCTTCTGGCCTACCTACACCGACTACTTCTATGGACCCACGACTGGACCGGACGCGGCTGCTGTGACCTGCAACGCCAAATGGGTCGAGTATATTGGCCGATCCACTGAGCTTCAATCACTTGGCCCAACAGCCACTACTACGTCTTATGATTACTATCCGAGCAGCGATGGGGCCTGCAGAACCTCCACCTTCTTGGAAGGCTGGGATGATCACCACACGGGACCAGTCACTACTCTGTGTGACGGCACTCCACGAGCCCTCGGACCCCGGGAGACCGTCACGTCGTATTATCCCGGCACAGGACCATGCAGCACACTCACGGCCACGTATACCAACATCGTTAGCCTGTATCGGGAGCCCGAGGCCCCTGACTGCACCCTGAATACGCAAGAGTGTATTCCCATCTGGCAAACCTACAGCAGTCGCAGCAGTCAATACTACAATTCGATCACCACCGTGTCTACCGCTGACACGAACAGCCCTATCGACCCATGGAGCTGTCCGTCGACCCAACGAACATACCCTGAAGATCCGTGCACCGCCTGCCACTTCCTCCCGGACACAGCTACCGTGTTTTACTGGCCTGTGGTGACCGCCAGCGGTGATCTCTGTCACCAGGACGGCAGCACCATCCCCGCCACACCGACCGGATCCGGGCCCAATACAGCGGTCGTCGACGGGAACACGTTCATTTCCCCGAGTATTTACGTCTCCTTCACATCCATATACGCCTGGAGTAACCGCCGTGCGCATCCCGGCAGCCAATGTGGTGAATATCACACCGACGCCATCATCTCAGTGGACCCCGTCAGCGTTTCCTCGGTCCGCAGTCATCGGAACGCCAAGTATCCAATTATCGGAACAGCATACCCATTTAACTTTGCCGAGTTCATGCCACAGGAGGTCGGCAACTACACCATGCCTCTGATTCCTTGGCCGCAATACCGAGGGGGCTCGCAATGCCCGATCTACGATCCGTCCTGCACCATGATTCGAGATGACTATATGCCATTCTTGGATCTGCCGGAGGCTGTCAGAGCAATCGATCCGCTGTGGACCAAATGCGATGCGCATTGGTATATCCCGCCCGTCACTCTGGTGCCGTTGACGGCGGCCACGGTCGTCTTGCCTACCCCGGTGGGGGAGGCGAAAGTCATGGCTGCGACGGCGGTGCCCGAGTCAGCGGTGGCGGTGCCTACGCCGGAGGCAACGGGGTGGTAACGTAGTCTTATCACCATTGATAGGTATTAAGTGAACACGGTTCTGATGATGGTTTGGTGAATACTAGTTCGTCACAGAAGCAAAGACATGCATGTCAATATCACCGACAACACCCATTGGACATTGTAGTTGTTTTCTAAATCGGCCAGATGCGCCTTTACTTCCTGTCCCTAAGATGCTACAGAAGGAGTTCTAGTTGGTGTTTGGAAAATCGGTTGTCCTGTAGACAGCCCAGTCACTGTAAGGTACTGGTAGTAGACAATAAACCATTCGTGCCTGGAGTAGATGAGCGATCTGTATCTAAAGCTCAATAGCATCCCCATTCAGCGCTCATGTCTGAGTTGCGAAGGGGGAGATCTCGTATGTCCACTCAAACACCCAACGCTAGTGACCACAAAGCACTGACCGGTTGTTATTCTTAGGCCAATGAAAATCAGCATGGGTCATGGACCTGCATCATGGAGACAAAGAAGGAACCTTTCTGGCCATGGACATGCGAGGCACCAACTTCCGTGTGTGCAAGGTCACTCTGCGTTATGATTGTTGCAAGGTCTTGGGGTTTCTCCATGGCGTTCAAAATCCGCCAAATAGGAAGCATGGGCAGACAATTACGATGTATGAATAATGAATGAGAATAACATGTCAATGACTTTGTTTTTAACTTTCTTCAATATTATTATTATCCAAGTTAATTCATCAAACCGAAACTCCGTAACCCGACCGATATTCCCTGTAGATTTACTCTGCCGAGTTCCTAACGCTCAAACCAGCCCGGCTGTCTGCCCGACGAATGCAGGATCAGAACAGCCGAATCTCCTTATAGATCATCTCCGGACACTCCAGCGGCAGCAGATGCCTCACCCCAGGGACGGTCCTCAAAGACACCTGCACACCCGTATCTGCCAGAAACTGCCGGACTTCCTTGTCGACTCGCTCCCTTGGCTCGACGACATCACCGTCCCCGACCAAGATGCGAACGCGCAGTCGATCCTTATCCATAGCGGACAGAGCATCCTGCAGCGCATCGGAGATGTCCTCCTGCATGCCGCGACCGGGCCACGCCTTCTTGGCCAGCCAACTGCCCTTCAGACTGTCCTCGATCACCATGTCGATGTCCTGCTCATTCAAGTTCTCCGGTCTAGCGAGGATATTCTCGACCGTCCAGCGGATCGAGTCAGGAGATGCGTATGCGCTCTTCTGCTGCTCTTGCATTTCCAGGGGCATCGAGAGGGCGGTGGGGGGCGCGGGCGCCACAAGGATCAGACCCTTCAGGGCCTGGAGAAGCGGAGACGGAAGCTCCGCGAGCGTTGCCATGGCGACTTTGGCGCCCATGGAATGCCCGATGAGGACGAACCCATGCTCTAGCAGATCCTTCTTCTCACGGTCGGCGCGTAGCGTCTGTAGGGCAGCCGCGACGTCGGTGGCCATATGCGCGATGGCGTAGGCGCTTTCCCCGTCGGAGGGCCCGGTGGAGTTCCCCCAGCCGCGGAGGTCGAGGGCCAGAATCGGGTAGAGGGCACTTAGCGAGGTGGCTGAATCGTCTGATGTCAGCTTGTACCATGTCGCGGAGGAACCGCCCCAGTAGTGGAGGAAGACCAGCAGGGGTTTGTGGTGATCGACGGAAGGGCGGGAGATGCGTGCATGCAGCGAGACATCTGCTGCGTGGTTGAAGATGATGGAGTCCATGTTGGGGATGTTGTTTCTTGGATGTCTTGTCTTCAGTAATGTGGGAGGAAGGAAGATTTAAACTTGATATTGAACTGGGCTGGAGACGCAATGATTCCGTCACCCAGGCTGCCCTTTTAACCATTTCTACAACAAAGAAAGGCGAATTCCCCTATTCCAGGATGTCCCTTGCATGCTGGTCAATAGTCTATGAGTCTATCCCAATACAATGGTTTGGATGAGAATGATCATCCCGCCAACAAAGGAAATCTCGGATCCTCGGAGATTGAAGCTGAGTCCCGGAGACTCCGATGGGCGAGATTTGCCTAATCTGATAGTAGATTCAAAACTCCGAACGAAAGCACATTACTCCGTTCTATGTACAGGTCAACCATGGGAACAGCGACACATCATCTCAACATACTCCGTAGTCCCGTCACTTTCTTGGCTGATGGTCTGGACACCGTCCTACTTGCTCGTCGACTGCTCCATGCATCGTGGCGACCTCTTTTTTGCGAGACCAGTGGCTCGTTCTTGCTTGGCGACGGCTCTCGGAACGCAAGCCAGCTGCCCAGCGATCACGCCGAAGATGCTGAGGAGCGCGATATTTCGTGAACTAGAACGGCCGTTCCATTGTGATTAGCACTCAATAATGGATGGCTATCACCCCTTCGATAATCCGTGAGGTTTTGTTTCCCTGGTGGCTCCGTTGATGAGACCTCTGCTGTTGGCGACCATTTGGTTTGTCGTTTGCGAATCGTCCAGTAGATTATTGGTTAATATTTCTTTTTCGATGACGACGCTGTGCCCTCTGCATCTTGATGCACTTCTGCTAAATATATATGGCCATCGTGGTGTCTGCACTCTGTATGTCGCTTTTGTCGCAGTCTTTCTTGGCTGATTCCCGCGGACCGCCGGGTGGCGCTATAGTCAAGTATAGTAGGGAAGATCACGGAAAGATCATCTTTAGCAGAGAAACAGATCTCTCAATAATCGATAATTGATGGAACTATGTCATTCAGGTTAGTATTTTCGGGGATGGGGATATCGTATTGCAGTTTCGTCGTTGGGTTAATAATGCGACAGTAAGGAGAGAGACATCGCATGTATATATATATCCTTGCGCGCCCACCATCCTGGCAGAAGAGACTAACCATAAGCAACTGCATAAATAAATAGAAAAGCAAATCGGAAAGTCAATCTGCCATGATTGGTATGAGCACGGGAGTAGCCCCATTGGATCCCTTAATTGAGCTTATTCCCTTCCCTGATCACGACTTGAACTTATCCACCTCATGTTGCCCATATCCTTTTTCTCTATTACCCAAGGTCAAGTATTCATATCTCATGATGAAGTCTATTTACTTTCCCATCTCAAAACCTATCAGGGGCTCCAATACTCCAGCTGCGGACGTCCGTCCTGGTGAACGTCGAGGGAACGCCCGCAGTCTTGCTAATGCTTATGTGTTTTGATTACAGGGCGAAGGATTATGCGTAAGCAGCTAAAAAGGGGTTCTTCACCGAATCCCAGCGACTGGGAAGCAGCATATTAGCCGAATCGATATAATGCACATGCCCCTGAGAGACACATTTAATATAACTTGAGTAATCATTGCCCGGGGAAATGAAATGTACCTGCGGACGATAGCGGATGCCATGGCGGTTTAGTGCTTATTTTCCCTCACTGTCTCAGTAGTGAATGAATATCTGGCGTAGATCGGGAGATTAGTCTGCCATATAAACGCATCCCAGTCCCAGTTCATACTGTGACCATCAGTGATCGAGACACCCTCTTTCCCGCCCATCTTGTAATCATGGCGAGGATTGCCTCGTTCCTGTTGTGTGGTCTCTCTCTCTTCGATCTTTCGTCCAGTCACCCTTCCCACCATCATCCTCGAGCGCCAACTAGCCCTACTAAGTTCGATGTTCAGCAAAGTGTTCCACCCCTCGACTATGTCCCTCATAAACAGTGAGAAGTCCCCCCCCCTGGTGCATGTGGATTGCATCTAACCGGTTATAGGGGCATTCCTTTCTCCATCCAGAATCAGACGGCACATCCCTGGGTTGAGCTGGCTCAAGTTTCTGGGGCTGCAGACCTGACAGGCCGGGAAGTTACCACTCGGGCTAGCTGTGGTGGACCAACTCCAGACAGCCCTAGCAAGTTCTGGTATGAGACCATTGCTCATAATGGGCAATCGTCATTCCTGGATGGAACATACAAGAACAACTACCGCGTCTTTCGTAATGTCGTGACCGACTACGGCGCAGACAACACGGGTACCAGAGATGCGTCTGCCGCTATCCAAAACGCTATCAATGGTATGCTAGACCCTTGCCATGCGTATCTGGATATTGGATATAGGAAAAGCTAACCCCGGTAGCTGGCGCTTCCAATGGTCCTGCCCGGACTAGCAATTCCATGGGAACCACTGGCCAGCCGGCTGTCGTGTACCTGCCTGCTGGCACGTATCTCCTGGAAGGCAGTCTGCAGCTATACGTTGGAACCGTCCTTGTCGGTGATGCACTGAACCCTCCTGTTCTCAAAGCCAGTGCCAATTTCCCCCACGATCATATCATCTTCGGGAAAGATCCGAACCAGGGAGGCACCGTCAACTTCTATATTGGCTTCAAGAACGTGATTATCGACTCGACAAGCATCGCGACTTCGAGCTCCATTACCTTGCTGGACTGGACTGTTTCCCAGGCTACACAGCTCACGAATATTGTCTTTAGAATGCCCAACTTCTCCAATCACGTCGGTCTCACCACCCAATTTGGATACAACAGCAATATCATTCTGGTGTGTCGTCTGAGATCTCCCTTGGAAAACTGTTAGCTGATATCCGCAGAATGACTTGACTTTCTCTGGAGGAAGTGTCGGCATGCAGTTGAGCGGTCAGCAATGGATCCTCAAGGGCATCAACATCAACGGTGCCAATGTCGGCATCAAAGCCGCTGGCTTCCAGCTGGTTTGCCTGGATTGTCAGTTCCAGAACGGCGCGACAGGAATTGATGCGAGCGGGATTTCTGGATCCCTGACGGTCATCGATTCCAGCGCCAACTACCTGGGCAATATGGTTATTTCGTCAAATGCCGGCGGAAAAGCTCAGAATTCAATCATCCTGGACAATGTGCAGTGCACCAACAGTGGCAGCACCGTCTCCCTCAATGGCAACACGGTTCTCTCGGGCTCGGTCACGAACACATGGGTACATGGTAACCAAGTAAGTCTATTCTTCCAGTCCCGTCAGTCCCAACGTTCAGCCAGTATTAATTGCGACATAGTACTCGGGTGGAAGCACCACCCCTGCATATCAACAGGGATCCCAAGTAAACACGCCCAGAACAAATGTTCTTGTGGGTGCCAACAGCAACTACTTCTCCATGAAGCCACCGACATACGCCCAGTACTCGTCCAACCAGTTCATCAACATCAAAAGTGTCAGCGGGCTACCGGTTATGGGCGACGGCGCCACCGACGATACTGCGAATATCAACGCAATCTTGGCGCAGTATGCCCATTGCAAGATTATCTACTTCCCTGCGGGTACATACATTGTAACCGATACGGTTTTCGTCCCACCTGGTTCGATCATCATCGGTGATGCATATGCCTCTGCCATCAGTGCTACGGGGTCCAATTTCTGGAACCCGAGTGCTCCGAGAGCGATGGTGAAAGTAGGAAACGCTGGCGATGTTGGTGTGGCCCAATTCACGGATATGCTATTTACGGTAGCCGATGTCCTACAAGGCTGCAAACTGGTAGGTCGAATGGGATCCTGGTCACTTGTTCACTGCTAACCGAGGCGCAGGTGGAAGTTAACATGGCTGGCGCAAACCCCGGAGATGTCGGATTCTGGAACACACACTTCCGGATCGGCGGCGCGGTGGGCTCTAAAGTCCAGACCAACTGCTACAAAACCCCCGACGAATGTAAAGCCGCCTGGGGTCTGATGCATCTCACGAGCAGCTCGTCCGCATACATTGAGAACATGTGGGGATGGACCGCAGACCACAACCTCGACGGCAGCCCGGACACAACCACCATCGCGACAGGACGCGGGCTCCTCGTCGAAGCCACCAAGGGCACCTGGCTAGTGGGAACCGCCATGGAACACCACACGCTCTATCAATATAACTTTGAGAATGCGCAGAACGTCTTCTCCGCCTTCCAGCAGAGCGAAACGCCGTACTGGCAGGGATGGGGGAGCCCTGACCTCGCCCCGACACCTTGGTCCTCGAATCTGATTGCCTCCGATCCCAACTTTAGCAACTGTGCCGCGGGCGATGCGGGATGCCGCATGGCTTTGTTTGAGCGCATTCGGGGATCAACGAACCTCTTCCTCTACGGCGGGTGTGTTTGGGCTTTCTTCAATAACGGCGGAGCCTGTAATGGGGATTGTCAAGCCAACGCTATCCGCATCCTTTCCTCCAACGGACCGGTCTATCTGTACGGGACGAACGTCAAGGCCATCAGCAATATTATTCTCGAGAATACTGTGGTAGCAGCCAAGGAAAGCGACAACCAGGGAGGATGGGGCGGTGTCGTCGCTGCGTATCTTCATAGTTCATGATACTCGACCCGATCACCCCGGCTCACTCCTTCTCGGGTGATATCGCGGTTAGATGACAAGCCGAGTATATAGGGCGCCGGAGGAGGGGAATATCATATGATTATCTGTAGATAGCATAGCATACATCCAGAACAGCCTCATGGATAGGCAAACTGTAACCATGTGTATCCGCCCTACCACATTCTATAACCGAGATATCCATCCGCTGCCACAGAATCAGTGGCGAGTCGATCCCAACCTCCCTCAATACTAAGCTTATGCCATATTAATGAAGACCTCGGGTTGAAGATATATCATACCAGTGGAACAGGTGCCCAAGACGTGCGTAGCTTAGATTGTTCGAATGTTTTCAAATTGCCAAGCAGAGAGTGCTAGCGAAGACGATACGCTCTTTGCGCCTCCCGCCCCGCGTGTTCCATTTTACGGTTCGTCCTTATGGACGTGTGTTAGAAATGCCTTGAAGATTCCCCAAAACAGGTCGCTGGACCTACCGTGTCATGCTGACGCGCGGCGTGGCTGTTGGTTTGACACCATGCCTCCTAGTGTAGTTTGCGAGGATTGAATATGAATCATGTTGTTTTGTAGGCAGATTGATCTGGTATTGTGGAATGGAAAATGGTGATTTCCCCCTGAAGGAACTAAAGCAGATGAGAAGATGTTGGGATCTTCATGATCGATCAGGAATTTCCGAATATGGTAAATGCCGAGGCAATGATGTTCAGCGATAGGAATCGGTTATGGCCCCGATGAGGCTTTAGATATATGTTGCTGTATGGAGAGATCAAAGACCTTCATCTGGATATAGAAGGAGAACAATCCCTCCATGATAGTACAGGAACATGTGCATCTACATTCAAATAGTGGAATAAATCTAGGGAAAAGCGTTCTGCCACAACGTTTTGCCGTCGGAGGCTAAATTAAGTGGCCGGAGCAACTGTGGGAGGCTCCATATATCTTGAAGCAATGACTCTATCTTGATTGCGCTGGGGGATCAAGCCAATTCATGCCATTGTATAGCAATCAAAATGCTCACCTCGTGGCCCCCTTCGTCGATCGCGAATCCACTCGGAACCGCCACGCTCTCACTGGGAAACGCCATCCACCATAAACTTGAGCCCCGACTACGGGAAGCTGCCAAAGCCGGGTTCAAACAGATCGACCTCTTTGATGAATGCTGGGCAGCGTATCTGGAAGAGCATGGCCTTCCCGGTGATCAGCTCTGGGAACCAACCCTGGATAATCTGCGAGTCGCAAAGAAATTGGGAGATCTTGTCAAATCTCTGGGCATGAGGATTTCGTGTACACAGCCGCTGCGGACTATCGAAGGCATCAAAGATCCACTTGAGCGTCGGGCGGCTCTGGATCTGGTAGCGAAGCGATTCCCCTTCATGCGCGCCTTCGATACCGACCTCGTCTTCATGTGCGCCAACATTCGCACGGACGACGGGGTCACCTCGGATCTCAGAACCGTTGCCAGAGATCTTGCTGAGCTGGGGGACATGGCGCAAGCCTTTTCCGATGCAGATAGCGGGCCGTTACTGAAGATTGGATATGAAGGGCTGTCATGGGCTCAGCGCAATACCTGGGCTTCGACATGGGAGGCCGTCCGCATGGCCAACCGACCCAATGTTGGTCTGATTATTGACGCGTTCAATGTACTCGCTGTGGAATGGGCAGATCCGTACAATCCCGCAGGTCACGGCCGCATATATCCGACTATCGAAGAGTCGGTTGATGTTCTCTGTGCATCGCTGGCGGGTCTCGTAGCGTCTGTCCCTGGTGACCGCATCTTTTTCTTCCAGGTTGGAGACGCAGAGCTGATGGATCCAACAACGTTTCTGCCTCCGTCTGATCCTCAGATTCCCCCACTGCTGCCATGGTCGCGAGGCCATCGGCTGTATCCTTATGAATCCTCACGAGGTGGGTATATGCCCACACATCTAGTCGCGGCTGCGGTTTTGGCCACAGGGTACAAGGGACCCATCTCGTTGGAAGTATTCAATAAGTCTTTGAATGTCCCTGGTGATCATGTCCCAGTTACTCATGCCGAAAGGGGGATTACTGGATTACGGAAGCTGGCAGAAGCCACAAAAGACATGCCGGCATTCTGGGAAATGTATAAAAAGGGGACGATAAGTGGATTCGCCCAACTTCTTCAGTTGTCACGGTCTGGCAAATTATGATTCCAAATAGCGAGATGAATAGATTGCTTGGTCTGGTATTTCCCAGTATCTAAATTGGTGCTGTGGAATGTCGAAGCCACGGCACTCCAGCATTCCATCATTTTATGGCCTATCAATCAATACTCAACAGACAATAGAATCCATGATTCCCCCCTCTCGGATTCTTTCACCGTGTCGTGTTAATAATCTTCATTCGGCTGATTTGTTATTGTGTCCCAAACAAACCGATTTTGAAACATGCAGTGGTGATGTCATTCGCCTTCATTGATAACGTCTCCTCGACTTCATTCCAGCATCCAACATATATCAACTCTGCAGATTATTTGCAATCCAATATGACCGTAGCCGCCGAACTTAGAGAAGTTTCCAGACCGTCAGTCCAGTCTGTTATTCTTGTTTCTGCGATCATGCGATATATTCTTTCAACCGACAGGTTCGCTAACCAGGCTGTAGAGCCCGCAATCGCGCCTTGATGAGCATCTTCGGGGTCATCGGTGGCACATATTTAATGTTCCTCTATCTGTCGCCCAATAAAGACGGCTCTCTTATCTCGGATCAAGAACGTGAGATGCTACGAGGAGGCTCAAATGGGACCCCGTTTGGAACCAAGACCGCAAGACCCCCTCGGAGTACGGCTTACTAGATTGGGGACAGGATCTGATCTCCTTGATCGACGAAGAATGTCGTGAGAGCATATTTTCTCATCTCCGGTAAGAGGACAGAAGCCTACCAGTGGCACTTGGTTGATACCAATCATCATGGCTTGCTCGTGAGCTCCTCAGACGCGAAGCGAATCTGTTTCAAAAGTCTCAGTTATAGTTTCAATTGTGCGTTATATATGAGCAAAACTCGTCTTTGAAAATCTATAATAGCCATCAAAAGCGACATTGTTTACCATACTGGGAAGTCGATACCGGCGTTCAAAAATAATGGTGCGAGAAATCTAGGGACAGGGCTATTGCACATTTCAATAATTTTCAAACTACAAAAATAGTCGATCATCATATTCATTACAACTCAATTTCCTTGAGGACGGCGCGTCAAGAATATATTCAATCTCCTTTTAGGGCACGATGGTATTCCTTCTGAGCAATGTGGACATGGTCTCTATGATCGCACTGATAGGTGATACTAAGCTACATGACTCTGCTTAATATGGGCAGCAAGGTCATGAGTAATAGATGAGCAAGAATCTCAGGGCCCCCAAGTCATGGTGAATGTTGTAAAGCCAAGCGACAAGATCTGCATTCACACCGGCTTCTCGCCCAGCAAAGCAAACTTGCACTCTGTGTCGATCTTGCTGTATGTGTGCGCATCAATAGCTGCCTGCCTACTTGTCTTAACCGGCATCACGGCTCAAGGACGCATCTTCTTGTCATAGGCCGTTGGCGGCCTCTTCAACGGATGCTCCTGCATTCACAGCCTGCTTGAGGCAGTCGGCAAGTCCGTAGGGCCCAAGTAGAAACCGAATGGAATACGCACTAGTGTCTGAGTGAGTACTAAAGAAGTACAGCGGATCTATATAGTATCGCGAAGCTTGAAGACCGGCTCCTCAGTCTCGGACAAGGTGATGCCCATCATATTGAGACGCAATTTAGAAAGTATGTGTGTGGCGGGAGCGATGAGTGCCATCTGGGCCAACAAGAACATATCCAGTCGCAGTTGTGCCGTTCGAGAACTCGAGCCTAACGTTGTCACTGACACGTCCCATAGCGGCCATTCTCTTGGTTAAATGCCTCAGTCGGTAGGCAGTAAGTGAACAGCAGATCGTTCAGAAATACCTGGACATTCAAACCCTCCAGCAGGGCCATTCTGACCTCATCGCGGCGAAGTCGCAGTCTCTTACTTTTCGGCACTTCATCCTCGACTTTGCTCAACTTTGCCTGTGGCTCCGTTGATAAAGGGAATACCACGTACCGCATCCCGACCAACAGCCCTGGGCTCGGAATTTGGCTGATATGCCGGGTTTGAAGATCAAGGCAGTCCCATGCCGCCGAAAGGCTGCGGGAGTGTTGGGTCGACAATACCGGCTCCAACCTGTTCCCATACGTGGGCATAATTGAAATTGATTTAAAATCGACGTTTTCACCTCACAATGAGAATCGTCGGGCTTTCACTTTGAGACATGGTAGTTGTGTTCAAAGGCTAGTTAACTCGACCTATCTCGCCGGGAGACAAAACACTGGCAAAGCGCGAGAGTCGCTGTAAATATTCTATTGATTTGGGTGATTTGGGGAGTTTAGATACTGTGTTACGGGGAACGTACCAATGCCACCTCATCTCGGATTATCGAGCGGTCTAAATATCGATATTTGCTTCAAGTTTTGACAGTGATGATGCGAATCTGCAAATATTGTCATTCTAGCGCATATTTTCGTTCATATCGGGCAGTGGAGAAAGATTATGCTAAGTGCAGATCACTGTGCTTGTCGGACGCGGTGTCACATCGGAAGCCATTGAAAGCTGTTTATTTATCGTGATTGGGCCGATCTTTCCTCTTTTGGCTGTTTTGAAGCCATATCAGAACGTCGGATCTCGATCTACCAGGAGATCGACAGTGTCAGATCGTTGGATATCGTTTATATAGATTTTGAATTTCTAAGACTACTTGGACTACCAGCAGTCTGGACATATAAAAATTGAGCCTATTGTGGCCCATTACTGCGTACTTGACGATCTTCAACTAGAAATAACCAAGTGAACTACACATCGTTCATGACGCTTCAAGGTCCATCCCTCACTATGCAGCTACTGATCAATCGACCGACATTACTCAGCATGAGCGAATATCACTCTACTTTGAAGGCTGCTGAGTAATGGTGGAAATGCTTTGTTCGCGTTGCGACACACCATAGACAGCTCAGACACACACGGCAAAGTAATAATGTGGTAATAATGTGGATAGATGGATCTTGAGAGCCATCTCAGACTTCAAGCCAAAGCCTAATCCGGAGTACGGAGTACTTGTCTCTGGACTAGTTAAGCCTGATGGGCCTTTGATGCTTAACGACAAGAAGGGAATTTCCTCTCCAGGACGGGGAAGATGCTGCGGCAAACAAAAACGGTAAATCCCAATCACGGCAAAAAACTCCGAGACAGAATTGAGACAGACGAGATAGGTACAGGAAAAACTGTATTCGGAACTCCGAAATTGGCTCTTTCCTCCGTTGAAAGGCCACGATGTGACTCTGATGGTTCGCATGAATCTATCGCAAGCAACCAACCCCGCCACTGCATGGAACAAGTTAACCTGAGGGGTTTGGCCCCCAGTCTAAAGGATGCAGGTAATGCTCTAGATTGCTTCTATTGCGCCAATGGTCTTGCTCGAGGATGGGGAATTTCTGCACGCCCTAAAATCTCATCCACCAAGGTGGATGTGTGTCCTGGAAGCGATATTGAAGCTGAAGTATATCAGAGTTTATGCGGTGTATCAGGCATGTTTTACCAGGGGATGAATACAGCCCAGTTTTTCGGTATGTATTACTGACAAACAGAGTGTTTCGTAAGAAACAGACAATACCTCACGTCCGTTTTGTATTGGAACGATACAATGATACAATGATACAGTGATACATCGATACACTGATACGATGATACAACGATACGACATGAATTTCCCCGGCGGTATTTGATTTATCGAACAATAAATTCACCATATTCTGAATCTGGAAAGAGACTGCGGGATGGAAGAAAAAGCCAACAACAAGAAAAGACTACGGAAGACGCCAGGATCAGACTCGAAATTATGGCTGAATTAGACTCGGATCACGTCCGTGTTAAGGTACCACCAAGTAGATGCCCATACTGAGATCGCTCCTTCGATTCCGCAGGCCCTTTCAGCCGCACAAAGAACTGGAAGAGCTGAGCAGATTTTTGCTTTGGACGGTAACTTGAGCTTTCCAACAGCCTAACTCATGGTCCTCCTGGGCTTTGTCTCCTGTTGATCCCTGTGTTGCTGGCTATTTCGCAAAGTCGTGCAGATGTCCATCCTGAGCACACTCGGCCTGGATGCCGGAGCGGGCAGCTCCCCATATGCCCAATATATCCTTCCCATTGCCATAACAGGACTCATCCTGGTCAATTTGAAGGGGGTCCCCGGGTTCTGGCATGTAAGTATAGATCTGAAACAACGAGGCGGTCTCACCTTCAATCCATTGATCGGCGATTGACCCTTGCACTTCCTCATAGGTGCGATTATTCAAAGGCCTCTTCACACAATATGTCGCAGGCGACCACAAGCCAAAGAATGACGGACCTAATGGCCGGCTATTGACCGTCTCAGAAGATGCACCTCGTCTCTTCTCCTACCTGGTCACCACCCATCGCAACTCCCCGATAGAATGCGACTATAACATGCACAAGTCCAACAGCACTTTCTTCTCCGACTTGGATATCAACAGATCTCAGCTCCTTCTGAGGATATTTGGAGGCTTTCCACGTTGGGAGTCGACTGCCGCGGAAACACAAGTTGAACAGAAGAAGAAGAAGAAGCAGGGAGAAAGATCACTGAATATTGCACTAGGTGGCGTGTCTTGCGTCTTCAAACGAGAGATTAAGCCCTTGCAGCAGTACGAGATCTGGTCTCGCGTTCTTGCCTGGGATGAGAAATGGCTATACGTTGTGAGCTACTTCGTGAAAGCCGGAACTGGCAAGGCCGTGATGAGGTCCTTGCACGGGGATCAGAAGTCAGCAGGGTTCGACCCGAACAAAGTCATTCTTGCTTCTTCACTTAGCAGATATGTGTTCAAGGATGGACGTATCACCGTACAGCCGCAGGATGTCCTGATACATAACGGCCTTCATCCTGCTCCAGGGTCAGGTTCGGAGAAGGAGGGGAAAGGAGCAAGTGAAAAGTCGACCCAAGAAGCGTTGAACGTATTCGCCAGCCAGAAAGAGCGAGGACTGGAGGTGGCCCGATTCTTCCATGGGCTGGACACACTGCCTGCGCAGTTCGGAGAATCAACCTCGATCTTCGGTTGCTATGGAGACCTTTAAGCACCATGCCCGATAGACTGTCATATCATATCATTGTCAGATAGTATTTAATGTTTTCCATAGATATACATCATGAAGGGCTTGCCCCGTGAGAAAAACCAGAATATAGTACCAAAAGCGGGTCTCAAACCCTTCCCTGCCTCTCTTTTTATTGCCGAAGTGAAAGATCCCATGATGAAAAGATAACCGAAAAGAAAAAATGAAAAAATGAAGAACTCCCGATCAAGGATATTTGTTTGAAGATAAACGGATAGATAAGCTGGGAAACAAATAGAATTGAACCAAGGGTCTGTCGCCATAGGTTCAAAGATCACCGGTAGGGCGATGGTGCGCGGTCACGCAGAGGCAGCATCTCATCGCCGCCGGACGGATCTGAGTCAGGAATCTTCTGCATATCCTTGTGCTTTCGCTTCCTGCATGCAGTGCAGCAGCAAATCTTGCGGAGCGCACTGGGTGGCATCTTCGCATCGGGACCCTGCAGGACTTTCCCCGGATGTACCAAATTCCAGACGGCAATGGCGAACAGCATGGGAACGGCATCAAAGGCGTACACATACCATTCATGATAGGGGATGGGGTTGGAGGCGTCGTTGCCTGAGGAGAATTCCACCAATCGATAGATAATACGTACGGTGATGAAGAGGAGACTGCAGTAGAGAGCGTAAAGCAGTCCTCTCCACTGCGTCTTAGGCCCGACGAGTTGCCCTATACGATCGAGATGCAGCATCCGACGGTGGAACTGGATCGCGATCAAGAGGAAGAGGATGATGAAGAACTCCTGGATGCCGATACCACCCATATAGATGTGAATACCATTCATCTGCTGATCGTGGGAGACACCTGGTCCCGCCATACTGCCTCCAATCAACTGAATGATGAAAGATCCCAGATCTAGGAAGACGAAGATCGTTGCGAGAAGTGAGGGCTTGAAGATACCGATGGTTTTTTCGGGTACGAAGAAGTGGATCATTCGCGCCAGAACCATATAGTCGAAGGCATTCACCCCTGTTTCGAATTTCGTCAATAAATGGCAGTAAGCAGAGCAGAGACGACAACATACACAATGGAGACAGGAGAATAAATAGCTGGGTGATCAAGGCCAGCGTGGAATTCTGCTGGTCCCGAGTACTCAACACTCGCACCACGAATCCAATACACTCCCACGTCGCTCCCATGAGGATCACCCAGACGAAGCCGGTTTTGTAGATGGTGGCCTGGACAAAATGCGCGATCATCACCACCCCGAAGATGAAGGAGAAGGCAATCGCCGCACCGAAGGACGGGTAGTAGAGGTAGAGCGCGTTGCACTCTGTTGGTGGAACCCACCCATTTTTATCGGGCGCAATGGTAGGTGTACAGGTGTTAGTGGGCAAATCCAAAGTGAGGCTGGGAATGGTAACCGGAGGAATCGTCACAGGAGGAATTGAGACGGGGGGGAGGTCGAGATTGAGAGTGATTTGAGGGTCATAGGGATCAGTTGCTGCCGCTCGTTTCTGGAGGGTGGTTGGATCGGGAACTGGAGTAGGCGATGGAGACGCATGGACGCCAATCGCCGAGACCAGCAAAGAATAGAGTAATGAATGTGAAAGTCGCATGTTGTGACGGACGTGAGGTTATTCTATCTCCCGCGTACCTCAAGAATCCGGCTGGACGAATCTGTCGATCACTAACTGGTAGGGACAGACTGCAATCAAGGGATGGACAGGACGAGGAAAACAAGCTTAATTTGTGTACAACATGCCATGCTATGGGGCAGACCTTTTTCTTTAATGCACATTCGACCATCCTTGCTACTTTCGTGGTTTGGGATCGACATTGACGCTGTTCAACAACAAAGACGCTCTGTCCCACCTCCTGATTCTATTTCCGGATTCTGTCACGGATATTTTGGTTGCCTGAGAGAAAAGCGAGTCTTGCAGCATTCATAATACTCCGTCTGAGCCAGTCAGAGTGGCTCTCTCTTAGTGATGTCGGGCTGAGATTGTTCTTGCGCGTTTACAGGCATTGTGGCGCTGGCAGTGATTGGCCTGTTCTTTAGGCTCCTGGATTCATCTGACTGAGTCCGGTGAAAGGGAAAGATGCATCCAGCAGTCTATCATGCTTCTGGTTAGCAAGTTCCACCTGGACATCAAAGAGTTGACATTAGCCGATCTGATCGGGTTCAGCCACAGCCATCGGACCGTAATCTTAGGAGTCTTGGTATGGGTCTAGACAGTTTATTCCTCAACAGAGTACTATATGTCGTTTCTCTGTATTTAAGTACGGAGTATCTCTCTTGTCTAAGCAGTGTATGGGGATTGTATCCATTGTTTTGAGTTTGTAACTAGTCTACTTGACGGTCCAACCTCGGGGCCAGCTGAGCGAGAGAAGTAAGCACTAGAGGTTACTACCTACCATTAGCACACCCCCTTGGCTAATTGAGATTTGAGACAGAAACATGGTTAGTACTGTCAATACCCTCCTCGGTAGGGATTGGTAGAATATTACTTACTCCAATCCTCTCGCCACGGCCATGGCTGCTGACTAGGAGCGAATCCAACGGTGTCATTCCACACTACTGCGGTGGCATCAGCAGTAATCCCGTGATATATGTAAGATTTAGTATGCAATTCAGATCAAAATTGAAGTGATTTCTCTCCTGCCAGCCTCCTTTCTGTATTCCCTGTCTCTAAAACCCCACTATCCAATGAGTCCTGGTGATGTGTTCCATTGCCGCCGAAAATGTCTTTGGTCCCTCGGTGGCCTCGGACTGCCGCAATGGCTTCGACTTTACCCTACTGTTTGAGGAAGCCTTTTTCTGTATCGCCCCTTGCAGCGCCTTGCTCTTGTGCTTGCCGGTGCGACTGTATCGCCTAACTACTCAGCGAGCCCAAGGCTCCAATCCTGGCCCTCTTCTATACGCCAAGCTGGTAAGAACATATAGGAACCCCTCAAGATCCAGACCCCAACTAAACCAACTCACTATGTATACAGCTATCACATTTGATCTCTAGTCTAATCAAGATTTCTCTTCTCATTATTCTCATTGTCCCCGGGCTAGAAATTCCCAAGACACGAGCGACAATCGCCGCGGCCAGTCTCTCCGCAGCCGCCTCGATCGCTGCCATTAGTCTGTCGTATTGGCAACATTGTCGATCCCCCCGACCATCTACCCTGCTTAGTCTCTTTTTCGGACTGACCATAGCTCTTGATGCGGTCCGCGCTCGGACAATATGGGCAGTGCAGACTCAAACGTTCTTCACCGTCTTCGTCGTCGGGCTGGCTGTCGACCTAGTCAAATTCGTGCTGGAGAGTCTGGAGCGGAAGGTAGCTTTGGCTGAGTCGGGCGACCCGCTGTCCGGAGAGACGACAGGAAATGTCTTCAACCGAAACTTCTTCTGGTGGTTGAATCCATTGCTGTTGCAAGGGTTCCGCGAGATCCTGGAGGTTGAGAAACTCATCGCCATCGATGACCGGGTGAACAATCAGAGCGATAGCGACATATTTGCAAGAAAATGGGAGGCTCGTGTGTTATCCTCATCCCGATGACAGACCTTGAACCAAAACTGATTCCTCTCCAGTGCCCTCCAAGACATCCTCTGCCTTGATCATGCTTCTCCTCGTTCATCATCGGTGGGGGATCCTCGCTGCGGTACTGCCTCGCATAGCCCTGACCGGATTCACCTTCGCGCAGCCGTTCCTGCTCACCCGGATCGTCACCTATGTCACGGAGCCTGTGACCTCGCTGACGGACTCCTACGGTACCGGCTTGATTGTCGCGACGGTACTCATCTACCTCGGCCTTGCAGTAACCACAGCCAACAACCAGCATAAAACGTACCGGCTCATCACCATGATCCGAAGTAGTCTCGTTCCCCTAGTCTACACTCAGACACTGCGGTTGGATGTTGCTTCTGTCCGAGATTCGGCTGCGTTGACGTTGATGAGCGTGGACATTGAGCGTATCACTTCCGGGCTGCGGTATCTGCATGAAATCTGGGCCAGTCCTATCGACGTCGGTCTTGCCCTTTGGCTGTTACAGCGACAGCTCGGGGTTGCAGCGGCCGCTCCAGCGGGTGTTTTTGTTTGTAAGTTATTCTCCGGACCATGGATGGATGGGAGAGGATACTAAACAACACGGGATAGTGTGCAGTTTGTTTGGTCTCGGAGTGGCCAGCACTATGGGCGCCCGCCAACGTCGCTGGCTCGAAGGCATCCAGAAGCGAGTTCAAGCCACTTCAGAAATGCTGAAAAGTATGAGAGAGATCCGACTGAGTGGACTGCAGAACCCTATGGCCAAGAAGCTGCAGAGTTTGCGATCGGAGGAGATATCAGAATCACGGCCGTTCAAGAAGGCGCTGATTCTCATCGTGACTCTCGGTAGGCTTTCCAAATCTCCTCAGACGAGCGATCACTGACTTATCCAGCCTTTACTACCGCTGCCACGGGGCCATTGCTGGCTTTCACCATGTACACTCTTCTAGCGATTCGTAACGGAACCCCGGTGCTGAATTACGACAAAGCTTACACTTCGCTCTCCCTGTTGGCATTGTTACAAACTCCCATGGCCTTGATCTTGGATGCGATTGCTGGCGTTGTATCTGCCATTGGCGCAATCCAGCGCATTGGGGAGTATTTGTCCAAACCCGCTGCCTCGATTCGCGAACTCCAGAGAGAAAGTACCAGAAGCACAGATTTGCTGCAGCCGCTTCTCCCGTATCCTGGATTTGGTGAGAAACAAAGAGACACCGTTGTCTTTATACGCGACTTTAGCGCCGGCTGGGACGACAAGAAACCTTTTGTCATCAACCATATCTCCCTCGAAGTCGTATCTTCAACCATCAACTTCGTCGTTGGACCTGTGGCGTGTGGCAAAACGACACTGTTGCATGCCATTCTCAATGAAACAATCCATACCGAAGGTCTCCTTCATATTGCTGCTCCCAAGATCAGCTTCTGTAGCCAGTCACCTTGGATCAGCAATGACTCAATTCGACGGAATATCCTTGGAACCAATCTCTTTGCTAAAGCTTGGTATGACCGGGTTATCGAGGCGTGTGCGCTACGAGAGGATATTATGGGTTTTGCCCACGGGGACCAAGAGGTGATCGGCAATAGTGGTATGACGCTGAGCGGTGGCCAAAAGGCTCGACTGGTGGGTGCAGGAGGATCTTTTTGTCTTCTAAATCGTTGCTGACTGCCACCTAGGGACTCGCAAGAGCGATCTATGCTCGGGAAAAACTTCTCCTTCTCGACGATGTCTTTAGTGGATTGGATGCAAAGACCGAGGAGCGCATCTTCAACAATCTCTTCGGCCCCAATGGACTGCTGAAGGAAGGGGACACAACAGTGATTTTGGCTACCAATGCGGGTGAGTCTCTTATCCCATATTTTATGAAAGAAATATCTTCTGACCAGTCAGTACATCGTATCTCATACGCGGATAACATCATTGTCCTGGACAGGGACGGACATCTCACAGATGAAGGTACTTTCCATGATGTCCACGCCTTAGCCAAGGAGATTACAATGGAAGGCCCCTGGAGCGTAAAGACCGAAAAGGTCGAGGAGGCGCCCGTTGAGACTACACTGGGATCATCTCGACCTCTTTCAATGGTCGAAACGCCGAAAGGAAGCGAAAGACGTACGGGAGATATGACCGTCTACAAGTATTATGTCCGCGCCGTCCGTCCGGGCAATGCGCTCATGTTTGCTGTGGCATGTGCCATCTTTGTCGTGTGTCTGAGTCTGCCTCGTAAGTCTCCTTCTTTTCCTTTCCTTCGTCACAATATACAGTTGCTAACGTTGGGTAGAATTTGTGGTTAAGTGGTGGCTGCATCAAGGGGACGAGTATACGGTCAGCCATCGTGGAGAGTTTTTGGGGATCTATGCCGCATTGGCTGGAGTAGCTATCGTGTCGCTTGCTATGGCAGTCTGGTATGGCCTTTGTATTAATCCCTTGGTGGTTGAAATTACTAACTGTGTAGGCATTTGACCGAACGCATGCTTCCTCGAGCCTCTACCAGCTTTCACAATACGCTACTCAACACTATTTTGAATGCGCCCCTGCAGCTGTTCTCCACAACCGATGTTGGGAGCATCATCAATCGTTTCGCACAGGATCTGCAGTTGTCGGACATGGAGCTGCCACTGGCTCTCTTCAACACTACTGTCGAGCTCATCATGTGCGTGGCACAGTTGATCATTATCGCCATTGCATCCAAGTACATTGGCATCGCTCTACCAGCCCTGATAGGTGTCTTCTACCTTGTGCAAAAGTTCTATCTCCGCACTGCACGGCAACTCCGACTACTGGACATTGAAGCCAAAGCCCCGTTGTTCTCGAGGTTCCTCGAGGTTCTGTCCGGCCTGGTAACCATCCGCGCCTTTGGCTGGCAAGATGAGTTTGAGCGGCGCAATCGGCAGGCATTCGACGTCTCTCAAAGACCCTTCTACCTGCTGTTCTGTGTGCAGCGCTGGCTTAACCTTGTTCTGGATCTAGTAGTTGCGGCCATTGCGGTAATTGTGGTGGCTATCGGCATCAAGATGAAAGGGAATGTGGACGCCGGGTTCCTGGGTATTGCGCTGGTCAACATCGTCCAATTCAGTATCAGCATCAAGACGTTGCTGTCCAACTGGACGCAGCTGGAAATCTCGATTGGTGCAGTGGCACGTATCCGTTCATTTGCCGAGGATACACCATCGGATGAGCAGGACCAGGGCACTTTCACTGATCTCCCTCCATCGTGGCCTGAGAAGGGTCAGATTGAGTTTCGAAATGTGATAGCCGAGTACGAGGGCTCGTCCCAGCCGGTGATCAAAGGGTTGAATCTCACCATCCAGCCTCTGGAGAAGATTGCTCTTTGTGGGAGAAGTGGCAGGTAGGTTACCAGTCTCTCTACTTTTTTCTACTTGTGAAGGCAATCCAAGACTGACTTGAGCAGCGGCAAATCTTCGATGGTCTCTGCGCTGTTCCGGCACCTGCATATCTCAGCTGGATCCATCGTCATCGATGGCATTGACATTAGCACTATCCCGCGAGAGCAACTGTACACGCGCCTCGTTTGCGTGACACAGTCTCCCCATCTCATCTCCGGTACGATCCGCGAGAACATCGATCCTTTCGGCACCGCTACGGACCCGGAGATCGAGCACGTCCTCAAAGAAGTCAAGCTCTGGGCAGCAGTTGAGGCACTGGGCGGAATCAGCGTGTCACTGTCTGATGATCACTTCAGCGTCGGGCAGAAGCAGCTGCTGTGTCTGGCTCGAGCCATGATTCGCCCTGGATCCATCCTTATTCTGGACGAGGTGACGGCCAGTGTGGATTGGGAGACGGATCAGTTGGTGCAGGGAATCATCCGAAAGCACTTTGCTTCCCGAACGATCATTACCATCGCCCACCGCATCTCAACCATTCTGGATGCGGACCGGGTAGCTGTGATTTCCGACGGGGAAGTGGTGGAATTGGCGCCGCCGGGGGAGTTGCTCGCTCTGCAGCCACCCAGCCTGTTCCGGGGGCTGTACGAGGCGAGTGCGGGCAGCGATGCAAAATAGATCTCTTTTCATTTGTCTATCTATCTATCCATCTATCTATCTTTCCTATCGTTTATTTAATCTTCCAATTCTAATTCATTTCTTTTGTTCTACCTTTCTCCTCTGTTGTGTTGGAAAATTGAGCCAGAGATTGCTGCAATGCCTTCAGAAGAGACAGTTCTCGTGCTCAAGCTAATCAATCACCACTGGAATCTGTTCCCCAGTAGTCACTCCGTGCTTTCCGCTCAAGGTCTATTATTATTAATAATATTCTCACTATTAGTATCCTAATTACGGAGCAGTCCCCATTCACCACTGCACGCTAGAGATCCGCTAGCCCGATAGACCAAGCAACTAGCGAGTCGGACTAGCGTGCGGCGGACAGTGCGGCTGTGCCAAAGCCAAGCTGTTTAGCCCCAACAACAGAATTTGGTTTAATTTAAGCTTACAAGACGGTCCAGGATCTGAGCTGTAAAACTCGATTTACCACCAATCAACATGGAGGATCGCCCGTACCGAAACGATCGCCCGACGATATCCCGAAACTGTATCGATACCTTTTCATACACCGTGTGTATCAACTGTAACTTACGTCCGTACGTCGGTATCCTGATTCCTGACGCGTACTGTTGATACTTGTTGATACCGCACCTCAATACACTCAGTAACTTGCCTCTGTCCCCCTCACTGATCCCACTCGGCCGAAGACAGCTTGCGCACGCTAGTAGGGTTGTAAATTAAACTATCGTCGAACCAGCCAAGGTAGTAAGGTACACACTCCGCATCCAGCGTAAATAGTAGGCTAAGGTAGGTAGGTACTCCGGAGTCCGGAGAAGAGAGAGAGAGAGAGAGAGAGAGAGAGAAAAAAAAAAAGATGAGTGCCCAAATGGTACCATGCCTGCATATCCCTGCAAATCTCTTACCACTTACCACATCGCTCTCGTAGTATACCTTCCTGCATCAAACTACAGGGGCTAATTCGGACGGACTGTTCCTTCATATCCGCTATTTTCGTCTCGAAATCTCTTTCATGCACGTGGCTGGGAACCGGCGCGTACGTGTCCGCAGCATCTCTGCGCGCTCCTGCAGACTCATGGCACACTGCGCCGGCCCAATGGGCACCATGCACTTGGCAAGGTGCTCGTAATCCTTCTGCAGTAACTTGACGGTCAGCATCAGGTAATCAATGTTACAGAAGACGAGCGCGTTTTCGTTGGCGTAGCGGGCTTTATCGCGCAAGAGGGCCACAGGGTGTTCTCGCCAGTGCCGGCGGGGATGTAAGTGGTGCGAGGTGTGGTAGCCGTCGTTGAAGCAGAATCGATTACTCTGGACATGCGTTAGGGGGATCAGAGTCACCAGGGATCCGGGGGGTATGGGACATACTGCGACATCGATCAGGGTAACGCTCGAACGGAAATCAGAAGCTGGATCCTTGGGGTCCACAAATGCATGCTGGCCCCAGTTTCCAGCCATCAGGCCGAGACGCAGAGTCAGGAGGGGCAGGACGAACACGCAGAATGCAGCCTGTGGGTGGACATACCTCCACATGGCGTAGATGAAGAGGTAGTTGCTGCTCTCCCACAGCGCCGTCTTCATTGCGAACGTGGACTTTCCCTTGCGCAGAAAGTACAAGGGAAGATCCAGCCAGATGAGGAAGAAGAAACGCGCCACGTATCGCGCAAAGTCAGCAACCGAGTCGCGGTCATACCACATGGTGGAATTCAGGTCCCCCGGTCCGTTCCCCTCGACATGGTGGTGTTTGACATGGTGGTAGTAGTACGAATTCCATGTATGGCCCACCAAGGGGTCTACGATGTAGGGAAAGAGTCTGTCCACCAGCCGGTATTGGGGGGCAAGCACGCCGTTCATGTGCACGTACTGGTGCTTCATCAGCGTGTAGGTGCCTGCGTACCAGACGTGCAGGATCCAATGCAGTAGCCCGTGCCCCCAGGTGAAGTGATAGTAGTGCAACCAGATGGCGCTGGGGACGGAGATGGTCATGTAAATCAGGAGGTGGGTTACCATCACCACGTCGGTAGGAAACCGTGCCACTCTTTTGGCCCAGTTGATGTAAGGATTTAGGATGTCGTTCTGAATGAACGAGGGCAGTCGAGTCCGGAGCTGATGGGTCTCCCAGAACTGGAAGACTGTTGGATCAAAGGCAGCATGATTTGGGTTGTTGAGAGACTGTAGGGCTTGTATGGTCTCCGATGTGCTGCGGTTGTCTAGGCCGGTCAGCTCTATTTTCGAACATGAAGAGGGGACTCTCACTCGTTCCGGTGCCTTCTTTGAGGAGCTCTCGTAGCACCAGCTGATCAGGGAGAGTCAAATACGGGTCAATATTTGTGGGGAGGTCCATGTTGTCGATTTTGAGGGCGTTCGTGGACGACGAGGCCACGTCGCGATAATACATATATATATATAACAATTACCAAGACATCACCACCACCACCACCACCAGTTCGATCAAAGATTCAAAATATCACACAGATGAACAGAACCAAGCTTGGAAGGGACATTTCTAAAAATATGTAGACTCGTGGGAGAATGAGGGTGCCTGGAAGCTAGGACCATTAGGCCGATTCATCTCCTCGTATCCGAACCCTCCTGGATATAACTTCGTCTAACCACTCCAATAGGTAGTATCGATGAAAGCCTCTCGTCAACTGAGCTATCAGGCTACAGAATATCCAGGAAACTAGGTAGCAGCATTATTGAAACAAAAATAGCATTGTAGTACAACATAAATAGAACATGACATGATGGCTTAACAGAGAGCAACGATTAGGTACAGAGAGTATAAATCAACAGGACGACGGGTATGCGACATGGATCAAATTCGGAGAAGCAAGAATCACGCCTTCGAACGAAGCAGAGTCTCGGCCATTCCCTGGAGGACTGACCGATCTATCAGGTCCTCCACAGCGATATTGAATCCATGCTGCCGCAGCGTGGCGGCTAATAGAGCAACGGAAACCAGATCGCCACCAACAAGGAAGAAATCCGAGTCAAGATCCAGGGATAGATCCGGAGCCCCAAGTACAAGCCTCCAGCTGTCATAGATCAGAGACACGACCCCATTGGGGGAACTGGACGGGGCTCCGTTCACAGTGCCATTGGCAGTAAGAGTGGGGATGGGGGAAGGGTATGCTAGTGGAAGCATAGATTTGCCGCTCAGCCACTGAGCAGGTGCACTCTGTAACTGTGCAGAATCAGGCTGGCAGAATCTCTGGATAGTTTGACACAAGAGGTCCAGCAACGTCGACGCAACCGATTCACCCACTGACTGCGAAGACGTAATGAATAGGACTTCCATCTGATTACCATCCAACGGAGTAGTCTTGATGGCCACATCGGCTTCATCGGCCGCTGGACAGAAATCCCCAATGGTGTATTCCCGATCAGCGAGCGTTACGGCAGCAATCTGCTCGATGTTCTGATGCTGCACGATGCTGCTGAAGCGGGTGAACGGCGCCCAGGAGCTACATTCCCGCACGACTTGGCGCATGCCAATAGATTCGTGGGCCATGCTAGCAATATGCTGAGACTGCAAGCTCTGAAGGAGGTCAGTCGCGCTGGTCGAGCTGTTGACGGACGCTCGCACAGGGATGATGTTAAGACAAGCGCCGATGATACGTTCCATATCCGTTCCTGGAATGTTTCGACCGGAAGTGACGTGGCCGAAGACAACGTCGGTGGTGTCGGAAAGGGCTGCAAGGACGGTCGCCCAGGATGCCTTAAGAATAGTTGCAAAGGTAATGCCAGAAGAGGGTCGGCTGTTGACGGGAACAGGGATGGTTCTGGTGAGATGAAGATCGTAGACATTGCGATATGAAGGCTTTGCGTGGTTCACCACATTGGTCATCTGAGAGTCTTGTAGAAGAGTGCGCCAGTAGGCCATAGTTCCAGCACCATTGTGGGAATTGACTGCTGCCACATATTGGGCAAACGGAGCTTCGGGTGAAGGTGTCTTGCCTAAGAAGACATCTTGCAAGGTCTGCCAGATCTGTGGGAGGCAAACACCGTCATATTGCGCATGAGAAAGACGAAGAATGACCCGGTGATGCGTTTGACTTCCCACGATGATCAGCTTTGTAAGTGAGTCGCCGAGTTGCAGATCAGACTGGACATCGTCGCGACACAATTCGGCACAGAAAGAGTCAATATCACGATCCGTTTCGTACCATTCAACCTCCTGAGAAATTTGTTTCAGAACCACTTGATAGAAGCGATCACCACGGGCAGTGAACACCGTTCGCAGGATCTGATGTGACGAAAGGAATCGGCTCCAAACACTCTGAACATATCCTACGGTCCAAGGGAGTGAGCCCTGGCCATCAAGGAAGAGATAATTAAGCAAGCCACGAGTCTTCATCATTGAGTGAGCAATGGCGGAGGACTGGAAATCGGTAGCCGGAAGAATATCTGCGATGTTGGTAGAGGCTGTCTTGACATCGGTGGCGACCTGGTCGACAAGTTCAGAACCAGAGGTTTGAATCAAGGAGAACGGCTGATAGGCAACGTGCGAAGATGCATCCACCGCGCGGGGTTCATTGTCGATATGAGCAGCCATGTCGGAGAGGATTGGGAACTGGAAGACCTCCTGGACGGACAAGGGCCATCCTCGGGCACGAGCCAGACTGGTTAACTTCATCGCAATGATTGAATCACCTCCAGAGCGGAAGAAATGATCACCAGCACCGATTGATTCAACCTCGACATTCAGCAATTTGACCCACAGTTCACGCAACTGGAATTCTGTCTCGGTGGTCGGCTCTTGTTTGACACCATCTGCAAGTGAGAAGGCCAGGACATCGTCCTGTGAGAGAGATAGGGCAAGATCCCGCAGCTGGCGACGATCAGCCTTGCCGTTCATGGTTAAGGGCACGCGGGCCAGGGGAAGGAACATGGACGGAATCATGTAGGAGGGAAGAGACTGGCTGAGTGTTTGCTGCATTTGGATGAGATTCTCACGCAGCTCTGCTGTCATCTCCATCAATTCAGCACTGCCGCTGCGGTTGCTGAAGTGAAGGAATGCCACCACCGTCTGTCGTGCGGAGCTCGGGTCTTTGACTGCATCGACGGTTGCATGGGCCAAAGAGGGCATTGCCAGTCGAATGGCATGCTCAATCTCACCCAGTTCCACACGTTGACCGCGGACCTTGACCTGTGTATCCTTGCGGCCCGCGAACCGGATGGTGCCGTCCTCATTGTAGCGGACCAGATCGCCAGTGCGGTAGAACATGCGAGGTCGGTTGTGTGTCCGTGAAGGTGCCCAGGTTGGATCTCTGACAAATGCGCTCGCTGTCTTCGCTGGGTCATGAAGATATTCCCTGGCCACAGTTGGTCCCTCGAGGAGCAGTTCACCGACGCAGCCAACCGGAGTCAGGCGATTGGGGTCTTGGGGGTCTGCAATCCAATACAGGGCTCCGATGGATGCGCCGAGGTTGGCTGGATCGCTTGTCGCAGTGGCTGGAGGAGCTCCAGAACAATAGACGGAACATTCAGCGGGACCGTAGCAGACAATGAGATCCAAGACGCTGTGCCATTTGGCGATGGTGTCCCAGGATGATGCTTCACCACCTAGGACCAGTGTCTTGAGAGATGGGATATTGTCAGCGGGCAACAGACTGGCCACTGTTGGCGTCAAGAACGCCCAATTGCATCGGAAGTGGTTGATGGACTCCGGTAGAGCGTTCAGACGGTCGTGCTCTGAAGGCACGCAAATGCATCCTCCCCGTTGAAGCGTGGTGAAGATATCGGCGCAGCTGACGTCGAACGTGTAGGCAGCAAATTGAAGGAGGCGAGTGTTGGGCCCAATGCCCCAGCGGCTGCCGTGAGCCTTGGAGCTGGAGCAGAGAGATCCATGCTCGATGACAATACCCTTGGGTTTGCCAGTACTGCCGGAGGTAAAGAGGACATAGGCTGCGTTTCGAGGGCTCAAGTCGGGGAGATTGCTGGCCATCATGTCATTGGAAGATGCCAACGATCGAATGAATTCTTCCGTGACGGTTACTTCATGGACTGACAGTGCAGAGCCTAGGATACCAGAATGGCTGGGTGCGCACAGGAGGATTGGGGCACCGGCATCTCTGACGATTGTTTCCAGTCTGGCCTGGGGATGCTTTGGATCAAGATTGACACAAGCTCCCCCAGCCTTGATGACCGACATTTGGGCCACCACCGCCCAGCGAGACTTATCGAAGCACATAGGGACGAGAACTTCCGGTCCAACTCCGAGGTGGTGAAGGTGCCGAGCCAGGATGCTGGAAAAGTAGTCCAGGTCGGCGTAAGTGAGCTGTCCATCCCAGGCATCGACAGCAAGAGCACTTGGTCGCTCAGCAACCTGCTGCGCGAAGACCTGGGGAACGGTGGATTCAACCACCTCAGGATACACTTGGTTCCACTCGAGAATCTGCTGTAGATCCTTTTCACCAAACATTTCTATCTGTTCAATTGGCCGGCCGGCATTCTCGACGGCGGTAAGCTGGTTGACCAGAGATTCAAAGTGGTAAAGCATATTCTGAACCTGCCAAGCAGAGAGAATAGCTTCGTCGTGACGAGTTTCAATATGGATATCACCATCGGCAAGGTAGCACTCCACCACCAGAGGATAACTGTCAAAATCTTGCAGAGGGAGATCAACCTCCTCACAACCCAGGAAAGCAGTTGTAGTGGTTAGTTCTGACGCGGGCTGAATGACAAAGAGATTCTGAAACTCAATGGCGCGAGCACATTCGGAACTCAGATTAGCGATGTTCTGCAGGCCAAAATGCTCATGAGGAATCATATCAGTGGCCTGTTGCTGGACCTGTTGCAGGAATCCTTCCACGGTTATGGCGGGGGGAAAGGCGACCCGAACAGGTACGGTTGTGATAACAGGCGCGATCATCTTGTCGATTCCAGAAACAGAGCCATTGCGACCGGAAAGAGTCATGCCAAAGACCACGTCTGGCGAATCGGTGTAGAAAGAGAGAACGAAGGCCCAGGCAGCTCTAAGCACTGTGGTTTTGAGTATAGGGGAATTGGGGGAATGGGAAAAGGACATTTTATGGGCCGTTGAACCACGGACAGACGGACGGTAGGACGGGGAAGGGAGTTCAGGGAAGGAAGACGGACGCTGGCCCTCGAGCTGTTTCTGCCAGAAGTTACGAGTGGATTGGGGATCGATGTCGACGAGATGCTTGATGAACGTGTTGAATCTGGGGGTATCAGAGCAGTCACCATTCTCATAGGCACATCGGACTTGCTCTAGGATCATGGGCAAAGACCATCCATCATAGACCGAATGATGGGCGGTCCAAACAAAGTGGCCGTCGGCAGTGATGGCATATCGAACAAGTGGCGCACCATAGCGAATGCTTTCACGGGCGTCGAGCTCGAGATAATCTTGAAGAGATTGCGCCGATCTCCATTCAATGTGTTCGTTGACCACAAGCTGCAGCAAGCTCCCATCGGTAGTAGGGACGAGTCTTGTGCGTAAGATGGGAGTCTTTTGGCTGACCGTCTCCCAAGCAGATTGGAATCGTGCGATATCAATGCTTGAAGTGAGCTTAAGTACCTTTCGTAGGACATAGGCACCCGGATTGAGTATTGCCAAAGCCATCATACCCTCCTGCAGGGAAGTGGATGGATAGGCATCCTGGATACACTCCGGAGGAATTCCATACTCGGTGCTGATGCCCTTCAAAACGGAATAGTCGGACAGGAGCTCGAATGGTTCCACAGGTATTCCATTTGTCTTCTCCGGTTGATTTTTGGCGGCCAGAGCAGCAGCGAGATCGGCCAACACTGGGTGACGGAAGATATCGGCAACAGTAATACTGATATCGTCCGAGGTAGCAGCCATCTTCATGGCAGCAATGGAGTCGCCCCCTACCTGGAAGAAGCTGTCTTCGGCGTAGATCTGCTGCATGGGGACCTTGAGGACGCGATGCCAGAGCTCCTGGACTTTCTTTTCCAGCACGGTGTTTGGCGCTCGCCGGCTCTCCTCCCCTTGAAGAGAGTACACTTTGAGCTGGACGTCCGTCAGAGAGGCACAATGACTGCGGAGGAAGTGTCTGTCCAGCTTTTTGGCGGAGGTGGTTGGCATCCAGTTGGTGGGCAGGAAGAGCGACGGCTGCATATATGGAGGCAAAACAGTGAAAAGTGATTGCTTCAGCTGGCCCAATTGGGCGCGAGCTTCTGGTGTCATCTCCTGTAGGAAGTCTGGCTGGGATGAGGGTTGGCATATAAATGCTGCCAGCAGTGCTTGTTCCTTCTCACCATGAGGCAGTACAACCTCGACTGCGATCTGCACATTTGGTGGGAGTTGCCGCTGTATCTGATGCTCGATCTCAGCCAATTCAATACGCTGTCCTCGAAGCTTGATCTGTGTGTCTTTGCGGCCTAGGTAGGTGATGGTTCCATCGGCATTGTACCGGACGAGATCTCCCGTCTTGTAGAACCGCTGAGCACCGGTATCGGGGCCGGACGTGGCGAAATCTGGGTTGACGATGAAGGATTTCGCTGTTTTATCGTCATCATGAAGATAGCCACGTGCTAGTGTGCCACCCTGCACCAGGAGCTCGCCGACTGACCCGATGGGAGCAAGGTGATTGTGATCGCCAGGGCGAACAATCCATGAAAGGGAACTAACTGCGCGGCCCAGTATATCATGGCGCTCCGTCTTGCTTGTGAAGGTGTGCATGACGCAGAAAACGCAGGTCTCGGTAGGGCCATAGCCATTCATCAGGCGCATGTCGGAACCTGCTGCCCATGTTTGGATATTGTCTCGGTCCAAGGCCTCTCCTCCGAGTATGATAGTACTCAGGGTAGGGACCTGGTCCGGTCGAAGAATCCGCACCACTGAGGGAGTGAGGAAGGTAGTATTGGCCTGCAGGCGACGGATGGAGCCAGCGATATCGCTCATCCGATCGGCTTCAGATGGCACGCAGATGCAACCACCGTAGGCCAAAGTGGTGAAGATCTCCAGGATGCAGGCATCGAAGGTATACGCCGCAAATTGGAACATGCGCGTGGCCGGACTGCAACCGATCTCTTTACCATGGTGGATAATACTGGTGCTGACGGCGGAATGCTCCACAACAACACCCTTGGGAGTTCCTGTGCTGCCGGAGGTGAACAGCGTGTATGCAATGTTGCGTGTCGTAGGAGCTGCAGGTAGAGTCAAACTATCATCGCTGTCAAGCCACATGTTGGACCCTGAAGAGATGACCAGGATGTTGGGAACTAGATCAACTACCCGCTTTGAAGTGCTCAAAGACACCAGAGCCAAGGACGATGAGGTTTGAGCTATGATAGACGCCAGTCGCTCCGGCGGGTGTGCTGGGTCGAGAGGTACAAAGCCTGCGCCAGCCTTGAGAATACCAAGCATAGCCACAATGGCCCAAGAAGACTTGTCAAAGCAGATGGGCACAAGATCGTCTGGTCCCAGTCTCATACTCACGAGAACCCGGGCGAGTTGGGTGGTTTTCTTGTCTAGCTGAGCATAACTCAGGTCCTCGTCCCACGAGGCAATCGCCAAAGCGTCGGGGGATGCTTTAGCGCTGCGTTCGAATAGAGAATGTAGACATTCGTCGATGGTTGCAGGGATAGTTTTGTTCCACTGCAAGACTTGTTCACGGTGGCGTGAACTGAATAGGTCGACCGATGTCACAGGGGATCGTGGTGCAGACACAATCGAAGAGAGCGCGGCTGAGAGAGCCTCAGAGACGTTCAAGGCCTGTTCAGAAGACAGGCGGGAAGTCAAGTAGCCAAGTTGCACGGTGAAGCCTCTATCAGTGTCGGTGACATTGAGTGTGATATCGTACTGGAGATCAGTTAGTATGGATCAAGCAAGAATAAAATAATAAACAACAAAAGGTAGACAAGAACAAAAGGCGGCTTACCTCGGTGGGGTCTTCTCCCTGAATATAATCAATCTTCAGGTCCCCGAGCTGGAAGTTATCGACATCCCTGCGCTGGAAGCTGACAACGGTGTTGAATAGTGTCTGTCCAGAGAGTCCCAGGCGATGCTGAATCTCCGCCAGACCGACATGCTGATACGGAAGGTTTTGCAGATACTCCTCATGCAGGGCCTTCAGTTCCTCAACGACCGTCTTCTGGCCCATCTGGCTCATGTCCATGGCACACACCAGCATGTTGATAAAGGGACCAACAGCGCTTTCAACGCCGGGAACAGGCACTTCTCGACCAGCTGTCAAGTATCCGAAACAGATGTTTTCCTCGCCAGTGTAGGCAGAGAGAACGACAGCCCACGCCAAGCGCACAATGTTCGCCAATGTTACATCGTGTTGCTGGCAGAAAGTTCTAACCTTGGCGATCTCGGGCACTGGGACATCGATGTGTTGCAACTCACGTTGCTCTTTGCTAGAGTCCGACGTCAAGGCAGGGAAGTGAGAGGGCTGAACACCGGCCAGGTGAGTGGCCCAGAACTCTAGAGCTTCGTCTGCTGGCTGCGATTGGATATAGCCAATGTACTCACTATACGAAGTAGCCGGGGTCAAAGGCAGCTGGTTGATGTATGCAGATGCGAGATCGTGAATAAGGATGGCCATGGCCGTTCCATCCATAAGAGCATGACTGATGTCAAGCTTGAAGTAAATAGTCTCGTCATTGGCTTGCACAACCGCGAGGCGGTGTTGAGGCTTATTTGAAGAGGATGAGAGAGGAGCCAGGCTGCCGAGTATATCAATGGCCTCCTTCTCGGAGCCGACACCACCGAGGACAAGAGAATTGGCCTGGTGATCGACAAGGACCATCTGGTCAAATGGCCTGCTGGAGACGCGCTCTAAGAACGCGGTACGCAGAATGCTGTGGCGATCGACCACTTGCTGCCATGACGAAATCAATTGCTGGGGATCGACAGGTCGGCCTTGAGCCGAAGTAAGGCGAAGGATGGCATGATAAAGGTAGGCATCCGGCATACGGGTCTGGCTCAGAAGAATGCCTTCTTGGAGGGGTGAGCATGGGTAAATATCCTCGATCGAATCGATCTGATATCCCAGTTCCGGTAGTCGCTGCGTGTGAAGGTGGTCCAATTTGGGGTATGAGATAGACAAGAGGGGATAGTCGCTGCGCGTGAGGGTATACTGAGTGTTCATGAGCTGCTGGCTCAATTCCCGCAGGGCCACTGTGTATCGGGACAGCCACTCAGTGACCTGTTCCTGATGCTTCATGTTGCGATTGAATGCGATAGTAGCATGAGCACTCCCGTTGACCACATAGACATTGATTTCAAACAAGGCATACCGACGCACGGATGGACCAACGTCGCCCTCGTTGAATGGAACACGCTGGAACACACCATCAGCTCGCTCGAGCCCCTGGTACAATCCGAGGTAGTTGAATAGAACCTCGACCGGCATATGGTTGGCGAACTCTCTTGTCCCATCCTCGTTGTGATACTTTGAAGTGAAGTATGACCACCCGTTGGCTGGGAGCTCTTTTCGCTGATCCTTGACTTGACGCACGATATCCAACGAGTTTCCACTTGCTTCTACTGGAACGTGGAAGGGGAAGACGGTGGTAAACCAACCCACTGAGTCCGAGAGATCAATATCCGAGAGCGGTCCGTTGACAGCCGGCTGACGACCATGGCCTTCATTGAAGATTGCAGGAGGTTGACGACCGAAAGTGTCTTTAAACGAAGAAAGAAGCGCTGCGATGAGAATATCCAACGGCTCTGTTCGCATGGCCTTGTGAGAATGTGAGAGCAACAGCTCCGTATCATGCGCATCCAGTGTGGCAGAGAGCTGCACAGTCTCCTCCTGATAGTTTGGAACGTCTTTCATGCCCCAAAATTCGTAGTCTGCCGGGGGTATGCTGTACGGCAGTACCATCTTCGGTCTAAGGTGCTTGGATGCGTAGTCTGCCTGCTGTCTCTGCCACCGTTGGAAGGAAAACGGGGCAAGATCGGATAGGGATGCTTTGTCAGTCAAGGAATCCTCTACCTCCTGGAAGAGAATACGCCACGACACCAGGTCAATGACCAAGTGATGGGCGACAAGGAAGAGTAGGGTCGGCTTGTCGGCGACAGTAAATATTTCGGCAGCAAAGACAGGGCCGTTCTGGATGTCAAGTTGCGATTGGGCCTTCAGAGACAGAGCTCGGGCCTCGTCTTCTGATTCGATGGTATGTACTCTGAATCGATAAGATCCAGAGACCTGGCTGGGGATGATCTGCGTCCATTCTCCCCGATGCGACTTGCGGAATCGGGCGCGTAGCATCGAGTGACGCTGCATGATGCGGTCCAACGCAGATCGCAGCTGGTCGATGGACACATCCTGAGTCAGACGCAGGAGGAAGGATTGGTTGAATTGATTTGCCGCAGCGTCAGTGGCCCCCTGCGAGATCTCCTGGAAGTAGAGCTGTTGGATGGGAGACAGACCAAACGGCGTATCCCACTGCTCTGCGGCACGATCTGACGACCGGCGAGAGTCGACATTCTCTGCACACTGTGCCAGGGCCGCGATGCTAGTGCTCCTCATGACGTCCTTGAACAAAATCTGCAGCCCTTCGTTGCGACATTGTACCACAAGCTGCATTGCGGTGATTGAATCACCACCGAGGCTGAGGAAGGATCGGCTGAGAGAGGCTTGCGAAGAAGAAATGTTCAGCACTCGGGCAACGATATTCCTCAGTTGAGCGGCTGTGTTAGCCTCAGAAGGAGTATCGTCAATCGACTCGCTGGTCTCGATCTGCTCTTCAGCTGCAGCCTGGACGTATGTTTCATGATCCATCTTTTCCACCCACTGCGAGATTCGGGGACGATCGACCTTTCTCGAGGGGGTATATGGGAACTTCAGACAGACGAGCCATACCGATGGAATCATGTAGCTGGGGAGAACCGAGGCCAGTCGCTCTCGAATACTATCAACCTGGCTGATGGCTCTGGACTTATCCGTTGGATTGACTATGGGAGTGATTTCCTGGCACTCATCGTCGAGGAATTCCTCGAGCACAACCACAGCAACGAGCTTCTTTTTGGAAGGACCCTGCTTCGGGAGCAAGATCACACACTGCTGCACCAACGAGTCACTAGCAATTGTTTTTTCCACTTCTCCCATCTCCACTCGCTGGCCGTTGAGCTTGATCTGGCTGTCCTTTCGGCCCACATAGACGAGGCTTCCATCAGCAGCATAGCGGACTAGATCTCCCGTTTTATAGAGCCTGGTTCCGTGCAAGGTCGGGCCTCGCCAGCGAGGTGGTTGAATGAACACCTTCGTTGTGAGTTCTGGGTCTAGATAGCCTCGCGTCACCAGAGGACCCTCGATGAGTAACTCTCCAACACGACCCACCGGCACCAGACGCTGGCTGTCTTCGGGCTCAGTCACCCAGAAGAGACATCCATGTGCCTTGCCAATATTTGCTGCCGCAACCCCCTCGCGAATGACATTGAAAGAGGACATGATGGTGCATTCGGCCGGACCATAGCTGTTAATGAGATGTAGCCTGTCCTGCCATTTGCGAGCAAGATCAGCTGGGACAGCCTCACCCACGAGCGCCAGGGTCTTCAAGGTGGGCACGGACTCTGGAGACAGAGTCAGAGCGACCGATGGCGTCAAGTATGCATATGTCACTTGAAATCGGTTGATGGCTCCCGCCAGATCATTGAGCCGGTCATCATCGGACGGCACACAAACACAGCCGCCCCTACAGAGAGTGAAAAACATCTCACTATTGCTGGTGTCAAAGGTATAGGCAGAGAACTGCAGTACCCGGGAAGAGTGATCGAGTTGCATATCTTCGTTATGTATGGTGAGAGAACACAATCCTTTATGTAAAACGACGATTCCTTTGGGCTTGCCCGTACTTCCAGAGGTGAAGTTGATCATGGCAGCGTTGCTGGAAGATACAGGAGGGAAGATGGCCTGGTTTGGCTCGGGTAACGTATGAAACAGGGCGGGATCAACAACGAGGACATTATCAACCAACGATTTGACTTTGTCACTGTACGCCGATGACCCCACGAGAACTATACGAGCTTTCGTCTGGGCAATGATGCTGGCCAGATGCTGAGTCGGATGGGAAGGATTCATAGACACATAAGCAGCTCCGGCTTTCAGCACCGCCAGCATCGAGACCATGGCCCAGGCCGACTTGTCAAAGCACAGAGGAACTGCATCTTCCACAGTCACTCCAAGACTGATAATAGCACCCGCGAGGCGAGAAGACAGCTTGTCGAGTTCCCCGTAGGATAGAGAAGCATCCCAGGAATGAATGGCCGGGGCGTCGGGATGTGTCAGTGCCCGCCGATGGATACGAGTATGAATGCAATCGTTAACTGTTTCAGGGACCTGGCCGTTATGGTTCACATCGAGAATGTACTCCATATGTTTCTGGCCAAGGAGATCCACCTGCTCGATTGCCTTGGTTGGCGCGTCGATCAATTTGGACAGAATATTTGTGAATGTAGAAGCCAGCATATCTGCCTGTTCTGACTCCATGAATGTGCTCCAGTAATTGATAGAAACTTCAATTGCGGTATCGCTAACAGTGATGCTCACGCCCAGATCATACTCAGTGGGATCGCTACCGCCGAGGTACTCAATGGCGATGCTGCTCTCGTTGTTGGAGTCAACCATTGGCCGTTGCAAAGAAAGGATGCTGTTGAACAGGCGCTCGCCAGAGAGCTTCAACGCATGCTGCACCTGCGCCAGGGATGTTTGCTGATACGGAAGAGAGTTAATGAAGTCCTCATGCATCCGGCGGGTTACGTCCAGCAGAGTCAGGTCGTCGTCGATCTGGGCTCTACATGCCAGCATGGTGATGAATGCACCCACGGCATTATCCATGTCCATATCGAGGCCTTCCACGTCACGGCCGGAGGACAGATATCCGAATACGATGTCCGATTCACCCGTGTACGCACGAAGAACCAGGGCCCAGACGCTCTGGAAGACATTGGCCAGGGTGACTTCATGCTGCTTGGTAAAGGTTTGAAGATCCAGCACCGTCGCTGGGGCAATTGGGATGTTGATGGCTTGCAGTTTCCTTGTTGCTGTCGCCGGCGCATCCAGGAGGGAAGGGAAGAAGACCGGCTTAACATTTTCAAGATACGATGTCCAGAAAAGTAGCGTCTCCTCCATTGACTGGTTCCGCAGCATGGCAATGTAGTCCCGGTAAAGGGGTCCAGGTTGCAACTCCCCATCGTACGCCTTTGCTAGATCACGCAGAATTATAGCCATGGAGCCACCGTCAATAAGCGTGTGGCTTATCTCAAGGTTGAAATGGGTAGCTCCCTCCTGGTCTTGAAGGACAATGAGTCGGTGAGGTGGCGAGGACTTTTGATAATCAAGGGGATATTCCTCGGGATATTGGAACAGAGTCGTCAGGTCACTTGCCGTCTCCAGTTGAGGGGTATGTTCCTTGAGCACGACTTGGCTATACAGTCCATCGTGCGCAAGACCTTCCACGAAGAAAGTTCGGAGAGAGGGATGGCGTGCAACAAGACGCGTCCAAGCCTTGTGAAGACGGGCCAGGCTGACAGGTTCAGCGGGATTCGTGCTCCGAATAGAACAAACTGCATAGAACTTGTATGTTTCCGGCGCTTGGGCCTGGCTAATCAAAATGCCCTCTTGCATGGGAGAACAGGGATAGGCATCCTCGATGGCTACCGCTCCGTTGTAACCTGCCTTGGATGCCAGGGCATCAATATCGGCGGCCTCCACCCTTGGCAAGAGAGAGAATTGACGGATATCTGACGCGCCGTTCAAGCCAGACTGATCCAAATTCGACCTCAGAGTAGCCTGACTGGCAATCTCACGAATACTTTTGCCCTTGAGGATGTTCTTCACGGCCACTTGCAGACCTCGAGATCGGGACCGAGAGGACACTTGCATGGCGGTGATCGAGTCTCCGCCCAAGGCGAGGAAGCTCTGCTCCATAGCCACCTGGCCTAACGAGAGGTTAAGCACTTCACTTATGACATGCTGGAGCTCGGTCTCAATGGGGCTTTGCGGTCCGTCGTCTCCTCTGTCGAGATGGTTTGCTGCACCTGTGGGGTCTTCGGAGAGCTGTTCAACCCATACAGTCACTGAAGGACGATCTGATTTCCCGTTTCGTGTCATCGGGATTGTTTGAACAGTGAGCCAGTGAGCTGGAACCATGTACCCGGGAAGCAGAGACGATACTCTTTGTCGAACTGCGACAATATCTGTTTGGACGTCCTCGCTATCTGCGTCCTCCAGCAATGCCATTCCCTTCCGATCCGTAGCAGGAACTGATGACTTGCGTTTCAAGGAAATAACAGCCACCAATTTACCCTTTAGGGCACCCTGTTTCGGAACCAGGGCGAGGGCATTCTGCACAGCCTCATGGGAGAGCAAAGCGTGGTCAATCTCGCCCATTTCCACGCGCTGGCCGTGCAGCTTCACCTGATGATCTCGTCGACCCACGAAATTGATGGATCCGTCGGAATTGTAATGCGCGAGATCTCCAGTGCGGTACAGCTTGATTGATTGTTGAGCTGCATGGGAATCGAACTTGGACAACCATGCGGGCGGGGAGATAAACACGGCAGCTGTTTTGGCCTCATCTCCCAGATAGCCTCGTGCAACAATGGGGCCTTCGATCAGTATCTCACCGACGGCGCCGACGGCGCACAGCTGAGATGGGTCGTCTGCATGCGTGATCCACATGCGAGCACCGAGACCATAACCGATATTGCGAGGTGATGCAGATCGGGGAACACCTGTAAGGCCCGTTGACCATACCGAACATTCCGCCGGACCGTAGATATTCACGAGATTTGTCTGGTCAGCCCATGTGAGGATATTATCTTCTCGAACTGCTTCACCTCCCAATGCGAGCGTATGCACTCCGGGGACTTGCGATGGCTGCAACAGGCTGACAACAGACGGAGTCAGATACACGACGTTGGTATTCATGCGATTGATCACTCCGGCGAGGTCATTCAACCGCTCATCCTCGTTCGGGATACAAAGGGTGCCACCGCTCATGAGACAAGTGAATGTCTCACCGATGCTGACATCGAACGTGTAGGAGGCGAATTGCAGAACCCGTGCATCCGGTCCATAGTTCATGGCAGGGCCATGCGCTCGGGCACTACTGCAGAGAGCATGGTGTTCCAGGACGATACCTTTGGGTTTCCCCGTGCTGCCAGATGTGAAGACAACAAATGCGGGACTATTGGGGGATGCAGAAGGGGCCTCCTTCAGCTGTTGGGTGGGCAAATTCGGTATCGAACCAGGTGCGACGAGGACGACACGGTCGACGAGCCCATGGAAAAGGGATTCTTTGCCTTCACCAACAAGCGCTATGGTAGCACCACACTGGCGGAGCATCTCCTCTCGCCGACTCTGGGGGTGTTCGGGATCGAAGGCGACACACGCACCGCCGGCTTTGAGGGTTGAGAGCTGCGCAATCACTGTCCAGGAGGACTTGGAGAAGCATATGGGTACGAGAACTTCGGGCCCAACGCCATTTTCTCTAAGAATGCAGGCCAAAGAAGTGGTCACCTCATCGAGTTCCTTGTATGTGAATGAACCGTCCCAGGCCTCAATTGCAGTGGCCGACGGACGGCTCAGAACCTGCTGGTGGACCAGGTCATGAACACAAGCATGTACGTCTGGCCACTGTGTTTGATTCCAGCTGGCTATCTGTGACTGGTCACGCTCACTGAGCACAGTGAGCGTGGGAAGCGTCGAATTGTAGCTGTGGATTAGAGTCTGGACGACATCGTGGAATGTGTCGAAAACATTTGCGGCCATCCCATCGGACAGAACTTCTGTGAAATATCGCAGAGTGAGAGAAACACGTACCTTGGAGACAAATACGTTGACCGAGATATTATACTGCTCCCATTAGCTAGTGATCTAGATGAAGAAGAGTATTGAATCATACCTCAGTCGGATCCTGTTCGTTCACGACCCGGAATCTAATCGTCTTGTCGATGTCTGCACCAGCAATCTCTTCTCCCAAAGCGCTTTGAAGAGACATGATCGTATTGAAAAGGGGCTGGGATACACCCAAGGCATGTTGTATCTCAGCGATGGAGCACTGCTGATGTGAGAGACCCCTGAGAAATCCCTCTTGAGTCTCTTTAATCACATCTGCCACGGTATCTGTTGCTGCAAGACGCATGCGGTAGGTCATCATGTTGATAAAAACGCCAACTGCGTTGCTGATATTCGGCACTGGGAAGTCCCGTCCGGCGGTTAGATACCCAAAACAGACATCGTCCTGCCCGGTATATGCCTTGAGTACCAACGCCCAGGCAGCCTGGAAGACGGTTGCTGGCGTGACGTTGTGTGTGGCACAGAATTTTTGGATGGCGTCCGCATCTTCCATATTGATCGTGAGTTCATGTAGCTGGTTTTCCGAAGTAAGATCATCGTTCAAGGCTGGGAAATGGCATGGAGACGCGTCGTCCAGATACTTTGTCCAATATTCCAGAGAGTCATTTGATGGAAGGGTCTGGAGATACTGGATATATGGCGCGTATCGAACAATCTGACTGTCCATCAGTCCTGCATAGGCCTGACTCAGGTCCCGTAGCAAAATCAGAATGGAAACACCATCGATCAGGGCGTGGCTGATATCGATTGTGCCAAACACCTTGCCGTCAGAGGTGTGGGACACGATAAAAGCAACGGGAGGTTGGAGTGGTTCATCCTCACGCTTGTAGGCATTCAGGGCAGCCCAGACAGCGGTCTCGTCATTGTGGCTCCATTCCATGAAGGCTCCATGACCTGAGGTCAGAACCAGCTGGTCGCAAAGACCGTCCTCCGCTTCAGCTTCAACAAAGACGGTGCGCAGCGCCGGATGGCGTTTCGTCAACTGTTTCCAGGCTTCTCGTAGCAGTTCTAGCTTCACAGACTGACCAGAAGGTGGGAGGATCTCGCATGTAATCCGTAACTGGTATCGGTCTGGTGACTGTTGTTGAGACAATAGGATACCTCGCTGGACGGAGGAAACGGGGTATAGATCCTCTACATCGCTAACATTGAATCCGAGCTGCTTGATCCGCTCCAAATTCAGGCTGACCACGGCTGACTCTTCCTCGACCGAAGTGACACGCTCGTTGCTCGCCATTCTTTGGGCGAGATCGATCAACGTCGTACTTTGCAACAGATCCTCCAGTCCGACTCCATACTGCTTGCGGCGCAGGTGATCCAGCAGCTGCATTGCCTGGATAGAGTCTCCTCCATTCTGAATAAATGATTTATTCAGCCAGATGTCTTCGGGGCTAGCGAATCCGAGAATGGCACTGCAGAGTGCCTGCAGCTCTATTTCTTCGTCGGTAGATGGCTGGACTTTTTCGGAATCCGCGCCCTCTGTTCGACCGGTGAGGAGGTCGAATGTCTCCAAAGACATGTCGGCTACCCATTTCCTCACGAGCACACCGTTTTGCTTCCCCGAGACGGTGAGTGGGATGCACTGTACAGGTGCCCAGACTGTGGGCTGCATGTAACTCGGCAATTGCTGAGAGAGAGCAGCGGCCACCGTGGCGATTTCCTCTGTAGCTAGTCCAAATTTCCCATCCTCAACGAGCTCCAATGATACCGTATCCTGTCGAAGGCTTTTCAACGAAAGCACAGCGCACAGCTTTCCTTGGCAGGGCCCTTGTTTGGCCAGCACGACGACAGCTTGTTCCACCAGCGGATGATCTGCCAGTCGGTGCTCGATCTCTCCCAGTTCAATTCGCAGGCCTCGTAATTTAACTTGACTGTCCTTGCGTCCCAGGAAAAATAAGCTGCCGTCGGCATTGAACCGGGCCAGATCACCGGTTTTGTACAGTCGAGAAGTGTCCGTCGGCCCGCTCTCCATCCACTGGACGGATTCTAGGAACACGGCGCGAGTCTTCTCCAGCTCGTTCAAATATCCTCGAGCAACAATTGGGCCCTGGATAACCAGCTCACCTGGTGCACCAATTGGCAAGAGTCGGTTGTGATTGTCTTTGTCCACAATCCAACAGCAACCACCCAGCGGATGGCCGATATTCGAGGGACTCGTCTTCAACGAAAGCCCCGGGTGGGCTGTCGCCGCGATAGAACATTCGGTCGGCCCATATCCGTTGGCTAAACGGACATGGGGCGCCCAGATATTGATATTCTCTTGCTGTACCGCCTCACCTCCCAGAACCAGAAATTGAAGAGTGGGGACCATCTCGGGGGCCATAAGGTTGACCAAGGATGGCGTCAAGAAGGCCCACGTCACGCCAAATTGCTGGATACAGGCTGCAGGCCCTTTGGCCCGTTCCTGGTCGTTGGGAATACAGACGCAGGCCCCCGAGATAAGCGAAGTGATAATCTCCAAGATGCTGACATCGAAAGTGAAGGATGCTAGCTGAAGGACGCGGTCCTCGTGTGTCATCTTAGACGCTTTCTGCTGGGCAAGTGACCCTGTGAGAAACTGTCGATGTTCGACAACACAGCCTTTGGGCTTTCCCGTGCTGCCTGACGTAAAAATAACATACAATGCACTCGATGGAGTAGCCGAGCATTGGACTTTCTGTTCTTTTGTGGATTCATTATCTGGCGATTGGCCAAGGGAGCTCACGAAGTTATCATCAAGGAGAAGGACATCGCCATCGAACCACTCCCACAACTGCGAGTACTCCGGTGCGGTTATAATCCACTTCGTGTCAACCTGGCCGATAATTTCTTGGTGTCGAGCCGTAGGATGTGACGGATCCAGAAATAGAATCGCACCGCCAGCGCGAATGACAGCCATCATGGCCACCACTGCCCAGGCCGATTTGGGGAAACAGAGCACCACAATGGCTTCAGGCACCACCCCTCGTTTTTGAAGCTCCCGAGCTAGGGTTGCGCTCCGAAAGTCCAACTCTTGATAGGTGAGCGTCAAGTCGGAGGTGTTAACTGCTGTATGGAGTGGCCTCTCCTGCACCGTTTTCTCGAACATCTCCCCCACACAGCGATCAATCGAAGCAGGAGTCATGTTACTCCAGGCTTGCAACTCATGTCGCACCTGTGGATGGACAAGGTTGATCTGAGAAAGGGGACGTGACGGATCAGCCAGAATCTCGCCGAGAATTTGACTGACTGTCGCGGCCACGATCGTGGCGTAGGGATGGGCCAGATGGCTAGTTTGATACCACAAGGATAGACGCCATTGGCTCTGGTCTATCACCGCATGAAGTAGCACGTCAAACTATGCCAATCGTCAACTCTGAACCAAACATGGGGTCGACGGTTCTCCTACCTGGTCGAAATTCGAAACTATCTGTTCTGTAGATTCGACAAAGCAGACCCCGGAATTGCAGGAGAGGTCCGACGGGGCATATCCATCCTGAAAGTGTTTCTTATTCTTCGAGATCACTCCCAACACATCGATGAGAGTGGAATCATCCTCTACAGCTGCCGTGATGAGATCCGATCCCTCCTGAGACAGGGAGGCCAGACAGATATTCTCATCTCCAGTGAATGTCTTCAAGGCAATTGCCCAGACAGTTTCAAGGACGACCTGTATTGAGATGCCATATTTCAGGCTGAAGTCCCGAATCACTTCATGGGAGGGCAATTCAACCTCCACTTGCGCTCGAGTTGCAATGGGAAGCTCATCTTCCTCGTTTAGAAGCGCAGGAAAGCTGCAGACTGTATCCAGCAGCTTCTCCGTTGCTGTGGCCATCTCAGTGCTCCCGGACATGGCAAGGATTAGATGTTTATGAAGAAATATTAAAAATAGATAATTGAAATGGTGTATGGTGTTGACACCACTGGTGATAGTACAAAAGGAGCACGAGGAGGTTTGGATTATCTCATTTCAAGGGGCTGCAAAACTCGTTGGAAATGTCTATATCGAGTGACCACCGTTTATATGGCGTTCTCACCTCTCCTTTACGCATTCCTGCCCTGCCGGGAGACCATCTCCTCAGCCGTACGAAGTACACCTCGAAGCGACTCTAGGAAAATCGCTTTGACGGACCCCAAAGCCACTAGCAATCTCTTCTTTCCAACACTTACTTCCAGGCCCCGCCTTTGGAACAATCATTCCACTCCTTCGAAGAGGAGACTAACCCACCATGAGCACTCGACCCAACTGCCTGGACTCCTCACTTGCATCCAGGACGAGAACTCTGCAGTACTAGTGCCTCCCAATTCAAATACAGAAACTTCCTCTTCAGGTCGCCGCTAGAGTCATTTCTCTCCAGAGCTCATCGGTGTACTGTATCCTAACTGCGGAGCGCAGGATTGCTTTACGTGGGAGTGAGAGTGTAATAACGTACCGTTGTCATACCATACGTCTTGTAACAATTCAGCCCCATACAGTGTTTTATATACCAACATGAAAGTATTGTATTTATCGGTTTCTTACCAGTATTTGACCTGTTCTCCGCTAGCGCATCTTCCTTCCTCCGTACTCTGTACGGAGTACGGACCCCCAGTGACCACGTGTAGGTATCTATGGAGTATCATCCTATAGAAGCTATATCATATAGCTCCTATTGCTTTGGCCCCAGGCCCCCAGCAGACTTTTAGACTACCGCTTCAATCCTGCATGTAAGAAAGTAGTTCGAAGAAGGCAGCTGTAAGCCTCTTAGTCTTGTACCCGTAGTGCCCTTTGCCATGGGACAATTGTCTCACCTCGTGGTTAATGTTGCACCCAGAGATGAGGTTCATCAGTGTGTAAAGTGGAGATGACATGCACACCACACAAATGATGACCGGAAGATTTCTGTGTAATAATAATATTGCTGATGAAGCAGTCATGCAAGAATATCTCGGATGGGAAAGAATGCGGAACAAGATCGGCCTCGTTCGGTACAAAGTATCGACTGGTTGATTTGAGGGATTATTGACTGTTGGTTAAGAGGTCAACGTTCGCTTTGTCATCTGGCTATTTCTGGTTGCTGTCGGCACGTGACTAAGGAGCCCTCAACGACTCTAGGATACGATCCTGCCAACTTCTTGCAAAGCAGCATCTCCAAGGAAATACACTCTTAGATGAGTACTATCTTTTCTTGTCAAGGCTTTTCAAGGTAAATTGCACAGGTAAATAGTCAATTGAGAAACATCTCTGTAAGGCAACGAGATTATTTTGTGCACTCCGATCTACGGTACATTTATATATATACTTCAGCATTTTGACCTCCCACAACGTTTTGCATGCTTCCCCTCACAATTACACTCGGGGACTGAATTCTATGTATGGCCCATGCTTCGCAGCCGTCAAGTGATCGTAGAGTTGGTACTCATTCACCCGGTGACGACCATACTCGGCATTCTCAACGCCCTCGCCCGTCTTCCCCAGATCCCCCGAGGCCAGACGGAGGTCGAAAGCCCAAAGCACATTTGCTAGAGCAAGATGAAGTTCAACATACGCCAGACTCTTTCCAATGCAGCTGCGGGGTCCGATAGAGAAGGGATTGAACGCGGAACGAGCCAGGCTCACGTCACCCTTGACGGTATGACATTCACTGGCAATCCAGCGCTCCGGACGGAAGGTGAAGGGCTGAGGATAGTAAGCCGGGTTGTGATGGATACTGTAGATGCATGTTCCAGCATCGACACCTGGAGGAATGTAGTGACCATCAACGGTGGCTCCGGCTTCTTCGGCTTCGCGCCAGAGGGAGCTGGCTGCCGAGGGGGACATGCGCATGCTCTCTTCAATACAGGCGCGCAGGAAGACGCATTGGTTCATTTCTACACCCATCCGGATATCCTCCGGAGACTGGAAGGTACTGCGAACCTCAGCTGTTGCTCGCTCAAGAGCTGAACGGTTGTGCGACAGATAGAAGAAGCACGCAGCCAGCGCAGTAGAGGAAGTATCAGTGCCTAGAGAGAAAATTGTGATTAGTCCAAGATGCAGTGCAAGTGGATACGGAATAGCATACCGGCCACAATAAGGGTCGCACTCTCGCCGCCCAATTCCCTCTTTCGCAACGGCAGTCCTGTCTCGGGATCTGTAGCATTGGCCAAAGTCGCAAAGACTCCCTTGCCTGTCGTGGCCGCGACTTGGATACCCTGGTTGAGCATCTCCTCCACAAAGCGGATGAAGATATCGCGGGCCTTGATGGCTTCAGGGAAGAGGTATTTGTCAAGGCGCATGAAGGTGACCTCGGGGGCCTGAGCCAGGACACCGACACGAACATTCGATTTTTCAATGACTTCAGGCACGAAGCGATATGTGGGAGTCCGGAGAGTAGACCATGGCACGCCAAAGATAATGTTACTCATGACATCAAACGCAAAGTAGTCCGCTAGAGTGGCGCCCCGTCAGTGACCATTGGGTAAACTCATTCAAAGGATAGGATCGAAGACGTACTGAAGCGTCCCATGTTCTTGGGCGAGGACCATGAGCCAACTGAAACAGCCTTGCCACCTTCACCGGTCTTCAATTGCGCAAGAAGCTGACGGATTTGCTCATTAATCACGACTTCATGGTTCTTGAGCGCGGCGTCGGAGAAACCCTGGCTGATGACCCGTCTCTTCTTGCCATGCTTCTTCTTGTCGATCACCGTCAAGGTATTCGGGGCTCGGTGCACCATGGCGGCGTATCGCTGTGCCTTTCTGAAGTTCTTTCCATGTCCGTAGATGTCTAAGGCACAAACAAAAAGTTAGAGGCTTGTTGATCAGAAAGAATATCTAACTCACCGTGCAGACCGGTTGCCGTGTTCACCAGGAGACTGTTAGGGCCGTATCTCACAAAGTCACCTATTTGAAAGGGACGTATCAGTATTGGAAACAGCTCTGGGGGAATGGGAATGTACTCACCGTACTTCTCGTGACATTTCCACATGTCCAGGTGGAGGTCACCCTTCCATGCGTGGTAGCCCGCGTAGAGATTGCTGACCTTTGCTAGCCAAGGGCCAGGATACTTCGCCAGTGGATGGAAGAACAGGCGGTGCACGACGAATCCCACTGTCTGTACCTTTTGTGTTAGAAGCCACTCTGAAGCAGGGTTGAACACCACATACAGTGCAGCATAGTGCAAAGAGACCTAGTAGAAGGCCTCTCAGCGCGAACGACGAAACCACTTGCGGGCTGAGCATCTTGTCGTATGTATCCAGACGCAGGATTTCCGTCAGAATTGGACAAGGGACTTCAGATGCATATTCATGAAGACCTCGATGGCAACTTATCTAATGGAGACCAGGAATTCAGCTATGGAAGCCATCGCGGAGTCGCGCACCATCTGATGCTAGCAGAACACGAGACTAACCGGGCTGAGGCCCCATCCATGAGTTCAAGCCATCTAGATCCTCCAAGCGTGATCAAACCGAAAAATTCAGCACCCGTTGCTGACTCGAGGAGCAGTCGAAGAACTGTTATTGTTCATGGCGTATTTGATGTTACATCCTGTAGTGCTGGTAATACGAAACATAACGGCTTTGTATGTTCGGTAACATGCGAACATCCTGTTTCCTGTCAGTTTGATGAGCTGTATTATCGTTACATGCCTAACAAATTACGCCGAGACCCTTCAAGATCCATAACAATCTACTACTACTCTGATCTCCACCGAGCCAAATGCTGACATTCAGCTGCAGCGTCGTCCAGATTTACCGCTGGCACTAGCGGCGCATACGCACGGATGAGCCCTCTCGACTTGTCTGTCGAATCAAACAATTGGCCCCTTTGCACGCCTGACGCTTCTCCTGCCACCTGCTGGATGTGTCGTTGCGCACTGTCATCCAGCCGTTCCGCCTTGTCCCAAGGAATTGTTCCGGAAGCTCGTAGGGCGATTAGACGGACCTGACTCGCCTACCCTAGCGGGTGCCTCGTAGACCGCTGAGCAGACTGCATCCTACTAGCGTCTCAGCCGTAGTGCGCACATTGCGGGACCCCAGTTCCCTGTTGTATTCCGATCATACACGAGCTTGCGACGACAAGCATCCCGTGCTCCTGCGGTTGTCCGTTGGATTTGTCTCACTTCATCGAGGACGATATGCAAGAGTGGCCACGTGGGGAGTACGGTTTCTAAACCCTTGTCTCTAAAACAGAGTGGTGGGTATAGTAGCCCATAGTATTATTGCTTCGACGAGGGACAAGATACAATGACGAACGGTATCATCTGGCGTTTTTCATACGCAAACATATCAACAAATTAGGTCTGAGTCCTCGGAAAAAAATAGTCCGAGCGGTACTCAAGAGTCTCCTGCAGGTGCCTGAGCATGGTCGTCTAGACTTGCCACAGGGGTGGCCTAACAAGAGCGAGGGCAAGAATGAGTTGAAGTCGCTCTCTGACCGTAACAGTTGGCCCATACGACCTTATCATGCCCTTCAGGTCTTCGATGGTACCTCTGTCGTTCATAAAGTAACTAGCTGAGGGTAGTAGGTCAAAAGAAGATACCTGATCGATCTATAAGAATCAAGGGCCCAAGACTATGTAAGGATCAGAAGTGAAGAGTGTTAAGTAGAAGATGTAATTAGAGATTATTTCGCTACAGTCGTAAATTAGAGGACTAGGACACAAGTATTCACGTCTAAGATGCCGCCACTGCTTGCTCTTGTCTGGTCTCAACGGCAGGCCACTACCAGTAAATGTCAGTATTATCGAACTGTGGACGCCGTAATGATTGATGGCCACTCACATTGCGCAGAAGATCTTCCAAAATCGGACTTTTGGTCAACGCTTGAATGCCCTGGACATATTCCCTTGATAGCTCAAATGGCTGCGCCGTGAGGTTAGGGATATATTTGCCGACTAGTCGACTGGGGTCAAGCATGGACTCGGAGATGTTATTTCGAAGGAGATACCGGAACGAATCCACACCTGGCCGCAAAAGGCTGCTGTGGAATGGCACATTCACCTTCAAAGGAATGGTGGCTCGACCTCTCTGGAGAACTGGTGCTGAGCTCGTTGCGTTCAGAACCGACAGGGTCCTCTGGATGAAGTCTTGTACCTCCTCAACTTTCGATATGTCAAGTTTCTTGGAGGCGAATGAGTCCATCAGCAACCCAAGTGCCGCCAAGCCACGTAGCTTTTGAAATATCCATTAGCAATTGATCAAGTCAGTAATGATTACAGGAACTCACATCTCCAGCACAGACATACTGCATGTTGGCCACATTGTAGTTGACAATCTCCAACAGCCCACCCGACTGCCGTGCTATTTCGTCTACACACCAGTGTAGATCTTTTTCGCCAAAGCTTTTTGAGACTCTGGTGGGATTGACAGCACACATGGAGTAGTCTGTGACTCCATTGGCATCTCTCTTCACTGCATTCTGCATGGTCAATCCACGGTAAAACACCAGCGATGCCACTTCCTCGATAGAGAACAACCGGCCCATAGCAGTCAAAGCCACATATTCGCCGAGCGAGTGGCCGGCAAAGAGACTGTCCTCCCGCACGACGCCGTTGCTGCGCATATCTTCAAATCTGGCAATCTCCATCAAGGCGAGCGCGGGCTGTGTGAACTGTGTCTCGTGCAGAAGCCCGTCGGCTGACCGGAAGGTGTACGATCGAGTGGACTTCGTGATTTCTGGGAAGACTCGCCTAGATGTGACGGCTCCGCTGTCATCCACCAAGTCAAAGGTCAGCGAGATATAGTTATCCCGAATCGCTCGTCCGTGGGTGCCTCCGAAATGCACCGTGAGGCTCTTGGGATTGTCCCGGACAATACGGGTGATAGAGAAGCCTAGCTAGTTAGCTCGCCGGCACTCCCTGAATGCTCCTGCTGTCACTTACCGTATGTGTTCTCGAAGTACTTATCGGCTCGTCTCCATACTTCTTCCGCACTAGGGCTCTGCTTGGCAAGTTCCATTCCCATCCCGGGCTGTTGACTACCTTGGCCGGTGAAAACGTATGCCATCAACGGCTGATCAACAGTCGCCTTTGCTGACAGGACTTTGACGCCGGATTTCGCATTCTTTACATGGACCGACAGCAACATCTTGCCTTGAGACATGCCCACATGCTCTATGCGAACGCTCAGTTGGTCGGCGGGGGTCACTTTGCCCTCGAAGTTGCACGACCAAGATCTCATGCGCGAGGGATCATTGTCCGCCACATGCGACTCGACAATACCACGGATCAACCCGCTCGTGAACATCCCATGAGTAACCCGGTTATCGTGGCCCGCAAAGCCAGCAAATAAATCCGACAGGTGAATAGGATTACAGTCTCCCGAAGCCTGGCCGTACTGATCTGCGTAGTCAGGGACCACAACGTGAAGATCCTCAAGAAGCACATGAGCCTGGGGAAGGGTCTGAGGGCAATTGTCAATGCGACTTCCATGTCGTTGGAGATAGTCCGTCACTGGGCTCTTGGTGTATGAGTCCCCAGCAAGACTGATGGTTCCCAGTATCTGTGGTGATTCCATATCCGCAACATATACAACCTGTCCCTCCACCGAGAGATGAGAGTATGTGTCTGAGCTTCCAAATGAAGAGCGGGTTCTCACATGGAATTCAATCGTTCTGCCCAGGTATTTGTCGAGGTCCACCTGCTCGTTCAAGAAGAGCCACGGCCGCGATTTCAGGAGAGCAAGATCCTTCTTCGATGAGAGTGCTAACCGGAAACTCTCTTCCTCGACGGCAAATGTATTCTCGTAGTCAGTATACTCCCCTGTCAGAATGAACGTGCTTCTCACACGAATGACAGGGGAACCATTGCGACGCAGCAGTCCTTCCGCTTCCACAACCTTGCCTGAACCCTTCCTGATTCGAATGGCTGTCAAACGCCCCTCTGGGGAGATGCGGTCTCCTTCTCTGAGTGTTTCGACACCATCAAGAAGCTCAAAGCTATTGCTTAGATGCAACAGCCGCAGCATATCTCCGGACACGAGCGGTGTGAACAGACAGCTCATCAGAGGTTTCCAACCAATTGCGATTGCCAGATCAAGAGGTGCGGGAACAGACTCAGGGGTGGAAGTGTAAGCGGAGTTGTGATTGAGGATGCTCTGAGCAAATTGCTTGATCATGGTCCGGGTGAGGACGACATCCTCACCACGGAAGGCCACGTCGGTTGCAGGCGAAATAGATGGCTGTTTCCCAACCCATATTGTCTGGTAGTATCGCTTGATGCGTTCGCTTCGGCCAGTCATGTTCTCTATGATACTAGGCCCTCCTGTCCGTGGTTTATAATCGAAATGGAATTCCAATGGCACAGCCTCACGCTTGGCAACTGTGTGATCCCAGAAAGTGAGGATAATTTCGCCGTCGTTGTATCCATTTCGCACAGTTGCAGTAGCGATGAGACTTCTGCCAAACTCTTTGATGAAGATCTCCGCTCCCTTGGGAGAATGAGGATTCCGAACTTCGACGATACGACCACGAGCGACGTTAAATAGTCGACGGATGGGGTTGGAAACCATCTTCGTCCCCTGGATGACCACCTGCTCGGTGAAAATAGCACGGCACCAGGGGGCAGAGCATGCCCCAGCGAGGGCTGTTAACCAATCATCTGGTGATAGCTGAGAATTGGGATCTGCGGCAGAATATCTCACAGTGTCCTCATCCTCCAGTTGTTCCACAGCAAATCCATTCAGCTTCAACTGGCTGGGTTCTTCTGGCTCCAGATTGGACGGGACATTCTCCAGACTACCACCATAGCAATCGCGTAGAAGGCCTTGGATATAGTACTCGTTAATCCCGTCGAGAATGCTCTGGACTGGCTCATTCGCTGTCGTGGTATATTGAGCAGCGACGGGTCCGTGTAAGATGCACACACGGCCGACATCCTGACCTGGAACTGCTTCAAGGCGCTCCGATTGCCACAAAGAATCCTTTTTGAACCAGAACTCAAGATCTTCGTCGAGTGCGACAATGTACGGCACTGGCTTTTGGCCCCGCCGACGGGAGAGCAAAATGAAGTACTCGGCATCTGCAGCAGTGATCACATCGATCTTGGCCTGTGGATAACGTGCGAAGAGATGTGCTTGGAACTTCTCGGGCTCATCCAGCTGATTCAAGCTTCGGAGGGCGGCTTCTGCGTTTTGGGTAGCAGGCCCAAGCCTCTCCTCCAAAAGGCGGGTAAAATCTGCAACCAATGTTCGAAATGATGGGTCGATCCATTGCTGAGTCTGGTTCAGATATAGAAGGCTGACGAGGCGTTGCCAGACTTCGGCGTAGGTCATCTCGTGTAGATCCACTATCTCGCCTTTGGCGTTACAACCGAACCAGACTTTCTGAAAGTCATCATTGAGACGCCGGATATAGTACTCCTTTCGCGCCAATAGAGCCTCCTTTTGCTTCTCTCGCGGTAGACTGAAAATATCCTTATCCAGCTCGGCCCACAGCATGACTCCCCGTGTCGCCAACTTGTGGATTGGCTCGCCCATTTCCGAGCGAACTGTTAGAATGCCTCCCGTGGGATGCGTATATGTCCCCTCCCAGTGTGCATCGGTCACTCCAGGGATTTGACAAATAGCCTGCTTGACCGCAGGACTTGTATGTGCTTCCTGAGACGCCATTACCCGGCTTCCAAGCAGAACAGCATCAAACGGCATGCGGGGACGTCCAAAGCGTTCGGACCACGACCCGGTGAGGTACGGGTAGCTGCCCTCCCCGTTTCCAAATCCACTACCTGCGACTAGAATCACATTGCGGTGGGAGCGAATCTGACCATATCGGTCAAGAATAGGTTCGTGGAAATCCTCATAGGAGTGATGCCCGCCACCACGCCCTCCAGTCCACTGCAAAACAATCGGAAAATCGGGGTTGGCGCCAGCAATTTCAAGGACCGCATCGATAGATTCCTTTGAACCGGGCTTGAGAGCAATATGCGCCAAGGAGAGTTCCGAAATATAGCCCTGGACAATATCTGGAGAAGGGACACCTGCTCCGATTGTCAACCCCGTGATGGGTACACCAGACTGTCGAAGTTCGGCAAGCAACGGGATTTGCCATGCCATTGCCCGTGGATTCGCATAGATCAGGTTGCATGTGATACCGCGACCTGGGGTTATGGCCGCAGCCAGGGACAAGATACCCTGTCGCATCTTGTCGGCGTCGGAGAATCCACCACATGCCAGTTCGGCATGGTATCCAGCATTCATGATTGCAGCCACAAAGTCGGGAGAAGTGGTGGTGGGCGTCATTCCAGCGACCATCACCGGAGGAAGTCCAAGAACTTCGCTGAATCGAGTTGTGACTAGGACATGGGAATCAGAGAGCGAATGAGCCAGCTGGGGAGAATGCGCGGTGTTCCAGATAGGGCCATATGTGATCGTAGCATGGCGCGCATACAAGTCTCCTGCTCCGCCCAGAGCGTTGCTTGGGTTGCGATGAGCTGAAACAATGATGGTCCGTAGCCCTGTCCCATCTCGCTGTTGATTTACCAGGTTTCCAATTCCTGCATCACCACCGGGCCCAAAGTCCAAAACATGAGTGAAGCCAGGAAGGCGCTCATGCAGAAGCTTCTCCCATTGTACCCGCCCTGTACAGATCATCTGCACCAGCTGTGGGATTAAATTTGCGCTCTGCTGCAAATTCTCAGCTGTTTCGGTATGAAACACGGGAAAAGCCAGGTCTGCACCATCAAGAGAGACTGAAGCGAGATCTTGCAACAACAGCTCCTCGGCTGCTTGTAGGTAGGGTGAGTGAAAAGGCGCAGCGATTGATAGGAGGCGAGTGTGGAGAACGGGAGGACGCTGGCTATAAGGAATTCGAGATTGACTAGGAGACGCCGTGTTGCCGCTGCGCTTGAGATGAAGTACCTTCTCGAGGGCTCGCAAGGACTTTGGCAGTCCTGCAACGACCAACTGATGAGGCCCATTTACCAAGGCCAGATGTACGTGCTCAGATCCTGGCAGGTGGGCGTTGAGTCTGTCGATGTGTGCGTGTAGCGTATGCTGGGAGAGACCCTTAACACTAAGCATGCACCAAGATGCATCCTGAGACGACAATGGAAGATTATAAGGCGTGCTTTGCTGACAGCGAGCTCCAATCCAGAAAAGAACCTCCACAGCCTGCTGCGCCGACTGGTAAAAGCTGTCCCGCGAGTCGACACTGGCAATGAAGCATGCCACAACGACTCCCTGCGAGTGTCCAGCTGCACCGGAAAGGAATTGGCGCAACTCTCCGGGAGACACATTCAGGTTAAGGCACGCAATGCTATAGTGGACCAGTTGCAGAAGTCCAATCAGAGGCAGACTGACGGCAGGGGTCGTGAGGTAATGAACATCTGGACGAGAGTCGGGATGCTTCAGCCACTGCAAAACCGTCAAGCCATGAGAGAAGAGATCTTTCACTCGATCATCCGCGGCCAGGCGAGTGAGACTCTCGGAGATAAGGCGAATCAGTGTCTCAAGATGATCTTCATAGATGTTGTAGGCTTCAGCGAGCTCATCAAAGTAGTTCTCAACGCCTTGGCCATTGAAGAGAGCAAAAAGCTTTGCGTTGCCGCTCTGCGCCTGCGTGAGGAAGTGGCTAGATCCAGGGCTGGATCTCTCTTTGGTCAAGGCACACGCTTTGAAGTATGTGCGCAGGATGCTATGGTCCAAAGCCTGCTCTCCATCCATCGATGCCAGGACGGTATTGATATTCTCATTTTGCAAAATCTTGGTTTGAAAAAAGTTTAGGACTTCTTTGAGGATGATCAGGTCGAGAGAAGAACTAGATGTTTCCTGGTGCACTCCATCCATAATAGACTGCATAAAGGAAGAGCATAATGCAAGGGGTGATGAATTGCTGGTGTTTTCTTCAGCTGGTGATATAGACGGCTTGGAGAATGCATCCTTGAGTTCTCGACATCGCGGAAAGAGAGCTCGAGGCATGGATATTAAACATTGAACAGAGCCATCCTGTAGAACCAGTTCCTCAAAAGACAGCGGTTGCTGGTGTACCTCCTCCCATGGTGTGACCGGGGAGGAAGATACTTGCGACCCTAACGATGACCATGGACTGTCCATCCTGTGAAAGTGATAGAGGCAGATAGCTTGGGGATCTGCCCTCTCGAGAGACGTTCAAACAGCAGAGTTGAACAGCATTCACTGTAGATGAGGATTCACTTTCGACTCCCGCTCTTCACGCTTATACCTGTCAGTCCTGGAGCACTACCAGAAATCCTCCTCCGACTGGTTCAAATTACCACAAAAAAGCATTCAGCCTCCGGTTCCTCGCCCCCTGTCCTGTCGGCGTGGGTCTGAGCCTACTTCACCCATTTGTCTTGGTCTCAGCCGTGATGGAATCTCGATGTTCCTTTCGATATGTCCATTCGCCATCGTGCATTGGCAGCGCTGTTGAAGTATCATACATGGCGTACGGGTCATATGGTACAGATACGAATACAGAGTTACAGGTGTTGGTAACCGTCATCTTTCCAAACTGAATGACAATACGGCAATACAACAGTACACAATACCAATTCCACTACCGAATGGTCTCGCCCGTCCACCCGAATATATACTCTGTAATCCCTTGCAAGCGCCATTACAGTTAAATACAGTGGCATGATTGCGCTGCAACCAACTTAGTATAATTCCACTTTCATGCAGATCCTTAGTGATTTTAGTGGATCCTGTTCCTTCACGTCTCTTTGATCTTAGAACTTACCTTGATGGTATATTAGTTATGATTATTAGGGCAGAAAGGAGGAAAATCTCTCAGCCGCCAAGGACTAATACGATCCCTCAGGCCCGAAGGAAGCAACGCCCACATGGCGACAAGGTACATGCAGTCGCCTTGTGGACTTTCGTCAACTGTAAGCCCACAATTTCTGTATTGGATTTGGAATCCGCAGATTATGCCGAGGATCGAAGACTCAAAGTCGCTGAAAAAACAGATCATAGAATTAAGATATTATCAACATACGGAAGATATGTAAACTAGAAAAGTAAAGACAGAACACAATGGTAGAATCAACCAAATCGGGCAGTTGGATCAAGATATGCTGCTGTCTCCTCCGATGCCACAAACGGCGGCGCTGTCTTGGCCCTGAACAGCGAATTCCCGTTCATTCCCTCGTAGAAATACACATCGGCTTTCTTCTGCCGCTGCACAAGGCGTCCCATGTATCCCTCGTACTCTTCTCGATCCAGGGTGGCAAACAGGTACCTGGGATGTACGCAGATAGCCTGAGCGCCCTTCTGCCCAAAGCCGAACGAGGTGATCGAGACAGCCTTCAAGGTTTGGACGTGCAAGGGTCGCTGAAGGTAAGCAATGAGGTCGAACTCCTGTAATGCAACATCGATGTTGTCGGCATTGCGATTGCCCGGGACAATGCCCGAATCCAGGACTTGCAGGGCTCCATTCAGCATCCAGGCCCCAGCCGCGCCCTTGGAATGTCCCGTCAAATATTTCTGGAAAATACTGAGGATGAGGTTGCCCTCTCGGCGCCCGAGCGAGCTCAACTGCTTCTGGATCACACTTGATTCGTTCTTATCGTTCAGTACAGTGGAGGTGCCATGGAACGAGGCAACGTCCAGGTCGTTGATCGTTAGTCCCCATACAGCCAATGCACCAGCTAGGGGACCGATGTAGGGATTATTCCGCCAGAAGTCATTCCCCAAGGTAAAGCGAGACTCCCTTTCTTCTCGTAAAAAGTCGGCCTGGATCTGTCGGCGCCGCTCTGACACATATGCCTCCACATCCACGCTGGGGTCCTGGGCCACCACTGAAGCCACTTCGAAGTCAAGATCCTGTAGGGCCATGTCTCGGGCCTCAGCAATCTGTCGGTGGCGAAACTCGAGGCGCTTCCGGCGATTGCGGATGTTCATGAGCGGCGAGGGAACCTTGGAAGTCACATGTTTGGCATTGGTCAAGACGCCCTTGCCAGGAGCAGGCACGGACCGGCCAGCCTTGTCGCTTGAAGTATTCGCAAAGGCGACAATTCCCCGGATGGGTAAGCCCATCTGCACAGCCAGTTCAGCCGTAGTCAGAACCTGCAGCCCACAGCCCTGCGATTCCATAAAGCCACTGCGAGTGCTGGTGGCAGGCCGGGACATTTCGCTGGGTGCCCGTCCCTTTGCCGCCTCCTCGTGGGCGTTACTGGTTGCCTTCATATTGGCAAACTCATAGGATGCCTCAGGCGTGAAGTCGTCGCAGCCTCCCACCAGGCAGAATTTGGCCTTGCCCGTCACGATGGTCTCGTAGCCGAGTTCCAGCGACTCAATTGCCGTCGCGCACGCGCCCACTGGGGTCCGGAGGGGCCCGCTGGCCGAGAGCAAAAGCATATTAACCCAGGCTCCAATGGTATTGATAAAGGTCTCCTGGAGAATGTCCTTTTGGACCTCTTCGCCGGTCCGACGCCCACCATACATCTTCGACAGTGCGGTTGCTCCTCCGAAGCCCGAACCAATGCAGGTGCCGACCTCGGAGACATGGATGTATTGATAGAGCTCGTAAGGGTCTGTGATCCCAGAGGATAGAAGTGCTTCAACGGTGCAAACAAGCGTGAAAAGAGTCACCCGGTCCACCTGTGTGACGATATCTTCAGGAATGCCATATGTGCGAGCATCCCACCCCGTAGGAACTAGCCCGGCAACGTTCCGGTCAAATTGCATCGCGCGAGGAATAAACAACTTAGCTCCTTTGCGCAGCTGCACCCGGTAGAGGTCTGGAGTTGAGGACTTCTGGACATCAGCATGTTCGCCATGCTCTAATTTCAACTGTTCCGCTAGATCTTGTGGCACGGACACCGGTTCGAGATCTTCTTGCAGGATGACTTCATGCAGAAACTGTTTCTTGCTAGGATTATAGCCATCGCAGTTTTCGGGTTCAATGAGACGGATGCCGGTGTGAGCGAGAATGCGATCCTCGTACACTTGCTTAACATCGGCATCGGCAACCGGCTTCTTGGATGCGCTGTCGACCCATCCCGAATACGGTTGACCATCAACGATGCCGGTGAAATGGCGAATGTATCCCATCAGCCAGGCCATTTCAATGGCCCCTTCCAACGAGAACTTGCCCTGTGCCTCCATTTCCCACCGCGTCCGTGCATTTCCCCAGGGTCCAAGCTCGGAGAACCCTGTCACAACTACTACCCGGTGCAGATCGACCATCCCTTGGAGATCGGGATGCAACGGTCGAATATCCCGATCATAGTCGAGAGCAATAGGGAAATCCAAGCGGACGTGTGCTTTTTGTTGTAGGCTGGGCAGCTGAGCGTCTGAAGGTATTCCCGTATTGGCAGTAAGACACTGTTGTTCGAACAAGGACTCTGCGACAAGTGCGGCCTGGATATCGCTTCGGTCTTTGAGATCCTGGCGTAGACTCTGGAGCTTTTCCGGCAACCTCTGCACGCCCCCCATTTGGCCTGTCAGGTCTGCATAGAGGGGTTGTTCCTGGCACAGCTCATTGATGGTTTGCGTGCACAAACACACAAGAGCGTATGCCATCTCATCCTGAGAAAAGGTGCGCATTCCGGCCTGTTCAATCCCTTCCGCCATTAAATCATTCTGGCTCATCAGTCCAGTTCCCCGAGTCCATCCAATGACCGCGCCGCAGATGCTCAAGTAGTCCTGCCAGTCCTCCGAATGCCAGCGGTTGAACAATGTTTCCAGCGCCAGTTTCGACTCGCTGTACAAACCGTCGCCCCCAAATGTCCCATGATTTGGGGACAAAGGCAAGACGACTTGTGTGGGATGGGAGCGGTAGTGGTGTTTCTCCTTATAGCTCTTCACAGTGCCCAGAAGACGCAGCACATTGGTCAACATGATTCGGTGGGCCAACTCGGACTTGGAATCGATCGAGTCCAGCTTTCGACCTGCCTCGCTAATTGCGGCGAATGGGACTAGGTAGTCAAGATCCCACCCCAGCCCGTTCTGAGAGTAGATATACTCCACCAGGGCTGCCACATCCTGGACGCTGGCTTGGTTGAACGGAACTACCACCAGCTGAGAGCCACGAGCGCCATGCTCCATGTATATGGCCTGGTATTTTTGAGCCACTTCTGGCGAGAGAGAGGACGTGGTTGTCACTACCCTGGCACCACCCTGGAGGAAATGACGGATCATGGCGGCTCCAATCGACCCGATACCAGCCCCAGTCAGCAACACAGTCTGACCGGCGAACGACTCGCCGTCTTTCTCAACTCTGTCCAAGGTGTCATAGAGATGACTTGTCAAGCTTCGACTGTATTGCCAACCATGTGTGTGCTTCTCCTTGAAGTGAAGGTAGGGCTCAGCAATCTGCGAGGTCGGCATAGCTAGAGCTGCAAAGCGAGAGGACACAGTGCGCTCCTTCTCACAGTACTGAAGGCTTCCTTGTGCATCGATCGTTGTAGAAGGTGCCAGCTGCGCAGGTGCTCCCTTAAACAAGGGGCCAGTTTGTAGAGATCGCCGGCAATCCTCTTCTAGCTTGTGGAAGACGGACTGGAGCGTCGTATGATTTTGCAGTTCGGTCATCATTTCTTGCAAGACTGGCAGAATTGTCTCTTCGGCAGCATTGGCAATCCCGTAGCAAGTCTGCGAGACAGTATTCCGGTCCAACGTGACATTGTCCCCTCGTTGTACCGATGAGGCGAGATGGAAGAGTTCAAGGAGGCTCTGGCGGCCCCAGTTCCATGCCGAGTCGTACATGCGAACCTTGCGCGCGTCGAACCGGGGACGAATCCCATTTCCATAGTCATCGCCATGTTCCGTAGTCCAGACGTCCAATTCGGCCTGTAGTTTGGCTTGCACATCCTCACGAAGAGCGTCCAGCGTCCGTCGATCCTCGCCCAGGTCCAGTCCAATATGCGAGGCATAAATGTCCAGCAGCTGTCTCGAGAGTGCCTTCTGAGACTCCGAGAACTCGCGAAGGGCTTCAGGATCGACGACAACGCCGGGTCCAGAGGAGTCAGCTTGGGATCCTGTAGGGCCAAGTGTGATCCCCTCTTTGGCAGCATAGCCTTCAACAGCACGGTCGATGAAAGCCTTTGCCTCAGCTTCCGTGGCAATACGAGCTGCCGGTTGCAGTGTGACAGCTAGGAGCAGACACGAGTCCTGGCGCCCCTGTTGTAGTCCCCATTGCGTGCGCATTTGATCACGAGCCATGGCAGTCGTGAAGTTACTGGGGAGTTTTGCGGTAAACAAGGAATTTATCATTGCTGTTGATACCTTGCCCAGCGTGCCTGGGTGGCTGGACTGGATGGAGGTCCATACGTCTGTGAGAGGCACATCCTCTGCCCTGTCGGGTAACGAACCGAACTCGCTGTGTAGATCGCCGATAATCTCATTTTCCAGAGTTGAGCGACCTGGTGAAGAGTTAGAATATGACATATCTCAAATAGTACAATGTTTGAGAACCAACCTCCAGCTAGGGCTTTGATAGACTTTGTTCCATCGACGTCTGTCGGGGCTTTCTTAAGTGCCCGCGACACGACTGTCAGCAGGATATCTTGCGCCTTCACCCCCTCATCGCCAATGTCGACTTGCACCGGAGCTCTAGGTGCTGTTCTGGGTACAGAATCTGGCGATACTGCGTCCTGCTTCACTGCCTCTGGCTTCACCGCGACCTGGCTCTCTTGTTTTGTCACCTCTTTCTTCTTGTCATTTGCCTGTTCTTTGCGACTGTCTGGGATCGTCTCGTAGTAAATCTCCTTTGTGTCTCTTTCTGAGTTTAGTAGTCGCCGAGGCTCTGGCCGGGTGCATTCTTGGGTCTGGTAAATGGTGTTGAGGGTGCGCTGGAACATGCCAACAAGCGTGCTGTTGGGCCCGACTTCGACAATCTTGTCGCATTCTTTCCGGGACAGGATTATATCCTGTGTTTCAATCCATCTTACGGGCGAGGCAAATTGATATCTAGGTATTGCTACCTGGTTAGGAACGTTTGCATTTGAGTCTTGACGCGTTCGGGTACTTACGCCATGAGCTCAATGAGCAATGTGCGAGCCAGCTTGCGCTGGGAGTCCATGTCCACCTCCATGCTGTCTACTGAGCTATAGCTTCACACTCGTAACAACAAGGATCAAGTCAATATAGCCAAGATGTCCGACTCATAAAGGATATCGGGACGTAAAATCGATGGCGATAATCGGTCTTGTCCGCCGGTCGATGGTTTCCTCCACCTTGTCAGCTCGGCTCAACCTTCAGGGAGCATGAAATGCCCTCCCTCACTTGTTCTCTGTGGCCCTAAGACTTTTCCAGTCGATGCACTCCCAGGAACATGTGAGACTCTATCAATTCGCCCATTGGGCTGTCAACCCCGAGCTAGTGACCAGTTCTCGTCAGCTGCAGTAAGCAAGAATCTAAGAGAAGAGTGGGATCAAACACCGGACAGTGCCTTTAGCCCCCACCAGAGGGCTAGCGTTTTGAGCTGCGCAGCTTGCCGACGAGGTGGACGAGGTCTGTCAAGCACTTGGCGAGCAAAGTCAAGATGTTGAATATCATACTCCGTACGGAGTAGTCATTCTGTTTTGTTCAGTATGTATTGACGGTATGTTTGGTTTGTAAGTTTGGAAAGAATGCGTAAGATTGGAAAGAGTTCAGTTGGTATGTATGATACTTTTGGTTGATACATTCGGTTGATACGTTTGGTAGGTATGAAGAGTTTTGCGTGTATGTTACGCTATATCTATACCATGCAGGCTCATTAGCCTATCATTATTAGCGTATCTCTGCACGCTTCATCAAAAAAAATAAAAAGAAAAATTAAAAATCAAAAAGACAAAATAAAAAAGAAAAAAAAAGACTGGCCGAGTCTCAACCTTCCTCGCCGTCTCGTATTGATGCTCGTGGCGCCGTGAGTGAAGGACGTGGCGTGTCTCTGAGCTGGCAGACGGGCAGAGTGGACGAGTCAGGCTGATGGTTAATTTCGACCATCTCTTGCGTTAGACGAGCTCTGGTGCCTGGGATATCAGGCATCGATGACACCTCAGGTATGTAGAATAACAACAACAACAACAGGGTATGCACGCCCTGTCCGTGACCAGACTGAGGGGCATGGGATCTGGAGTTGCTTGCTGAGTGTTGTGCCTGGGATTGTGACTGGAGGAATACTGTCGAGATCATGTGACCCTACTCCACACCATTCGCCTGTATACACAGTGTCCAGGGCTAGATATCTTGTAGAACGCTGTTGGTTAGTATACCGTTTGTAGCACCCAGGTCTGCAGTACTACTAAACATATTATTCGAGAAGATAAAAAAGCAGAAGACATAAGATTGTACGTGAGGGATAAAGCTCTTTGTTTAAGTATATTGTCATTATCTCGAATCTTTCTGCCTGCTGCTGCAGCCACCACTCAGCAGCAGGCCAGATTTTCTCGGCATTGAAGATCAGCATGCGCCTCATGCGAGAATCATTCTTTTTCCCAATCCATCCAAGTTTCTTGGAAAATCATTCGGTGGGTCAATCATCTGGCAGGGTTCTCCTCCCCGTCCACCCCTGGAACAGAGGACACTTGCCACAACCACTCAGCATCAGCCTTGACCTTTCCCTTTTGAACCTCCAGGAGAGCCTGCAGCAGCCTTTGGCAGGCCTCACCAGGCCCCGCAGTGCTAAACTCAAATGTCTCCCCGGTAGATTTCCGAGTGATCGACCGGATGGGAACTAGCATTGCTGCCGTTCCCACCGCGACTACTTCGGTGAAATAGGCAAGCTCCGCATAGGGGATCTATCCACCATTAGCATGACACGTATAGGACAGGATAGCTCCATAGGGCTATGCATGGCATAATGGAGAACGTACAGGGCGAACCTCGACAGTCCAACCCAGGGATTTCGCCAAATCTAAACATGTCGTGCTGGTAACACTCTTGAGAATGGAGCGGCTGCTAGGCACAACGACGGTGAACGAATCGCCCGTCTTCTTGAAGCCCACAAATCCCGAGGTGCTGAACTCATCGATCTCCGAATTGGTTCGGCTGTCGAGATGCAGGGTGATATAGAAGCCTTCGGCACGGGCCTGATCACTCCACTTCAAGACGGGGGCATAGTTCCCACCAACCTTGACATGGCCAACACCCTTGGGAGCGGCTCTATCCAGCTCCTCCAGGATGAGGGCAGGAATTGGCTGGGCGCCGTGGTAAGCCCTGTATGGCTGAACATAGACGCAGAACTTGTAGCCAGTGCCAGCGGAGACAGCGAAGAAGGCGTCTGAGCCAAAGACAAGAGGTCGGATGTAGAGTGCAGCATCCGTATCATGTGGGGGCACATACTCAGCATTCCTGGCTACGGCAAGATTCACACTGCGTAGGAAGAGGTCTTCGGGGATTGGAGGGATGGCGATTGCCGAGCATGACAAGGCCAGACGAGCTGCATGATCCTTGGGACGGAAGACTTGAATCTGTCCTTGGGGATCGCGGTAGGCTAGGAGAGCTCTATTAGACGAACCATCTCATCCACCCTGAAGGGGGGTTTTCCTTCCATACCTTTCATGCCCTCGAAGGCTTGCTGACCTGATCATTGTTAGAGTGCTGTGACACTTGGGGTTTCATGCACATACCATAGTTGAGGCCCGGTGCCAGACCGTGGATCCGCAGAAGAGGATCCTCGACCAGGCGAGGCTCAGACCATTTGCCTGTGGATACAGAGAAATCACACTCGACGTGCGCATTCACTATCACGAAGGAGACTATGTCAGCATCCTTGTCCGGCAATACTGACTGAGAGCAAGCCGCAGGATCTGGACTGACCATTCATAGGCGCGAGCCCCAGTTTGTCCCATTCTGAAATAACAATGCATCAGTACGCATGCAAGAGCGGTTTCATCACGAAAGAAGTGCCCACCAAGAGATTCAAGGGGGGGAGGCGGGAAAGAAGTCATTGTGAAGTCTGCTGTAGTGTAATTGCAATGTTTTGCTGGGATTCGGAGTGCTGGAAAAGGTGAACGCAGTGCTTGCCTTTTGGCGGTGGTGTTTATGTCATTTACTAGAAACGTTGCATTATAAATCTCCACTGCCACAGGGATCTTTCTCTGTCCCACTACAAGGGAAACATCAACGACTGATGCCAAACGAACAATATCCAACTAGGTTAGACATACTAATGTGACAAGTGTAAGATTGATTCTGTTTGTTTGATGTGTAAATACTGTAACTATTGGTTCGGTACAATACATAATACTGGACTGTATCATACGCTGGCCGTTACATCGTCAGAGTATCATACCAGTACTGAATACCTCTCAATACATGAACAATCTAGACTTCATACCTCTCGTCCTTTGAGGCGAAAAGAAATCCTGAAAGTGGGCCACAGGAGATGGGTCATGGGAGATGATTCCCAGATCCTAACCGGTATTAGTACGTCCGCCAGCAAGGTCCTTAGGTAGTATCGGCCGATGGATTCGGATTATGGGAGATCAAGTCAGGATGACCGTAGGGCAGAGAGCCAAGGAGTTTCTAGAAGCTTAAGGCAGTAGACACTAGGTAGGGAATGGAGCATTGAAGTGGATGTCTAAGTTCAAGCTGTCTCATCCGCTGAAGCAGACTCCGGCGGCATTTTTTTTTGGTCCATTCGCTGCAGGCTGAAACTGTTCATAGTCGGAATGGTTCGGTTTGATCCATTCTGCGTGTCTGATGACGGGAACAACTGAGCGTCACATACAGAGTCCACTTTGTATATGGTCTGATTGCGTTTCAATCCTGTGTACCATCGTCCGTCGTGTAGATGGACGAAGCGAGCTGAGGCAGGATGCAGGATTTCCGACGGGCCATGGAGTAGCATACATTCCCAGGAATATTCGAGAACGAAATCTGCGGACGTAGGGGGAGCGCCAAAGCTAATCCGTAGAGAGCAGTCTAGCTTCGAAGGCAAACTATTGAGCCCAGGGTGGTTGTCTCAACTCTCAAGAACCAGTACGGCGAGTCTGTGGAGATGATAGAGAAAGTAGCCTGCGGCTTTGTTCGAGCTATGAGTTGTAATGATGAGAACTACAGCAGGAAAAGAAAAGAGTGTATTCATCCCTATGGTGAATAATAGTAGCCAGATAGTGTGCCAGACTGCTGAACTGGTGTCTCATTCCACCTGTCATACGCCCCAACAGGTTATATCATGCTATTGCCATTGTCATTGTAAATGCTCCTCTAGTCTATACAAGCTTTTTGAGCGCAATATGTTGGAAATGCTTGTTCCATTAACACCTGTGCATCCTCGTGCTTGATCTTCTATCATTGTCCATCCCGTGGGGGACTGTACCATCGATCACTAAGGCAGACAACAAGCATACCTGACTCTTTTCGGCCCTTTGCATCTATTATGGGCCTGATAGCTTACAAAGCTTGAGAAGGTCTGTCTCAGATGTATGCCGTCGTAGGCATCGTGCAGATATATGGACAGTCCGATACATGGCTTCCTCTCGAATTCGAGGACATGCACCATGACTGGGTATACTGTAAGCATTGGTTATCTAAGACACTTCCAGATCACCGCCTTCCTTTGGACTGCATCGTCCTAGGTGTTCGTCCCATCCGATATGGATTCCAGCCACGTGGAGTAGGCTCGCGGAAGGGTTCGCAGAGGATAGGCCCGTTTCTAGATCGACATGCAGGGGGCGATACCTTGCATGCAGTAGTTGAAACAAAGTAGCAAGCGTGTGGGAAACCAGGGACTATGACAAATTAAAAGTCGCCAGCGAGAAAGGGGCGAGCAATTCGGTCGCCCGCCCACCCTCCGTTCAATATAGAGAGCCCCTAAGTGTTGATGATGTGTTGAATGGCTTTGCTTAGGGTGAATCAGGTAAGACAATACAAAGTGCAGGGGAAGTTGATATTCAAGGATGCGGAACAATGCAAAGAACAATAGGAACGGATCTGCTCTGTACGCGAGTCAGAATCCCAGTGAATTGGACGACGACGACGACCCCAAATTCCCCGGACACTCATCTCCCGTCCATGTTGCGGTCATCAACCATGGCCTGGGTCAACTGCCAAGCCTGCGAACAGCCGCCTATCGTGATGTAGTTTGTTTGATGGACTCTTGTGCGACACGGGGGAAGATCCTAACCGTCGTGTCTGAAATCGCCAAATCAGAAGAGCAATGGGATAACACAGGATGTCGGGGTCAATGCAACATGGAAGCAGCCTGCTGGCATTCTGAGAGACGTCTACATAACTATGTATTTATATATATAAAGTGTAAAGACCAACCTGTCATTTCAGTTGCTTCTTGACTATCTACAGACCGCAAGGGTCATGATCCGCACCACGAATTGCCCCTCTGGCATGGATTCGTGGATATTTCTCTTCGTGAAGATACTCGCCGTGTGTACAGTAGCGTCTGGACTCGTCCATGGAAGAGCATCCCCAGACAATGTGCAGCCATCCGTTGACGGTGTCACCTATCAGCTGGGCAATGTCACATATTTCGCCAACTTCCGACATCCCAAGGCGTCGTTCCCAATCAATGTCACCCGCACAGGATCTCAATTTGTGCCAGTAACGGTCATCGAGACAAATCAGAGCGTCGTCACTGGGGAGTACTTGAAGTCAACCGTGTCTCGATACTCCTCCGAAGACGACGTCTTCTCGCCCGATTTTTTGCACGCTCTGTACATCACATCGTCTATTCCGAACTCACGACTAGACCAGACTGCACAGCAATATCTCCAGGATATAGGTGCAGGCCGTGTCTATCTCAATGCATCTGCATTCAGGCAGATCCCGCCACATGCTCAAGCATTGAGAAGCACGCGTGGCACATCGCTACCACCCGGGCCATACACTGCCCTGCTCAACACAAATTCCATCAGCTTCCTCAACACCTACCGGCTGTACAACGACGAGTATCGCACTTTCATCACCGGTGTATATCACTCGAACGATGGGGACGAGACCTTCGCTGCGTTACCGGCTATGGACCCCCGGCTATGGGGTCCTCTGATCCCAGTCCCCAGTCGCATCCACTCCTGGGCCGATCCTCGACCACTCGCAGGCAAACGAGTCGCCGTCAAAGATCTGTTTGACATGAAAGGCCTACAGACCTCGGCCGGCAGCCACGCCTGGGTTCAGGTGACGCCAATCGCCAACGCAACTGCCCCGGCCATCCAACGTCTGGTGGATCTGGGAGCCGTGCTCGTGGGCAAATACAAGCTGGCCCAGTTCGCCTCCGGGGCCGATCCGTGGACCTGGGTGGACGAGCAGGCCCCCTTTAACCCGCGCGGAGATGGATATCTGACCTGCTCGGCCTCATCTTCGGGGGGAGGCTGTGGGGTTGCCGCGTATGACTGGCTCGACGCCGCGATTGGAACGGATACAGGGTCTTCCATCCGTCGGCCGGCTGCGGTGTCGGGGACATTTGGCAATCGTCCAAGTCAGGGGATGATGTCGGTTGAAGGGGCCGTTCCTCTGAATGCAGCACAAGACACCGTCGGGCTTTTTGCTCGAGATCCAGTCGAATGGGCTGACTTTGCCAAGGCATGGTACACCCCTCGACTGCATGAGGATCCTTCAGTCAATTCGTTGCCCCCTCTATCGGTGCCGGATTCGGTAGCGTTCCCGAAGAAGATCCTGTATCCGGTTGAGTATCTCCCTCTGGTCAGCCCAGCGGCACAGGCAATCCTCGACGATTTTCTGTCTGGGATGACCCGCGTGCTAGGCATCACGATCGAGCATACCAACTTTACTGCGACGGTCAACAACGCTTCCATCTACCCCGAAGTGGACGAGAACTGGTATCCCGTGGCCAACTGGGACATCATCTACAATGCCTCACAGACACTGAATGCATGGACGCAGTACACCAAAGTCTATGGCCCGTTTCTCCGGACCTGGGCCGAACGGAATGATGGTCGATTTCCGCCTGTGGATCCCCAGTGGCGCGCATCGTGGACTCAGTTCGACATCAGTTATATCAACCAGACCGTCTACAACCAAGCACTAGCGAGGAAAGCTGCAGCGGTCAACTGGTTCCAGAAGGAGGTCCTCTACGAAACCCCGGACTCATGCTGCGAGTCGCTGATGATCTGCGATGGGGGCACAGGCGGGCTGCCCAGTTACCGTGAGCAGGATCTGAACAAGAGTCCCAATGCCAGTTTTCTCGGAGTGTTTCCAAAGAATGCAGATGTGTCTTGCTCCAACATTTGTCCGTTATTTGGGTATGCATCCTCCCTTGATATATATCGTGACAAGCTAACCAGGTGTAGATGCGTGGATTTCACCATTCCTCTAGGCCAGGTGGAGTATCAATCGCCAATCACTAGGGTGAGAGAGCAGTGGCCAGTGACGATTAACATCATCGCTCGTCGTGGATGCGACTTTATGCTTTTCAACCTGGTCAAGAAGCTGGCTGAGGAGGGAGTACTTCGGACCGTCAAGACAGGTAGAACACCTTTCTAGCAGGACTGTCATACCCACCGCTTGCATACACCGGTGGCTATACAGAAGTCAATCAAAGCACGTACGCAGTTTTGGTAATGATGCAGGAGAAGGCAAAGTCCCCGAGAAGCTCTTTGATTGTTCCAGTCCACGTCCCCAACTCAGCGATCACCTGGGATGATTGCTTGTCTGGAGCTCGTAGATCTCTTCCGAACGTCGGATGCTGGAGGGCTTCCCTTAACTGTTTCCAATCGCCCGGTTTGGTTGCGTAGTTAGTTGCAGCCTATTAGCCCAATGGTGTATCAGCGGAAATCATACCATCCAGTGTTTTAACATCGGCAGCTGTTCATCTCCGTCTTGCGCGTTGGTATGAGAACAGAGAACAGTCTTGCTCGCTGTCCTCACATAGCAGGGCCCCTATCCTTTATCGACCCTCTCCTTGAGATATCATGCGCAATGCAGCAGACCCTGCTCATTTCTACCGCGTGTCTCGATCTGCTCCTTGGGCCAGTAAGCTCTGCAGGGCGTTTGATTCGGCTGCTGTGGGTGATATTCGACTCGAAGTAGGTCTCGACACAGCGGATGGCGCCATGCTTGACCAGAATCCCAATCCTCATCTGGTTCGCCCAGCTGGTCATGGCCTTCCAATGCGAGGGAGTCTCGAGGAATGTGGAGACCTCCTTGTCTAGCAGATGGAGGATCGCGTCCCCAGTGTTGTTGTGTGCCAGCCGGGTGAGGTCTTTCAGCACGTATGTTTCTCTCTCCCGGGGGTCAGAATGATCAAGAAACGCCTTTGGATAGATAGAGTTGAAGTCAAAGGTCAAGGTCACGTCGGCACTTCGAAGCTTTAGATCGTATATTCCACCCAGTCATTAGGACGTTTGGTGCATATATCCGAAGCAGCCTACCGTGCTCCCATGCCGGTGACCTCTTTTTCCACACCAATGTCACTGAGATATTCTACGGTCGGCCATTGTCGAGCATGGGCAATCGCCCACTGGGGATAGCAAAGCAATAGCCAGAAGACACAGAATCCACGGACGTAAAGAAGAGATGAGCCGTCTAGGGCCGTGTCCCAAGTCAGTGCCTCTCAAGATGATATGGCCAGCTTGACGTTGTCGCAGTCACCATGCTTCACACAGTGCAAGGGATCCAATGCCTGTGAGATTCTTCGATTGTGTAAAGACTGCACTTGATGTCCCCTTGCTGAAACGCGGACAGCTGCGAGACAAGGCGTTGCAAGCGGGAAGGGGGGATGGCCTTGTTTCGGTTCAGAAACACGATTGAATCCCCTGGCATCCTTTTCGAAGTGATAGGGGACTGACTGGTTAGAGCCTTCATCTCTCGATCTCCACGGCGAAAGCTTTCCATCCGTCACGCTGCGTCTCCAGTGACGGTGATGGGATGGGCGACCGAGGCGATGTGACCGGGTCTATGTCTTTGCTACATGGCAGAGAAATATATTTGTGTTTGGATTGCACATGGCTATTCATGATCATTCAATAGATAGATATAGATTTATATATATATACGATAGATCGCATGGACTGGGTAGTCCACACCAGCAACAACATATATACAGCTGTAAGATCAGAGCTTGACTCCGTGTCGAGCATCCAAGTGCACAGTCTGGTTCGGTGAGAATGAGGAGGGATGAGAGGGGAAACCCGGTCAGCTTATGATACAGTCAGTCCGCTATTTTAGTCTCGTGGATGCCTAGGCGTACTAGATCTCTAGATAAAGCCAATTATAATTAGTTCCTGTCCGTTCTTTGTGACTGGTATCTACTCCGAGGTCTGCTTTCCACTCTCTAGCCGTGTAGCCAAGCAGCCATGGCCCATGGCTCCAAGCTAGGCTCTAGAGTCTAGACAGACCCTCACAGGAGCAACAAGATTCAAAACAGCTCTGAAAGTATCCATCGAGGGCATTCCAGGTCGCACAACGTTTCCGTCCTGTTGGCTGGGGCCATGGCTTGAGGATGGAAGAGAGACAACGATGTCTGCTGGTTCTTTGGGATAGAAAGCTAAAGAACCACTTTGACTCCCAGGGTTAATACCCGTTATCTATCCCTCCTCGTTCGCAATCGACCTTTGCCAGGGTCCTGGTGGTTCAGCCGTGCCCAGGCCGTGTGGCTTATATCAACCCATCCCCCAATTGGTGATCGGATGCAGCTTATCCCTGCATTGGCATGGCCGGAGCACGAATAGCAGGAGATTGCCCGGTGTAAGTTTAGAAAAAACCAACCGATTCTGACGCGGTGTGACCAGTGAGCGAAGCCCGTCCTCAGCTTGGACACAGTCGAGGTCCGGCAGTGGGAACGGCGCAGTCCCAACCATAATAATGACGCGGTGCTGGCAATTTCCCGGGCCTTAATCGAATCGATTCTCTAGAGTACGATTCACAGTTCTTCCACTACACGTCTGGTGGATTCTACAGGCGTTTCCAGACCATCCACAAGCGCTCGACATGGCTTCGGAGTCGGACCAGTCGAAGCAGTATCTGCTGCCTCCCTTGTCCGAGTTGCTTCCTCGAGACACCAGCGCCGAGAATGACAACAACCACACCGATTCCAGTGAATCGACCCGCATTTCGTCCTTTTGGAACCCGTTCGATCGCAGCGTCTCGCCGGACCGCGACTATATCCGCTACCAGCCAGCCTCCGCGACAAACGAGAACACCAGTGCGCAAGAGGAACCGCAGGACCATGAAGAGCCCCAGCACCGTCGCCAGGTCTCGTTTGGATTGGGAATTGCCAATTCATTTCCACAGTCGCCCTACCAGCCCCCTGACGATACCGACGATGGCGATCTAGCTACCAAGTCGCTGGGCCGGGAGTCCTCAGGGCCGTCGCCGCTACAGTACCAAACATCCCAGACCACGCTCCTACCACACTCGCCGGCCGGGAACTGTCCAACGCACCAGGGGGTCGTGCAAAAGCGACTCTCGTGGGTCCCCATTACCATCTTCGTGCTGGCAGTCTACGCGACCATCTTCTCGGGGATCTACCTGGTGCTCGCGCTGGTGAAACCACGGTATGGCAAGAGGATCGGCGAAGACGGGGGCCTGGCGCCGTCGACGGCGAATCTGCTGAGCGCGCTGTTCGCCAAAACCATCGAACTGGCATATGTCACGGTCTGCGTCGCGTTCCTGGGCCAGGTGCTGAGTCGGCGCGCCATCACCAAGGGATCGCGCGGCATCTCCATCTCCGACATGAGCATGCGCGCCTGGATCATGCAGCCCGGCTCGCTGATCGTGCACTGGGAAACGGTCCGATACTCGGCGCTGACCGTGCTGGGCATGATCACGTTGACCGCGACCCTGGTGGCGATGCTCTACACCACGGCTGCAGAGGCGTTGGGTGAGTCGAGAAAAAAAAAATAAAAAAAAAAAAAAACACCAGCCCGGCGCAAGCGTTCCCCCGCGTACTGACGAGGAATAGTGTCGCCTAAGCTGCGCATGGGGCCCGTCGAGCCGCGCATGCTCTCCGGCAACGTGTCCACCGAGTTCGCCAATCCGTATTACCTGAAAGCGCGCTGCTCCACCCCGATCACAGCGGCAGTGGACCCGGTCTACGTGGGAGATACCTGTCTGGACATGGTCCTCGTCGGGCAGGCGTACCACGACTACCAGGCCTACATCGCGGAATGGGGCAATTGGCTCCGCGATGGGAATCTGACCTCGACTAATCTGCGCTCCAGACTGGCCCCGACGGGCTCCTTGTATGATAACACCACGGTGACGGGCAGCTGGATCGACGTCACGAACATCACCGAGGTGTCGCAGAAATATGGCCGGATGGTCAACAACATCACGGCCGCGATGCCGCATGGCGGAATCGTCGCCGCCGCCACGAATCCAGCCAACGGCATCCGAAAGCCGGTGGAGGGAACGGGCGAAGCCAACTTTGAGATCGAGGCGTCCGTGCCCTCCCCGGCCGTCAACGTGCTCTGCGTGGGGATGACGGCGGACGAGCTGACCCCGCTGGTGTACAACGAGTGGCCGTACAGACCTAGCTTCAATCCCGTTACCTGGGACTTCAAGACTTACAAGAATATTCCCGGCGATTGGTACAACCGAACGGTGGTCGATGACATCTTCGGATGGGCCCCCGAGGCGGGACGCTTCCCTCCAGTGTTCGGCAAGCTGCCCAAGGCCTACAACACCATCATTAACTCCACCGGTCCTTGGCCGACCAGCTCAATCTACATGTTAGGGGCTGCGCCGGAGGAGAGCATGACTCCTCCTTATGTAATCTGCTCTCTGAAAGCGAAGCTATCCCCCGTCTGTTCCACCAAGTACTCCGCAACCGCCAGCGGGGGCATCCTGCGGACCAATTGCGAGAACCCGTCGAACCCCATGCAGTTCAACCGGCGCAACCAGAGCGCGGTCGACGGCGAGTGGGACGGCAACTGGAAGAACGTCGCCGACGAGTGGGCTCGATCCATGAGCTTGAATTCGGGCATCACCGACGGCCAAGCCAGTAACGCCCGCCTGCTCATGCAGTTCATCCCGACACTCGACGAGCGGACCGGGGCGTATGCGCTGGATCCCAGGCTGCCGTCGATTGGAGAAGCCCTAGCCGTCATGGTCGGGAACACTCTGATCCTTAGCTCCATGAATTCGCCCTTTGTCCAATTTTTCAACTACACCAAGGCGGCAGAGCCGCCCTATGCACTGCTTGAGCCGGTCCAGCAATACTTCGAGGCGACAGTGGGCGCTAGGGGTTATGCGTCCGGGGGCACGGAGGAGTGGCAGAACCTCTTCTACGTGATCCTGGTGTTTGCCTTCCTGACCAGCGCCATCATTCTGGCTTTCATGCTGCTCGAGGTTCGGGGCCGGCAGATCACCGACTTCACCGAGCCCCAGAACCTGTTCGCGCTGGCAATGAATAGCCCAGCCTCGACGCAGTTGAAAGGTGCATGCGGTGCGGGCCCTCAAGGCCGGCAGCTCAGTGAGCGCTTCTGCGTCGCCATGGAGGAGGATGACGAGCACTACTATATTCGAACAAAAGCCGAGGAGCATTCAGATCAGCCATCCATGGCACCCGCTCGTTCTGTAGTCTCACTGGAGGTCGACGATGTCGCTAAGCCCGTGAGTCCGGCCATGGCCGAATACCGGCGATTGTCGTCGAAAAGCAGTCTTTTGTCGAGATTTTATTAAGTGGGCGTTGAATGGGCTGTAGTGTATACTTGGGTAATGATATTAATGTATTCAACGAATGTTATGTATAAAGTCCCGCTGCAAACCATAATTCCCACTCCGGAAGAGCAGCTTAGGTAGAAACGGGATGCTCTGAATTCGCCATACATCGATTGCTTGGTAAGACAGCATTTTGCAGAGCCCCAAGCACATCCGAGTCCAAGCCCCAGTCCCCCGTCCATTGATGCATGCGATAGCCGTCCTTGAAATGCTGCGCCAGATGATCCCCTCGCACCGTCCAGGTCGGCAGCGTCGCGTTACAGAATCCGCAGCGGCTTTGCACCTCGCTGGCCGCACCGCGCCAGAGGTCCAAGCTGTCGACGGGCAATTTGGTGCAGCCGTGGAATTTACGCAGATGCTGCCACAGATAGTCTTTCCGGCTAAAGGAGCGATCCGCCAGCGGCTTCTGCGCGCAGACTTCAAACTCGTGATCAACCCAATGGTCTTGGGGGAGTGCAGACTGTTCGCAGAAGCGGCAGTCGAGTCGCGCAGGATCCGGCCGGAGTTGGCTGACGTCCGGGGTACACACCCAGGAGTCAAGGCGCAGATGAACACTCTTTTCGTGCCGAATCCAGTCGTGTTTTTTCTTGAAGGACTGCGTACAGAACGTGCACTGGTACTGTCCCTCGTCTGATGGTAGTCGAGATCTCGCTCGTCTACGCTTTGCCTGCGGCCTGGGAGGGTGAAACGGGAAGGGCAACATGCTCTCCCCAGAGCGATGACTCCATGCAGATGATGCGCTTCCGGTCGAGCTTTCCGAGTGCCTGCTGCCTAAGCTAGACAAGGACGAGCTTAGGTGCGATGATGTCTCTTCGAGATTTAAGAATGTTTCGAACATGGCCTCGTCTGCTTGTAGATGGTCTGTGTTCGGCGCAAACGGATCACCGGCAGATGCAATGGCATTCTCAATCGCTGCGCTCGGGACTGACTCATCCTCTGGCGGGGAAGCCTGCCATCTCTCCATTGGCGTCAAGGATGCGAGTGTGCTTGTGGGCATCGGAGAGCCCGAACGGTAGATCTGAGCCGAGGGTGCAGGATCTGACCTTTGCTTCTGGCGACGGCGCGCGTTGGCGAACCATGTCGACAGTCGTCTTCTGGAGAAACCGGTTTCGCGAATCAAACGGACTTTCTCGTCTTCAGACGGGTAAGGGAATTCCTGGTTGTCACTGAACCATTCCTTCAATATCCGGACCCCTCGTCTTACGAACTGTTTCGATTCCTTGCCTTCCCCCCGAGACGTTGGCAAAGGCTCCAAAGCCTCGTGTCCATTCCCCTGTGGTCGTCAGTGTCAGTCCCCGCCACGCACAAACATCACATACCTCTGCTTCCGCGAACTCTGGCAGACCATGCAGGTGACCCATCACTGGCGACAGCGTCTCAAACCTAGATGGTTGGCGCTTCTCTCCCCGTGCCAGACTACATACCCGGAACAGAGCAACACAACTCGAGCAGGCGGCCTCTGGGTTCGGATTAGCTGGGGCCGTCCGGATGATGAGGCACTGAAGGCGGTGCCGGCGGCAGTGACTGCAGGGCTGCTCAGGGCGATACGAGCCATCTAACCACTGAGTGACATTGGAAAATGTTGGTTGATTCGAAGCCGCGCCAGTTGCTTGCAAGTCCGGCCGTAGATCCAGATCGTTCGATGACACTAGTGCTGGCGACGGGTCGTCTAAATGCCCAAGTTCAAGGGACCACAGCCCGGGTGTTCCTGGGACATTCGCACTGGCCCCATCCAGCCAACCTTCACTCGCCGATCCCGATGCTAGAAAATTGACATCATCCAGAGGATTTGCACCAAATGTCGAATCCTCATTATTCGCGAGAGAATGGTTGTTCCAGCCAGCGGCGTCGAGAGTCTCGCAAGGACCAGACCAAATGCTCCTCGCCCCATTCTGCGCTGACCCCGAGGGAAAAGGGCGCGAGCTGGGATGATTCAAATCGTCCATGGTGTGCCCTTCGCTTTCTGTTCTATTATTCCGGGGACGCGATCTACACGATGGACTGGACAGCGGACAGAGGAAGACGATCTTCTTTCGCTGCCCACGGGCTGGTGCTGACTAACCGACTCTCCCAGTCACGGGAACTTGGTCTTACATAAGCCCGTCAACTGGAAAAGCCCGAGAGAGGATGCTGGATACACTGTACTCGCACAAGGCAGGTATATAAATCCTTAATCTGAACTACTTTTCTTTGATTCTCACTTGAAGTCAAACTAGCTTCTCCAACATTCCCATGTTGCATCGACCACCGTATCACCTAGTAGACCCGCAAGGATACCCAACGCCTCCATATCAAGTATTACCTTTCACTCGGCATAGGCGACCATCCGTCTTGACTTGCCAGTCGCCACTACCAACCGCAGTAGATGCATAGAAGGTGTCGAACGGGTCATACCTCTTCTTGATCGCGTAGAGCGTCTCGTAGTTCCTCCCATAGAAGGTTTGCGGCCAGTCCGGCTGCTGGGGATCCGCCTGCTCAGCAGAGTCAGATAACCCGTACAGAGGAGAATGGAAGAGAAGGGTTCAATCTTGCCTCGTTCATGTAACAACCCGAGTCTGGGGAGAGCGCCGTCAGTATTGGAACCCATTTGCTCGTCATTCTGTCGGCGAGGGTCTTCATCGTGCTCCGGTTCGCGCCGGCGGGCCAGTCACTAAGACAGTCCTGTCAGCTGAATCGCCGAGATTGTTGGTGAATTGAAACACAGCAACCAGGAAGACGTACGTTGAGAGTAAAACGCTGAGGGCAGCTGTTCTCCACGCGGGGAGGACCGAGTTCCAAACATCGCCGACGACCGAGGACGAGACGTTCAGGCCGATCCCGACGAATACCACGCCATCCTGGGTGATTGTCTTCACGGCCTCGGTCAGCTGCGTGTTGTTGCTTTCGATCACGTTGAGTGGTAACAGGCGGCCACCGTATTGGCCGTTTTGGACCAGCTGGGTTGGGTTTGGTTCGATCAGCTTCTTGTAGTGCTCGAGGTAGGTGGCCGATTGGGTGATATTCAATTGGTAGGGTATGTGCAGCGTTTCTAGTTCGTGGATGAACGGGGCAATCAAGGATCTGGCTTCCTCTGTAGTCTTGTTCGGGAGCGTCAACGGCGTCAGCAAGAACGAGGACCGCGTGATCTGAGCGATTGCCATCCCCCCTGCCGCGGTGTACGTAGGTAAATCACGGTGGTAGTAGCTCACAGCCTGGAAGAAGTCCTTGGATGAGGTATTCTTCGTATCGAACTGGAGGACGACACCGGTGACTGGAAAGTCAGGGAACGCTTTGACAGTCATCGAGTAGACGACGCCGTACGTGCCACCACCTCCGCCGCTGAGAGCCCAGTATAGATCGGGGTTCTGCGTTGGCGAGGCAGTCAGCAATCTCCCCGTGCCATCTACAACCTGCCACTCTAGAACCTGGTCGGCAGCAAGGCCGAAGCGAGAGCTCAGGGCTGAATGACCGCCTCCCTGCGTGTAGCCGCCAACTGGGCCGACGCTGGCACATTCCCCGCCGACAACGACGAGTCCTCGCCCATTGGCAACGTTGTAGATGTCCGAGCCTTGGACCCCTGCCGCCATGGTAAAGGCTGGACCCGTGTAGCTAGAGCTGGTATAATTGACAAACTCAATGTCCTTGAGGTAGTGTGTCCAGATAGACAACGCCCCCGCGCCAGTGGATTTGCCGAGATAGCTGGAGAACACGGAAGTGTTAGTACGTGATAAGACAGGTTCTCCGGTGGTGCACGTACTCATGGCCCGTATTCCGTATGACAAGCCGGATGTTCCTTTGCTGGGAGAACCGGATTGTCCTGGAGAAGTCGTCCGGGGAACTTGCGTTCACTGAATATACCACCATGTCACCCGGAGCACACGGTTTTGATCTGGGCGTAAAAGCGTCGCAAGTGTCCTTGGCTACTGCGGCCGCCATAATCGACGATGGGGAGATATCGCTACGCGTAATCAGTGACTCAACACTTGAAAATAGGCAGCAGAAAGCGGAGGCCTTGGACGTACTGTAGCGCTGGCAGTGTCCAGTGCTTCTGGAGATACTGACACTCGGTTTCATTGTAGTATGGATCATGACAGGCCTGGGCCAGTGGCTGAGTGGCAATCAGTCGTCCTCCAATGGACGCATTGAAGTGTGCCCAGTCAGTTGAAGATGGCCAGCAGCTATCACCGGGCATACACCGACATGTCGTAGCTGGGAAGCCAAAAGTTGGCCGCACGAGGCACATGGCCCGGAGAAGCAGGATAGACGAGTATATACTGAGACGCATTTTGACGCTCAGAACTGAGCACTGAGGTCTTGTTCGTGTTGTTATTCATCTCATGGACAGGCGAATTTATAGCCTTTCCATCCCTTCCCCAGACAATCGCTCCCTTGAAGAGCCATGCCCCTCATCACCCCTCTGAGATGTAGATAGCCCGGAGATTTCCATATTAGGAGACCAGAAGAAGATTCCTCCGGGTCCTCCTGCATAGAAAGGCGTGCGGATGCTTTCGCCTGTAGGTTTTTTCCTTTCTCAAAGAGGCACTCCTTTTCACTTTACTCTGACGGGGCTCTGAGCTGTACAATCCTTCAAGCATCTGGTACACGTAGGAAGATCTGACTGCAGCTGCCTGCATAATTCCTGTTCAAGCTCCGAAGGCCAACTCCGGTGATGCCAGATGTTGTTGTGTGGAGAAGGAATCAAGGCTATCGTGCTTGATGAGAATGGTGCCGTAGGACGTCATGGTAAAGAAGGGGGGTTCTTCCCCGAACTTCTCTAGTGGGAAAAGATCGATCTGGCCATATCTAGGTAAGCTATGTGATTATTTGGCATTCGTTTGCCAATGAAAGTACAACATTGGTGCCTAATTCTCAACCGATCTTATTGGAAAAAAACACAGCCGTGTATGGTAATGGGATCTAAAACTGGGTTCCAACATGAATGCCCCCATCGACTAGAACATTGGTACCAGTCACAAAGCTCGCCAAAGGACTCGCCAGAAATACTGCTACGTTGGCTACCTCGGTTGGCCCTCCCAGTCTCTTCAGGGGAATCTTCAGTCGCTGCTCCTCTACCCATTCCGGCATGAGTGTCGAGTACTTCTCCCACGGCCCGCCCTTGCACAGAATTGGTCCCGGGGAAATGGCATTCACTCGGATTCCCTTGGGGCCCAGATAATGGGACAACTCCTGCACATGCTGCAGCTGCGCCGCTTTGCACGGGCCGTACGCTGCCGGTGGGCTGCGATAGAACTCACGGCCCATGAACGAGCTTTGCACGATGATGGACGCCTGGGGCGACTGTTCCAGGTAGGGAGTCGCCGCCCTGACCAGCTCGACGAAACCCATCACGTCGATGGCGAAGCTCTCCACCCAGTGCTCCGTCTCTCCTTCCATGTGCATAGGGGATGCTACACCATGCGCTTCGTTAGGAAAAGCCGCGGTCACCAACATTTGAACATTTGCAAGGGGGCTCACCATTGGCGATGATCACGTCAATCCGTCCGAGTCTCTCAGCGGAGCTCTTGACCCAGTCCACGATGGCCTCTTTGCTGGCCACGTTGAACGCGGTTCCCACGGCACGGGCCGTATTTCCTTCCGGCAGCGTCTTGTAGAACTCATCAAACTCGGTGTTGGTGACTGTCCGGGCGCAGTAAGAGACGTTGGCTTCTTCTTGGAGGAATTGATGCACCATCGCCTCACCCATGCCCCGGGTGCCTCCTACTCCACGGTTTAGTTGAAGGACTAGCGCAGTCACACTAGAGCCAGCAGATTCTCTCACCTGTAATGAGGACGTGAGCGCCTTTGAGAGAGGTTGCCAGTACCATGATTGCTACTGAGGTTGTTGATGTTGTGGGATTATCGCAGAGAGAAGACGAGTACAAATGGGCGATCTGGGTTTACGCTCAACGGGGAGGAACTCTCTTTCGCGGGTGGCATTATTTTTTATACCCTACGGCACCAGTTTCACAGATTCAACCGGGTCTAAGAGGAGTTGAACGGGAATTCTGTCTGTCTCCCTCTAGTTTAGGGTTGTCGGTGGAAGAAGGAAGTACTTATTCAGTACGGGATGCCTGATTGGGGAGGCTGCAACTCCGAAGCTCCTTTAGGAAATGAACTTCCCCGAAAGACAACAAGACACAGCTTCACTTTCTCTTGCGTGATATCCTCCTTTTATCAGCGGAAGAGTCTGTGTTTGGAAAGGGGCAAGTCCAGAAATATGATAAAAAAAAAACAAACAGAACGGGCCAGTATTTAGTTGGTCCCAAAACCCGCCGATTTCTAATTCATCTCGGTCAAACCAAACAACAGTATGAGATCCTCCTCGTGTCCGTAAAAGCAAAACCATTTCCCTTCCAAAGGCCAAAGGATACGTGCTGAGTATCCGGCATTGATGGATATGCTAAGGAATCGGCCAGTGAAAGGGTCGCTTGACCATGATCCGCAGCTGTCCGCTGATGGAACCAACACGCCGGCAGCGTCTGATGGCTCCGACCAGAGGTCAGACGTGATCGAGAAGACGGCCCAGCTATCCGAACCGATTGCGGACAGCATCCGTCGGTTCTTTGAGATCCGCAAGCTCGACGGCCCAGATGGCACAGGCGTGGTCTTTGAAAATATCTCCGTTGAGGGGAGTGGAACAGGCGTGAGTTCACAATGCGATACCACCATATCACGCTGGCCCTAGTTGAGAGAGGTCACCAACCACTAACCAGAATGGAACCCCCTCCCCAGGCTCAAGCAGCACCAACGATCTCGTCGGCTGCCCGATCTGCTTTCGGGGTCCTGAGCCCCCTGCAGCACCGGCTGGCAGGACAATTCTCTCGACCGATCCTTAGCGGATTCTCCGGAACTATTGATGCCGGAGAGATGCTCCTGGTAATTGGGAAGCCGGGCAGTGGGTGTACCACGTTCCTGAAGACCCTTTCGTACATGTGGGATGAGTACAAGGATGTTCATGGAGACCTCACGATAGGGGGTCATCCAATCCAGGAATCCATGGTGAAGCGTCCCCAAGATATTGTTTTCTGCGGTGAGACTCTTCCCTCTATCCACTGTTCACCAGCCCTTTCATAGACTGACCAACGCAATTCGGATTTCAAGCCGAATCGGATGATCATTTTCCTACCCTGACCGTGGCGGAGACATTACGCTTTGCGATCCGCGCCAGATGCGGCCCCGAGGCGTCGGCAACCGAGGTGGACATGATGGTCGCTCAACTGGCAAAGCTGGTGGGCCTCAGCCAGGTCATGAATACCAAGGTTGGAGACGCGTATATTCGAGGCGTTAGTGGCGGGGAACGACGCCGGGTCTCGTTGGCGGAAGCCCTGGCGACATGTGCCCGGTAAGTGACATCTGTGATGTAGCGCCTTGGGGCGAAATGACACCACGCGAGAGCTTTGCTGATACAAATTCCAGCTTGATCTGCCTCGACAATCCAACCCACGGGCTGGATTCCTCCACGGCATTGGAATTCATCGAGACGATGCGGGAGTGGACCAGTCAAAGTCGCTGCGTCACGGCGATGAGTGTCTACCAAGCCAGCGACGCGATCATGCCGTACTTTGACAAAGTGCTGGTGATCAATTCCGGCCGCCAGGTCTTCTATGGCAGGATCGGCGACGCCAAAGCGTATTTTGAACGTCTCGGCTTCGAATGCCTGCCAACAACCACCCTCTCCGACTTCTTGAACTCCATGTCGGCCGATCCAGAGGTGCGACGGGTGCAGGATGGCAAACAGCACCTGGTTCCGCGCACTTCAGAGGAATTTGAAGCCGTGTTTCATGCGAGTACGTTCTACCAGGACCTGCAGAGGTCGCTGGAGACGGCAAAGGTCGAGGCGAGAACGAATCCCCGTCCCTTGGTCAAGGCCCGAGCGTTCTCTCTTCCCCTCCACCACCAGATCTGGTACTGTGCCTATCGCCAGTTCCGGATTGTCACCAGCGATTACAGTCTCTGGGCCGTGGAGCCAGCAACGATCATTGTGCAGAGCCTGGTCCTGGGGACGCTGTTTCGCGACCAAAAGCGAGCGACCCAATCCCTCTTTATCTTCGCGTCCGCTCTGTTTTACTCGGTTCTGGTCCCAGCGCTGCAGTCCATGGCCGAGTTTGGAAACGGATTCGCCCAACGGCCGCTCATCCTCAAGCAGAAACGGTACCGGATATGCCGCCCAATTGCATATGCCTTAGGTCTCGTCACCACCGATGTCGTATGGAAGATCGCGGCCATCTGCTACAATATTCCGCTGTACTTCTTGACCGGATTCCAACGCACCGCGGGCAATTTCTTCACATGGTTCTGCATTGTCTACCTGGAGCATCTTGCACTATCCATGTTCTTTCGATCGGTGGCAATCTTCTCACCCAACATGCATCGAGCGGTGCTTCCAGTAGGTATCTTCTTCAACATGTACGTGCTGTATACTGGGTTGTATATTCCAGCGCCGCAGATGCAGGTATGGCTGGGATGGTTGCGGTATCTCAATGTAAGTCTATCAAGCCATATGAAAACGCTTGGCTCTGGTGATTGTGCTGACCTGGCCATTGGATAGCCTTTGTACTATGCGTTTGAGTCGGTGATGGTGAACGAATTCCGGGACCTCAGCTACCAGTGCAGCCCTTCTGACCTCGTGCCATCTGGGCTTGGATACACCGACATGGCGAACCAAGTGTGCGCCGTCCTTGGATCTCGTTCCGGGGAAGAATCGCTTTCGGGGATGTCGTATCTGGAAGCACAGTACGGCTTTGGGAGATCCCATCTCTGGAGAAACGTTGGAATCAACGCTGCCTTTTTCGTATTCTTCGCTCTTTGCTCGGGGTGAGTCTTTGGCCAGCTGCCAGCTCAAGTATCTTGAGGGCGAAAAGCTAACGTGGAACTCTCAATTAGGATCGGAATGGAGAGATTAAAAACGCCAGCAGGCCGACTGGCAACTGTCTTCTATAAAGGCCGCCCATCGATCAGGAACAGTCAGGCTGATAGTGAGAGCGGAGCTGTCCATGATGATGTGCCTCCGGATGTGTCGCGACAGCTGAGCGGAGACCAACATCATCTGAACGCCAACTCGGAAAGAGACAAGAACCATACTCTTGCTTGGACCGGTCTCTGCCTCGATATTGAAACCAAGGATGGGACCCGACGTCTGCTCGACAACCTGAATGGCTGGGTCAAGAGCGGGCAGCTCAAGGCTCTAATGGGAGTCTCTGGCGCTGGCAAAACAACTCTTCTCAACACTCTCGCCGGTCGTTCTTCGATCGGAACTCTCACAGGCACGCTAGCGTTGAACGGCCAGCTCCTCCCCAAGTTCTTCCGCAGCAGGATGGGCTATGTCCAGCAGCAAGACATCCACCTCCCGACCCAGAGCGTCCGCGAGGCTTTGCAGATGACGGCACGACTGAGGCGCGACGAATCCATCCCGCTCGAGGAGAAGAACGCCTATGTCGAGAAAGTCATCGAGTGGCTGGACATGGAGGATATTGCCGAGGCGCTGGTGGGTGTTCCCGGAGCCGGCCTGAACCTGGAACAGCGGAAGAGGGTGAGTATCGGGGTGGAAATGGCCTCGAAGCCGGAGATTCTGTTCTTAGACGAGCCAACTTCTGGTCTTGATGGACAGTCTGCCTTTTCGATTGTTCGTCTGCTCCGTCGATTGGCCGACTCCGGGCAGGCCATCGTGTGCACCATCCACCAACCGGCCGCTGAGCTGGTCGAGCAGTTTGATGAGTTGTATCTGCTCAGTCGAGGGGGTAAATTGGTCTACGACGGGCCGCTGGGGACACATTGTGACAAGGCAATTGAGTATTTTGAACAGCACAGCAGAGCCTGCGGCCAGGGCGAGAATCCAGCGGAGTATTTCTTGGATGCCATCGGCGCCGGCTCTCGCAAAGAGGTCCAAGCGGATTGGGTTGGTCTCTGGCAACAAAGCCAGCAAAGTAAGGACAGGGAGAGAGCCGAGAAAGCTCTGGTCCCCGCAGAGGGCCAAGCACCATTGGCGCCGGCGCGTCGGTCCCTGTATGCAGTGCCCTTCCATGTCCAACTCTGGGTAGTAGTCCAGAGAACTTGGCTCTACTACTGGCGCGAGCCGGACTATGCCATGTCCAAGCTATGGATGAGTGTAGGCAACGCCCTCCTCAACTCCCTCACGTATCTGCAGTCTCCCAACACGCAGCGAGGGGCTTACAACCGGGTATTTTCGGCCTTCATGTCGCTCATTGTGGGTCCTCCCTTGGGGCTACAGGTTCAGCCCCGATTCGTGACTCTGCGCGATATATTCGTCCACCGGGAGCGCGAGGGTTTCACATACCACTGGCTGGCCTTCGTCTTCGCAGGGATCATTGTCGAACTCCCCTACACCTTCCTGACCTCGCTGGTGTACTGGCTGCTGTGGTACTTTCCCGTCGGCTATTTCCGCACAGCGCCACGTGCGGGGTACAGTTTCCTCATGTATGAGCTGTTCGCGGTGTTTGCTACGAGCCTGGCCCAGATGTGCGCCTCGCTCATGCCCAATATTGAGGCCGCCTTTGCTGCCAATGGCTTCTTCTTCATGTTCTGCAATACCTTTGCGGGTACCCTGTCGCCCAAACCGGTGACCCCGTCCGGTTGGCGCTGGTACTACAAGGTGTCTCCCCTGTTCTACCTGGGCGAGGGTGTCACCGTGGACGTGTTGCAGGATTTGCCCCTGCGTTGCGCTGAGTCGGAAGTATCGATCTTCCAGCCGCCAAACGGAACAACATGTGGCCAGTATGCGGCAAACTTTCTGCAACAGGCGACGGGCTTCCTGTTGAACACAGACAGCCTGTCCGATTGCCAGTACTGTCGATATCGGGACGGACAATCCTATGTAAGTGGCCCTGGGAGAGAAAATGAACCGGAAGGATTGCCGTGACTCGCTGCTAACCATGTCGTAGTATCAGCAATACGGATACGACTTCGCCAATCGGTACCCGAACATCGGCATCTTCATTGGGTTCATCGCATTCAACTTCACCATGGTCCTCGTTATGACATATCTCACGAAGATCCGTCGTTAAGTAGGGTGTCATTGGGTTCCGTTCCCGTTCCTATCTAGTCAAGCATCGAGCTATAGAAGTCATGGGAGAGTCTGGATGTAAGATAGTGGTTTCTCTTAGATCAATTCAATTGCTGCCAAGAATATAGATCGTTAAATGCCCTACACGATTGGCGGATCGATGCATGAACACATGGACCCTCTCTCGGCGGTTCAATATCAGGCGTTTGCCAGGCCCCTTGGACGGTCCAAGATTGGTCAATCACGGATCTCGTTTAGAAACGATGCTAAATATATGTGGGAAAGGGGAACCGAGTCATGCGACAGCAGGATGGCAAAGGGCAAGATAACCGTCGTGTTAGAGGACCGTGCGTATATGCTCTACGTGAACCGTCTAGTAGGTAGCTATATCGATGGTGACACGAAGCCCTTAGAGAATCGTTTCCCGACTATATTGATTGCTGTGCATTGGTGGTATCAGCCACCATGTACTCTATCAGTTTTTTCGACTAGCAATGCATGAATGAAGTCTCACATCCCAAGATTGGAATCGTCGCACGATGAAAGGCAGATACACCCAGAAGGATTAACAGGCATCCGAGGTATCTACGACCTTATCTGTCGATCACAACGGCAGTCAGCTTACTCTGTCGATCTCAGGACACAATCCCCGGTAGGGAGTCTGCATATATTTGGACTCCGGTCCGATATAACCTGCGCACTGACCTCGTCGCTGTCAATGGAGCTGAAGATTGTGCACTGTACTCTGCAGGCATGCCGAGAATCCGTCCATGTGGCTCTGGGCCTAGAGCAAGATGCTGACAAGTAGAGATGGCGACAGGGGTGTTGAATAGATTGAAAGATTGATTGTTATCGGGGCACAAACGTGCAGACGCATCTGAAACGGAGGATAGGGACAAGAAGATACCAATGATCTGTAGGTAATGGTCTTGTGTAGCTGAGGATAGTTCACCTACCTACTGCAGGAGTAAGCACTAGGAGTTGCCATCAGTGCATGCAGTGACAAACTGCCCTTGACTGCCCATGACGATGGGCGGTTGGGATGACACATTGCTCTGCTACGCTCTGGGTACCATGCACCCTGGAGATCAAACGTTGAGTCCACGAATTCTCGGCAGAGCACGGAGGGCTACCTTCGAGTACCATCTCGCTCGCATTCTTCTGCGTTTTCTTCAGCGAGCTCGCTGGCCGGATGGGAGCGACCCCCACGCACCCCCAAATAATGGACAACCCACCCCCAACCAAAGACAGACTGTCTCTAAGCCCCTCACCCCCGAACATCCAGCATGTCACTTCCCAATGCATCAAAGACTGAAGATCATCCCAGGCAGGCGGCGAAAGCCGATTGCGCTAGGCTACGCCGAACAGCCACTGGCGTCCGTTCCATCTCCAGAAGCTCCAGAAAGCCCTATCTGGGGTCTGTGCGATTACACTCCGTACTCCGAAGCCAGATCTGGGTAGGATTGCCCATCGCTAACCGAAGTAGGAGGTCGAGCAGTCTCTGCAGAGTTGGAGGCTTGGAGGCGTGGAGGCTAATATCGCCAGTAATATAGACGAGGGGTATCGGGACACAGCGATCATATTTGGAGCAAGTGTGGAATCCTGCCGTCCCCAGTGGCTCAGATAAGACGAGACGGATCAAAGTCCTTGTCCAGGGAGTTGATAGCCGACAACAACGGCTGGTCATGGCGGGACGCCCTTGAGGTGTCGTGCAGATGCGATTCTGTAGAGGCTGCAGGTATGCATTGACAAGGGCCAAGATGTCGCACTGAAGAGAATTAATTCTTCCTTCCCCCCTCCCCCTTCCTCTTCCCCCCTGTCTGTGGGCCTGATAAGATCGAGGTTCGTTGAGAGTGGGACGGTAAGACAGTACTTTCTTTTCCGCCAGGCCATGATGGGGTTGTGCTACGGGTAACATGGCTGGTTGAACTTGCTGGTCAGTCTACTTTTCTTTGTCCTGGGTCATTCTGGAGTCTGTCCTGTATTTGCCCAGACTGATGTCCGTAGTATAAGCTCCAACCGGGCCGAGCCTTATCAAAGTTAACTTGTGGGTCAGATACAACGGGTTTTTCTTCCGCCTCACAGCAGATCTGTAACTGTAAGGCTTCAAAAACTCAAAGATCAGACTCTGTACAAGTAGCTGCTTTGTGGGTAGGATACGATCATCCCTAACTACATCCAGAAATACCAACCGGAGGAAGATAATAGGCTACATGCACCAACTTGCCCGTAAAAACTGCAGCCACTAAGATGATGGTCGATCAGGCAAGCCGTCTTTCGCACAATGCAGTAAGCGAGGCCCCGGCCGTACTTTTGGCATTGGCGTCTAGCTCAGCAGACGCCACAATAAGAAGAATACGAGGTAACCAGTTAGTAAATAAGGGTTGATATGAAGAACTTGAAAGACTGAAAGGACTGAAGGACTGAAAGGACTGAGGGTACCGGGTTTCACGTGCTGCTGATGACAAATCGACTTTGGGCCTCGTCACATGACCGGCTCGCAGGTGAATTTTTGGCCAGTCGATCCTCTCCCAGTAGGAAGATAATGGTAATAATACTCCGTCGTAATAATAATAATAATAATAATCCTAATAATAATAATATTGTCTTCTGCCAATCGCTGGCCCTGTACGGAGCAGAGCCAGAACTCTCCAGCTCGTACTCCGTACATAATCCAGTAGCACAAAGAAAGGTCGGAACCTCATCTTCACTTCTGCATCCTCTTCCCTCCATCTTCTTCTCTTTTCTTCCCCCTCCCTGCATCCCCCCTGGTCTTTTCTGCGATATTTCCAGTGTCTTGTCTCATTGTCTGTGAAACCCCCAACGACGATTCATTTAAAGTCTCCCCTCGAACAGGAATAGATGTGTTACTCCAATCGATATCCCGTTGGGACTTATGACTGATCCTCACACTCCGAGCGCGCCTTGATTCTTCCGCCCATGGTCGACAACGAAGCCTGTTTTCAACTCCTCCAGTGCTTAATCTAATTCGGTCATCATGTTTTCTACCTTCTCGGCCAATCTAGAGGCCACAGATGCATCCCGCGATGGCTCTGCGACTCCCGTGACGGCCCCGCGACCGAAACGAAGTCAGGTCGCCAGAGCCTGCGATTGGTGTCGTTTGAATCGTATCAAGTGCGATGACAAGCAGCCGTGTCAGAACTGTCAGAATCGAGGTGGCCACTGTAGTAACACCAAGCCGTTGGAGGCAACATCACTGCCTGCCGCGAACCGGTATGAACACCCTTTTGTGTCTCCCCACCCTCCCTTGATGCATGGAATTAGTCATCCATGGTCTTGACGTTGCATGACTTCCCATCACTGACGCTATGTGGGTGTGACAAGAGAGATCCAACGTCTGCGGAACAAAGTCAAAGATCTGCAAGAGCAGATCAGGACAGCCAAACAGGAAGCCGAGATCCGCGCTCATGCCCAGGCTCAGATCCAAGCATCAACCGGATACGCCACTCCGCCCTTGTCAGATACCGTCAATGGCTCATTCAGCAATTCCGAACAGCTCTCAAATACCAAGGAGGGATGGCAGGGGATACCACCAGCGGGGAATCGTGCGGGGGTTTTGTACTACGGCCCCATGTCATCCACCTATTTTGTCACTCGGATCACCACTTATCTCGCCCAGGCGATGAACCAGCCGTTGGTGGATACAAAGCTCGAGGCCTGCGTGGCGCGATTTGATGCAAGGACCCCGGCACACCGTCCGTCCCGGTCGGATGCCAGTCCGGAGAGCCAGACCGAGGGTACAGATGATACGGAGGACCTGTCTCGTTCTCAGGAAGAATATTTTCTCAATCTGCTCTGGCAGTCCTTTCACTGTGTCTACCCCATCATCTCTGAACCGGATTTCCGCCGCTACTATGAATCATTGTGGTCCAATACATCACCTGAGGGAACCCGCAAACCCTCGCCGTTAGTCGATGTTCTCCTGGCAGTGTGCATGCAGTACGGTAGCACCTTTCTTGTCCGTGGCGACGAGAACCACGAAGCCGAGGACTCGTCGCATTCGGAGAATGCCAACATGCCGGGTCATGCCTTCTATCAGCGAGCGCAGAGACTCCTGCAGAGCGAGCTGGAGCACCCATCAATCATGGTGCTGCAAAGCCATGTCTATTCCATCATCTACTTGTACAATATCTCGCTTTTGAATACCGCCCATATCAACTTGGGCGTCACCTTGCGGATTGCCCATACGCTGCGACTGCACCTCCGGCCTTTGGATGGCACACCACCCGAGGTGCAGGAGTTGCATCGTAACATCTGGTGGACTCTGTACCGCCTGGACAATCAGCTATCGATGACATTGGGCCGCCCGTCGTTGATCCAAAACTCTCAAGTCAGCTGCGGTCTGCCTGGCGATAGTCGGGACCATATCCGCCTCTCTGGCACCGTGCTCCTCTCCGGCCATGAGGACATCAGCTGGCTGAGTTTCCACGTCCAGTGCATCAAACTCATCTTTGCCGTCCAGGGCGTTCAAGCCGCCTTCCAGCTCAAATGCTCGCAGCTGCTGAACGGCGATGAGGCCAAGGATATCTATGGCGACCCCCGCATGACCGAGACCCTGGCCGAGTTCCTCGGGCGTGAGATGACAGCAGTCCACGAATGGGTCCAGAATGTCCCCCAGTCGCTCCGCAACGCCCGCAAAGGAGCGGGAGAGGCCTTTTCGACCGACCGGGCCGCCTTGAACCTGGATCTCTACAGCCCTCTCTGGCTTCAGCGCCAACGGCTTCTCTTGGAACTGCTCTACCATCACCTTCTGATCTCCACATTCCGTCCCTTCATCCGATTTCCTCCCACATCCTCCTCCCTGACCCCGCTCGCCGACGGCCATAACATCTCCTGTCTCAATCATGCGATGGCGATCACTAATATCCTTCACCAAGTCCTCTCCGAGACGGACGTTCTGCGTGGATGGTCGCCGGCCTTCCAGTACCAGTGGGATGCCATCCTGTGTACGCTGGGCTTCGTACTCGCCAACCCGGTCTGTCCACCGACACCATCCGCCCGCAAGTCCCTCCAGACCGCCGTGCGCACCCTGGATCTCGTCGGCGACCACTTCCCCGCGGCCGTGAACGCGGCACAAGTCGTTCGTGAGGTGAACTGCCGTGCGGATCGGCTCGTCGACACTTTCCGCCAAAGCCTGACCCGGCGACAAGGGCAGCGCACCAGCCCGTTCTCGCCCACCGGCCTGCAGAAAATGAACCCACCCGCATCTCAGCTCGCATTTTCCAGCGCCGCGCAAACCGCTTCCATCCCGGTCCTTTCCGATCCGCTTCCGCCCTCGATGTCGGCGTCTTCACTCGAACTGGTGCGCGCTCGCACAATCCACCCCGTACCATCGATAGAGATGATGCCATCAACCTCTCCCACCGACCTGTCGCCACCCTTGGTTACCACCGCCGAGTCCCACTCTGCGGGTCTTCCTGCCGTGTCGGTGGACGTCATTGCCGGCAATGAAGTGCATTGGATGCAGGCCAGTGCCATGATTCTTGACTCATGGACGGACTTTACGACGAATCCCTAATGCTGTGTTTGAACGTGTAATGAGCGATGACTTGACCTATGACCCATTATTGCTAGTTCCCGCTCTTCCTCCTTTGTTCACCCGTCTGTCCAGTTTTATTCCCCCTCGCTGGATACAGGTATCCAAGTCGCATTGTGACCTTTATTGCCTATCTGTAGAAGTTATCTAGGATTCCAATTCAAGGTTGTCTGTTTCGCAGAGCTTCGGGTCTTTTGGTGCAGCCATGGCATCGAGCGTAGGACGCAACATTTTGTTACGTCGATAAACGACAAAAGTGATATATTGCAAGAGAAGGATAAGATAGAATGCCATTTAGCCTTCGATACTCGATCGACAAATGCTCGTTTCATTGGCATCGTGTATAGACCCCTTGCGCAACTCTGCAGATACACAGAGCATTAGAGCCAGTGTCTTCTACTGAATAGCTATTCTGTCGTGATAACAATAATCTGGGACTTTCTTAGATACCAATCCATCCTCTCCAAGGTCGTTACAAGTCTCGAGGTTTGCTAGTATGTACAAACTATCTGTTCGCGGAGTATTTGCACTACGATGTCGGGTGTAGATATATATCTTCGCCTTTTGGCGTGCCATTCCACTAGTTGTCGCGACAACACCGTGGGCTTTTCTACTACCACAATCCAAAACATATATCTCAATATTTGCTATGACTACTCACAATGAGACTATTCTGGTGCGAGGGTTCTTATGAGTCACGAGGTTAAAGATGTCAACGCAACAGATCAATCATTCTACGTGCTGCAGTATAGATATCTAAACAACGAAGACAAAAGGCAAAAAACAAAGCCAAAAAAAAAACATCAACAAAATTTGAGGGAAACAAGTTCATGATCACATCAAGACCAGTCCGTCCCTTCACTTCCCAACCTTCTCAGCAAACCAGCCCACCAAATGGCTGACCGTGGGATGACTCCAGGTCAACGTCGACGGCACCTTCACCTTGAGCGTCTGCTGCAGCTGCCGCCGCAAACTAACCGTCATGACCGAGTCAACCCCCAAATCCGCCAGCGCCGCCTTGGAGTCGACATCCTCCGCTCCCATCTGGAGGACCTTCGCCACACAGCCCCGGATCTTCTCATCAAGGTAGACCTTCAGCTCCGGACCGGAGGAGGGGATCGCGTCCGCGCCGCCAGCAGCAGCGGTGCCAGGCACGTCACCCGCAGCGGCGACACCCACCCGGCGCACGGCGATATCGGTCAGGATGGAGACGGGGAGAGGCTCGCCCTCGTCGAAGGCGAGACTGCGCAGCACCACGCCGTGGTCGATGTCATACCGCGCGAGATGCAGCCAGGCGCCGAAGGCCTCGTCGCGGGTGACGTCCGTGATGCCCTTGGACTCGAGCTCGGCGTTGATGAACTCGGTGCTCGCGCCCATGCCCATCCCGCGCCACGAGGTCCACTGCACCGCGACGGCGGCGTCGCCGAGCCGCGCGCGGTGCGTGGCCAGGGTATCCAGGAAGGCGTTGCCGGCGCCGTACGACGCCTGGCCCGGGAAGCCGAAGAGGTTGCCGCAGGAGGAGAAGAGGAGGAAGAAGTCGAGGGTGTTCGGGGGGAAGACGGCGTGGAGGGCGAGCGCGCCGGCGATCTTGGGCGCGAGGACGCGTGTGAAGGCGTCGCGGGTCGTTTCGAGGATCAGTTGGTTGTCGAGGACGCCGGCGGCGTGGACGACGCCGAGGACGGGGGGCAGAGACAGGGTGTCGAGGGCAGTGGAGAGCTGGGTTGCTGCGGCAGGGTGGCTGATGTCGAGGGGCAGGATGTGGACTGTCGCGCCGCGGGACTCGAGGTTGCGGATCTTGGCGAGAGTGGGTTGGAGGTCGCTTGGGGCTGCGTCCCAGGTGCGGCGCGGCGGGAGGGCGCGGCGGGAGATCAGGATGAGCCGGCGTGCGCCATTTTCGACGAGGAAGTCTGCTGTTTCAAGACCGAGGACGCCGAGTCCGCCCGTGATGAGGTATGTGCCCTCGGACCGGGGCAGGAGGCGTGGCGGCTGGCTGGCGGGATGGAGCTTGTTGCGTGGTAGGCTGCGAAGACGTGCTGTGCGAGCGACGTCGTCGTTGATCCGGATGACGTCCGCGCCCTGGATGTATCGCATGGCCGTCAAGGGAAACACGGGATTCTCGCTATCGATCAGGCATCCGAGGTCAGGATGCTCGCTGGCGATGATCCGCGCCAGCCCGAAAAGAGGGGCCTGAGCTAGTGCAGTTGGGGTCTCACCACTGCCCACATTGGATGTCAGGATGAACGCCTTCAGAGGGAGACCGCCCTTGACGATGTATTTGACCAGCTCCAGCACCTCCCAGGTGAAAGATTCGGATGCAGCGGGGATCTCCTCCAGAGACTGAACTTCGCCGGGGATGTAAGCAACCGCAGTGCCCTTGTCGAGTCGCAGACCTGACTTGTCCTGGCTGATAAGGTCCTGGACGCTCGAGAATTCGAACGATCTGACGCCCCTGGGAATGGTGTTGGCGTACTGGCGCATCGTTGCGGCATCCGACGAAACCAGAAGGACTGTGTCGATGGACAGGGGCTCTTCCGCAGGAGTAGCCGGGGGCCAGGCCAGCTGGTGCACCAGACTCTCCATGCTACCGCTGACACCCGGGGTGCCTTCAATCTCGGAAAACCGCATCGCGGTGAACTTCGCAACGACCTCGCCAGCCTCGTTCAGGACACTAACATGGGAGGTAGGAGCCGCGTCCGAGGCATCCTCAACATACAGCCAGCCGATCTTGGGTGGATCTTGCGAGGTGAAAATGTCCACGCGGTCGATCTGAGCAGGCATGCGAAGGGCCGGCGTGCCAAACACGGTCGAGCCAACGGAGGTAGCAGCGTCGAGAATTGGTGCCCACGAGGACGAGTCCCAGGGGAGAGGCGCGTCCCCGGTCACGGCCGGGTTGACGTCCACACGGGCGATCATCTCCTTGTCCTTGTGGTAGTGCTCCGTGATGGCCCATGGGAACCCCATGGCCGAGACACCGACCTGGTCGAGGTAGTTGATGGAGAAGTCGTCCCGGATTCGGGTTCCCAGGCGCTTTTTCACAGCAGCGATGTCGATTGGGTCCACAGCCTCTTGGATATCCCGCGCCCAGTACGCGGTGGTATGGGTAGCCCACGACGAGTCATCCTCCGTGGCCTGTGGCGTGTCTGAAAGCAGACGGGACATGATCTTAACTTGGTCCTCTTGCACCACAACCTGGACAGAACGAGGCGCGTTAATGGCCACGGGGACTCGCAGCACGACATTCTGCAGCCTGCGTCCGCCAGTACCCTTCATGAAGGTATTAATCAGGCCAGCAGCGGGCACAATCTCCGTTCCGTGCAAGGGATGGCTACCGGGGAACGGCTTCGTGTCGTTGTCCAATCGGGTCGTGTAGACGGTTGTATTGGTGCCCGCAATGCCAATGCGCTGGCCTAGCAGGGTATGCTTCTCGACGTCGTGGGTGAGGCCCGTATGTAGCGGAGCGCTTTCGATCTTCCGCCAGATGGGCTTGTGCATCCAGGTGGTCGTGGGCAGTCCGTCCGCCCAGGGCCCCGGCAGTTGAGCCTTCCAGTCGACCTCGGCGCCTCGACAGTGCAGCTGTGCAATGCTGTAGAGGATGTGCTTCTCCGTCGGCTTCTGGCGTAGTAAAGTAGGGATGACAGCGAAGTCTTCCAACCCACCATCCATCAGCGTCTCATTGATCGAGTGAGTGACCACCGGGTGGCTGGAAACTTCCAGGAAGATACGGTATCCCTCTTCGACCGCGGCGTTGACAGCAGAAGTAAGACGGACGCGGTTCACCATGTTGTTGGTCCAGTAGTGAATATCGCGCAGGTCTTGGCCGCGGGGATCGACAAGTGAGGTAGAGAACAGACGGACAGTGGGTGTGCTGGGCGCCAGATCCTCCGCGAGCGCTTCGAGCATCGGATCGATCAATCCATTTAATGTGGGACTGTGGAACGCAATGTCGGTTTTGACGGTGAAAGTCTTGACGCCGCGCTCTTTGAAGCTTTCTGCGGCCTGGGCCACGACATCTCTATCTCCAGCGACCACACAGGAAGACGGGGACGACTCAATAGCCACGACCAGGTCCTCCCGCTGGCCCAATTCCTGCTCGACCTGACTAGCAGGGAGGTTGACGAGGATCATGCCGCCCTGGCCCATGACGCGACGATACAGCGCCGCTCGGCGGGTTACAATCAGCGCACCCTCCGCCGGCGTCAGAGCTCCTGCCACGACACTGGCAGCGATCTCTCCGACAGAGTGTCCAATGATAGCCTGGGGGAAGACCCCGTTGCTCTTCAGGACAGCGCTGATACCAATCTGCATGATGTACGTGAGGATCTGGACGCGATCCGAGGAATCGAAATCGCCCGTCAGGAGCATCTCTATGGGCGACAGGCCAATTTCGGCTTGGACCAGCTCGTCGAGTGGCTGGATGGCGCGGTAGAAGACGGGGTTGTTGAGTAGCTCCTTGCCCATATCAGTCCACTGCGCGCCGTGGCCGGAGAACACCCAAACCACGTCCTTCCGGATGTCAGTGCCGAGCACACGACCCTGTGCGACAAGAGGATGATCGGCTCCCTTGGCCAGGGCCTCCAGGGCTGTTTCTGCGTCGTCGTGGCTCTCTACCACCATAGCGGCGCGATAGTCGTGATGGTCTCTTCGGGTGGCTAACGTGGTCAGGACGCTGGACAAGTCGTGGTTGCGTCCGTCCTGGGCAATCCATTTCCGTAGGGTCTCTGCTTGAACAGACAGGCGCTTCTGCTGGGGGCCAGACAGAAGTAGGACACCCGGGCCATCTGGGGACTGTGTTTGCAAAGACTCTAGTCCGGACAGGGGGAGGAATTGCTCAATGACCGCGTGGGAGACGGTGCCACCGTATCCGTACGAACAGATACTCGCGCGACGAATGGTGTCCGTCTCGGGCCACTTGGTCGCCTCCTGAACAACCTTGACTCCTGCCTTATCCCAGTCGATGCGGCTGTTAAGCTTGTTCAGATTCGCCTGGGGAGGCAAGATACCCTTGCGGATAGCCAGGGTCGCCTTGATAAAACCCATGGCTCCTGCGCCGGCTTCCAGGTGGCCGATGTTGGGCTTGATGGACCCGATGAAGCAAGGGTCTTGAGAATCCCGTCCAACGCCATATACTGCGGCAATAGCAGAGATCTCCGTTGGGTCGCCCAGCGGAGTTGAGGTGGCGTGAGCCTCTACGTATCGGACGGTGAGAGGATCGATGTTGCCGACTGCTAGAGCATTCTGGGCCACCAGCTGCTGAGCTTTCGCGTTCGGGGCCATGATGCCATTCGTCTTGCCGTCTTGCGCGACGGCACTGCCCTTGATGACAGCGAGGATGCGATCTTTGTCGTTAATGGCGCGGGAGAGGTTCTTCAGGATGATGGCGGCGGCGCCCTCACCCCGGCCATACCCCTTTGCCTCGTCGTCAAAGGACCGGCAGAAGCCTTCGGAGGAGATTGCGCCGGCCTTGTCCAACACTCTGGTCAGACCCGGACCGCAGAGAGCGTTGACTCCGCCAACAATGGCAATCTTGGACTCGCCGAGCTGGATGGCCTGGACACCGTGATGGATGGCGACGAGGGACGAAGCACAGGCAGCGTCGACCGCCGTACTAGGACCCATGAGGTTCAAGTGATAGGAGATTCGGTTGGGTATACCGCAGTACGCGGTCCCAATGCCCATCCACGCTTCGATGTTAGGCAGATCCTCCAAGACCAGCTTGGAGTAGTCATCTGAGTTGACGCCCCAGAAGACAGCAGTGTCGCTCCCCGACAGGCCTTTCGCGGGAATGCCAGCATCCTCAAGTGCCTCCCAGGCCACCTCAAGGGAGATTCTCTGTTGGGGATCCATCTGCTCCGCCTCCTTGGGCGAGATACCGAAGAACTGACTGTCAAAGTCCTCGAGATGGTCCAGGAAGTAACCACGCGAGGTCGTCTTGCTGAGCTCCTTGGCGTTTCTGGGATCCCGTCGATGGTATGGCTCCCAGCGCATGGCGGGTATCTCGCCCGAGGCGCTCTGCTTGTCCATGAGGGATTGCCATAGTTGTTCGGGGCTGTGGTTGCCCCCAGCCACTCGGCAGCCAATCCCTACCACGGCGACATCGTTGGAGAATTCCTAGCCCGTCAGTTAGCATTCCGCGTTCTTGGTGTGTAGTCCCAGTGTCTCTCACGAATTCACTGTGCTCGGTTCCTGGAGTGTCTAGAGAAGGAGGAGAAGTTCCCCGTGAAGGACGTGAAGATGTAGCTGAAGATTCCATGATGGTGCTTGATTATGTTTCTCTGCCCTGGAGGAAACAGCGTGGAATGAATCATCCTTCTTATACGCCTTCATTCAGCACGACCATCTTTCGTATCAAACATTCAATCTGCGAGAGAGACGATATCACAAATCATGATTTCCTATTTCGGTATCCGGGACGTCCCTCCCGCGATCGATTCCACTGATCGACCCCCTCTTCCGGCGATACAGTTGGTATCGTGATCCCTTCCAACGGCAAAGTTCAGGTCGAAGAGCACGATCGTGCCCAATGGAGAACGGCGCGTCATTTCCAAATGGATATTCCGTTTGTCCGTATGTCTGACATGGAGATGTGGCCGAGATAAGATCGATATAGGGGCGTACGGTGCTGGGACTAGCCATTGTCAGCCTTAACCAGACGGTCGAACAATCTTTCCTCCTGCAGGGACTCCGTCCTCAAGGAGTAAAGCGTGGGGATTTCCGCAAGGAGTGCTGGTGAAGCATGCAACCCATTAGGTAAAGCGAGATCCCCGATAATTTTGAATGAATAGGAGTTTTAACCATGAGAATGGTTCTCGATAGGGTTGATCGCACCATATCTGCGTCTCACCCTGTGCGGTCTTGCTCATTGAGTTGGCAGATGTGATGGGAAGACTTGATTGCACTGCAAATATAGTACGTACACATGCATATATATAGGCCAAATAGCATCTTCTCCCTTGACTTTATAGAATTGCTGCATCTCATATATGAGTAGAAGTCGAATTTAGTCTACATTCTTTTTTTTTGTCTGTCCCAGTGGCCAAAAAACAACACGATGGCTCCCTTTGTGCCCTATCATTCCTCCGCCGGCCAGGCGACTATTGTCAAGTAAGCCAGCAGCTCCCGAGATCAATTGAACAAGGAATTGAGAGATTTGACCTCCAGATTCGGCGGCCTTCTCACCACCGAATTCCTCGAGCCACCCCCAGGCCGTTGCTTTCTCTTCCGCCAAACATACCGGCACACAGTCGAGGGCCCCATCCCGGAGAACCTACGCAAGCTCATCAACAGCCCACACAAGCCCAAGGGACCCCCGCCACATTTCCACCAGTTCCAAACTGAGTACTTCCGAGTCGAGACCGGCGTGCTTGGTATCGAAGTCGACGGCGTCCTGCGACGGATCACGCCCGAAGACGGCGAGATCTCCGTCAAGGCAGGCAGCGTGCATCGATTCTTCATCCATCCAGATTCACCAGAAAGCATGACCGTGTACTTGAGCGCGTCGGACTCGGGAAATGACTACCAGCTCGACCGCATCTTCTTCGAGAATTGGTACGGCTACTGGCACGACGCGCTGCTGCATGACGGGGGGATCGATTGGATCCAGTTTCTAGCGGTTCGCTTACCACCACACCCAGACCTGTTTTTCTTTTCTTTCAAAACTCTCTCCATGAGTTTTCACCTGACGGATTTGTGTACTGTAGATCCAAGACGGTGGCGACGCCTACACCCCGGCTCCAGCCTGGGTCCCCTTCCGCCGTCAAGTTGGCTACTGGACCTGCGTGATCGTCGGCCGCTGGATCGGCGGACTGCTAGGCTACAAGCCCTTTTTCCGCGAGTACACGACTGACTGGGACTTTGCCGTTGCCAAGATGAAGGGCTCGGTCTTCCAGCGACATCTGGTGCACGAGGCCTTTGGGGCGGAGAAGTCGTGGAAGCAGCAGACCGAGCTGGAGGCACGGGTGAAGCCGGAGAACGCCGAGTTTGAGCAGTGGACGGAGGATATGTCGCCCACGCCGTTGATGCTGAAGCCGCTGGCGTATGAGGCTGGGGAGTTCAAGGGATTGCAGGATCAGAGTGCTAATGGGGTGAACGGGCATGCCACGGGGGTGGAGGCGAAGAAGAAGCAGTTGGGGGATATGACCCGGAGACGGTCTGGGGCCCAGGAGTAGAGGAGATTTTGTATTATCGTGAGGTCCTTAGGATGTGAAGCATTTTTTTGATTAACCTGTGTGTCTGTATCTTTTTTCTTCTGCTGCCTTGTGGATATATCGCCGTGCAGCCTATTGCGAACAGGACAGGCACGAGAGTTAGAGCCCTAAAAGTCAAAGAATTATGGAAGCGGCTCTGCAGCAGAATAGAATGGAGCTGCTTTGTAGCACCCTACGGTACAGATATTGTACCTGCTAGGAGTAAGCACCCGAAAAGGAGGCATCCCAATATGTATAGTTGTCCACATCAGCTACAACAACATCAGCACACGCTCGGACGGGACCGCAACAGTTGAGGCAGAGAACATCTCAGTCAAAGATCGATTTGGTCGACCCAATTGGCATTACTCTACAGGATGAATAGCGAGTTAGATATATGTTCTATAGGATATGGCTCCTCTCCGTCATACTCCGAATCTCCTTTAGGAACTGCAAGTCGCAGAAACAAAAACCTTCCCATCAGAAACTGTGTATCTGAGCTGCAGCTGATACTATCATGGCTTCATAAGAGTGCTGGAGGTGCACCCGTCATGAAGCCAACATGGGAGCATCCGCCGTCCTACTGCTGCTTGAAAAGATGGATTTCACACAAGTACCGCCATCGTACATCCTCGGGGTGCTGCTGAGCAGTACAAGTATCCTGTTCTGTTTGAAGTATCTTCTGCGCTCAGGATATCGGCCACCTGAGCTACCCAGCGGTACGTTGATTGAACAAGAGAGAGCCGAGGATCCTCGTTGATACCTTTTTGATAGGACCCACCACGGTACCTCTGTTTGGAAACGAACTTCAAGTCCCAAAGGCAGACGCGCATTTTCAGTATGAGTGTCCCTATCTTTCTTCTCTCTCCCTGAACTGCATGAGCAAGGGAACTGACGACGACGATGGTCAGGTTCACCAAATGGGCGAAGCAATATGGGGGGATGTTCAGCCTCAAACGATACATGAACACCACCATCGTCATCACAGACCGGAAGCTCATGAAGTCCCTGCTAGACAAGAAGAGCAACATATACTCCCATCGACCGGCGTCACTCGTCTCGCACCTAATCACACAGAGCGACCATCTCCTCGTCATGCAATACGGAGAGGAATGGCGCATGCTCCGCAAGATCATCCACCAGTACTTCATGGAACCCAACTGCGAGCGCGAGCACTGGAAAGTCCAAGAAGCAGAGGCCAAGCAGATGCTGCACGACTTTCTGACCATGCCCGAGGACCACATGCTGCATCCCAAGCGGTACAGCAACAGCATCACCAACTCGCTGGTGTTCGGCATCCGCACCGCCACCGTGCACGACGAGTACATGGACGAACTCTTCTACCTGATGGATAAATGGTCCCTGGTGCAGGAGCTCGGCGCCACGCCGCCGGTGGACTCCTTTGGCCTGCTGCGGATCCTCCCGCAGTGGATGCTCGGGAACTGGAAGAATCGGGCCGTGGAGGTGGGAGACTTGATGCAGGCGCTCTACAGCAAGGTGCTCGATCAGGTCCGGGCGAGACGGCAGCGAGGCGTCTACCGAGATTCATTCATGGATCGGGTGCTGGATAATCTGGAGAAGACGCCGCTCACCGAGAACCAGCTGCGGTTTCTGGGCGGCGTGCTGATGGAGGGCGGGTCGGATACGTCGTCCTCGTTGATCCTGACGATCATCCAGGCCATGACCAAGTACCCCGAGGTGCAGGCGAAGTGCGTACCCTTCCTGCTGTCAGCGACGGGGCGAGTTCCGTCCGTGATAGCCAAGAATACTAACGCATCGAGCAACATTAGGGCCCATGCTCAAATCGACGCCGTAGTTGGATCCGAGCGATCCCCAAGCTGGTCCGACTTTGCCCAACTACCCTACATCAACATGATCATCAAGGAATCCCACCGCTGGCGTCCAGTCAGCCCTCTGGGCGTTCCACACGCCGTCGCTGAAGGTCAAATCCCCCCCCCATCCCCCCCGTCCCAATCTACCCATATCCATATCAAAAGAACCAGCACCAGCTAACCCTGCTCCCCACCTATCAGACGACCGCGTCAACAACACCCTCATCCCCAAAGGCTCCACCATCGTGCTTAACGTCTGGGGCATGCACCACGACCCCGACCGCTGGTCCGAACCGGAGCACTTCCAGCCCGACCGCTTCGCAGACTATCCTGCGCTCGCCTCCACGTACGCGGCGTCCGGCGAGTGGGACAAGCGCGACCACTACGGCTACGGCGCGGGCCGGCGGATCTGTCCGGGCATCCACCTCGCCGAGCGCAATCTGTTCATTGGGGTGGCGAAGCTGCTGTGGGCGTTTGAGTTTAGTGAGCCCTTGGGCAGCCGGAGTGATATTTCGGCTGAGTCCGGGGCGAGCCAGGGGTTCTTGCACTGTCCCAAGGACTATGGGTGTGCGATCCGGCTGCGGGCGCCGGAGAAGCGCGAGACAATCATGCGCGAGTTCGAGGAGGCCCAGGGGGTGTTTAGCCGGTTTGATTAGGTCGATGGTTTTTAATTCGGAGTGTTAGCATTCGCAATCTTATCTCGTTATGGTGATGAGTGCGGAGTTTAGGAATGAGAGAGATCGATCGACCTGGACTGGCTTAGTACGATCCTTCAGGATCAGTAAGAGAACCGCTATTGTTGTCTTTCCACAGTTCCACTTGGAGCATCGGACCTAAAGTCTGACCTGCATGATCCTTCGTGATATCCGGGTTGCCATGCGCAGCTAGACACACTCCATCTTCACAGCTGAATCAATCAATATAGGCCACCGTCTGACTCCAGTTGAACCCCAGTTGAACTCCGGCCTGACAAATCATATCATGCAGCTCATTTCTAACCTAATGCTCTGATATTACTCAGACGCCCGATGTAGAGACATTGCAACTGCTGACTGACTTCCCCGGAGATGCTTACACTGCGCGTTGATAATCCCAGATGCGCTTGCACTCCAGTGAGCCACTCCGATTCCCGTTTTGGAAACCAAAGGGAGTCTCCGATGGACAGTACTCCGTAGCGAATATGATTCACATTGATAAACATCCATTCAAACTTAATGCAATTCTGGAGTCGGGAGAAGTAGCAGCTCAACCACCCCCCATCGTCCCGCATCCAGCGCTCTACCTCCCCTCCCCCAATCTAGCCCTCCGTAAACTGCGAAAACACCTCCTTGGTGGCCGTGGCAAACTCCCTCTCAATCGTCGCCCGGATCGTCTTGTTTCGCACCACTGGCCGACAGGGATAATCTTTCGCGCAGTAGAGAAACCCATTATGGTACCCCGTCACTGGATCGCTATCGATCTTGCCCTCCCCGCGCTGGAACTCGAACGCCCACAGCAATTTCGCAATGGCGAGGAACATGTTCCGCTCAGCCAGGTGGATCCCCGGGCAGATGCGCCGTCCCACGCCGTAGCCGTAGTGGTCGCGGTTCTCCCATTTCCCGGCAGCGTACTCGGGGGCCAGCTGGGGATGGTTGGCGTAGCGTTCGGGGATGAAGGCAGCCGGGTCGTCGGGCTGGGAGGGGTCCATGTGCATGCCCCAGGTGTTGATGACCACGACGGTGCCTTTGGGGAGCAGCTTGCCGTCGACCCAGTCATCTATGAGGAGGGATTGAGATTAGCAAGCAATGAAAGTAGCGCTAGCGAGAACGGAACGGGATGAAAAAAAACGAACCCTCTCCCAGCGCATGGGGAAAACAGAGCGGCAAGATAGGCCTCCACCGATGTCCCTCCTTGATAATCATATTGATATACGGCAACTTCTCCAGATCCTCCCATACTGGGGAGCGGTCCGACCCCACGACCGCATCGATTTCCGCATGCGCCTTCTTCTGCACCGCCGGGTTTAGAATCAACGCTTGCACAATGGCAATGGTCAGACTGGAGCTGGTATCCGAGCCGCCCTCCATCAGCACGCCGCCGATGAAAGCGAGCTGATGCCAGGGTAGGTCGTTTTTCTCCTGTCCGTCCAGCACGCGGTCCATGAAGGTGCCGAGATTCTGGCCTCCGTTGCGCCGCTTGATCACCTTGTTCAGGATGTCCGTGTAGAGGGTCTCCATCTGTACGCCGATGGCTTTGGCACGGTTCACGTAGTTGCTGAACATCCATTGGGGAAGCATCTTCATCCAGGGGAAGAGATCGACGGGGGGTGTGGCGCCGGTTTCCATAATCTCGGACCACTCTTCCATGAGCTTGTAAAGACGTTTCATGTTGGAGCCGTTGCGGTCGGCAGTGCGGATGCCGAATACTATGATTGACTCACGTCAGAACTCTATCATATCCTGAAGAAAAAAAAAAAAAAACAAGGGCCACACTCACCGATTGAGTTGGTGATACTGTTACTGAACCGCTTCGGATGCGCCATATGATGCTCCGGATCGACCAGATAGTCCCGCACCAGCTGGATCGCCTCTGCGTTGACGATCTTGACATGCTGGCTGTCGACCATCGACTCCATGAGATGCTGGTGGATCAGCCGGCGGAACGTCCTCCATTGGTCGCCGTAGTGCATGACGAGGAGGTGATTGCCCTTGGTGATCAGCTCGTGCGAGACAAAGGAGTGCGGCCGGTGGCTGTAGATGCCGCTCTTACGATCGACGACTTCTTTAACCAGTCGGCGATCCGTGACGACGGCCATGTTGCCATTCCCAACTTTGAGCATGTAGAGGCCGCCGTATTTGGCAGCCCATTCGGTGAATCTGGAGATCGGGTGTTAGGCCCTCTGCTAGAACGGCTCCCCTTTGGGCGAGGAGGCTTACTTGATGTGGGTGTATTGTGTTGGGATTTGGTGGATGTTACCGATAAATGGCAGCGTGGGTGGCCCTGTACGACTGTGAGCAGAAGAAATGAAGGAGGAGTCTGTCTGGATATGCCAGCGAAACTGTGTACACCCACCTTTTGGCATGTTACTCGTGCGATGGCCGTAGACAAAAGCCCATCGCACGAACAGTAGGACGACGGCCGCCACCAATATCAGGAGCAGCATTGGTTCCATGGTCCTGCCAACTGGGCCCAGAGCGAAGTCCGGCGTAACGATAGAACTGCGGGATAGTAGTCGATCAGGTGTACAGGAATAGTGTATGTTACTACCGTTGATGGAAATCACCAAGGCAAGCAGAGGCAGCACCAGCTCAACGCCTCCTGCTCTTCTGCTATTGCTATATACTCTGAAGAACTGTCCCGACCTGCACAGCGGTATCACCTCACCACCAGAGGAGCGATAACCTACAGGAGAAAGGCGTGGGTGCCACAAGGTTACTGGAGGGTCGAGCCAAAAGGAGCCATCCTTCAGGCTCGAGCGCAGATTACTCTCTCCTTTTAGCAAGGATATTCCTGGATTGGGTCGTACAGTGTGTGATGGTGATGTTATGCAGATGTATCTGACCTATTTGAAATCATGGCCGAGAATGGGAATTCCGATGGTGGAGTCATTGCGAGCCAGATCACCTAAATCGAACAGGAGATGTACTTCTCAATAGGTCTACCGATCTACCACGATTAGGAAGTGACTATGACAGGGAATTCGAAGGTCAGAGACAAGCCCGAGTCGACTGGCCCCGAAGTCGAGGAAACAGCTCCAGCGCCGCCTCCCTTTCCACCAGCCTCCGCGTCTCCTCGGACATGTTATCATATCCCTCGAGAAAGCTCGTGAAATGCGTGATCGCACCCCGTGGCGCATTGGGGAAGTCACTCCCAAACAACACGTGCCCAGGCTTCGCAAACTCAAGCAGCGCCTTCAACGTCACCGGATTCGCCGAAATCGCGGTATCGAAGTAAAACGTACGCGCCGCCTCCACGATCTCTTCCCTCGACATCCCCAGATTCCGAGGCATGAAGGGCAGCATTGTCGCCGCGCGATGGATCAAATACGGCAGCGTCCCGCCCGCATGCGACAGGATGATCTTGCAGCCGGGATAGTCCCGGATGACACCGCGGGTGAGCAGATCCATGGCGGTGCGGCCGGTCTCGTGTGGGTAGTCGAACATGGGCTGCGGCATCCAGGAGTTGATCAACTGCGTGTCGACGGCGTGGGTGGGGTGGATGAAGACCACGGCGCGGCGCTTGCTCAGCTCCGCCCAAATGGGCCGGAAGCGTTCATCGCCGAGATAGCTGTGTCCTGCTCCGTAGCGGGTGTAGAGAGTGACTCCGTCTGCGTGGAGATTGGTGAATGCGTGCTCGATTTCCGCCAGCACGGCGGCGGTGTCGAAGAGAGATGGCACGGAGGCGAAGAAGCCGTACTGGAGGGGGTGAGCGTCTCTAATTGCCGCCGCCTCTTCGTTGCAGAGACGAGCTAGCGCCGCTGCTTTGCCTGGATCTGTTTCGATGCCGGGACCTGGGGCGGTTACGGAGAGGATGGTGGTTTGCACTTTCAGCACGCGAGAAATCTCCTTGTCCAGATCCAAGGTCCAGGGTGGAATATACCACCCAGAAGGATCTCCTCCCGCGCGCTCAAGAGCTGGAAACGCAGGAAACGAGGTCAGCATATATATATATATATCTATGTATGTATGTATGTATGGAATCCAAGATTGTTCTCACCTTCGCGCATGGCCTGAGGATAGAAATGATGGTGCACGTCAATCTTTGCCATGTTGGAAATTATAACCGCATTCACTCAAGTCTTTGTTGATCTGATACCTGACGAGCCGAACCACAGCGTCTTCTCTAGACATGCAAATTTATAGAGACCACGTCGCCTGATCTTCCCAATAGCTGGATTTTTCTCCTCCTCTTCCTCCTCCTGATTCTCGAGCAGACACAATCCTGGCGTTGCCAATGCTGCTTGCATGGTTGGTTCCCTCTGAACCGTACAATCGGCAAGGACTCCGTCCGTTCTTCGGGGCAAAGGGGCCGAGCTCCTTGTGTAGACTGCCTAACTGGGATCTGCCGAGAAGCTGGACATGGATAGTAGCACTCCTGGAAATGTATGATCGTAGGTTAACTGTCACTGTCATTGCCCCCACCACCTGTCGGGGAGTGGTATGTAGGACAGCTCTCCATCCGCGTTGTAGGCGAACTAATGAGTGCACAGTAGGCCTAGATAGTTGCCAGCCGTGTGAGATTGATTTGGAGGGTGATGAGTAGACTCGTATCTACTCCGTAGTATGATGATCATTCTGGTGGCTACAGATTAGTCGTTATCATTGGATTGTAACTATAAGAGAATTCGAATCCTGCCGGAAGTTCCTAGTGAGACCTATTCTAAGGCATTTGTCTATCTACGCGTTTACATGGATCCAACCCGTTCAATTGAGTAGGATCAATGGGGGGCGTATGTCTTCACAGGAGGGTACAATGCAGCTACATATTGGATATGGGTTGAAAAATCGGCATATTTCCATAACTATTGAGAGGATATACAACATGCAAGACATACAAGCATAGTTCATCACTCCCGCTACTTCCTTCCTCTAAGATACAAAGGAGTCATGAAAGGAATCCAAACTGGAGGCGTCTTCACATCCCAAAAGGGAGATGAAGAAAGATGAACCCCTCCGAAACTCCTTTTGGTGCTGACCAACCATTAATAATGATTGCCATGGCTTTTTAACATGACAAACTCAAGTTCCACTGCAGCTAGTGATTGACCTATCACCTATCATCCGCGGGATATCCATTCCGTTGTCCGCATCCAGCAGTCCGAGCTCATCGAAGCTCCTTCGCCCAAACCCTAATCAAGCCACCGTAGTCCCCCCCTGTGGATTCGACACATACGTCTTGTTGCTGGCATCCGAGCCAAACGACGACGCCGTCGTAAACGTATCCTCCATCCACTGGAAGTAAAAGATGCGATTGTCCTCGTTCACGCGCGCCCGCGCCGCCCACGGCGAGATCACCGTCTTCCCCAGCGTGCGCGACGTGGCCGTGAACGAGCCCCAGGCGGTCACGTTGCCGCCGTCGCCGAAAATGTAGTCGATGGTGAACGGGCCGCGGTCCCAGTACAGGCCCACGCGCGTGAAGATGTCGATGAAGGCCTGGGGGCCGATGTTGGTGTGCGTGCCGGCCCAGGGCATGATGCTGTGCAGGGTGGGGTTGTCGAAGGTCAGGGACACGTAAGTGCAGTCGTAGGTCACGAGCTCCTTGAGCATGGTGTAGTCCGGGTCTGGCTGGGTGTTCAGGACTTTGAAGAAGACGGAGACCGGGTTGCGTTCCCAGTTGCTGGGGCCGAGCGGTGGCGGGCTGGATTGATAGTGGCCTGGGAACTGGCCCGTGGGGGCGGCTTGGGTGAGCGCGCCGAGCAAGCTGCCCAGGAGCACAGTAGACAGTCTCATTTTGAGGAGGGGGTGTTGGAGCCTTGGAGGAGTAAGTGTCCGGTTGAGGATCCCTTTGTCCTGGCCGAGACGGCCTTGCCATACTTATGTCTTCTGGTCGCCACGACTGTTCCTCTCTGCGAGGGCACAGCTCAATGAGGAAATCTACATGCGTCCGTATCTGGTACTGCAGGACCGTCGGACTATCATGAATCATGCATTCTATGACTCCGAACCTGGTATCAAAAATGCTGTGCTAGCTTAACGGGAGGTGATTAAGAAGCCTTGTCCACAGCTTCCATACAATGAATGACATAGAAGCTTTTGCTGAGTACTCCACCAACTCTTGCATTAGATCCCCCTTAGCTGGATGCACCTGAATCCTTCAGCGTTCAAATCCCACCTCGCTATATACTCCGAAACTCCTCAGACCTCCTTTCGGCATGCTCTCCAGCTCATCCAGGCCAGTACACGCGCACGAAGGTCGATGGCGACCCCCCAAATCCACCTCGTATTCCTTCCACCGGCGCCATCTCATCTCACCTAGTCCCATATTCAGCTTCCTCCGTCGGTTGAACGGGGTGAAAGGGCTCTGGCGGATGGTTCTTGCAGTGACTAGGACCAGATGGGCCCTGGCAGCTCATTCAGGCCAGTACAGGCGCACGAACGTCGATGGCGACTCCCCCAAATCCACCTCGTATTCCTTTCACCGGCGCCATCTCATCCCACCTAGTCCCATATCCAGCTTCCTCCGTCAGCTGAACGGGGCGAAAGGGCTCTGGTGGATGGTTCTTGCAGTGGCCAGGACCAGAGGAGCCCCGGAGTCATCCTTTGGCGTTTTCTTTTTTTTTTTTTTTTTTACTTGCTCAGGATGGATTCCAGAGCAGGGTATTTAAGCAGCTTTTGCGCTGCTAGGAGCAATAAGTCTGGCTGTTTATCTTTCAGCGACGCAGACGTTGGAATCCGCGAATTTCGGCGAAGATACCACTACAGGCGTTGAAAAATGCGACCAATTCCAAGCATTCTAGGTGCTCTCGGAGCATTTGCGACGCTCTCGGCTGCCGCTCCCCTGGAATCAACCCTCTATGGTCCAGGGGCCTCTCACGCCCGGAGCATGCTGGGCTCCTCTTTTGGCGTGCCTGGGAACCAGACCTTTGACTACGTCGTCATTGGCGGTGGAACGGCCGGGCTGGCCATCGCATCGAGACTGGCGGAGCAGGGCGCAGGTACCGTGGCGGTGATCGAAGCCGGCGGCTTCTACGAGCTGAACAATGGCAACCTGAGTCAGATCCCGGCCAATGATGCCTACTATGTGGGGAAGGATCTGGACGATTGGCAGCCCGGGGTAGATTGGGGATTTCACACGGTTCCGCAAGCGGTACGCTCTCTCTTTTTACCCATAAGATGTTTCCGCGATCAGGGCTCAATACTAATGCATGTCCCCCGGTTCAGGGCGCATACGGACGGGCCAGCCATTATGCCCGGGGCAAATGTCTCGGGGGCAGTTCGGCCAGAAACTACATGGCGTACCAGCGGGGCACCAAATCCTCCTACCAGCGCTGGGCCGACATGGTGGGAGACCAGAGCTATGCATGGGAGAACTTCCTGCCCTTCTTCGAAAAAAGCCTGCATTTCACTCCGGCCAACGATGCTCTGCGCGGCGCCAACGCCACCGTGCAATATGACCCGGCCGTGCTCGGCAATGGTCAGGGACCGTTGTCGGTGACCTATTCCCACTACGTGCAGAGCTTCGCCACGTGGGCGCAGAAAGCGTTCCTGGAGATGGGACTGGCGGTCCGGAATTGCTTCCAGAGTGGGGAGCTGCTCGGCCAGTCCTTCGGCATGTACACCATCAACGCGACGACCATGCACCGCGAGTCGTCCGAGACCTCCTTCCTGCGGCGCGCGCTCGCGTATCCCAACTTCATGGTCTTCCAGTCGACCCTGGCCAAGCGGATCCTCTTCGATGGGAAGAAGAGGGCGGTGGCCGTGCAGCTCGACACGCAGGGGTATCGATACACCCTCACCGCACGAAAGGAGGTGGTTCTCTCCGCGGGGGCCTTCCAGTCGCCCCAGCTCCTCATGGTCTCCGGGGTCGGGCCCGCCGCCACGCTCCAGCAACACGGCATCCCCCTCGTCGCGGACCGCCCCGGGGTCGGCCAGAACCTGCAGGACCACATCATCTACGCGCCCTCCTACCGCGTCGACCTGATCACGCAGTCCGCCCTGCTCAACGCCACCTTCGAAGCCCAGGCCAACCGGGACTACCACGAGCGCGCCGCCGGCATCTACGCCAACCCGACGTCCGACATCCTCGCGTGGGAGAAGATCCCCGAGCCCAAGCGCTCCGCCTGGCTGTCCAACACCACCCGCCGCGCCCTGGCCCAGTACCCCGCCGACTGGCCCGAGATTGAGTTCCTGACCATGGGCGGCTTCTTCGGCTACCAGAACAACTACGTCCGCGACAACCCCAGCGACGGCTACAACTACGCGTCGCTGGCGGTGTCGCTGTGCACGCCGCGCTCGCGCGGCAACGTCAGCATCGCCTCCGCCGACGCCGCCGTCCCGCCGCTCATCAACCCGAACTGGCTCACGGACCCCGTGGACGTGGAGCTCGCGGTTGCGGCGTTCAAGCGCGCGCGCGACTTCTTCGGGACCAGCGCGCTGAAGCCGGTGCTGATCGGCGACGAGTATTTCCCGGGGGAGCGGGTGGCGACGGACGCGCAGATCGAGGACCATGTGCGGAAGAGCTTTGATACGATCTTCCATGCGTCGTGTACGTGTGCTATGGGGAAGAGGGAGGATCAGATGGCGGTGGTGGATTCGAAGGCAAGGGTTATTGGCGTGGATGCGCTGCGGGTGGTGGATGCGTCGGCCTTCCCGATGCTGCCGCCGGGGCATCCGCAGTCTACGATCTGTAAGTCTTGTTGTTCGGTTGTGGGAATAGGCTGACTGACATTTTTCTCTAGATGCGCTGGCGGAGAAGATTGCGTGTGATATCTCCGGTGCTTGTTGATAGCAGCTTGGAAGTACGGGGAGGATTGCCTTGAAGGCATGGGTAGATAGCATCAGAGAAGGATCGTATTGAATCTTATAGATATGTATATACATCCATTTCCTCACAAATCATCTACCCCAAAACCTGCGACTACTACCATAGCCTTACTCCATCGTGATAACAGCCCGGAACCGCACGCTTCCATCCATCATTGCCGCTGTAGTTGTTAAACCCGTGAAGTCAGCAAGAAAGACTCTCTCCCGATCCGCGGTTGTAGACGAAGACCTACCAAATGCCTCATTGCACTTCTCGAGGGGGAATTCCTCCACCAGGCAGTCGATTCCCTGCAGTTCTGCGAATGCGATCGCCTCCTCCGAGTCGGTGGCATGGCCGCTGGGCCAGCTCCAGATGGATTTCCCTTTGCCGACCTTGGAATTGGTTAGCAGGGAACGGACAATCGAATTCGTCCGGTGGATGGCAATCCGGCGTTCACTTACAAGTAAGCCCGTATGGACCTCAATTCCGCCCACGACTATGGCCGAAGCATGTCAGCAACAAGACGCATATCCAACATCACACGTCAAGCACGACAAAGCAGAATAAGGGGGAGGAAACAAAACATACTCGACAGAATCAACAGCTTCCCCAATACGCCCAAACCCTCAATCAACGGGTTGATCAGCTCCGGGCTCGGCGCCGTCGAGACAATCAGCGCCGCACCCCCGAGCTTCTGCAACGCAGCCACGGGGTCTTCCTTGCTGGTATCGATGTATACATGCGCCCCTAGCTTCCGCGCAAACTCCTCCTTCTGCGCGCCCCGCGACAGCGCCACGACGCGATACCCGAACCGGTTCGCATACTGGAGGGCGAGGTGACCGAGCCCACCGAGGCCCTGGATGACCACCGTTTCGCCGACGGGGATGTTCATCTGGCGGATGGAGTTGAAGACCGTGACGCCGGCGCAGAGCATGGGGGCGTATTTGGCGGCGTTGACGTGGTCGGGGATACGCACGGCGGCTTCGCTGCGGATGAGGACGTATTCGGCATCTGCCGCGTGGGTTTTGTCAGACATCTAGATCATGGAATGAGGTTTGGGGGGGAGGGGGGGGGAAGACCTACATCCTCCATCGCGTGTGATCCCGTTGACCTGCTCGTTGTCGCACATCTGGAACAGCCCCTTTTTGCAGGCTCCGCAGGTCCCTATACCGATGTCAGCACTTCCCCAAGCAACCCCCCAACCCCCTGGTGTCTGTCTCTGTTCACTGGCTGCTCATACCATCATGGCCCCCGTGCCATCCAGCACCAGTGCGGTCCCCAATCTTCCAGTAGGTCTCCCCATCGCCTACCGCAGCAACGCGTCCGACCACTTCATGTCCGGGAACGCGAGGGCTAAACCATCCCCGATCAGCCTGTCCATGTTTCGCCTGCAACTGGGGAGAGCGTGGGGGAACATTGAAATCGTCGTATACTTACAATCCGCCTCCCATCAGATTCATCTGAGCAAAGTGGTCCGAGTGGCAGACACCGCATGCTTCAACCTTGACCAGGATCTCGCCGCGCTGGGGTTCGATTAACTGCACTTCTTCGAGAGTCAGGGTTGCGTCCTGTTTCTCGAAGAATGCGCGCTTGTAGGTGGTGGGGAGAGTGGAGCCCATGGTGGAGGTTGCGAGCAATTGCTATCTGGATAGTAGTAGGGTCTGCGATATCGGTGACAGGTTTGTGGAATTGTAGACGATACAAACAACAACGATTGATTGGGAATATATACTTCAGGAAAGCGCATTGTCCGATACTCTCTGGCCATCTCAAGGCTTGCCAGATGGGGAAACGGAGTCGGAGTTACGGAAAGGGAGGAGAGGAGAGGAGGGTATTCATAAGCATGTTTGGGGGTTCTTGAGGAGGTCTTGGGGTCACTATTCGGAATCCTCTGGTTCACTGTTCACCATACAATTGCCATCTAGCAACGTCCTTTACTTCTTTACTCCACGTGCTACACTTATCTGTCCAGGCTGGCAACACTGAGGGGGAAAAGAAAAAGAAAGTAAATGTATTATGAATGAATGTGGACCAGTGGACGGAGCAGTGCCCCCCCCCCCCCCCCACCAGTCACGCTAGAAGAAGTATTCTGTAGAAATTTATCTAATTAAAAAAGAAAAAAAAAAAGCATTTTCCTTCTTTCGGTACGTTCCTCTCCCCCTTCAATATCAAAATTCACAGAGCCCGGAAGATCCGTCTAGAACCGACGCCATGGAAGGAAACACGATGCAATCACGTAGAGAGCGCCCGCGGCAATCGCCATGACATAGACATCATCGATACTGTGCACAATCACGTCCAGAGCCTTGGTCTTCAGGTCGGCGGGAAGCTCCGTCAGAAGAGTACTGCGGGCTCCTGCGATGGCTCCCTGGATGTCACCCTGGGAGTAGCCCTTGCCGGCCAGCAGAGCATTCAGGCCACTGAGCGTCTCACTCTGGAAGATGGCACTGGCAATGGCCAAGCCGAGGAGCTGGCTCTGGCCCTGGCCGATGTTCATGAACTGGATGGATTCCGCGACACGGTCCGGGGTGACGAGGCTGGGGCCGACGGCGTAGGCGGCCTGCGTGGTGGCCATGCCGAGTCCCAACAGGATCGAGTAGCCGTAGATGTTGGCCACCTTGGTGTCGTATTTGACGGTGTACATCGTGGCGGAGCCGATCACCATGAAGATGCCGCTGAGCAGGTACCAGAGCACATAGTAGCCGGTCTTGGGCATGAGCCAGCCGCAGAGGAGGATCGTGGCGACGTAGAAGCAGATGAAGGGCAGCAGCCGCACGGCGGACATGATGCCCGAGTCGCCATGGACGAATTGGAAGTACAGGGGGATGTAGTAGACGGCGACGAAGAGGGCGGCACCACCGCAGGCCATGAGGACGTAGAGGGCGATCATGGTCGGGTTGCGCAGGAATTCACCGGGGAACAGGCGGTTTTCCTTGTCGGTGAGCACGCAGAAGTACTGGCTCAGGGCAAAGGCGATGAGGGTGACTGCCGCAACCACGTACAGGGCGATATTGCGGCCGTCCGTCCAGGGCCACATCACTCCGCCAAAGACAATGAACAGAATGAAGGAAACGTGCATTCCCGCGGAGAGCACCGTGCCGACCCAGTCCAACTCCCGGAGGCGATTGATGAAACTGCGGCCTTCGCCGGCGGGGCGAGGCAAGGACGGGAGCAGGAAGACGTAGATGGGTGCCATGATACCGAAGATGATCAGGTTGATATAGAAGCCCTGCATGTGGTTAGGAAACGGCTATTTCGGAGGGGAATGGGACTTACCCATCTCCATGTCGCAGAGCTGTCCGCAAAAGCACCTCCAATGATGGGTCCCAGGATACAGCCAACTCCGTAGATCAGACCGACGAGACCAACATACACCGGCTGCTCTTTAGGCGTAGTCAGAATGGTGATCAGATTCAGATTTCTATAATTGACCGTCCCGTTAGTTATTTTTGGGGTTCTTTTTGATTTCTGGTGGAACTGAGAATCCGGATTTGATCGCACTCACCCCAGGTACATTCCTGCACCACCAGCACCAGCCCACACACGGCCGACAATGATCGCATCCATGTTCGGGGCACCACCGCACAACGCACTGCCCGCCGCGAACATGGTCAGACAGCCGATGAAGAGCCATTTCGTGTCAAAGATGGCATAGGCTTTCCCCAGGGGCAGGATGAAGACCACCGAGCCCAGAGTGAAACCCACTCCGAGCCAACCCAGCTGCGCGTACTCCTCAAAGGTCCCGGCGACGGCGCCCTGGATGTCGGCCACAATGGTATTATCCAGGCCATAGAGCAGGTTGGCCGAGAAGACGGCAATGCAGATGAGGAGCCAGCGAACTCCTTGCACCGACCGCTCCTGGTCTGGCGTCTCCTTGACTTCTTCCGCCGGACCAGACTCATCGGAGAGGATGCCCTGGTCCACTTCGCGCTCTTTGTCGTTGAGGCTGGGGCTCGTGTGTGCTGTGGACTCGGCCATCGGGGGCGACGAGGACCCGTTTCGGAGTGAAAAACGTGAGGTAGTTCGTGCTGCAGAATAAGATCGTGGATTCTCTCGTGCTGCAGAGATGTCTCGTAATAATAAATTAAGCGCACCCAGTGTCTTGTCTCCCTTAATCTTTCTCATCTTGGGCCGAAGTGTTTTGGGAGCTCAGTATATAACACCGAGTTGGACCAGTTAGGGCTTCATCGGTCTGTCTCCTTTGGGAACTCCCCGGTTTGTCATCCATCGCTGTGACCAATCAGAGTGCCAGTTGCCCCGAAACTCCTTTGGGAAATCTGCAGGTGACAAATCCTGCTTAACTCAGCGGCTGACTACTCCAGTCGCAGCAACAGAAAAGGAGCAGTCGACAGTCTACACTACACTCGATACAGGTGTGTGTCTGAATAAACATGGGATATGGGAATGTGATATGTAATCTTCTTGACGATCTCATGCAGCTTAGAAAGTGGCCCAGCATCGTGGTCGTTAGCCTATAGTCTATCTATCCTCTGCAGAAGGTTGACAAATCCTTAGGGCGCCGACCATCATCATCACTAATACAGAGGACCGAGCATCTTGGTTGCTTGAATCTCCCATCGAAAAGCAATCTACCATGAGCTTATCATATTTTTAGTAGGAAAGGAAGGAAAAGGCCGTCTTCTTACTTAAGTATTGGGATATCCAACTCCTTTGAATCTCCGTTCAGTTTCCAGCCCAGAAAGAGTACTCCATAGCGATGTATATAAGTAGCGATAGCAATGATGTCTTGAGCGATGCAGAACAACGTAGCTTACCACCGCTCCAATAGCTTGATTGACCTCGAATCCCACGAGTGGAATCATGTTGTTCACTGCGTCGCTCCTCCTGTTGTTGCCATGGGCGAGTGCTGCGCCGGCGAATCTGCCCATTGTTGACCTGGGCTATCAACGCCACCAGGCCATTTCTTTCAACGTAAGTACCAGGGAGATTGACTTTGTACTGTACTCTGCCCTCTTAACTCTAAAAAACGTCCGCCAATAGTCTACCGGTCAATACTACAGCTTCACCAACATCCGATATGCCGAACCGCCCCTAGGATCTCGTCGATTCGCTCCTCCCGTCGCTCCCCACGGGCGTAGCAAAAACATCGTCAACGGGACCGGGCTCGGATATAAATGTCCTCAGGCGTTGGCATGCTGGTTCAATGTGCAGAACAAATTCACCAGCGCTGCTGCTGCGGGAACACCCTTTGATTTCAACGCTGCGTATGAGGAGGTATACACCAAGGACGCCTGCACTGAGCCGGCGAAGCAAGACCCCCTCCAATCGGAAGATTGTCTGTTCCTTGATGTATATGTTCCTCAAGATGTGTGGCAGAAGGGACCTCAAGCGGCGCATCAGAAAGGAGGGGCTCCTGTGCTGGTCTACTTGCAGGACGGGGCCTATGTCGGAGGGTCCAAGTCGGACCAGAATCCAGCGGGGTTGATCGCACGGAGTCGCGAGGAGGGCTCTTCTGGGATGATCTACGTTGGAATCAACTATCGGGTGCGAATCGAACCCCCTGGCTTCCTTTTGCTGCGCACTGTTGCTGACCGTGTTGTTCGACATAGTTGGGCGTCTTCGGATGGCTGTCCGGGCGCAAGTTTACCTCCTCTGGCGGCAAGCCAAACGCAGGATTATTGGACCAGCGCCTCGCTCTCGAATGGATTCAACGTCATATCCACCTGTTCGGTGGCGATCCGTCCCGCGTCACCGTCATGGGCGTCTCCGCCGGTGGTGGCTCGATCATAATGCAAATGACCGCCTACGGACGGGGTATCTCGCCGCCGTTCGCGCAGGTCATCACTCAGAGCCCTGCATGGGAGCCCGGAACCAAGACGCCCGCCATTGAAGACGATCTCTTCGACACCTTCCTCGCTTCACTCAACGTCACCAGCCTCGACCAGGCGCGTCGCCTCCCCTCCCACGCACTCACGGACGCAAACTATCGTCTCGTCGCGTCCCGCCCGTATGGCGCCGGCGTCCTCGGGCCCGTAAGTCCATCTTGAACCAACTCTGCGAGTTATACAGTTATACCCCCCCTTCTAACAATCCCCACTCCAGGCCATCGACGGCGACTTCATCCCCGACAGCCCCAAGCGCCTCCTCCTCCAGGGCAAAGCCAACCCGGGCGTGCGCGTCCTCACCTCCTACACCGCCGCCGAAGGCTTCGGGATCGCCCCGGCCAACATCACCGACGAGGCCTCGTTCCAGCGCTACGTGGGACTGATGCTCGCAGGCACGGACGCCAGCGTGCGCACCCACGCCGCCACGGTCCTCTACCCGGCCGTCTTCGACGGCTCGATGCCGTACCGCACGCAGCACGACCGCGCTAGCCTGCTCTGGGCCGATCTCGCGGCCAGCTGCAACACGCGCTATCTGCACGCGGCGGTCCGCACGCCGGGCTATGCGATCGAATACAGTGTCCCGCCGGCGCTGCATCTGTCGGATACGCCGTCGGTGTTTTACAATGGGCCGGTGGCGGATCCGACGGTGAACGGGACCATTGCGGAGCTCTTGCAGAGGCAGATTGTGAGGTTTGTGAAGACGGGGAATCCCAATGGGGAGCCCGATCCGGAGGTGCCGGTCTATGATGGCCGCGATCTGCTGGATTTGGGTGATGATGGCGTGCTGGTTAGGCCTGATTCGACGGATAATGCTCGTTGTGAGTATTGGCAGAAGGTGCATTTCTGAGCTTGCGAGCCTTTGGGAGGAATTGGGGGCGAAGGGGGGGGGATGGATAGTCGAATGCAGTGGTGTTGGTAGTATTAGTATACCACGTATAGTTGTTGTTTGTTTGAAGAAAAGCAATCACTATGCCTAATAGCCTGGAAGGAAGGTGAGGTAGGGGAAGTCTATCTTCAAGCACGTCAACAAGCATGAATGATCTCGGCTTACTCCCGTCACTGCCGCGACATCTACAGACATCGGTGCGTGAAATTGTTTCTTTCATTCTCAGATCCCACTTCGCTTAACGAAACCAAGCTAGATCACCTATTCCGCCGCAAGCGAGCATACAAACGGCTCGTATCCCCCAGAGGAAAAGAGAAAAACAGAGCATCCTGACACATCAGATGGGCCACCACATACCACGCCAACAAGCCGGAGACGAATCCAAAAGCCCCAGCAGCCTTCTTCAGCCCGACGCCTGCCGTCGCCTTCTCGTCCGCCATGGCGAAATACGATGCAGCGAGAAGGGTATATGTGATCTGCGATGTTCCCAACATGGCAGTGTACACCAGGTTCCTGTAGATATGAGTTGGGAGATACGCTAGATGTGGAGTCGAATGGTTCCTGGTACGTACATGGGCATAGCAGCGATTGTGAAGAAGAGGACGAATACTCCCCAGACTGGTGAGATATCAGCGTCACATCCCGGTTCCCACGAATCCGGTGAATGGGGTTGGTAGTGGGTACCTAGCAGAAAGTACCCAAGCGCATTGCTCAAGGCCGCTGGATCATCCTTGAAAGCATCCGCCACCCCAAATGCAGGGGCATTGATGGCGCCGAAAGCAAGATTGAATAGACCTGGGTTCGAGTGGTGTCAATATGTCGATTCAGGGTACACTCCACATCCCAAAGCAAGGCCCCATGGCACTCACCGAAGCCCCCAAACACCGTATGGCCATATGAGTTCCCACGGACGAGCTCCCACTGCGCGACTAACACCAGGCCCAGGCCCGCTGTGAAGAAACAGTTGCCGATGTATGCGTTTGTAATAGCGGCGCCCCGCCACTCCATTAGGCTCATGGAGAGCGTAGTGAAGGCGATCGCGAACGCACCCATACCCAGGGCAGTCTGTTTCATTTGGTGAATGTTACGATCAGAGCTCAAGGAGAATGGGGGAAGGGGGTGGACAAACGGGACTTCCAATGGGTGTTATTGGGGGAGTCGTCGCATGCTCCTTGCCAGCCGCACAGGAGGATGAGGTTGAGGCATTGTAGCTCAGCTGGGATTCCTCGTTGGAGGTATCCATGGCGGTCTTTACATTCGACATGTTGCAGACGATTTCCAAAGAATAGAATTCTGCAACTGACGCAGATCAGATCAAATAAGGTTGCCAGTACTCAGCACCGTAATGAGTCTGAAGAAAATCTGCAAGGGCTTAAATATGAAGTGGAACCGTCACCCTCATCTTCGGAGATTTGATTGCCGGAGTATCTCCTGGTTGTATGGAGTTCCCCCCATGGAGTAGAGACGGTTTTACCCCATGCGGCAATCGAGGAGACGTACTTCTTCTCCCGCAATGTGTAGACTTTTGTCTCCATGTCTTACCCAGTTGTACCAGTATTTAGTAGAATGGCGCCACCGTTAGGAGTCGCCCAATCTGGATGGGAAAAGGACTGCTGGGCCATAGTGATCTAGCAGAAGAGGGAATCATCGTCTTGGCTGTTGCTACCCTCGCAGTGATCCCTCAGACTTGCTGGCAGTCGTAGTAACGGCGTAAACAGCTATGAAAAGCCAAGGCAGGGTGACTCAATTCAAACCACCACTATCTCTATCTATGAATGTCAAGGTGACCTGTGCCAACAGAGAAAAAAGAACATCAGCAGAAGGTCGGTGATCAGATGGTACGGCTATAAGGCCAAGTCTAAACGATCCTACCATCAGCAGGACTTGGCGCGGGTACAACAACGAGAGGTCATCCATCGTTCTCACTAGGCTCAAGGATCCTAGGCCCGATCCAACAGGGGACTATCACTATAGTCCAGCAAGGAGGACAGTCCAGGTAGGAGAAGAAATGGCCATCCTTACACGCGAGATGATGATCTCCATTGACCACACGTCCGAGGCGGAGGAAGGCTGCTTCCCTTCTTCCACCATTGTCTATCCAGCGAGTTGGACAATCATGAACGTGTTCAATCAATACCGATCCATCATCTACCCTTGTGTCTGGCGGATACAGTGCGCCTGCAGGGATCTTGATCTCAATCTTCTCCAAGCCGCGTGGAGAGTGTGATGAAGGAGCATTAAACACCATGCTGTAAACCGTTGAATCGGAGGGGACCACGGAAAGACAGAAGGTCTTTTGTCATCAGAGTCACTTCGAACAGGTAGCTCGTCAAATCTCCACCATTTGAGTTATTACCCGGATCTCGACTGTAGCTGTTGAAAGTGCTTCTGCCATTCTTAGCTTGTAACTCTCTTTATTCCACCCCTAGTGAGGGCACGCATCTCCATCTCCCGAATCTCGATACTCCCGCGCTGCTATTGTCGGAGTACTCTCCCTCACGATTGAGGATGGCCGTGGAATATATATAGAGCGTCCTGTCCTGAGCATATAGTCCTGTGGTGTTGAGGCTTTTCACTCGCGTAGGACCAAGCAAGCAAGCTGTAGCCATAGGCCTAACGCAGTATATGTCCTCAGATTTCGTTCCTAGAATGAAGTCTTTCTTGTGCAGAGTATCGAACTATGGATGCCTTATGTTGCGGGCGGATGCCAGATACCGCAGGCCTCTCGGAGTCTCGACATCAGCCAATCAGAAAGCAGCCCGCACTGCCAAAATTTCCTGGAGATTCCAAAAAAAAAAAGCTCCTCTGGTCTTTCAAGCTGCGGCTCTTCTCTCAACGCGAAGCTCTTCTCCATTCCTATTATTCTTTTTGACCAGGAATTACAAGCACCCATCTCCTCCACCCCGAAACCAACGCTGGGTTATTCTTCCGACCGGCAATCGTCCCGAATCAGCAATGGTTGGACCAGCTGCTTCGCTCACACCTCTGGCCCGTGCCGACGGGTCGGCATCCTACCAGTGTCCTACGACCGGTTACAGTATCCTGGGCTCGGTGAATGCTCCTATCGAGCTACCAGGTCGCCGTGATGCTTTGAAACCCGAAGAAGCGACTGTCGAGGTCTTTGTGAAGCCGGGGACGACCCCCGGCGGTGTTGGCGAACGCTACGTGGAGGGCATCATCAAGAGCATGCTAGGAAGGATAATTCTGGGTCGGGAGAAGGGATACCCTCGACGAGGCGTTGTTGTCACACTGGCTATTGTGGGTGGCCAAAGCGTTACCAGAGGTGATTCGGTAGGTGCTTTTGCTTTGCCGCTCATGTCCACTCACCAAAGGGGGGGGGGGGGTTTATCGCGAGGAACATGGCTAATTTGAGATGCCAAACAATAGTATCTAACTCTTCTACCGGCTCTCCTTCAAGCCTCGCTTCTGGCGCTACTCTCTGCTGCTGTACCTTTATCTATGACTTTTACAGCAACTGTTCTGGCGGTCACCGCGGCCGGAGATATCGTTCCAGAGCCATCGATCGAACAAGCGGCGACAGCCAAATCCCTTCATGCACTGGCCTTTTCTTCCAAGGGTCATCTCCTGCTGAATGAAAGCCAAGGAAAGTTTGATTTTGATACTTGGGATAAGGTGCATGAGCGGGCGTCCGCGATCTGTCACGGGACCGGGATCAGTAGCGGCGACGGTGACGTTGCCATGGCCGGAGAGGACAATGGACAGAACCTGGAGAAATTCGTACGAGAGACGGTCGAGGATAAACTTTATTCAGACTACGCCTGGAAGATTGATGCGGCTTGATCGCAGGGGTTGTTGTGACCACACGGGCTGCATGAACAAGATGATCGCGCCCGCATGCTATTTTAGGATGCTCCCTCTTAATTCGAGCTCCCCGCAGCAATCGACTCTGTCCGCAATAGCTTCTCTGTAACACGCAGAGTGCTTTCCCTGGGGGAACGGGGGGTGGTGCGTTGCCCGGCGACTGGTGCGCACAGGCATCGGACTCCTGAGCGTTACCGCATTTGACGACGTCTTCACGAACTTTAGCGCACGGGCTGATTTATCCGGCTGGATTATGGCCATTATTTTGCATTCTTGGCTCGATGATCTGGGACCAGACGTGCATCAATCTGACAACACGGACGGGCGCACCATCCAATCCGTCCACCTGCAGCCGATACGACTCGATTTGTCGAAAATCCCACGCACAAAGCAAGGCGGAATTTTTGGATGGAGCTGTCGCTTGGATCGCGAGGGGGGAAGTCCAGAGGGCGTTGTTGTTTTTTCCCCGGAAGTCAGTGCTGCAGCCCAAAGACTGCCAAAATACTACATATGTTGGAAGCTAAAGTAGCGCCCCTTGCAGGGAGAGAGGATGAGATGCATCATCAATGAGAGAATAATAATGAGGAATGTTTCACTTCATGTACTCTACTCTGTACAGTACCCGGCATAGGATAACTACCTACTACAGTAGGTACCCCTTATGATCCATCCGAATAAATGATTTGTGATCCTCAATCATGATGAACAAACCATTACGGCAAGCTGACCCGCTCTCTCGTCTCAACTACAGAGTACTCCGTACAGAGTAGAAATCTCCATCCACTCCCCTCTAAGTCTCTTTCCTAGTATTCACTAAATACTCCAACTCACTAGACTGGATGACTAGACTCCGCTGGTCGTTAAACCCCGTTACATCCGAAGGCTGACTGCCTCCAGTTGGTGGATTTGGTGGATCTCCCAGTGGGTTTTCCTCCTTTCTCTCTTCACTTCCTCCGCCTCACCTTTCAATAATAATAATAATAAACCAAGTCGGAGTCTGACACCAGCACAGTAATCATTATATCCTTCTTTCGTTCTTTTTAATTGCTCATGGCTCCCTCCTCCTTCCAGCCATGTCTCCTCTAGCCCAGTCTGATCTTCCTTCCTCTCGGTCTCCCTCCTCTCCTCCTCCTCCTCCTCCTCCTTTCGCCTCCGCAACCTCCCCACTACTACGATCAGATCCTCAGTCTCCGAACTCGTGTCCTCTCGAGACATCCACCACCGTTGGAGCATCCCTTCTGCGCGAGTATGCGCTTCACATAGATCCCTCCCAATCTACGAGCGAAATCCATGTGAACGAATCCCCCTCCGGACTCTCCAAGGGTAGGACCAACGTCCCCCAGAAGCTGGAGCTGCACCCGGAAGAGGCGCCCCCCGTCACCTCCCTACCCTCCTCTCCTTTCCTTTCCTTCCGCTCCTCAGGGCCCCTGGGCTCGCAGCATCGCAAGAACGCCTCGTCCAGCGATCTCATCCCGCGCCAAACGATCATGAAAGCCCTCGCCTCCAGACCGTCGCTGTGCAGCAGCCCCAACGCCAATACCCCCCTGGCCACGTCGCTGGGCTTGTTGGCCACCAGCCCCAATTCCAGTACCCCGATGGACGCCGACCTGCATCGCTCGACCAAGACCTCGTCGTCGCAGAAGCTCTCGGCTGCACTGTCCAACCTGCAGCTGAGCAAGTATCTCGAGCGGTCGCCGTCGACCGCGCAGTTGGTTCTACAATCCCCATGTTTCTTCCATCGGAGGTTCGACGATGCGGTGAATATTCAGAAAGTGCTGGAGGAGATCGCTGATGATGAGTGGTTGTCGCATTCGCGGCTGGTCCAGACGGCAACCGGGGTGCGGGAGGTGTCCAAGCAGCTGCAGCGGCGGCCGATCAAAAGGGCAGTGAAGAACGTCATGATCGTCACCAAGGCGCGCGACAATCGCTTAGTGCACCTGACGCGCGAGTTGGCCGAGTGGCTTCTGTCCACGCCGCGATATGGGAGCGACCTCGGTGTCAACGTCTGGGTGGACTCCAAGCTGCGGAATTCCAAGCGCTTCGACGCCGCGGGCCTCTTCCAGGCGGAGCCTCGCTTCGAGAAGATGCTGCACTACTGGACCCCGGACCTCTGCTGGTCGACTCCCGAGAAGTTCGATCTGGTGCTGACGCTGGGCGGCGATGGCACCGTGCTGTTCACCTCCTGGCTCTTCCAGCGGATTGTGCCGCCCGTTCTCTGTTTCTCGCTGGGGAGCCTGGGGTTCCTGACCAACTTCGAGTTTGAGAATTATAAATCCCATTTGAATGCGGTCATGGGGGAGGTGGGGATGCGGGTCAACCTGCGGATGCGGTTCACATGCACCGTGTTTCGCAAGGATCGGAGCAAGGGCGCACAGGCCGATGCGGTCGAAGAAGGGGAGCAGTTTGAAGTCCTGAACGAATTGGTGATCGATCGGGGGCCGTCGCCCTACGTGTCGAACCTCGAGCTCTATGCCGATAACGATTTGTTGACCGTGGTCCAGGCGGATGGCTGTATCTTTTCGACGCCAACCGGTAAGTTGTGACGCATCTGTTTCACGTGTTTGATCCATGAACTGACGGGATCAGGGTCTACCGCATACTCTCTTTCTGCCGGGGGTTCTCTCATCCACCCGTCCATTCCGGGCATTCTCCTGACGCCCATCTGCCCGCACACCTTATCCTTCCGTCCTATGGTCCTCTCCGATTCCCTGTTGCTCCGCATTGCCGTCCCCATGGGGTCCCGATCCACGGCGTACTGCTCCTTCGATGGCAAAGGCCGCGTGGAGCTCCGTCAGGGAGACTATGTGACCGTAGAAGCCAGCCAGTATCCCTTCCCTACGGTTGTTTCCGGCAGCGGCGAGTGGTTCGAAAGCGTCCAGCGCGCCTTGCGTTGGAACACACGCGGGGCGGTGCAGAAGAGTTGGAATCGCGACGGGGACGCCGACCTCTCCGGCGACGAAGCTGAGGAGGAGGAATGGGACATCGACACGGATGCCGGTCTGGCGGGCACCGACAGCGGCCTGGGTCCCAGCGAGGACGGTGAGTCGGGTACCACCAGTCCGATGAAACGACAGATGAGCCTGCTCAATATGTAGGGGCTCTCTACATTGCTTGGTTTTGATGCGTACCCCTTTCGCTTTCTTTCCCCCTGGTTTGGTTCGCGGATACACTTTTCGGTCCTGGCGTTTGGATTTGATCGTCTATTTATGCATTATATGGTACAGGGACAAGGTCGCTCATTTGGATTGAATCTTTGCTGGCATAGATATTTCGGGACTGGCTACCGTGATGGATAGACTATCTTGCTCAGCACTGGCGTTAGCGTTGCTCTGATCTCTAATTTGAATTGCGTCCAATCTACCGGTCTGTTTGGTTCATAGAGGTTCGAAATTAAATTTGTTATATGCACCATTGGGTATAGTGAAACTGCCGTAGCAGGTCGTCAACGCATACACTCAAAAGTCTTGTCGATACACGAGGGTCCTCCATCTACAATCCCCTTCCCATGAATACCTACCGAGTCCTTTACCAATCACAACACTCCGCCAACAGGGCCGCCAACTCCTCCAAATACTTCCGATCGACCTCATCAAACCCACTCGGCTCCGTACAATCCACATCGATGATCGCAACCGTCTACACACACACACACGTACGTTTGTCAGCCCATTCATTCCATCCCCTCCCAAAACCAACCCAAAAAAATCAAGTGCTAGTTGAAGGATATGGTTTGATCTTACCTCCCCACCCACCAAAACCGGCACCACGATCTCACTGCGACTGCTCGCGTCACACGCAATATGGCCCGGGAACGCGTGCACGTCCGGCACGAGCACGGTCTGGCGCTGTTCGGCCGCGGCGCCGCACACGCCGCGCCCGAAGCGGATTTCCTGGCACGCGGGGCGGCCTTGGAAGGGACCCAGGAGGAGGAGGAGGAGGTTTTCGGGGGGCTCTGTTGTTGAGGATGAGGTCGTAGAGGCGGGCTGGGGGAATTTGTCCTGGCGGATGTAGAAACCGGCCCAGTTGACGGAGGAGGAGGGGGGTGGGAGGGCGGCGTAGGCGTGCCAGAGGAGGGAGGCGATGTTGGAGAGGTTGCTGGGTTGGATGTGGGTTAGATGTGATGGTTTGTGGGGGGGGGGTTGGAGGGTTGGATGGCTAGGGAGGTGTACCTGACCTAGAAGGGTGTTAGTTTGGGATGCTCAAGCACGAGGCATATGGGGATAGGGAGATACCCAGTTGCGTTGTCCTGTTACAAGGCCCTTTGCTTGTTCGAGAAGCTGTTCGTAAATGTCGGCTTTGGAGGCCTGGCCGGAGCTGGCGAAGTAGGAGGAGTCGGCGTGCGGCTGGCGGTGTTAGGGCGGTGGTGCAGATCTGGGTGATAGGATAACACATACCATGTTGAACTGAAGGGATATGATCAGCTCTAGGAAGAATAGAAACAGTCCAGATGGAGGATGAGGATGAGGATGAGAATTGGAGAGAATTGGAGAATGAGAAAAAAGACGCTGGCGGGTGTGGGGTTTCTTATCGTCTCAGTATCGATAAGATGCTTTCTCTGCTCATCATTTGCGGCGCCAGTGGTAGCCCTAGTAGTGTTCTAGTAGGACGAGTATAGATATGTCTGGAGAAGATGTTTATGAGAGTGATATATATCTAATGTAGCTAACCTTGGATCCTCGGAGCTTCAAGTCATATCTATCAATGCAAGGACCGTCAACCACAGCCAGGGCATTGCTCACGGCATCCTCATTCATCTCCCTGATCTTCCAGCCACACACTCACTGCCTGACAAAGAGTCAATAAAGCACATCCTATCTCAATCTCTCTCTACATCCTATCCAAGCACGAACCATCGGAAGGATCTCTAGCATCGCGGACAATTTCCCTATCCGGAGCCCACGCGATAGACGTCCGTGATAAGCAACCGAGGCCGGATGTAACGATAGTAGCCCGTTGGAGAGAAACGATATAAACCCTCCATTGATCCCTCCCAACATCCTCGTACTCCCGCATCAAATGTCCTTTCTCCACAGCTACAGCATGCACGCTCTGGCCCTGGCCCCATCGCTTCTTCTCCCCGCGGCTCTCGCCCGCGACATCGTCTTCCCTCCCATCGCCGGCGTCCCAAGCCCCCCGCGCCAGATCGTCCTCGATCCCCAGAACCATGTCGACATCGTCACGGACAGCCAGTTCTCCGGCCTGACGACGTTCGCGCGCCTCCCCTACGTGAATTGCTTCGCGGATGAGGCGGACTCGGAGCGGTATGACATTGCGTTCCTGGGTGCGCCCTTTGACACGGTCTGTAGAACGAGCCACTACCGACTCAGCTTCTCGTTCTCGGCTATACCCCGGGTGCTATTGCTAAGGGTCGTGGGCTAACCTGGTGTCTGTTTCACAGGCCGTGACGGGTCGACCAGGAGCTAGGTTCGGTCCTGGCGGCATCCGTCTGGGGTCGCGGCGGCTGGGCGGGTGGAGCATCTATACCGGCGAGAATGTGCTGGAAGGCTGGGCGAAGATCGTCGACTGTGGGGATGCGCCGCTGACGTGGCTGGATAATACCGTTGCGCTGAAGCAGTTGGATTTGGCGCATAAGGTGTGTACGCCGTAGCTGGGGGAGGGGTTTCATTGGGTCGGGTGGTGGTGGTGGTGGTGGTGTAACTGACACGGTGTAGGTCATCTCGTCGCGTCAGACAAATAGTACGACCAACGGCTCTGTCCCTCGCATTATCACTCTAGGAGGAGACCATACGACCACGCTGCCTGCTCTGAGATCGACGTATGAGAGATGGGGACCTGTGTCGGTGATCCATTTCGATAGTCATATCGGTACGAGGATTCCCCTTATCTTTACATTTACAGGAAGAAGGAAAGCTGACCGTGTGGATAGATACATGGGATCCCGATGCCCTAGGTACGTTCCAGCCCCTGTGTCCCCCCCCTGAACCCTCATCGAGTTCGGAAACTGACATGATCAGGCGGCGGTATCTCCCACTACGCGTAACTCAAACTCACTCTCCCTCCCCAGTCTTCCCCTACTATCAGGAATCCTACTACTAACACACCCACCTCCCTCAGCGGCGTAAACCACGGGACCTTCCTGCACCTCGCTCACGAAGAGGTATGATCCCCCAACATCCACCATCCAAACGGCACCACCCCCATCTAACGACCAAGCAGGGCCTCATCCGCAACACATCCATCCACGTCGGCATCCGCGCCCCCGTCACCAGAGGCAAAGCCGACCTCCGCAACGACCTCCGCTGCGGCTTCGAGATCGTCACCGCCCGCGACCTCGACCGTCTCGGCATCCACGGCCTCGTCGAGCAGATCAAGCGCCGCGTCCACGGAAGCAAGGTGTATATCTCGGTGGATATCGACGTGCTGGATCCTGCGTTTGCGCCGGGTATGTCCGTCCTCCTCCGTCCATCAAACCCGAATACGTACACCGTCTACGGTTGAGTCAAGACCTAGGGGAGACTGCGACGACTAATACTGCGACGCTAGCAACCGGAACCGCCGAGCCGGGCGGCTTCACCACGCGTGAACTCCTCTCCATCCTCGACGCGCTGCGCGGCCTGCCCGTCATCGGCGCGGATGTGGTCGAGGTCGCCCCGATCTATGATACGCGCGGGGAGACGACGACGCTGGCGGCGGCGGAGGTGGCGCATTCGTTGCTGGCGCTGATGGTTGCGACGCCTGTAGTCTGCGGATGAGGTTTGAAGTGTGATTCGTGATGATTGTGATGTATCTTTCTATTCCTATTCAGATTCAAGGGACGGGGATCCCCCGTGTTACAGTAATGGCGAAATAGAACTATGTTTCTTTCTCGAATCATTGCCTCCACCACTCGCATCTTCATGCACCATGACGGTTCAAGTATACTGCCACCCCAGGCCCCGTAAAATGCTTCCGCCCCGTGGTACCCCACGTCATCAATGCGATCACCGCAACGACGCCAATAGCGGCCGAGGTATAATTCATCGAGTGCGTCGCGATCGGCCACGAGCTGGGAAAGTTGAACGTGATGGCCGCGAAGAGCAGGAACAGCAGGCCCAGTCCGTTCAGGGTCAGGGAGAGCCAGGCGGGGAGCGCAAAGGGTCCGGTCATGGTGCGGGCGTGGCCGGTGGCATAGCCCAGGAGACGGCTAAGGAGGGCGATTGCGTAGGAGAGATCTAGGTAGTTAGCATAGGATAGGGTAGGGTAGGATGGGATGTCCTGTTGGGTGGGAGGAGGAAGAGGGAGAGGAGGAGGAGGAGGACATACAGAATCCCTCCGTCGCGATGGCAATGACCGTCTCGAAGCCGGTGGTGGTGCCAAAGTCGATTGCGTCGAGGGCGAGCTGCACGGCGAGGGTGAGGAGGATGGCGTTGACGGGGACGTGGCGGGTCGGGTGGACTTTGGCGAGGGTTTCGGAGAAGGGGAGGCCGTGGTCGCGGGCGAAGGCGTAGACGGCGCGGGAGCCCTCGGCGAGGAGGTTGTTGCCGGCGACGAGGACGATGACGGCGATCATGCCTGCGAGGAAACAGGCGGCGAGCTTGCTGCCGGTGGAGTCGTAGAAGATATGGAGGACGGGGACGCCGGTGGGGGTGTTTGCAGTAGCGGTGATGTCGCCGATGCAGAAGCAGAGGGTGAGCAGGAAGGCGAAGCCGGTGGCTGCGCCGAGGACGACGGAGAGAACGATGGCCTTGGGGGCTTCGGTGGAGGCGGATTTCATCTCCTCTGTCATGTGGGCGGGGGCGTCATAGCAGCACATGCCGAAGCAGGACTGGAGGATGCCGACGATGGCAGCCATGGCGGGGCCCCAGCCGGTGAAGTTCTGGAACTCGACGAAGACGAAGGCGGGCTGCTGTTTGTGGTCGTTTGTGGCGAGAAGGACGACCATGGTGATCAGGAAGGATGCCACGTTCCACACGAGGATGAAGCGCGCAATGCGGTTGAGCAGGTGAGGGCCCCAGATGTTGACGGCGGCCGCGATGATGGCGACGAGGTAGGCAACGAGCACGGTCTGCCAGCGCTGAATGCTGTACTCGGGGAAGACGAGGTTGGCCATCCCGAGGATGAAGTTGGCGGCGATGGAGTTGTTGGTCGCTCCCATTGCAAGGACACCTGCTGCGATCAGCATCCCGCCGCCGTCAGGGTTCTCGAAACAGCCGCTTTACCTATGAGCATGAACCATCCGCTGATATACGACAGCCCTCGAGCGAACTTTGGCGGTGCCAGCGCCGCTACCCAAGAGTATTGGCCTCCCGCGACGGGATACATGGAGCACATCTCTGCCATGGGGATCGCAACGGCCAGGGTGAGAAGACTGACCCCGATGAAGCCATAAATCATAACCGGAGGCCCTCCCGACGTGACTCCGACGATGAATACACCACTCAGAGCAGTCCATCTGGGGGACCATTAGCTCACTTCCAGCAGAGAGAGGGCCATAGATGAGAACTCACGATGTGACGATGCTGAAACTGAACCCAATCATGCCTAACAGGCCAAAGGTGCGTTTGAGTTCTGCGCTGATATTAGTAGGGGCCGCGTGTATCAGAAGACAACGGACACACCTTGCTCATAGCCGAGATTCCCAAGCCGGACATCCTCCTCGACCGTCGGCTGGAACGCTTCTTTCTTTTCACTCATGGTTTGCAATGCAAGATCCAATGAGTGTTGACTCCGATAGACCAGGACAGAGCGAGAGGGCGAGTGTGCCTGCCGCAGCAAGGGGTTTTTAAGTCTCTTGACCATCTGAGAACTATATTGACGCCCCTACATGCCTGTATTCTCATATCTCCCCGCAGTGTCAGTAGAACCATGTTGGTTTGATAAGATAGATAGTCAAGCAGGATTCCTAATCGAGTAGGTCTCCGCGATGGCCTGGTGGGTCAGTCAGTATCGAGTCGAATAGTAAACACGCAGATGCCGTATAAGCGTGCAGTAGGATATCAGCATGCCAGAATCATAATCCATTGTACGACTCAGGACTCAGTTGAAGTAAGAGATAACGCAGTCCTGATCCCCCCAAGTGACCAATCGACAAGAAATTCCATGTCTGTGCTGATAAGACGGACGACAACATCGCAAGCCAACCCGCCCTAAACCACCCCCACGACAGAATAAGGGTAAAGACTATAACTCCCTCTCCCAGATCTCCCCGACCAAAACCGTCCCAAACCCTTCATGCTCCTCCTCCCGACTCAACCGGAATCCCTCCGCCGCATACAGCCGCCTTGCCGAATCCAGCACCCTCTGCGTCCACAGCACGATCCGCTGATATCCCGCCTGCCGCGCAAACTCCACACATGTCCGGATCAGGGACCTGCCGACGCCCATGCCGCGCGCACTCGGCTCGACAAGCAGTAGGCGCAGCTTCGCCGTGTCGGGGCCTTCAGTGCTGTCCTTGACCAGCATGATGCAGCCGACTGGGGTCGGGTCGCCGGTGCTGGCGGTGTGTTCTGCGATCCAGCAGCGTTCGAGGGCCGGGTGGTGGGTTTGGTGGAAGGATCGGGCGATTTGCGAGACAAGGGTGGTGAACTTGTCGTTGAAGTTGTATTCGGTGGCGTAGAGGGCGGCATGGCGGCTGATGATCCAGTCGATGTCCGAGGGTTTGTGGGTGCGGATGGTGATGGAGGAGGAGGGAGTAGTTGTGTTCATTGTGAGGGTAGGTAGGTAGGTAGGTAGATTGTGAGTTGGGTAGGTAGACCTCTCTCCAAGAACGAGAGGAGATTGACGGGCGATATACATTTTATATAATAGTTATCAGTGGGGCTGATGCCATTGACAGGGCGTGCACTAAATCCTCACCATCTTTATCAAGAAGTATATTTATACCCCCAAACAACCAAAACCACGACATCTCCGTAGGTTGAGGTCTATTGAAGTATGATAGAGGATTCCAGAGGGTGGATGGAGGGAAGATGGAACAGAAGAGCGGGAAATACAAATCCCTCATCTCTCGTCTCGTCTCGTATAGTATACATAGTATCTATATCTACTCCGTCGTCCAGTCTAAAGCCAAGCGAGTAGTCCCCTCCCCTCAACAATGCATATACTCCAACCCCCCAGCTTCATTCTGGATACATTCGGCCAGATTCACCGACGCAGACTGCACGCTGCCATGCCGGTCATTCAGCTGCGCATGCAGCATCGGTCTCGCATCCGCTCCCTCCAGCGCAAGATGGACCTGCGCCGCGCTGTCGGCGAACGAGCCCCCGCCCCAGACAAACTTGCCTATCGTCATCGTTAACCCCTTTTCCTTTGTGCCAGAGCTGTAGAGACAGGTGATGTATTCATACCGTTGTTGTTGCCCAGGCAATCATTCAGATCGAGTTCGGAAAAGCCCCAGGAGCCGTCGGGTCGTTTGCAGCGGCTGCAGAGGATGTGGTTGCCCTTGAGGGTGATGGTGTCGGAGGAGGTGTTGAATCCACGGAGGGCCATTTTGATGATCTCTGCCAGCTTTCTCGCTTGTCCTGGGTTGAGAGGGTGAGATGTGTGATGGAGATGCTGTATATATGGGGGATGGCGCTGGACGTCATTTGCAGCTCATGTTGAGGTCAAGGGGGTGTCCGTGGGCAGAGTGGGAGCGGTTTCCATGGGATGACAGTACTGCATCAGAGTAGATTGTTTGAGAAGGAAAGAAAGAAAAGATCATTGTGAAGAGGTGGATGTATGAATGCCGTTGCCATATCCTTGCAAAGATCACTACCATGCTCAGGAGATCACTTTACAGCCAAGATCCGACAGTCCATTGCACTCGGAGCCACCTCTAGGCAATTCGAGGAAAACGACTGTGGCGGGAAGAACATACCAGGGCCGGACGACTGAAGCGGAGATGATTATTATTGGATGCGCCGCCGGTAGTCACTAGAGTTAACGGTCAATAGGTGAATGGATAGCATTCGGTCATGGAAGTCGTAGTGGGGAAATACGTCTCGAAAGTAGATATAGCCCAGAGATGCATGCGACAGTGGTTTTAGGTTGGTGATCTGGCTACATAGTTAGAACCAACAGGGATTGGAGATCAACCGGCTGGTGCTGGCTAAACCCGACAGATGTCATAGCTATAAATACCCACCTCCAACACCTGAGACACCAGATACCAGACACCATCGATAGAACTCTATTATCCACAGCTGCCGCCACCATGAAATACATCCCAACTCGGCTCCAGCGGCCTCCGCGTCGGCTGCATGGGCTACGGCAGCCCCGAGAAACGCTGGACTTGCAGCTCAGCGACGAGGAGATCAAGAGTACTGATGATTTGTACGAGCCACGGAGGGTTGTTGGCCACGGCTAGGGACTACGCAGCCTTTCTCAGACTAAGGACTATAGAGGATGCTTAGGCTGAAAAAGACAGCCAGCGATGTCACCACCTGCAGTGGGCCCTCGCAACAGGCAGTCCATTCCATAATCCTGGAGCCTACTTTGCCGGACAATCCTGGTGTGGCTCATCTCCCGCAAGGAATGCACTGCCTTTCTAGAAGAACACGGATCCGTCATCCTCCTGCTCAGCCCGCCATAACCGCAAATACCCACCTTGCGCAGGCCACCCACAGACACCACAGCCACTAGGTCATGCGGGAACCCGCGCGGCGCTTCAAATCAGGATCAGTGGCCGGTCTGATCTTCTGGACTCTGCAGGACTTGGATATTGAGATCGTACTAGGCTTGAACGAGGGAGCGATGGACGGCACGAGACGTGGATGCGCAAATGTCTTGCATCGCTGAGTTGAAGATGGTCTGGGATAGAGCTACGGGATGCTCGAGTCAGGGAAGCCGGGATACAGTGCTGCAGGAGATCTTCCAGTGTGGATGGTCGAGGATGCAGTCGATCCGAGGGATTCTGGCGCATGACTGGTTGATCTTATCTGGTGGGGTTTCTATTCACTATGAAGGTGACAGCGTCAGTCCAATAATCGACGATGGCAGTTTATTTCTTCATCACATATAGTCACACACATCATGATTCACCATTTTCCCTGTCGTGTGTCTGGAACTCTCCGTTAGCTCTGACAAACTGGAGGGAGTAAGAGACTACCTATCCTTGATGGTTTCCTTCAGACGGGGAAACAGGGATATCCGACGCATGACTATTGGATCTGATTTCAAATCCGAGAACGACACGACGAACGGACCAATTACCATCACCACGCACAGTGCACACAGACGGTGGTGGCTCAGGTGGCGGCGGGGTGAACAATGCAGCCAACTGGTCGAAGTCGGACTGAACGAGTCGGCTGATGGGCTGGTTGATGCTTCTGGATAGATCCTTGGCTGGGTCGGCTGGGAGGGGAAAAGCAACGGTTTAGTGCCTTGAGCCTGAGTCAGTACTCAGTAGTGAGCTCCTAGTAAGACTGGAAGATCGAAATCTGATTGATGGATGGGATGGCTGGATTAGGAGAACACTGACGGACGGACTCTGATCGACTGTGCATCAACTGCCATCCTCTTGGAGGGGTTGTCAATGTTAGTTTGATGGAGAGTAAAGTATGGTGATCGAATATGATGTAGATACTGAACTGGTAGACCGTTTCATTCTTTGGAGAAGAATATCAGACTCGACTCGACTCGACTCGACTGTCCACGACCTAATAATATGAGCGAGTCAGAAAACAGCACCCATCACCACCAGGAAGAAAGCGGTTTCAGTCCACTGCAAAAAGCAGTCGATCCCATCAGCTTCCATCCTCTTCAGATGAGGGATGACTCTTAAATGCCTCTCTGCCTTGTTTTTGTTTTAGCTTCGTTGTTTGGGTTCGGGGTCATCCGCTGCCTGCGCGTGTGGTTACAGGAGGTCTTAGACTCGTAGTGGAATTTGATAGAACTGGTGTACTCCGTAGATTTTGTTTCCCAGGAGCTCTTAAGGACCAAGCTCCCTGCCCTGGGGGACTGGACTTGACTCCTTTGTCTGTTGCTTTAGACCAACCTGAAGCCACTGACATTTGGTTTCTGCACATCATCTTTTTTTTATCTTGATAATCAGCCACCACCTCGTCTACGCGATCGTCATTGATCAATCATTGTGAACCACATTTTCTTTACAATTATTATTACAATTTACAAGCCACGGCATCAGTGAGCCAACTCGGTTTTAACTGGTTACTGGTTACTGGTTACTGGTTACTGGTACCTACGACTACTGTAGTAAGTCTTTGAGGACCTCCGGCTAAGGCAGCGCCCGCTAGGTCCTCAGGAAACCAATTGGCTCACGTGCTAGAGAGGGGGGAATTGGACCATCCTCAGGTGCTACTGTGCTAGTAGCTGCTGAGTACTACTCTGTGCGGCAATATTCACCGACCCGAATTATGTCGGAGGTGAGTGAGATACGTCTGCTGCATGTTTCTGTTCTCTCTTGCTCCTGTCTGCCTCTTTCCCCCTTGCGCCCAGTGGTGCAACTATCAATTTCACCAACTGGCCAAGTGGGGGAGGGAAAATCCCTTTTCATTCATTCATTACCTATTAACTACCCGGGGTCGTACCACGGTCCTTGTACGGAGTAGTTTGTACTGTACCCAGCTGGTTAGCGTACCGTACCTGACCCACTCTAACCACTTTCCTCCCCACTGAGCTGTTTGTTAAGTTGTTTTCCCGCATCTCCCGTTATGACGCCATGTCATTCCTGGGGTTTTTGGACGGTCAGGAATCTGTATTTCTCGGTATTTCCTCATTTGTTCATTTCGTGAAGCTTTCCCCGCAAGTCTTCCTTTTTTTTTTTCGGTGCTTTTCCTCCTCCAGCTTCTGAGTGAGGAAGAGGAAAAGGAAAACTTATTATAACTTGTTGTGATTGATTTACTTGTTCCTTGATGTCTCTGCATTTTCAAGGAAGAGCACTCCTACTACATCTATCCAGGATCCACACGGAACCAAGGCTGATATGATGTGGGCTCATCTCACCCGTCAGGGTCCCCATTCCTACTCCTCCTCCTATTATTATTATTATTATTATTACCCTCATCTCAGGAGGAAACCACAGATAAAAGCCTCAATGGCTGCCTCCTCACCATCTTCTCTCTTTTCCGCCTCGTCCTCTTCCTCCACTTCGCTCTATCCGTCCTCCTGCAGCTCAATTGCCTCGCCGCCATTGCTCTCAGTCTCCAGTAAGTTTCAATCCGTCGATTGAGATTGATCGTGATCTTCCCTTTCTCCACCCCCCTCTTCATGCATCTGTTTCCCCTCGCTAGCGGACCACTTGTTCCACGACAACTACGACTCGACTAGTAGGTTGACACCTACTAGTCGAGTCGTCAACTACTAGTGACCAACTGAGCATCGCTGCATGACTGCATCTCCTCATTGGCATGCCATCTTGATGATTTGTTCCTTTGCCTGCCTGTTGGCCTCCCTCTCTGTCAACCTCTGCCTCCCCACCTGACACGTGTGGCCTGTCTGCTCTGCCTTTTTTTTTTTTTTTTTGCCTTTCTGCCTCTGGTGAATCCCCCCGCTGATCGTGTACTCTTAGCCAATTTCTCTTCCTCCTCCTGGTCGCCCTCGCATCGGCCCTCCACTGCTTCTGCCCGAGATCAACTTGAAAGTCTGATCGCCAAGCACGGTCACCCCACTCGGCCCTCCCTGTCATCCTTGCGAGATTTAACAGCCACTTCGTCGACTTATAATCCACCATCGCCCCTCTCTCCTGACTCTCCTCCCTCTCCAGATTCCGAATCTTGGGATCTCTCCGAGACTGTCGTGCTCTCCCCGTCGACCTCTCGACCAATTCCCATCCCGAAGCCCTCGAGCAGTTCGTTTGACACGGACCTACCCGTCACGCCATTGACCGGTCGATTCGAACGAGACTACTTTCCGCAGTCCAAACACTCGGCGGGCGGTCGAAGAACCCGCGACCGCGTGGCCCAGCCGGACAGTGATCGATATCGACGTCGATCCTACCAGCAGCCGTCGTCCAGAATGCGCTCGGACAGCTCCACTTTCTACTCCCCCGTCATGTCTCCAAGCATGTCGCCATCCACCCGCTCCGCCTCCCCACAACCATCTCGCTCCCGAGGCAACAACACTTCCAAGTCGGTGCCGGCGTTCCATCTCGGTAGCCTGCCTCGCTTCCATCCGGCCGTCTATCAGCCGTCGAACAGCTCCCAGAGTCTCGCCGCACAGCCCGCATCGCCTCGTCCATCTCGTCAGCAACCCCACCGGACATCCTCGACCTCCCGGGACACGATGAGACAGTATCGAGAACTGGTCGAGAGTGTGGCTCTCGCCAAGGGGCCCTCTCGGCCGCTCTCGCCGAGCCCATCGGCGCCCAGACTAGATCCGTTGCGCAGTCCGGGGCCGGTGACTCCCTTGGCGTTGGAGGAAACCGGTGGCTACTTGACCATTGGTGCCACCAGCTCCGACTTTTCGTCCGCTGACTCCCAATCCTCCAGCCCGGCGCCGGATCTGGTGGAGAAGCTCATCTCCCGCGAAGCCGACCGCGCTCGTCAAAAGTCCCGGAAGACCAGCAAGGGGTGGTGATTGTTACATGGTCCCTTTTTTTTTTTTTTTATCCCCCACTCGTCGCAACATCTAGACGACGCCCGCTTTCGGTTCTCCCCTGATCTCTTTTCTTATCGGATTGTTTTCCCGGACCTTTATTCGCCTGTATCATGTTATGTTTATTCTATACCCCACACAGCCTTGATTTTCCTTCACTTCACTTCTCCTGTAACTTCATGGCCCACTCTTCTCTTGTCCACTTGAAGCCCTAGAAGCTGTACCAGAACCAGAACCAGAACCAGAACCAGACTGTTCTCTTGTCTTGCAATTTTGTTGACCTGGGAGACGACGGAAGAAAAACTGTTTATTTTAGACTTGAATCCTCCCGGTACACCCTTCATGGCTGGATCCGAGGGGTGGCGAGGACTTTCTCACAGCAGCATCCAGCACGGACGCTTTTCAATCGACAGGCAAGCAACAAGACCTTGGCAATGCAGACCTATTTATGAGAGACACACCACCCTGAGCCTTGTAGTATCTCCCAATAGATTGACTACATTGTCATGTCAAGAACTACACAGTACTACTACACAGTAGTAGTCTAGGGGGTGACTCCACAACTATCCAGAAGCCCGATGGAATCCGATCGGCAGCCACCAGACTCTCTGGCTCTCTAGTCTCTAGCCGCCCGGAGCTGCGCAGTCTCTCCCCGAACCACCCTCTCTGCTCCGCGGGGCCTTTTCTTTTTCCCCCCAGCGAAATTTAGTCGCCTTCATCCGTTCCTCTATCTCTATCTCTATCTCTATCTTTCTCCATCCATGATTCATCTCATGGAATATATCTTGACTATACAGTATACCCCTTAGACCTCTCCCAACGAGCCTGAATCCCGAGACCTCCAAGAACTTCAGCCATTCTTCAATGGCCCGGCATCACCGCTAGCTCTCCCGATTTCCTTCTCCACCTCCAATAACGGCGCTAGCTATACCTACATCTTCATACATACATCCATCCATCCATCCATACACGCTTTTCATGACCGCAAGGTCGTCGTCGCTCCAGCCGGTTGTTGCGGAGGTGAGCTCGAGTGGTCACGTCGTCCCCCGGGACCGGGGCGAGATGGAGTCTGGCAAGGCCGGCGCAGGCGCGGGTCTACCAACAACAACAGCAGCAGCCGTGGAGAAGAAGAGTAATTACAAGGGTTTCGTGGCGGGTGTGTTTTCGGGGATTGCAAAGTTAAGTGGTACGTCTACCTCTCCCTTTTTATTCTATTCGGATAAACGAAGATGATGGGTGGTTGTGGGCTGATTGTGGTTGGGTGTTTTGGGGGTACTCTAGTTGGACATCCGTATGTTTTCGGTCCCCTGTGATCAAAGCGAGGAGCAAAGCTGATGAAGACACGCTAGCTTCGACACGGTCAAGGTTCGGCTCCAGACGAGCAAAGACGGGCATTTCAAAGGGCCCCTGGACTGCGTGCTGCAGACGGTGCGGAAGGAGGGCGTGAGCGGGTTCTACAAGGGGGCGACGCCGCCGCTGGTCGGATGGATGGTGATGGACTCGGTGTATGTCTTGCATTCCGTTCCAACCTTCCGGGGGATCATGTGGCCGGGTGACAAGGTGGCAAAGACGGCTGACGAAAGATAGCATGCTCGGTTCCCTCACGCTGTACCGCCGCTTACTCCTCGAGAATGTCTTCTCGCGGCCGACAGTGCGCGCCCTAACGCCGTTCGCGAGTTACCAGCCGGACCCGACTACGCTGCCGAGCTTTGGGCACGGGATTGCGGGTATCCTCGCGGGGACGACGGTGAGTTTTATTGCGGCGCCCGTGGAGCATATCAAGACACGACTGCAGGTCCAGTATGCGGCCGACAAGGCGAAACGGATGTATAGCGGGCCGATTGACTGTTTGCAAAAGATGGTGAGTGGCTTCTCCGAAAGAGAATACTCCTGCAGTGGAGAGGCGTGTGTGTTTGAGCTGACTCGCCGATGTTAGCTCCGCACCCACGGCATCGCCGGCGTATACCGCGGCCTCTGGGCGACCGTTTTCTTCCGATCCTTCTTCTTTTTCTGGTGGGGGTCGTACGACGTGCTGACGCGGTGGATGACGAGCAACACGGCGCTGTCTGCGCCCGCGATCAACTTCTGGGCGGGCGGCATCTCGGCGCAGATCTTCTGGCTGACATCGTACCCGTCCGACGTGGTCAAGCAGCGGCTGATGACGGACCCAATGGGCGGTGCGCTCGGCGACGGCGAGCGCAAGTTCCGCCGGTGGAAGGATGCGGCGCGGGCGGTTTATCGCGAGCGCGGGTTGAGGGGGTATTGGAGGGGATTTGTGCCCTGCTTCCTCAGAGCATTCCCGGCGAATGCGATGGCCTTGGTTGCATTTGAGGGTGTGATGCGGTCGTTGCCATAGCCCGCTAGCCCCAAGCCCACTTGCGAGGTATTGTTGATGAGAGGGCGAGACCCGATGAATAGATTTAGACGGCCACTTGTAAATAGAGCATATTGCATGAAATGAGACATCACAAAAGCAGCGACTCGTCAAATGTCCTGTGCCAGCGTTGCGACGGTGGAGGTCCAATCGATGCAACAGCGGCCGTTTTCGGCAGATTGGCCCTGCAGGAACATCCATTATCCAGAGTACGCTCGGAGGCGACGACAAAACTCCCTAGCTTTATATCCACCGACTATTAGCAAATGTTAGAGCCGTTGTGCAGCAATGCGTGTGTTCTTTTTCCGGCCGGAAGTGTGAGGTCAGACCCAGAAAAGAAAAGAAACGAACGCAATCGCTTCATCCTCTCATCATCATCATCACTTCCTTCCTCCATCCCTCGTTTGACCCTCGCACTACACGACATTACAGCTTCTATCGCATTTTCCTGCTGGTCCCGATATGTCTGAGCGCAGGTTGACGGGTTATGAATTGATTGCTGGCTGAAAGAGTTGAATTGAATCGCCCCGTGTGCCGTCCACCGTCCACCGCCGTTGATTCAGATCGTTCGACCTGGCCTCACCGGGATCGACACCCCCGGCCAGAGCTTCAATTCTCTACCGTCCTATTTACAACGCGCCCCCCCCGTCCTCGATCAATTTCATCTGAAAAGAAACAAAAAAAACGGCCAGGAATGGCCGTGGCCCGCACAATGCGACGCACGAACCCCATCACGCTTCTCCTGGCCGCCCTGCTGGCCTTCGGCTTCCTCGTCTTCCTCTTCTCCCCGTCGTCGTCCTCCGCGACCCCCGTCGGCGCAGGCACCTCCACCTCGCAGCAACGACGCGAAGACGCCGCCGAGAACCCTCTCTCCCCACCGACGAAACCCTTCCTGAAGTCGCAGCCCGTCCGCCATGACGGCCAGCAAGCGCCGCCGCCCGTCGTCCACTACGACCTCAACAAGCTCAGCAGTACCAGCGACTCGGCGGCCAAGGGCGAGCATATCCTCATCCTAACCCCGATGGCACGCTTCGTCCCCGAATACTGGGCCAACGTCGCCAAACTAACGTACCCGCACGAGCTCATCTCGCTCGGCTTCATCATCCCCAAGGACAAGGCCGGCAACGCGGCGGTCGCCGCGCTCGAGGACGCCGTCCGCAAGACGCAGGCCGGCCCGCTCGCCCAGCGCTTCGCCAGCATCTCCATCCTCCGCCAGGACTTCGACCCGCCGCTCGCCTCGCAGGACGAAAAGGAGCGCCACAAGCTGTCCAACCAGAAACTCCGCCGCGAGGCCATGTCGCGCGCCCGCAACAGCCTCCTCTTCACCACCCTCGGCCCCGCCACCGCCTGGGTCCTCTGGCTCGACGCCGACATCGTTGAAACCCCCGCCTCCCTCATCCAGGACCTCACCGCGCACAACTACCCCGTCCTCGTCCCCAACTGCTACCAGCGCTACTACAACGCCGAGTCCCGCAAGATGGACATCCGCCCCTACGACTACAACTCCTGGATCGACAGCAGCACCGCCCAGGCCCTCGCCGCCACCCTCGGCCCAGACGACATCCTCCTCGAGGGCTACGCCGAGCTGCCCACCTACCGCACCCTCATGGCCCACCTCGCCGATACAGCCAACCCGAACCCGCGCAAGGTCATCGAACTCGACGGCGTCGGCGGCACCGCCCTCCTCGTCAAGGCCGACGTCCACCGCGACGGCGCCATGTTCCCCGCCTTTCCCTTCTACCATCTTGTCGAGACGGAGGGCTTCGCCAAGATGGCGAAGCGCTTGGGGTATTCTGTGTATGGCCTGCCGGACTATTTTGTATGTCCTCCCCCCCCCTGTATCCATGGTAGTATCTGGATGGTAAATGCTGATAATATGCTGCAGGTGTATCACGAGAATGAGTAAGGTTGCCAACCTTCCTACACGGAGGAACATTTAAACCCCCAAAAAAAGAAAAAAACAAAAACTCCAGGGGGTGTTGTTGCCCTGGGAAGCGCTGCGCGCAACTCATTGGGTTATTGGTTGGATTTCGAGAAACCATCTACATTCTCATTACATTACAATGTCTGCTTCTGTTTCTGCAACTGCAATTGCGGAGTTCTGGCGGGTTCTGGTTCGGTAGGGTTTTCTTTTTTTTGTATGGTGATTTCTTTTATTTTATTTTAGACTTTTCACGAAGCTAGAGATATTTCCATCGAGATGGTTTCGGGCTTGGAGTGTGTATCCTGTCCTGTCCTGTCCTGGTTACCAGTGTAGTACTGCGTGTTTTTTTCACCCACTGCGCCATAAGTCGTTTATTATCTAGACAGTCATCATATTCCAATTTTTCGTGTTCGCTGGTATACTACCATATCCTCCGTCCGATTAATCCCACGAGATGCTACACGGGCAGTTAGTACGGTAGAAAACCAAATCTAAAAAGAAAGAAGATCAACTCACGCAAGCATGATCCCCGCACCCACGGCTACAGCCAGAAACTGCGTGATCGTCTTCTTGATCTCCACCTTCTTGTCCTTGCCGGTCTCCAGCAGCTCCGGGATCACCGAGACGGTGCCGACGTACAGGAACGTCCCCGCGGTAAAAGGCAGCAACATGTCGCCCCAGACGAGACTCGTACCCAGCAAGCCGGCGTGGGCACCCGCGCCAGTACCCGCGGCGGTCGCGGCCGCGGCGCCGTGCCCGCCGCCGAGCTCCTGGATCGCGATGCCGATGAAGGTACCCAGGAAGGCGCCGATGGCGGTAACGAACTGGGCGCCCATGGCCTTGCGCTTCGAAAAGCCGGACTGCACGAGGAGGGCGAAGTCGCCGACCTCGTGTGGGATCTCGTGGAAGAAGACGGCGACGGTTGTGGTAGCGCCGATGGTGGGGGAGGCGTAGAAGGAGGAGGACATGGCGAGGCCGTCGGTGATGTTGTGCGTGAAGTCGGCGATCAAGTTGAGGTAGCCGCCGAGCTTGACGCTGGGGTTGATCTCCTTCTCGGGCACGGTTTCGGGCGAGGAGGGGGCATCGGCTTTGCGTTTGCGGAGTTCCGTGGTGCTGGCCTTGGGGTTGGTGTCGGAGCTGGTGGTTGTGCCATGTGAGGGGCTCTCGCTGTGCGCATGCGAGTGGGAGTGGTCGTGTCCTGCGCCTCCGGTGGCAATGCGGAGGGCCTTGTCCATCGCGACGAAGGTGAAGAAGCCCACCATGATGCCAAGACCAAGAAGAAGATTGCGGTTGGGTTCGACCATGACGAAGCGCACCTGTTCCGGGGAATCCTCGCCCAGGAAGATCTCGGGGAGCAGATGGAACAGAGTATCACCCAGTAATCCTCCTACGGCGAAGGCGACCATGACCGACAGGGACGACGGGTCGATGTTGGGTGGACACAGCGCCAAGAGGAAGTCTAGGAGGAATCAGACAGAATTCCGGCATGCCACACTCGACGCAAACATACTCGGAGGTCCGGAGATATATACAGTCGCGAGGATTGCATTGACCGCGGGGCTGCCAGGGAAGAGGACGGCGAAGATTCTCGACATCAGGCTGGCCGTTGGTGGGCTGGTTGCGCGTTTGTGCTCATTGAGGGCCTCGACGAGTGGGCATTCCTGGAGACATCAGCCATCATCTTTCACGTGCATCCTCCACTTAGACAATGGATAATCAGAACACAGAATATACCTGCAATTTCTCCTCGATCTCTGCGACGGAGAGATCACCCACGGAGACTTTGTTTTGGCTGTCAGCAGTGGCAGCGGCTAGCACCGTGAATAACAGGAGACCGGCCACGAGGGCCAAGCCCGTCCTTCGCTTCGGAGACATGAAGCTAAATGCCATCACTGTCGTGTACCTATCTAATCTCGATTCGAGCCGTGGAGCAAGTGGGAGAGGGACGAGAGCACAAACCCCTGATCGGTTGGAAGTTGGAAGTTGGAACAGCTTCCGTTATCAGTGGAGCTGAACCGGCCAAACATGCCAAGACCCGCGGTGCAAACTCCAAAAAAGTTTCGGAGATTTCGATAAGAGCAGAGACGCCATCGATTTTTAACCGTCCACCCCACGCTCGACATATACATATCGCCACTAAAAGGACTCAAAGCAAAGATGGGTCGCGTTCTGCAGAAAAAGAAGAATCGCTCTTCGGCGCCGAAGCAGAAGCCCAAGAGATCCGGACAGCTGAAGAGCGGCAAGAAGAAGATCAACGTGCTGGGCAATGCCATTATCGCTGAAAACTGGTGAGAACCGACGATTCTTCCAGCAGCAGTCGCGAATGCATGTTAACCTGATGGAATAAACGCTAGGGACCGGAAATTGACCCTGACCCAAAACTACTGCCGTCTGGGACTCGTGCATCGCCTCAATGCTCCCTCTGGAGGCAGTGAAAAACGTGTGACCAAAGATGGTAGCATCGAGGAAGTCCCCGAGGACTCATTGCACATCAAGGGCAGCGCCACGGCTTCCGCGAAGCAGGCTGCTATGGGAGAGACAAGGGTAGAACGCGACCCGGAGACCGGCAAGATTATTCGTGTGATCCACGACGATGACGAGATTGTGGTCGGCGGCCGCAAGCTGAAGAAATCGAACCCGCTCAACGACCCCCTGAACGATCTATCAGACGACGAATCTGCCGGAATACAATCGCAACCACGATCCAAGTCTACTAGTGCGATTGTTCAACAGCTCGAGCGCCAGGCTGACCAGGAAGGACAGGCGGTCAAATCGAAGAAGCCCCGCCACCAGAGCAAGCGGGAAGAGGAATGGATCACGAGACTGATCGAACGCCATGGGGAAAACTATAGCGCCATGGCTCGCGATAGAAAGCTGAACCCGATGCAGCAGAGCGAGGGGGATTTGAAGCGGAGGATTCGCAAGTGGAAGGCTAGCCACTCCGCATGATCGGGGGTATGAAGCATTCTCGGCGCATTTGGCGTTTTGTCTTGGGTTCTTGATTATAAAAGTTGTTGCTCATCCTCGGTGCCCTTTCCACAGCGGCCTCAACGGAACTGTCTTGTCTGATGTGCCTGCATTTGTTCATAGAGCTGGTTCATGTCTATAATCTGCGGATACCATGCAATATTAGAATCAAATCTCAATAGAGATTCAATGACGGAGATCAATAGTGCGTCGACCTTTGTAGCTTTTACATTTTTTATCTCATAGACATTACGGTGCACCATCTATAGCCCAGCAAGCCTGCAGTCATTCAGGTTTCAAAGCATCTATTTCCATAAGAGAGGGTAATCAAACAACATCTGAAGCAAGAACTACAAGAGTCTCTAGGCAACACATTCACTAGCAAGCCATGGATAATAGATTAGCAGAGTCTCATTCACTCGCCTGACATGAAGCAGCCACGGCCATAACTAGTGAGACATAAGATCGTAGTGTCCTCCCTCCCCGTGTTCCTCACCTACTATCAACATCAACGTCAACTTCAATCCATAGGAACACATTTACTGATAACTACCTCGTTTATCCACTTCGAGAATGAACTAAGCCAGAGACCAGAATTTGAGCCAGAGAGGCCTCCAACAGTGTGGGACACCTACCTTCCTATGGGGGAGGAATTCCATGTCACAGCTGCCAAAGATGTTGGATGTTGGTGGATTGTACTACACCTCTTCCCAGTGCAAAGTTGCAGAATTCTGATGCTAACAGGATGGATGGTGAGGAACTCAAACTCACGGAGCGAGTGACTGGCCTTGATCGTCCGAAGATCGAGCCAAAAAATCAGGGCCTGCAAGGCTGCAAGTCATACTCGGTCTCAGCAGGAAGTTAAAGGAGGTATTCCTAATGTAGAGTATCTAAGACTATCAGCGTACTTTACGCTTTAGAGACTAGGAAGATCTAAATGGAAGCGGTGTGCCTAGGTTGCGGTTCGGTTGCTATACCTGATGTTGCGGGTCTGGGACGCGTCTCATGTTTGAAGGGCGAATATGCCGCTTCTCAAACTATTTGGACCACGATATGGATTAAGTATAATGATGGTTTAGATTGGTAGTTCTTTTAGATCCCAGAGGTGCCACTTGCTTCCCGAGAGATATGCTTTTATCTCAGTTGCCCCTCTTCCATGAATGTGCCATTGCTCTAATTGTTAGCTTCTATAGGAATAAGACATGAATAGCCTATCTCTAGTCATCATCTATACGATTCCCTAGACCACAAAATGTAATGTCAAGCATTAGCCCTGGTGGTTCCGTCCGCCCAAGTCACATTCACTGAGAGTATCGTGCTACAGCTTCAATATCATGTCGCCCTAGTATCCCTAGAGAGGAGTTTTCATGTCCTTCACGTAGCCATACTTCGAGACCCGTCCCTGGTCGAGCACCACATAGTAATCTGCGTCTTTGATGGCCTCCAACCGATGCGCAATTGTGATGACTGTTGATTCCCGCAGTTCCTCCCTGATGACCTGCTGGATCTCAAGGGAGCTCTCATGATCAATGGAGGCCGTAGCCTCATCTAGAATGACAACCGAGCTGCGACGCAAGACGGCTCGAGTGAGGCCAATTAACTGCCGCTCTCCTTGGCTTAGGTTACGCCCACCAGCTTCGATGTTAGTCTGGAGGCTCCAGCGGTGTCGACTGCAGATGCGCTTCAGGACTTCGGCGCATTCCTCGTCCGAGTATTCACCTGTTGGATCTAGGTTCAACCGGATACTACCAGGGAAGAGAACGGGATCTTGCGCAACAAAGGTAACACGGGTGCGGAGTGCTTGTGTGTCGACTTGCGCAATATCGAGACCGTCGATGATGATTCGGCCGGACTCAGGTCGGATCACGCTCAGCAGTGATACTGCAAGAGTGGATTTGCCACTTCCTGTTCTGCCTATTATGGCAGCTGTTGAGCCACCGGGAATTCGAAGGGAGATATTGCGAAGAGAAGGCTCCAGATGTGCAGCATATTTGACGTTCACATCCTCGAAAATGATATCCTGTCCAAACCGCGGCCAAGACGCAGGAGGCTGAATTGTACCTGGATCCTCCTGTTCGACATGAAGCAGCTCATCAATCCGCTTCACGGAGACAAAGTCCATTTGGAGCTGGCCGTATTGTTTGCACAATGCGTGAGTGGATGTAACGAAGTTGTTTGCTGCGATCAATACGAAGGCAGCCAGTCCCGGAGTTATACCGGTGTATAATACCAGAACAGTCAGGCAAAAGGTGGACAGAGCTGAAAGCGTTTCAAATCTGTACATCAACCAGCTCTGCAGAGACCAGTAGAAATGGTCCATCCCTTGGAATTTGTCCACGACTGCAATCACTCTGTCCTGAAAGCGTTCTTCGGCATGAAACGCGCGAACAGTGGTCAGGCCATGGAGAAGCTCTCCAAAGTTGGATATCAGCGGGCTCAGGGACACCATTTCGAGTCGCCGAAGGCTTTGCGATGTAGGGAGAAACCGCAGGAAGGTGAAAATGAACGCCCCGGTGAGAGCAAACGAAAATCCAAGGAAAGTTGGTGTAACAGAGCCTATGACCACAATGGACGATATCCAGGTGATAGCTTGAAACGCTATAGCTTGGAATTGTTCGCTGATGTTCCCATCAACCACTCCGATATCAGACGTCAACCGGTTCATCAAGCGGCCGATAGGAGTAATATCAAAAAAGCGAAATGTGGCATGGCTCACTTGGACCATGACTTCACGGAAAAGCTTCTTCCCCGCACAATATACGATGACCAGCATCAGTAGTTGTGCAATCAGAAGCATGGCTGATTGAAACGTTGTAATCACAAAGAAAGCTAGTAACCAAGGACGAACATCTTCGAACGGAGCTGGCAATTTGCTTAGCGGGTCAGTTGGTGACCAATGAAGAACTTGAGGCCATGCGAGTGATGCCTCCAATAAACCAACCGAAGACTCTCCTTTGGCAGCAGAGTAACCAAACAGTAACAGTAGTTGATCGTAGGCTTCGCCCCACTCTTTCAGAAACCATGACTGTCCCACAGACGTCAGTCGGTACACGGTTAAGATAAAGACAAGCGCAATCCACCACCGGTATCTGCCAGCCTTGATATATGTCCAGTACACTTGAGCTTGTACGCCCCACTCTGCACGATGTTCTTCCTCAATGAATTTCGTGGGAGCGGAAGCGGCAGCCTCCCGAATCAGATCGCGATTTTCAGCTTCAGCATGGGTTGTTCTTGCTAAAGAGGATAGGACATCGTCATGAGCCATGAAATCCGTGGTAATCGCTTCCTTAGAGCGAACTGTTGCCCTGCCATCTTCAATATGGACCAGTTGACATGCGATATGGTTGACTAGTGCGGTGCGGTGCGTAACGAGAACAACGACACGATCTTGCATCAGTGGTCCTGTGAAGCACTTTTGAGCCACCATCTCTGCAGTATTATGATCAAGAGCAGATAGGGGGTCATCAAGTAATAAGATTCTCGCGGCACTGTAAAGCGCTCTCGCGAGAGCCACACGGGCTTTTTGACCCCCGGACAGGCCGATCCCATTCTCTCCCACAAAAGAAAGGTCACCATGCTCGAAATTGACAAGGTCCGGGAGCAAGGCGCATGCTTCCAAAACTCTTTGGTACCGTTGCTCATCATAAGGCGAGGAGAAGAGAATATTGTCCCGGATACTCATGCTCTGGAGCCATGGTGTTTGAGCACAATAACCCACCATCTCGTTAGGAATATCTGAAGACCCACTGATTCTATCCAATTCACCAAGAAGGGCTTGAAGCAGGGCCGTTTTCCCAGCCCCAACCTTGCCAGAAACTATCGTAAGTCCTTCATTTATGCGGAGATCAATATCTGATAGCACAGGGTGTGCCCGACCTGGCCAGGCATATGAACAATGCTTCAATTGAAGCAACGCAGGATGAGCGTGGGCAACGTCAAATTTTTCCTTATTTGGCTCTGCCATGAAATCTTCGATTCTTTCGACGGCGATAGACGCATTAATCAAAACTGTTATTAGACCAGGGATATCCCGAAGACGGGTCTCCAGCATGGTAAATAGCTGGAGTGCTGGGAAGATGATGTCAATGCGTAAAGGGTGGCCAGCCAACAGTGTATACGCATACAGCGCCACCACTGGGAATAGGCCGCTTGCGAAGGTGTTCACAAAGCGAATGAGTATACTCCAAAGGCTGGTGATGATCCGAAGGTTGAGTTCAGACTGTCTGGCATCCATGACCTGCTGGAACCAATGATTCTGCCATCCATACCAGCGGAGATGGCGGAGTGCTTCAATAAACTGAGATGTTATCTGCAATCTTGCATCAGTTGCTAGTCTCCGGACTCGCTCCCACCGCAGGAGCGTGCGAGTGATAGTAGCATTTAGAACTTGGGCGATCAGTATCGCTAGAATGCCGAGAAAGCAAGACGGACCAAACAGCTTCCAGACAAGCACTGTAGCAATGATAAGCCCTAGGGGTTTGTCGATCAATGAGTCAACTTCCCAGAAACGCTGAGCAACTTCATAGACGTCACCACGAAGAAGGTTGAAGATCTTGCCCATGGAGGCAGCTGACTTCGTTTGCTTCTCTGAAGTCGCCCGTCGTCGAGGGAAGATCCCACAAATTTTCCTTTGTTTAGTGCTGACCGTCTCAGACTCGCCATCGACACTCACATTCATGTTCTCTGAAGGCGCAGCCTCCTCGTTGCTCTTCTCCGTCTGGGGCTCAAAGATATTCTTCCTCGAAAGCGCCTTCTCGTAGACCATCATAATCATCTCGCCTCGACTCCTTTCGTAGCAGCGTCTACCAAACCAAAGATTAAGCACTTGCGACTGTGCTGCAACAATTCGAAGAAGTAGAGTCAATAGAGCATATGTCAAAGCAGCCCGTCTTCCTGAGCTCATGTCCTGCATGGCTTGAAGAAGCTGTTGTAACAGCACAGGAGTAGCAAAGTCTGCAGATGAATCAGCTTCGGCCGTTGCAGGGTCCATCGAGCGACAAACCGCAGATCATCTGGACAATCGCAATGGTAGTAATAATAGCGATGTCAATCCCGTTTGCTCGAAGCAAACGCCCTATCACTGAACCCCGAAGTTGACGAAACTTATCATGCAGCTTGCGATGCTGAAACTCAAATCCTAGAGACCAGACATCCTCCTCGTTCAGTTGCCTTTTCCTCCCGATGGAGATGAGCGGAGCCATCCACGACACACTCAAGAACTGCCAGAGTTTCAAGTTATCCTCCGGGCTGCGGAATTCGCAGGAGGCTGGCTGGCCAACGGCAGCAATGTCATAACACGGTATAGAAGGCTCGCGAAGCGGCATGAGCAATATCGTCACACAAGCAGCCAGAGCGGCGCCGGCCGCCACGTAACACGCAGGGAGATTCGTCACTGCATATGCATCATGATTGATAATGAAAGACAACTCCACGCTCAATTCTGGAATGAAATACGCAAGCAGCCACGCGGGACACTTCCTTGGTCGGGAAGCGCAGATTAAAGCAGCCACCAATGCCTATGCGAACAATCAGTCAAACTTCAACGAGAGAAACAAAGTCCTGACCTACCCATGAAACAAGTACAGAAGTGGTCACCGAGTTGAAGTCCTCAGTGATCGATTTTGTGAGCTCAGCTCCAAATCCTATCATTGAAATAAGGCAAAGAATAATCACCCAGCCCACTCGTTGCTTTCTTCGGTCTTGGGGCAACTCAGACAGTTCTAATGGGTGCTCTGAAATGAATGATCTTGTCCATTTCGGACGCCAGAAGTAAGGGGAACGGCTAAGCAGGTAGCACAGTACAGCAAACAGGATCACAAACGCCGGTATCATTCCGACATATCGCATGGCGCACAATGAAAATCGAGCATTGGTCGAGTCCTAGCGATGTTTAGGTTAGAGCGAGGGTGGTACAATATATACTAGATCTCATGGCAGGACAATACCCATATTGGATGGCAAGATTGGAAGAGGCCATGTTGATGAAAGAGCGGCATCAAGCCGGCTGGTCTATGACTTCCAAGTATACAGATATAAACCCAGATAAGCTTTTGTCCTAGGGATGTACAAAACGCCTTTGTTGGCTCTTGCTGACAGTGATGTTTACGGACATGCTCGACCCCAACAAAGGCGGAAGAACGAGTGGCAGAATCATGCCTGAGGCACAAGCATTGAGGGCCTGAGTTTTAAGTGGCTGAACTGTGAACACTGCAAAATTAAAAGTTGCATTTCCCCACATGCTGTATTAATATTGGTAATTGCGAAACGGCAATGCTACGACCTAACTATTGTTGAAAGTTTCATTAAATCGCCATAAAGTAATTTATACAGATGGGCAGGCCATTTGTGATGGGTATATTCAAGAGTCTATAAGCATCACTGGCGATACCCACCTGGACTGGAGCCAAAATGCGCGATTTGCTACCTGGCCCCGGTTGAGCTGAAAGCTGAGCTACAGGAGTAAGTATCAGGCATTGCAGGCTTGCAGCTGAATCGAAAACCATCAAGTTCGCAGGCATCGTGCTCATTGGAGAGATCATTATGTGTCACCTCGACTAAAATGTTTATCTGACACCCGTCATCCAAGGGACGAAGAACTCGCATTAGTTCTGCATACTCATCACATGCATCAGGTCTTATCTCGATTCGGGCTCTTCTCTGTTTCAGACGATAAACCAACTCTTTGCACCACCCGAACCCACCTTCTTCTCCTCCATTCGCCCATCCCGTTGAATCCTGAATTTCCATGCTCTTCCCAATCACGAGACGACAACTTCTGCTTACCCTTCTTCGCCTTCTGAGTCTCGTTCGAGAAACCCTGCGTGGACGACGTGCCAAAGTCTTGGTATCCCAGGGCTGTCGCCACCGCGTCTTCGTCCCTCGAACCGAATTGGGATGGCAGGTCCCAAACCCAACCTCCAATCTGTTCGTTGGTCGCGCTTCGTTCCGAGACGGCCCCTGGAATTTCGAAGCCTACTCCAGTGATCATACGTTCGACAACCCACTCGCGGCAGTCTAGATCCAACTTCCACTTCTTCGTTTTCCAGGCCCAACCTGGTGGAGGCTGTACATCTTCAAAGAAACGGCATCCCCTAGGGCGGTCTCCCGCAATTCGGGAGGGTGACAAAGGGTCATATGGCACGGGGCTGAAGATGAAATTATCCCATTCCGATTCGGAATACGGTGCCAGGGAGCGGTTTTGAATCTCGAAGATCTCCACCTCGCGCTCTTCCGGATATGTATCCAGGGAGATGTCGGCCAGTGAACCCAGTAGCGATACGGCGGCGGATGGGTTAGATGGCAGCGACAGCTTGGGAACATCAGCCACCTTCGGCTCCTCATGGGACACAGTGGCGGGTTTGTTCCCCATTACGGGACTTTTATCACCTGCGAAACTCTGCAGGAAGTCTTGTAGTCCAGGATGATTGGACAGAATAGCTGCATTTCCACCCAGAAGGAGAATGAACCGCCACGGTAAAAGATGGGCAGTCAGAAATAACAGCACAACCGTGATCGTGAGAAGCAGGAAGACCGTGGATGCCAGCTTCTCATTAGAAAAATTGGTCATCGGTGCGAAAAGAGAGACCGTTGCATCATGCATATCAGAAAAATCGGCCATGACATTCTGTAGATCTCGCATATTGCGGAAGAAATCCTTTGATGTTTCAGATGCTGGCTTGATCGTCTTCGCAGGTGCGAGTGCTGGGCCCTGGTATGAGTAGTAAGGCGTGGTGCTAGACGTAGATGTGGAAGGAGGGGGAGGATGACGAGCAGCGAACGCTGGCACCATTACAAAGAGCAAAATGATGGTGATGGGAAGTATGGCCAGCAGATGAGGATCGAGACAGATGAATGAATAGACGAAAAGGAAAGAGAAAGTGTGAGAAGACTGCCGCCAGCTGAACAATTGTTCAGCCTGGTTCTGGAAGTGGAAAACGATGCCGATTCTGCCAAAGCCTCAGCACATCTACATAGCTTTCGAAGAAAATACTAAGCTTGTCTGACCTCGCATTAAATCGACGGAAGTTATTTGCCATTAATGGGAGGCTAAACGCAGGTCGCTTGACGTCTGCAGCGATGCGTTTATCGGCCCCTGGCGCTGATTCATTGTCACCATCCTCTCCTGGAATGACCTGTTCCAAGATCCTTGGTCGCTCTGTAAGCACATCAACGAGACAGCAATGGGGTTTTACACCAGCAACAAAAGAAGACTTACTTCGCGAACAGTTTGTCCTGTAGCGACCCCGATCTCTCGTGCCGCCGATGGGATGTTCCATCCTTTGCGGCGCTATCATGCTTGCCGACAGAGATCACGGGGATGGGCTTGTCCCTAATAGCGAACACTTCCCCAGTACTACCATCATCAGCCATGGTGTCCTATGATATGTCTCGAGGTAGAGATTCGGAAAGAATCATCAAAGCGCATCTCTGGCGATAGATGGCTGGTGATGGATTGAGTGGAAGTGTTCACAGTGCTCGGGTTCTCCACCGGAATATCAGAAGCACATGAAGATGTTAGTTTTGAGCCGAGCGGTGTAACGCAAAAGAGAAGCCAATAAATATAGGTACAAGGAGATGTGTAACTGGCATACACTTTGGTGTAATTTGCAACTCTTGGGGCAAAACTGTAAACTGTAAGGAGTGGAAATTACAGCAACCATACATCATGCACTAGGCTGAACATAGCGATGTTTGAGATGTTTGGATGGACCCTTTCCCAAACAGGAAACGAAAAAGGGAGCCAGGGGGCACGCACTGCCTTGCATTTGCCTACAGAGCAGTAATAATAATAATAACAATAATAATAATCATAATCATAATCATAAAACTGGTGATGAACTACTTAATTACTTACTACTATCGACTACTACTAGACGATAGAAGAGACTACTACTGAGGTTACTAAGTTTACTAACTAGTAGTAGTAGTCTCTCTAGCAGCAGTAGTAGTAGCTCCCAGAAGGGCCAGCATTATTAGCAACAGCTCCGTTGTTTACCTCCTCTTCATCTAATCTTGGGATTTCCCTCGACTTTTTTTTTTCCCTCTTCCTTCTACTTCATGTTCCTAGCTGGTACTGGGAGGTTCTACTGACTGGCTTTTCTGTCTGCGATTCCTCCTTGTAAATCTTTTTTATTCTATTACTTTTGATTTGTTTCTTTCTCTTCAACACCCTCTTTGATTTTGGTGCCTTCCTTGTTCTTCCCGTATTTTCCCCTTTTCTTCTTTCCCGTTTGCTTTGGTTCTAGTGCTTCTTTATATACGCCCGCAACTTTCTTAACGCCAGATCTTAACGCCAAATTCAACCGACCAGCGAAGACTTTCCCCTCTGCACCTCCACGCCTCTTGAACCGACACCTTGCGACCGCAGAACTTCCCAAATCAGGAGATCACGGAGGGAATCAACTATCTCATCCGCCTATCCACCGCCGGTTCGAGTTTTCGTGGTGATCTCTGGCAAACGAGACCTGCTCCTCTGGATTCCCCGCAATGGACCGGTAGCGACCGTTGACGAGTCGCGCGACGGTGTTGTCAAGGCTCTTCTTTGTTCGATTACTGAGAAGTGAATGACGCCTACGTGCCATTGCGATAGCAGTCCATCTCGGGCTCTCCATTTGCACTGATTTTCTCATCCAACCCTCCTGAACGCATCCTTCCCGCTATCGGAAATTCCACAGCTCCACATCTTAGGATGCCAGAGAAGGTGCCATCGCAGCAGACTCCAGGAAGGGGATTGCCGCGTAAGATACATTCGGGCTCGGTCAGTCCTCCTCGAAATGAGGATTCAGGATCTGGAGGTAACGAACATCAACCCGTTCCTATGCGTTGGTCTTTTTTTTTTTTTTTTTTTGGTTATGGAAAAAAAAGCGGAGACTACAGCTAGCAGCAGCTAACGAATATCGCTCTTGAACAGCAGAAGGTCCCCCTCGAAGACGCCTACAAAAACATGCCTCGACACCTTTTCTTTCTGAAAGTCCTCATTCTTCAAAGACTACGCCTGGATCTCGTATAAATGTGATGAGCAGGAGAAGGTTGTCAATTCGGGATCAAAAAGTGCCCCAAGGCCCGCGACCGCAAGAGCCTTCGCGAAGAAGGTACGAAGATCGCATTTTCACTTGCTTCCCTGATCTCCCCCTCTTCGAAATACGCACCCATTGAATGACCTCCAGTTGACTCTTTCACCATCAGTAACGCGCCTGGCTGCTTCTTCCACTCCGGAAATTCCTCAATTGACTCCACAAATGAATCAACACAGAGTAACCACTCTCGCATCAGCCTTCGCTCCACCAGCATGGGTAACCTCTTGAAATCCGAGCACACGCATACACCTCCTGATCGCGTCGATTTCCTTGCGCCCGTCAACTTCGACGATTTTCACAATAGTATCATGACAGAGCCAAGTTTGAACCATTTCCCAATGCCTGGAAATGGAGGATCGAAAGCTGCAAACCAAGCCCCCGGCATCTTCACGAGAAATCCATGGTCCGAGAATAACGAGCAGAGCCTCTCCAGCCGGTCCCGAAGCAATTCCATTCGGAGGAAAAGCGAGGTGTCACGCGTGTCCAATCCGAGTTCCTCAGCCGAATCAGTATCATCATCCTCATGGGCGCCAGCGGCTCATACCGCCGCGCGAAGTCGTCGTCAGAGTCTGGTTCAAAATGCTGGTGTCAATGGCCCGGTGGCGCGGGCACCACGTAAATCGATCGGTGCTGGTTCTCTTCCGCCCGTGATCTCTGCGAGACGACAAAGCATATCTGCTCGCAAGGCTAGCGTTGACACGGCTTCTGTCGATCAAATGAGCCTTCGACCATATACCCAGCACCCCGTTTCCAATGGGTTGGACAAGACCAGACTTCCGTCCAATGTCAGAAATATGAAGGCTAAATCGCTTCAGCCGCCTTCGCGGGATCCCCGTGACAATCTATTGCCAACAGCTGGATTGACGGATCACTCCCGATCATGCTCTACCAACGCGGTGCGGACCCCGAGCAAGAACCCTGCTGGGAGTGCATTGACGCCCTCTTCGTCCGCCAAACGGGTGTCTGTTATGCCACCACACGCTACAGGTCTAGGCGCTCGCACTATAAGCCCTACTGATGCACACCGTATGAAACGGATGTCTATCGCGCCCCAGGCGCCTCCCCTGCCTTTTACGCCCCCGATGAAGACAGATCCCATGCCTATCCGCCCACGGTCATCCGCCCACTCTCCTTCTAGCATCCCACGGAAAAGTGTGACTCCGTCGTCGACGCGGACTACACCCGATCCAAATCGGAAATCGTACAGTTCCGGCCTGTCTCTTTCGTCCAACACAAGTTACACGTCTACAAGGAACTCTGGTAGCTCTCTACAGTCCAGGCTATCTCAGAATCAGTCCTCCTCCCGACTACCCACGCCTAAACCGCGCCCTGAGTACACCGGGGGAAGCCACGAAGAGGTCCCTCCGGTCCCGGCCATTCCCAAAGCCTATGAGTCTCCTAAAGGTGATACCGAGATCCAGAGCTATTTTGCTCCACGAAAGTCGAGTCTGCCAGTGGATACGGGTCTCTTGAAATCTAAACACAACCAGGATTCTGACAATAAATCAGCGGCAAGCGCCAACGAGGGTATTACCGCAGATAAGACTGACGAACGAGGAATGAAAACCCCAGAGGCCAAGACGCCGGCCAGTTTCGGCAAGAAGAATCTGTTGCCGTTGAAACTTCCTCCCTTGAATCTCTTGCCTCTAAGTACCCCTGTCGCCACCAAGATCCAAGCACTGAAGGATCGAGAAGACGATGACCAGTCGTCCACCCCTTCGAATAAGGTTCTCTCCAAGACGCCTAGCACGCCAATGACGGCATCCAAGGCGAACTTTTCTTTCCGCAATGATGATGATGGCATGGGATTCACCCAGGCCCGAAGCAGCACGTCACATTTCATGCTCAGCACTTCATCTGCTGTCCCTTCGAGGACGGCAAGCAGTTCCAGTGCATTGGCATCTTTCGACAACAGTACTGGCGGCGCAAGGACCATTTCCCCATACATCTCATATACCTTGCCGAAGAGCAGCAGTGAGTTCGGCCAGCTTCGACAGAAAGCCAATGACAGTGGAGATTACTCCCCCCGGATCTCCCAGTCGCACAAATTGAATGGGCCTCGACCACAAACACAATCCTCTGCTTTCTCTTCGAACGCCGAAACCATCAGCCAGCTGTCAACCCCTTCGGACCCAGATACCAACAGTGTCTCTGGTTCCTCCCTTCTGAATAGGATCGCATTGACTCGAAAGCGCAGCAATTCTAAATCAAAACATGCGGTGGACGCTGATCGAGACCCAACGAAACAGATGCCACCACCCAAACTTCCGGCCTCTGCAACCTGGAACACCTTGTCACCAGTCACAACTTCAAGCCCCACATTGAAGCCTGCACATGCCCAAGCGAGGCGCCAGTCTTCTGTTTCCAGTGCAACGGCTTCCACGATGAGAAAGCCTAGTTTCAGCAGCGAGCATAGCCTCGCGGCCCTGGAGCCCACTCCTTCCAATGATTCAGCTGAAAGTGATGGTACCTCACACCGATCAACATCATCAATCCTCTCACCAGTGCACAAAATCCTATACTCGGGTCGGTCAAACACAACGGCGAGCTCACGTCACCAGGAAACCAATGTGGAGTCTGACATTCTCGTTGCTGACGAGGAGATGCGCCGACTTGCTAGCAAACGCAAAGGCTTCGAGGTGGCAGCAAGGAATCTGGATGAATTACGTCGCAAAGCCGGTCCAAAAGAGCGCGTGAGTCCCGCACAGGCGCTCCAAATGGCCAATCTCAACATCTTCGAACGCGGGGAGATCATTGATTTCAAGGATATCTACTTCTGCGGCACGCAAACTGCCAAGAAGCATGTCGGTGACCTGAATGCGCAATCCGCAAACTTTGGATACGACGACGATCGTGGTGACTATAACATCGTGATTGGCGATCATCTTGCGTATCGATACGAAGTCGTAGATGTCCTAGGAAAGGGTAGCTTTGGTCAGGTGGTGAGATGCATTGACCACAAAAATGGAGCTCTCGTCGCCGTGAAGATTATTCGCAACAAGAAGAGGTTCCATCAACAGGCACTAATCGAAGTCAACCTCCTGCAAAAACTCAAAGAATGGGATCCACATCGCCAACACAGCGTGGTGAACTTCACCCAGAGCTTCTACTTCAGAGGGCATTTGTGCATCTCGACAGAACTGCTGGGTATGAATCTCTACGAATTCATCAAGGCTCACGATTTCAAGGGCTTTCATCTCAAGCTCATTCGCCGGTTCACGAAACAGATCCTAAGTACATTGACTCTCTTGCACGCCAAGAAGGTCATCCACTGTGATCTTAAGCCGGAGAACATCCTTCTTGTCCACCCTATGAGTTCAGAGATTCGGGTCATTGATTTCGGATCCAGCTGTTTTGAGAACGAGAAAGTGTATACTTATATCCAAAGTCGTTTCTACCGCTCTCCGGAGGTTATCTTGGGCATGTCCTACGGCATGCCGATTGACATGTGGAGTCTAGGCTGTATCCTGGCCGAGCTGTACAGCGGCTATCCCATCTTTCCGGGAGAGAACGAGCAGGAACAACTCGCCTGTATTATGGAGGTCTTTGGCCCTCCTGAGAAACATCTGATCGAGAAGAGTACCCGGAAGAAATTATTTTTTGATTCCCTGGGCAAGCCTAGACTCACGGTCTCCTCGAAGGGTAGACGGCGACGACCAAGCTCAAAGGATCTCCGACAAGTCTTGAAGTGTGACGACGATCCATTCCTCGATTTCATCTCTCGTTGTCTTCGATGGGACCCCGCTCGTCGCCTGACCCCTCATGATGCACTCAGACACGAATTCCTCACCGGAATCAAATTGACATCGCGCTCTCGGTCCTATGCCGCGGCGAACTTATCAAATAAGCGCGGAACCACCCTCTCTAACCCTACAGCACGGCCGCTCCCAGAGCCACCCGGCACCAGTGTCAAGGGCGGTTTCATCCGGAGCCGAGACATTTCAGGTAGCTCTCCCATCAAGCAAGTTGGGATCGGCAAGCGCCACTCCACTGTGAGCGGGCTTCAACCGTCAACTCCTGCCAAACGGGGTACAGCAACCACCAACACCCCTGGATCAGCACTGCCCCGTGTCGCAGCCAGGAGCATCAGTGGGAAGCCTGATCTCGCGACTGCGGCGGCGGCTACGAGTCTCGTAAGTAAAAGAATCCTCGAGACGTCTGCGGTCATTTCACTAACCGGTTAGCAGCGAACCAAGTAACGAGCCTTTTTCTCCTACACCGAAACACTCGGCCCCCTACTTACATGTAATATTAATTATGTTTCATTATCATTGAGTTGCATTCAACGGATCGGAAACATTTGCGGTTTTGTGCGCGCCTCATGATTGAACCGAAGTGAAGCAACTCTGGAATGGCGGACGAGGCAGCGCAGTTCATCTTATACCCTTTATTTTGAACAGTTCTCCATCTCGCCTTAATACCTTTGCTTTTCGCTCCCATGATCTCTTTCCTTGCATTTCTTCCTTTTGCATCCACATTCACAGTCTCTATGGTTCAATGACCCCATCACGACCCTGAAGGTTCTTCCGAATTCACATGCATATCACTTTGTCTTCTGCTTCATTGCCTGCACATTGTTTCCAATTATCCTCATCCCCATGTAACTTGAGGCTGCCTTTATTGGCCCAGGCTCTACATTGTTATGCATAAAGCGCCTGTACATTCAACTACCTTCTTATGTTCATTCTTCCCAATACTACACCCCTGTCTTTGATTCTTTTCAGAGGGCAGCGGATTCATGTGCACAGTATATTTGCTGACTGTGTGATGAGGATTGTGGGCTTTTCCTTTGCTTGACTTGTGGCTGGTGTGTTTATATTTTCGACAGCCTTGAATGGCGGAGTTGTTTGTCTAGTATAGAAGAAGATTATGAAGATATTATGAATAGAGACAAGACGTTGACTGAAGTTCTCAAGCCGACTGTCATGAGTGTTTCTTGGGGAGTTATGGAGGAGACATCTGAGGATGCTCGATAAGATAACGCGCGTGCGGAGTTCACTTCTTTTGAAATACTTGGCCTGTACTCTTGTGTCCCCCTCGTCGCTGCTCAGTCCGTTTTCTTTCCATCATCTTCTTCAGAGCTGTGCTCAATCGATTTTCATTCTTTGAAGCAATAGTTGTGTGTTTTCCTACCCCTGGTCCTTCTTTTTCATGTCTTGATCTGTCAACTACCGCTGGCCTCGATTCGCAATGAACGGCTTCTCAAAACACAGCCTCGATGAGGATGCATTCGGGGAGAAGTCGAATCTCAAAGGTGGATTGAAGATATTCGATGCTTTCCGTATGTTCCCTTTTTTAATTAATGCTTCATTGGGAGTTTTCACTCGACGCGCGTGTCGGAAGACACAGACAAGGGCGCATATCGTCACAGATGATCTTTCTTTAAACAGCACTCTACTGCGTGTATGGATGCTTACAGGTCCCCTTGAGTCTAGCAAAAACAAAACCCTCCTATACAGCGCCTTCTCACCGCGGAGGACAATGGACCGTCCTCATCCTCCTCATCTGCACCTTCTTCTCGTTATCGGAATTCCGGGCCTGGCTGCGAGGTACGGAGAAACATCACTTCAGCGTTGAGAAGGGGATCTCGCATGATCTACAACTGAACCTGGACATCGTCGTCGATATGCCCTGCGAATCACTTGACGTGAATATTCAAGATGCGTCAGGCGACCGGATTCTCGCCGGGGAGCTGCTGCAGCGGGAACGCACGAGCTGGAACCTCTGGATGGAGAAGCGCAACTACGAGATACACGGGGGCGCCCATGAGTATCAGACGCTCAACCAGGAGCACGGTGATCGGTTGGCGGAGCAGGAGCAGGATGCACACGTGCACCATGTTCTGGGCGAGGTACGGCGGAATCCCAGGAAGAAATTCCCCCGTGGGCCGAGGCTGCGGAGAGGCGACGTTGTCGACTCGTGTCGGATTTATGGCTCCCTGGAAGGGAATAAGGTCCAAGGCGACTTCCATATCACGGCCAGGGGACACGGGTATCATGCTGCTGCGCCGCACCTGGAACATAGCAGTAGGCTACCGCTACTTCTTCCACTTCTCTTGAACGTCTGTGCAACTAACAATGTCCCCTCCCCCCCATCGCAGCCTTCAATTTCTCCCACATGGTAACCGAGCTGTCCTTCGGCCCGCATTACCCAACCATCCTCAACCCCCTCGACAAGACCATCGCTACCACAGAAGAACACTATTACAAGTACCAGTACTTCCTCTCCGTCGTCCCAACCATCTACTCCAAGGGCAACCTCGCGCTGGACGCGTACTCCGGCTCCGCGCCCACCCTGCACGACCCCAACCGCAACAGAAACAGAAACCTCATCTTCACCAACCAGTACGCGGCGACCAGCCAGTCCACCGCCCTCCCCGAGAGCCCCTACTTCGTCCCCGGGATCTTCTTCAAGTACAGCATCGAGCCCATCCTGCTGATCATCAGCGAGGAGCGCGGCAGTTTCCTCACCCTGCTCGTCCGCCTCGTCAACACCGTCTCCGGCGTCATAGTGACGGGTGGCTGGCTGTATCAGATGTCCGGGTGGGTGGGTGAGTTGCTCGGCAGGAGAAGGAGCCGGAAGTCAGAGGGTGTTCTGACGGGTCGGCATGAAGCGGATGAGTGAATGTCTCGTCTGTGGATTTTGTTTATATGGCCACTCACACGCTAACACTGACGCTGGTGGTTTCTTCTGGTCTTTGCATTTGGTTCGATTGCGTCCGAGGGGTCATTTCGGTGCTGGTGTTTCTTACAATCGATTGCATTGCTGTTTTGCTTTTTTATAGGATATCCATGTTCAGTCATAAGCAGAATATAACAAATACTACATACTATGGAGTTTCTTTTATCTCGCAATGCTTGCAGTAATTGAGACCAGAAACCTTGAGGATAACCTCCGTGTCAATCACACCGGAGCTGGGATATATTTGATTGATTGAAAAAGAGAGAGAGAGAGAAGAAAAAAGGGCTCATGGGAACGCACGAATCTATATTTCGAAGATCTCCCCCATCCCCACGCCAGCACCCTCCGCCCCGGCCCTACTATCTACCAGATCCAACCGCCAGCCCTTCCAGTCCTTCAGCTTGCCCTTGATCTCACGCACCCACTCGACGCGCTTCCGCGCCTCCTCCTCCGCCTGTGCGCGCGCAAACTCCGCCTCGTCGAACTCGTCGTCCAGGTTCTCCTCGGACAGGAGCTCGAGGCTCCCGCGGGCCCCGGGAACGTGCTGCTGCGTCGAGGACGCACGGCTGCGGTTGTTGGCGTACCCGCCCGTGAACGCGGCAAGGCCGCTCGATAGGACAGTGGAGAGGGACGAGTGCTGTTGGGCCATGCTGCGGCGGCGCGCGTGGTCTGCCGGCGAGCCGCCGACGAGATCGACGTCGTCGAAGGCGTTGGCGTTGGTGACTGGGTTGCCCGGGTAGTTGGCGGCCGAGTCTGCGCCGTAGGCGCCCTGATCTGTGGCTGCGAGCTCGTCGCGGCGTTCCTTCCAGACGCCGCGGCGGAGGTCGAAGACCTCGCCTTCCAGCTCGCGGATGCGGCGCTCCAGGCGCGAGCGCTCCTCGTCCTCCAGCTCGTCGAGAGCGTCGTCGTCTGTGCCGCCGGACTCGCGCTTGCGGAGCCGCTCGAGCTCGTCCTTCAGGCGCAGGTTCTCGGTTTCGGTGCTTGCGAGGCGTTTTCGGAGGCCGGCGGCTTCCTTGTCGGTCTTCTCGCTCTCGCGGAGGCGGGTCTGGTGGCGGGCTTCGGACTCCTTGTGCAGGTTGCTCATGGCTTGGAGCTTTTTCTCTAGGGTGTCGATTTTCTTTTCTGTCTCGGACTTCTCCTGTTTGAGAGCTTCGACTTCGCGTTCCAGGTTCTTGATCAGGGTCTCGGTGGAGGTCTTGTCGACTCCTTCCTTGACTGCCTTTTCGGATGCTCGTGTCAGCGCATTCTTTGCGTCTGTAAGCTCGCGCTGGGATTTCTCGAGGTTGGATTCGCTCTGCGAGAGCTTTTCTTCTAGCGCCGCAATCTGAGCCTCGTGCGTACTGCTGGATGTGGACTGATCGGAAAGCTGCGCACGGAGGTTGGATATCTCAAGTTCCATTGCTTCTATGGTAGCGGACTTTGATTCTAGTTGTTGTAGTAGATCCGAAGGTGGGGACTCGGAGGGTCCCGGTCCAGAGATGCTGGCGTTGTTGCGGTGTGATCGAGTCTGGAGATGTGAGTTTTGCCTTTGCAGCGAGGCGATCTCTGCTTTCTATAGATCTGGTCAGTCCATGCTGCGGAGATCCCGTTGCATCGTGGAAATTCAAGCCCACCAGTTCGTCAATCTCCGCCGCTTTCTGCTCGGCCTTCTCCAGTTTGTCCTTCAGCTCTGCCGTGTCGACGCTGGCTTCGCGAAGATCCTCGAGCTGCTCTTCCGAATTCCGCCAGCGATTGGTTGATTCTTCAAGCTGCTTCTCCAGTCGCTTGTTTTCTTTTTCCAGCTCCTCGATCCGCGTCGACTGTTTCCGATATACCTCGTGCACCGAATCCCCATCACCGGTTAAGGGAGGCAGCGAAGGAGGAGACTTGACGGCATTCGACGGCGATGTGGAAGAATTACCCTGTCTAAACGACGACGACCGCATCTTGGACTGGATCGACAGGGATGGCTGCCGGCCGTGGCCCGCAAGAGGGGTATCTCCCTTGACACCTTGACTGGAGGGTTTGACGTCTGGTCCCGGAGAGATAGAAATCGGCGCCTCGGGCATCGGTTCGATCGGCGACTCTGCGCGCTTTTCGGGCTCGGGTTCCGGTGTGGGTTCAACAACAGGTGGCTGTGGCTGTTGCTGTTGCTCCTCCGTCTGCCCCTCTGCTTCTTTCTCGGCTGGTCCGGCCTCATCTTGCTTCTCCTGCGCGGGGGCTTCTTCGGCCGGTGTTACTGCTTCCTTGGGTGTTTCTGCCTCCTTCGCGGGCTCTGTGCTGGCAGCTTTTTTGCTAGCTTTCTTCTTCTGCTTTTGGAGCTGCGCTACCTGTTCAAAAGACCGATCGCACGTTAATCAAATCTGTCGCTCTCCCTTAGATCAAACAACAAGAAATTTCGAGAATTTACCCGTTTCTTGGCAGCAGCCAGCTTCTCGGCCTTGATGCGCTCCTCGTCGTCCGCCATCGTCGGTATGTCTTAGTGTTATTGTGATGCTGGTCGGGATGGCAAGTGGAGAGAGTCCCAGTTGATTGTGGACGGAACGGACAGCTTTCCCCGATTCCCCCAATGTGCACGGGCCACATGTCCGACGGCCGATGATCGACGTTGGAGGCCAGATTTCTACCTTACTCGTTAGCGGTTAGAGTCACATTACGGGCTTCGGAAGAACGTGTTTTCTTCGAGTTACGCAGCAGAGTAGGCGACGGAGATAGCCCTCTGGGAGCCTCTCGAATGAACCAAATTCGACTGAACCGTCGTCAGTATGGGATTGACCCCCCTCTCTATCTCAACTAGCAGTCACCAAACACACGCAAACTCCAAGAGGTAAGTTCCCAACACGAAGAGAATGTCCCTTGGAATCACATATATACACTTCCACCCAGCAGTAAGCCCACAAGCCCAAATCAGACCTTACGACCTTCGCCTGAACACCCTCCAGAAAAGTGGTGATACCATCACGTGAATTCTATCAAGCCCGCTGCAGTATGACGTATTTCCCTGCCTCAGGCCATCGATCCATCTCATCAGAAAGCGATCAACAAAAGCCACAACAGGAAAGCCTGTACAATACTAAATAACAGCTAGTCAAAAGTATCTTATCTAGAACTGTATCACCTCCTGAAAGCCAATCCCTACGAGTAGCAGGAAGAATCAGCCTCAAAGTTACCAGTGACATGCGCATGGGTGCATTGGCGTCTCCCGCATGGCTCTCCCACTCGGGTATAAAGACATCTCTCATAGGGATGGATGATGAGATGCTTATACTTGGTGGTTGGACTACGTGTCTCTCTGAAAGTTCAGAGAGGGATTGAATAGTTTGGTATCGTGGAAGAAATGATTTGATTTGTATAGGGATTAGATTGACAGCTGGTGAAAGGGGAAAAGAGATATACTATCATCGTGTCTTGCATGCATGTTGGGTTGATACGGTTGGGAAGAGAAAGGGGACGAAGCTGGATTGCTTCATATACGCATACATTCTAATGGATCTGCTCATGATCATGTCATGATGACCGCCAGATACGTATCTACGATCATGGACCCAAGGACCTGCGGGAAGTGAATCGAATGCAGAAAAAAAATTAATAAAATTCATTCATACAAGGAACAGCATAGGATCAACTCGAAACGCTGCTATGGTTGAAGCGAATCCTCTCTGCGAACTCTGGCCTGCAGCGTATCATCATCATTATCACGAAAGACGAAATTCCAAACACAAAATTAGAAAAGCGGCATCAGTACTGCCTGTGCCGGTATTCCAACGCCCCGGCCCTCAGGATATGCAGGTTGAATGCAATGAAAAAGCAAGTGAAACGCCGCCGAAAACCGCAACCAAAGCAAGCAGAAAGGAAGTATTATCAAAGAATAGACACGTGAAGAGAGAGAGAGAGAGAGAGAGAGAGAGAGAGAGAGAGAGAGAGAGAGAGAAAGAAAAAGTCGTAGGATTAGAAGGGCAGCTCTCAAACCTCCATCGAGTCCGCAATTTCCTCGCTCATAGCACGAACTGTCCCCTTGCTACCAGATCTTGAACGAAATTCCTCGTCACTGAGCAGGTAGTTATCATATTCGTCCATAACAGGACGCGTCGGCGGCGATGAACTCTCCTCCTCGCTTTCACTCTCAATGTTCGCGCCGCTTCCAAACCAGTAACGAGCCCGCTTAGTGGAACCCAGCTCGGGGGTCATGTACCCATCGTCGAAAGTTCTCTTTCCAATGGGTGTAGATGGAATTCCCTCTCCGTCCTCAGGCGTGTGGCTCAAAATAGGGATCGCGCGGAGGTAAAGATAGCAGACTCGTTTCCGGAGCCGGCTAAAGAAAAAGTAATGAAGGCTCCAGATGGCACCATCATCCGCGTCGGACGGATCCTCTTCAGGCGAGTACGAATAGTAGGAACACTCCTTTAAAGACATGTGCTCATCAATCATTCTCCACATTTTCGGACCCCACGTTGCAGAGGCTCCGGTGTTGTATGATCCAGATAATGTCACAGATGATGGAGGTGTCATGTCAATCGTTTCGCGCGGGCGCAAGTTGAAAAGGGTCGAGTCGACTGTATTCATAACCCTCTTCAGACTCCGCTCGCGTCGGAAGTCCGAAGGGCGCAAAACATGCGAGAAGTCATAGTCTGGATGGCTTGCGTTGAGGGTTGCGATCAAGTAGGCAAAAGTCCGTCGGCTGGAGTGGTCGCTCAATGGTCCAAATGGGCTCGAACGCGACAGATTGAGGGAGGCAGCCGCGTCCGATGCGTTAGGGGGGGAAAGCGATGCTGACAGGCGCAGAACAGATTCATATTGAGCCTCAAGTGATTGTTCGATGTTCTTGTACAGTTTGCGGTCGGCGCGTGCAGCCTTTATTGTGTACAGATCGCATCCGCCTGTGATGTGACAGTCGGCCGTGTCGAAGTTGAGCGAGTTCGTGACGTCCTCGAATTCGGGAATGGGTAGGTACTGGTAAGAAAGACACGCGTCAGTAAAGTAAGATCGGTCTCCAGATAAGAGTGGTTTCTAGCGCACTGCGAGATACGAACCTTCATCTTGGTGAGAAATGCGGTGAAGAGCAGCTTTGGCAGACACAACAAGCGGCGAGAGACAACCCGGTTAAATGAAGGTTATAAAGAAGAGTATCGCGTTCTGAATCAGATAGATGTAGGAAAGAGAAGGTATTCGGCACGAGAGATGATATCTGGTCGGATGAAGTCACGGTGGTCGTGGTAGCCTGATTGGGGACCGGAGATAAGGGTGATTGCGGTGGCTGCGGAGAGATGATAGGGAAGATAAGTGAAGGCCTGGAGGGAGAGTCTCAAATGAGACCTTTCTGATGAATACAAGCCTTTGTCAATCGATTCAGATGAATCTGAGGATGAAGGAAGGGCGTTATAAGGGACTGGGTGATGAACAACGAGTACGGGGGGTGGTCCGGTTGCGCGTTGGCCGAGGGGGGAGAGCGACAGAGGGTCACGTGGCAGGTGTGCCCAGCCAGTGATATCACGCACTTACTTCACGGGTCCAAAGGAATCACGGTAGCAGACCCGAAGAATGACGATGCCAACGACTGTCCGGACTGGACATTCACACAAGCCCCTCGTTGGACAATTTCACCATCACTTCTGTAGTATCCTGGAACCGGCCATTGTTGTATTAATTAGTCTTGAGGTCGCAGAGTAGTAGAACACAACGCCTATGTACGTCCCAACGCCAGTGGATTCTGCCCTCAGAACCCGGAGGGCCAAACAGCCAGAAGTGAAACAGACAATAGTATGAACAGGGGAAACGCTCGCTTGTCAAAAGGTCGCTACATGATCTTCGTAACCACGTCTTCCTCAACCTGAGGGCAGAGCGACATTAGCCAAGACCAGGCACGTGACGTGTTCACATGAGATGAGGCTAGTTATGACAAATAGGAAACACTGGTGCCCGAAGCGTAGGGGATCAGGCTTGTGATAGGATAGGCATAGCAACAAGAGTATGGCCGAGTCCCAGGGGCGGATACACGGTGGAAGGGCGGCCGATGATTGGGGGAAAGTGGATGATTTGAGAGTTGACGTGTTCAAAACCCATATTCGCGGCAATGTATGTAAAAACGAAATAAAGACACAATCCCGGGGGTACTAGACTCACCTCCACGTCTTCCAAGCTATCCTGCTGGCTGATACACCTGAGAACATTCTTCTTGCTACTCTCTTGCATTTCTCCCGCGAGTAATAGCTCATCGAGGATGAAGTATGCTTTCTGGAAGTTGAAAATGATGTCGAGCTCGCACACGTTGCCGTAGTACTTGTCCATCTGCTCGACGTATCGATGCACGACTTCGAGGGTGATCAATTCGTTATCGGTGGAAGCGCATCCGGCAATGAAGAATAGGGAGGCATAGCGGCGGTAGACAACTTTCGTATCTATTGGGAACAGGCGACACCGGTCAGGCTTTGACTGGCGTGGCGAGCATGGGAGGCTTGACCGAGATGAGCTGCATACCTTTATATTCGAGGAAATTGCACATCCGCGTCCGGCGCGACAAGACAAGCTGGGTCACATCTTTGATGATCTTGGCCTTCTCCTTCGGCGAGAGAGTTGTAAACCATTTGGCAAGTCGCTGGAATGGGAGAAAGTTCGGTCAGTCCAGGGAAGTCCTGTACAGCAAGTCAATAAGTTGGGTGGGCGACGAGGCATACCACTTTGCCCTGCCGCGATAACAGAATAAGGTAGCTGGTCAGAAATTGTCAGCTCAGGGCTATGAATCAATCCTCCAGTAAGAGAAGCTCACTGAATTGCCATGATGTCGACGGAGGAAAGGTAGAGTGCAGATACAAGTTAGCAGAAGAAGCGCAGATGTTCTTGTGGACAAGTTCAGCAAAGGAGATGGAGAAATAATTTGCGCGGGCCGTGTGGGCGAGGGGGGGAAAGTAGTGCCCCGCTGTCAGTTAGCAGCAGCTCAACTCACCAGCGACTATCTGATCTATCAAGGCTTGTTTACTACTCGAGTGACTGCAGGAGTGCAAGTTAATTTTCCCTTGATCTTGAATCCAAGAAAAAGACTGCTATCAGAGTATTTGGGGGTCTTTATTTGGAGAAGTTCCGGAATTACCAGCCACAAGGTGATACTCTGTCATCAAATCGCCAGCCTCGTTGGTGATTGTCAGTGTGAGGTTTCACACAACCATATTACAGTGTAGTGTGAGGCTATAAGTACTTTGAGCTATTATATTATAGAGGGGCAATACTTGTCATATCTCTAATGAGGTCATTGGGAGGAGCAGACCATACACATCAATAGTGCTGGTGCGTGCTGCAGTGTGCCAGTGATAGATACCCCTAAGCACTATATCTATGGGTAGATAAATCATGACTACACAGAACAAGGTAGAAGAGGATATTATCAGATGAGAATATAGATATGTATCTATCTATTAACTCGACTTAGTCTAGCGATTTCTATACCGTGGTTTGTGTCTCAACTGGGTTTAATAATATTGATGTTTTGTTTATGGTGTCCACGCAACCTGAAGCTCAATATATATTGTTTTATGGATATCCTCAAGTATTTCTCCCGGATAGTCCTTCATCCTCTTCAAGCGTTCATAACAGCGGTCTCATTTAGAACAATATCAACACGAATAAGATTTCTACATATATCTCCAGCGAGATGACAGAATACCTGGAGATCCGAGCTGTCGCCAATGTTGTTTGCTTGGCGAGAACTACAAGCCATGACCTCTTATCCTCTTGTCAATGGGTTGTTGATTCCTAGAGGGAAAGAAAAGAGTGATACACACGCATCAATCATCATCTGAATACTGGGGAGGATTCATATTGGAGAGTTCTTGATTAGAGTCGTGAAATTCATCCCCAGCCTTGACATTTGATGCTTCACCATCCGATCCGAAACACAGCCTCAACAGATGAGGAGGCTCCAGACAATCAGCATGATCTCAGAATCAGCTCACTCTGAATACTAACCAGCTAACTGGTGGTGGGAATCTTCGAACAAGGCTATGAACTATCTACGGTTCCAGCAATTGATGTTCTCGTGATCCGATCGGAAATACGGAGTACAGCCTCTACAAAGTGAGGTCTTACCGTCCTGGACAGTCACGCTTCTCCAAGTTCAGCTACACGCATACAACTCTATGCAGACTAGTCTTATGCTCTGTCGATCGATACATTTGACTTCCGACAAAGATAGCGAGAAGCATGAAATTCCCGTGCCGATAGAGATCGGATCGCACCTGACAGTAGGAACATGAGAGTCCAATGGGGATGCTCCAATAGCTGTCAATGGGGTCTCGCACTTATATCCAAGAGACCACTCTCCCCACGAATTTCCCCCGCGCGTGGTTACTGGGCCAGCTTCGAACCCCGGATGAGTTCAATCATAATGGTTTCTGGGGACATTTCATGGCCCCTGTACCCCACATATTGTCTCTGGGCCTTGGCCAGCTTGCGGGGTGGATTTACGGGTTTACCTAACGGGATTTACCATTCGAAAGGCTCAACAGACGGCGAGGATTAATAGGTCTTCGTCGGCTTGGAAACATGTCGTCGGAACTAGGGGGGTGACTGGCTACGATAAGAGAAGGATGTCACAAGGAAGTATAAAGGGAAGCCCATGTACAACTCTTGGTAACGGAAGTGTTGCAAGGCACAGTCTTACCTCTGTGAACAAGCGTTGCGGATTAATTCGACTCAATTCTATATGATGACTAGACAAAAGCAAGCCGAGGATCATGTTGATGTGCTCATTGTGGGAGCCGGGCCAGCTGGTCTCATGCTCGCGAACTGGATGAGCCGGTTGGGAATCAAGACGCGCATTGTGGATAAGCGTAACACCAAGGTTTGTTTCCAACAGCCCTGCATGCTCTACATTTCACAGCACTAAACCGGAGGGTTGAACAGATTTTCAGCGGACAGGCAGATGATCTCCATTGCCGGACACTAGAGATTCTCGACTCCTTCGGCATTGCTCAGCGTGCCTGGGCCGAGCCGAACCACATGTTGGAGATTTGCCTTTGGAACCCAGACAAGGATGGCGTATCCGCCGGTCTGACCAAATCCCCGACACGATCCCTGGCCTCAGTCGTTTCCAGCAGGTCGTGCTTCACCAGGGCCGCATTGAGCGGTTCTTCCTCGACTCCATCAAGGAGCACAGCGACATCGCAGTGGAGAGAGGCGTGCTGCCAACCTCGTTTGAGGTTGACGCCGCCAAAGCTGTCGATTTCAATGATTACCCCATCACAGTCGCTTTGCGCACCCTTACCGAGGAAGAAGCGACTCCTCAGCAACAGAAGGCCACGGAAGGTGCTGCAGTCAGCGATGGCTTGTTCCGCAGCAATCTCGCCGCCCAAGGCCGGTCAGGGCATGAATGTCAGCCTGTGCGATAGTACGTTGTTCTCGGGTTTTACTTGATCGTGCTTGGATGCTAATGACTTAACCAGCCTACAACTTGGGATGGAAGATTGCTCATGTCGTAAAGGGCTATAGTGATGGTTCGATCCTCAAGACCTATCAATCAGAAAGACGTCGCATCGCACAAGATCTCATCAACTTCGACTACCGTTTCTCCCGCCTCTTCTCTGGCCGTCCGGCCAAGGACGTAATGGACGAGGAGGGAATCAGTATGGAATAATTCAAGGAAGCATTCCAGAAAGGAAACATGTTCGCCAGCGGCATTGGTGAGTAAAGATGTTGCAAACTTGGTACTGGATCTAACGAGTATGTGTGTCAGCTGTCAACTACAATTCTAGTATCGTCGTGGCCAGGGAGGGAGACTCTGTCGAACAAGGTGATGGTACCGATGTCGCCAGCAAGGACAAGAGCCTCCGGGTGGTCAGCAAGCAAGATCTTTCGACGGGCATCAAATTCGGCATGAGAATCCCTAGAATCAAGGTACTCAACCAGTCGGACGCACGGCCATGGCACCTACAGGAGTTGCTCAAGAGCAATGGAAGATGACGTTTTATTGTCTTCCCGGGTAATCTCACCACCAGCAGCAACTTCCAACACTACAGCCAGCTGGGAGAGAAGCTCAACAACCCCGACTCCTTCCTCCGCAAATAAACCCCCCCCCCCACTGGCCAGCCTATCGACAGCATGATCGAGGCCCTGACGGTGCATGCGGGGCCCCGCACGAGCATTGAGCTGTTGGATCTTCCCTAAGCCTTCCACCCCTACAACGAGAAGCAAGGATGGGATTACTGGAAATTGTATGCCGATGATCAGTCTTACCACGAAGGCCACGGCAAGGCGTACGAGAACTACGACATTGATCCTAAGCGCGGCGCCAGCGTGATCGTCCGGCCCGATCAGTATGTCATCTGGCTCGGCGAGATGGAGAACTAGGACGACATGGAGCGGTTCTTCTCAGCATTCATGCCGCCACAGTTGGTTTCGGCGGCCTCCATCTCCATTTTGTAAACATACGGCATACCCTTTTTCCTTTTTTCTCGTTTTTCCATGACCCATGATGAGATGATGTCAGAGTTGGATGGGTCGTGGGTCTTGGTTTGATACCTATATCTCATTTTCTTTCTTTCTCTGTTCTGATATCTAATGAAAAAAGTTTTCTATTCCATTGAGAAACCTGGAAGATGATCCCCCATCACCAATCCCTGGTCTTGTAGACGGTACAGTCGAGTTCGAGCCCTGCGAGATTTTCCTGCATGCGTCAAGCGTTGAGGAACGGACAACGGGGTACCGAACCAACTCCCGATCCATGGAGGGATCTCGATCAATGAGCGTAGATAAACTCGAGAAGCCGTCGCAGATGAGTGGATCAACCGTCATACAGTGCAAGATCGGGCCCAAGGGATCACGGTACAGAGTGATCATGGTCGACCAGAATAAGCTCTGCGAATTGAGTTTGAGAATGTTGCAGTGAGTCGAGTGACGGAATCACGATTTCATATCGGAGTCGAGCGGAAGAGACAGTCAGTCTAGCTTTGGAGGAGCTTTCTCATGGCGTAGTAGGCATATTGGGGGGGGGTTTGTATCTAGAGAGGAATGTGTGTAGAGATCTGTATGTCCATATGTGCAGATGGATATATGCATCCACGCCTGACTCGTTACTTACTTAGCCTCTGGCGAGCAGGTCGACGATCATTTACACTAGACGCGTCTCTGCTTGAACAGTCGTCTCCATCTATCCCTTCCTCCATCACTGTCTCGAGTATCCTTTTCGCCAGTGGTGGCTCTTCCTCTACTGGTGATTTCATGATCTCTTCGCTGTTGTATGACGTAGTCGAGCAGATTCCCGCACCGTACCGTCATCCTCGCCCTCCGGACATTCCGCACAGAATAAAATATCCTTCATCCCTAGCTTCACTGCGAGCTTCTCAAATTTTGATCTTCGTGTCTTGCACTTACAGCCTTCTTGTCGAGATCTGCATCGCTACCCCGCTGCGTTGGTGCTTGATCCTGGAGAATACCAGCTAGCTGTGAAGCTATCCCCATACCCACCCGACTATACCACTCGCGAAAGATCAACGATAGTCTTTTTTCTCGACAACTAATCTCTCAAAATGGTTCTCAAAGGTATTCAGCTCGGTCTCCGAGCTTGGGAGGTATGCACATGGTCTTCTGAAGATGGGAGAAAAAAAAGAATGATCAGGAACCCAGTCGCTAACCACCAAGCTGTATAGTTCGTCTTCTCCCTCCTCGTCATGGCCTTGATTGGTAACATCATCGCCGGGGCGTTCGCAGGCAACCCGGCCACAATCAACTACAGCATGTTCACTGCCACCTTCTCAATAATCTCGCTCTTCTACCTCGTCCCCGCGTCAATCAACCTTAGCTGGGCCATCAGCCCCATCATCATGATCGTGCTCGATGCCCTGAACGCCATCTTCTTCTTCACCTGCGCGATCGCGCTCGGCGCCCGACTGCATGCGCGCAGCTGCTCCAACAATGTATGTCCTCGTCTGTGCAGAATACCAACGCGCCAGCATCGTCTTCACACATATCACTGACACGGGGATTGAATCTAGCAATATACCCTCCACAATGAAGTCACCAACGGCTCGCACAACCGCGAGAAGCGTTGCCGCGAGGCGCAGGCGTCGACTGCGTTCCTCTGGTTCGCGTGGGCAGGTTACATGGCCTCAACGATCATCTCCATCCTCATGGCCCGTGGCTCTACTGAGAGCATGCGTGGCCGGCCTGCTCGTGGCGCCCGTGGACGCCCTAGCATGGCTCAGGTCTAAGCTGCTGGTACTGCTGTATGTATATCCTTTCTCTGGAAATTGATGGATATCATCTAACGTGAGACTAGCGCTTCAGCAGAACAGATACCTCTTCTGTTCATGCTGGTGCGGTTTCCATGACTGCCACCGAAATGAGATATCTTGTATCGGTTTTTCTATGAGGAACGACTGCTCTGTGATCTATATCCCTTGGTCCAGAACACAATGTGTGGAAGTTGGAAAGTACGACTAATAGAACCCTAATTTTACTTTAAAAAGGTAATCCTAGTCATTGGTGGAGTTTCCGTGGCGGATGGCTGCGCCATGGATGGATTGGGGACGGGAGGGAATAATGGATGATGTTCATGCTTCTTGTACTTTTGTTCCCTGTACGGTTTATATGTAATTGGATGGTTTGATACTTTCTTTAATGTAGTATTTGGTTTGCACTTGGATTCTAAAGTTATATGTCTTCGTAGCGGCATCAAATGCAAGCAGAAAGTATCTATCTATGCATCAAAACCATAAACCGTGGGTGCCCATTGCTAACCCTAACCAACCCAACACGCAACCACCACGACGATCTATCCTCATATATCCACACTCCGCCGTAGAACCTTCACAGTCATCGACTTCCGCACCGCATCCTTCGCATCCCCAAAGTATCGCCCGGACCGAAAACTACAACCCCGTCAGCAAGCCGCTCCTCACACACAATGAGACTACATTCTACACAAACACGCACCTCCAGTTCAAATTCGCCATCACAACATTCTGCACCCCGCGGATATACTGCTGGACTTGGATGTCGACATACTCCCCCCAGCTTGGTAGCTCCGCCAGCGCCAGGTACCAGGCCCTGTACCGAGCGGCGAGCATGTCGCCGATGTGGCTGAACGCCATCTGCGCAGGCATGCCGGAGTGGCGGCAGATGGCGACGACGTTGTGGGTTACGCCTTCTTTCTGGGTGGAGTCAGTTTTTTAATCGTGTCAGGAGTGGGCGGATGGGATTTACCTCTTCTTTGCAATAGGAGAGGATGTCGTTTTGCCTCCGGAAGGTCAGTGTCATGATATACTGTGTGGATGGAGTGAGGGTGGGTGGGGATATTGAAAAACGAGGACGTACAAGAGGACGAAGTCGATGCCGATACGCTCGATCTCTTTGATACTGCGGCACTCGAAGACATCGTCGGGAAGGTCGAGTTTGTGGGCGTATCTGCGAGGCGTTTTAGTTTAGTATATTCTATAGTCTGTCCGGGTGAGAATGATATGGGGAACTGCCATACTCCACTAGAGCGAAGAGCGGCGCAACGCCAGCAGACTGTCTTCGCAAGGCCAGCATCTCGTCCAGAGACGGATACCTGCCCAGCGAGCACGTCCGGACCTGTGCCAAAGTTCCCTGACAATAATCTCTCATCGTGTTGGCGAATCTGCGTCGAACGCCTGCATCGGTCTGGGTTAGTTGGACGGTATTGCCATGACTGGGGACGTGTTTACCGGGAGGAGAAGCCTAGACTGTGTCAATAAGGTCTGTTCAAAGTGGAAGAAAGAAGTGAGGAGCTACCTTGGCTAGCCGCTGCCAGACGGTATTGTGCACCCGGACAAGAGGGCTCTCTTCCTCGGCAGGTAGCTGGGCGCCCTCGTCCAGCATGCCAGCGAGCAGACTGTCTATCAGTTCCTGGGCTCGGACAGGGTCATCCTTCAGACCCCCATTATCGAACACTATCCATAGCGTGCGTCAACAGCCAGACTCCCTCGCGGGAAAGAATCTATCAAAACTCACTGTCGTCAAAGGGGAAAACCCAGTTCCCCCAGTCACACACCGTGCGCAGCTCCTCTGGTCCTGCCTCTGGCGCCGCAATGGAGCAAAAGTACGAAAAGTCGGTCTTGTTCAGGATCCGTCTGGACCTCGCGTCAAAGGAGCATTCACTAGAATTGGGAACTCGGGTTAGCCCTGAACTCAATGCCGCCACTATATTGCCGTGTTCCGGAAGACCAACTCTGCCATCCATGCTTCCGATTCCGCTCTCACCACCTCGTAGTACGGATTGACTACTGGATCTCCAGACAGGAATAGCGCGAAGAGGTCTGGCAGGCGAACAGAGACATAGCCATCCTGTTCTGGTGTTCTCTTCTCGCCCAGCCGGAGGGGGTGCTCTTGAATCAGAAAATCGGTCATATTTGGGAACAAATGCTGATAAGATAGCAACAGAGATCGAAGCTGAGAAGTCGATTGATGATATCCTTGATCTCAAACTGTCTTGACGATAGACGTGCTCTTTATACCCGCTTCCGTCAGTCAATTCGAGTCTACGAGAGCGAGCTGGACTGAGACAATAGTCTCTCCCCCGATCAACAACAATATTTAGAAACAGACTTCCAACAGTGAGCCACTGTACAAAATATCACATCATCTCGTCGCCGTCTTTCTTTGACTTGCCTGCCCAAAGTGGGTATCTCCTTTCAACCATTTCAAGACTGGGCGCCGCAAGAGCGCCTGGTTGAGCCGCTCGATGAGCCCTGTGCCATCGTGAGAACATAGAGTTCGCAGTACTTCTCATCCACCGGACGCCTTCCAGACTGGCAGGATCCAGAGAGCAACCGTCCGCGTTCACTGTTATTCCCCACTGGGGCCGCAGATCAGAACTAGTGAAGGCGGAGGGGGCCTAGTACCGTCGTGGATCTATACTAGGCTCGCTAGCTGTTCAACCCTGACTCGGGCAGTCTGGGCATCCTTGTGCGATCTTAACAGGGCATCGATCGTGTAACAGAACTTAATCGTTCTCCGTGATTTGACGGATATCAAGTTATGAAAGGATGGATCAAATACTTTCCTCTATCGCTATGCATGGTACTTTCGCATTCTGTTTCAAACAAAGACTCAACGGGTGACTTACCCGGTTATCAGGGATGCGAGACCCCTACAATATTGGCAGCAAGGCCAGCCAATTCCCAACAGACTGGCATACTTCAGCCCCGACATACTGGGTCAACCTCTTCTCTTTATCTCGTTCATGCAATCCTCGACGATCATGAAAGACCACAAACGGAATGAGATGGCTAAATGAATAGATTGAGGCACGTGGAGAAGATGTGGTAGCGATTTGGGCACGATCCGCACAGTGTTCGCTGGCTTTCTTTGTTGATTGCCCCAATACCCAATAGTCACTCTCTTCGTTGCTACGTATCATTTTTCCGTACCCATGTTTGCAGCACCATTGGCCGGCACCTCTTAGAGGCGAACAATATCCTGCTCAGACTTCTGATTGGACGCGAGTGGTCTCCCTATCTCGTGAACCGGTTTCCGCTGGAGTCCATTATGGAGGAGACTTCAATAGCTCGCCTGAGAGAGGGCCAAAAGCGGATACAGAGCCACAGAGCTCGCCTATTCTCATCGGAGCATCAAGAATGAGGGCAATCATTCTCGACCGTGACCAAAATATGATGAAGCATTCGCCTACTTCATTGGGCGACCAGCGCCATAGCCTCATCAGGCAGCCCACCGGATTGGTTTGAGGCTGAATTTGCATAGAGTGACCTCGCTAAGGCAAGAAGTATTCTTGTGTCTGACTGTAATTGGTACTCTTGTTCCGATGAATTTTGCGTCTTTGCTGGCGAGGGGTGTGGGAGGAGGGGGGCTGGCGGATGGTGGACATCAGGCCCCCTCAACCTATATAAAGGCTCCGAACTGGAGCGTCGTGCTCTTTGAACTCAGACAAAGTCAAGAACACGAGCATCAGAATCAGCATGTCCACTACCCAGTCCGGGCCAATTGCCCCCCAAGCTGGGAGCCTGATCAATAAATGGGGCTATTCGTTCAAATGGACAGATAGCCATCTTCCCCGGGACACCATCAAGCCGCTCCGCCAGCAATATGATACCATCGGTGCTGCAGCATTGGAAAGAATCCAAGCAATCCGTCTTGCTTTGGTAGAAGAAGCCAGTGCCAAAGGCACAACTCCTCCCTCGAATGATCTCTACACTCTCCTCCGAGACCACCACAGAGAAGACGAGATACTCTCACAGTTCTGGACCGAGCTTCACACCGTGCCTGACTGGGTAGACTGGCAGCAGCTCGAACGAGGGCAGAGATTCTTGTACCGCTACGCAATCGCGAACATTGTTGGCTTTGCTCTGCAGGGCTTCATGGCAGAGAACTCGGTGAGTGTTGGACCTGATTGATAAACGCCGTGTGTCTGCAGGAGTAGCTGACCAGAACTTTTCGTGCTAGGCTGCGTCAGGGGTTGTCGAGGTCCTCGTCCGAACCGGTGGCTTTTCCACCCGTATGCTCCTTGGACGGTTGCTGGAGACATTTCAATGGCTTATCCAAGTGACGCACAGCCTAGCTGCCATCCAGCCGGGAGGCGAAGGTCACGTTGCAACAATCCGGGTCCGGCTCCTGCATGCAGCAGTCCGACAACGCATCCTGAAACTGTGTCAGCGGAAGCCGGGGTACTTCAGTACCGAGCAGCATGGCGTCCCCGTCAACACCATGGACGCTATTCACTCCATCACTACCTTCTGCTGCAACCACATGTGGCTGCAGCTGCCCAAGTTCGGCATCACGCCCTCGAAACAAGAAATTGATGATTATATCGCCTTGTTCCGGTATATCGGGTACCTGCTGGGTACACCAACGGAGTACTTTGAGACCACCGAGATGGCAAAATTGACCATGGAGAGTGTCTACCTCCACGAGCTCCACATCACGGAGACTTCGCGTGTGGTGGCATATAACTTTGTCCAGTGTGTTCAGAACCTACCGCCGCCATTTCAGGTCTCCAAAGGCTTCATTGAAGCAGGTAGCCGGTGGATCAATGGCGACGAGCTCTGCGATGAGCTTGACTTGGGAAGGCCGGGTGTTCTGCACTACCTGGCTTTCACTGGACACTGTGTGTTGGTAATAATTCTGGCTTGGACGCAGAGGATCGTTCCAGGCTTTGACGACTTGATGATTAGCGTGAGTCTCTCCAATGTTTCAATTGTAGGATGGCATGATGTTGACCATTTAGCTCTTTCGGACAATCATGTATAAGGGGATCGTGCAACGCAGATCTCGTACGAATTTCCATTTCAAGTATGTCCCCAATGAAAGCAAGAGAACTGGTAGGGAGGCATACCATCCCGAAAAGGATGCACGGGGGATCAACTCGCCTCAAGGAATAGAAATTGGTTTGTTTGAAGTCTTCTTTCTAGCTGTTATTGTTGTCGGTGGCGGTCTTGTTGTGGGGGGTATCATAGGCATCTGTTTGGGAATGACTGGGAGGTTGACTGGCAGATTGGATTTTGGATAAACTGAAGTTAGCATAGGTCATAGGCAGAGCTGCTCATAACCATTAATTGAATATGATGCATTACATTCTGCCGATATTCAACCTTCTCCTGATTACTTTACAGCACCCTTGGGGCTTGTCCAGGCGAGGTAGCGGACCTCTATAGAAATGAGCTCTGAACCGACCCATACCTACTCAAAGTCAGCTTTCAATTATACCAAGGAAAGATAGAGACTCACCCCTGCGCACATTGGCTACCTAGTGCAACACTGCCACTCCTCATATAGCAGATCTTCGCCTCCCAACACGCGGCAGTGGTACAATTGGGTGACTTGACACTCCTTTTTCCTTGGAATGTATTATGCAAGCTGACCAGGTTGCCATCAGCCTCCATAGCTTCGGTGACCCGATGCCAAAAGGTTGCGTTCAGGGGAGCTGACGCCTCCCATCCGGCTGCAGCGCCGTATATGTCGCGAGTTGAGTACTCGAACTCAAATCTGGGGCCCTTTTCATCCAGAGAAGGGTAGTCAGAGACATTGCTGAAGAACGTGTATGCCTCGTAGATATTGAAGTCGCCCGTGTCTACCTCGTACATCCTGAATGCGCTGTTGAGATTCGTCAGGGGAGTGATGCTGGGCATGATCCAGCCGGTTGTCAAGCCGTTAGCTGCGCTTTGGAACGTGCCATTGTTGGCATAGTATATCACGAACTGGTCCTCGTGTGTATGGCCGAAGAAGATGTTCGCGATGACATGGGGTGAGTAGCGGCCGACGATCTGGTAGAAGAGATTTGTCGGATTGGGCAAGGGGTTGGAGCCGTCCCAGCCGCTGAGAACGTGGCCAATAATCCAGACGCGCTCACCAGCGTCCTCGGCTTTTTGCAGCTCGTCGACCATCCAGGAGAAGACACCAGAATTGTCGGGATTGGTGGAGTTGATGAAATTGAGGTAGTTGGTCGAGTACCAGAAATCTGCCTAATCAGCACTTGAGCAATCCATCGCTCCATAAATGGAATATGGACCTACCAGTGTTGAACGCGATAATGCGCAGGCCGTAATGCGTTTTCACAGAGTAGCCACCGTAGTGTGTACGTGCTTCCGCCGCGGTCTCGGAGTCAATCCAACCCTCATGTCTCCAAAGACTGGCAACATGCTCGTAGTTCCAGCTCTGCTGTTCACCCAAAGGCCCAGGAAGACTGTGAGGAGCATCGATGTTTCCCGGGCTCGTGTCATGATTACCCAAGGCAGCAAACACAGGCCCGGTGAGGTATTCCTTGAACATCCCAAATACACTGGTCTCCGTGTACTCGACATAATCCCGAGATAACTGTGCAGCCGGATCATGCGAGACAAGATCGCCGGTATAGAGAGTCCATGCAAGGGAATCTTCATGCCTGCCCTTTCCAGTCCCGGTCAAAGGACCTACAGCCTGAAGGGCAGCCAAGCCAAGATCATAGGGCGTGTCGCACTTGAAGGTTCCGTACGCCGGCGCGGCAAGAAGAACCTGACCCTTCGAAGCAGCGTTGAAGTTGTTACTGCGACAGCACAGTCCAGACGAGCAATTACCCTCAGACCTGACAGAGTATCGCGGATCCAGATGGAAGTCGGACAAATGGAGCACCTTGACCCGGTTCCCGCTTGGTTTGGGAATGCGAGGATGCGCTGGCTTGGGTTTAGGAAAAAGGTTCGTGGTGTCGAGGTGGCCTGTCTTTGGCCGGCTGCAAAATGACTTGCTCAGAGAATGGCAGATGTAGTCGCCGTCGAGACCCTCGACGTCAGCGTAGGCAAGTACTTGCGTCCAGACGGCACCAAATGCCGAGGACGCGTAGTCTCCTTCACAAGTGGCATTGGATTTGAAAGCAAACTTCTTGCAAAGAGAGACCAGCGCGTCAGGCACGAGAGACGGAGCATATAGAGCTGCAGGCTTGGCTGCTGCCAGAGCAGTCTTGCATCTGGCGCAGCTACCGTCTGCAGAGCTCTCTGTGATAATTTCGGTCACATTGACTACCACAGCGTTCATCAGAACACGCTGTTCGCTGTCAGAGAGCTCTTCTACAGGCTCTGGGAAGATGACCGGATCAGTGTTTTCGGTTGGAATGGTATTGAAATTAGTCAGGTTGTAGGGGAATGTTGTATTAAGCACGGGATCATAAATCACTGGCTGAGGTTCCTGAGTTGGCTTCGCTGGGAGATAGTAGTAGGAGCTGTCGAGCAGTTAGCTAATGGCCAAGGCAAGCGAGGATTCCACCAAAACTTGCGAGAACGCAGAGGTCGGAAATCCTGCGGGAGCGACATAGAAGGATGCTCCTGGAAGATTTGGCGCAGTTGTACTCGCCAATATTGGCGTGAGGCCAGCGAGGATAGACTGCAGGTTCATGGTTTTGGATCCTTCGCCGCTCCTTGACTCATCAAAATATGATGAGCTAGGATGAATTTGATGGAAAACTTGGACCTCCTTGTGCGGCTTGATCAGACTCAATCGAGTCCCCTATTGAGCCGGGTTGATGCCATCGAGATAAACTCAGAGGATAAGCTGAAGACAGGGGAGTAAGCGGGCGGCTATTGGAATTTGCATGTACTGTGTAGGGGATCGAAGACGCTGCCACCCTTGCACGAGTAGACCCACCAGCCTACTTGCGCACTCTCGTACATACATATACATAATTATTCCAACGAATATAAAACAACTGGTGCCCCTTTTGAGATACGGAGCCAGTGCATTCACAAGATCTGTGGAAAGGAAAAAAAACCCTCCCCCTAATCTCCACGAAGCACGGTGATAATAGCGGCGTACACATCCTGGTTACCAGTTCTCGAATCACACACTTCGTTAAACAGCTCCTGTCCCAGGTCAACAGGAGTCAGCTCCAAATCATCAATGATTGACACATCCGCTCCCTTCTCCACTAACAGCTCAATCATCTTCAGTTTTCTGATTCGACCACCAGTTGCAGCGCCGTCCGGCCATGGACGTAGAGTAGGCAATCGACTCGCGGGTGACGACTTCCATATCAACCCCCTTATCAACAAGTGCCTTTCCAACAATATCAACATCATCATCATCATCATCATCATCATTATCATTAAATGAAACCAGCCAGTGTAGACAAGTCTCGCCATTGGAGGCATTTGTCCAATGCACATGGTACTCGTCCGTAGAAGTTTTCTCGCTTTGCCCATTGTAGCAATGGTCCAGACACCGAAGAGACTGACAAAGTCATAGACCTGGGGAATGAAGATCCCTTCGATTCTGGGGTCAACTTCTGAGTCAGGGACTTGTGTTGTGGGCCGCGTTGATTCACTGATGTTTTCTGATGAGGGCAGGATCGAGGTCACTGTTCGTCCAGAGAGGGAAGTCGACTCCATCCTGACCGAGATTTTGACAGTACCGGATGATTCACCAGACCAGTGATTATTCTTCCATGCTTTTGAAGCCTCGTTCCTTGAGAAGGAGGTGCGCTCCGAAAATCTCGCGCGACTGCTCTCGCAGCCCAAGAGCCCCAGCTTCCTCGAAAACATGGAAGAATCCACCTTCCTCTACGACTACCCTCCAAACACAGAAACTTCGCTCCTGATCGTGCACACAGTCGGCTGGCTACACAGGAACATCTGCTCGGAGAACATCCTCTTCTTCAAACCCAAACCCACCACAGCCGCAGCCACGCCGCTCACACACCCCTACCTCACAGGCTTCACGTTCTCGCGCGCCGACTCCCCCGTCGAAATCAGCGACCAGGCCTCCGAGGACCCCCTGCTGGGCATCTACCGCCACCCGGCCGCGCTGGGCGAGCCCACCGCCTCGTATGCGATGTACATGGCCCACTACTCGCTCGGTGCCGTGCTGGTCGAGATTGCGGAGTGGCGGCCGCTCAAGCACATCGTCAAGAAACACATCGATGTCACGCGGGGCGAGGTGGATGTGTCGCTGGCGGCGCTGGCAGGGATCCAGGGGTGGTTGGGGTGTGAGCCGGTGGAGCGCGGACAGGTTGCGTTTCGCATGGGAGAGGTGTATGGGAGGGCTGTTTCGTGGCTGCTGATGGAGGGGACTGAGCATTGGCGATGCGGATGGCGGGAGTGGGAGTGGCAGTACAGGGCGGCTTCTGGCTTTCCGGCAGTTTGTGGATGAGTTAGATTGTTGTCGGGTAAAGGTGAAGGAGTGATACTCCGTAGAGGAGGTGCACTTGTCCCCCTGTAGTATTGATTTGTCTGGTGTATATTGGATAGATAGTCCACGGTTCAACCATGGGTCTGAAAACAAGTCGACTGCTCAAATTATTGGTTATTTTCGGGGTATTCATGGATAGGCGATGCACCTGCGCCCTCTCGCACCCCTGGTAGATCTTCTTCATGTGGTCTATCAAGTATCAAAACAACCCTGCGGATCATTGTACCAAGCTCAGATCGACAAGACGTGCAGTTGCAGATCCATACGATCATGATGTCATCGGCCGAGGATGCTGCCGGAAACAGCGCACTCTAGCTGGATATGGTTACATTGGTGCACCGCGAGGCTGACATCAAGGGGACATGATCTACGGGGTATAAAAGCCAGGGTATCGCAAGAGTCATGGGTGAGAACAGAAAAATTCATTCCCGATTTCATTTCATCACTATATATCAGTTTCCGTCTATATTGAGATTAACCGGCCCTCCTCACATCCGCAGAAATGCCCGTGGTGCCGTCCCTAAAAGACTCCTCCTTCGACGCTGACATCCGCGACCGCCATCTAATCTATGATTACGCCGCACAAGATCCCCAGGGCAATCCCGAAAAATGGCGCTATGAGATGTGGTTTTATAATGAGGACCGCATCGTCTATGCCATCCATGGCGGTCCCATGGCCGGGCGCAAGAATTTTCAGGCAGTCACGTACCAGTGTATCCGGCCTGGGGAGCTATGGCAGTGCAATTGGCTGGAAGAGACAGGCACGATCTGCTCACACGTGTACGATATACCCCGGAAACGCATCACGACGCTGCTGGCGTTCTCCAAGGGTCATTGGGAGGAGAGCGAGGCCGCGCACGGCGATAAGCGCAACTCTCAGGATTTGGCGCGGTGGCGGGAGCTGGCGAAGATTGGTACCCAGACGGACCGGACGCTCTTGAGCGAGCAGGCAGATATTGTAGAGGATTTCCGTGGCCCCGGGGATTTAGAGCCGATCAAGATGGATTGGCCAACTCTGTAGGTTGCTGGATGGTGGGTACAAAATGATACAAAGATTCGAATCAGATTGGTGACAGTGTATTTGAGTGGCCCTTTTGGTATCTTATAGCCAATATGGATGTCTCATATCCGGGTATGGAGAGATCATCCCCTATTGATGTGCTGGTGTGGCCGACCCTGCATTTTATGCGGACAATGCATTAGGTAGTGACCACTCGAGCAGTCACAAATGCCTCCCGATTTTGATGATAGTACTGGTGAGAATGACAGGTCCGGGAGCTTTGTCAACATGGCTGGAATGAACTCCTCGAGGCAGACATTCGCAAGATGCATAGGAGCTTGGTACTCGGCCATTGGAACGTACATATGCAGTGATGGGTCAGCATTGAACAGAAAGGCCAGTCTGTCAGACTCGACTCGCAGGGCCAATCAACCGATTGGACCGTGGTGATCTCCACACCATATACGCTGTGGACCCAGCGAGTACAAGGCCCTCGTCGTTTCCGTACTGGCTTTTGGAGACAAGACCGAGGACTCCTGGGGTGCAAGTCCAACCCATATTGGAGGGGTTGTAGTCATGTCAGCGTTCATGAGTGTATCTCGAATATCATGGGGTTTCCCGTGAGCTGGCCTAGCCCCGTATCAACCGTCTTTGGTGGACGAACTCCCCCCTGATGAGGGCGCCTGGATGCATACAAATTCAATCTGGACATCATCCTTGCTGTGCAGCGGATGGCCGTTGAAGGTGGGAGCTCGGCTGATAACCGCGACCGCAACTTGTTCCGCCTGTTGACTGGATGTGACATTATCGATGAACCATGTCTTCCATGGACTTCCGCTGAATCCGGGGGTTTGAATCGTCGCAGTCTTGTCGGGTTCCGTCTCCTGAGCAAAAGCTGTGAAGGGCGTCAGCCGTCTATCAGAAAATCAGGAGGGGAATAATCAAATCCGAGATGACATACGTTGCACCGGCAAGGACTGCAGATCAGAGAAGAATTGCGGTGGGCAGTTGGAAAGAAAAGGCGGATGGGCGAGCATTTTATTGAGGACCGCCTGAAGAGGATAACTGTAAGATTCTCCCTTCATCGACAGCTCGTAGAAAGCCCCCTTCAGGAGGTCCCTCAGATTGTCTGTGCATTGCTGGCCCCATACCCCTTCGCAGCCATTGCTGCCCCCGGACGGCGTGCCCGTCAAGTTCCCGACACGAAAGGCGATCTCCGAGGTTCGATTCACATGGATGACCGAATTGTCGATACGATTGGCGTCATATCGTAGCCAGAAACTCGCTTTGATCATGGGATCCTGTCCTTTGCCGGAAGGGTTGGCGTCGAACCCATAATAGAGGGTAATATCATCGAGGAAAAGCGGAGGGAAGTCGAAAGTCACGGCGGTCTGGGCCAGAGGATCGACACAGCCACCATCCCAGAAGGTGCAGAATTGGGCCACGGTCGAGGGGAGGATGACCACCAGCAATGTCAGAAGCAGCCAGCCTGGTCGAGAAACCGACCCTGTTCCCCGTTGAATGAACATTTGATTATTCCCCGATCGTCGGAACACGACGGTTTGTTATCGAGAGCGAGACAAAATGACTCAAGCACGACACGAAACTGATGATGGAGCAGCGGCCAGACAGACGACTGGCATGCTCATTACCGTGTTGTTGGTTGTTGTTTTGATGACAGGTCAGGTCGTGGAAGGGATAAGACGGAACAAGGAGCGTAGAGATTGGATTGGGGGTGTTTGTAGAAAATCAGGCCAAGTGGAGAGAGGATGATATCGGACCCTTTAAAGCATAGCCAAAGTAACCAGTGAACAATCGGTGACGGGGGCAAAAACCAGAGAGGAGGATGCTAAGTTACTAGTCTAGTCACTCTAGGAGTAGTTAGTGAGAGAAGCCTGAGAATGTCCCCCCTCCGCGCTTACACGGCACAGGCGTCGACCGTCAGTCGTGTAATTGTGCCTAAACTTCTCTGGCGGAAGGGCAGTGAGCAGCGATTGGTGCACTCACGAACCACTCCGTCCACCGTTTCAGAAGCCAAGGAGCACAAAACCAAGGCTATGGCCGAGAAAGATTGGGGGGGTAGACTGGGAGTAACTGTAGTACTGACGGTTGGGATAGAGTGGTAGAGTTGTTAAAAGACTTTGTGGGATGATTATTCGACAATGCTAATTTGGACGGGGTGCTTTTGACGCGGTGGGGGGGGGGGGGAAAAAAACAAATGAGGTGAGATGAACAACACAATGTGACTCTGGAATAACAGCGATATATGAATTATAAAGGCCACGGTGGTAGTCTGGCAGATGATCGGGAGATAGAAGATACCTTTGGCCTACAGACCGGATACCTAGTTTCTAACCCTGTCCCTAGGTAGATAGATAGAGAGAGGGGGAGAGAGAGAGAGAGACAGATATGGATAGATAGATGCACTACTCCGTACAGAGTACAGCAGTTGCAGATGACCCTGCTGACCCGGATTTCTGCTTTCAGACCGTCAGTATGGAGGCAACCGTTATTATTTTGGTATTATTACGGAGTTACGCTACCTAGGTACCTCAACTCCTCAAGACTTCCATGTACAGAGTATTTTTTTTTTTCCCTCATCCGTCGAAAACAGGGCGAGTGGAGTCGGGGATTGACCGCAGGGCTCAATTGGATGACTGGAGGGTTTGAGAAATAGTACTAACTATGAGACATGATTTTCTCTGCGGACATTCATTCTTGTGGCCCAGCCACGCTAACGGGGTTGCCCCCACATACTTCCGGCCCAGAATGGCAGTCCTGGCGGACAATCTCAAACAGGCTGCCAGGACCGAACGAATCAAAGCACAGAATTTGCACATATTTGGGCATTCTGAAAGCCTAGTGGCTCCACTTTGGGTGCTTAGCCTGCCAGCCACCCACCAATGCTAACTCGACACTGATCAGCTAGTTGTATGGTAAGTTATGTACCATACTGATCCTGTGATTCTAGGTAGGAAATCACCTTGAAGGCTTCATTCATGGTGGTCGTCATTCAACCAGTCAACCCGATTGCATGCTCCATCAATCCTGATACAAAAGAGGATTCTCAGCTCAACAGAGTTTCATGCTCTGAACTATCTATGCTCTCCCTTGCTGACTGAATCGACAATCCAGATAGTATGGTTGATAAATATCTTGACAAACAGGCCAGTTACAAAGCCTGGAATTGTTCTCCTGAGATCTCCATCCTCCCGTAAGGTACAGCCGAGGGAAACAATTGATTCTCAAATCTGCACTCTCAATCAATATTATGTAGATAAGATGTATCTATGGTTTGGTCATCTATGATTCCTGATCTATAAGGCACTTACTCGCCCCCTATATTGACTTCACCTTATTGTACATTAACACTGATAGATGTTCATGTCCATGATGATGGTATTCTCCTACAGAACAATACCTACCTACCCTGCCAACTGTCACATGTGTTATAATCACATTTCCATGTTGCCATCTTATGTGTCCATAGCTAGGTACCTAGGTATGGAGTTGACTACTTATCTACATTATACAGTACCGAATACAAACTATGAAGGTCTGCTGGGCACTAACAAACAACAATAGTCCAATCCCGAATAATAATTGCATTCTCGCCACCTGTTTCATCACCACATACCTGAGATGAGGTATATTTATCGCTACCACGCGACGCATGCAGGCTCGGACGCTTCTCTGCGAAATGACGCGAAGTTCTCGCAGGAATCATATGGCATAACTATCTCCATCTGTCACTTCTATCTGTCGCCTGTAGAAAGGCGTCTTCGAAGACGTTCGTTCCACGATGAGGTACCGAGATTGGTACGGGCTATGGAATCGTTCGTCTGCCAGCCAGGCGCCGTCGGGGAGCCACAAGGTCCGAGCGACTACGTAGTACGGTGTTCTTCATCTATCTCGGTGAGTCGGCGATCTCGTGCGGCAGAGGGTATTCTACTACTACTGTTGCTATGGAGTAAAGAAACAAAACATCAGCTTCCTTGGAACGAGACCCAGGAAACATAGACTACCCTGCCAAGCCATTTTATTCTCCCAAGCGAAGAACGGAACCAAACTATCTCAGTTACATGACCACGGAACTCCCCGAACCTGGCGCTAGATAGATATGTCTAGTGTCTACCCCTCGGATCGTCGAATGGTCAAACACCTGATCAGCCACAATCTGCTGGCACAGAAGGCAGCAAGAAATCTAAGATTCCGAGCATGCTACACCCTGATCATCTGTACTACCACTGTCAAGGTGTCAACTGTCAACAGACCTTAATTGGCCATGGCTCCCTCGGTCCCTCCAGAGTAAACAGTCCGAGACAGAATATATGCACGCTCTGACCACCACCCTGAGTATGCAGATGAAGTCATCCGCAGTGCCAGAATCGCAGACAGGCTGACAGCTGCCCTTCAGTGCGTCATTTCCCAGGGCTGAAACGGCCGATCAATGAACATGCTAAAATAATGAGGGACTTCGCGCTAGGCGTGCATGCCAGGCGCCACTTTTCGCCTTTTTCCAAGTCTACTCCGGAGTAGGTACTCTGTAGTAGGTACTGATTACTGGCTAGGGGTTGATACCATCGATGTACTGCTATCGGACACTGGTTTTTGGAAGCGTGGATACTTGACACTTGAGTCTCGACACTCAGAAGCAGATAAACAAGAAGAATGTGATTGTGTCACTGTAAAATTGAAGACTCAGGTTTACGCAGTGCAGACTGCAGAGATCGTCGGTTCCTCTGGTTTCCCTTGGGATTTGAGTCACTGTTTCAGGTCTAGGTGCCTAGGTAATATCCGAGCACGCCGATATCCAATTGGGAAGGAGGCACATGTCGCACTTCAGAGTCTTAGGAATGAACGAGATTTGCGTCAGTGCTTTCTTTATATTGACTTTAGTCTACTTGAAAAAAAAAAGATGCAGTGTGAGGATGAGAAGATGCACGGAAATCCGATCATCACGTTTTAACTTGTCCACAAAGCACGAGGATGACAAGTAGAATTGCCTCCCGGGTCTCCCTAGAAATCCCCGATCCGTAACGCTCTCAAAACCTCCAGTCAGCTTTTCATCTTGTCCTCCAGCCATTGGACCCGGGCCTTGAGCACTGCAGCCGCCTCGTTGATCGACCTAGTAAGCTTCCGGATCTTCTCCAGCTCCCGAGTCTTATTCCTCTCTGCAATCGACACAATCTTGCGCACAGTCTCGACCTCGGCAGCCTCCATGTCCGTCAGTCCACGCGTGTGAGGGTCCTGGTTGTTGCGGTAGTGCTCCTCAGCGTTCTGGACCCGACAGACAGCTTTCACGAGCGGTAGAGCCTCTGGGCATTTGAACGTCAGCCACGACGCATGCTCAGGCATCGCTCCTTGGTGCTCCCAGATGATGTCCATCGCCTGCGCTCGCTGCGTGAACTTCTTGAGGCTCTGAGCGCCTTGTGGGACCGGGTGCACATTCTTCTGCCAGTCGAAGGGGGCGGGACACCCCATCTCTTCAGTCTCTGGCGCTTTCTGGGAGACTTCGCTGTTGAGTTTGTTCTCGGCACGACGGCTCTTGGCCCGCTGCCATGCCTCATACAGCTCAATTTCGGGCGGTGTCATCTGCGACTTGGCTATGCTCTCTGGATCCCTTGGGTGCGCAGAAGCCAGCTTCAACCCTGTCCATAGGGCCAGGCTGTTGCCGTCTCCAACCACTTTGGCTAGGGCTTCCATCTTCTTGGCGGTCGTTTCGAGATCATCCACTACTGAGGGGACTGGAATGATCTTCAGGTTCTCGCCAAGATGTCTCAGCTCCATGGGATTTATTCCTGGCTCGTCAGGGGGAAAAGGTGCATGTTGAATTTGTTGATGAAAGTCGCCGCCGGTAATTTGACTGCGAAGAGCCAGGGATTGTGTAGGCGGGTCGCATGGTGATGGGTTTGTAGAGTTCGAACTAGAGGGATTCAGCGACATCGTGACGACTTGCTGACTTGCGCAAAATTATGGTCTTTTTCCACTGTAGACAGTAGCCCCGGATGGTAAGGCCGCGTGGCAAGCCTGAAGCTATTATTTCAAAATACCTTGGACCACTTTTCCCTCATGTATCATCTGTTGCTGAGTATTTATGTGACCAGCAGTTGATCGTATTAACACGCTCTTGGGTAAGAGACACTCAGTCCAGCCAGCCCTGAAGGAAAGCATCAATTTTCAACTCATTCCAGAACTGGTTGATGTTTATTGATAAAGCTCAACCCATGAAAGATATATTCACAGCTAAGAGAAAAGTGAAGTGGATGAACGATGAACGGAATTCCTAGTAGAGAGAGTAAAGGTCTCCGCCCATACGTGAAGGATGACTAAGTCACTGAAAAGAGATATATCAGCAACCAAAGGCAGATGACCATCTGATAGCCCATCACACCGAGTGAATACACAGTAAATATGACTAGATGAATATTTCAGAAGAAAGCATTGTCATGATAAGTCAAGTATCACACATATATATTGTACAAAGGCGCCTCCCAATAGAGGGAAGCCACCAGATCCGCCATGTGGCTTTCCTAATATACACCGATTTTGGTTCCATCGCCCTCTCCACACCGCGAAATCGTATGATGGGCATTCAAATTGAATGACAAGAGATGTCGAAATGTTGATAATGGTCAAAGAATGGGGAGAGTGTCCTGCAGAGCTCGAAAAAGAAATAGTTCCCAAACGCCAAAAGCTCCTCGCTTGAATGCTGAAAAATCAAAGAATGACCAGCTACTGCAGTGCTGAGTCGCGCAGAGTATCAGTTAGTTATCATCATCGTCCATGTAGGCCCGCTCCTTGAGCCCATTGCCCCTGAGCCAGGCACGCTTCCATGGTCCCTCTTTTCCAAAGGCAGCTTCTCGGTCCTGCCGCATTCCCTCAAGGACGCCGACAATACCGCCATGACGCAGACGCTCGAGAACAACGTTCATGCCTTCCTTACTTTTGAGCACAGCATCACGGGTTCTGCTCACGCCAATGAGCTCAATGGTTCTTTGAATACCGGCCGTGGACAGCGAGGAAAAGAAGCCCTTCTTCGGGATCTCCTCATCATGATCAGCCGTCTGCTCAGCAATTGATTCGATCTTCTTCTTTCCTCCGAGAAGTTTGCCCTGGCCAAGCCGAGAACGGAACGTGACGGTGGTTTTGACCTGCGTCTGCTCACTTCTCTTATCATCCAGCGAGAGACCCTCCAAACTTTCAAGCGCCCCCTCAAGTGGTTGGCGCGTGTACACTTGCTTCTCAACAACACTCAAAATTCCAGTCCATTCCATGTTCCGCGACTCAGTTTGCATCCAGCCTTCCTTGATATCGACAATAGTGGTTTCGAGGATGTAGCTCTGGCCGGAATTGTCCGAGCCACCGATTCCCTTTGGGAGCAGTTTCAAGATACCTGCAGGCACCTTGGATTTCTTCAAATGAAGGCGGATTGTATGGAGACGCTCTGTTTTTGGGTCCACGTAACGGTCAATCACATCGGTGGTCAGGACATGGCGAGAGTATGGATTCGGATAACGGAGAAAGTAGGCGAGCGACACGGCCGGGAAAGAGTAATCGTACGTGAATACGTTCTCAAAGAACTTCATCGTTGCGGATTGATACAGACAGTGAAGTTGAAGATGCTGGAGCTGATGTGGCGATGGTGGAATTGACGGCTTGGGGGAGATGTGTGCTCGTCTGATCAATGACCTTTCCCAGTCGTCAGATCGAGACTCCTGTTGGAAGAATTTCTGTCGGCTTCCGGCAGCTCTGCCGCTAGCCTGATCTGGGATGCGGGGTGCCAAGATTACGCACGTGATCTAGTGTATCGGTGCCTTAATCAAAGCCAATCAGACTACAGCATCTGTCCCAGTGGCCTGAGTCATCAATGGGCGCTTTTGGAGGGGCAGGAGAAATAATTCAACGAGTTTATCAACATATCACAGGTGGGACACAACTCTTTATAGCGCGCTTCGTTCTCTTCTCGGTCGCTCTTTTCCCGATTCACTTCTTCGCGTTTCCTCTGAATCATTCGAAAAAAATGGCGGACGAACCCGGCCAACCCCCCGCTCTCACCACCCTGAGCCTCGCAGAACAGGCTCCTGCCTCGAAGGCCGTTGCACAGATTGTCACACCCTTTGACGTTTCTGGTGGCGTGGATGAGTCCGGAAAGCTTCTCCCAGTCGACTATGATAAGCTGGTGCGCGAGTTTGGAGCCACTCGCATCTCCAAAGAGCTGCTCGAACGCTTCGAGCGAGTCACCGGACGCCGGCCGCACCGATTCATGCGCAGAGGGATTGTCTTCAGTCACCGTGATCTGAATCTGATTCTCGATCGATATGAGAAGGGGCAGCCGTTTTACCTCTATACTGGTCGCGGACCAAGCAGTGACAGCATGCACGTTGGACACACGATTCCTTTCGAGTTTACCAAGTGAGTGTGTCCTTTCCGGAAAATATGTGTCTTGATGGTGCGCTGACTGGTGGTTCTCTCTAGGTGGCTGCAGGACGTCTTCGATTGCCCGCTGGTGATCATGCTTACTGACGACGAGGCAAGTGCTCGATCCGCAATTGATGCTATGGATACCGCTAACCGACTTGCAGAAATATATGCACTCGCAAAAAATCGAGGTTGATGATGCGAAAAGATACACGAAAGCGAACGCGATGGATATCATTGCTGTTGGTTTCGACATGAAGAAGACCTTCATTTTCAGCGATTTTGATTTTGTCGGTGGTGCCTTCTACGAAAACATCTGCAGAATGGCCAAAAGAATCACAATCAACTCCGTCAGAGGAACCTTTGGCTTCAACGACAGCAACAACGTCGGCGAATTCCACTTCTGTGCCACTCAGTCGGCCACTGCCTTCGCAACCAGCTTCCCTCACATCTTCGGTACCGACAGGAAGAAGGTCTCCTCCATCCCCTGCCTGATCCCGTGTGCCATCGACCAGGACCCGTACTTCCGTCAGTGCCGCGAACACGCTGAGAAGATGAAGTACAAGAAGCCTTCGCTCATCCACGCCATCTTCCTCCCTGCTCTCCAGGGCCCTGGCTCGAAGATGTCTGCCAGTGTTGATACCTCCGCCATCTACATGAATGATGCGCCGAACCGCATCAAGAACAAGATCAACAAGTACGCCTTCTCTGGCGGTCAGGATACGGCCGAGCTTCAGCGCCAACTGGGTGCTAACACCAAGGATGATGTTTCTTTCCAATACCTCACCTTCTTTCTCGAGGACGATGAGGAGCTAGAGCGTATTCGTGTGGCATATGAGAAGGGAGAGATGCTTACTGGTGAGGTTAAGCAGAAGTGCATTGCGGAATTGCAGACATACGTCCAATCCTTCCAGGAACGCCGGACCAAGGTGACAGACGAGATTGTTGCTGAGTTCATGCGTCCCCGGGCTCTCGAATGGAAAGGGAACCCAAACCCCATTGTCGTGGAGAAAAAGAAATAGAGTATTGTTCAATCGGAATCTTCAGCCATGTCATTCAGCAGTTTCCTTTATCGGCAAAGAACGACTGCTTCGTTGCACTGGTATCGATGTGGCAGCAGTTACCGTTGGAGTATGAATGGCCAATGATTGATATGATGTCATGATAGATATGAATATGGACCGGTCCTATATGTTTTATATCCCAGGGTGGCGTTGAGATTGAAGATGACCTCTTGTCTGCGCTTCACCAGAATTTGCACTTGGTAGTGTTTTTGATTGCTCGGATCGGTGTTCATTTGGGCTCTGATATCACGATTTTGCCAGGGAAGAACCCTCTCACACCATTACTTAACCAGCACTCTTCGCCGTCAATTAAATCTCCAACGGTGATGGCCTGCTCGGAGCAGAATCTCTGGGCCAAAGCGTACCGCCTTGTAGTTCCTGCATTACCACCACTGGAAAGAGGTGGCGTAACCCAAGTTGGCTCGGAACTGTTTTGACCATTTCCCTCTGGTTGTGAACCATGTCCCCGCCGTCTAAAGTATGGTGTAGTGATACTTCCCTCCATTATTTGGCCATTTGGATTCACTATCAACACTTCAACAGGGTCCTGCGGGGATGTGATGTTCGACCGAAGACGGGCAGCCGTGTAGTTGTTGCGAGAGGTGGTTTTGTATCTTGTGAATGGTGACGGGATCGTTGGCTGAGAATCAACAACAACACGCCAGGGGTCAGATGGCGGACGCTTATCGGACGGCAGCAGAAGGCTCAGTGGCTCCATTGGCATCGCTGGATTGACATCGACGGTGCAACGGCCATGACGGTCGACAACGATGCGAAGACGCCATGGTTTCGTCTGGTCAGGAATGAAGCCGTCAAGGAATTGAGCAAAAGATTTGAGATCCTGCTGCAGAAAGGCGACGGCTTCAGTCCATTTAAAACACTCTGCTGCAGAGAGGAGTCGTTGTTGATGGTACGGGAGGAGGTAGAAGGGCGATTGTAGGGAATCAGGGTAGCATTCTGCGGCGCTTGTTTTGATGACCTCTGGAAGTGCGGGTTCGTAGCGAAGAGAAGAGATGATCTGGAAGGTCTCCTCGGGTAGTGGAAGTGACGGAGGATCTGACGCCATTGTTGCCGTCAAAAAGGACCAGGCCGATGCCGCTTGGTCGGAGATTGGACTGTGAGCTTGCTTATACGGGGGGAATATACCGGAATTGAAACATCGCGATAGGTAAGAAGAGAACAGCAAATTCAACGCCCACAACCACTATTGTCGCGCCTCCATAACGAATTGAATGTGAAAGCCGAAAAAGCCCCTGGAGATCCGTTTTTGTCAGCCGATGATGATATCCCCAGTGGAGAACAGTCCAAGGGCTGCGATGAGTAACAGAGTGTGATTGGCCTGGAGAGCACGAGAGAGCTCGGAAGGGCGCTGCAGTACGCCGGAACTTGGAACGTCGAACCGCATAACTTTTCAGGTCCGCATCATCTATCTATTGATCCGTCTCTTCCCATCTCTCTCCCTTCCTCGAACTATCTTCAAAACCCTCCCCCAAAAAATATAGCAGCGTTCCGGCTGACTAGAATCCTGCTTTCCCGTCAAGGACCGGTATGTTTATGAATTCATCCCAATTCTCATCCATCCCCTTATCTATCGTGATGCTTTCTCCGTCCACCCATTGCTTACTCCTGCTCTTGTGCGCGATACAGAGCTACGAATTCAGTTTCCTCTTCGCCGGGTCATCATGTCGAGCGAATCGTCCTTGCCGCAGCCAGTGAAGAACGTGGTTGTCGACACTACTGCCCTTCCTGCGTCTTCCTCTGCGTCGGTATGGGACCGTATCTCGAAATGGGTGTCGGAGAATAAGGCTCTGGTCTATACCATTGCTGGTGTGGCTGTCGTCGTGACCAGCGCGGGTGTCGTATACTATCTGTCCGATTCGGGTCGGACTACCCAAGTTACTCCCCCGACGGAAAAGAAGAAGAGCAAGAACCAGCGTCGAAAGGAAAAGAAGAAGGCGGAGGAAGAGAAGAAGGCGAAGACCGCTTCCGTCCAGGAAGGTATGTCTTCTACGACTACGCCTCGCCTCTTTGGCTTGTGGGATATAACAGAATGACTGATGATGAAGCTTTAGAACAAGCTCCCAAGAAAGCCGAAGAGGCGTCTGAGGAGCTGCCTGAGGTTGATGAGGCTACTATTGATCAGCTGTCGGACGAGGTGGGTTGCTAAGTTTATGTTTTTGGCTTTCTTCTCGACGGCTCATGCTCACGGCTCAAATTTCAGACACGGAGGGCATATGCCGCCAAGCTCAAGGCCGCCGGTAACAAGGCGTATGGCTCCAAGGATTACAACAGCGCCATCGAACTCTACGGAAAGGCCATCATCTGCAAACCCGACCCTGTCTTCTACTCGAACCGCGCCGCCTGCTACAATGTGCTGTCGGACTGGGAAAAGGTCATCAAGGACACCAGCGCTGCACTGGCGATGGACAGCGAGTATGTGAAGGCCTTGAACCGAAGAGCCATTGCATACGAGCACCTCGAGAAGTTCGGAGAAGCTCTTCTCGACTTCACAGCCAGCTGCATCATCGATGGATTCTCCAGTGAGCTCAGCCGCAACTCGTTGGAGAGACTCCTGAAGAAGGTCGCCGAGAAGAAGGCCAAGGCGATCCTGGAAGCTAAGGGCCGGAAGCTTCCCAGTGCCACATTCGTTTCGAACTACCTGCAGAGCTTCCGTCCCCAGTCTCTCCCCGAGGGTCTCGAAGAGTCTGCCGACTTGAGTGACGAATCCGGCAAGGGCCAGCTGCGCAAGGGTCTGATCGCCATGTCGAAGAAGACCGGTGACGGCTATGAGGAGGCTGCCGCCGCTTTCGAGAAGGCGTTGGAGCTCGGCGACTTGGGTGAATACGAAGCGCTGGCCCTCAACATGAGAGCCACCTTCACGTATCTGGCCGGTAACGCTCAGTCGGCTCTGGCTGATCTCAACAAGAGTATCGAACTGCAGCCCTCGTTAGTGCAGAGCTACATCAAGCGTGCCAGCTTGCACCTTGAGCTCGGTAGGTTTAACTATGAGGAACAGACCGCGAGACACCGGTTGCTGACCAATACTAGGAAACAAGGATGCTGCGGCCGATGATTTCGAACTTGCCATCACTCACAACAAGGATGACCCCGACATCTACTATCACCGTGCTCAGCTCCACTTCATTCTTGGAGAATTCGCCGAAGCTGCCAAGGACTACCAGAAGTCGATCGACCTCGACCGAACTTTCATTTTCTCTCACATCCAACTCGGTGTGACACAGTACAAGATGGGCTCCGTGGCCTCTGCCATGGCTACCTTCCGTCGCTCCGTGAAGAACTTCGAGGATGTGCCCGACGTCTACAACTACTACGGTGAACTCCTCCTGGATCAGCAGAACTTCTCCGAGGCTATCGAGAAGTTCGACAAGGCTGTTGAGATGGAGAAGCAGAGCAAGCCTATGGGTATTAACGTCCTGCCCCTGATCAACAAGGCTCTTGCTCTCTTCCAGTGGAAGCACGACTTCCAGGAGGCTGAGAACCTCTGCCAGAAGGCCCTCATCAGTAAGTTATTTCGAAATGTTCGTACAACGTTTGGTTGAGCTCATACTAACGGCTGCTCTTTAGTTGATCCCGAATGTGATATCGCCGTCGGAACTATGGCCCAGCTTCTTCTGCAGCAGGGCAAGGTCTCGCAGGCCCTCAAGTACTTCGAGCGGGCCGCTGAGCTTGCCCGTACCGAGGGTGAGATTGTCAACGCCATCTCATATGCTGAGGCCACCCGCACACAGTTGGAAGTCCAGGAGAAGTACCCCCAGCTTGCCGCTCGCCTGCAAGGCATGGGTGGCGGCTTGGGCGGACCTCCTGGTCTGTAAAACAGAAAAAAGGACGACTTCGACGCGCAACGCGCCATGACTCTTCTCGCAATGTCCGCCTAGACGATGCGGATTTAATGCAAGATTAATTGGTTTTTCTTTCCCCCTCTCTTTCCCCCTTCTGCCGCCCAAGTTTTCTTGTTTGAACTGAAGCAGCCCTACTTTTAGACTGGCCCTTCTTGCCCAGCCCATTCGAATGTGGTCAGGGTGGGTGGGTCTTTCTTATGAGAGTGTATCTACTACCACAAATTTGTGTTTCATTATGTATCTTTTCCCTCTCCACCTCAAAAGAGCCTTTCTCTGATTTGTTTTCCTATCATTTGTGCTTCGTGTCTGCTTCCGCATGTTTTGATCATGTGCTTAATTTGTGGGCCTGGGGAGCTCTTCTGGTGTGTTGCCTCGGGAGAGCTCTGGCTGGGTAGCGGGAGTGTGTTTTGAGTATTGTCCGACGCCTGGCGCTTCGTTTCTAACAAGGAGAGACGGCGATGGAAGAAATATGACTTGTACCATAGTAAATGGAAGAGGGTAGGGAATATATTGCATCGGTTGGCATCTTTCATAGCAGTTCTTACTTCTAACTACTACTTCTACTCTACCACTAGTACTAGGCCCACTGGTGTTCTCTTATCGGCAGACTAACTGATTCAGGCATCACCTGACAGGGCGGGAGACCCCACATTCTCCCTATCATTCATAGGATATCTACTAAGTACTGTACTATGTACTATCTAGGTACTTACACAGTACTATGATGTCTACCTAGTCCCGAGTACCTAGCTCTATTAAGTACGATTACATACCGCCAGCATCAGCGTCACCATCCACTCTCTTCTATGGTTCACAACTTGCTTAGTACATCATCATTATTCTTCCTCTTCACTCATTCGCACATCACTTCCTGCTGTCCACACACAGAACACAACTCTCACTAACCTCTTACTCTCCTTCATCTACCTGCCTCAGTCATCCTCCACTGATCCACCCGTTCTTTATCGCCCTACCTCCTCCTTCCTTATCAACCCGACGATCATCCGAGTCGACCACTCCTCTCATACTTCCGATTTCGTGTGTTGGGTATCCATAACTTCATCAAGATTCCAGGCAGCCATTCGGAACCTGACATCTTCTACCACGGATTACTGCAGGGCGGAGAAGTCGCTGTCCACGTTTCTCAGCCTGACAGCGACCGTCGTTTCGGTTGACCTCAGGCTGATCCCATTGTTCTCCTCCCCCTTCTCCTCCTCTTACCCCTCCTCAGGCATCTTTCCGTCATTGACCTCGTTGCCTCGTCATATTGACTATCACTTTTCTACAACGAAGCTTGGAGTTCCGGAATTCAGACGCTTACTACTCACTGTTGTCAACTATTCTTCAAATTGTTGAGGATCTTCCTGACGAACAATATCTGTCGAGCATTGGGGTTTGCCCACGACGGAGTAACACTCGACATCAGCTCAAGAGAAGGTCTTACTTGTGCTCCTTGAAACCACCATGCCTCACAAGCAGGGTACGTGTTCCACCAAATGATTTCCAACTGTACAAGAGCGGTGCTGACTGATTATGTCTGTGTTGTTCAGCTGTTGTTACCCTCCACCCACTCTTCCAGCCCGATGTCCTCCCGTTTCGTTCCCTAACCTTCGCTTCTGACCTCGACATCGTCAAGATTGGCCGAGCATCTAAGCGAGAAGCAAAGAATCTCACCCCTGCGCCGCATAATGGCCTGTACGACTCGCGGGTGATGTCTCGAGACCATGCAAGGATGAGGGTATGTTTCGAGAAGAAGGTCGGTGGACACCCTCCCCTACCCCAGATCGATACAGATAAAGTCTACTTCTTGCTGTATGTTGCTGTATTCACAAATTTGATTTAGATCGTTTATCTACGGGACGGTGGTTCTATGCATGGTACCTGGATCAATGGTAAAAAGATGCCTGCTGAAAAGGATATTACAATCAATAACGGGGATGTGGTGACCTTCGGTGCTGAAGTCACGCGTGGTCAGGGTAGGTAGTGGCTTGATTCTGGATTCGAACGGCACTGACGCAGTCGACTCCAGATACGCATCTGCCTCTGAGGATTCGTTGCGAATATCAGTGGTCCGACATTGAGTGCGTGCATGTGTTCCACTGATGCTGGTGGATGAACTAACAAACCCGCAGGGATAAGAAGGCGTCGGATAATGGAGAGCAGCAACAGCAGCACATTCACAAATCAAACACTTTCTGCGTCCCTGATGACGACGATGACGAACAGATTGAGATCGCGGATGATTCGGTCCCCTTGGATTCTCCTTTTAGCGGGTCTCGCGACCAGGACGACTCGGATTCTTCTTCGGATTCTGATAATCAGCAACCTATCGAGATCTCAACACCGATGACCTCACCTCTGAAGAAAGAAGCTCTATCAAATCTGCCAGAGCGGAAGATATCGGAGCGTGCCACCAGCGTCGAATGTCTCATGAGCGGATCACAACAGAGCCCAATCCCTCTTGACGAGGACAACCCTGAACAGCCTCTTGTGACTCCAAGAATGACCCCTCCCACCGTCGAAGATACCTATGCCAGCTCCTATGCCGGTACGTCCATTGTCATGGAGGAAGATATGGACGAGCCCGACCTCGCTGCTTTCACTGGGGGACAGTCGTGTACGGGGTCTGACTATTGGGAAGAAAATGAAGAGCAAGATGACTCGGAGGATGAGGCGTCCGAGCTAAGTTCATATATGGATACCGACGCATTGGACCAAGCCGTTCATCCTACTGCTGGCGGAAACTGTGTCCCTGAGGAGGGATACAAGACACTGATGACTTCAGCCCGTGGGCCTTCCAACTTGAAGAACACCAACGGTTGGTTGATGAATTCGGATGACTCGTCTGCCCCATTGGCGAGCATAAGAAATGAATATTTGAAAACTAGGGCGTTCTCCCCCATTTCTGGCCCATCTCAACCACCGACCGAATTTTTGACTGATCCAGTCTCTGCACCACTGATCTGGCCATCCATTCCAGCTTCCAACGGAACCACCAGTGTGCCATCGCGATTTAATGAGAACTCGATCAAACCCTCACTTCCGTATTTTCATTACAACAACTCCGCCCTCCGTACCGAGGATTGGCCTCCTGCCCGTACTGTGTACTCAATTGAGCACAATTATCCCAACTCGACTGCGCGCTATACCGACGGACCATTCGTGAATAGTCAGTCGCAGAAAGGTATGGACCGAGGCAATGCTAACAACGGGGCGCATTCAAATGGTGTTGGTCCTGCCATTGTTGGTGAATCGCATCCGGTCCAATGCCAACGCAACCCGAACGTCTCCCACCCCATGGGAGAAAACATTGCAGTAAAAATTCCCTCAGAGGTCCAAGAAGATTCAGCCAACAACGCGGGAATCTCGCAACGCTTGAAAACTCGCCTGGCGATCGCTGATATCGTTGATACGTCTACATGGGTCCCGATCCAAGGCGGAAATCAGCCGCGAAAGAGAAAGGCTTCAGAGATGGATTCGGACTCGGAGGGTCCCGATGGAGCTCTCCAGACTCCAGTTGATCTGCAGTCTACCAAGGGACTTAATACAGACTCGTTCTCCCAGAATGCTCAGCCTCACGTTGCTACGTGTGACCTGGCCAGCTTGCACTCCCACTTGACACAGCTTCACCCTGTTACTGAAAGTCAGGCCACTGACCATCTCCGGAACCCTACTCTTGTGGGGGAGCGTCCGTTGAAGAAAATGAAGATGTCAACCCCTGGACCTTCTGGAAGTAATGCAGCAGATTCGTCTCTGAATGGAAATGCTCAGCGTCCAGGAAATTTCAAGACTCATGCTGCCAGTGCTCTGCTTGGTGCTGTGGTAGGTGGCTTAGGAACGATTGCTATCCTCGCATCGCTTCCCACCGATTACTTCGTTTGAACACATATTGGAGGGTTTTAACAATTCTACCCTGCCTTCTTTCCTATTTTACGCCCCACGACGCTTATCCTTTCTACTCGTCTCCTCTGTTATGAGATGAACGTATTTATGCGCTAGGTTCAAGGTCTCGTTTAAGGTTTTCATATGTTTTCTTTCCTCTCGAATGGGTTTGGAAATTTGGTCGCTTTAGTGGGGATCTTTCGTTAACTTTGCTCGGGTTGGTGCTGGTGTATCTGCTGTATCCTTTCTAGGAATGGATTTCTTATTCGATAAGATGGACAAATGGAGCATCTGCCATAGGAGTAGAGCCATGTTAGGTGCTACTAGACTAGCTTACCGTTTTCGTGATTTGAGCACTGACTTCGCTCAGTAAACGTAAGCGTACCTTATCATGAATTGAGATGCTCCATACCATTTGGCTGCGCTGAGCAGCTCGTGGCTTGCTGCCACCGCCAGCCATCGATGCTTCCCCGTCCGTCCATGTTGATGAACCGCCTTGTCGTTGCAAAGATTCTTGCAAATCTCCGATGATCGGAGTGTTGGTCGTGATCGTAATCCAAGTACGCCGTTTAGGCGTCAGAATGCACGCCTTAAGGACATGGATTTGGCTATAATCTTGGAAGCAATGCTTCCGGGGATGGGCCTGTCTCGCAGAAGGGGCAGACGTCAGCTGATCGCAGACTGTTCATCGATCGTCTGTCGTGTCTCTCCCTCTGTGCGACCTTAGGACCATCATCTCATCAGTTTCAACATCCAGTTTTATGAAACAGACACAACACGCAAGACAATCTATCCGGCTCAGCCATCAAAAAGATGCGGAGATCTTCTCCAACAGCTTCATCTAAGAAGTGGACCTCTCTTTCTCTGCCAATGTTGAGCGACTCTCACAGCCACCACGTCAGGCTGTATTCATCAGCCAGGAATCTGTTATGATTAGGTAGCGCTCCAAGATAGCAGGGATGGCACACGAAGCCAAGGCGAGAACCCCCGTCTAACGCGTGATTCACAACGGATGCTTGCATATGGATCACTGGCGCCCAACCTTCAACAGGTAGGTAGTAACCATGGCCGTCCCTAGTTCATTTCTATGTGTGTCCAGTCAGCGAGTCACATCGCGCCTCAAGTTGGTTGGGTTGGTTTTACTGACTCTGGACAGGAGATGCTCGTGACCCCATCTTCCTCGAATTGGTCTATCTCCCTTTGTCAGATTTCCCAACAGCAGGGAGCTTACTTTTCCACGAGGACGGCTGTAACCCTTCTGTACTATTAATACAGTATACACCGATCTTATGGGAATACATCGACAGCACTGCACAATGCTCGTTTGAGTGGTGCCAAAGACACTGCCATTGACGGCTCAGCCGGCGAATGAGCTGCATGCTCACTTCTTCTACTAATGCAGTATTCTTTCTAGGAGATGATGCTGGGTGGTCGTGTTTCGTATTTGGCCCTCAGGGCCTCAACGACATATGACCAATCCATCTGCAGGGCAATCTCCCTGCATCTGATATGAGGCCTGTTTGCACGAAGGCTTCAACTCTTTTACGATGGAACGCCCCCCTCCTCGGCTATCATGCGGCTAGTGATAAGTTGACCTCGCGGTGGAGTTTCCACTTCTTGTATTCAGTATGTCGGACGGATACCTGCATGGAGCATATGAGTATCCATCATCGAGAGTTCGAAGTGGCCACGAGACCATCGCGAGTGATATTGCACTTCTCCTGTAGTGATGGCAATAGACCATTCACCGTTCGGTCCGAAGGCCCGGTTACTGTGGAATTTGAAACAAGCTAATCCTTACTGCAACCGATGGATTTCATGGAAGCTAGACTATCTGCATCATCACCCCTTCCTGTGCCCCCTCAGCCGTTGTCCAAGTTATGGCTCCCCTTTCGGCAGGCGTGTTCCCACTGGTCTCGCGGTAGCTTGGCTGCTTCCAATGCACGGCAATGGGGCATGTGCCGCGCAACCGCCCTCTCTTGCTTGGATTGGCCTTTGGGTCGATAGGATGCTTGAGAAGCGGGTAGGTCTATAAGGACATTGCAGGCTTGGTCGCAGCAGGAAAAAGCCATTGGGCCCACCTTGATGTTCTGATCGCTATCTACGGGGTGCGGACAGATTGACCTGCAACCAGGACGAGAATCAATGGTACCTTGCTCTCAAAATATTAATTTTGATTTTCCAAAAAGTCTTTGATCTCATGTTACGCTCCTCTCGTCTCAACATCTTCTAGAAGAGCGTTCTGTGTGATCTATATCTGACACACGGAATGATATCATGCTGGCTGGCACGTTGCACTGCACCTATCCGTGATGCCGTGGTTGTCAGTGGATTGGACAATGGTCGAAGCAGTCTCTCGCTTTTTATTGAAGCGGTCAGCGATCTAAAATTGCGGCGCCGGTCCTCCTTATCATTCGTTACTCAAGTAACACAGCCCTCGGTGGCTGCCATGCTTTTGGCCTTTGTTTCGTTGTATGGGCCTAGTGATATTGTCACGTACCCCATCACTCACCTGCACAAGAATAATTTACTTTCCCTTTCTCTGTGCTCAACTCTGATTGACTGAATTATGTTCCTTTCTCCTCCTCTATAGGCCCAATCTCATGCAGTCCGTCATGAGAGAGGCTTGGACCAAGGCATCTGGTCGACTTCTCAATGGCCACTCGACAACACAGAACTTGGACCTGGCTCTATGGTTTACTGGCTCTTTGAGGTTTCCATTGTGTGGGGATACTCCAGGAATATCCGTTGCCGATAACCCGATACCTGTCCACTTTGTCGAGAGTCGTTCGATATTCCCTCGATGATCCCTGAACCATGCTGCTGCACCTGAGCCCCTGTCGATTCTGTGATAACTTCTGCCCTGGATAGAGAATCATGATTCGGCATCACCGACACAGGACTGGAAAGGTGTCTATTGACTCGACCTCTAGTAGCACAGTCGCTGACAAGATCGCTTTCTGCTTACCGCTGACGGAGAAATCACCGTTTGGACTGGACAGGGAAGGGCCCTGTTCAGCCTGCAAGGCCAACATTTGCTTTTTTCTGCTATAATCATACCACCATCCTTCCTCTATAGAGGCTTCATTATGATGAGGTTGATAAAGAGACACCCGTCCTTAGTGGGCAGCTTGTTGAACATGAGCTCAGAATATTCTTGAGCATACCTGATCTTGGATCCATTGAACCTAGGTTGTGGCCGCTTTGCCTCTATACCTTGGAACATATTTTCTCCTGACCACCGTCATCAGATATCCACCCCTAGCAGTCACGATAGCATACTTCTCCATCGAACTATGTCGGCGCATCTGGATCCGGAGCACACATCTTGCATCGGCGGTCGGACCGTTGTGACATGTCGGGACTGCGCTGGGAACGCACCACGGTATGTTGATCATACCTACTGCCTCTGCATGCCATTCCATAGCTAATTCTACCACAGAGGCGCAATCTGCACCAGTTGCAGCGGACGCGGATTCACCATCTTCATCTGTGCACACTGCAACCCCGCGGCCGCTGCTCTCGCTGCCCGGAGCGCCGGCTCGTCGACAGAATCCTCCACCCCGTCGTCTCCCGCCTCTCTCAGCAGAAGCTCATCGACCTCGCTGTCGTCAAGAAGCGACCTGACAGGACCTCGACCCTGGAAACGCTTTGGGGATGGTGACGGCGGTCCTGGAGGTGGGAGAGTCGGTACAAACACAAATACTCCCCGGAGTGTGTAGACGGGGGATTCCACTGTCTGTCGGGAAACATACGAATACGCTACTTGATATTATATACGGCCGGGAAATCAACATCCCTCGTTGGCGAGGAGGAGTTGTGTGGGAGTTTATATAGAAGGGCAATGGCCGAATCTTCATCCTGTTTTATGATATTATGGATTGATGTTCTTGGTTCGGGGTTACATTATAGTTTTCTTTCCAAGATGGTTCAAATCGGGGACTAAGGGGATAGTATATAGTTCAATCGAGAATCCTTTTATCATCTCTCGGCTCTGACCACCATCTATTTGGATCTTTCCTTCTGCTTCTGTCCAAACTTGACTGAATCTACAGAAGCACTCATTCCATCCAGCGCCCGACTATTTCAACTACTGTCAATTCAGCTCTGGGATAAGCCTCAAGTGAGGAGAGGAAATTGCAACGCTCAGATTCAGAGGCGATAGAGCCCAACGTCGATCCAACAATGAATCTCATTCATATCAATCAACTACTTGTTTGAACGGCCATCAAATGCATGCAGCCAGGGGCGGCTGGCGCACGCAAACGTCTTGAAGTCGTGTGCGTATTCATGCGCATCCCGAGAACGCATCACCTGGAAGCAAGCGCTGCAGACTCAGATCAGGCAGATACGGGCGGTATTCGCCTGTTCGGGTTTTGTGTTTGGTCGGTAGACATGATGATGATGATGATGATGATGATGATGATGATGGTTGTTGATGGACAGCTTTGGACAGCTTCTGAGACGTCAAGCACCTCCGAACTGACCCTGACCTGGCCATCGTCAATTCTATCAGAAAACATAAAACGTCATTCCATCGGCTATTCTCCGCTGTACTCCGAAGTATTCTGTCGAAAATCAATTGGAGATGGAGGAATCCCCCGTGGCGCGTCTCTCCACAATCCACATGCTGTCTTTAATTTTCCCCACAGTCGGAGCTCTTTTAGTTGTTAGTTGTTAGTCTAGTCTAAAGTCTAAACTACTTGGTGCTTGAAGATCGGAATTTTTGAGCTAATAGTTGTCGCCGATAGTCCCCCTTTCCAACCACTGTACAGACACAAATGTGGCATTATGACAATATCGGTTGCAACTAAGATATATATATATAAATATATAGATATATAGCTAAGACTGTGACTTCCATCGAAGACATGATGCGCTTTTCCCATGCCAAAAGATTAGTGCAACAACTAAATAGCTATGAAGAATGTGAAAGTCATCAATCATCAGACGCCCGTCTGCGCCATGCATCAGGTCAACAAAGCAAATGAAAAGAAAAACTCCATGGGACGCCAATTATCCCCCGGTGGACCACGATCCGGATGCAGAACTAGCCAACTAGCTGGCCACGGCCAACTGGGCCACCAGATCCGACGCGACATCCAGGAAGGGGTACGGACTCGTGACCTCCTTCTCCTTGTTGCGGTATCGCTTGCTGATCGGGTGCCATTCCGTGTCGCCCTCGCCGCGGATCACATTTTGGTATCCGTCGCACTTGAAGTCGACCATGTAGTTGCTCTGCTCTAGTTGATACAGCTGGATGTCGACAAACACCCAGACACCGTGCGAAATCCGTCCGTGCAGATACGCCTGGTTTGCGGAAGAGGGGCCAGAGCTGGTGCCGCTGTCCGGATTGAAAGGATTCTTCTCCTCGGCGGAGCGAGACAGGTTCGAGATGTTGAAGCGACGGCGGAGGTCTTCCAGGTCACTCTTGCTGCTCTGTACGCTAGCAGATCGTCCGGGGGCTTTGATCCCTTGCTTGAGAAGACGGGCGCGAATGAACCAGGAATCCTTGGGGATGTAGTAGTCCGCTGGCAGGTCGGGATACTTGCTCTGCAGTGGTCTTTCTCCAGTGGGCGGGGAAGCTCCAATTGGCGTACCTTCTAGAAGAATCAAAGATATCAGCTTACGTCCTGCGTCAAGAATATGAACCATTGGGAAACAAACCTGTTTCGGAAGGCTCGATCTCCCAAACTCCACCTTGTGCCGCAATGGCTTTGTACAGATAGAGCATGGCCTCGTAGGGTTGATTCCGCGACCGGATCCCGAACTGCCATTTGCGGGTCCTCTTCGGTTGATGGGGCGCGCTACGAATCTCAGGGGGGTCCAGGCGCAGCGCGTTCAGGTCGACAATACTACGAGAATGTGGCTTCAGCGCTCTCGCGCCGGCTTCCAGCTCCGCGGGGGAGCGGGCACCGTGGAGATCGTCATCAAGATTGGCCTGCGCACGTTCTTCACGTAGTCGATGCGCATCGCGCGCGCGTTGCTCCCGTTCCCGCTCCCGTTGTTCCATCAGTTGATCATGAACATAGGGTAAGCTGGTCGGCAGGATCCGCACATGACTGATGCGGGTGGACTCGTAATCGTCCGAATCGACTTGCGAGGGGGTCTGGGAAGGCTGGCGGAGGATATCATGAGGGGGATTCTCTTGAGGGCGGGGCGCAGTGGGCCGGCCAACTGCAGGTGAAGGAAGAGGGGTTCGATTCGGCGGCGGAGAGGGAGCGATGGGAGCACTCATCAAGGTATCATCCGAGGGGGCTATTTGCTGTTAAAAAAAAATTCCCTATTTCCGACAGAATCAGGGGCCGAGCAATTGACTCACAGTTGGTCTGCATCATCTCATTCTCCACGATGATAAAGAAGGCATCCTTGATTGCGCTGGGCTCTGAACTCCTGAGTGCGTCTTCGATGTCTTCGCGCGCATATCCCATACTGCGTTCCAATTTGGAGATGCCGATTTGATGGATCTTGTGCTGTACGGAGAGAGGCTTCCCCGGCGCGAGTTTTTTTGGATCAATCGCTTTGTTGGGGTCCACACCGGTCCCGATGTATTCTTCCGGGGGCGGCTGAAGATATTTGGGGAGATCCTGCAAGAACCAGGGATCCTGACGGATTTCGGGGATGGTGATGCGGTGGACGGGGTGCACCTGGAGCATCGATCGGATCAACCGCGCGGCTCCAGACGAGATATAGGGAGGCATATGGAAGTTGCCCGCGGCAATCTTCTTGAAAAGGGCGGGAATATAGTCGTCGTCGAAGGGAAGCCGTCCGACCAAGAGGACGTAGAGAATCACACCGCAACTCCACACGTCGACTTCGGGGCCGGCATAGAGCTTGCCGGAGATGACCTCGGGAGCAGCATAGTTGGGGCTCCCGCAACTCGTCTTGAGGAAATTCCCGTCTGTCATGATATTACTCAGACCGAAATCGGCGATCTTCACGTTCTTGTCCTTGTCGATGAGCAGATTCTCCGGCTTCAAATCCCGATGCACAATCTTGTGGCGATGGCAGTACTCGACGGCGCAGATGATCTGTTGGAAGAACTTGCGGGCCTCGGCGTCATTGCATCGACCTCTTTTGACCAGGTAATCGAACAGCTCTCGTTCGGCGTATTCCAGGACCATGATGATATCCGTTTTGGTAGCAATGACGGTATACCTTTAAAAACCCGATAAAAAGTGTTAGTTTTTGTCTCCCGCACTTCCAATCTTCACAAAGCAGAGAATTGGCTCGTACAATTTGATAATATGAGGATGACGCAGCAATTGCAGATACTGAATCTCCCGCTCCACACGACCAACCATGTCCCTGGAGAGCAACTTGCGCCGGGAGATGATCTTGAGAGCAACCTGCCGACCGCTGGGTTGATGAATCGCCAGCTTTACCTTCCCAAACGAGCCCTCACCCAGGATCTTGATGGTCTGGTACTGATCCAGACGCTGCATATCCCTCATGGTGGCCGGAGACTGCATGGAGGGGTCAGCGCCTTTTCCGCCCGGGCGCGAGGGCGGAGGCATCGCCATGGCAGGATGATTCGCGGCGCTAGGGGGAGGACCGGTCCCGGTAGAACGTTCACGTTGACGATCGGAGTCAAAAGCAGGAAGGGATACGGAGAGGTCCTCGTCGTCAAAGGCAGCGGCCATTTCCGGTCGGAGGAGGGGTGGGGTGTTAAAAAAAAAGACAGACACGAGAGAGGGAGAGAGAGAGAGAGGGAGAGAGGGAAAAGAGGACACACAGGACAACGTGACGTGATGGATTTCACTGAGTGAGTCCCAGCGGTCTGTCCTGCTGACTGTCCAGCTATTTTTTTTTCTTTTCTTTTCTTCTCGTACTGGTCTGGAACCGACTAAGAGCTCGTCTAGGTGGGATTTATGGAGACACCAATGGGGAGGGCATAATACTAGAGCAAAAATAGGGACTGTAGTGAACCCCACGACCCAGCTCTTCAGAGTGAGAGTGGAGCGCAGAAAGAGGCCAAGGAGGGGAAGGTTTTTAAGCACGAAAGCGAGTCGACGCTATATTGGCGGGGTTGGAGGGAGTTGGCTGGAATCGAGTTAGTTCACCACGATGAGGATGAAGACAAGATGAGATCGAGAGAGAGAGAGAGAGAGAAAAGAAGATCAGAGTGGGAGGTTGAATTCCTCAGAAGCTAAGGTGAGAAGAATGGTCGTACAAATAAATGATAAGGTCGTAGTTGATGGTTGAAGGATCAGAGAGAGCACAACACATCAATTGTCCTCTTGATAATGAGAGCGCTACTCCTACCACTACTACACTACTACATAGTATGTATATACCTGGACTGAGGATTCCTACCTCTATGTACAGTCATGATCTAATCTCCTATTTTTCATCTCACACTCGAGACTCCAAGTCAACATGCTCAGTCGCCCGTTTGGCGCCATCCCCCGCCACACAGTCCCATGGGTTGTCTCTCCGCCATCCAAGATACCTCGTTCATCTTCATGACTCACATCCGTTTAGGAGTAGGGAGCTAGGGATGATATTACAATCAAGCTGCTTGAAAGCCTTGAGCCATCTAGTCTTAGCTACTAGATACATTCTAGTCAGTGGATCTCATCCCGTCTATTTTATCGACATCACCACCAGCAAAATCCCCCACGAACGCTCAACCCATTCGGACCGAACTAGAGCACTTGAGAAGAACGAACCCATCCACATCCTGACAGACACAAGACAAACAGGCTAATTTTACCCCTCATATATCATCGCAAGTGTGGAGGCTGTACCTCGTCAATATCGCACTTCGCCCTCTTAGCCAACACGATTCAGCCATGCGGCACAGGCACCCTGCATTAGTTTCAAGATGCCCCATACTCAACCGGGAAAGGATCATGTTTCTACATCCATGTTAGAGACTACTAACTAGTGCTGCTAACAGAGGCTGTGGAAATCAGCCCAAATTTAGGGGGCCAAGGCTGTCATACCCCCAGACTGCACTTCGGGGGCAGACATTTAAATTTAATAAAGACGTAAATATGCCGTTTAGACAGAGATCGTGTAGATGCTTCCTTTAGATTGTAGACAATCCGGGACACATTGACTCTTATCATGATTGTGTGGCTTTTCTTTCTCATTACTCTCGCGCTCTGCAGCAGCGCAAACGCTGCGATAAAGAGGACCCTGCCCATGTCAGTGCAGCCGGTCAACTTCCCCAGGTCGAGACGTCTTTCTGCTGCGGTCGCCCCAGCAAAGCTCAAGGCACGAGCACGGTTTTCACAAGAGGTCCTCGCATATCGAGCGAGCTTCGATTTTATGCACGATGACACGACTGCGGAATCAGTCTTCGCCACGACTCTGAGCGTCAAGTCGAAATGGCCGATCCTATCCCTGGAAGAGCTGGACCATCATCTCGAGGACGTGACCTGCTCGGAGTCCCATATCGAAATGTTCTTTGCATCCATTGAGCAGTTTCAGTCTACACAGCAGGAGCTGGAGAGAACTACCGAGCTCATCGTCGTCACCTCCCACAGGGGATGCAATTCGGACGGAGAGAGATCGGCATACAGGTCAGTCCTTGGAAGGTGTGTATCATAGCTATTAGCACAGCCATTGACCATTTTCAGAGTCACCGAGGTCACTGTCGATGTCGAGCGCAGAATTGTCTCCCTTCGGAAATCTGACTGCAGCTGGCAAGATGCATTCGAATCCACCCGAGTCTCCTTCTCACGCCGAAGCCCGTCCGAGATTCAGAAACGCTCTCATGGCTTCGTCAAGAGACAACAGCCGCAGACAGACATGCCAGCAACAACAAAAACCATGGAAAAATCCGGTGCCACTCCGACAGTCAACTTTCCAGTACCACCTGCTGTTACCTCGGGTTATCCCACGACTGCAAACAAAGCTCTCAAGTTCCAATATATTGACAAGCAAATATATCCTCCAGATATCCCTGCTGCAAATATGTTCTTGTAAGTGGGATATGCAATCAACAACGTACCAAATACTGATTTCGCAGACCCGAAGGGATCACCGTGTCATGTAGAAATTGCTCTCTTGGAGGCAGCATTGACATTACCAAAGGTTCCTTCGAGGTGACCGGCTCGGATGGAATCATGGATTCTGTCAATCGCACCATTGCCTTCTTTGAACATGGCAGTATTGATGTGGCTGTCAATGGACTCTTTTCCCAGATTGAACTCGAATTCGATCTCTCAGCAAGTCAGAACCTGATATCATATCCGATCCAGCTTCCTGCAATTCCGCTGGTCCCTTTTGAGGTTAGTCTACTCCCTGGTGAGGGCTTCGGGTCATAGTCATTAATAGCTGGCAGATTCCTGGAGTTCTTGTGTTCGGACCATTGTTCCAAGGAAATTTCGATATCAGTCTGAGCCTAAAGGAGTCCATCGGATTTTCTTATGGCTTTAATCTCTCCGTAGGTCTATACCGCTGGTTTGGAGCATGTTAGCCGCGTACTAACACTGATCAAGGTCCCTGATAATTCGAGGATTGAGCTAAACATGAACGAAATCTCAAACTCTTCAATCACGGGCTTGTAGGTTATGTCACCCATTAGAGGAGGACCCAGGCTAACTTTTTCCTCAGTGACAAATCAACAGTGCATGCTCTTCCATTTCAGGCAAAATCCGCTCTTACCTCTCTAGTGGCCCGTGCCGTCTTCAAGCCCCAGATCCTTCTCGGCATCAACACGGCAGTAGGAAGCGTCCAGGGCGGAATTGGAGCCTTCCTCGAACTTCCAAATCTCTCTCTCAATGTGACACAGCTCAGCCATGTAAATGAGCACTGTGAGGCTGCATCAAGCGGTGATGGAAAGCTTTCCTCCACGTTGGACAATGTATTCGGAAACCTTACCCACATTGTCCCCAACGTAGATATCAACCTAGGCGCATTGGCGAATTTCGAGGTCGAAGTCCCTAGGCTTTTCACCGAAGCTGCCGCCGTGCAGACTGTGCTGGCCTCGACCTCATATCCACTGCCAACCGCGTGTCTCGAGTTTGATTCAGGAAGTGGGAAGTTTGGGAAGCCCTCGCCGTCACCTACACCCACTCCTTCACCAACTGTTTTAGACAAGACGGCAACGACAACGGCGGATTCGAAGAAGAGCTGGGGAACTGTTTTCAACGTCAACGCTTATTTACAGATAGCATGTCTGATTGTTAGTTTGCACATTGCTGCATGGTAATGATTAGTCTAGGACTAGACCGGGTTTCAGATATATATATATATATACATATATATATAGAATTGCACAACATCCTGTTTGTAGGACATTTGGCCATAGATCAAGAATTGATCTACACCAGATATCGGCATCAATCCAAATTTGATATGATGTTGAAATAGACTTAAGCTTCGTCGCCTCCAAACGCCTGAGCAGCCGAGTCATAGTACAGACTCCAGAGTTCAGGGAAGGCACAACTATAAGACAAGGAGTCACCTGATCTTTGCTTACATGAGACATGAATAGGCGGAGCTTTGCTACTCATCCAATCACAGGCCGTAGGAAAACCAAGTGGGGGACGGAATCGGGGTCCGAAAACGGCTTAGCGCATAGACCAGGCGGGGAGCCAAAAAGGGAAAAGCAGAGGAACTGGCCTGAGGCTGTGAAGGGGAAGTGTGACGGGTCAGCGTCAGCTTTTGAATCGGCCCTCGTCTTCAGTACATCTCCTTTCCCCTCTCAAAACTCTTGAATTCTCTTCTTCAGTCTCCCTCTATCCACTCTTTCTCACACGAGCTTAAGGATACTACTGCCTTTGGTGTGGTGTCAAAAGCACAGTACTGGCGTTTCCTGACTCGAACAACCAAGCCCGTAAATAGCCGAGATCTCTATCTCTATCTCGAAGACGGACGGCTTCATCTCCCTCAAAATCACTCATTTCCTCGTCATACAACATCATACAACATCATCTCCTTAGCGCATTGAGAATAATGGCTGCTGAATCCTCTATGTATCAAATGGATTACTCCGTTCGCTCTGATGAGTGGCTTGACTTTGACAACACCTTCGAGTTCCCTACGGGGTATCTGGAGAGCAACCCGCCATCGCTCGAGTCAATCTCTCCCAAGGATCTCGAGCTGGTGTACAGTGATGCTGATGCGCTGAACTGGGACATGGATGCTGCCCAGTTCTCGCAACCAGCTTTCTCTGACTTGCTCACCTTTGAGGAACCCTTGATAGGGGCCACTGACATGCCATTGAACATGATCGATTCCAACACCAACCTCCTCGAACCATCCAACTCAGGGTTCGACGACTCATGGTCCTCATTTGCTCCTCTAGATACGACAGAGTCTTTCTACTCACCTTCCCTATTCCGACAAACCGTCGAGTCCCGTGCAGCTGCCGATCCGCGCTGCTTCTCGAAAAAGGAGAAGCGCCTCGAGGCATCCATCTCGCTGCATCTGCAACGTCTGCAAGACGCTGCTGTGGCCGATATGAGCCAGACTTCCGACTCATGTGATGACTTCTCTCCTTGCTGGCCCGATTCGGTCGCTGGGAGCTCACAGTCTCGTGGCAGTCCATCTACCACATCGACCTCTGATCCACCTTCGAAATCATCCAGTCCCCCGTCCTCGGCACCGAGTTCGGCTGGCGGCGGGATGGAACTGGTTTTGGATCTGAATATGAACGCGACGACCAACCTCCCAAAGAAGCAGAAGCCGCGGTCCCAGGCTCAAAAAGAGAACTACATCAAAGTTCGCAAGCATGGGGCTTGTGAGAAACATCGAAAACAACATAAACGGGTAGGTTTCCACAGCTGCTACTAAAATTTCTACTCGCTAACTTGTGCCTAGTGCAACTGCCTGGAGAAGACGGTCTCTCGTGCTCTCAACGATTCCGCCATTGCAGCGCTAGGCCAACCCACCAAAGCGCGACTGGAAGTCCGGAATACTGGACAGAACTTTTTCATTGCTACCAGGCCAGCAATCACCAGCGCGACCCCGGTTCTACAACCCACAGCCGTGGACAGAACCCGTGCTGTCAAAGCTGTTCCTGGTTCGCTGCAATCAAAGGTTGCCGTTTCGCCAACGGAAACGACCAATGCTCAGCACACAGAGCGCTCTACCTACAGCTCTGGCGGATTTGCCAACACCGCGCACGTGCATCTACAGGTCCGGCAAACGCACAAGGAGGCAAGACCTTCGCGTGCCGCCATCCAAACCCATGCGGTACCCGGCTCGCTGGTAACGCAACCCACGCATACACCGACCGTTACAGTTACGCCCACGACCCGGCAACCTGGCACGCTACGCGCTGTCCAATGTACTGCTGGCGTGCTGCACGAGTCTGGCGTGCTTAGGCCGTTCAGAATCCGCTCGACGACCCAACAAGATGTTGGAAGTCGCTCCGAAACCCAAACTCAAACCAACAAGCACTCGAGAGGCAAAGAAAGTTCGTATATCGACAGCGGCACGAGGTACTCTGGAGCGCAACCGAAGGTTGGCCAGCATCCTGTTCTTCCACAATCCGCGGACATCCCCGTCCGTCGCTCGGTTGCACAGAGTGTTGCTCTCCTCGAATCCGCCAGAACGGCTGTTCTGGACACAGCTCTAGCGTTCTCTGCCTTCTGGCAAAGCTCCACATCGCTTACTTCTTGGGCTGGGACTCTCCTCGGCCGTCTGGTGCTATCCTCCTCCCGTCAGCATAGGCTGTTCAGGAAGGGAATGGGACTGGCCTAGACCGGCTGCCCCTCCCAATTTCGATTTTGCCCTTGATATAATGCTTGCTTGATCTGTGATGTATTTTAGCGATGTGATTTTGCAGTTGATATCCTAGTAGCTCGTATCTATATACAAAAGTTTAATCACCTACATGTTGTCAGTGTCTTAGACCTTTGCTTGGGGGCAGTTTTGTACACTACAAGATGCCACCTTACCAGAACTTCCAACCGACTTTTAGTAATAAATAGCAAGCTCAAACGGCCGTTTATACTCGAATTTAACACTATTTCCTCATTGAATTTGTAGCCTACAAACCACACCCCACGACCTCACCAACCCCCTATGCACCCTCCACCACCTCCACCACCACCTCCCCCACCCCCTTCGACTCCATCCCAACCTTACACACCGGCGCCCCCGACGGCGGATCAACCCGCATCTCCGGCGCCGGCCCCGGCACGCGCTCCACCCTCACCAACACAGGGATCACGGCGCCCGTCGCCAGCGCAAACCGACGATGCCCCGCGACATTCAGCAGACTCGTGATGGCGCCGGAATGCGCGGTCAGCGAGAGAACGGTGCTGGGGTCGCGCGCACAGATGTCCGACAAAAGGGCGCGCAGGCGCACGTCCCGCGCGGAGTCGGACTCGCGCCACGCCGCGTCGTACAACGGGTCGTGCTCCGCGAAGCCCCGCTCGAAGATGTACTGTGGGTATTCGGCGGCGATGGCGGAGCGCGGCGAGCGGCTGTCGCAGGTGTGCAGGCCGAGGGTTTCGCGGAGGAGCTGTGGCGGGCGTTTAACTCATCATCCAACATCGGAAAAGGAAAAAAAAAAGTATGCAGGCTTGAGGGGGGAGCGGGAGCGGGAGCAGGGGGCATGATTTACCTCCTTCACAACAGGCCGGAACGGTTGCGTATGCGGCATCTTGAGGCCTAGGAAGGTGATGCTGGCGGTGGCGAGGCAGCGGTTTAGCGGGCTCACGTAGTAGGCTTGCGGGGGCGGGATGCCGGCGTCGATCTGGGCAGACCATGCGGCGCGGGCGGTCTCGGCCTGTGCGATGCCGACGGCTGTGAGGCGGGCGTCGACCCAGGTGGTGTTGGCGTCGCCGTCTTGGAGAGCCCAGTAGCACTCGGTTGAGTCAGCTTTCAGGTTCTTGGCGTTGTATGGAAAAGATGGGGGCAGGGGAGAGGGAGGAGGGCTTACATCCCACAGTTCCGTGCCATACCGCCGCTCCGCGACGTTGTGATATCCCTCGCCGTGGCGCCCGAGATACAGCAGACGGTAGCTCGTCTCGGGCCCGCTGTTGGCATTCAGCTGCTCGAGATGGTGCGCGAAGCGCTCCCACTGCGACTTGCGGCTGTCCGGATCGAACTCGGCGTCTGAGTCGTAGGACCGCGGTATGAGGCCGAAGTTCGCGGCGACCTGGGTATGGTTAGCCTTCGCCAGCTTATAAGTATACCTCACATGGTGGATTGCCGGAGGAGTTTTGGGCATGGGAAGGAGGGGGTTTGGGGGGTTTGGGGGGGGGGTTTACATAGTCGAAGGTATCTGGGTCCGTGGACGGCTCGTCTTGCAGGAAGTAGCCGGTTACGGTGCTGAATTCCAGATGTGTTTCTGAGGCCACTGATTCAGCAATGGCCATTAGACTGGCGACGAGGAGGGTGATTACTAGGAGGGTTGGTCTGGGCATGTTTCGTTAGCGGAGGGGGGTCTTGGCTAGGTAATTTGCTATCTGCTGGGTGATTGGGAGCATACATGATTACAGGTATTCGGAGGGAACGCTTCAGTTTAAGAATGCGAGGACGGTGTGAGGATCGTGCAGATGGGCGTAGAGGGTGGGATTCCTCTGCAGTCGAGTGAAGGGGTGCCATCATCAGATCTTGTGGATGCTGTGGTTCGGGGGTTAAGACTAATTGGCCGCTGACTATTGATCCTGGTGGGGCATACATATGCTATATAGACATATTAGACATAGTATGCTAGACAGGCATGTCTGAGAATACCTGGAGATCAATGCGCTGCTTTACTTGACGATCATGAGAATGCCCTCAAATGATGGTGGGATGTTTCTGTGCGAAAACGGCCAATCCGGGAAAACGCTGCTCCCACGTGTAGAGAACAGTATGGAGGACGTCATCCGTCGTCTGCGGTTAATGAAGACAACCTGGATCGGATTCTAACAAGGCAGATGCGGGTAGAGAAAATGTATGTTTTAGTATTGTACAGTAGAGCCTGGTCAGTCCGACTCTTGCCTCAATCAAAATGGCTATGATAAATCATATCGTCCACAGGCCGAGTAAGCAATGCCGTTGCCCTTGCATCACGGGATGGATGGGGATAGGGAAAACGCAAGAACGAGACGCTGAAAACATCCGCTCGACAGAGAGAGAGAGAGAGAGCTTTCCGAGATCTAGAAAAGGTTACAGGGAAAACGAAAAAAAAAAAAAAAACGCCAGTAATGACCCATCAAAATCGCCCGGTAATGGCTAAACCAACAAAAAGCATGAGAGCAATCACCAGCTGTAGTACTGGTTCTGCGCGCTAATCTTCCGATCGGGGAGCTGAGTCCAGAGCTGAGCCTTCCGCTTGCGCAGAGCCTCGCTTTCACGATCTTGCCATTCTCTGATCCGGGTGTTCTCCTCCTTCAGCAACACCGTGAGGGAGGTGTAAGGGGGCCGCAGCCGGTTGATCTGACCTCGGGCACGGTGGTCGTAGTCGACGCCATACGGGCCTCGGTTGACCCAGGCCTGGTCAATGTAGATGGATGATGGGTTGAAGATCTTCTTGCGCTCACCGGACTTGAGCGTGACGGTCACCGGCTTGTCTCCCGTGGCCTCGCCCAGACCCATGCCCGATCGCACGATAGCGACGTTCTTCGCGTGCTGCAGGTGCTCCAGGATATCCTTGGCGGCCTTCTTCTTGCTGAAACGCATCTGCAGCATGGCTTCGTCGATGTTCTTGCCGACAATCTGACGGGCCAGCGGACCCAGCTTCTTCACCGAGGTCTTGAACCAGTGCGACTTGGAAAGAGACTCCCGCTCCGTCCGCATGATCTGCTCTGTCTTTGTCAGACGGCCCCGACGACGCAGTTCCCGCACGACCATCTTGCGCTCCCAGCGCATTCTCGCCTTGGGCCGGGGATCCAGCACCGCCGCCATGTTGCCGCGGTTCCGGCTCTCCACCTCGTACACCATCTCTTCCTCCCCTTCGACGACTTCGGCGCCCTTGCGGGCGGCGGGTGTCCGACCAGAGGCAATCAGCTTCGGGGTGGCTTCGTCTTCGGCGAAAATCGAGTCGGCACTCAACGAACCCTCGCGCTTGGGGGGAGCGGTGGCCCGGCGGGTGATCTTGGGCTTTGCGGCGGCGGATCTCCCACCGAAGAAGAAGTCTTTGATGGAGGATAGAGCGGAAGGTTTCGATTGATCCTCAGGCTTATCATTGGGCCCATTGTTGCCGTCCTGTTGGGATCGACGGGGAAGGGAATACGTGAGGGTGCGTCGGGGGACAAAAGCGATGCCTGTCCGAGCTAAGATAGAAAACATCCAGCATCAGAATGACTGTCAAGGGCACGAGGAATCAATGGCGCAAAAAAAATCACATCACTTACCTGTCTGGAGCAGACGCCCATAGGGATATACAGCACCCATTGTGGCCATGGCGAACGATTGCAACTCACGCCCAGGCAGCTCGAGTCTTGGATGAATCGGAGATTGGAAGGGGAAAATTGCATTCAAAGGCGCGAGGCACATGATCTGGACACTTGGCGCCACAGATGGTCTGTTTGGTCCGCCGTACTCGGTTGGTGTGGCTCAGGCGTCAAGCCACCAGCTATACTCCGTAGTCACGAGGCTTGGCCCCGAGCAGCTCTACTCTTAGTAAGCAGTACCTAACTATACTACACAGTAGTTATTATTATTCTCTTGGTCTCTCGGTCACAGACTCAAGAGTCACGGCTGCTATGCCTTGCTCGATAGTCCGCTCGGCTAGGATCATTTCTGGCCTCTTGCATGCAATCTATGCAGCATGACCTCATTCTCTTGACCTTCATCTCAGTGCACCTTGGCGTGTTGTCAGTTCGCGACGGCCATTGTTATGACTTATGACTGCTTGATGGACCCTCCCTCGCTCGATAGAGCTGACAGACAGACAGTCATGATTCTAAACCACCGACCTACTACGTAGTATCTATCTATCTATCTATCTATCTATCTACTATGATACTATCTCGATAGTAGCAGTCTACAACTCTACCGCAATCGTAAAGAATCACGCAGAGCTGTCATGGACTGGCTTCTCCTCTAGTGGAAAGTGGCTTGCTTGCCAGATCCGCCACGTGATGCAGGAGCACTTTTCGAAGTTCCTGAGACTTCCTTTGGGCTTCACCATATATCATGGCGTCTGGAGGGTCGATGCGTTTCAGCTCCCGTGTCTCTTACCTGGGGAGAGTACTCTGTAGATGTTACACAATCAGTCGATCGAAAGGAGTCGAGAATCGCGATGTCATCGGTTATTAATATCTTGAACGATGTATGTAGCCTCGTTAACCTCGTAGAATAGACATAGACCATCGTAAGTAGACCATTTCCATTCCCATTTCCATTCCCAGGCCGAGACCGAACTCTTTTTTACCATCTTATTATATCCCTCTCTCTCTCTCTCTCTCTCTGGTTTCTGTCGTGCTTGACTCCAGCAGGTAGACGACCGTCCATCTCCACCGCGTCGATCCACTGTCTCGTCTCCCTTCATCTTTTTTTTTTTCCCCTTTCTAGTTAAACTAACTACCTCTCTCTGCTTTCTTCTCTTCCTCTTCCTTCTTTGTCTCATCTTCTTCCCCTTCTTCCCTTAGTATCATTATCATTATTATTCACTATTGATTATTGTTCCCTCAGGGAATAATAAATAATACTACTTCCTTCCTATCCTTGTGTAGGTCCAACTCTTCCCACCCTCCCCATGTTTTGTATTTCCCCGTCATGAGTGACCGCCGCTTACCCGCTTTTTAGCTCTGGATCTGGATAGCTTGCCTGTTGCTCTCTTTCCCCCTCCTCTCTCTTCCTTCGGCTTTCTCTCCCATTTTTCGTCCCCCGAAATCCCTGCCTTTTCGTGTCCCGGGACAGCCATCACCACCAGTCCTTTCACCAGACGAATCCGACAACCGAAGACGGGGAATCACGGGACGATAATAATCAAAAGGAATTCCTGCTCCTGGAGAAACATTCAAAACGAAAAATACAAAAGAGTGTGATCTTGGGTTCTTCTCTTGTTTGCGCAATTCTTCCATCGTGGTTTGGTCCCGTCCGCTCCACCTGGGAAGAACCGCCAACAGTGCAAGTGAGGCTCGGGCCAAAGCAGGAATGGACTCGTTGATGAGGCGACCATCCGTTGTCCTCTAATTTCCATAATACCTTTTTTTTTCTGGTCTTTGGATTTCTCTTTCTTTTCTTCCTCTTCTCTCGTTTCTCTCCCTTTCTTCTCCCCGACGTCGCGGCATCCCAGCGCGTTCCGCTGGCGATTGCACCTTAACCTCCGTCGCCTTTCCTTTTTCTCATCCCCCTCCCCCAAAATAAAGAACCTGAACGTGGAGAGTCGTCATGGATATCAACTCGCTTCTTTCGCCAGACTCGAATCCCCAGTCGGGGCGTTCAACGCCGGGGAGTGGACCCACGTCTGCCAACAACACTCCCGCCCCGACTTCGCGTCCGTCGAATAAGCCACTACGCAAGGGTCGCACAACTGCCACACGGCCAGCCATGACTTCATCCCCGCTGGCGCATCATGTCTATGCCCCCTCACAACTCTCCGATCCGTCCCCGCCGGCGACAAACAGTCCCAATGTAGGTCCGACCATGGGAGGCGGCAATGGGACTCCTCCAGCCGTCGATCTGCCTCCGTCCCGGCAGCCATCCACTCCTGGTATGGATACGCTCGCCGACCTGGCCTCGATGCAACATCACCAGCCTCAGCGTACCAACACCTCCATCCTACGAAACACCGAAACCTACGAGAGCCAACTGTCGCCTTCCACCATGTACCCTCATGTCAATCCCATCTCCCATAACACACCCACCCCGCGAACATCCTTTGACCTGGCCATGTCGGAAGGCCCCCGGGAAGGTTCCGCTCGCCGAAATTATACAGATACATCGCTGCAACCCGACGCCCAACGAATGGCGACCGAGCTGTTCGCCCAGATCCAGGACAATCCGCACACCTACGAGGCGCATGTGAATTTCATCCGCCTCCTCCACCAGGGGTTCGTCAATCATGTCTACCCGCCCAATAACCCTGATATTCACGGGGATCCCCGCAAGTACGATCTTCTCAAGGACATGCGAACCGCACGGGAGGAGATGGACAAATTGTTCGCCATGGGTGAAGACCTCTGGGCGGAATGGATCCAGGACGAAAGCATGCTGGCGCAGTCGGTGGAAGAACGCATTGCGGTCATGGAACTCTGCCAGCGGTCCATTGAGGAAGAGTATGGCAGCACGAAGCTGTGGACCATCTACGGTGAATGGTTGCTCTACCTCTACAACTCTGCGCATGGGGAGTCGGGACAAAGCCAGTGGACCGAGGAGGACAAGCTGATCGGTCGCGAGGTCTTTACCTGGCAATCCGTGCTGGATGTTTGGCAGCGCGGCGCCGAAGCCACCCGGTGGAGAATCCATGACAGCCATTTGGTCTGGGACCGGTTTTTGGATCTCCAGGTTCAAGACCTCTCCCGCCACCCATCCCAGGACAGAGTGGGTCAGGTGAAGGGCTACTTTGACGTCCGCTTGCAAACCCCGCATGCCACCTGGGATCAGACTTTCCAAGCCTTTTCAAGCTTCGTGTCCACATACTACAACGCCAATTACGAGGACATCATGGCGGACACGGCCAGCCGACTCGCGACACCCGTCAAGGAAAAATATAACGCGCGAGAGCCGCTTGAGATCAAGCTGCGCAATGCTGTGGACTCTGGAGACCTCGGCTTGGAGTGGACCGTGTACTCGGAATATATTGAATGGGAGCTCAGTCGTCAACGTCGCAAGCGCCACTCCAACTTTGAACTCCTCAACGCCATCTACCAGCGCGCAGTCCTTCGATTCCCGACCGATGCCAGTCTATGGGAGGACTACGTCATGTACCTGATCGACCAAAGAAATTTCCACGGCAATTCGAACGCGGCCACGATCTCGATGCTGGACCGAGCCACCCGCCATTGTCCCTGTCACGGGGGCCTCTGGTCCCAGTATCTGCTCAGCTCCGAGCGCGAGGGACAGTCCTTCCAGCGGATCGCGGACATCAAACACAAGGCCACGAGCACTGGTCTGCTCGACGCCGGGGGGATGGAGGAGGTGCTCAAAGTCCATACCGCCTGGTGTAGCTACCTCCGCCGGCGCGCGTTTCTCACGGACTCGACCGATGAGGACCTGGATGTGGCTGAGGTTGGTATTCGGTCTGCGATCGAAAGCGTCCAGGAGCTTGGAGAGAAGAAATACGGCCGTTCGTACCAGGGCGATCCTTTGTTCCGTCTCGAACGCATCTATATCCGTTACCTGAGCGAAAGCGGCAGCTGGGACAGCGCACGTGAAACCTTTAAAGGTCTCGTCCGCCGTCGTGGCAACAGCTATGAATTTTGGCTCACCTATTATCACTGGGAGCTGATTTCTTGGAGCAAATTCGTGCAGGGCGAAGCGACCGTCGATGCCGCGCGGCGGACGCCCAATCCCAGCTTTGCGACTGCCGTGCTGAAACAGGCGATCAAGCGAACCGATCTGGACTGGCCGGAGAGGATCATGCAGGTGTATATTGCGCACTGCGAGGACTATGAGGACTCGGATGAACTCCAGCTGGCTGTGCTGGAAACCCGGAAGGCCACGAAGGCCATCAATGCACGGCGTGAACGGGAAGCCAGGGAAGCGGCTGCCGCGCAAGAGCAACAGCAACAATACGAACAACAACAGGCAGCCGCCGAACTAGCAACCCAACCTGAGAAGCGCAAACGCGAAGAAGAAACTGGAATGAATGGTTTCCCCAGCAGTAAGAAGCCTCGTGCGGAGGAGCCTGCATTTACCGCCCCCCAGGCCGAATCGGTTGCATTGCGGCGTGATCGCGAACACTCCACAGTCGTTGTCAAAAATCTGCCCCGTGGGATCACGGAGCACCGCGTGCGACAATTTTTCCGTCATGTAGGTTTCTCTCGCTCTAATCCCATATTACCAGTCTATCTGACTGTTGATTTAGTGCGGCACCGTCAATAGCGTCAAGATGCTACCTGGTGATGATAAGAACTCAGAAACAGCCATCATCGAATTTGAGACGAGAGATGAGGCTCTTGTGGCCCAGACTCGAGACCAAAAGCTGATTGATGACAATGCTATTGAAGTCCACTTTGGCTCCGGATCTACACTGTTCGTCACAAACTTCCCTTCGACTGCCGATGAAAGTTATATCCGAAATCTGTTCCACGAGGTGAGTGAGCGTGGCTATGCCTCTTTTCCCTTGTCTCATACTTACACTTGCACGTCATAGTATGGAGAGATTATCGATGTTCGATTCCCGTCTCTCAAATACAACACACACCGCCGGTTCTGCTACGTGCAGTTCAAGTCGGCCGAAGACGCGCATAACGCGGTCCAGTTGGATGGCTCCAAGGTGGGAAGTGATCTGAACCTGGTCGTGAAGATCTCGGATCCCAGTCGCAAACAGGACCGTCATGGCCCCATCTACGAAGGAAGGGAGATCCATGTTTCCAACATCGATTGGAAGGCAAGTGAGGACGACCTCAAGGATCTTTTCTCGAAATACGGCAGAGTTGAAACCGTTCGAATTCCCAGAAAGGTCGATGGGGGTAGCAAGGGTTTTGGCTACATTGTCTTTTCTACCAAGGTATGTTCCTCTTGAGCTTTTACTTTTCTTGGAAGCCCTGTTACTAATGTGCCTGTTCCCACAGGAAGAGGCAAATGCCGCCCTTGCAATGCATGAACAGGAGTTTCGCTCGCGTCCACTCCAGGTCCGACTGTCAACACCGCAGGGCGCCAAACGCAGTGCAACGACCATCGTCAACCGTGTAGGCAAATCCCAATCACCTGCCCCCGAGACCAATGGTACCAAATCTCAGTCCGCCGAACCGGATGGGGCGGCGAAGGAACGGTCGGCGCGGACGCTGGGCCTTATGAACATCCCTGACACGGTCAATGATGCGCGGGTTCGGGCGCTGGTCGAGCCATACGGGGAGCTGATCAAGGTTGTGCTGCGGCCCGATCATCAAGGCGCGATCGTGGAGTTTGCGGACGTCAACCACGCAGGCAAGGCCTCGCTCGAGCTCGAGGGACACGAAATCGCTCCTGGCCGTCGACTTCACGTGGGCACCGTCTCGGAAATGCTGAGACAATCAGCCGAAAAGAAACCTGGCGTCGGTCCAGTGCCTAAGAAGAAGGAAAAACCCGGTGCAGGGCTTCTTCAGCCGAGTGGGCCGGTGAAGCGTCCTGTGCAGCCTGGCGCGCGAGGTGGGAGACGAGGTGGACTTGGGATGAAGCGGATCAATATTCCTTCCACCCCATCACAGGGAGGAAGCACCAAACCCGATGGCGCCAAGGGCGCGACGACGATAACGACCATGACTGAGACGACCGATACCGCTCACCCTGTTGAAGGTGAGACGACGAAGAAGAGCAATGATGACTTCCGTGCTATGATCCAGCGGAGTCGAGGCTAGTGAAAACTTTTTCTGAGGACATACCGGGGCTGCAATAAACAGGGGGTTGGCGTTTCTTCTTTCCCCCCGATTTTCGTCCCCGACCCGAGGTCCTTTGGAGATGATGAAGTTTCTCTCTCTCTCTCTCTCTCTCTTCTGCGTGTTGACGCGGCCGAACCGCGCCATCTCCCTTCCTGTGGTTCGACCATGTTGCATGTGGTATCCCTGTGGATTACCCAACGACCATTTTTATTTGTTCTCCAAACAGACCATCGACATGTAGATTACATTCCCCCCTTTTGCCTCCATGTTTCTTGTATCTTTGCTCATCTTTCCGCTTGTTCACTCTCCCCGTGAAATGTTGCTCTAATGATTCTTCTTGTATTTGATCAACCTTTTCGACGGGAAGGGGGGATCCCGCCGACATAGACCAGGTGGAGCGAGAAGAGCTAACCAATTAATACTGACGGTTGCCATGACATTGGCTGTATGGCATTTGGGGAAAGATCCCGATCCATTGATAGACCTTGTTTTTCCTTGTAGGTTATGCGTATGGACTGTAGGTAGTCACTCGGTATGGTATCACGACCGTCTAATCATTCTATCATCTCTCCCTGCCTTCCCGACTCCAAGTTCACCACACTATCCACAGTACACATCCCTCAACATATACCCCAGAGTCTACGTCTACGTCTATGGAGTAGTCCAAGTCTGGAACCCCGCAGAATAACGCTTTGACCAGCCTCCAGTCGATCCCCGGTTTCAGAACTCCTCGGCGATCTTTGTTTTTTTTTTTTTTTTTTTTCTGGCAGACCGCTCTCCTTTGACCATTTGTAGGGAGCAGTTAATGTGGGATTGGAAGCTGTGATTGGTAGGATAATAGCTTGAGAGATGAGGAGGCTCTTTGGATATCCGTGTGGGTGGTTCTGCACACAGTCTTGGGGAGTTGTGGTTAAGGTAAGAGATGAGGAACGTACACAGTAATGCCACCTACTCTGTATATATATATATCTGACTAGCTAGCTCTCTGACTAGCTCCCGACCTACCAATGCTGACTTTTGGTTCTGTACGACAGGTTAGGACGTGCATTCTGCGTCTTTAACAGACCGAATCAGCGATCGTTGCTTGATTTTAAGCTCTGTGTGATCCAGTTTTGGTTTCTGTCCCGCACTGGCATCACCTCATTCTCCGCTCATCTTCTCTTCTCTCATCTCTCCTGTCCATCAGATGTCCATCGTATCTATTCCCATATCCCCTTCTATCTATATCCCCCCAAGATCGATCCCACTCACTGCGGGTTCAGTGAGCGCCGGAATAACAACAAGTGTCGTCATTTGCCAACCGCCCCAGCCGCAACGTCAACGTCAACGTAGCACCAACATCAACACCACGACTCGACGCAAAGATGGACTTTCATCTCGTTCCTCGAGGCACCGACCGAAACTACACAGGTTTCCTAACCAAAACCATTGTTTACAGCGGCACCCTCGTCCTCTTTCTCGCCGGTAAGTATCTTTCTACTTCTCGCTGCCGCCTGCTGAGGTCCGTGCTAACTGACCCCCTTCATCTCCAGCCTTCGGCTTGACAATATCCTCCATCGTGGTTCCGAAATGGGTCAGCTATCATAGTGACAAGGTGGGTTCCTTTTCCTTGAGCACCAGCATCCGAATCGGCTTCCCAAGAATACACATCCCTGACTTTTGTGTAGTTCCACTACTCCTACGGCTTGCACCGTCGCTGCTCCTCCCTCACCAACGTCTGCGAGAGTTTCCCCCAGCGCGAAGACTGCCATGGCGAAGACCGCTATTTCTGCTCCATGTGGCGCACCGTCGGCTTCCTCATGTCCTTTGCCGTCGTGCTGCAGGGGATGAGCGTCGTCGCGTACCTGATTGTGCTGTCTGGCGGGAAGCGGCTGCGCGAGTCTGGGTGGAAGGTGCTCAGCGTGTTTATCATATTGTCGGCGATTGTGCAGGCGGCGAGTATGTCGATTGTGGTAGGTTGCCCCTCCCCCGGTGTTTCTCTGAGGAATGGGGTGGTAACGAACTATCAACAGGCGTATCTGTTTGATAACGAGGATCGCTTCTTTGTCGGCTGGCGGCTAGACGAGTCCTGGATCTTTTGCATTGTGAGCTGGTGTCTGAGTATTTTCTGTGTGGTGGTGATGATGCTCGCGGCGAACCATTTGCCCTCCGAGGGAGGGTACGAGTTGATCCCGGACCATTCTTGAGGGAGACAAGTTGGGGAAATGGTTTGGCGTTGTTCTGCCTTTTTTTTTTTTTTTTTTTTTTTTTTTCAAATCTGGCAAGTTTGACTGTTTTTTTTGCCATCTGCGTCGGCTAACTGGTTTCTGCGGGAGTTTTTATCGCCAAGTATATTTATATAAAGGTCTGACGGTCCTCTACGATTAATGCTAATGAAACACAATCATCATTTATTCAGTGACCTCTATCAACTAGCCATCAAGAAGCTCAACACAAGCAAGCACCAATCAATCAATCAATCAATCACCATCGGGTCTTGCGCACCGCACCCCGAGCACTCACCCTCGACCTTGTCTTCACACCCCCCTTCCCCTTTGCGTTCGACTTGACCTTTGGATTTGCCTTCTTCGTCTTCGCATTCTTCCTCGTCTTCCTCTCCGACACCTTCCCCCCCACCGCCGCCGCCGCCGCCTCCTCCAACACCCACTCCCGAAACATCGGTAAGATCTCAATATCCGGAAACAGCACCGGCCCCTCGCCCTTTTCACGCCGCCACTCCAAATCCACCCGGATACGCGCCACAAGGTGCCGAATCTCAGCAAAGGACTTGCCCTGGCCCGTGCACGCACGCAACCACGCAGGCACAGGACAGGCCTGGATCCGCGGCTTCTTTCTCCTCCTCCCTCCCCTCTTCCTCTTTTTCTTCCTTTCCTCCTTCCCGGCGTCGTTGTACTCTTCGTCCTCGTCGTCCTCATCACCCAATTCAGAACTAAGACTGAGCACAGAGGAAGATTCGTCCCCATCGGCATCGGTATCGGTATCGCCATCGCCAGACCCCTCCTCCTCCTCCTCCTCCACCTCCTCCTCCTCTTCAACAGCAGATAAACCCCCACCACCACCAGAGAAGGACGAAGTCGAAGACCCAGAATCCAACCTCTCCCTCTCCCTCCTCCTCAAAACGACCTCGAACGCGCGCACCCCGCCCCACGCCTCCATGCGCGCCAGCGAATCCAGCAGGATCTCGCACTGCGTGAACGGCCACACGCGCGCCCGGTACCGCGCCCGCTGGTAGTGTTTGCGGCAGTAGTGCACCCAGACGTGTGTGGGGAGGAGGCGCGTGACCGTCTTGTTGCGGCCGAGGATGTGGGAGATGACTTTGCGGGGGAGGTCGGCGGGGGAGGCGCGTGGGGATTTGGTTGTGGTGGTTTGGGAGGTGCTGGCTGTGGCGGTTGTGCAGGGGGTGGTGAATTCGCAGGGGGGGAGGGGGGAGGTAGGGGGGAGTGATTTTGGGGGTGGTTTTTTGGGGGACATTTTTTGCGTGGGTGGGATATGTAGGTGTAGATGTAGATGTAGATATGATATGGTATGATATTGAGGGAGGGAGGTAGTTTGGAGGTTATATAGATTACCATTTGACGGAGGTTTCCGTCTATCATGGGCGGCGCATTGTCAAGATCCACAGAAAGAACTGTCTCACTTATATACGACTATGTTTGAACTGAGCTGTCTTTAGAACAAAGGTGAATATCGTCATAACAGTCATATGCTAGCTAGCTAGACTTCATCACTAGTAGTAGCAGGCTGCAACCGAAAAAATACATACATACAACATGTACACTGACCCCACAACGCCCAGTTCCTGGCAATTTTATCCTGTTCATCCCTCACATGGCATAGCCCGTCGTGATCGTCCTGGGCACATACTTCCGCGGCGCCCGAATCACACTACATCCCACCGACCCCAGGTCAATAGTGTTCAGCTCCCGGCTCAGCGCGTCCATGCCGGGATTGCCCCCCATCACCGGGTAGTTGGGCTCCGGGGCCGCAATGGGCACCTTGGCCGGGATTGGAGGCCCAGTAGGTGCATAGAAGCTTGACACAGAGTGCGCAGAGTGAGCCGAGTGTGCGCTGGGAGCCGGTGACACGGACTTGCGCTGCGATGATCGCGGCCGTGGTGCATTCGATGGATGATAGCTCCCTCCAGGCCCGTATCCCCCATACCCCTGGCGCCCACGGTCCATGTAGTCCGCCCCAGGGGAGGTGTGTTCGGCGTTTACCCGGGAAACATGCGAGGGAGGACGTCTCGTCTGATCAGGAACGAATCCCCCGCTAGACCGGGGACGACCGCCTGTAGCATCCCGGGCAGGCGCATTCTTGAAACGCACAATGACCTCCGGCTTCCGGGACTTGCGTTCTGGCTCCGGCGCCCACGTGTCCGTCGGAAGGTGATCGGAAGGATCGATCTCTCGGCCATCGTCGCCGATGATCGGGCCCGACGTGTCAGGCTTCAGATCGTTGAGTCGTGCAATCTGCATGGATTGAGCGATCGTATCGTACGCGGGTGCCGGGTCGCGCGTGACAGCAGACCGTGCTGCATTTGGATTGAGTGCATTGTACGAGTCTGGCGAGAATGGAATCCGCGACACTTGACGTTCAGTCAACGGCGGTGGTCGAGGGCTGACCGATTTCCGTCGAGGCGCAGAGCGGATGTCTGGATTGATCGATCGGGTGATCACCAAGGAACGGCGGTAGTCTGCAGGCTGCGAAGGCGGTGTTTCGACAGGATATGGCACTCCCGCACGCTTCGGCTCGGGGGGCTGAAAGATGATGGCCTCTTCTTCGAGCATGCTCCGTCGTCGCGTGGCCAGACCGTCCTGCGTCGCTCGCGGCTCCGTCCCTGGCACGGCCGTGTCAAAACCGGCGACTAGGCTGCGCGGTACCGATGGATTCTTCGTATGATGGGGGTCCTGTGGGCGGTTCCTGTGGGTTGGGAGGTGGAGCGGCTGGACCGCGTTCATATCCTGGGTACTGTGGCGGGGCGACGACGCAAACTCTGGAGAGTAAGCCTTGTACGAGGAAGCTGGTGACGGTACTAACTGTTGACTGTGCTGGACTAAGCCAGACCGATGGGCCGGGGGCGGAGGCGGCGGCCCCTCATCTTCTTCGTCGTCCACGCGCGGTTGCATCGCGGCGTATTCCGGGTGGAAGGTCTCGTGGATGGAACTACGATGGCGACTGTTCATGCTGGCGACGGAATTGCTGTGCAGCCGATAGTGGTGGTCCGGTTCCATTGGAGCTGGGACGGGGGCGTTCTGGGCGTATTCCGGGCGTTCATACGAGTTGGTCGAGGAACGAGGAGAGTACTGGGGCGCATCGTGGCCATAGCGCACCAGATCTCCACTGTAGGCGTGCTGCTCCGGAGGGGGAAATGGCTGATTCCGGTGCCGGCTGGTCGGACGGGAGGCCGGGTCATATGGGTGCCTGGTGTGCATGTCCGCAACAGGATGTGCTTCGTACTCAGGCCTGCTTGGTGGGACATCCGGCCGAGAACGGTAGTCCACGGCTGGGGCATTGCCGTATCCGGAGTGCGGCCGTGCATATTGTTGTCGTGTATCATAAGGGTCCGCCTGCCTCTCGCGATAAGGGTGGGTTTGCTCCTGCACGGATCGCCTCAAAGGCGCTGGCGCGGCCGGCTGCACAGTCTGAGCCGCGTAGTTCCATTCTCGATGAAAGTCATCTGGCGTTTCATATTGTTTTACCGGCGGCGCAGGCTGCGGAGCGGAGTTGTACGCTGCCGCGTCATAGGGAGGCTCCGGGGCCTGCCGTTGAGGATAACGCGTATGATCGGCGGCAACAGGCATGGCAGGTGTGGAATGAGAATGGTCGTGGTGAACCGGCCGGGATGGCGCAGGCTGAGACTGTACTGGAGCCGAGGGAGTCTTCTCGACGGGGGCAGGACGAGCTGGGGTTGAAGCAGTCAGATCGCTGGGAAGTGGGCGTCTCTTGACATCCTTCAACTGGCGCGGACCCGAGAGCGAGGAAGAGCTGACGGGTGCCGGTGTAGCGACGGGTTTCGATGAAGCGCTGCTTCTTTGGATCTTGTCGGCCACTTGGGTTCGTCGCTCAATCACGGCTTCATCCTCAGGCCTAGTGTCGTAGTAGGTCATCTCGATGCGGACTTCGCCGGCATACTTTCCGCGGAAATGCAATGGGTGCCATTGGTCACTCTGGCTGCCACCGGGGATGATCAAGTCCTGCAGATCAATCCAGGTCTCGCCGATCAGATCGGTCTTTTTGTCGTCGTTGAAGATTGAGACTTTGAGTCTAAAGTAATCCGGCGATTCATGCACTGTAAAGCGGAGCTCCTGATCCCTAGTTGATCAAATTAGCATTGTTGTGGAAAGCTCCCAGGACAGGGCAGCGTACCATTTGGGTGTTTGGCCTCCACGCAGATCGGTCTCTGTTTTCTTCGCTTCTTTGCCGAGACGAGCAGCACAGTACGGATTTTGTTTTCCCATCGTCTTTCTGTTTGGCAGGTTCTTCGCACGGTCAATGATGGCGACCAGGGTGCCAATGGCGGGACCGTCGACGGACATGTCCGCATAGATACCGGCCGCATGGTTGATGTTGCCGATTCTCGGCAATTTGGAAGCCATGATGGCGACCAATTCTGATATTTTGAAGGAGCGACAATCGACCGTAATGGAAGGATGATGGACACTGGCTTATCTATCCATCAATTGACTGCCTAGGGTGATCGGAGTAGTGGGTTTCAGCTGAGAGCTCCGAAGACGCTGTGAATGCGATGTGATGAGTCCCAACGCTACACGTTGGATCAAAAAGCAAAGAAAAAAAAATAAAAAAAAAGCCAAGCGGTATAGGCAGGATCTGTGGATTCGCAGGGGATGGAGAGAAGAGAGAGGAAAAGATGAAGAAGAGAGACGAGGATGGATGATGGATGGATGCCCCCAAAACAAGGCGGATAAGACAACAGCGGGCACGATCGCGATAACCATACGTCAGTAATACAGTGGATACGCAGGGTGATTGGGCAGAACCCTGTCTATGGATCCACTCTGCCGGGTTGGAGGAGGCTGGGAGGTGGCTGGCGGTATTCTATTCCTCGAGTCTGATTGGCCAGAGAACAATGGTTCCTGCATGAAATCCGGAATCCATACCTTACTCTGTACAGCCTTAACGGTAATCTTACGCTCGAGTACTCCCAGCCACTTTGATGGATTCCTCTTGAGCACTAGACAGATGATTACCTAGATAGATACTCATAGGCTCATAGCTGATGGATACCATCAATAAGCCTACGGAGGAGGCCGATGAGGAGCTTTACTCTTAGTCAGTTAGGGAGCCTGGATGAAGCGTCCTCGTCAGCTCACCAACCTACTCCGTAGTAGTAGAATCGAGACTCGGCAGGATCAAATCATATCATGGGTCAGGCCGTAATCCCGATACGGTTAACGTCCGTCCCACCACAGCTCCCCACGCCCGGGATCGCCTTGCAGCCTGGGGCATCTAGTTTTTCGATAGGTCATCTATCGATATCGAACTACTATGTACCTATATTGGATACAGACAGACAGACTCCAGACATCAGTCAACGAGACTGCTTCTCGACTTCTCTAAACAACACCAACACCAACAGCGATACTACACACTTAAATTACGATTATTCCGAAATCATTCCCATCCATCATTATCCTTGCACCCCTGTATAACCGTGATACCCTCCGACAAACAAGAATTCTGCTGCCTGTCTTGACTCTTGAGCTCCCAGTCGGCCCACAGCCACAAACAGAGTGGATTCTAGCTTCTCCACGCTTTAATCAATTGCACTTCTTTATCATCGTCTGCTATAGTTAAACATGCCGCCCGATCGCGCCTTGTTGTCAGATCGCCAGGCAATCTTCGGCAGTGCTACTTTCCAGGATCGGCCTGTCAGTCTGAGGGGTTCAAAGATGAAGGCATACTTGACCCACACTAGGAAGACTATCCTATGCAATCACTGTCATATACGGTGAGGAGGACAGCATGAGTCTGGACACGTTGTTTATGCAGGACACGTATCTACTCTGTCAGATCCTACCTATCTCACCGCCAGCGCGTTTCTGTGTGGGACAGAATGGGGACATCTTTACTAAGGATCGCTCCGACATTTATCGGATGAGGTAAGTGCCTCTGCTGTTTACAAGCTAGATACTACGACGATAGCCCCTTCTAACGCAGTACCACAGACGATAGCATCTATCCCCGAGCGACTGAGTTTATCCCTGAACGTTGGTATAGCTCTCCGCACCTGGTCAACGACAAGAAGGCAGCGGCGCCGTTCTCAATCGGGCCGCATAATTGCATTGAAAAACCGCTCCGAATGATGATATTCGAGTTACGCTGGCACGAATCATCATGCGCTACGACTTGAGTTTCCCACTGATCGTATTAATCCAATAGCCGAGTTGGAAGAGGGCATGAATGGTCATTTCACTCTCCAACCTGGTCCATTGTATTTGCGCTTGGAGCAGCGGAGGTAGTGAACAATTGGAAAACCAATCTACGAACGCGAATACAAATTGGGAGCTAGAGAAGTTAGCAGTTTTGGTGGGTTATGTATCTCATAGCTTGGATATCTATTCCATTAGATACCCAGAAATCAGATGAAGATTCATCGATTGTTGACGACTGTTTGGGTTTAGGTTTTGGCGGGCCACCTTGGTTTTCTCATTCAAACTTCTTCTTGAGCATACTCTCTCTGTACTTGTTCTACTAATGTGGCTGCAACTTGATCACATCAGAGCTTGGCTCAAATTTATTGCTTTAGGATCCGATGATTCGTCCTTATCTTTTTCGTCTTTCTCGGTATCCTAGCTGAAAAGCTGAATACTTCGTTTTGGTTAGTCGGGAGTCGACAAGAACAGTTTATAGAGATAGCTGAAACCCACGCAGCTTACTGACGAAGTGATCGCTATGCCGGCCTAGAATGCATGTCCAATGTTCTGGTCCGAAATGGCTCTGAACTGGAGTTGGGAGATATTTAGTGTCGGCGAGATGTAAGCAACAACACTGTCCCTTTGCTGGTACGACAGAGCCATAGGAAGAGAAGTCGCGGAAAGGATTGGCTGCCAGCTTCGTCCACCGGGGGAGCCTCAACTGCTTGAGACGGGATGTGGCGCTCCCCATGCCCTTATTCTCCACGAGAAGGAGATTATGAGAGATGGGAGACGCCTGTTAAAGGCTTCCAGCAAGCTGGCCGACGTGGTATTGCTGCATTTTCGCCATATTGGATTCGCTGTGGCCGGCATATTCGTACAGGTCGGTGCCATCAGCCCCGGCACACGTCTCGAGTGTCTCGATGCCGCCTGGATGGTCCAAGCTGAAGGTCGTGAGATCGTACACTGGGAAGCTGGTCGGTTTCTACTTTCAGAGGGTCGTCATCTGCGAAAGTGTTAGCCTACCATCCGTTGTCCACAACGACTCCAGGGTATTGTGGTTGGCCAGTTGCTCAAGTGCAATGCTTTTGCTCAGCTGCGACATTGAGGACGCAATCGCCGCTCTGTTATGGCGTGAAAGAAAGGGCGGGGATTATCGACAAGCCCGCTTCGTAGGGGCAAAGGACCGTCTATCGCTTGAACAGCAGCAGCGCCTATAATCGGCTCCATATGCGTCGTGGGTAAGTTCCGCTACACAGGCACTATTGGCCGAAGCTGCAGGTCAACGGCCTTCCAAAAGCGGCCTTTCACCGCATATTCAAAAGCGGACGAACTATGGAGTAGGAAGTAATAATCAGAGGTAATACTAGTGCTACTGTGCGTCAATGGCATGAAACAAGCTGTTCTCCTCAAAGAGACATTTTACTCGCTGTCCTTTGTGGCAATCGACACACCATCATAACTACAGATCAAGCGAAAGGAACGCACAAAGAATTTTACATCAGACGCAAGGATGGTGATCATTCTCACAGTCTGGATGTGTCGCTATTCACCAGCCTCGAGCAACTCACGGGAACCCTGGCCGAGGTCTTTGCATTTGCTGATATGAAATATATGTTTCTGCCCTCATGTTCTCTGACATCCTAGGCCGACTCGAGATAGCATTGTGACTCGTCTAAGCTGGCTTCCACCTTGCTTTGTCTCATTGCCTAGGGCTAGTGACTGACTTATGTTCGACGCAGGTGTCGGGAGACCCCCTCCTAATTAGGGCAAACTCCCCCCAAACGAGTTCTAGAGAAGAGAAATACAAAACAACGAGAAAAGAAGGCAACGAGAGAATACGTAATACCTCGACCTAATTGAATTGAACGATATGCTTCCCACGGAAGACAAGATTGTAGAAGAGTAGATCTACAGCGAACTATGCATGCTCTTCTCCACCTCCACGACTTGAAGTTGCCTCCACAGAAGCCGTACTTTCTCTCTGATGGCTCTTTAGTCTCTCTTCTTGAACCACGATCTCAATTATTGTGTTCTTCAAGAAAAATGGGTAGCATCGTTGACTGGAATCCATAGTGGAAAGTTGGAAGGAAATACAAGCTGGTATTTTTTTATGTAGGAGAATCGATGCTAGGAGTAGGTGCCCCAGGCATTCAATGTCTGGAGTCACGTGCAGGTAACGATACCGACGACAATACGCATCCGATACACTCCCAAGAACTAGCGGTAACGATTGCCCGATTGGGAATCGAGAGAACTTTTTTGATGCGGTTTGATCTTTGATTGACCAAAAAAAAAAAAAAACCTCCAGACATCAACACCAGCATCAACACACCGACCACGCTCATTGTCAATAGGACGGCCCTTTCTTCGGATTGATCCAATTCTCAATCGACTGCCAAACCCAGATTCTCTTTCGCAAAACGGCCTGCAGCCATGGCTGCCCCCGTTCTTCCTCTGCAGCAGGTCAAGCTGCCTGCGCTGCCCTCGACCCGGTTGACCCCAGAGCAACAGTACTGGAAGACATTCAAGAATCCTCTCCTGATCCCTTCTCCCGCCAACGGCCCCATCAATCTCATCACGCAACCCGCCGCCCCGTCCTCCGCCTCGGCCTTCCCCTCCCTCACACAACCCCCCGATGTCTTCACCGTGACCACCGGCGCACGGGTCCAGATCTACTCCATCCGCACCCGCAAGCTCCTCCGCACCATCACCCGCTTCGATGATACCGTCCGCGGCACGGACGTGCGGCCCGACGGCCGCGTAGTAGTGACCGGTGACGACACGGGCACAGTGCAGGTCTTCGACGTAGCGTCGCGGGCGATCCTCAAGACGTGGAAGGAGCACCGGCAGCCGGTGTGGGTGACCAAGTTCTCGCCGAGCGACCCAACCTCCGTGCTGAGCGCGAGTGACGACCGCACGGTGCGGCTGTGGGATCTGCCGAGCGAGAGCAGCGCGCGGACGTTCGTCGGGCACACGGACTACGTGCGCAGCGGCGCTTTCATGCCCGGTTCGCTGGCCTCGTCGGGGCTGGTGGTGTCGGGCAGTTATGACCGGACGGTGCGGCTGTGGGATCCGCGGGTGGAGGGCCGCGCGGCGATGACGTTCAAGATGGCGGCGCCGATTGAGAGCGTGTTGCCCATGCCGACGGGGACGACGCTGCTCGCTTCGGCGGAGAACAAGATCGCGGTCCTGGATATCGTGGCGGGTAAGCCGCTGCATATGATCCAGAGTCATCAGAAGACGGTGACGGCGCTGGCGCTGGCGTCCAACGGCGAGCGCTTGCTCAGTGGTGCGCTGGACGGACACATGAAGGTGTTTGAGACAACGGGGTGGAACGTGGTGTCCGGCTCCAAGTATCCCTCCCCGATCCTGTCGCTGCGCGTGATCACATCGGGCGTGAGCCGGGAGGACAAGCACATCGCAGTGGGCATGCAATCGGGTCTTCTCTCAATCAAGACCCGGTTGTCGGGCCAGCAGAAGATCAAGGAGCGCGAGCGGCGCAAGGAGATGCAGGCGCTGCTGGAGGGCAAACTCGAAGAGCACGACCGCAAGATGGCCAAGGAGAAGAAGCTGCGCGGCTCGGGATGGGAGAAACGGCTGCGCGGCCGCGATTTCATCGGCGAAGGAGTGGACATTGTGATCGAGGGGCAGGATAAACGGAAGCGGAAGAAGGAGCAGACGTGGGAGTACGATCTGCGCAAGGCGCGGTACTCGGCGGCGCTGGACCAGGTCCTGTCGTCGAGCGACAAGACAGCACAGCTGACGCTGTTCACGGCGCTGCGACACCGCTCCGCGCTGCGGGCGTCGCTTCAAGGACGGGACGAGGAGACGCTGCAGCCAGTGCTGCAGTGGGTGCACAAGAACATCACGGAACCGCGCCTGGTGAAGCTATGCGTGGAGGTGGCGATGAACATCCTGGACATCTACTCGGGGAATCTCGGCCAGTCGGCGCAGATCGACAAGTTGGTGGACCGGCTGCATCGGCGTGTGCGTGACGAGGTAGAAATGGCGCATCAGGCGTGCCAGACCAAGGGGATGTTGGACATGTTACGGGCTACCTAATGGATGACCAGTAGAAAAAATCAAAAGCACGTTGATAGACTGTTCATATTACGGGATACCTGGTCGGAGTTTGGACATCATTTTACATAATTCAATGCAGATTCAACCCCTTCAATCCGACCTTCCCTGGTCACTTGTCACTGTCCCTGTCAAGTATTATCTCCGCCGCCCGCTCAGCAACCGCATACAACGTGGCCGTGAGATGGCCACTGATCTGCAGCGGGATGATCGAGGCATCAACGACTCGCACATTCCGCGTCCCGTACACCTTCAGGTCGGGGCCCACGACTCCCCCCAGTTCACGAGCCATCATGGCCGCCGAGCCGAGCGGGTGGTCATTCGGGTTGACTATGAAGTAGTAAAGAGTAAAGAATCAGCGCTATCTCCCGCACTTCCCTTCCAATCTTGAACTACTCACAGATTTTCTTAATAAACGCTCCCCACTCCTTGTCCGTCAGATTCGCCCCTAACTGCTGTAGCGACTTCGGATGCAAGTGTTTCACCGGCTCTGAGGCCCAGAAACCCTGCGCCAGTCGTCCAATGGTAGTCTGCATCTGCATGTCAAAGTCATTCTGAAAGAAGGCCGGATCGATGAGTGGTTTATCGGCATCTTCTGGCCTGGCTGAGGCCAGATGCACGCTGCCCCTGGAGAAGGGGAGCAGCAGCCAGAATGCAGAAAGCAAAGTTGTCCCCGAGGCGGAGGTGAGGATCTCGGCGGCGGTGACGTTTCTCTCGAAAATGAGCGAGTGCTGGGTCTGGAGGATGCGTGTGAGGGCTGGTTTGCCTAGGCCGGAGTTTGAGGAAAGATTTTCGGCCCAGGCTGGGATGGCGGAGAGGGTGGATCTTGTGGTCTTGCGTGAGCCGATGTGTTAATAAAGAAGGGAGAGAGAACTTACGCAGCTATGGAAGGCAAATCCTTTCCGAAGAGCTGCGAGGCTGTTGCAAATGTTGCGTAGGGCGCTGTTCCGGATACGTTGAGGGTGCCAGTATACAGCAACGGGGCGTTGGGCTGATCCTGCAGGTTCTCTCCCACGCCGGGGAGGTGGATTCTGGGCTCGATACCGAGTTGCGTCAGACGGGGGGAGTCACCGACACCGGATGCTTCGAGGATGGAAGGAGTACGCAGCGCACCCGCGGAGAGAACCACCTCCTGAGCACCCGTGAGAGTCTTCATCTCGCCCTGGGGGTCGAGATACTCGACTCCCTGCGCAACATGCTCCTCCTCTCTCCAGAGCAGCCTGAGCACCGTCCCTCGCAGCACGCGCAGATTAGGTCTGTGATCGACGGGATAATAGAATGCATGCGCACTACTCGCCCGCACATTCCGTGCACAATCGATCGTCATCGGCCAGACACAGAACCCACGCACGTCGCCGCCATTCGGGTCTTCGTTTCTCTCGTACCCCAGTCCCCTCCAGCTCTCACTCACAGACCCCTCAAAGCTCCCGTTCGACAACTGTAACGGGAAACACACATCCAACTCCCCGCTCTCCCCATGATACGCGGGGCTATACGACGCCCCGACGTCCACCTGCCACGCCGGCGGCGGCCGAAATCGTTCCACGCGCTTGTAATACGGCCAGAGAGATTCCCAGTTCCAGCCCGTCGCGCCTAACGTCTCCCAGGCGTCTATCTCCGCGGCATCGGCCCGGAGATAGGTCATACCGTTGATCATGCTGGTGCCGCCGAGGATGCGGCCGGCGGTGTACTGCAGGGTGCGGTTGGAGGCGTGTTCCTGTGGGAGGATCGGGTAAGCCCAGTCGATGCCAGAGTTGGCGTTGCGGAGCCATCGTGTTGGATCGGTGACGTTGGGGTTGGTGCGGGTGTCTGGGCCGGGGTCGATAATGGTGATGGTGTGCTGGGGATTGGAGGAGAGGCGGTTGGCGATGAGGAGGCCGGTTGTGCCGCCGCCGACGATGAGGAAGTCGGTTGCTAGTGCCACAGGAAGGGCGAGAATGAGGTGTTTCATGTTGGGCTGTTGATGGGATGTTGGAGTGGTGAGATGCATGAATGGATTTTCTGCTGATCGTCGTGGAGATGGAAAGTAAGCAGCAATAGTGGCTGACATCAGATGTAAGACATATCGACGATAGACATGATCTAACCATTCAGTCTCTTGCCGATGCGTTATTTCAATTTGAAGTTAGTCCCTCTTACATAGATGCATTTTGCTGATCTCATCTACGAGGGCTATCAACACTGGCTATGGGGAGAATTTGATCGCCAGGGCGGCGGACGTCATCCTCATAGAGTGTTGTTGCTGTGACACGCGAGAGGCCGCTGAGTGAGATTCACTTGCGGAATATGGAGGATCTTGTACTTGTTCGATCTTCATACCAGGACTTTGAGTGATGGGAAGGGGTGGAAGTCGTGATTTTGGTCTTGGGTAGATTAGATTAGCCCTAATTTTGTTTGCGCTGGGCTGCATGGAACGGACTATTATTATTATTATTATTTGCGTTCCGACTACAAACAGAAAAGCAGCGAATATCACAAGAAACATTACTGCAAGCAAGCTTAAACATCCTCTTCTGCAGCCAGGGTCATACCCATGCCACCATTCTGCTGCTCCAGGATCTCCCAGCCCCGGAACCCATCATCCACCAGGTCTGCATCCGACTCCGCCTGGCCCGCTCCGAATGCCTTCAGATCCCAATGCTCAACCTCTTCCACTCCTTGTAGGTCCGATTGGAATTCCCGGATCAGATCTGCATTCAGCCGCTCATACTCGCTGTACTCCTTGGGCCAGTAGCCCAGCCGCTCCGTTGCCAGCTTGAGCAAATACAAGTGTCGACGCACGTGCTCTCCGTCGGAGACGTGGCCGTTGAAGCCCCCATTTCCGTTTCCGCTGGCAAACATCGACTCCCTCATTTCCAGGTCATATCCGGAGTCGTCCATACTCATGCTGTTCTCGAGTCCATTTTCCATCTCGCCCAGTGTGGGGTCAGCAAAGATACGAAGGATGTTCTCATGCACCGCGACGCTCTTCTTGAAGTAGCGGTTCGCCAACGAGGGTCCATTGCGCTGTGATAGGTATTTCTGTCCCACGCTGGTGTAGAGCTGCGATAGCAAAATGGACGCGTCGAGGGTGGCCGGATGGCAAGCACCATGCACGCGGCGGCAGTTGTACACAATATCCTCTGCCAGGCGCAGAGCCGACTTGAAGTCGCTGACAAGATAACGGGCTAGTACAAGCCGGCGGCCCATCGCGAGTGTGACAGTTGGCTTCCATGAGCGCTGAGCCTCGCGGCTGTTCCAGAGTAGGGTGAGCAGCCAGGCCAGGGTCTGGTAGTCTTCCTGCTCGCCGAGAAGACCAATCAGGGCGTTGAGGTGGATGAGACCAATCTGAGAAATATCGATCTTGATTTCGTTCATGACTTCCAGAGCATCCAGGATGATGCTTGCGGAGACACCGAGCAGTTTCTTGCGGATAGCATCATCTGGCTGGGTGGTAAGGTCGCGTCCGGAGATGGTCATGCCGAGAACGAAGGCGAACTTGACGATAGCGGGAATTCGATAGGCCTCATCAGCAGACAGATACTTGAACGTGGCTTCAGCAAGATCACAGGCCTCGTCGTATTGTTGCTCCTTGAGGAGTTGGATAACGCCATGATTACCCGCGATGCCAATGGTGCGAACAAAGTCGTGCGACTGATGGATGCTCAGGTGATTCAGAATGGTGATGAGCAGAATCTTCACTTGAGAGCTCTCTGTCACATTCACGCGTTCGCCCTCAGTAGCCAGGAAATAAGCCATGAAACTATCAAAGACATGGGCAGCCGCGATCGGTCGGCTATTGCCAACCAAGAACTGATACAAACGAGCAGTCGAAATGGAGACAGTGTAAATCGTGCTCGTCTCAGCCTTGATCACACTTCGGAACTCTTCGAAGTAAACATATTCAGTCATCAAGGCGGCAAGAATCTCCGTCACCGTGACCGAGGAGTTACGTCGAAGGTTATATTCCATATGCGCCAGGAACGTGAGACTTTGACTTTCTTTGGAGGAGAGATCAAACTGGAAAGTCGCAACATTGGTCGTATCCTTCATGACAATTTGTCTGTATATCTCATGACACAAATCAACCGCCTTTTGGATCTCTCTGGCAGCGATGTAGCTGGATGCAATGGTGCTGGCGGCGGCGATCAGCTTGGTGGAGGATGTCTCCGAGGAAAGAATTTGAACGGTTGCTTCGGTGAGCTCTTGGACCACAGTTTCGGTCTCATTGCGCTCGGTATAGAAAGTGATCATCTCCTTCATCCTAGTGAGAGACTCCTCGTGAGCCCAACCGTGAGTCTCCCGCACAGTCGTGATGCGCTTGCGCATGACCTTGACTGCGCGCTCAACCTGAGTCGACGATGTAGATTCCTTCGTTGATGTCACAATCGCAGCTTGCTCCTCGTAAAGACCATCCAAGATTGCAGAAATTTCTTCCAAGTCAATCTCCTCGGATTCGATCATGAGCAATTCCTCGTAGAGGGCAATGGCTTCCAGCTCGAATCTCTTGGACTCCTGGCATAGCCGTGCAAGGATCAAGGTCGCTTGAATAGTGATTGAGGCCGTCAAACCGAAAGTTGTCTTGCAAGCAGTATGGTAGTCCCCTGTAACTCGGTACAATACAGCAAAATCCACGTGCACAATGCGCAAACAGCGGATATACCGCTCGTACAGCTCCTGGACAAACTCATGGACCTGGAACTTGGGCGACCCCTCGGGCTGGTTCAGGAACGTAATGAATAGAATCTTGTAGTGGGTCAAAGCATCCTGATAGCGGCCTTGATTCCACAACTCGGTTGCAATGATGATCATCGGTTCAACTGCCTCTGGGTGGCAGGTCGTGGAGTCCTTGTTCAACGCTCGGATGATCTGCCGGTAGTACTCAAGAAATATTGGGCGAGGACGAGTCAGTTCAGCCAGAGTCCAGAGGGTCTTGATCACAATCGCATGTTCTTCTCCATAGAAGTCGATGTAATCCACTAGCAACTCCTGTTGGAGATTGATGACTGATTCGGTCTGCGCAGTACGCTCAAAGAAGCCAAGCAACTCAATGGTTACACGATCACGGAGGTCGTCGTCCACTTGTCTCGCAGCCCGAACAGCACGGTACAATCTAATGCGGATATCCTCCTCCTTGTTCAGTCGTCGTCGGGAGTGATAACAAAAGCTGAGGCGTTCAGCCAACTCCACGCAGTTGTCGATAGACTGCTCAGGAAGAGTGACATCTTGCAGGGAGGGTGAGAAGAGAGAAGGCCAGACGATGCGAAGGACCTTCTTTACTGCACGTGTAGCGTCTTGCCATCGATGCTGCGAGATGTACTGGCCGATCAGACGATGGGTCGCAGTAAAAGAGGTTTCTTCAAAAGTTTCAATAGAACCAGACGACTCGTAGAAGAACTCCTCCAAGGTTGTCTCAGATATGGCTGTGGTCGAGGAGCTGAATGACTTGACTACCTCCTTTGAGGTGGTCTGGATGGTCTCCTGGAGCTCTTTATAGGTGGAGGTGTGGGTCGAGCTGATACTCTCATAGTACCTAGAGCAGCGCTTGAAGACAGACAGTGCCACCTCAGATATGCCGACAACCTTCATCATTTTTGCGACCTCCTGGAAGTAGGAGACGGAAGTCTCCGACATCGAAATGCTAGCCTGCTCGTACTCTTGCCATAGACTGGACAGCACAGAAGATGCCTCGTATTCCCGCGTCTGGGAGACGAGAAACCTGGAATATGCAAGCACAATGATCATCTTCCTCTCTTCCCAATACGCTGAATAGTGCGTACGGTACTCCTTGCTAACGCGCTGCCAAATCTCAATATATGTGCGTTCAGCCAGCTCCGTCTTTCCTTCAGCGATGTATGCTTCAGCTTGCCTGATCCATGCCTCTACATCGTAGGAGTCATATTCTTGAATCAGTTCATCCACTTCTTCAATGTCAAGAGAGAAGCCAAGGGTGATCCCGGAAGACTTTCGGCCTCGTCTGCGTCTTAACTCGACCCCCAAGTCTCCACTGACAGAATCTTTCCGATAATGCTCGGAAATGGTCTCGATCATGACAATGATCTCCTCGATTCTTTGCTCTTCCTTGGTCCAACGGTAATGCTCGATCAGTTGCTTGAGAACTGCAACGACAGTCTCGGAATCCTTCCCGTAGTGGTTTTGGTAGCATTCAACCAGCAACAAGAGGATCGTTTCTCTCTGCACCATGATCTCTGTTTTGCTTTCTGTCCTGCTGTCAATGGTCAACTCCTCAAAGATCTTGGCCATCTGCATCGTGACGATGTGACGGGTTGTCAAGACTGTCTGACTGATCGTGGCGGCTTTGTAGAACAAAGTAATGGCATCAGAGACACACTCAACGCGCTGGTTGAGAAGGGCCAGGAAGACGATAGATTGAAGGGTGACAACATGGTTCTCGGAGAGCATCTGACGGTAGATGTTGGTCACCGTATTCAAGTAGGACAGCAGCGCAGGTGTTGGAATGGTCTCCCACAATGTGCACTCAAGGCGTAGAGCCGTAATGGACGCGGGCAATGCCTTCCCAAAGCTATTGACGATTGCAACAACTCCTTCGCTAGTGTATGCCACGGTGCGCTGGACATGCGATACCCAATACCGAACGGCAAACTCGAGCAACGGGAACTTTTTCAAAAGAATGTTGGAATCGTGCCACTCCAGCGAGACAAGAGAGGGCTCGTTCTCCTGAGTTACAGTGTTTTTGATATAAATCAACAACCTGGTGGCCAGATCAGCGTGCCGATCCTTGATGGAAACCAGCTCTCTCTTCGAAAAGATGTCCAGTATGGCTGCTCGGATGAGCCCATGGCGAAGGAAAACATGGCCATCTTGGACGAGGACCAAGGGCTTCAGCGGTTTCAAAATGTGCAAAGCCTCAAGCTTGCGTTCCGCTATAGTCAAATCGTCGATCTGAATAGAAGCCAGAATTTCGAGTTCCTTAAGCTGTAGAGGCCTGTCGGCGGTGACGAGCCAGAGCAACATGTGCTTAGCATCTGCCGAAACATTGGATGATTGCAGAACCTGAAGGACAAAATCGGTGAGACTCAGATTTGACTCAACGAGTGCATCCACTTCCTTTAGAAGACCGTCCTCGGTATGTTCATGGCAAACTCGCTGGGCCGCGAGCCTCCCCCACAGAAAGGAGCCCTGAGAGGCTTCTGTGATTTGCTCAACGATGGTCTCTTGGTCCAAATCGGGCATGGCGGCGAAGGCACGGTTCTGCTGCAGCTGATTCCTCACGACTGTAGCAATATCGTCAAAGATCAACTCGTCAGTGATCTGCACAAAAGTTCGGTCCGCAGCTGTCGGAGGTTTTTGAGCGCCGAGAGTGATCACTTTCGCATTGGGAGCCTTAGCGGTGGCTGTGGCCAGCAACTGAAGCAGGGTTGCCTCGCTGCAGGATGCCTCATCAACGCCATCGACCACAATCACAAGTTCTTTGGCACCGGTAAGGGCAACACAGAGAGCGGCTTCCAGGGCATTCCATAGGATCTGATCATAGTCCTGCTCATTTAAAGCTTTCCTGCTGCGCTCATAAGCAACGCTCAAGATCTGCAACATCTGCACATTCCCGATACGCCTGTCGAAGAGCTGGTGTAGAATACTTTTGGCAACGGCACGTGGCGTTGTCTCCGCGGGAACTTTTGCATCTAAAGACGCGTTAGTTCTCGAGATTCGCGTGTAATGGACGGTCGTTACTCACTGATAGGGACAAACAGAGTGCTGTAAGCAACACCACCGATAGGATGCTGCAACTGGTCGACAATCACCGATGCGAGCACCGTTCGTCCAGAACCAGGTTTACCGGCAATAGCAAGGCTCTTGAGAGGGCTTTTGAGAAAACGTGCCAAATAGGGCGCCATCCAGAGACAGGTAAGCTCGTCCCGGTCGTGAGCCAGGTGGGAGTTTTGTTCAGCGACGCTGGCGAGAACATGATCCTCAGGGGCGAGCCACAATTTGATGGTTTTGGAGTCGGATACTGCTCGCAATTAGCCATCAGTTCGGAACGCAGAAGAGATGATCGATACCTTTATCGGCGTCTAGATTTTCTTTTAGAAGTTGATAACGCCACATAGACTCAGTGATCCTCTCGCAACGGTCACGGAAGGTCTGAATTTGCCCTGGGAAGGTCTTATACAGATCGATAGAAATTGAAGCGGTGGTAAGCTTTCGGATCGCCTTGTGAAAGTGCATAGACACACTAGCAACCAAGGTTACCAGGTCTGCGAGAGCCAGAACTAATTGCTCCCGGATCTCTTGGGAGATGCCAAATAGCTCCGTCCTCTCAAGCAGGTTTCCAAGCTTCATTGAGGTGCTGTAGAAGAAACCGAAGGAAATCATGAGTGCGGATGCATTTTCTTGTCCCAACTATCCGAGTAGTTGTTAGTCTGAATTCACCAAGATAACAACTTAGACCAATACACACCTCAAGCAAAAGGGCACAATAGCCATATGCCAGCTGGGCAGCCAGGTAACTATCACCAGCGAACTCCTCGATCGCCAGGTTGAATGAATGCAGCCTCTCAACGGACAATTGAGCCCACGAGAGCACTTTATCGTAACTGCTTCCTTCTGGGGGCAGAAGACTCATTCGCTGGATGCGGATCCAGTCCAAGACGGAATCATGTGTGTGGTTCAACAGCTTGGATGATGCGTTACTTCCAAGCTCGTTCCCGCTGCGACGCTTGAGGGAGTACACCAAATTGGAAACCTCCGACGTCTCCACCGTCTTGAACCTCTTGGAGGAGACTCTTCGGGAGGTGACTGACCGAGCGATGCCATTGTTTGAGACGCTATCGCTCTCCAAGAGGCCTGAAGTACGTCTGCGATATGCCAACAAACCAGAAGGCAAAGGGGAGGTGACCGAAGCAGCCATGGTAATCAAGGTAGCAGGGGCAGGGGTAGAGGTAGGAATATATCTAATTTCTTGTGGGAGGGGTTGCTTGGTCACAGGTGTAAGGACCTCGGACACTGGGCGTAATGAAGGCTCTGAAGCACCACCGAGAGACAGGGAATTTTGGGCCGGTGAAAAAGAACTATGATCAACAGCTATTTCCCTCGAGTCACGACGCTGACTCGGGAAACAAAACGAAAAGAAATTCAAACCAGCATTAGGTACAAAAGGACATATGGGTGTAGAGTGGAAGAGAACGTGAAAGATGGGGAAAAGCCCTTAAATAAGTAGAAGTGAACAGAGAATGGTCAATTGGAAGTCGCTTTCCTTTGGCTACGGCAGATATTTTCACAAGAGGGAGCCATAAACCCAAATGTAAGCAATCGCATATCGACTCAGGAGGCGTGAGGGGCTTGCATGCGCGGAGTGCCCGACGTCGATTATTCTGAGCGTCCCAGCACCCATAGAGCAGTATCGCTGTTCCACACTTAACATCCTCACGGCCTCGCCGGCGACGGGCTGGCTGAAGAACTGGGGTATACAGCTGTGGCGCGCTATCTGTTTGTATACATGTAGTAGACCGCACTGTCATTGAGCGCACGTCATGCTGCCGGATTACCCTGGCTGAAGAGTTGCCCAAGGGGGATGGGCTGGCTCAAGCGCTCTAAGAAAGAAGCAAACCTCAAATAGTACTCAATAGTATCATGTAATCTGCTGCCGGGTGTGAGATAGCATGCCAGCATAGGGCAACTAGAATACAACTTATGGGATTGTTGACACATTTCTCCCATCGGAGAGCATGCATTGTGGTCCTCTGTCAGCTTGTGGTGTGGCAGTTTGACAGCTCGGGAATAATCACCCGCTGAGGAAAGGGGGGGTAATAGTCTCTTCTGACTTTTGAGACACACGACTGGACTCCGGAGAGCATCAAAGCGAACGAAATGCAGTGGACGCGAATCGCGAAAGCACCAGTCTCATTGGCCCGCAATGGTTCTTACAGGTCACTGACATCCTTGCTCGAATATTCCCGTCAACTGTGGCTGCCTGAACCATCCGTAGCTCGTTTCCCAGATATCTTCGCGGTTGGGATATTTCCTGCAGTCAGTCAGCTGGTTGCAAATTTCAAAATATATCGACGAAGGACGCTGGTTGGATGCAACCTTGAAGATCCGGCAGTGCCGAACGAACTGTCCATCAGAAGCACCCACTATGACAGGTAGGGGGGTGAAGACGCTCCACACCTTTCTCTCAATGGCTATTTCTGATGCTGGTCAATATGTGCTCTCATGCCTGAGATGCATCTTGCTTTTTCCGGGGTGAGGGGAGAAGGAACGATGAATGATGATGGTTGGAGGAGGATCGATGAGAGCTGGGGTGTGGCTCTTCAGAAGAAAGAAGAAATACGAAGGGAGGTGGGAGAAGCAAATATGGATACGCGTCCTCAGGTGTCAAGGCAATCATCACTCAGTCGGATTCCTCCGTCTACATAATAATAATAATAATGCCTGATTGTCTCAACTGTCCCTTTTGATGCTATTGAGGTGTATCATCGACAGTCGTTCAGAGTGCCTGTACATCGGATCTTTGCACTCCCGCTGTCGAATAACAACGCATCGTCAAGATCACTCGGGATCAAACGAGGGAAAGAGAATGATTGGGATACGATTCAGCTACTACTATGCTATAAATGTGTTGGATCACCCGGAAAGACCATGCCATCCCATTCCATCATGCAGGATATGGATGGATGGCAGTATGGTTATCGATGGCCTATGCTTTGCAGAATCCACCTCTCCAATGCCACTGGACTGGATCAGGAACACACTATCCATCCCCTTAGCTCAAGACTAATTGCCCGATCCGTCCATATCGGAGGCTATTCAAATAGGTCCTTAGTAGGTTTGATTCCCTACTTAGTGCGATCGGCCTGAGCAATCAGATCGGCTTCCATCAACTCGTGACTAAACCATATCCAAGTAATTTTTCTACTAATTTAGCAGAAGCCCGGGCGTTCTTTACCATCATCATCATGACACTATTCCCAAATCTACTTTCTAGTAGTCGTGAGCAGTGGGGCACATGACCTGCAGCATCTTTTGCTGCTATCTCGAACTCGCAATCCCCCTCAACACTTTAATCTATGGTTCCACCACATGTAATTCCTTTCTCTTCTTATTCCATCCTCAAAACAACATTGGGACAGCATCGAATGGACTCAGATCTATCATGGCTGTCGATAGCTTTCGCAAGATATGGTCTCACAACCTGAAGACATTTCGCGATCACTATGTTTCGGAGATCTCTGGCTGTCTCGGGGATCTGGGGACCTTTCTGCCCATCGCCATCGCCCTGGCTGTCAATGGAACTATCTCGTTGTCAAGCACACTGATCTTTTCAGGTATCTTCAACATCTTGACTGGTCTCTTTTTTGGCATTCCACTGCCTGTACAGCCGATGAAGGCCATTGCCGCTGTGGCCATCGCTCGATCTTTTAGCAACGGAACCATCGCTGCCGCAGGGATTTTCGTTGGCGCATGCGTCTTCGTGTTTAGCGTGACGGGCCTCCTCCATTGGTTTGCCGAGGTCATTCCCATCCCGGTGATTAAAGGCATTCAAGTTGGAGCCGGATTGTCTCTGGTGATTGCGTCAGCCAATAACACACTTTCGACGCTAGGATGGATCCATCCTTCCTGGGCCGATAACCGGCTATGGGCCATCGCGGCGTTCGTCTGCCTGCTCTTGACCAATATCTATCGACGTGTGCCTTATGCGCTAATTGTATTTGCGCTGGGTCTTACTTTCGCGATCATCCGCTCGGCACTCGAATTCGAGTTACCCTCCCTTGAGATCTGGCACCCCTTTGTTGTGGTTCCGGGACCCATCGAATGGAAGGTCGGGGCGTTGGACGCGGGAATTGGCCAGATCCCTCTGACAACGCTCAACTCAATTGTGGCAGTCGTGCATTTGGCAGGTGATCTGCTACCCAGGATCAAGACGCCATCCATTACGGCCATTGGGCTGAGCGTTGCTGGGATGAACCTCGTGGGTTGCTGGTTCGGTGCCATGCCAGTGTGCCATGGCTCTGGCGGACTGGCTGCGCAATACCGGTTTGGCGCTCGGTCCGGCTCAAGCGTCATATTTCTGGGCATCCTGAAGTTACTCATCGGTATCTTCTTTGGCGAAACCCTGGTTGGGCTGTTGGGGCGATTTCCTTCCGCGCTGCTGGGGGTGATGGTTATCGCTGCGGGGTTAGAGCTGGTCAGCGCCGGGGAGAGTCTAAATACAACCGGTGCCAGGGATATCGCCCGCGTGGGAGAGGGCCTCACCGGGGATGGCGAGCAGGAAATTGGGCCAATGTTGAGCGACATCGAGCGGAAGCGGCGGTGGACCGTAATGATGGTGACCGTGGGCTTGTTAGTTGGGTTCAAAAATGATGCCATCGGTTTTGTGGCGGGCATGCTGTGCCACTGGGTTCTGCAGCTCCCTTGGATTTTGGACCGAGCACGAGACCGGTGGAGTGAAGGAAGGATCCGAGTATGACCGATCCAATACTGCTATGACTGACTCTTTTTTACGACCTTACGATTATTCATTGCACTCAGGGACATAAAAAACAAATCCATTCTGTACAGCTATCTGGGTTCGTTTACAGCACATCCGACATATTTACATCCGTTTCCCGTTTCAACCTCGTTCCCTGATCCGTCTCAAACTCCCGGCTCATCCTCTCCTCCGTTGTGTATCCACTCTGGCTTCTATGCTCGCTTCTTCCTCCATCTTTCCGATACCGCGGCACACCGTCGGAGTCATAATTGACCCGCTGCTCCTCATACGCTCCTGTGTACGGGTTGTAAGTTCGGGCACGATAAAGGGAGGGACCGATATCGTACGATGATCTCCGCGCCTCGTCGCCAGCTTCGCCCCCCTGGTCTTGATTCGACGATGCCGCGCCTCCATATGCTGTTCCCGCATCATAGGTCGTTGCGCTGGTCTCGTCATCTAGTTCCGCGATGCGACGGACCCCGCCAGCCAGCGAGGACGTGCCCGACTCAAGCAGCTGCTGCTCCTGGCCGGTGCGGTCGTAGCGGCGCTCCTCGATCACGGCGGGCTGGCCTAGGTCCTGGTGGGCGGTCCGCACGATTGTATTACCGTTTGCATCGGTGTGGGACGATGTGGTGTATCTGTGGCCGGTGGTGGTAGAGCCATCGGTGGTGTTGGTGGTGGAACTATAGTAATACGACGAGCTGGAGTACGAGTCGGCCATTTTCTCTTCCCCTTTTTCTTCTTCTTTTTATTTGCGCGTCAGCGTATGTACGTACGTTGTTGATTGTACGAGATATTTTCCAGAAACCGAATCCTGGGATACCATGCACAGAAGCCCATTGTTCCTGATCCTTTATATATATGGTGTGGCGAGCGCAATGTATGCGGTTGACATCATCGCATGGGCCGCATTGCCGCCTCCACCGCGGCAACCACAGCTGCGACTGGCCCGTTTGGAATTCTAGAATGTGTCCTGATGATATCGCTGGATGCGCATGGTATATCAGGATCGTTGATTGGGGAATCTGTGTCTATGGGGGACTGACCCACGGGCGGTGGTAGTGAATATCGCCTGTCACAATATCCCCGGGGCAAGTGTCCCATGGATAATGGCTCTCTGAGGCTTCCCATGTCCCTGGGATCCTGACATTCTTACACCGAGAAGGATCCAGGCGGATGTCTCCTTTCTGATCAGGGGCAAATTGCGACGCTGCATCTACCGTCATCGACAAGAGACTACCTATCCCGTGTAGCGTTCCCCCGTCACGAAGCAGCCAAAGGGGTCATATATTTTTCGTCCATCTGTGCATATATTTCTCTCCTTGCCAGTAAGAATAGTAGCTACACCAAGATATAATCCTATCTCAAGTATACAAATATACTCCATTGGGATCAATATCAACAGTCCTGATAAGCCACAAGAAACACTGATAACAAACAAACATCCCCGCATTCCGCATTCCACATCCCACTTTCTCTTACTCTCACACACACTCTCACATATACAGACTCACAGCTTCAGTCGTCAATCTTCAAATCAATATGGAAGGCCTCACACCATCGCAACTATCCTTCTTCCGCGAGAACGGCTACCTCGTCATCCCCAATTTCCTCTCCCCAGATGAAATCACCTCCCTTCTCGCCGAGACCAACACCCTCCTCGACGATTTCCCACTCGACACCCACCCCCTCACCAAGTTCACGACCGGCGACGATGCCGGATCCTCCAATACCAACGATGCCCACGTCGGCGACGACTACTTCCTCACCTCCGGCGACAAGATCCGCTTCTTCTTCGAGCCGGACGCCTTCTCCCCGCAACCCGACCCAGCCACCGGAAAGCCCACGCTCCTCAAACCCAAACAACAAGCCATCAACAAGATCGGACACTCGCTGCACACGCTCTCGCGGCCTTTCGCGGACGTCTCGCTGAGCGCGCGCAACGCCGCCATCGCCAGGTCGCTGGGCTTCGTGGACCCGCGCGTGCTGCAGAGCATGGTGATCTGCAAGCAGCCGGGGATTGGGGGCGCGGTGCCGCCGCATCGGGACTCGGAGTTCCTGTACACGGAGCCGCCGTCGGCAGTGGGGTGGTGGTTTGCGCTGCAGGATGCGGGGCCGGGGAATGCGACGCTGGGGATGTGGAAGGGGTCGCATCGGCAGGGCATCAAGCGGCGGTTTGTGAGGAAGTTTGGGGATGGGGGGGAGACAGTTGGGACTGAGTTTGTGGAGAACGAGGGGTCGAGGGTGCCGAAGGGGGTGCTGGAGGAGGAGCACGGTCAGGAGGTTAGGGAGGAAAATGTGGAGATCCTGGACATCAAGGCTGGCTCGCTGGTGCTGATCCATGGGAATGTGCTGCACAAGAGCGAGAAGAATACCAGCCCCCGGAGCCGGTTTGCATATACTTTCCATGTCATTGAGGGTGCGGATGGTTGGAAGTATGATGAGCGGAACTGGTTGCAACCCTCGGAGAAGGGGGGGTTCTCGAAGCTGTATCGATGAATCCGAATCTGATGGATGATGCGTATCTCCTGTGTTGTCCGTGTCTATACGCCTACCTGATGGAATATATCGCATTCCAGGCCACACAACGCAGGGGTTAGCTTGCATACCAAGCACAAGCATGTAACTCAAAATCATAGCACTCTAAATCAACCGTCACCGATTCTGCATCACTAGCTTGTGCTCTGTACAACCGCATTTCAATCCTAGACATGAGTGCGCTGAACCATATAGCCAACGACAAGCATACAAACATGGACGATTTCGAAAGCGAACCCTTCATCCGCTCATCCCTGGAAATCCTTCATGAAGAGAAGGACCTCGATTCCCATGGACACTTGCTACAATTGCTCCCGATCATTGGGGCAGTCTGGCTGGGTAATGTCTTCTCCCTTCTATCCCGCGTAGAACAATGCTGACCAGTACGTAGGAGAGTTTATTGACGCAGTCGACCAGACCATCCTCGTTTCCACGTACGGGACGATCTCATCACAATTCCACAGCCTGACTATGGGATCCTGGTTACTCACGGGTTATAATCTGGGTTACTGTGTTGCTCTGCCTATAGTGAGTTCAGCAAAACAGACAGATGAGAACTGTTTACCACAGATACTAACGTGGGTGACTAGTATGGCCTCCTATGCGACATCTGCAGCCGCAGGAACCTTCTCTTCAGCGCATATTTTCTCTTCGGACTAGGGTCTTTGATATGGTGAGGGCTTCTTGCTGGTTTGAAGCTTAAATTTCTCAGCTCATCGTCTATGTACCAGTGGGACTGGCCATGGTGTCAATCAGATAGTCATCGGCCGGATCATTGCCGGACTGGGAGGCGCTGGGATGAGTTCCCTCTGCTCGGTGATCATCACCGGTGAGTTGCATCTACTCGTTCTATCGTCCAACAAGATGATGTGAAGCTCTAAGCATCCAAAAACACCCACAGACCTCCTGTCCTCTTCCGACGTGGCTGTCCTGCGAGGATGGACCGAGACCATCAACAACATCGGCCGCAGCCTGGGGCCACCCCTCGGCGGCCTCCTCGTCAATACCCTCGGCTGGAGATGGTGAGCCTCTCTCTCTCCCAGACACCCCGCTTCACCCATATAAATGCGCCGTAGGACATTCCTCGGCCACCTGCCCCTACTCGGGCTATGCATCCTCGGCGTCGCATACCGACTACCAAAACAGCCATCCCAAACAGCAGAGTGCAGCCCCGACATCCACACCACCGCACGTAGCTTCGACTGGCTAGGTATTCTCGCCTTCTCCACCACGATCGTCAGTCTCTTACTCGCGATCCACTTTGCGGGAACCAGGGGGGCTGGAGACGCAGACGCAAACCCAGGTCCAAGCTCATGGTGGCTGATCGCCTCGATTGCCGGAGCGATGCTCTCGCTGCCCTTCTTCCTGTGGGTGGAACACTCATGGGCCCGGAGACCGCTCATTCCACTTGATCTGATGCAAGGCGTCGTGGGCCGGCACTGTCTGGTGCATATCCTGGCATACGCGGCTCGGCTAGCGGTAGGCGGCTCCCCCTTCCCCCCTCCCCTTCGCTTTGACGATTCACATACACTCCATGCTAATTGAGATCCCAAATTCCAGATCGCATCAAACATCGTCCCCTACATGGTCCGCGCACACGGTGTCAGCGACGTCACAGCCTCATTGTTCCACGTGCTCACCATCCTGGGTATGCCTCTGGGCGTCCTGGCCAGCGGCTACACAATCAAGAAGTGCGCCCCCTCCCCCCCCCCGTTCCCATCCTCCATCATTAACCCCCACCAGACTCAAACAATACAAACCGGTCATCATAACAGGCCTCGCAGCCAGCATCGCCGTCTACATCCTGATCCTCCTGCAGTGGCGCCGGGGATCCAGCATCCTCGACGGCCTGTACATGTTCCCCGCGGGCACCGCCGCCGGGCTGATCTTCCCCGCGCAGTTCATCGCCATCTCGGCAAACGCGCCGGCGGGGCGGCTGCCGACGTGCGTGTCGATGTACTTCCTCTGCACGCAGCTGGGGATCATCCTGGGTGTGGCGGTGGCGGCGGAGGTGCTCCGTGGGGGGTTTGCGGCGGCGCTGGGGCGAGATATACCGGAGGGAGCTGGGAAGGGGGAGGTGAGTAACTGTGTGGGAGTGTTTTGAGGGATGAGGGAGGAGGGAGGAGAGAGGAGGGAGGAGAGGTGGTTAGTGGCGGGTGCTGACTTCAGGTGTTATAGATTATCCGCGGGGTGTTGGATGGGATTCGGTACTCGGGGGGTTTATCTGTTGGGCTACAGAAGGTTGTTCGGGCGAGTTTCCTCTATGCGTTTCAGTTTGTTCCTGGTATGTGTGGGCTATTTGGTGTTGAGTGTGTGATTGTGCTGACGACTTCTAGTATTCTGTATTCTGTGTAGCTGTGCCGCGCTACCCATCATCATCTTTGTGAAGGGCAGGAGGATCGAGTGAGTCTATGGTATCTATATATATACAGAGAATGCACATGTCGAAGATACAATAATCACATTAGGGGTCCCGCAAATGTCTAATCTATGGAGCGGAGTTTGCGTACTCTTACACACACCCTGACTGAAGAAAAAGAAGAAAAGAACAAAAAAAAAAGAGGTAATCAACTCGTCCCCAACGTCAATCCTAGCTGCAATCACGACTTCGAAAGCAACGAGTGCCCCGACACCACCTTCACCATCAGCGCCAACACCCCACCAAACAGACTAACCACTCCACAGAAATCAGCCACCTGCGCAAAGCCATGATACCGATCCACCAGCGCGCCGCTGATGGGCGGCCCGATCAGCGCCGCAATCGACGACACCCCCATGCCCATGCCCATATACGTGCCGATATTCTTCGGGTCGCTCGGACATGACGCCAGACTCACGGACCCGCCGGAGATGATCGCGCCGGAGCAGAAACCGTACATGACGGCGAAGACGATGATGCCCGCGTTGCCCTCGACGCGCTGCCAGCACAGCGCGAGGATGCCGCTGCTGAGGCCGGCGGCGGCGAGGACGTTCTGGCGGCCGAGGCGGTCCGAGAGGATGGCGGGGACGATGCGGCCGGGGAACGAGGCGGCGTTGAGGATGGACTGCGTGTAGAAGGCGAGGGTGGTGCTCATGCCCTGGGCGATAGCGAAGCTGGGGGTCAGGAAGAGGAGCGGGAACATGCCGAGGAAGAGGAAGAACATGCAGGCGACGAGCAGGGCGTAGGGGAGCTCCTTGAAGGCGGAGTGGAGGAGGAACTGGCTCTTGCGTGGGGGGAGACGGGCCCGGATCAGGAGACAGGATGGGACGAGGACGCCGAGCATGATGAAGCCGAGGATGCGGACGGACCAGCCGAAGCCGAGGGTGGTGGTGGTGAGGAAACGGTTTAAGGCAATGGGGAGGATGACGCCGCCGAGGGAGGAGCCTGCGACGGCGACGCCCATGGCTGCGCCGCGTTTCCGCTTAAAGTACTGTGGGGTTGCAGCCATGGATGGGGACATGGTGAAGCCGTTGGCCATGCCGCCGAGGACTCCCTGGGCAAGCATGAACTGCCAGTATTCCTTGCATAGACTGGTCATGAAGACGCTGAAAAGGTAAACCACGGCCGCCGGCACGATGACCTTCGCACCGTAGCGATCAAACAGGGGACCGCCAGCAAGCGCAGCGGCGAAGATGGAGAATGACTGGAGGGATCCAATCCAGGCAATCGCCGAAGGGGAATGGCCTTGAAGCTGATTGACCTCGTAGTAGGCTTGGTAGACTCTACAATATGTCAGACTTCTTCTGAAAGAAAAGAAAAAAAGTATTGTGGATAGAGGATCTTACCCCCAGGTATTCACATGGCCCAGCGTACAGAACATCACTCCGGCGTTTCCAATGGCCACACCCCAGGCCCTCCAGCCTCCGTCGGGGAACTCATCTTCAGGTTTACCGTTGTGACTCTTCTCGACTTCTCCGGTATGTAGATCTTCGGACGGGGTCATCGTCACCGACTGCCTGTCATCCACCAGATTGTGCTGAGAGGCCATTTCGACTCGAGATTAACGCAGTAGACAAATTTGAGTTGCTCAATGATGAATCCATCTTGATGGCAATACCATTTCTCTTATAGCTGCCTCCTCAGCGCCACGTCGAAACCACTCATCTATTTTGTTCGGTGATATGATATTCGGGCATTCGGCCTTCACCAAATAGCCGACGGGAAATTCCCAAAACGGAAAGGCTGCAGGCAGTTGACGCGATATCTCCGGCGCAGCCAACGCAGCTTTTTCGAGCCATTCCTCTCGCAGAATAGCTTTCAGCCTCGAGAAGTCTAGTCTGAGTCTATGTGGGAAAGATATGAGCGTGGTGCCGGGCCTGTTGTCTGATCTTTCGTATATACGGGAGGCTCCGGACACCAGCCTGGTCGATGTGTTGAGTCATTTGAAAGCTCCCAAGAGCTAGAGGAATTAGGCCGTTTATGCTGTCACTCACCGATGACACGCATGGCTAGAGCCCTCGAAAAATCCAGCTTTCGGTCCTTTGAACAAAGAATGAATAGTGTGTGATGGAATGCGCTTTCGGCTTGACGCACATTTTTAAGTCCGAGAGATGAAGCAATGCATCCTTATCGGTCTTATCTTATCAGATCCGAGCTCCCCCAATCCGATTCCGGCCAACCGCATCAGCAATTCAGCATCATCTCTCCAACTTCCACTTCAACTCCAACTCCCCTAATCACCAAGCCCCACTAGCAAAAATGGACCCAGGCGCCAGCATCCCCGCCGACGAACCCTCAGTCTTCAACTACGTCCTCTCCTTTCTCCTCGTCGGGGTCGCATGGGGCTTCACAACCCCTTTCATCCGCCGCGCCGCAGCCGATTTCAACGCCCGCCAGGAAGCCAAACAAGCACAAGCACAAGCACAAGCCCAGCCGACACCCCAACAAACCAACCCAGCCGCCAGCGCAGACGAACAGGAACTCCAATCCCAAGACCCGCACCCGGACGCCGACTCGGACTCCAGCTCCGAGGAAGACCAGCCGCTATCCCAAGCGCGCCCCACGCGCGCCCCGGCATGGATGAAACCCCAGGGATCCGCACCCTCCTGGCTCAAAACAAAGATCATCAGCGTGTTCTGGACGGTGGTGAACCTGCTCCGCACGCCGGCGTATGCGATTCCGCTGGTCATCAACCTGACGGGGAGTATTTGGTTCTTCCTGCTGGTTGGGAAGCACGGTACGTTCCCCCTTCAATTTTTTTTCCCCCCCATACGTGACTGTTCGACGCTCCGCACATCCTGTCGGTTGTAAGTTGGCCGAGGCTGATGGAGAGGTAGAGTTGTCGCTGACGGTGCCGTTGGCGAACTCGAGCGCGTTTTTGTTTACAGTGCTGGGGGAGTGGTATGTGGAGCGCAAGGTGATTGCCAAGGAGACGTGGTTGGGGATGGCGCTGGTGTTGGGGGGGATTGGGCTTTGTGTGCAGTCGAAGAATATGTAGATATTAATTCTTGATAGTGGAATTTATATTCGGTTTGGAATTGGAGTACTAATGATGATGATGATGATGATGCAGCATTGTACGGGCTGGCGGACTGAGCAAATGCAAAAAATAAAAAGGAATGCATCATCCGTGAATCGAACACGGGCCTCGTCGATGGCAACGACGAATTCTACCACTAGACCAATGATGCTAGTTGTTGAAAGACGCGTTACTTTTCTCTGTAATAAGCAAGCAACGTAACTATGATCAAACCGGATGCTGGATGTTTCTATATTCTCAAAGGTCGTTAAAACTCCAACAGTATATGGATATCATAACTATACATTCAACATTCCTGCGTGGATCCGTAAAACTGGTATCTACATCATACGTTGCATATTTTTCTTCATGGACATCAGAGAACAACCAGACAGGACAACATTGACGCTCCGTATCATAACATTCGTCGTCATACAAAAGTACCAGACTGAGCCCGCAGTGGTATCGTGAGCATACATCCCAAGACCGATGGGCTACAACACCATATGGACAATAAATCAAACACCTCGGAACTACACAGAGTTAGTATCCGGATACAACGATTAGCAGAAAGGGGAGGGATTAAACATACCAACCGAACGACCAAAAACCACATGGCGCCGAGAAACTTGAATATCGAGAGACCAGCCACGCTCCATAGGACGACTGCCATGTAGATCGAGGCCCTCCCGTCATCTGTGGTCTCCTTGGTAGTACCGTCGCTGCTTACGCGCTCGAGGCCGGCAGCGCTCAGCACCACCGCTCCCAGGGCAAAGTTGCAAAAGACCCAGGCAAGTACGACTGCACTGCGGAAACCCTTGTAGTAATCGGCCTGACGCTCTTCTTCCGAAATCGACTTGACTTCCTTGGGTGGTTTCTGCGCGAACTTGGCCAGCTCGATCTCGTATTGCGCATTCAGATCGCCGTCGTCTTGGGGGATGTCGACGTCCACTTTGCCGCCTGGCTTCATAGTCGCCGAAGGCAGCTTCTCAGCCTTGTCATCGCCCTTAGTACCCCATGTGATATCGTGGGTGTTGCAGAAGGCGTAGATGTTGAGCACGTTGATGTAGGTCGGCGTGAGCAACATGTATTGGATGAACTATGCATGTTAGCTCAAGGTCCTGAATGGCGGTCGAGAACACTTACCGAGGTGAACATGTGCCAGGGGTCGAAGAAAATCAGCGACGCAAGGAACCACATGACGTACGTTGACCCAAGCGAGACTATGATCGAGAAGAATTGTTTGTTGCTGAAAAGGTCCCCCACGGTAAAGGAGTTCTCAGCCACCTCCTTCTGTATCGATTTCACGGTTACAAAGATCGCTGCAAAGGTCAAGTAGATCATGATACCAATCCAGAAGTAGACCATTGTCATGTAGAACTTGTTCGAGCCACCTGGACGGTTGCCGAGTGAGAGAACGAAGCAGGTCACAAGGGTTGCCAGGTAGAGCCACTCAAAAACCACGCCTAATACTTTGCCAACAGTGCCGAGGAGATCTTCATCACCCAGGTACTTTGTGAGAATGTGGAAAACCAAGAAGAAATTGCCCTGTCATTCAATGGTTAGTTTGCACGATATAAGCCAGGTGCTAGAGTATTTCAACGGCCACTTACAATGTTGAACCACGCAAAGATCATGTTGATCGTCTGGTAGATAAACTCAATGAGCAACATAAACTTACGCATGACGCTGTGATCACTGCGCCAAATCTGATAGAAATGGGCAATGGCGTAGACGGCTGCGAAGAAACTACCGTTCAGCCATCGGCGTCGCTGCAGAATGAACTCCGCCATCCGATCTGGCACATCGGTTTCACCTGTCGAGGATTTGACATACTGCAAAAGCCAGCGGCAATTGCGTTTCGTCACGATTTCGAAGCACAGGATTCGGTCCTCGGCCAGGTACATGTTGGCGGTGAAGATACCCGCATTGGCACCGTGCATCTTCTCTCCCAAGAAGTAACGCTCCAGGGGACCCTGGCCGTTCTTGTCATTTTGCAACGCAACGTATCTGTAGGCGGAGAAAGCACCTGGAAGCACGGAGATGAACCCGAAGGCGGATTCCAGGGGCTTGTCGAGAATGTTGCTGAGCTTGTACTCGAAATTCTGCCCAGCCACCAGTGGATTCAGCAACTTCTTTCCATGGGACAACATGACCTTGATTTCGCCACAGGCTCCTCCGCACATGGGTTCCACGTCAAACGCTTTCCAGAGCTGGTAGATTGAATCACGGCCTGGTTTGGTACCTGCGTCCAGCAGCACGCAAATATTGGGGTCCAAGACACGACCAAACGCCTGGAAGAACCAACGGTGCGAGTTGATCTTCTTCTGATTCTTCTCCTTCAAGCAGAAGATCATTTGAACTGGAACCCCGCTTCGCGGCTTCATGTGCACCTGCGTTCCTTTGATCTCGAGCCCAACCTGTGTGGTATACTCGTAGATATGGGCTGTCACGTCCTTCCCATTGACCTGCTGCTTCGCGATACCGTCCTGGTACACACCCAGAGCAGCCAACACCGCCCGAGTCCGAGGGTTGATCTTGGCACGGCCATCACTGATCACACAGACCACAATCTTCTTCCAGGCATCTTTGCCCCAGGTCTTGCTATGTGTTCTGGAGCACATGTATTCGATGTTCTTGATTACACCGGTCAGCGTCCGAGCAAACAGGAAATCGTCCTCGTTGTACATCGTAATCACAATGAAAAGCTCCGTGTGCCGAGGTTTCGCGAACAGTTTCTGGCGCAATGTGAATCGTTCCTCGTAAAAGTCCGCGGGGTCGCAAGTCGCGGCCGAGTAGCGCATGTGGGTGAATTCATCACGACCCGGTGGTTCGGCGTGAGGAACCTGACTGAGCAATTTGGGTGCAATGGGACAGTCGAGAACAAGATTGCCGTGGAAGAGCTGCACTTCCTTGACGGTCTTCCACCGACGGATCGGAGCTGGGCTCGGAGTGGGGACAACAGAAGGCTCGTCGTGATACTCGTCGCTGTATGGGTCCGGCCCGAATGGATTGTCTGCTTGTAAGATGGGGACATGGTCATCTGGGTAGGACTGTTGCTGCTCAGGATACTGTCCTAGGTCGTAATCGTCGTGTGGGGTAGCTGTGGGTTCATAGGGTCGATTGTAGTATGCGTCGTGGTGTGCTTCGGGGTTCACGCTGTATTCATAACCGGGATAAGTCTCGGGATGATGCTGCTCGTACGTTTCATTATGGCCGTAGGAATTGGGAATTCGTTCGACGGAGTACTGGTACGTGTCCAGCGTCAATTGATCGGTCCAATCATTTGTCTGTGCAATATCACTCACGGTGGGCTGCTCTGCCAAACGGTCACTGGAAGGCATCTGCAGATGTTCCTGCATATACGGTCGATCTGAAAGTTGGTATGTGTTCAACGGCTGACCCGGCGATGCGGTTCGGTCGTCTATATTGTGGGGGGTCATAGTGGGAGAGCGACGGGCATCCTTGCCGTACGAGTCTACACAGTCCGGTGTCAGTTCAAAAATCGTAAGAAATTTAAAGCTTGATGGTCAATTGTCCCAAACAATGAAAGAGACAACCTCCAGTCAAACGGCGATCATGTGAAATAGATGTCCAAAATTCAATGACTCGGGGACGAATGTTTCCGAACGACAAAGGATGCGGAGATGCGACAGCACTGCAATCACGACCATCACGACAGGGCAGCTCAAAATAACTGACCTAATCGATTGTACGACATGGTGAATGACAGGATACTTGGGGTGTCAATGATCCTTGAAAGCTGCCTTCTCCTCTAAATTCCCAGCAAGGGATGTGGTAGGAAATTGCGCCAGGAGGGCAGCGTGGAATGCCAGCAAACGTCCAGTCGCTGGCAAAAAGTCGCAATAGCTAATTCGCCAAGCGGGATTCTCGGCGCAGAGCGATCTGAAACCTCCCAGACAAACGGGAAGTGAGTCTTCGAGGTGTGACGGGAAGAATTTCGGCGAGTGAGGATGAAAGATGCAGAGGAAATTAATTAAAGCGAGATTTTGGATGATCAACTGCTGCCTGTCATGCGCAGAAAAGCTGCAGCGCCACTATCTATCTAGTGGGTGGCTGTAAAGCGTGAAGGATGGGGATTGGGGAATAATAATGAATAAAGGAAGGAAACGAGGCTGTTGGACTTGGCAGATTGGATTTTCCTTGTTGACCACGGTTGAAGGCATCAATATATCATTTATTATTAGACTAGTTAATCAATGACGAAGAGTACGAATCAGAATAATCAGACGGAGTTTCAGGTCACAGGATGGACACAACAAATATCTGCACTGGGTTTCCTTTACTTTACTGTGCTTGACTTTCTGCCGTACGGAGTAGTGACGCATGTTTATCTTGATTAGTGACAAACATACTACCTACGAAGTACAGATGATGATGGTGATGGCACTAGAGAGAGACAACGTTGGAGGACTCAAAAGATGCTAACTTGATCTGACAGCTGCAGGACATCTACCGAGTACATGTTCAACAATAATAATATCTTCAATTCATTAAAGAATTCTCCCTTTTGATTGTCTCGTCCATGGCTCACAGTGATCTTCATATCCACGGACAACACCCAGTGGTAGTGGAGTTGAGCCGTGGTCGCTGGGCCAACGGGAGTGCGGTGTGCCTGTACTGAGCAGATACTAAGGTAGTAGGTAATAATCAGGACCACTATCCGTAGTTACTATGAAGTACGGAGTAGATAATTACCGGAGTACAGATTCACAGCCACGTCTCCATCTCTCCAGTTGGGGCTTGGCGCTCTATAAATAAACTCCCCAGACCATCGAGTAACTGACTTGGCGTATGCAATCTTAGGTATCGTTAATCAATCTTGAATAGTCCAAGACAATTAGATAGTGCTTGATCATTATTGAGGTAGACGATTAGTCTACGGTGGTGGTGAATAGTCTCCTCGGAAAGTACAGCCTCGTAGTACAGAATAATATACATTGTGGTATTCATGCTACATTCAACAGTTCTCATCAAAATCTTCAAAAGGAAAATGATCTCGAACTGCTATGATCTCATTTTCTGTCTCGGCGACTTCGAGCATCTTAGCTTTCATCTCACCAGCAATTTCTGTCGCTGCCTCATACTGGTCATTTGGCACCCAGCCTAGTTCGTCTGTATCCAACATGTCTCGCATTTCCTTCATCGCCATGTCAGCTTCCTCTTGTTGCTCATGCAGTTTAAGAACAGTACTAATAACCGTCTCCGGATAGCTGAGAGGAGGTGCATGGCATGCTTCACTTCTTGCTGCAACAGCACTAGAAGTCCGTAGGCTTGGCCAGCTTTGCGTGATGCGAATCAGCCCCGCCTTGAGGGAAACCGAGTCTCCTTCCCAAGGAGTTCCCGCGCTTTCCAAGAGGCGTTGATGCAAGATAACAGGGTCATTGAAGATCGCTTGGTAGTGTGCCGGGTTCAAACGGAGAGTGAACGCAGCGTAAAGAAAGTGGACGAGTCTTCTCCGGAAGACTTCCCGTATCTCAGCTTGCTCAGATAAGGGCATCGCGTCATAACCCTCGGGGTACTCAAGCTGCGGCTGGATGGGGTTCTCCGAAGCTGGGTCGCCATAGTTCTGGAAATGCTTGGGGATTCCAGCCGCGAGACCAAGAGGAAGAACACAGCTATGCTGCCAATCAATCAACCCCACGATATCATGGTTCTCTGAGACTAATATATTGTTTGGCTGAAAGTCTGGATGGCGAATGACGGGCCTTTCTAATATAGAATCACCTCTGAAGCCAAGGCAGGGGACCAACAACAAGAAGTCTGAAAGATTGTTGATATGCTCATCGGGAGGCATCTTGTGGAAATTGTAGATCTCTCTATATAGCCGCTCATAGGGAAGACGGGGCGTCCCACAAGCTTTCAACCATGTCAGTTCCCTCTCACCGACAGCACGCAAGATATCACCAGACAAAGACCCTAATTCAAAATTAGTGGTTGAAACGAGGATGGCTTCTGTGTACACGGACAAGGACCTCGATCAAGATCCAACCTGCTCCTCTCTCCATGCCACCAACTATAATGTGCTATCGGTCCTATGCAAAATTCCTTTTGTCCAGATAGCGGAGTCTTTCTTTCGGAGTGAAGATCCTTTTGGTAGTATATACTACCACAGGCAGGAAAGTCTAATGACATCAGCCGGGTCTCCAGCTCAACAATCTGCTTTATTACTTTATGTTGCTGTTTCGAAGTGAGTGAGTACCATGTGGCGCCAAGGGGCTGGCCGTCCAGTCTCCACATGATAATATATTCAGAGCCAACTCCATTGTTCTGTGTCGAAGACCAAGCATGCACCTTAGGTGTCCGTATGCCCTGCAGACGGAGGAAATCCATGGTGGCCACCTCACTAGCGACTGCATAATGCTTAGGCATGGTGCTTGGATATGGAAGTCTGGCAAGCACGCGTTTGCCGTCGTTGAAGACCGCCTCAAAGACACGATTGAATCCGCCTTCTGCCAATTTGCCGAATGAAGCGACATCGGATGGTGTGCGGCCAACAGCAGTAGCCATAGCCTCCATCAGCGTGGACACATTGAACCTGAGATAACGTTCCTCGAGCCGCGAACGCTCATTGTAGCTGCATCTGTATCAGTATTCTCAGATGCAATAGCCCGAAGTCAGAGCTTCCGGTGGATGAAGAAGTATAAGATGATGAAAACACACAGCCACCTTCCGGACGTGTACTTAAATAACTCCTCAGCGACATGTCTACTAGGCTGCTGGGTGTGCTTGATAGATCGAGCAGATTGTGTCCCTAACCCGCGCAGAAGTCGCGGGCAATAGGACCTTAGAGCGTTGTATGGCTGTATAGGCATTGAACACCTGCAAGAGAACAATAATTTGCTTTTGAAAATTCAAATATTGAATTCTTTGTGTGGATTAAGAGCCAAGAGCACGAGTAATGAGTACTGTAGCCACTGTTGCCATCAATACTAGGTAGTAGCCACTCTAATATCCTGGGGTTTCATTGTTGTTGTTTGGCTGCCTGATCGATCAGGCATCATGGCCGTTTGCATTCGAACGGCGGTATAGAACGGCAGAATCGTTATCGCTCTGGCGGGGCTTCAACGATTTGATCGGGAAACTGGGTAGATTAATCTTCGTCGCATTATTCTTCGACAATCACCAAAAGCCCGATTGACAACATCACCATGACGAATCCAAAGTCTTCTGCGGCCGGGCGCAAGGTCAATGTTCTCTTCGTGTGCCTGGGAAATATCTGTAAGCGGTGATCAAGTCATGTCCAAGACCCATCCCTGACACTCTACATCAGGCCGCTCCACCATGGCCGAAGGAGTCTTCCGCAACATGGCCAGCTCTCATCCTTTGATCAATGAGATCGATTCTGCGGGCACAGGCGCCTACCACACCCTCGAGCCCCCCGATTCGCGTACCATGTCCACTCTGCGCCGCCATGGCATCACCAACTACGAGCACGCTGCCCGAAAGGTCACCAAAGAAGACTTCCTCCATTTCGACTATCTCATGGCCATGGACAAGTATAATCTGCGCGATCTGCTAGATGTCCGGGAATCCGTCATTGCGTCGCTATCGAAGTCCGGAAGTGTCTCTGCACAACGCGGCAATAAGGCCACTCGTGCAAACAGTGCGGCTGCACTTGCTGCTGCTGGATCCGATGCGAAGATTGCGGAGGTGAGGCTTTTTGGTGATTTTGGACCTGGGGGTGCGCTGCATGACCGTGTTGGTGGTGGCGAGGTTGTGCAGGATCCCTACTATGGCGGCGCCAATGGGTTCGAGGAGGTTTATCATCAGGTCGTTCGGTTTTCGAAGGGATTTCTGGAATATCTGGAGAAGAACGAAGGTGGTGAAGCGGAAGAGTAAAGAGATGTGTGGCTCAACTGGAAATGTCCAGTTTGCGTTCGGAAATGGCCCCGGTGGCATTCTATCCTACTGATACCCGATGGCTTATAGCCATATAGACCAAAATACATTCAATGAGCGGAAGTACTGAAACGCTCAATTCTCACATAGGTCGTTCGTTGGATACTCTTATCCATGGTGAAAAATTATAGTACATTTTTTATGTTTGGAATAATTATTATACAACTGGCCAGGTCTGGGAACCTCCGTCATACCCTCTCCGTGATCTTGATTGCCGTCCTACATCCCAGCCGAATCACATTGACCAAGGGATCGTACGGCCGAGCCTCTTTGGCATCATTCTCAACAGCATGATCTAAATGCTCCAGCTCCTCATCCCGGATCCTCCGAAAAGTCGCCAGCATCTCCTTCAGTTCATCGTCCAGTTCCTCCCCGCGGCTCTGAGCGTCTGCCTCCCACGAAAGAATCTCTCGTACTTGGTCGTTGTAATGGGACCCGATCTCCGTCTCCACCGCCTCCGTGCATGCCATCGCAGCCTCCCGCCCCATGACGCCTGTTGACCACCCGAGGAACGTCGCTGCCACCTCCCAGACCGGGTACATGGCCGTGGGCCGAATCCGGTGTTTGGCGATGAGATTGTTGAAGGTGGAGAAGTGTCCAGCTTCCTGATCGTACATGTGCTTCATCAAGGGTCGGAGATGAGGGTGCGAGCGCACGACTTGAGGAGTTTGTGCAGTGTAGATTAGAGTCGCTGCAAGTTCGCCGGCTTGGTTGACGCGAAGCGCACGGTCGAGGTACTCCCGCTGTTTCTTATTCAGGACATATTTTGGCTTTTGAGATCCAGCTCCGGATGCAGACCCAGAGTTAGAACCTAAGTGGCTCGAGGCGTTTGTAGAGCTGTAGCGAGGTTGATTGTGGCGCAGAATTGAGGGAGCGAGAAAGTCGAGGAGCAATGGCGAGGCTGACCGGGAAGACCGAGGATATCGTCGTAAGGAGGGTAGCGGATTCATTATGATACGTATATTGCACTCAAGAATGTAAGGAGCAATGTCAAGAGAAAAAGACCCTCTTGGAGTAGTTCAACCATCGCCGTATGCACCGAACATCCCGAGGTGGTCCAATCCGACAGACGCGCGCTTGTGGCCGTCTTGGCAAGGCATCCAACCCTTGAGGGCCTGGGGCCGGAACGTCATGGGCGAAACAAATCGCGCCAATTAATTCAGCGCGGTCCATCGCTTCTTTTCACCTCCGCCTTGCTCAGAAGTCCAACCAAAGTCCCGTTCATTCATCCTCTTCCTTGATCACTGCCATCCGCCACCCAACTCCTCCGTCGCAACCCGTCCTTTCATCATCCTCTGACCGTTATATTGAATTACCCTGTCGGCTCTCACCTGATCATCTATTTATACATTTCTATATACTGCTATTTTGGCGCGAAATTCGCCCCGAGTCCGCGTCGATCTAGGACTTTGGCAGTGAATCGCGACTACTGTTCAGGGGGTAGTGCACCCGTACCTGACCAACCTCACCTCTCGCATTGGTGAATCGAACTTGACTGCATCTGAAACCTCAGGCATCATCCATTGCGCAATTCACTATGGCGGACGAACTGGATGCCGAGCTGCTCGCGCTGGCAGGTGACTCCTCAGACGAGGAGTCATCACCTCCCCCCAAGCAGAAGTCTGAATCTCCTGCTCCTTCAGCATCTCCATCATCCAGCATGGCCCGCAAAGGAGTCGCTAAACCGGTTCGTCGGAACAAGAAATCACGCAGGGACGATGAGGAGGATGGAGAAGTGTAAGATCCTCACTTTCAGCATGGCCTTCCGTTGCTTCTTGTCGTATTACTTTCACTTCGCGTCTGGAGGAGGTCACCAGCTAACGTATTCTGACTTCCCAGGTCTGACGCTGGATCTCACCACTCACTCGAATCTGCTAGCATGTCAGAATCCGAGGCTGCCTCTGACTCCGAAGGATCTAGCGAAGGAGGCGACGAGGATCGCCCCATCTTTCCCTACGAGAAGCTCTATTACTCTGCGAAAGACAAGGAAGAGATCATGGCAATGCCGGAAATTCAACGTGAACAGATCCTTTCGGAACGAGCGCAAGAGGTTGATCGACGCAATCAAGATCTCGCACTTCGTCGTCTTCTCGCATCTCGTGAGCGCGACGAAGCTCGTCGAGTGAAAAAGTCCAAGCGAAAGGCTAGTGTGGCGGATCTGGAAGAGGGTCAACGCAAGAGCTCGCGACAGAAGACTACACTTGGCGGTCGCAAGGTCGGGGAGGCCTCCGAGGCCATCGAGGCATACAAGCGACAGCGGGAAAAGAAGGGCAAACGTGATGAGCTCCGTCGTCGCGAGACCGCCACTGGGGACCAGGCTACACCAAAGGATGAAGGACCCTCGGACAAGGATGCAGATGGGGAAAGCGAGGTAGAATGGGACAATCGCGAGCGCTCACCATCGCTTCCCAAGGATGACCCACCAGCGGAATTGCGTGATATTCAACGTGCCCGAGTGGGACGTACCAACTTCGCTCAAGTTTGTTTCTATCCAAGATTCGACGAGTGCATTTCCGGTTGCTATGCGCGAGTCAACATTGGCCCCAATAGGGACTCTGGCAACAATGAATATCGGCTGTGCTTGATCAAGAGTACGTACCACAATCCTGTGCTGCTGTCATGGATTTTCGATGCTGACCGTACTCAGGATTCACCGTAGGACGACCCTACGCTATGGAAGGCCCGAATGGCCGTTCATTCGTGACGAATCAATATGCTGTACTGGCGCATGGCAAGGCGGAGCGCGAGTTTCCCTTCGTCGCCTGTTCGGATTCGCCTTTCACCGAGGTGCGTTTCCTAGTTATTTCAGTTGACCGCCAGGTGTGCCTGTGCTAATAAAATTCTTACAGGCCGAATTCAGCCGCTATCGTCAAACAATGGCCGTTGAAGACTGCAAGATCGCTACCAAGTCAACGTTGGCCGAAAAGGTGGCGGATATCAATCGCTTGCTCAATCACCAATTCACCAAGGAGGAGCTGAACGAGAAGTTGCGCAAGCAGGGCTCACTGGACAACAAGATGCGCACATTCAAGCGATTAGAGACTGAGAAGCAGTTGAAGTTGGCCAGAGCTGCCGGGGATGATGAAGAGGTATCCAAACTGGAGAAGGAGCTGGCCGAGCTGGCAGGACCCAAGCTGGCCGTTAGTTCCCACAACGCGAGACCCCGCTCCAAGAAACCGTCGGATTACGAACGGCTTGCCGAGTTGAATTTTCGCAATCAGAAACTCAATACTGAGAGTGTGCGACGTGCCCAATTGGAGGAAAGACGGGCTAATCGCAAAGCAGCTGCAGCTGTCGCCCGTGGTGAAGCACAGGCTAACCCGTTTATGCGTGTTCGCACCCTTGCGAGAACCCACTACGATGCGAACGGGAACAGCCTGACGCCAGATTCGACTGCCAGCCGAAATGAGACTCCTGCTACAGCATCAGAGACGCCTTCGAAGGCGGGGACTCCAAAACCTACTGGGCATGTCCAGAAGAAGCAATCCAAGGGGGGCGTTGCCACGATCCGCCATCGGAACATGGACGATGAGAATATCGCGGCTCTAGATTTGGATATTGACATCGAAATATGATTTTTAAAGATTGGGATGCCAAAATTCAATATTTTTTTCCAATCTCAGAGAATCCAACCATGGCCGTCAGCTTCCCGTTTCCGGTCCATCACCAAAAGCTCAAGTGGTGGTTTGTCGGGTGTTCTTCAGGCAGGTGAGAGTTTTATTTGAGTCTGAACATAGGAAGGTGATGCATTAGAATAGCGTCGGGTTTTGTATTTCTTCGGACGGGTTTTATGGGCGTTATCCACACTTAGCATGGGAGTCATTATTGTTATCAAGAAATGGAAATGATCAGTCAAAACTCTGCTCAACCCAGGTTTTGTGGCACACTTCTGGCTTTCCTTATTTCCAACATGCGCCGGGTTGATCTAATGAAGAATAGGTAGGAGGAACTGTACATACTTTCAAGCGAGCCAACCATCTGAAATCTGTGGTCGTGCGTCCCTATAACCAGGCACGATTGCTCTCTTTGATAATGTCAGACAATGAAAAGCTTATTGACATGTAAGGACAGGGTCTCTGTCAGGATAGTCCCGTTTCATTCAACCCTGTTGGAATAATCACTGCCCCTGAATCCCTATCAACTGCAATACAGCTTCACATTTACGTGATGTGTGGTAAATAGATTCAGAGAAAGACTCATGCCCTGTCATGGCCCTCATAGGACCTGGACAAATAGGTACATTCATCAACCCGGGACCGAAGATTGATCCATGCAAGCACAAGGCACCCTTCACAGCCTCATTCAGCCTCTTCGTACCTCAACCTTTCCCGTGCTGCTTAAAAGTCAGGGACGACTCGCTCATGATTGCACATTTACCAGAGCTCCATAGGCGACTCTTCCCATGGCAGACCCTGTATCGATCATTGGGACAGCTGGGGCTTTGGCCAATATCATCCAGCTGATCACCCAGACAATAGTCGCTATCAAAAATCTACACAGTGAGGGGGAAGATGCAGACCTCATCTTCCTCAGCTTGATCGGCCAACTGTTAGCCTTGCATGCCGCTCTGGCTAAGATTAAGGAGTGGGTGGGTAATAATGAGGACGAAGTACACTATCAGCACTCTATGGACCTGGAAGTTTCCATTGATTGCTGCCAAATACTCCTCGGTAAACTTGATCAGTTAGTATCGAGTTTGCGGCAGGCAGATAGTCGGCGCCTAGACTTTCAGAGCATGGTCAAACTTGTGTTTGGCAACCAGAGCATTGATGGTATCCAGAAGCTGCTGGAACAGCAAGTCAGTACCTTGACGCTACTTCTCACAGCGTGTAGCTGTCATGATGTTTCTAGGGTACACTGGCACTGGTGACCTGGATACAGCCCTCACATTTCTGAAACATCAGTTTTGGGAAGTATTCTCGAAGCAGCATATGTTAAGAACCCATATGGCAAGGTTTGTGAATATGAGCAGGATAAATCAAGAATCATAACAACACTATCGAGGCATTTAGCTTCCTATCAATGATTGGCATTTCACCATGTTGAGAAACACACAAACAACTCACTCTTGGGAAATGTAAGCTAGCAAGGAAAAGCACATCTTATACTTTCAGCTTTGAGGCCACTGATGTCTCAGTGTATTTTAAATGCCGACATGTTGCATGTTTCACTATTTACAACTTGTGAGACTTCCTACCAGACTGGATCTGGGTGCGCTACCCGAATCTTATCATATAGGCAGTCAGATACACAGAAATGAATATATACATTAGGTTAAAAGCTACCTTCTTGCGTTGATAATGTACCAATCTCTTGCCATTGATTTTGTTCAGAAGCCTGCAGCGTACAGAGCACAGAGGGATAGAGTAGAGTAAGTAGTACGGAGTAGTTGAGCATCATCATTTATCTTAGGCGCAATCACGTGCAGATAAGACTATCAGGAACGCGCCTCAGACGCGGCGCGCGTTGTTGAATCGAAGAGAAATGCGCGGCTTCTCCGCCCTTTATTCCAGTACCGAGCACAATACCCCGATGCACATTTCAATGTGGATCGAGTATCAGTTTCATTGAAACAATCCTTTTATGATCAATTGAACGTCGTGCCATGATCACCGCAAGATAACTACACTTAATAAAACATGTCGTCCCCCTCCACACCACGAACAGCGCGGTCCGCGTCTCCCACCGGCTCACCCATGCTCACGCCAGGAGGGAAGATTAAAGCCCTCCTGGCGGCTTTCGATAGCGACTCTGAATCAGATAATGGAAGTACAAGGCAACGGCAACAAGCACCCAAAGCTCAGACATCGAACCGGGAGTCGGAGAGCGACGATGACGAGGATATCGTGATGCCGAAGGGCCGTCTAGCGGCTCGTATGCAAGCTCAGAATCAGACCAGCACGGCTACAACAAATGAATCTACAACTCCAAAGACAGCTTTCGAACGGGTGTCGAAATTTCTACGGACTGAACGAGCGCAGTCAAATGAGAATGAGGCAGACTCCGACGGAATGGGGTCATCGGATGAGGATGATCTTCCTGCGGCTGGACCGAGGAGGAGGAACAAAACCAGAAGCAAGGCTGCAGGGATTAGTGACGATGATGATACGCTCCGATCACCGTCTCGAGCGCGGTCTTTCTCTCCTCTTTTTATGTCGTCTCCGGTGAAACAGGCGCACTCGAACGTCGGATCGGACGACGACGACAGTGAAGCGCAATTGAAAGCTGACCCTCGCGTTCGCGCCCTGATTGCGAAGAAGCGCAAGGAACGTGAAGAAAGAGAACGACTTGAAGCGGAAAAGAAGGCTGCTAGATTAGCGCTAAGAGAGCAGCTCAGTTCGGAGATTGGTGCTGCAAACGACAGCGACCAGGACGAATCCGGCCGCAAACTTACCCAACACCGCCCCGCAGCTCGCAAAGCTAGTAAGAAGGCTCTGGAAGAGATGAACCGCGAAACCCAGCGGATGAGCAGAAACATGCAGCTCGCTCACCAAGCGCAGACGAAGAAGAAGATCACCAAGGAGAGCTTCTTTGCGCGGTTCAATTTCATGCAGCCCGAGGAGACGAATGTAGTTGCGCCAATGGCGGAGAGCTCATCTATGACTGCCGGTTCGCAAAATTCCTCCGATAACGAGGCGCACAAGGGCAAGGAAACGCCTCAGACTTCCCCTGTTCTTGGTCCCTCTGATAAGCCTGCTCCCGTCGAATTGGCTCAAGATTCGCGAATGGAGAATGAGGCCGAGGTGCAAGTGGATGACTTTCCACCGCTTGAGGACTTATTGGCTCGGCCTCGAGAAGAAGTTCAGAATCCCTCTGTTGAACCGGCAGAAGTGAAGGAAGATTCGACAAAACACCTCGAAGCAACTAAACTCGAACGAAACATGGTCTCCCAGCCGCCCATCCGCGTCCAGCTATCACGGCAATTCGTGGCTCGGCATCAACAGGAAGATTCTGACGACGAGCTGGAGGTTGTTACAGATCCCGCAAAATGCAGGCGTATCGCAGCGTTCGAGAACCTCCCAGCAAAGAGACTGCAAGAATCAGCATCCTTACTCAAGTTGAAAGCCTTGGCCCATATTACGTCCCCCACTCGACGCACCAAAACAATGAATTCCGCTGAGCTCTCTGCTACACTTCTCTTCCAGGCGAGACAGCAAGCCGCCAAGGAAAGACAGGAAAGGATTCAAGAGCTCCGTGCGAAAGGCATCGTCATTGAAACCGCGGAGGAACGTGCGGCGATGGAAGATGAGCTCGAAAATTTGGTTGAAAAGGCACGCCAGGAGGCTGAAGAGATCGCAAGAAAGGAGAGGAAGTCTAAGGGGAAGGACGGTGGGGACGATATGGATGATGACGATGATGACGATGACTTTGAAATCTCGGGCTCTGACGGAGAAGGTGATGAGGCCGAGGACGAAGACGAGGAGGAAGAGGAAGAGGAAGAAGAAGGAGACAGCGGGGAGGCTGGCCAAGGGCTTATCGATTCCGAGGCTGGTGAGGATGAAGAATCAGAAGACGAGCAGTTGGAGGCCATTTCATTGGATCAGCTGGAAATGCCGACTGCTCGAAGAAAGCGGCCGACTCGGGTGATCAGCGACGATGAAGATGATGAAGAGGTCCAGGAACCAAAAACCCCCGCGAGACCCATTCATTCGACAGTCAACTCAGTAGAACGCCCACAGTTTCCGGGGTTGACCTCTGATGGGTTGACGATGGGCCTTACACAAGCATTTGCTGGTACTCTGGGTGCCAGTCAACCGATCACCCTCCCAGGATCGCCTTCGATTCCGAACTCGTTACCTGATCCAGCGCACATTGCTGCTGACAAACAGGACTCCGAATCTCAGATCATGGTGAAAGATAGCCAAGAACCGCACGCCGAATCGACGGATATCCTGGCAGCTTATGTGCATTCTGAGGTCCGAGTCTCTGAATCACCTGCGCCTAGAGCCATGTCACAATTTTCACAGATTCCAGATCCTACTCAAGATGCCGGGTTTGTGCTCTCACCCTTCGATCCTTCAAAAAGATTCATGGAGGCTCCTCACTCGACTATAGAAACCGTGCTTGCCGATGGTAACGAGGACCAGAGCAACTCGCCCGTTCCTCAAAAAAGGGCCAAGCACCTCCGACGAGGCCGTCTAGCCGAACTCTCCATGATTGACGAGCAAGATGAAGGAGAATTTGAGGTTGATGCAAGTGCTTTTGATGTCATGAAGAAAGCAACCAAGAAGACTAAGGTGCCATTCAACTGGAAGACCAGCAAAGCAAAGGAGGTTGTGGAAGACGCAGCCGAAGAATCGGACGACGAGTATGCTGGTCTGGGAGGCGCGAGCGATGACAGCGAAGATGAAGAGAACGCCTACGATCGACAAATGATCAATGACAACAGCGGCGAGACAGTGGATGAAAAGCAGTTGGCTGCTTTGAACGCGTGAGTATTCCCATAACTAGTTGATACCCAGCTACTAACTTTGATCGCAGACTCCACCAGAGAAACGCCGATGAGAAACAGGTTGCGAAGTTGCTGAAAGATATTACAACAGGTGCCCTTCGACGCCGCAGAAATGGAGACGATGAATTTGACCTGGATGACTCGGATGATGAGCTCCTTGCACGCCGACGGCAGAAGCAACGCGAATTTGCGCGGATGCGCAAAGCTCTCCTTGCGGATGAAAAGATCGGGGAGATCGCAGAAAATCCAAAGAAGGCTGCTTTCTTCAGGGCAATTGAAGACCGGGACTCGGACGACGATGGTGGGTTCGATTTCCTAGACGAAGAACAGAATGACGGCTCCCAGGGAGACTCTTCGTCCCAGGCAGTGGAATCAGAGCCGCACCAGCAGCCGGCTTCCGAAGAAAACAGCAAGAGGAAGAGACCTCTGGAACCCTCTGCAGAAGATATCAACAATCGCCCCCCACCCCATCTCCGTCGCAAGCCTGCGAGCGCCATGTCGAAGAAGCCGGCCACCCTGGCCGAGATTCGGGAAACTTTGTCCTTCCTGACCGAGCGACCCGAATACGACTCCTTCCAGGAGGATGCATCGATGGAAGATGTTGACGATGCCCAGCAAGACACTGATGGCGATAGCAAACCGACGCCCGAGCCAGCAGAAGCGTTCCCCGTACCCAGTCACCCGCGTCGAACCAGGGGGGTGGTTGTTGATCGTCTTGCTCTTCTACGACAAGCATCATCCAATTCGGCGACAGCGGCTTCGTCCAGTACTCGCTTGGCTTTCTTGGCCGGTGGAGGCAACGATCTAAGTTTCAGACCACCTCCCTTGCTTCGCAAGTCTACGACCAGTTCTTCTTCCAGCTCTTCCACGATATCCAAGTCTGATTCATCGAAGCGTGTCGCGAAGGCATCTACAGGAGGACCCAAGGCCAAGACAGGTGCCGTGAACTACTATACTGCTGCTAGAGAGAGGGAGCGCGAGCGAGAGATCCGGGCCAGACACCGCTCGAGTGGTTCAAGTACTAAGGCTTTGATAGACAAGCACGCCACGAACCGGTTGGGCTCGTTAGGAGGGACAGGAAGGTGGGAGTAGTGAGGATGGTGACGTGCAGGGTTGGATCAATATGTATGCGGGCACATTTGGCGTTTTATCCGTGCTGGGGTTACGGGCCAGGAGTCTTGAGCGACTATATATCTTTTAAGTTTACTGATAGGAGTTTAGCGATATCTACTTAGTGGTTATCCTGACCGAATAGCATTGCGTTCCATTATCTCTGCAACCTCAATATCCCAACGATTCGTGCCTGAACGCCTCAGGCAGAACCATGGTTTGACTCACCCACATCGGAATTTCTCTCGGCCCGGGCCTCCCACTATGATCGGCGCCGGCAACAAAAAAGGCAGGACTTTGCCCCTCCGCAGCGGCATTCCTTATCTCCCGTCCCTCTGAGATCTTCACCTTTGGAAACAGTCAAGAGTCCGTTCGCTCGTGCAATCCAAAATGGTTTCAGCAGGCGAAACTTTCCAGCTGCCCGAGCGGCCAAAGGAGGCCGCAATTCCTCCTGCTTCGACACCAGAGAGCACGCAGCCCGCCGCCGCAGAGGAGAAGCCCGCTGCCCAGGCGAAGCCCGCTAAAGCGCCCAAGCAGAAGGCCCCCAAGCAGAAGGCCCCCAAGAACAATGACGGCAAGAACAACGGCAAGAAGGGCGGCGCCAAGCCTGCCAAAGAAGCCGTCACAGATCTCAGATCGCTCGACCCAGAGGCCATGTTCAAGGTCGGTTTCCTCGCCGACGTCTACCAGGAACGGCCGCTTTCCGAGCAGCACCCCAAGATCCGCACGCGTTTCCCCCCTGAGCCGAACGGCTTCCTGCACATTGGACACAGCAAGGCGATTGCGGTGAATTTCGGGTTCGCGAAGTACCATGGTGGTGAGTGTATTCTGCGCTTTGATGACACGAACCCCGAGGGTGAGGAGGAGATGTACTACCGTGGCATCGAGGATATTGTCAGCTGGCTGGGATACAAGCCCGTGCGGGTCACCAATGCGAGCGACAACTTCGACCGTCTCTATGAGCTCGCTAAGGAGCTGATCCGGCGGGATGGAGCGTATGTCTGCCATTGCAACAAGGCTGAGATTAAGGCCCAGCGTGGTGAGGCCGACGGTGAGCGAGGCAAGGCGAGATATGCGTGCCCGCACCGTTCGCGCCCGATCGAGGAGTCGCTTCAGGAGTTCGAGGCGATGCGGGAGGGCAAGTACAAGGCTGGAGAGGCTGCGCTCCGCATGAAGATGGATTTGGAGGATCCCAATCCTCAGATGTGGGATATCTTTGCCTGGCGTATTCTGGATGTCGATACCAAAGGCCATTTCCGCACCGGCGGCCAGTGGAAGATGTACCCCACGTACGATTTTGCGCACCCTCTGTGTGACAGTATCGAGGAGATCACCCACTCCCTGTGCACCGTGGAATTCGAGATGTCGCGGCAGTCCTACGAATGGCTCAACGACAAGTTGGACGTTTACCGGCCGATGCAGCGCGAATACGGCCGCCTGAACCTGACTGGAACCGTGCTCTCCAAGCGTAAGATTATCGAGCTGGTGAAGAAAAGCTATGTGCGAGGATGGGACGATCCCCGTCTGTATACACTGCTCGCCATCCGTCGCCGGGGTATCCCTCCTGGTGCCATTCTCTCGTTCGTCAACAACTTGGGCGTCACCAAGGCGACCGCCATTGTTCAGACGGTTAAGCTTGATCAAGTTGTTCGCCAGTACTTGGAGACTACTGTGCCACGGTTGATGGTCGTGCTGGAACCCCTCAAAGTTGTTATCTCAAATCTGCCCGATGGTTACGAGGAGATGGTGGAAGTGCCCTTCTCGAAGGACCCGGCATTTGGTTCCCACCTGGTGCCTTTCACCAAGGTCGTCTATATCGAGCGCTCCGACTTCCGCGAGGAAGACTCACCAGACTACTTCCGCCTGGCTCCTGGCAAGACTGTTGGCTTGATGAAGGCGCCTTTCCCTATCACTGCCACCACTTTCGATAAGGATCCTGAGACCGGCGCTGTCACCTGCGTTTATGCACACTACGAGAAGCCCGAGGACGGCTCCGCAACCCCTACCAAGAAAGCCAAGACTTATATCCACTGGGTTGGTGAATCGGCCACCCACAAGAGCCCCGTCAAGGCTGAAGTCCGCGCCTTCAACTCTCTTTTCAAGTCCAATGATCCCAACGCCCACCCCGATGGATTCTTGGCGGACATCAACCCCGATTCCGAGGAGATCTATGAGAATGCTCTCGTCGATATCGGGTTCCACGATGTTTCCAAGTCTGCCCCCTGGCCCAAGGAGAGCGGCGAGGTGGGTGGCGAAGCCAGCCCTTACTCCACTCGTTTCCAGGGTATGCGCACGGCATACTTCGCAGTGGATAAGGACTCGACGGCGGACAAGGTCGTCCTCAATCGCATTGTCACTCTGAAGGACACCCAGGGTAAGACCTAGAGGATGTAGTTGTAGAGAAAAAGAAAGAAAGAAAGAAACAACGCCATTTGTCATGTTCTGTTTTCTATCATTTCGGGTGTTGCGTGCATATTCCTTTTTAGTATGAATAATGTGGAACATGTGGTCATGAGCGTCAAGGAGCTTGTTATGTTGTTCAGAGCCGAATCTACTTGGCCTTTCTTACGCTTACCTTATATACACAATGCATTGGTGATATTGATGGTACAGTGGTTTGATTTGCGTCCGTAGCCGTACATATCGTTGACAAAGCCAGGAAAGGTGTGGCGTCATCTGTATGTTTCAATCGTGGGAATCAAGTCCAGCAACGAGTGGATGGTCTTGACTCCATGGGTATCATGAGCGGTATCACCGCGAGGAATGTAGTAGCCATCCCAACCAACGCTCAAGGCAGCGTGGTAATCTTTGTCGACGTCATCGCCAACATGCATACAGACCCAGTCGCTATCCGCATCGTCAGCGCCGTGAGCTAAACGCTGCGCCTGCCTCCGCGCTACGTCGAAGATGACTCGGCTCGGTTTCTCCTCCCCTGCCTCGTAGCTGGTGATAACGAGATCAACATCGTCGACCTGACGAACTTGCTCATCCCCATCCTTGCTTCGACTCGGGGACCCCACCGCACCATCCGTCTCAAACCCAGGAAGCCGTCTACTCTCCACCCCCTGGTCAGCCCGCACATGGCCCACCCGTAGACCCAGCGACTTCAGCACAGCAGGGACACGATCATCCGAGTTTGAGATCACGCCCAGCAGCACGCGATCGAACACAGACCCTCGTTTCCGGCTCTTAATCTCCCGCACAGCCGCCAGGAACGGTTCCACGTCATCAAAGAGCGCATACCCCTCCGAGCTTGCGAAGCGTTCTACGAGATACGTGACCAGCGCGGGGGGAATTTCGTTGTTGACGCCGAATTGTTCTGAGTCTCCTGTCATCGCGCGCGAGAAACTGCCCCGGATGACTTCCTCCCACCACTGCCTGGGCCCGCCGTACTGGCCGCGCAGGACATATTCTCGGCCATAGTTGGGGTAGGCTTTTGATTGGGCTTTGAATGTGGATTTAAAGGCTGCTGCGAGGCGTTCGGGGGTGATGGTGGAGCGGGGAAGACCGAAGGCGTCGGCAGCTGCGGCGTATTGCTCTGGGACGGGCTGACGGGGGTGGAAGATGGTGTCGAAGGCGTCGAGGGTGAGCAGCAAAGTCCGTGGGCGGCGAGATGCCATGATAAATGATAAGTTGGTGTTGATGAGGTGGTTATGGTTGATGTCTGTTCTTATAGATGTAGATGTAGAGCAGGTGAGTGACTAAGCAGCATGCATGCCACTATCTATTATTAACTGCAACTCGATGAACCCAAGACAACTACTTTGTACAATATTGCCGTGGTCAACAGTTGATGATTGATAGCGGAAGATATATTGAAGAAGCTTCAACCCGTTATTCTAGGTTCACTGAGGCTTCTCGTTTTTGTTCCCCAGTGTCATCATGGCGTCGCCCATCAATCCAACAGGTAGTCTACACTTTCACCCTTCGGATAACAAGTCGCACTGAGCTGCTAGAAGGGGCGGTCATGTCCGAAATCTCTCGGATTTGTCAATATTCAATACCCTCCAGTCTCCGGTCTTGATTCCTGACAGCAAGAGTCAACTAGTCAAGCAATGATCCCAAGTGCTACTAATGCGGGGACAACTGCCGCGTGGGAAGAGCGCGACAATCGGCCCACGGGTATTGATGATTCTGGATGATAGAAAGGATCAAAGAGACAAGAACCAATGCCTGCAAGCCAATAACCACTCTTTCGCTGGATAAAACGGAGTCTTTCCTGGGGCGGATTGTGGGAGTCGCCCACGGCTAAGTCTTCAGCCGGACCAGTCTGTCGTTGGAGATCAACTTCATTGCTTCCTCGGCCATTATATTTAAGATATCTATATCTGCTTGATGGGTTAGGTATCATAGCATCTTCACTGCCGTTCCTACCATGCGCTGTCATCTCGTTCAGACAACAATGGCGCAATCACCCCAGGATCTCAAGATCGCCATCCTTGGCGCCGGTATGGGTGGTTTGACCTGTGCTCTGGCGCTGGCGAAAGAAGGATTCAAACACATCGATGTCTTCGAATATGTGGCTGATCTGGGCTTCGTTGGAGCTGGTATCCAACTCGCTCCCAATATGGCTCGGGTCCTCGACAGGCTGGGCGTATGGAAGGAAATCGAGGCCGAGGCAGTAGAGATCAAGGACACCAGTGTTCGCGGTATGTTTTGTACAAGTTCTTCAAGCACGAATGTCTTCTGACTAATGAATAAATAGTTGGCGCAGCGGATTTTGAACTGGCTCACGTCGAGCTGGGATATATCAAAGAGACGTATGGTTATCCCCACATGGTTGGCCATCGCCACTCGTTGGCTAGTGGCCTGTACAACGGCTGTCTTCGCTATCCCGAGCAGATTAAATTCCATTTCTCGACAAGCGCCGAGAGTGTCAGCTCGTTCGGTCCGCGTCCGTCTTTCACCGCGGTGCCCCGCGATGGCACCAGTTCCTACCAGGTCGAGGCGGATGTCCTTCTCGGCGCAGATGGGATTAAAAGCAAATCGCGCGTCGCGATGCTCGAGAAGCTGGGCATCACAGCCAATATGAAAGATACTCACCAGGCAGCGTACCGGATCATGATCCATCGGGATCAGGTCAAGGATGACCCGGAGCTTCTAGCCCTGATCAGTAGCAACCGAGTGATACGCTGGATTGACGAGAAGCGGCACATCATCGCCTACCCGGTCTCTAGCAATACCATCTACAACCTCTCCACGACCCAACCCGATAGCAACTTCGCCGCCGCGACCAATGCCACCTACACCACCAAGGGCTCCAAGTCCGCCATGCTGGGCGTCTTTGCCGATTTCTGCCCCATGGTTCAGCGCATGCTTAACTACGTGCCTGAGGGTGAAGTGTGCGAATGGAAGCTGCGCGTGCACGAGCCCCTGCCCACCTGGGTACACGAGCAGACTGCTCTTGTCGGCGACGCATGCCATCCCACACTTCCACATTTGGCGCAGGGGGCCGCGCAGGCCATCGAGGACGGCGCCACAATTGCCATCGCTCTGCGGCGCATGCCAGATACACAATTCACGACCATTACCCGGGCGTTGAAGGTGTACGAGAAGGTGCGCAAGGACCGGGCATATGCGCTGGTGGAAATGGCGGCGGCCTCGGGCCGGGCGCTGCATCTAGGCGACGGAGCAGCCAAGGAGGAGCGGGACAAGCAGTTCGCGACCCTGCGGCAGGGCAAGGGGCCAGTGCCGGATAAATGGGCGGATGCGGATGTGCAGCGGGAAATCTACGGGTTCGACTGCCAGAAAGTGACGGAGGAGAAGTTCGACGAATACTTTGCGTAAACTTCTTATTTCCCTGTGTATACTACGATGTATATATGTTGACTTGGATGGATAGACATGCCCGCGACGCCAAACTTCTTTAATGATATACGACATGAACATTGTTTTATTGTATTTCTCCAAACCATACTTTTTTGTATATATATCGCTTCTTCATCGTTTAGACATGAATTTCACAGGAATAAAACAACCCAGCCCGGCTGCATATGCACAGCCAGCAAACGCGATCAACCCCCAATACTCGCCATTGCATCGGTGCAGAATCTCCCCAGCGATTGGGACACCCGTCAAGGCTCCCAGACTGACAATCGTATACACGGTGGTGTAGTATCGTCCATACTGTTCCGTCGGACACAGTTCGCCCACGCACACTGGCACTAGACTGATGTTACTCCCGCTGCCGAACCCAAACACCACCGCGAAGGTCACGACCGCCACCACATTCCCCTGCGCCGGCAGCCAGATAGCCAGCACGGAAACCAGACAGAGCACATTCGCCAGGATCAGCGTGTTGAAGCGCCCAATCCGGTCCGCCAGGATACCCGGCAGCCAACGACCAGGGAACGAGCCCGCGTTCAGAAACACAACCATGAGCGAGGAGAGGCGTGGCGACAGCCCCATCGCTAGCGTATATGATGCAATGTACTCGAGTGGGATGAAGAAGCCCCATTCAATGAAGAAGACGCCCATCGTGGTCAGCGCCAGCTCTGGTGAGCGCAGGATGCTCAAATCCGGGAGAAGCTATGCCTTGCCGCTTGGTTTGCGCGGCAGACGGGCGCGCACGAGGACACAGCCGGGGATTAGGAGACAGAGGGTGATCAGGCCGACGATGCGCGTGGCCCAGGCAAAGCCCACGCGCGCCGCTAGATGATCTAGCACGAGCGGGAACATGACCCCCCCGAGACTACCGCCGGACATGGCGAGGCCCGTGGCGGCGCCGCGGCGCTGCGCGAAGAAGTGTCCGATGCTTGCGACTGGGACGATAAAGATAAATGATGTACCTGCGCCGCCGAGCACGCCGAGCACGAGGAAGAAATGCCAGTACTCGCGGCAGAAGCCCAGCAGGATGAACATGAGTACCAGTAGGGCGGACCCGGTCAGCATCAGCCATCGGGGTCCGCGAGCGTCAAAGATCGGGCCAATTTGAATGCCGCCGAAGAAGACGAGGAAGTTGTACACACCGAAGATCCAGCCGATCTGGCCAGCAGAGAGGGATTGAAGCTGGTGAGAGGAGATCCAGGCCTGGTAGATGCCGATGCTGTTCATGAGACCGAGGCCCCCCATGATGGCGCTGAAACTGCCCAGCACGACAAGGTTGGCGGATAAACCGCCCTCGGGGAATTTCTCATCATTGGAAGTGTTGTTCTCAAGGTCGAGCTTGTGCATTTACTCGGTTGGTTGGTTGGTTGCTATGCTGTGCTTTTGATGCGTTGGTGATCTGTGATGTATAACCTAGTTCGGTAAGGTTGTATACTAGCCAACGTCAACTCCTGAAAGGACATGATGTAGCTTTATAGCTTCAACTTGGAAAATTCTTCATCTTCCCTTTCCGTATACCGACCAAGAGGCAAAGCTCGTATTCCCTGGAATTCTGGTAATCTGCCTCTGTTCTCGGATTGCGAATTGGCTGCGAAGATACCCAAATGTGGATGCGGCCTGAGGCCGGCGAAGTTGCCTGAGGTTTGCCGACGGCCGACGGCCTGGATTCTGCCTGATGGCCTGAGGCACCGTATAGATACCCACTCGCCGGCCATCTTCGCGTTGCTCTTCGCACTTTCATCCTCCATTCCAGCATCTGCCTTCGATAATGTCGCCCAGGCCATATCGATCCAAACGTCAACGCCCCTGTGATCAATGCCGGGAGCGAAAACTCGGCTGCCAAACAGACGGGGGCATTCCTTGTCAGCGTTGTCGCTCGGCCGATCTGCACTGCACCTTTGACAATCCGCCTCCCAAGCGGATCAGACGGGAATCGCTGGCCACGGATTCTCGCGGCAAACAGTCACCTCATGTTGCTGCTTCGGCCTGTCATGATGATTCTCTTTTGACCTCCTGGGATGATCCTGCAGCACAACCGTCTCACTTTGCTTCCCGGGGTACCTCTGTAAGCCAAGTCGGCGGTGTTCAACAGCACCAGCACCAGCACCATCAGCAGCAGCAGCATGCCGAATTCAACATCCCCCCTCCTCCTCCAGTGGAAGGAGTTTCGCCGGCCGTCTCCGGCCATCTCGTGAATGTCGGTCGATCGGCCACTCAGTTTGTGCAGAGTCTCGATCAGCTTGAAGGCTTTTCGGCCCAACTGTTCGGCGCCTCGGCGGAGTCAGATCCCTGGCTGCTGCGACATTGTTCATTTGATGATACAGGTGTCAAATGCTTCTACAAGGTTCACTTTCGCAATGCAGGAGGTGTCCCTACGACGGAGAAGATTCCCGTTCACTTTATGGTCACAGCAGATGACCTGTCCGCGGCGGTGAAGCAGGAGACGAAGATCAACGGCGGTGATGCCACGCGCGAGGAACTGACGCGATTGGTACCACATGAGTATGGACAGCGACTTGTTTCATTGTACGTTGGCTTTATGCATTTCTTTCAACCCGTATTATTGTCAATATTAACTGCAAGCGTATAGATTCGTTAAGTATGTCTTCCCCGCCCTGCCCATCATCTCCCGCTCGCAGCTCGGGTTGACCCCCTCGTGCCAGATCCCGGAGCCCTGGGCTTTGGATCGCACGCCTGTCCACCTGCTGGCTGCCATCTATGCGTCGGCGCTACCTTTTGCAGCGCATGACGACTACCTCTGCGTGCTCAACACGTACAATGCACCGCCGGTGGGTCAGCTTTGGCGCATGGTCTACGAGCTTCTCGCCGAGGAGATCCACACCCCACACCTAGCTACCCTGCAGGCCGCGCTGCTGTACTTGCATAAGCCCGTTGATGAGACACGCACCAGCGTGGCCGATTCGCCGTACATCTGGTCTCTGGTCGGCAGTATTGTCGGCTTGGCGTCGTCGCTAGGGCTCCACATTGAATGTCGCATGTGGGGGATTCCCGCGTGGGAGAAGCGTCTGCGCCGGCGACTGTGGTGGGCCGTCTACGCCGAGGATAAGTGGCGTAGCCTGCTTCTGGGTCGGCCGGCGTACATTCACCACGAGGAATGGGATGTGAGTGAGCTTGACAGCGCGGATTTTGTGCATCAGTCGCGTGGGGCGTCGTCTTCCTCATCGGCCATCCATCAAGTCAATTCGCCGGAGATGGAAGTCCCTTTCCGGTATCTAGTGGATCTGTCTAGGATTGCCGAGGACATCTATTCATCCTTTTAGTGAGTGGAGCGTTCTCGATTTTCGTCGGCCATGACCTGCATACTGACTGTGACATGTCAGTACCCTGCGTGCGTCTCAGTACCTCTCGGAGAGATTCAGTGGCTCACACGACACCGGCCGCCCACTGCTCGAGAAGCTCAATAGCTGGTACTCATCACTTCCCGAGTCCTTCCGCCTCCCCAATTGGAGCAAATCCGTCAGCGGGCTGGCCCCCTACCCAACTTCGATCCACTTTGCCTACCTTATACTCGTCATTTTCATCTACCGCGCCATGCTCCGGCCCATGGCCCGATCCTCTAGTCCGCCGCTCATCTTTGATCTGGATGAGATGCCCACCACAACAACCGATGCATCCGCCCTCGCCGCAGAGGATTACTGCATCTTTGACTTCGCGGATGTTCCCGAGATCGGGTCCTTCCCGGCCGTCGAGCTTTCTGACGATCACGGCACTGGTGAAACGACCCTTAACGCCGCGGAGCGGTGCGCGTCCATCGTGATTAGCTTCACGCGGAGGCTCACGGCTAGCGATTTTACCGGTTTCTGGTTTTCTTGTATGTTCACTCACTTACAAAGCACTTCTCTCTCCCCCCCTTCCCCCCACATGAGTCGCCGCTCACAGTTGTCCTACAATACTAGGGTCCCGCGTCGGCTTTGCAACCGTCTCCAACTTCACCATGCTGCTGCTCGTGCAAGCGCCCAATGCCGATCGCGCCGTCAAGGGAAAACACCTTGTAGATTCATGGCTGCGGGTGTTGCGCTGCCAGAGCCAGAGCTTTCCCATGATGAAATTGGGATTGACCCGCTTGGACGCAATGCACTGGGCGGGTCTGGCGCAGACTTTTGTGCTGCCCCAGCATGTGCAGGATGTCATTAACGACGTTGACAAATAATCCGGGCTTGTTTCTTTCTTGGAATCTTGGGTCCTCATACCATATCGATTTTTAGTCAGCCGATCATGCCGCGCCGGCGAACTTCGGCCACCGCGGTAACCCTAACCAAGTTCCCCCCGGTGGTCGGCGACCGGCCACGCCACAGCAATCCTTTGATGCCAGATTCCTCTATCATTGACTCAAATGCAGTCAAGTTGGGTCTCTATTGCTAATTCTAATCTAATCTGCTGATCCACAGCCTCAGGGAAAGAAGATGATAGAAAAGTTTATTTATCTCGGCAGATCCATGCGGACCCTCACCGAGAGAACAGCAGTGACTTGGCCAAACCTATATAAACATCGCCCCTCTCATTGACACTGCAATACCAGATCCTACTCAAATAACATCTGAGAAGTCCTATCCCAAGGTCAAACTACATTATCCACCGTCTCTCGAAATGTCTCCATCTCACACCCCTCTAGTTCTGCGCCTGCTGCGCAAGAAAGACAAGACGCAGAAGGATGGCGCGCTGAGCCTGAGTGATTCCGATTCACAGATGACTTTGGTTTCAAGGTAAGTTGAACCGCTCTCCTGACTATTAGATCAGATCTGACGCTGACAATAATTTATAGAAGATCATACAAGTACACGAGGGATGCCCCGCGGACCAGGGAACAACAGTACAACGGTACGTATGCCACCAGGAGAGCTAAATACGAGCTATGCTGACGTTGGATGCAGCCGCCGACATGTGCTTTGGATCATGCTGCCGGAATTGATATCCATTAGGGCTTGGTTGGAGTTGGGTGTTTTTGGGTCAAAAAGTTTCATATTCAAGGTCACTATCACGACGGTATATTCTATCCCTCTGCAGAGATAATAAATAATAACATAATCCACTCATCACTTATTATCCAGTTCACCATCCCTAGTCCCACACAGCTGTCATGAATGACAGATAGCAGATCATCGTGTACGCGGCCATCATATAGAACCGCTTGTATGTTCGACGATCGTACGCCGTTGTCGCTTTCCCTCCGCGGACGCATCGAACACCAGTAAAAACCGCAAAGATCGCATGTAGTGCTGCAGTCACCACGGCGCCGGTACGTATCCATCCCACGCTGCCAGAAACGGCACCACCACAGTGCCAGGAAGCCATGCAAGAATTCATCAACGGCGACATCCCAGCTGCACCGAGCACCAACGCCGTCGCCCAGCGCAGCGCCCCCTCCCACTCAGGCCCAACGACAACCGGTAACGTCCGCCTCCCCATCACCCTATCCCCCTCACTATCATGAAACTCCTGCAGATGGATCGTAGCCATGACCCACGCAGACAGACACAGATAGAACCTCACCGGCGGCAGCGGGAAGGACGCGATAACGCTGCGGATGGTCTCATCGATGAGCCGGAACATGTTATACACGCCCACCGCGACAAACGCGCTACGGAGCACGAAGTGGTTAAGTCTCGGCCAGACGTAGCAGAAGTACGTCCAGAGCTGGTACCAGAGCAGGAGGGCCGAGGCGCCGGGCCCTGCGAGGTAGTAGACCAGCAAGGGACAGATGAGCCAGCTGAGTGCCCAGCGTTGGTGGCCGCCGCGTACGGTGAGTAGACCGGAGGGGATGGGCCGGTGCGGCTTGTTGATTCGGTCCTCTTCGACTGAGGTGACCTGGTTGACGACCTCGAAGATGTACGAGTAGCAGAGGAAGATGGCGACGGTTTTGCAGAGAATGAGGGCGAGCTGTGGCCAGGGAATACTGAGGAGCAGAGCTGGGGTTGGAAGGAAACGGGCCAGCATGCCGATTATGGGGAGGATGATGCTTTCTCCCACGTTGGTGTATAGCAGATGCCAGGTAATGAGGAGCTCTTTGTGAATACTGCTCGGAAGCTTGAGGTGTTGCATTTTGACATTGATGGCTTAGATGCTGTTGAGAAGAGAGAAAGACAGTTGAAAGGTAGAGAGAATCATGAGCAGCGAGTCAACAGTAGGGGCGTTATATATGGCCTCTAGAGGATTCATTCTCTCACTGGAGACTGGCTCTTAATCCATTCACTTGTCTCTAGGTTCAATATCAATGGCATCTATAACAGTCCATGTTCACGAGCTTATCCGTTAAGGAGATTACCTCATGCTTCAGCGCAAGATCGCCTTCCGCCCAGGATCAGGATCGACACCAAGATCAGCCCACCTCGGATATTTCTCAATTCGGGGTAAGTTCTCGAGTATATCTTGCTGGAAGAATGCTGGAGTCAATATGTTGTTTGGCCCAGCAGTAATAGATGATTCGAATCCACTCTCGGGCAACTTGACGAGACGGCTCACCCCTAGCTAGAGCCACCATGCAGGGGGAGAAAGGGGGAGAGAGAAACATGACGCTTTTTAACTTCTTAAAAGACCAGCACGTAGACTGTGCCTTAGCTGTTCCATGACCATCTAGCGTGGAGAAAAAGTGGAAAAGATGCTGCACCTACAGAAAGCGGGCCAGCAATAATCAGCGTATAGCAGACGCCGAAAATAGTCAGAGTTTGAGTATGATTTGACCAGTGATTAAATGCGTCTTATCACTTAGTAGGCTGCGGGGCAGAGGAGGTCAGAAAGTACATGAGCAAGGAGAGCTTCTGTGCACTTGCTTGAGACTAACACTGAAGAATGTATTAGTGATTAGACAGATACAGATATCACCTTTCAATAGAGAGACTTGCCACTTGTTCATACTTCGCAAATCTGCCTAGATGCCACTCGCTTAGAGCCAGGTTTCCCATCGTCTCGGGTCCAGTCATTACTGGGTTCAATCCCTTGGGAGATACATGCTCGACCCTGTTCCACTCTCGGGAAAGAAGCGGATGAATCCATGCCTTTGATTTGCAAATCGACTGCGCCAAATGAGAGCTGTCAGCTGCATAGTCTAGCTTATAGTGGTTATTCACCTGAATCAATTGGTACAGTTAGAGGTCGACTAAACTGGGAGGACAAGGAAACAGTACATACATAGTGCGGATGTGATTGGATCGGATTAGTTGTAGCACTCTTCTTAATGGGGGATTGATCTACCATATGGCTCTTGACATGAAGATCTTTAAGGAGGAAAAAGATGCATCACAAGCTTCACAGCTGGGTCTCGGAAGAAAGATGACAGTGCTGCCTGAGGTGTCGCTTGGTGCCTAAGGTCTTATCGTTATCGCGCGTCTCCCAAGAAATGATGCATCACAAGTCCGTCTCATCACCGCAACTTCAAAGCAACGAACCGATGCTAGAGCTGTCTTCTGCATAAATGCCCCCTGTAGGAGTAAGACAGTCCCGTTGCCTCGCCGTCGTGTGATACCACTGACCTATCTCACAGACGCCTTCTCCATTCCGATTCCCTCCACGCCCACGCTCATCAGCTCGTCCAAATGCTAGTTCTCAATTCGCATCCACGCCTCGCTTTCTCTTATCTCAAACACCAAGTAGGCCCGAGATATCAAGCGAGAAAGATGGCGTCAGTAATCTAGGTGCAGAAGCCTCCCCACAGTCAACCCCTCTGCCCACGTCGCGTGCGGTGCCGCGTTCGCGCCGACGAGAAACGATCGAGGACTCGGGAGAGGATGAGCAAGACGTTGCAACTCTAGGCCCACGAACCCGACGTGTAGATGCTATCTCGGACGATGACTCAAATCACAGTACTCCACCAGAGAGTGCAAACGAGATCGACACGGCGTTCGAGGCACTCTTCGGACCGACGTCAACAGACCGCAGGAAACGACGGCGTATCTCCTTAGACGCAGAACCTGCTATGGCCCAACGTGGAAGACGCAACATCGATGCGATTCTCACTTCACCCCCCGAGGCTCGGTCGCAGACCGCGGACCCTCCTTCCTCGCCAATCCCATTTCGTACTCCAAAACAGACGGCTCAGCCAGCAGCTTCGCGCATACCATCATCCGTTGCACAAAGGGCGCCGGGCCCTGCCACACCGGCAAGCACACGGCCATCCCGCAACCACCTTCGCTTCATGATGTCCCAGCCCACGTTCAGCAGCCAATCGCAATTCACCCCGAAGGTCCCTGCAGCCTCCGCAAACCAACTACCAACACCCGCGCCGCAAAGACAAAAACCCGCGTTCGTCCTACCTCGCTCTCCGTCCCCGTCCCGGACGCAAGAGGCAACGGCAGACATACCCTCTCCATTCTCCCCTTCATCTCGTGCGCTCCGCCGTCGAGGACGCGCGCGGTCTAGCGCCCCTAGCTATCTACCGGGTGGTATGGCCTCGGACGTGCGCAGTTGGATTCTAGAGATAGGGACGAAGCGAGAACAGACGCAGCTTGGTGCTGTTCGTCGCGTTGAGCTATCTCAACGAGATCCGCTCTCAGAGATACAGAAGTATTATGCCGTGGTCCGCATCAGCGGCGTTCGCCAGTCGGCGTTGAGTAGCTCTGGTCCGCTGGCCTTTATTCAGGGATCATCTGTGCCGTCTGATGATGGAGGCGACACTACAAATTCTGAGACACAAAAGCTGCTCCTTCTCGGTCCTCCTCGATCCGCCACGGTGGGGTCCAATCTTCCCACTCCTGAGCTTCAGCCTGGCCAGGTGATTGGAGTATATCGTGGTTTGGTATGGGAGGTTGGTCTTGATCGGGAACATTTGGCTTCTGTGACGCCGAGTATGGAGGAGCTGAGGCTGGAGCACGAATCTGGACTTGGAGACTCGGAGGGTGAGGAGAAATGGCTTGTGGGGATGGAATGGGAGCTGATATGTGATTGTTGATGTAGATGGATTGCTTCTTTGTCTGTATATAGTTTAGAGATACCCTACAGTATACCACTCGCTATTTCTCGTACAAGCGGTTCGAGTGATATGAAAATAACAATATATGCTTAATTGTCATAGATGCTTGTCCAATGCTTTTTTTTCTATGCCCACAACCAGATAGAACACCATAGCTCCAGAAGATGAACCCGTGATACCTCGAACCCACAACGATGAGAGTGTATATTTAAAATACAAAGAACCCCAAAGACCCAATTACGGAAGTCCACCGTCTTCATTGGCAACGACCCTCAAGGCGTCCAGCGCAACACTGCATCCCCACTTCACCAACTTCCGGTCCTTCTCAGACTCGACAAGATCCGTCTTCGAGACCACCTTCCGCACGAAGAAAATCAACCCCTTGACGATTTGCGGCGTATCTCGCGTGCGCATGAAGATCTCGATGAGCGGTTTCTCATCCCGAGCAGCTTCCTCCTCCCCATCCGTCTTCTTGCTCTTCTTCTTGGAGCGTTTCGACTTCTGCGACTGCTGGATGATGCTGATGAAGAGGATTTCAAGGAAGGCCTTGGTCTTGGGCTGTACGTAGGCGAAATTGAGCGTCTTTAGCACACTGAGTGTCAGGGCGTTGTCCGCGATCAGGCTGCCGTACATCTTGGCCAGGTTGACGATGGATTTCATTTGGAGCTTGTTGCGCTCGTCGGCCTCGTCTTCGCCGAAACCGCCGTCGGAGTCGTCGTCCATGTCGCCGGCTTCGCCCATGCGCTTGAAGGCGTTCCATAGGGTGTACATGAATGAGACTTTCATGCGGCGGCCCATCTCGCCGCAGAGCCGGCGACCGATCAAGGTGTAGTATGGGTTGTAGGCCTCCTCTTCCATGGCGCAGTGGGTGAGGACGCGGGGGATCTCATATTCCTGCGTGCGTTTCAGCCGGAGTTTCAATAGGCGCACGTGTGCGTCCTGGTAGTCTGTTGCAGACATGATGGCGACGAAGATCGATCGTCGGATGTCAGTGTTCATGCGATGCGCCTTGGCGATGCTTGCTAGATCAGGCTCGCCCTCGCTGTCATCGTCCGGCACAGCTTGCTTGTTATCGAGCGGGAGATTGGCTAGTTCCTGACGCGCAGAGACCAGAGGATCCTCCTTCCAGCTGGCACCGACAAGCCACCATTTACCCTTCTTCGAGGCGTTGTGAATGTCCTCCCGAGATATGCTGATGGGCTCTGTGGCACGAAGGACTCGGGAATTGTTCAACGATCCAAGAATTTTCCGCATCTTGGTGATGTGCTCTGATGCGATCGTCGAGCCAGGGGCGGATTTCAAGCGGTTGTTCTTGAGGTCGGTGATGGTATCAATCATGAATTTTGTACGCACTGACAGGGCTTCTTCGCCGATCTTCGCGACTGCCGGCTGGATGAGAAGAACAATGTCCTTCAGGGAGGATGGGTCGTCTTGACGAAGTTGAGGTCCGGAATCTAATGTTTGTTAGTCGCAACCCTTGCCAATCGACGGTATGAATACGTACTTCTAATGACTTTGAGGAGTAACTCTGTGTTTTCCTCATTGATATCCTGTAGAAACAATCGGATGTAATCGAAGACCAGCGTGCTGCTTACGACATGGAAGTTGTAAAGCTGCGAAAGGAGCGAGATGAGGTTGATCATCTCCTTCCCTTGGAACTTGTCGCGCTCATCACCAGCCGCATCAAAGTATTCAACCAGCTTTTGTACGAGCTCGGCGCCAAAATCCATCCCAATGACCTTGTACAGTGCAGCGATGAAGCCCGCATGCAGGATGACGAACGTATCCTGCAAAGCGGATCTTTCACACACCAAACCAAAGAGGAGCGTCAGCAACGTCGACGTGACATTCTGACGGGGATATTCGCGATAGAGCTTTTCAAATTCATTGAGGATCGAGACGAGGTTGGCTTCCGATAGCTTGTTCAGTTGACCTTGAGCCTGCCTCCGCAGCCGTGTGAGTGATTCGGACTCAGAGGTAGAAGCAGCTCGTAACGATGGGGGGATGTATTTGGCTGGCTTGTTCTCGGCAGATTGAGCGACAGGCGCAACATAGGGATTTTCGCGCTTCTTGGCCGGCTTCTCGTCCTCGCCCGTGTCGCCCTCCTCGTCTTCATCTTCGTCCGACTCGTCAAACATATCTTCTTCATCGAAGTCTTCCATATCTTCGTCACTTCCTAAATCACTATCGTCCTCCTCCGAGTCCTCCTCTACCTCAAGACCTTGGGCTTTTCTTCTCTTTTTCTGCAGCCATTCGTCAGCCTCCCGTTTGCGCTTCCGGCTTTCATCGGCCGACTCGTCGTCTATTTCTCCTAGCAGGTCCAGCAGCCCGTCCTCCTCAAACGACTTCGGAAGCTTCTTCCCCTTCTTCAGCCCCAGCTTCTTCTCCAGCGCCGCGATCTCTGCATCGTCTTCATTTAACTTCTCCTGCACCGCGCTAGAAACTTTGCGCGGCCGTTTTTCCACCTCATCCTCGTCGTCCTCCGAATCGGATTGCTGAACCTCCTTGGTCTTTTTCAGTATCGACTTCGGCTTCGTCTCCGTCTTCGCCTTCTTCGACTTTGGCGGAGCGACATCATCTTCGTCCGATTCCGCTAGATCCACGTCGAAGTCGGACCCGTCCTCAAGACCCGCAAGGTCTTCATCGTCGTCGTCGTCGTCGTCGTCGTCTTCCTCCTCGTCCTCGCGGGACCGTCTACCAGAAGATTTGGACGGGGGCCCTCGCTTTCCTTTCTTTTCTGCTCGTTCCGCTCGACGTTGGTCTTTGCGCGTCGCAGGTCCGTTCCGCTTATTCTTTCTCTCACCGTAGTGGTCTTTGATGCCCAGCTCCGCGCGAAGATTTCGGGGCAGCGAGGTGGTGTTGTGTCTGGGTCTGGGTCGCCTCATTACGGCGACTATCGTGTGTATTCGGCGATCAAGAATAGTCCTCTCAGAATTGAATATTGGTTGTCGTGAAGAAATGACCATATACAAGATTTTTTATTTTATTTTTTTTTTTCTAAAAGAAAGACTGCGGAGCGGAGGCGGGACTCAATATGAAGGCGGTGTGGCCCGAGTTGCGGAGATTTGTCTCCCCACTACAGCGATAGAATCAATGATCGAGACGAGACAGAGACAGCAGCATATAGCAGGCCAGGGACGACACTATCGATCAGCGCAGGGTACCTGATCACGAATTGCTTCTTCAGCCTCCATCACGCACCTCATATACAGCGATTCACGGCAGCAAGATTCGAAATACCCGATTGACCACCAAATCGGCCACATCACACAGACACCACATCGAATCACCGACCTGACATCACATTATCCAAACAAAACATAAGATGGCACCCCATCTCAGCCAGGAAGAGGTACGGTACCTATTTCTACTCAATCAACGCTCAAAGCACCCCCAAATCCCCAGGATCCAGAAAAAAAAACCACCCCATACTAACGTAATCACAACCCAGTTCCTCTCCTCCCTCTCCACCCTCCTCACCAAAACCTCCGAGAAAGCCCGCGGCTCCGTCTTCCTCACCCAGAAACCTCTCCTCCAAACCCCCAGCTCAGACGAAAGCGCCTCCCCGTCAACACTCCCGCCGATCCTCATCCGCGCCACAGACGGCAATACCAGCGCCCCGAACCCCAAGTCCAGCAAGGACCAGAACAAGAAGGCCGCGAAGACGTCCAAGGTGAAGCTGTCGACGGTGGTGGCGCAGGAGGAACTGGAGGCGTTCTTTGCGCGGTACGCGGAGGTGTGCAAGGCCGGGATGACGGGGCTGAAGAAGCGGGATCGGAAAAAGGGAAAGGCGAAGGCGAAAGGGGCTGCTTCGAAGGTTACCAAGGCGTGATTGAGGATTTGGAGGTGATGTCGCGAGGTTTTGTTTTTTTTTTTTTCTAAAGCATATCTGGCGTTCAATGCTATGTGGGTTTTATACCGTGCCCCAGGAGGCTGGATCTTGAGTGGTACCTGCTCATATGTAAAAGGTATGCTTTCTCTGTGTGTTGATATGATATGTGACTTCGTGATCTGGCATATTCTTCGCTGGGTAGAGAACCACGTAGATTGGTGAATAAGGGTATATTAATGATCGTTGATACACGCTAAGATACAGGGGTTCATTATCGAGTACACATGCAATGCGAAACCTGCATCCGCCCAAAAGCCGTACATATGCCCAAAACAGAAAGTGAAGAAGCAGAGAGAGATCGTACAGAAAGGGTCATTATCAGAACTTAAATTGTTCTTGTGCAAGATTGGCGAGTTCAGATGGAAAGAAAGAAGATAGGGTATGGGTATGGTTCACAACAAATATGGGTCGACTCAAAAAAGGAAAAGGATTGGGGAGTTAGTCGAGATCCCAAGGATCGAGTTTCCTCACGACAACGGATTCCGGAGGTTCTCTTGAATGATCAGGATTGATTGGGATGTCAAAATCATCCACGGCTTCCTGGGAATGGGCGGCGTGATATTCTAGCCTTCGAGTGAAATCGCCCATCGCGGAATGGAGAGCGGGGCCAAGAACAATTCTAGCCGCGATATGAATCAATAGAATGAACAGCTGAACCGGAGGCACCAAGACCAGGGTGCAGGTCTTTTGGATGATAGAGGCTGCATCTTGCTTTTCGGGCGGGCTTGTGCCGACCAAGATGGATGATGGTGGCATAGGCGATATCTCCCGCTCCCGGGATGCCTTGGACCGTCGGCGGAACTCAGAACTCATATCGCTGAGGTTTTTTGCAAGATCTGCCTCCTCCTCCTCCTCCTCCTCCTCCTCCTCCTCCTCCTCCTCCGTAGGGACTCGCAAGAATGACCGAGAACTCGGCTTCAACGGGATGTCTCTCGGCAAAGTGCCGGCGGACGGGGCCATGTCATCGTTGCAGTAGTTGGCCTCAAAAGAAGCTCCCATTTCAGACAGCGTGTCAGGCAAGTTCGAAAGCTTAAAGCCGAGATCTTCCGACAGACTATCGCTCTGGTCTGGGAACTTCTCCGGACAGGCCATGGATGCCGGCGATGCCGTCGTCAATGGAGAATTCGGTTCGCCGCGCGGGGACGGAGGAAGTTCCATCGAGTGGAAGGACTCAACGCTCGAAGAAAGGCACATGTCAAGATTGACCTGCGTATCAGATGTGTCCTCGAACCTTGCCAGCAGGGTTTCGAAGCTAGGTTGTGTTTCCGTTATAGCGTCGGTTGGGAGAACTGGGAGACCAGGAACATAGAGTGGAGACATCTCTTCCTCCTCCTTGTTGGCATCGGGAATGGTCTCGAGAGCAACGTTGTCGCTTTTCTTGGCTATCAAACCACTAGCGCTGGACGTTCCTTCGTCCGCGACTTCCTCGACACTAGCAATACTGGATGCAAGCTCCTCTGTTGAAGATCCGGCCTCCGAGATGGCGATTGACCGGACGGGCGCACTCTCTCGTCGTCCTTTTGGCCGCCATGCTCTCTTTGGCCGTGGGGCTTTCGCTTCTTCCGGAATCTCGACCGTGAACCCTCTCTTGAAGGGACATGGGGTGACTTCGTAGCGCAGGACTTTCGGAAGCGCATCTTTCATAGCCGCGACGAGTTCCCTGTCTTCTTCGGTTTTATTTGGAAGTTCGATGCGATAGTACGTAAGAGGACGAATGCGCAACACAAAAGTCGACTCTCGGTCCACGCACCAACACTGGGAGTTTTTGAGAATGGCATGGACAACACTGCCACATTTTAGAAACACAGTCAAACCATGCACTTTTTCGAGTCTCAAGGGCGCACATGCGACCGTGCGCTCCATCGCCGATCGCCATGGAAGCGTTTCGATCGTGTCCACGGGATAGTCGAAGTCGGTTGGTGTAGTGCTGGAGGGAATCGGCGCAAGGGCTTTGGGAGAGAAATGGACTATCTTTGCCGATGGATGAAAAAAGAGGTCATTTTCGGAGGCTGAAGCCCGGAGAGACTCCGAACTGGCTTGCTTCCGTGGCTGCAGCTTAGATGGGAGGGTTGCAGACCGGCGAATGGATTTGGTCTGAACAGGGGGCGCATCCGAAGATTCGGGCATGTTGGAGGTTAAACAAGGAGAAAATGGATTACATTGAAGATGATAAAGAAAACAGAGATTAGTTAGTGTTCCTAGAAGAGATTTAAGGAAGGACTATGGAAGGAATAATAATAGATGAAAGAAAAGAATGAATGAATGAATGAATGATGGGGGGATGGTAGAGTCCAGGGAACGAATGATGGTTAGAAGTGAACTCAACTATTATTATGATTATTACAGAGTATCACGCTCATCATTATTATCGGCTTTTGGGATTTGATTTGCTTGGATTGCGGGGAATGTCGCCTGAGGCATCCGAGGCATCACCTGGAAGGCCGAAACGCGTGGGTCCGCGCGTCTATAAGGCTTAGTCATTCTTACGCGTCTATCGTCTATTTGGCCAATCACTACCGGTGATGACGCAGGTTGTCCCATACCTACAGTATCCACTGCCTACTAGGTACAATACTAGACCACAATAATTAGTTATTTGGCTGCCTGTGCCAGCGTCACAGCTTAGACAGCGTGATTTCCTCCTTTTTTAACGCCCGAAAGAACATGCATCCTTGTTGACTCGCTCCTAGAAATTAACGGTGTATTTTCTCTGCAAAGAGGGGTGGTCACCATGTCTAATTTTGAACCCAATGCCGTCATCCGCGGTTTCCAGCTCACAGTTGTTGGAAGTAAGTTGCTATGGCTTTCATGCTCTGCTGAACTCCCTGGTTCCGAGTTTCCCGTTGCTAGCGAGCGCAGGGGTAGTAGGCTATCAAGGAGTTATGATCCAATATGATCTTGTGAACGACGCTGACAGTATCCCCGATAGCTGTTCGCGCGCTGCGCAACCCGAAGCTCTTCAAATACGATCATTTTCGACAAGCAGCTCTGGCTATAGCTGTTGGTGTGGCTATTCATTTGATCATTCAGATTCCGGTATGGTTTTTTGCGCAACCGTGTGTCTGCCGACGTTACTGATCATGAGTTGCGTTGCCTAGATCATCGGAGTCAAATTTCTCCTTTGGATCGCATCATGGTTTTCCGATCTAGACCGCAGCACCTGGGATGACTCCATCATGAGCGGCGTGAACTTCCTTAATAACTCTGTTCTCCAAGTGCCGTTTCTGCTCATGACTCTGATGCGCTATGTGACTCCAACTCTAGACGAGATGTAAGCTACGCTATCGGCTTAGGTGTGAATACGTTGCTGATTCCGCAGTTTCATGGAGTCTTTGAAGTGGGTTGATTCAACCTACGTTCAAAAGCACAAGGCCGATGATCCGAAGACCCTGCGGGCCATGTACTACCCTCACCTAGTGATGTATTCCACTAAGGGCGCTACTGGGGTGTCCAAACCCGTCCCAGAAGCAATTCTGCTGTTCCTGCGCAGATATGGACGCAAATTTGGAATGCTTCTTGGCCTCTACATTCTTTCGCTTCTTCCTGTGGTCGGACGATTCGTCATGCCGGCAGCCTCCTTTTACACTTTCCAAAGTAGTGTAGGGACAACGCCTGCGGCGATCATCTTCGGAACAGGTCTGGTGCTGCCCAAGCGGTTCATTGTGCGGTTTCTACACACCTATTTTGCTTCTCGCAGTCTGATGCGTGAACTGGTGAGTTCTATCAGCCTTATTCTCTCGGCAACTAGCTAACCGTGTGAACAGCTGGAGCCATACTTTTGCCGAGTCCATTTCACGTCGGAGCAGAAGCGCCGCTGGTTCTTGGACCGTCAAGGTGTGCTGTTTGGCTTCGCATTCGCCTTCACCGTGGTCTTGAAAGCACCCTTCATCGGCGTGCTGATGTACGGTGTCGCGCAAGCATCGACCGCGTACCTGGTCACCAAGATCACCGATCCCCCACCAAGCCCTGCCGAGAGCGAAGGATTTGCTGAGAGTCAGGTCACCTGGAAGAACAAGCACGATTTCCTCCGGTTGTCGCTTGATAACCTCGACAAACTCAACGTCGCTCTGCAAAACGAAGGAGTTTCGGAGGGCACCAAAGTACCAGGGACTCCAGGACGGAAATACAGCTAGGAGACGAGACATCCTTCCACCCCAAAAAACCAAACCAAAGATGATCAGAAGCCCGGTCAGGTTGAGGAGCCAATCCCGAGCACCGATGGCCGGAGTGTATCAATATGGCCTATCTATATAACATAAAATGCAAGTTTGTCATATTAGTTTACTTGACTAAAGCTCCGTGTTTTATTATCACCTACAAATCAATCCGTCTATCGGACTTGCTGATAAGCCCGGGGAGAGATAAGAGCGGCATTAAGTGTGCTTTCGGCCCTACTAAAGTACTATGGATGTACCAACTAGCCTACTACTACTGCTGCTATGTATTCCCAGGCACTCAGCACTGATAAGGATGGATGTAACTGCTGATACGTCGACGACTTGTAATCCTTCTTCATTCCGTTCAATTTGGAGTAGCAGAATTTATGCAACGCTCATCTGCGGGGTAGACGCAATGACTGGTTGATGGGATGGATTGGAGGTCTATCTATCTACATACTTCCTTCCACCCAACTCCGACTTACTATATATATACATCATCCAGTCCAGGTACAAGCAAGAAAACCATCGATTTTCCATCTACAGCAAACCCGAGAAACAATCAAAATGGGCGTAAAAGGCATCCGTACTGCTTTGAAGGTCGATCTGAACAAACCAGCTTGGGAACAGGAGGGTTTACATGTACGTGCTCGCGCTCATACAACGCTGACGTCGACACTGCTAACACAAGCACTAGAATCGGTGGCATCCAGATGGTATGTAATCGCTAAGCGAGACAGCTTTCCATGGTCGTTACCTCTGTTCTCACAATCGTTTGTTTGTGAACAACAGTACCTGCCTACGGCAAGATTGCCAACAATGAAGTGGTCAAGATCGAATGCCTCGACTGGACCGGCGGACAGATCAAGAACAACGACTCTGCCGACGACATCAAGAACGTCGACTTGACTCAGATCCACTACCTGTCGGGCCCCTTCGAGATCGAGACCGCTGAGCCCGGCGATGTCCTGCTCGTGGAGATCCAAGACGTCCAGCCCTTCGAAGACCAGCCCTGGGGCTTCACGGGCATTTTCAGTAAAGATAATGGAGGCGGCTTCCTAGACGAACTCTACCCAGAGCCGTATGCCCTTTCTCCATTGTGCCATTGAAATACATGGTTCGCTAATTGATCTCTTCCCCCCTCGGCAGAGCTAAAGCAATCTGGGACTTTGAGGGTATCTTCTGTTCTTCGCGACACATCCCCCACGTGCGGTTTGCAGGCCTCATCCACCCGGGAATCCTGGGCTGCGCTCCGTCTCCCGAGGTTCTCGCCGAATGGAACCGCCGTGAAGGCGAGCTGATCGCGGCGAACACCACCAGCCGCGATGTCGCCAAGCCCCCCGAGCCCAAGAACGTGCACGCCGGCACAGCAAGCGAGGAAATGAAGACGAAGATCGGCAAGGAAGGCGCGCGAACGATCCCAGTACGCATACCCCCCCACCCACGATGCAAGGGAAGATTACCCCCCCGTAGCTAACACAACCCCAGGGCCGCCCCGAGCACGGCGGCAACTGCGACATCAAGAACTTGTCGCGCGGCTCCAAGGTCTACCTCCCCGTGCACGTCCCCGGCGCCAAGTTCTCCGTCGGCGACCTGCACTTCTCGCAGGGCGACGGCGAGATCTCCTTCTGCGGCGCCATCGAGATGGCCGGCGTGATCACGCTGAAATTCACCGTACTCAAAGACGGCATGGCCAAGCTAAGCATGAAGTCGCCCATCTTCCACCCGGGGCCCGTCGAGCCGCACTTCGGACCCGGCCGCTACCTCACCTTCGAGGGCTTCTCCGTCGACGAGCACGGCAAGCAGCACTATCTCGACGCGACGGTGGCGTATCGCCAGACGTGTCTGCGGGTCATCGAGTATCTCCGTCGCTACGGGTATAACGATTACCAGATCTATCTGCTGCTGAGCTGTGCGCCGGTCCAGGGCCATATTGCGGGACTGGTGGATATTCCAAATGCGTGCACCACTCTGGGCGTCCCAATGGATATTTTCGATTTTGATATCAGACCGGAGGCGGACGTGATTAAATTGGATATGGGAAGTTGTGCGTTCGCTAGCAAGTGATTTTGATGGGTTCTCTGCATGATTTTCATGGTGGTTGCTATCTGTCCCTTTCTCGATTCTCTAGTACCTAGCCTTCTTCCTTATGAGCCGACGATACGACGGCTCTGTCTCTTATAGCAGCAGCTTCCTACTCATTTGATATGTTTTCCATGAGTTTATTCGTTCTTCAAGCGTAAATTGGAGTCATATCCCCACATGTACAGGAAGTCATTGACTTTGAGATCATTCGCCATGCAGCGAGAGGCATCCACCCCTACACCTTGATCCTGGTCCATTGTCCCTCTTCAAGGTTTTGAAAATCCATAATCTGTCCGGGTCCCCCAAAGCGATTCTGCGTTGCCCTCCAGTCTCGACCAACCGCCGTCTCCGGTCTCCAGCGTACAACATCCTTCAAATCTTTCTGCAAACTCCCTTCCAGTGCGTCGGCGATAAAGCCGCCAATAGTGGGCATCTGCATCGCACCATTCCCCGAGCCTCCTACGGCAACCACCAAGGAAGGATACTCCGGGTGTTTATCGATCAAGAACGCCCGGTCCGGGGTGTCCGCGTCCCAGCATATCCGGGCAAAAGACAAGGGCCGCTCAGCCAGATGGGGCATCGTATCGCGGAGAAAGTCTCTCGCTCGAGCTTCGGCCTCCAGCGGAATCTGGTGCTTGGCGAATGGGATACTCCTCGTCTCGCCTGGCCGGTCTGGGTCGGGGAGGAAGTTGCAGTAGCCCGGATGCTCGTCGCAGATCTTGAGCTCGTGGTTATCCGCATCTGGCTCCATGAAGAAGCCCTTGGCGATGTTAAACAGAACAGGGAGGTTCCGGTACCGCGCGGCCTCTTCCGGGGTCATCTGGATATGGCAGAGCGTCCAGGCGGTGGGACGAAGCTGCTTCTTGAAATCCAGGAGCATGTCGCTTCCAGCGCCTGCTGACAGGATGGTGTAGTCGGCTCTGTGCAGTTTGCCATCTGCAGTCCTGGCTCCGATTACATCGCCGCCCTCATAGGCTAGGGAATCGACATTCCCCTCCGGAGAGCCAGTGACGAAAGTAACGCCTAGCCGCCTAGCCTCACTGAATGCAGAGACCATGGCCTTTTTGGCGTGGATCCAGCCAGCACCATCCTTGCGCCACCATCCTTTCCAGCCTGGGAAGTCGCCAGTGAGCACCCCGGCGGGCATCGTGCCGCGAAAGTCCTCTGCAGTCTCAAGTTGGACGAATGCGGTCTCGGAAGGATCGATTTCGTCTTCCTGTATGTGCTTGAGTAAAGCAGGCGTGTGGCCTGATACGATTGCACCAGTTTCATGGAAGAACGGTTGGAAGACGGGGTCTGTCTTCCACGCGTTCAGAGCAGCTCGCGTGAACGTTGCGAAGGCGATACTCCGGGAATCCGGCTCCCCATCTATACATCTGTCAGTAAATTATACCGATGGTATCTGGCAAATGAGAACGATCCTTTTTTGGGGCTACCTTTGAGCTCATTGTGTTCCATAATCTTGTTGATATCATTGCCTGCCGCGATGGGCGAAGGAACCGGATGAGGATCCAGGACAGTGACATGCTTGTATCCTCGACGAGCAATATCCAGAGCAGTCGAGCAGCCCCAAGTTCCAGCTCCGATAATCAAGATGGAGGATTCGATGCTCAATGGTGAAGGCGCCATTGTTTAGATGTGTTGAGCCAGGGACCACGGGGGGTGTCAATGCCGCGCAGGCGAAACGATCGTGGACTATATTCCAGTAAACAAGTAGACCCTCTCGAATGTCACATTTCAATCCGGACCGTCATGGTGATATATCTAAATAGACCTGGTGTCGGACCATCGCGAGACGTTTGTGTGATGAATGTGGCTCAACTCCCATCGGCTGTTTTTTTCCCGCTTCGGCGGCTGGACCTTCCTCGCTTCTTGTCTCTCTTCTCTGGCATTCCATCTCTTAGTGACATGACAGTTGGCTGCATCGATGCTAAATGGGAGAAGTGATGTAGGCCTGATCAACCTCATTCCAATGAATATTCTATTTCGGGGTTTGTCGTGAAGGGTTTCATTCTAGCTGGGATACACTTTAAATCCACGTTTCCATTGATTAAGGGCGGCGTACACAGAACTTTGGGGGTGCCCTTGTGGATGTTTACACTCTCCCCGTCTCATGTTGCTCATTTGCGCTGCTCAATCTACGGTTGTGAACCATTGGACTCCATCGTCGCCAGCCTTGGTTGCAACGATCGCATAACAAGTCTTCTTTGCAACACGCATAGCTTTTCTTTAAAGAAAATCCATTCAGATGCTACTTAATCATGTGCCGTGCGTATCCGAGGAAGAAAAGATACACTGCGCCGAGTATCCATGCCTCAAAGTAGGAATCTCATAAAAGCAGTCCGAGAGACTCCCATCACCTCCTTTGGGTCCCAGACTGAGAAACAGCTTGGAAATGTAAAGTGACCGTTGTCGTTTTTTGTGTTCAGACGGGGTTGAGAAAACGAAAAATAAAAAAAAAAAAAAAAAAACATAAAATCATGAGTCATGACCGATGAACCATGACGCCCAAGTCTTCTTATGAGAAGAATCTCCTAGCGGCGGCCTTTTCCTTGGCCTCACGGTCCTTGATGGCCTTCTTCACCTTGGCAATCTCGTTGGTGATGCCGGCATCACCGGGAGCCAGCTTCGAGGCCTCCTGGAGATCCTTCAGAGCCTCGTCCTCCTCCTTTTGACCAGTGTGAGCGACAGCACGGCGGTACAGGGCCTTAGCCTTATCCGCATCTTTGGCGTTGGCATCGGTAGCGACGTCCAGCGCGTAGGTAGCCCAGTTCTGAGCATTCTTGTACTGGCCGAGCTTGTTCGCGAGGAGCGAGGAATTGGAGTACAGGGTGAAACGGAGAGCCTTCAGCTGCGGTCCCAGTTCCTTTGGGTCATCGTCGGTGGGATCGGGGAACTCGTTCAGGTAACGCAGACCCTTCTCATATTTCTCGAGCCCGAGAGCAAGGTCGCCACTCTTGAAGGCGGTGTTTCCGAAGTTCTTGAGCTCAGAGGCAATCTTATAGCAGACTTGAGCATTGAGCTCTTCACCTTGGTGGTCATCGGGGAAGTCTTCGTAAGGGTCGCCGGTGGCATCGGAAACCTGCTTGGTAGCATCGTCATAAGCCTGACCAGCGAGCTCACCGCAGTCGACGATGGTCACGTCGGTGGTGGGCTTGTCGGACTGGGTGGGGAGGTTCTCGATCTTGCGAACAACACTCTTGCCGTTGATCACTTCACCGAAGACCACGTGCTTGCCATCCAGATGAGGAGTGGGGACAGTGGTGATGAAGAACTGGCTGCCGTTGGTCCCGGGGCCGGAGTTGGCCATCGAGAGGAGGAAGGGTCTGTCATGCTTGAGCTCGAAGTTCTCGTCGGGGAATTTCTCGCCGTAGATGGATTCGCCTCCGGTTCCGTTGAAGGCAGTGAAGTCACCACCCTGAATCATGAACTGTTTGATCACGCGGTGGAAGATGGAGCCTAAGCCCCGGCAAAAGTAAGCGTCTGGATCGCGCCGGAAGGAGGATGAGAAGTCGCACCCTTGAAGCTCAATGGCTTTCCCTGCTTTCCCATGCCCTTCTCCCCAGTGCAGAGAGCACGGAAGTTTTCTGCGGTCTTGGGAACAACTAAAGCTCTTTGTCAGTACCTTGGCGGCAGCAGGCGAGGCTGGTGTTCCGTACCATCGTTGAACTGCAGTTACAACATCCGAAATTAGCTACATATTCCCAATTGACTGATTCCAGTCATTCTACAGGACACTCACCAGCTCCAGAGTGACGCGATTGGGCTTCTGCTTGCCAATCTGAATGTCGAAGTAGACACGCGGGCGACCTGCGTGCCAGAGAGTCTGCATCAGTAACCCCTCATCTGATGGTCTGGAACCCCACACTGGCAGAAAGCACACTTACGCTGAGATTCAGCCATGATGGAACACTGGGAGTCACTAATTTTGTGAAAGATATGAGAAAAGAGATAACTGGGGATTACTGGTAAAGGCAGAAAGAGGATTAGTGGGCGATAGTGAAAGGGTGAGTGAGGAGGAAAAGAGAGATCGATGCAGCAAAAGTTCAAGTGGGCTGGACCAGCCTTTTTGCGATGCTTCAGGAAGCTTCCATCATCTCCGCACGCCCACTGTAAATGCTCCAGGATGGGGCTAAGCACTGTTCTCAGCTCATAGGACAAGAGATTTGAGATTTACTGGTCAATATAAATGCAAGAGCATCGTCTTATATGCAGTTGGTGACTCTATAAAATATGTACAGCTGACCCTAAGCCAAAGCGACCCCCAACACCGTTATGCAGAAACACCGTCCCGAGTCATTATTCCAGCAATGATGCCGGAAGTTCGAATTCGATGGTTTGCGTTTCTCCATCTTTCCGTTCGCCTTTCCGCTTGCTCTCCTCCTCTCCTGGCTGCTTCTCCTTCTTCGGTAGCTGAGTGTTGATCTCGATTGTGACCTAGAACCGGATTTCATCGTCAGCAAGCTGGCTTGCGAAAGGGGGCGAGGAACGAAGAGAGCATAAGCTATACCGCCGCATCCTCACTGCGGTAATTCACACCCACCGGCCCATCATTCTTCAGTTCGACATCCATCATGGCCTGAAAGACGCCGTTCTGAACCCGTTCGGGCTTGTAGGCATCCTGCAGTCGTTGAAAGAAGTAGTCGTACAATTTGCGAGCTGTCTCAACGTCGGCAGCGTCGTGGAAATCGGGCTTGCTGCCTTTCTTCAATTGGCCGTATAGTGTAAATTGTGATACTACAGCACAGTCAGAGAGATGCATGCTTGGTGATTCGGAAGGGTCCAATCTACCACAAAGCACCTCGCCTTCGATATCCTGTACGTTTCGTTTCCACTACGAAAGTGGGCAGCTGTTAGCTCATATAGTCCACAAAAATACCCCTGGTGCGAGTCACTCACTTGTCCTCCCTCCTCTGTAGGCCAAAGCTTTGCTTTCAATATGCGGCTAATGAGTGTATCCGCATCCTTCTCGGTATCCCCCTTTCCCACACCGGCAAGAACAAGAAGACCACGACCGATGGAAGATATTAATTTTTCGTCCACTGTAACCGACGCCGACTTTACTCTTTGGATAACCGCTGGAAGATCACTAGGTTAGCCGAGTACGAACAAAAACAATCGCAGGACGAGGGGTACCTTTCATATTGCGTTATTCGACAAAAAAGTTGTATTATAATACTAGCATCCTTGTTAGATCAAATATCCATAGAGATAACAAAGCCAATGTGAATAGCCTTCACAATTGCCTATCAAAATATGGGGAAGTATAACGGTAGCCGCAAACGGAATAACCATCTTCTCATACTTACTACTTCAACAGCTGTAGAGCAGGCACATCATCAGATATCAAAGCGTAGACAACCTCGTCAAAGCCGCAACAAAAATATAGTATTTTAGAATGTCCAGATCATCAGACTGATGAATGTGTTGTTCTCCAGCACAGAATAATATTCACCAGAGAAACTGATAAGTAACCCAGAAATTCGCCTCCTCCGCCCTTGATAAACCCTCCCGCACACTTTCTGGCCTGCCCGCCTCACTCACCGCCTTCACAAGTCTTGCCAACTCCGACAAGCACCAGGAGATTGAGTGACATACCCGATCTTTTCTAGCATCATCTCCCAGCGCGCCTGGTTTTGCATTCTTTCCCGACACCCTCCTTCCTATCCTCCGTCAGGATCGTCGCTCCTACACCTCAACCCCCATTGATCGCCCTCTCTATCTTCCCGAGACCCGCGATTTTCCTGATCTCCTCCTTGCGGCATTGTGTTCTCATGAACAGCAGCCATGACATCCCGCAAAACACAACAAGAGATCGACAAGACCTTCAAGAAGGTCGCAGAAGGCATCCAGACATTCGAAGGGATCTATGAGAAGATCCGGTCAACATCGAATGCCACCCAGCGGGATAAGCTGGAAGAAAACCTCAAACGAGAGATCAAGAAGCTCCAACGATTTCGCGACCAGATCAAATCATGGGCTTCGGGCAATGAAGTCAAAGACAAGACACCGCTGCTCGAGCAGCGCAGAGCAATCGAAACTGTGGGCTAACGATTCCAAACCGACTCACACCGCCTTTGACGAATATGGGAACCAAGCTAACAGAGGTGCAGTGTATGGAGCAGTTCAAAGCCGTGGAGAAGGAGATGAAGACCAAGGCATACTCCAAGGAAGGCCTCTCGGCGGCATCACGACTCGATCCCAAAGAGAAGGAGAAGCTGGAGGCAAGCGATTTTCTATCGACGTGCGTGGACGAGCTGCAGCAGAAGATCGAGGCGATGGAGGCCGAAGAGGAGACCCTCCACGTGCAAGTGAAGAAAGGCAAGAAGGACGTCGCCCGGACCAACCGCTTATCTGACCTCTCGCGGATATTGGAACGACATAAATGGCACGTCAACAAGCTCGAATTGCTGCTACGGTCCCTTCAAAACGGCAACGTTGAAACGAGCCAGGTGGTTGATCTCAAGGAGAGCATCAAGTACTACGTTGATGACGGGCACAATGTCGACTACTGTGGGGAGGATGAGACGCTCTATGACGATCTGAACCTGGGTGAAGAGGCCGAGGTGCAGTTCGGTATGGTTGGTGACAATGATCGCGTTTCGTCGCAGGACACACAATCGATCCAGGACGATGAGGTGGAGCCGAAGCCGAAGCCAAAGAGTGAGATCAGCGGACTTCGCAGGCCATCCGCCCAGATGAAGTCGCCTCTACCTGTGCTCGCAACGCTGCATCCTCCCCCGTCCACCAGCACGACCTCTGGCATGAAACCGGCACCACCTCCGACTCGTCTGCCCGGCGAAACTCTCAAGTATGCCTCGGCCGCGGCCGCTGCGGCTGCAAGCGACAAGAGTGGTGTCGGTATCGCTCCTCTCCCCCCACCACCAGGCGCAAGCCCTGCCTACACCGCCGCCATCCCTGTTTCCAGAGCATCATCCACAGCATCACCGATTGTGGCCTCGGTACAACCCGTATCGAAGCCTGCGACAACCGTTACTGAAGAGCCTGGCGGGCACGGCCGGTCGAGGACACCGGCCCTCAGTCCCAATGTCGCAGCATCATCCGTACCCAGCACCTCGTCAACTTCGCCCCCTGCTCCTGTGGTGGAGACGGTGAGCGCCTCAAGGACGAAGGAGCCATCCGCACCCACCAACGGTGAAGCGGCCAACGAGGAGCAACTGGACGAGTCGATATACCACCTGCCGCCGGGGCTGCAGGATCTGATCCAGTCGTTTGAAATTACGAAGAGCCGAGCATCGAGCAATCCGGCCAATCCTCCACCGTCGGTGCAGCGGCTGCTTGCAGCATCGCTGACCATGTGTCCAGAGCCCGCCGATGCAGAGAAGCCGCGTCACTACCGTCCCTCGAATCCCTACAACACCCCTCTCTACTACCCGCAAGAACCACTCTCGATCTTCGACGATCCCCGGTTATACGACACGGGACGAATCGATACAGATACGCTGTTCTACTTGTTCTACTATCGACAGGGTAGCTATCAGCAATACCTGGCGGCCAAGGCCCTCAAGAACCAGAGCTGGCGCTTCCACAAGCAGTACCAGACATGGTTCCAGCGTCACGAGGAACCGAAGAACATCACGGAAGAGTACGAACAGGGAACGTATCGATTTTTCGACTACGAGAGTACCTGGTGAGTTGTTTTTTTTTTTTTTCCTTTCCCCTGTCTGGTTTACAAGGATATGACACCACTAACACTGTGAGCAGGATGAACCGACGCAAGGCAGATTTCAAATTTGTCTACAAGTATCTGGAAGATGAGTTATAAGATATCTGTTTGTTCGGTGCACATGGGCGGGTTTTCCCTTTTTTTTTTCCTCTCTCCTGGTCGGGCGGCGAACGAGGGTTCTTTTGACAGTTCATGCCGCATTTACTGGCAAAGGGTTCCGATGAAATGGAGATCTTTCTCTCTCTATTTCTCTTTTTTTTTTCTATCTTCTTTCCTCTATGGTGTCATCTATGAATGAGTAAATGAATGGGACACAGCAGAACACGGGAGTTCTGTCTTATGCTTCTTTATACGGTGGTGGCTGGTCGAGCGCAGCATGACCAGCCGGAATAGAACGATCTGAGTACCTTGTCAGAGAGAAGGGAAAAAAAAAAAAAGAAAATATGAAAGACAGCCTCGTTTGTAGCTGATTCCGACCGGGTATTTTGCCTCAAAAGCTTGAGGTAGGTGTCTTTCAGCCTTTCCGACCGTCTTGGGGCAGTAGAGAGACAAGACGGGCTGCAACTGCAAGAGTCGAGAGGGACGGGAATATAGAATGACGCCCTGCCGAGCGTCTACTCGCCTCACTGAGCTAGATGAAACAAACCAGATAGACGGCGTCCTGGCAGACGCTTTCTTGTCTCGAATCTTGATCCTTCTCCAGTTGAGCAGTTGAACCTCGTAATGTGAGGGATTTTCTTCCCGCAGTCTTTAGATAGATACTCCTTGAGTCTATTGACTACAGTGTCTAGTAGTCAGAACACCTGCATGATGCATGATGTATCTAGCAAATTCACCTCGGTGCCTCGTTGACACTCTAGTCCCGTCGTGGTTAAAAGGACAAGAACGGACTACTGTGTAAGTCAGTTAGTTATAGTTCGTTCATAAGTCCATATGTCCCTACTGGGGGCTGTGTGGTAGCCTGTGGGCTGTGGCCGTAGGTATTGATCGGGGAAAGAGGATTGTCAGTATTCCAGAATCTAGATTCCCAGTATTCCGTAAAAGTACGGAATACTCTGTACTGCCAGCCGTACTCCGTAGTATCTGGAGATAAGTACGTCCTCTCTCCAAAAGTCCAATCAAGTCAATCAATAGAGAGGAAATATCCGGTCGCCAGCCTCAGCGATCGTTTCGAAGCCGTCGTGCTTGGCAGGTGATCGTTGGAGGGAGTGATAAAAGGTGATTGGACTTTCTCCATGAGACTATGACCACAGGGCCACCAGGATGGTGGATTCTGGAGCACAGTTGTTCTTTCTGAGCCTCCTGACTTGAGGGATTTCAAGTTGCGTCCTTTCATTATTCATTATTATTCATATTATTGATTGCTATCTCCGGGGTTGGTGGTTATTTCTCCCCGGGAATGGTGTGCCGAGTTCGATTGGATGTCATCATTGTTGTCTTGGTAGATCTGCAGGGTTTTCAGTCAGTAACAATGGGCAGAGTAGAGTAATGATGATGATGATGGTGATGATGGTAATAATGAAGTGGAACACATGATGCTTTGCTTTGCTTTCCTCGTACTTTTGCCCACTTCTTTCCCCAGCATCCCCAGCATCACTTTTCTCGTAGGAGGAGGAAAATCCCAATGCGCAGCCTCCACAATGTCAATAACACCTCAATAATCTTCCATCCGAGAGCCGCATCGCCATCACCGCCAGATGGTCTGGTAACTGGTTAGAAGCGCAACCACCCTCTTCCCGTCTCCCTAGTTCTGGGCTCACGTCGTCGTCCCTCACTAGTCGGGTAGGACAAGATTGCCATCCTGCCGCTGCACCTATCATCATCCTCATCGTGTCTCCGACTGCAGTCTGCTCCTCTTAACATTCTCGGCCCGTCAGACTTATCTGCTCTCCCAATCAACTCCCCGAATGCGTTCCCCATCCAAGGCGCAGGGGGAGGGGGAAGAGAGAACCAGGTTCGTTTCGCGCTAGAAGGACCCAGGAAGTTTCCATTGTTCCTTGGACTTTCTAGAGTCAGCGCTAGGCAGGGATTCGGGCATATCAGGCATGTATCTGGCGCTGTTTTGCGTACTGGGAGATCGACCGCTTCACTTGTCGTCCCGCAACGCTCCAATCACGCCGCGGTGGCTGTGTGTCGCAATGAGCAACTAGCTATCTAGCACTCTCGGGCCCTTCTTCTGCTTCTCGTTCTCGCTTACCCATCTTGCTGTCTGATTGGCCGGGTTGGAATTGTTCGCTCAGGTGACGTCGCTCGGGTCTGCGAACTGACTAGGTGAAATATCGAGTCGTGAATTCGAGCGAGATGTAATAATATAAAACCGCCCCAGGGTGCTCGAGAGAGAGAGAGAATACAGACTCACAGGGATCCAGAACTTGATGCACGTGCAATGCAGACGAGATTCATGGCTCTTGCTTTCTTCTTCTTCGTACCACCTTTACTATCATCACCGTGATCATTCATCCGTATAAGAAGCCTACTGGCGATCTTCTTTCGTTTGTTGTGTCTCCATCTTGACTATCCTTAACATTCAGACCTTCATCATGTACTCTCCAATGAACGATGGGCTCTACGCTCCATTTCCAATGGTAAATAGAATCCATTCCTACATATACACACACATACACACCTTCAGTGTCCTCAAGGAACTCATCATGTCTGCTTCCTCAGAGCCCAATCGACCCATCCTGCCCTCCCATGGAGCAGTCCTACTCCACCACCAGCCAAACTCCAAACCAGCCCTCGCCTCTCTCTTTCAGCTTCACAGATGTCTATCCTTCATCTGGATCCGAGCTCGAGATCCCGTTCTATTCGCTCTATGATATGTCGCCGCCGAGTCCACACAACTCTAACATCCAAGAGCTGTACGCTCTCAACACATCCTACAGTGTTCCGATCCCATCATCATCATCATCATCATCATCCTACTCCTCGTCCTTTGAATCGCAGTTCACCTTCACCCCGAACATCGACGATTCAATGCTCACCTACAACCCCTTTGGCACCTCCGCTCCCTCATCCGAGTCCTCCAAGTAAGATCCCCTCCACCTTCCTTAGAGTGTCGTCTCGTTTCCTCTCAACTAACGCACTCCCCCTCCAGATCTACCAAACCCTATGGCTGCGAGGACTGCGGCAGAGCCTTCACCCGCTCCGCCGACCTGAGGCGCCACCAGACCAGCGCCCACAACCCCATCTATCAGGATTGTCCCGTGGAGCACTGCTCGCGCAAGAAGCTGAACGGCTTCCCGCGGCGAGACCACTTGATCGAGCATCTGCGCTCGTATCACCACTTGGACGTGCCGAAGCGTCGGATGACCAAGCGCGCTCCGAGAAGTGCTGCATGATTCCTTCGCCTGTTTCTTTTTCTTTTCCTTTCTTTTTTTTTCCGTTTTTTGAAATTTATGACTTGGATGTGGTATTGTACATGAGGTATGACTTTCTGGTTGACTCCCAGGCTTTTGTTTTCTTTTAGATGTGTCAATGAATCGGAGGGATAGAGGCGTTCTGAGATGACGTGTGTTTTCCCTTGTCTTTCTTTCATTGGGTCTGTCTGTCTTCATTATGATAAACCTATTCCTGTCCTGTCCTGTCCTGTCCTGTCATCAACAGACAGATATTGATTTCCCAGTGTTTTCCTCTTGTTTATACTCTCTGATACAACGGATGGCGAAGAGGTGGTGCACATTTTAGGTTTTGCCCTTGGACTTGCTTGGTTTGATTTGTACAGTAATCACTTCCTTCCCTTCCTCTTCACCTCGTCATATACTTTGCTTCAATTCCTTCCATCCATCCAGACAACACCAGCAACAACCAATAGACTCGGGAATATATCTCACCCAAAACACCACAAACCCTATTAACACCCCCCCCCCCTTTCATCCCTACTCCAAAACCACAAACCCCCCAAAACACTCCCCCCTCGCCCTCCCCCTCCCATCAAACACCACCCCCTCCCCCTCCAACAACCTCCTCTTCTCCCCCTGACGTCCCCCAACCACCCCTCCCTTCCCCCGCGCACCCCACTCCCCCTTATACCCCCCGAGCGAGCCATCCGCCGCCAACACCCGATGACACGGCACCCCCGGCGCAAACGGGTTCGCGCGCATCGCGCCGCCGACCGCGCGCGCGCTCGTGCCCACGTACGTCGCCAGCGCGGCGTACGTCGTCCACCGGCCCGCGGGCACGGAGAGGAGCGTGCGGTAGATGCGCCGGCGGGTGGGGGTTAGGGTTGGGTGGGTTGTGATGCGGGTGAGGAGGCGGTCGAGGGGTGCTGCTGGGGCTGCTGGGGCAGCCAAGGGGGTTGCGAGGGTGGGTTGGGTTTGTTTTGCACGTAGCTTTGGCTCTGGCTTTGGTGATAGTGGTACTGGTAGTGATAGTGATTGAGATGGTGATGCTGTTGGCGTCGGGTCTGTGGTTTGTTCTTGCGTTGCCATGTTGATGTTTGGATCTGGTATGTCCGTGTTGATTGGGATCTTGTATGTGATGAATTCTGGTTGGGCTTTTTTGGGGGGGGGGGGGGGGGGATTCCTAGCTAGATGTTAAAAGGATATACTTTATACTGATGTAAATCCTTACCTGGAGAGGATTTGAGGCGGGTGAAGTTGCAAATAAGGATGGATTGGATGCCCGTTTGTCGCTTTATACATGGACAGTGGCTACTAGTTATCCGGATTGCTCTCAATGTAGCAAATCAGAGCACGAGGCAGTTCGCGTCGACACGTGAGAACTACCTCACTTCGCAACACGGTTTGCGGCAACCCTTTACGATGGTAAGATGTCGCCAGAAATCTCAATATCTACATTCATTCTAGCTCCTAGAGCGAAATGCCAGGCATCTATCTGCATGGGCCGTGCCGTACGCTGTGATCACGTGATCCTGCAATCTCAAGTAGTCTATATTGGTTGAACCTGGGATGATAGATGAGATCTCTTCGTCATAAATTCCTAGTAGACAACACGACCAACATAAAAAAAATATAATAAGGTGAAATGCTACAGGTAGGTTGCTAGCGTGGCTAGGCTAAAGGAGGAAATACAGGGCGGAGCATGAAGGGGTCAGGAAGCTTAGAAGTGGATGGCCTTGGAGTAGGTGGCCATGGCCGCCTCCTTGAAGGCTTCGGCCAGGGTAGGGTGGGCGTGGCACGTCCGGGCAATGTCCTCAGAGGAGGCACCGTACTCGACAGCCAGCGTAGCCTCAGCGATCATCTCGCCGGCGTTGGGGCCGATGATGTGCACCCCGAGAATGCGGTCGGTCTCAGCGTCAGCAATGAACTTGACCTGGCCCTCGGTATCGAGGTTGGTCTTGGCGCGAGAGTTGGCGCTGAAGGGGAAGGTACCGACACGGTACTTGATGCCGGCGGCCTTGATCTCAGCCTCGCTCTGGCCAACCCAGGCGACTTCGGGATGCGTGTACATGACGCTGGGGATGGCGGCGTAGTTGACGTGGCCGTAGCCCTTCTTGATGTACTCGATGGCGGCAACGGCCTCCTCCTCGGCCTTGTGGGCAAGCATGGGGCCGAAAGTGCAGTCACCGATGACCCGGATGTGAGGGAGCTTGGTGCGGTACTCCTGGTCGATCACCAGGCGACCTCTCTCGTCCTTCTCAACACCAACGTTCTCCAGGCCAAGTCCCTCAGTGTAAGGTCTGCGGCCGATGGCAACAAGGACAACATCGGCATCCAGGGTCTCCTCCTTTCCACCCTTGGCGGCCTCAACGCTCAGCTTGACGGTCTCTCCGCTGTCATCGCCCTTGGTGACCTTGGTGCCGGTCTTGAACTTGATACCCTGCTTCTGCAGAATCTTCTGGGCCTGCTTAGCGATGTCGGTGTCCATGCCGGGTCCACCGATCTGGCCCAGGAATTCGACGACGGTAACCTCGGCGCCGAGGCGAGACCAGACGGAAGCCTGTAGTCCAAGTCGATTAGTAAGGTAGAAAAGATACCATGGTGGTCCGCGAGGGTTGGTCACTCACCATTTCCAGACCAATGATACCACCACCGATGACGACCATCTTCTTAGGAACCTCCTTCAGGGAGAGAGCGCCAGTGCTGGTGATGATTCTCTTCTCATCGATGGTCAGGCCGGGGAAGGGAGTAGCCTCACTGCCGGTGGCAATGATGATGTTCTTTCCGCGCAGAGTCTGCTCACCACCATCGAGCAGGTTCACCTTGACAGTGTTGGGGTCAACGAACGAGCCGGTACCCTTGATGTAGTCGACATTGTTCTTCTTGAACAGGAACTCGATTCCTTTTGTGAGACCCTCAACGGAGGTGTCCTTGGCCTTCATCATCTGCTCGAGGTTCAACTTGACATCACCGACCTCGATACCGCGCTTTTTTGTGTCATGGAGGACCTGGTGGTACAGATGGGAGTTGTTGAGCAATGATTTCGAGGGGATACAGCCAACGTTCAGGCAAGTACCACCCAGACGTCCACGCTTCTCGATACACGCGGTCTGTCCGAAAAATCGATCAGTGTTTAGTAGCCAGTCGCAAAAATTCGCCCTTGTTGTCACCCGTTCAGGAAAAGCGCACCTTCAGACCCTCCTGGCCAGCCTTGATAGCAGCGACGTAACCAGCGACACCACCACCAATGATAACGACATCGTGTTCTCCTAGATGCAACAAAATCCCGCAAGTCAACCAACCACCCTTTTCGGAAGCGCAGGCATCGTCCTCGGATGGATCCACCTCGGACTCCAAATGAGCTCAATATCACATACCAGATTCAGAAGCGTATCCACGTCTCAGACGTCCGTACAGAGACAGAGAGGGAGCAGCAACGAAGGCCGAAGGAACAGACTGAGGACCGGCAGTGCGGAGGGTAGCCCGCGGTGTCGTCCGCGGCAGCATACTCCGAAACATGATGTGCTGGGAAAGATGTCAAGAAGAAAACAAGAGTATGGAAGAGATTACAAGAGATAACCGATCCTCCTTATCAAGAAACTGGGGAGGAAAGGGGAGGCAGGAATTGGGGATAGCAGTAGGCTAGTTTGGTAATAAGGAAAAGGATGTTGGGATGAGGAAAGCTTTCTTGAGGTTCTGGCAGTGGCAGCAAAAGCTGGCGGGCCGGTATCGATACCGTATGCATCGCATATGTAATCATCCGGACCACTCAGCGTCGGGTCAGATCGGCTATCAACTTCCACATTGCCGGCAAGCAGATACGTGAACAACAGGATTCGAGGGGTGTTTTTGCATTAGAGCGTAGCACTGGGTCAATTCAAATATAGGATATAGCGAACTTACAGGAGTTATTGACCTTGCACAAAGAAAATTGTTGGTCATGGACTGTTGTTGAGGGTGAAACGATGGGCGGTAATTCAGTATACCGGACAGACTAACCCATACTCGTCAGCGGTAAAGGTGGATAAGATAAAATCGACCTCTGTTAAGGCTGACGGGAAACCACCACCATCACAGCGCGTTGAGCATCTTGAAGGCATCGGGTCTCACCGATAATGGTCATCTATCTAGGAGTCTAAGATCTCAAGATCTCCTCATGCGAGATGTCTCTCGCCGTCCGCCGCAGACAGATGCACGCCAATGTTGATACGTGCTTGGTTTCCGCGGGTAACACGAGGTATCTAATGGCTATCGTCGGACTTGAAAGCCTACCGCAATAGGTTTTAATATGACATCTGCACCTGGATCGACTTGGTCTGTTGGCCATAGTCTGGGCGGCCTCAATTAACGGGGTGGTTTCAGTAGGTTAGCAAGTCGTCGCACCTCCAGATGGATCAGACATCACAAGGGAAGGACAATCGTCCAGTTTGATTCAGGGAAGGGCTCCACGAAAGCCTTGTTCGTCACCGAAATATATAGTAGAAGGAGGACATGAGGTGCAATGCGGATCAAAGACCAGAAGAATCAGAATCAGAAGTATTGGCTTCAATCGCCTGCATTGAGTCTTGTTTTGAGTTCAAGTTCTTTTCTCACCTTCTCCGCCTTATGATCGGCTCGCTGGGACACCAGATAGATATATCATAGGCATCAAAGTCTTCGGTCTGGAGCATTATTGGGGCAGCAATCTTCATTCATCATACGATATATATGGGTCCAGGCGTGGGGAAATCCTTCATACTGTGCAGACAACTAGACATAGCGAGAGACTGATAGTTATAGCTGGGGAAGACTGTCTGCCCCAAATTCTGATTGATTCCCTTATCTTCCTTTTGCTTTTTTTTCTTGCTATCTTACTATCGAAAACTGTATGGCCTCTTTACTGTTAAAGTGTAGTCCAGCAGTCCTCAAGGCTCGATTTACCTCAATGCCTGAAGTACATCAAGTCTCGCTTACCGTTGGTGACTCAGGCTTTATACTTGCCTAAGGTGTCGTCCTCCGTAAGGGAGTGACTTACAACTTGCAACTTGCAACTTGCAACTTGCAACCATCATCAATTGTTCCAGTGGTTCTCCATGCCCTCAGCGCTTCCACCAACCCTTGGCATTCTCTTGGATCCCAATTCCCTCTTGATCTCGGCTTCTATTGTCGGGCGACTTCCGACCTAATCCCGAGTTTCTTTCGCGCAGTCAGTCTCTCCACCCGAAACCCCCAGAGTTCAACTTTTACGCTCCCCGCAACCCCGACTCCATTCGATGGATTCGATCCCATTCACTCCATTGGATGGCATCGCGCCATTCTCCTTGGGAGGACCCTGAAAACAAGAGCTCTTAGAACTCTTACAAGCAGGAATTTCGCTACAAATTAGTAATGCCCAGGACTTGACGGTAAAAAGGGCTTGCTTGAGCCGCTTGAGCTCCTGTCCGCCACTTACCAGTCTTCCCCAAGCCGAGTCCCATTAACCGAGTTTTGCTGTAGAAAAGATCTTCGCGGTCATGAAGACGGCCTTGATGCTATTGCTGCCAGTAAAACCAGCGGATTTTGTCCGGGATGTTCGCCTACCGAAATCAAGCTGGTCGTACTTTCGATCCCGACAGCCACTCATACTTCATAGTAATGTGTGACTGGGACGCCTGAGCACATCGCTTCCCCCGAGTGCCTACCGGCTCTGTGACTGGATGCGATCATCATCTGGATTGAGGATAGATAGATTCTGCACCCTGCCGGGTCATTCCCCAACTTTCGAACTCCGGCTTCTTAGTCTGACAAGTCATAGGCTGTATTCCTGCCTTCTAGTGGGGAACGCCATTTCTTTCATCATCTTTTCCTCCTTGATCCCAGGATTCAAGGTTATCCCACTCGGAATGTAGCCAAATTCGGCCGTCCACCATGGGGGTTGCTCCGTACTACTCCAAATTTCTGCCCAGATTCTACCCGAAGTATCAATGCAAGTATGGAGATGGAGATAGGCAGTCCCTGTCGCCTCCAGATTTCGACCATTTAAAATGTCTGTCTCACCCCATGGGACAGACGATCTCTCCATCATTCTGACTCGCATTGTCTCTCCTCCACGTAGTTTGGTCTAGGGTGCTTATCGATCCATCGAAGTGTCCTAGATCCCCGGCCGTGATCAGCAATAGCAAGACCTCTTTTGAATATTGCCCCGTGGGGTTGACTTACTATCGACTTGCCTGGTGATACCAGAGACGCCGTCGCCAAAATGAGTGACCAAATCTCGTCATGGAACGTCGTGCACAAGCTGGAGAAGAAGCAGCTTCTAATTGCTATCAACAGCGTTGCCGCGTTGTCTATTCTTTTCTTTGGTAAGTTGGTCTGTCGTAGTTGTTGGTCTACTGTTGCAGTCGCTCATTGCTATGTGATCAGGCTATGATCAAGGAATGATGGGTGGTGTGAACAATGCGAAAGATTACATCGATCTGATGGGCTTTGGCCACACGGAGATGAGAGACGGCCAGCCTACCCCTGTAGTCACCAACAGTTTGCTACAGGGAGGTATCGTCTCCGTCTATTACCTGGGAACGCTTTGCGGATGTCTTTTTGGTGGATACATTGGTGATTCTATCGGCAGAATCAGGTCCATTGCTGCTGGCTCCGTGTGGGCCATACTGGGAGCTGCTCTACAGTGCTCAGCACAGAACCATAATTGGATGATCTGCGGTAAGCTTACTTCAAAGATTTGATACTTACACGCTACGTTGGCTGATCAAGATTAGCCCGTTTCATCAACGGAATCGGTACTGGTATTTTGAACGCGATTGTGCCTGTCTGGGCTACTGAGACTGCCGAGCACACTTCCCGTGGTCAATTCATTGCGATTGAATTCACCTTGAACATCTTTGGTGTCGTGCTGGCCTACTGGCTGGAATTGTGTGCATCCCTTGGATCCTTAGTTGGGTTTCGTTTTTGATGGCTCTTGTCTAATTCTCTATAGTGGCCTGTCTTTCATCGACAACGGCGAATCCCCCTTCCGCTGGAGATTCCCCATTGCCTTCCAGATTGTCTTCTTGCTCGTGCTGTTCGCCGCCGTTTGGTTCTTCCCCGAATCCCCCCGCTGGCTGGTCAAGGTTGGCCGCGAGAAGGAGGCCCGCTACATTCTCGGTCGTCTCCGTGGAACCAGCCCCGAGGATGATGCCCGTGCCGAGGCCGAGTTCCGTGACATCCAGAGCGCCGCAGAACTTGAGAAGACCACAAACTACAGCACCTCTTACTTTTCTATGCTCTTTGGCCGCAAGTCTGGAAAGCTGCACGTCGGACGTCGTGTGCAGCTCGTCATTTGGCTGCAGATCATGCAGGAGTGGGTTGGTATCGCCGGTGTCACAGTCTGTAAGTAGTTTGCTCCAATCGATAGGGCTCTTCGGACTCAAGCTTACCCTGTGGACAGATGCTCCAACGATCTTCAGCATTGCTGGCTTTGATTCGATGAAGAGTCAGTGGATCAGCGGTTTGAACAACATTTTCTACATGGTACGCCCCGTCACCGAGACCTTTTACTCTTGACGAATTTCCTGACTGTTGGTGTTACAGTTCGCTACCCTCATCTGTGTCTTCACTCTTGATCGGATCGGCCGTAGATGGACCCTTTACTGGGGTTCGGTCGCCCAGGGTATTGCCATGTTTCTCGCTGGTGGCTTCTCCCGCCTTGCCATTAACGCTAGAGAGGCCGGAGAGATTAGCAAGGCTAGCTCTTATGGCGCCGCTGCCGCTTCCATGATCTTCATCTTCACTTCGGTCTTCGGTGCTACTTGGCTTACTGGTATACTTGCTCTTGACTCTTTCTTCCGGGATTGATAATGCTAACTCTCTGTCAGTTCCTTGGATTTATCCGGCTGAGATTTTCCCCTTGGCCGTCCGTGCGCGTGGTAACGCCTGGGGTGTTGTCGGATGGAGTATCGGCAACGGCTGGCTGGTATGTTGTTCTAAAAGCCCCTCCTCATATTCTACTCGCTAATCTTGTCTCCAGACTCTCCTGTGCCCTGTCATGTTCAGCTCCATCGGAGAAAAGACCCTCTACATCTTCGCCATCAGCAACGTCATTACCATCCCCATGGTCTGGGCCCTGTACCCCGAGAGTAACCAGCGCACGCTGGAGGACATGGATCTGCTGTTCGCCGCCGACACCCCCTGGGTGTGGGACGCGGAGCGCACTTTTGCCCAGCTCAAGGCCGAGAACCCCGGCCATGTCGATGCGGCCAGCCGCAAGAACAGCGTCCTGGATGCCGAGGCCGGCAAGTCCCTTAGCTTGACAACCAAGCACGAGGAGTACGCCAAGACTGCACTATGAAGCCTGCTTCCTTCTCCAAGCAACGAATGACGGGTGGATGTCAAAAGAGCGGCCATTCCAGGGGATATACCCAGGATGCCGCTGTACGAATGCCGGTTAATGGAGCTGATACTTTTGTTTTTTTTTGTTTTGGTTTCCATATGGGGGAGTCTCAGTTGATGCCCTCCTGGCACTTGGAAAATGGGATGGGATAGATGTAACATGTAACAATAGAGGGTTCTACCCAGTTTATACCTTAGAATACCACTTCAAACGCGAATTGAATTCAATAATACCAAGATTCCACCACAACGCTAGGGTAAGGCTCCTCCGCGAAGGTGACTTTGCTATATACATAAAGGACCCTTCACGATCCTTACAACTGACCCCCCTCCCCCCCTCAGCAAGGCCTTAGCCCCTAAGGTCTATCCATAGTCCCTTGTTTGCGATGGGAGCACTAGTAAAACCCTTTATTCTGTAAAAACCCCCTTTTGGCAGAGGGAAAACTAAGAATAAGAGAAAAGGTTTGCAAACCTGTATTCATTCATCACTATTTAAATCTTCTTATGATGTATTTCAGGTTTGTGTTACCCAACCCTGTGATGCTCTTAAAAATCCCTCAATAGTCTTATTGTGTTAGATCTCTGTAGAGTAGGGTTTAGGGTATCTGTAATTTCTATAGAGTAATATAAGCCCTTCTTCTCTCTATCTTCTATATTCTCCCTAGTTTTCATTATATACAGTTTTGGTAAGGGCCCTTCCGCGACTTTATAATGTCCAGGTAAGAAGGTATTAATATGTCGTGAGAGATTACAGAAGATGTCATAAGAACTACTGATACTGATCACAGATGTAGTCGACGAGGAAATAGCCGATCCAGCACCGGCGGACCACAAAGACGACGTCGTGGTGCCCATAGTGTCTCCCACCGGCTTCCGAACACCTACCTACTGGCTCTCAGTATGGGGCTATTTAGCTGGCTAATCTGACGGTGAATTTTGATATAAGGGAGCCTAGATTCTTCGAGGAGCAGCAGGAGTAAAGGGCGTAGATGGCTGGAGCTTAATCTACTATATATAATCTATATAATTCTGAGAGCTATGGCATCTAAATTACTTTAGGATAGGCTTCCTGCTCAATTTGTGACCACCCCTCTAGGTAATGAAATCAGGGTAGGGGCAGTGAGCCCAGTGTAGATATCTGAGAAGGGTGATGGGAGAGATGATTTTTATATTTATACTATTTCTCTGCTAGTGTGGGAAGCTGCTAAGGCTGTTAAGGCTGTGGATGAAGTGATTCAATTATAGGGAGAACAAGAGGAAATAAAGGAGCTAGTAAAGTAGAAGATAAAACTAGTGGAGTTAGAATGAGTATCAAGATAGGAGTCTCCTAATTTATAGTAGCCTTTCCCTTAGACTTTATTTTGTAGCCTCTCTCTGCGTCTCTACGTGGGCAGTCTTTCTTACTTCTCTTTCCAACGCTATTTACAGCCTCTCTGTCTGGATCTTCTCCTATTTAGTCTTTGCCTGCTAAGCCTCTTGCCTACTATATATGCGGCTAAGCTTTGGATCAAAGTAAGCATCTGCTGCTAGCTTCTTCTGCTCTGTGTAAAGAAAGCTAGGCTTGATGAACATCCCTGAAGCTAAGGAGGGGTAGGGCATAGAAGACATATATCCCATAGCAAATCAATTCTATCTACCATGTCCACACCCCAGACCTCTCGAACCACACCTCCCCCCGATCATTAAAGCTCCGTGTCCATGCCCGCACTTCCTCCCCATCGACTCATGACAACCCTTGAACCCCGGGCGAGACACTCCTCGACCAAGAAACCCAGCACAATGTCGTGGCCCTCCACCTTGGGCCCGCGACACAGCCTCGAACGAATGACTACAGCTCCGGGATTGCGAGTGGCTCGCTTCCCTTGCGTAGCCGTGCGCGTGCGCGTACTGCGCCGAGTGGTGGTGATGGTGATGATGATGATGCTTGTGCTGCTGGACGTGGACTTCCCGTGCGAGCAGCGGGTTGGTGGACTTGTAGGTGGTGGAGTGGTGGTTTGTGGTGTGGTTTGTGTAGTGGGTGGTTCGTTCGGGGGGGTGGAAGGTTGATCTTTGGGGGGTCTTAGTTAGTGTTTTGTTTGGTATGGTAGCTTTGGTACGGGTGGGATGGGAAAATGGGGGAGGGGGGAGAAGGGCTGGGTTATATACGTGTGCTGGCAGGGTCTTGCTCTGCGACAGGCGTGGTAGTCTCCGTGGCTATGTGTGGATGCTGCGTCACTGTCGTCGGCGCTGAGGTCGGTGTCGAGGGTGCGCAGATGTGCGTCGTGGCTGTGGGGGGTTAGATGGCGCGAGTAAGGGTCGCAGTGGTTGGAGACTGCGTGTGTATTGTTGTGTTCGGTCATCTGGCGATGCATGCGTCGAGACCAGCAGGATGAGTGGACGGCCATTGGGAAGGCTGGCGAGTGGTTGTGAGTAGGTGTTGGACGGGGTATACCAAGAGCCGTGCAGCTACGGAGCACTATATGTAGTATTTGTATATGAGTTATTTTACTGGGTCATCTACGAAGACATCACTCGACTCAAGATGAGGTGGTAGACGCTACTTCCCCCTGTGTCACAATGGCAATTTCATTGTGCCCGACAGAATTATCTGCGAAGAGTATGCAGCTGCTGTGCGAGATCAGCTGTAGTTTGTCTAGTCCGCTTCATGTCGGCACCCATCAAGGGAAAGCCTCATGAAGGTGCGATGTCAGTGTGAGGCTCTTTCTGTTACGCTCAGAAGTAAGTGCTGACTGGCAAATCCCAGGAGGCCTAGAGATATTCGTGTTACATTGCACTATCCCCGAGGTATCACAATGCAGGTACTGTAGGACAAACAAATGCGTAGTACGACCGATCATTGCGCTCTATGGCTAGACCAGCCGTTCCGAATAGCCAGTGCAGCATGCCCACCCGCGGGGGTGACCCTCCTGCGGTCCTACTCGAACTTGAGGATATGGCCGGAGGATGTCGGAAGCTGTTTGCTGTAGGTCATTGAAGGTGCAAAGGGCAGAATCCATTCTTTGAGAACAGCACGGAAGGTGTCACAAACCGCCTCTACGGCCTGTACCTGAGAAGCGCCGCAGCTTTCGATATAGACTGTGACAAATTGTCAGCAATAGTCGCAGCGATCATGGAACAATCTGGAACACTTACCCTTGACTTTCGGTTCCGTGCCGGAGCCACGGATTGTAAATCGGACATCCCGGTCCAGCCAAAGGGTCAGCATCTGGCTGCTCTTATCAACTGGAAGCACTGGTTTCTGGTCTTGTGTCCCAGAGTCATAGCCTTCCGTCATGTCTCTCCACCTTAAGATCTTGAACGGACCAAGCGATTTCTGGGTCTGATAAGGCCCACTCCTGATGGCTTGGAACAAACTCTTTGTGATGTCAGGGCTAGGAGATCGAAAGTAGTTGTTGAGTGTCTCGTGATAGCCAAAGTCCTCGAACAGTTGCTGGAGTTTGGAGTATGGGATGAGACCCTGAGACCTCCATCTGGCCTCCGCTGCTTGGAAAACCATCGCTGCAGCAACACCGTCCTTGTCATGGCACACATCGGGGAACATGTAACCAAGAGCTTCCTCGAATGCAAATGGCACATAATACCCCGATGCTTCGAGTCTTCGAGCGATATTTCCCATCCATTTAAATCCAGTCAGAGTTTCTTCAAAATGGATACCCTTTGCCTTCGCCATCTTTTCCAGCATGCTCGTGGAGACGGCAGAGTTAAGAACAGCTACACGGGATTTCGTGTCTTTACCATCGAGCGAGTCAAAAAGATGAGATGCCAGTAGCACGCCAAGCTGATTGCCTGTGAAGGTGAACCAAGATCCGCTACCCCTCATTAGCATCGACCAGCATTTCCAGTGAATCGATTGTCATGATGACTTACTTCACCTTCTCCGCAGCTGCAAAGCGGTCCGCATCAGGATCATTGGCGATTATGAGAGTCTTGCCCTCTTCGTCTCCAGTTTTCATGGCCAGATCCAAAGCTCCACTCTCCTCTGGGTTCGGAAATGAGACTGTGGGGAAATCAGGGTTCGGTTCTATTTGCTCTTTCACGACGGCGAAATCCGTTATTCCAACCGAACGGCATAAGTCGGGGAAGGTCAGGCCCCCAACTCCATGCAGCGGTGTGTATACGAACGGTCGTGGGGCTGCCCATTGAGCGACGGTAGACCTCTGACCACAATTAGTCGATTGTTCGAAAATGGTGTACGCAGACTCACGGCATAATTCCAAACCGCCTGGGTGTATTGAGGCAGAACTGTCTGAAGAGCTTCGGCATGCAGACTATCTGTCACTTGTAGGTCATTCCAAGCATTGGGCCATGGTTCTAGGTTACGTTCAATCGACTGGGCTATTTCAACATCCATGGGCGTGTTAATTTGAGCGCCATTCTTAAAATAGCTGAAGAACCGTCAGCGTTGCCTGTGAGGCTCATGGAAGCGAAAGACTGACACCTTGTACCCTATACATGATTAGCAATAGAAAAGTAAACTAGCAAAAGATCACTTACCATTGTCTTGCGCCGGGTTCTGTCGACGAAAGTACAATGTCAGATGCTTTTGGCCGTCACACTCGTCGGATAATGGGGCTCACATGGCTTGCAGTGATCATGACGCCAGCAGCGGCTGGCAGATACGTTACACCAAATGGGACTGATGGTGTGAGAGAAGGGTCCTTGTAGTACCAGACTGGAATCCCGACTGCAGTAAAGGCATTCGCTGCTAGAGTAGCAAAGCTGGCCGAGTTGTGGCGAGCATCATGGCCAATGACTACTCCATTCGATGCAATGTCAGGATGTTCATCCTTGATGTACTTGGCTAGACCCTGTGATGCTTGGATGACGGTCAAGGTGTTCATGCACGAGAACCCAGCCGCCATCCGTCCGCGGAGGCCAGCTGTTCCAAATTGGATACCTGGTCATCCGGTCAACTAATTGCAGTCAAGGTGCCTTAGGGTTCTAGCAACGGATTGAGAAGGGGGGCGACGTATTCCGGACTACACATACGCTGTCGAAGTCGCTGTTCTAGCTCTTCAGTTGCACCAGATGCCTGTAGCTGTTCAATCTCAGCCCGTGTCCCAGGGTTCTGTCCATCGATGTTAGTTAGTTTCAGCTTCTACAGGGTTCTCAACAATTCGTTATTCATTAGAGAGCGCCTTACTCGGTCCCAGTCCAGCCATCTTTGAACCAACAGAGAGAGCGGTTCCTGTATACAACATCATAGACGCAATCAGATATACAGCCAGCTATCTGTAGGCACAGATTGAAATTACCTCAGCTGTAGATGCAGGGTTTGACATGATGGATCATACGACGATGAGACAATAGGTAGACAGACAAGCAATTCGAGAAGTAGATAGAATAGAACGATGGATACTGGAGGGTGGATCGGATGATGATTGATCGCCAAACATGATGATGGATGATGGAGCACGTTTCAAGTGCCTGTGAATGTCCCCGCTCCAGGCTTATTTTAGCAGCTTTTAGTCTCCCAACACTAAACGTCAGCCACCCCCTTCCGCGCAAGCGTCGCAGCCGTTTCCGAGGCTTCCAGCTTCGAAATACTCCATATCTCCCGGGTCAATATCTGGTGTCTGTTGGTTTTGTACATTCATCTTGCACAGTCAATGGTTGGTTCTGTCCCATTCTTTTTCCCGTCCCTGAACCGGAGTTGATCGATTCAGACCAGGTCTCCATTGGTATGGCCGACACGCAGAACATGAGCTCCAACCCGTCCTCCAGGACGCGCAAGGACGCAGTCTTATCACGGCGATACATTGAAGGTCAGATTGCGGATGGAAAACACATTATCATTTACGACAATCGAGTCCTCAAGGTTGATGCGTGGATCAAATTCCACCCGGGAGGGGACAAATCGATAAAGCATATGGTTGGAAGAGATGCAACAGATGAAATCAATGCGTATGCTATATATTCTGTCCTGAAGCAAGCGGTATCTAACCACTGTTGTTTTGTTATCTATAGATTTCACTCGAAAGAAGCACGCCAGCGGATGCCATCGTTTCAAATCGGCCGTATTCAGGGAACGTGGTCGAACTTCCTTCCTCCCATCCAAGGCGGAAAATTCCGTCCTTACACTGGTGAGCCTTGCTCAAGCGATGAGGACACCACGGACCACGAAACTTCTCGACCTCCGTCTCCCGTGTTTGATGCGGCGGAGGCAATCAAAGAGGCAGCAGGCGTTCGTCGGCGGAGGAAATCGACGTCGTTATCTGACACATCAGTGTCTACAACGCCCGGCGAAGAGCTCGAATCCAAACCCTTCTTTCTCGACGCACGAACCCAGGAAGAGATTGTCAATGATATGGCCAAGTATCCGTCTCTCCACACCACAAGTCAAGAAAACATTAAACAGAAATATCGCGAGTTGGACGAACGGATCCGCGCAGAAGGCCTCTATGAATGCAACTATTCCTCATACTTGATCGAATGCTGTCGATATACCCTTCTCGGATGCCTATCGTACATGTTCCTTCGTTCGGGTTGGTATGTGACATCCGCCTTCTTCCTAGGATGCGTTTGGCACCAACTCGTCTTCACTGCCCATGATGCTGGTCATACGGGCATCACGCATCGTTTCCATGTCGACGCTGTCATCGGTATTATCATTGCCGACTATTTAGGCGGTCTTAGTATCGGATGGTGGAAACGGAACCATAATGTCCATCATATCGTGACGAACGCTCCAGAGCATGATCCCGATATCGAACACATGCCATTTTTCGCCATTTCGCATCGCTTCCTGCTGAGTCTTCGCAGCACTTACTACGAACGAGTCATGCAGCTTGACGCTATGGCAAAATTCATGCTGCAGTATCAACACTACCTTTACTACATTATTCTTCTGTTCGGCCGATTCAACCTCTATCGCTTGAGCTGGGTGTACCTCCTTGGTGGCCAAGCCCCCAAGAAGGGCCCTGCCTGGTGGCATCGCTGGCTCGAGCTTGGAGGGCAAGTCTTCTTCTGGTACTGGTTCGGATACGCCGTGCTGTACCGTTCAATTCCAGACTGGGGCAACCGGATTGCCTTTCTCCTTGTATCTCACATGGTTACCGCTCCCCTGCATCTGCAGATTACGCTCTCCCATTTTGCCATGTCAACAGCCGACTTGGGAGTTCACGAATCCTTTCCTCAGAAGCAGCTGCGCACAACCATGGACGTGGATTGCCCAACGTGGCTTGATTTCTTCCACGGCGGGCTCCAATTCCAAGCCATTCACCATCTTTACCCGCAGATTCCGCGTCACAACCTGCGTCGTACGCAAAAGCTGGTGATCGAATTTTGTCGCGATACTGGCATTCCTTACACTGTTTTTACATTTTATGGCGGCAACAAGGAGGTCATCGGCAGGCTTGGGGACGTCGCGAAGCAGTTACGCATTCTTAAAGAATGCAGAAAATCGTATGCTGGGCAGGGGGTTCTTTCGGACCATCACTGATTGCAGCTTGTTCGACCACAAATCACCTTACTGATACAGGCCTTGATTCGACCGTGAGACTGGTGATGCAGTGTTAGCGTTTTAGAATTTTTGATGCCGTGCGCAATACGATATTGATGACCATCAGAGCTAGATATGTAACGAGAGTCATGTTTCTTACTCCTCCGCCGCTGACACATAGTCCAAACAAACTACTCTTCTATCCAATGATAAATTTTCGATAAAATCTCGTGCTACTTCAGTATCTTCTTAGACCAGGATATGGCGCTATGTTCATGCAGGACGTAGTCATATCTATAGTCTATCGATGTACTCATGATAGAATGTACAATAATCATGAGAGTGGGCTCCTTGCCATAGTAAGCGGATTAACCCGGCATGCCACCACCACGGGCCATCTTCTTAGCCCTCTGTTGCCGCCGATTATGGTTCGCCCTACTGGCTTTGTTCTCCTCTTTTCTCTGCCGCGCGACTGGGTTGTTCTGGTCTCCAGAAGCACCAGCGGCAGCTCCTCCTCTGCGGCCCCTGCCACCGCCACCGCCTCCTCTTCGGCCTCCCCGACCACGACCACGTCCACCGCCGCCTCTGCCCCCAAGCCCATCGCTATCGGACTCACCATCCTCTCTCGGTCCGGGTTTCCTATAGGCGGTCGGTGGCAGATCGGGCTGCGCCAAGGCGCCCCCGGGGCCACTAGCCGACATGGCGAACCTATCTTCCAACCTCGCCAACCGTTTCGGATCACGCGTCAGCATCACTGCCCAGCCTTCGATGGCTTCGTCGGTCATTCCGGTGTCTCGTTTCAGCGATGCGCGGGGCTGCGAGCGCCGCGTGGCCGAGTCACGAGCGAACAGGGCCGCGTTGTCTCTGTAGGCTTGGAATAGGGTCATGTCGAGATCATCGGGTTTCCGGATGCGGATGTCGGCGTCTGCTTCAGCGTCAGTCGCGGCGGTCACGCCGTCGACTGTGCCGCCCACGTCGGCAACGTCGTAGGTATCGTCACGTTCGTCGTCGTCTGAGTCGAATGTTGCCAGCGCGGACATGATGGCCGCCTTGTTGACGGCGTGCTGGCTTCGATCGGCTAGGATGGCGTCGGCGGTGAGATCGTGGCCTGCGCGTCCGAAGCGCAGTTGGCCGTGGCCTGCTTGGTCGCTTGAGCGGGCCAGCTCCGCGAGATCGACGTCTTCGTCGAAGATGTTCTTGCGTACTGGGGCTGGTTCGGGCGGAGAGGGAATCTCTGGAGGGGTAGGGCGTGGGGGAAAAGGATCGTGCGGGACAGTCGTGTGCGAGGCGGGGAGTTGCTCGGTGTGGTCGAGCTCTTGTAGTTCAGGTGGTAGGGAGGCATCCAGGAGATGTGCGACGACCGTCTCTGGATTATCACCATAGTGATCCAGCAGTCTTACGATGTAGCCTGATCCCAGATCAGGGAAAAGGTCCTGCACTTGAGTCACCAGGGACATCCGGTGGACATGGATTTCCCCGGGAGCAGGCAAGCCTTGGGCGCGGTCTTTCCCTTTGTCGGTCTTGTTCCTTGGCTTCTGGTACCGATGATGAAATGCTCTGGACTCATTCTGATATGCACGTAAGCTTGCTACTAAATCCTGACCCCGTTTTTGCGGGTTCGCAGAGAGATATCTGTCCAGACGTGCTAACAAATCTGAACTGCAAATGAGATCGGAGAGAATCGTGGGCTCCTTTCTTGTCGTCGAGGTACCCACTCCAGCGCTAGCTTTCAAGCTGAATAACTGATCAAGGAGCAATGATAAATTCGGCTGGGGGCCTTTCAGTAAAGAGGTCAGACCAACATAGACGTTGGCTACAAGGACTTTGCGGAAGTCTTCTCTCTTTTCTGATCGATATGCGTCCGAAAGGGTATCTAAGAAATCGGAACCAGCCATGAGTATCTGGCCGCAAGATGGGAGCGCGGATATCAAGATTGTCAACAGACGGATGTCCGATATGACTCCACTATTGTCTGATGAGCCTGATATTGCAAGTCGTTTGATGATTGACGACTTTGCTCGCTCAAGGCCAGATGTTATTGTTTCATGGTGTCTGCTCCATGCATCGGACAATAACCGCTTCAGAGCAGAGCTTGAGGGATAGCAACAACACATAGCTGCGAGAAAGCTCCATTCAAGCACATCAGGAGGCGGAGTAGGCGCGTCCAGCACAAGCCTCCTCGTCAGCAAGAAACAAAGCTTCCGTAATGTTCTTACTCCGCACCCTGTCTGAAGGCCAGGCACACCCGAAGTGGCCAGCTGTTGATAAAACGAAGACAAGAAGATGATTGTGGATTCATCTTTACAGACAGAGTCTCTGAAGTCTGCGTCTGAGGCCTCGATACGTATCCCAAGGAGCAGAATCCATGCGTCCAGGCAGGACTCCCAGTCCTCACGTGGTATGGACTTCTGGACTGCGGGCGGTGGAACAGGCGCAAGTGGTGGCAGACCCTCCATCATACTGTTCACCTGGAAACAGCGAGACGAAAATTGAAGTAAGAAGAAGAAGAAGAAACAACAACAGAGGTTACAATCCAAAAGAACACACGAAGCTAAATCACCATCATAATCACCAGAAACCGTTGCATAGCCTGTCATTATAAGCAAGCAGCCTCTTCCCAATACGGAACCCGATAGCGATGATGAGGGAGGCCGAGTTACCTTCCAAACTGGGCCTAGCGCAAGATAGCCGAGCGCCAAGCCTGTCCGCCCGCACAAGAGACGCTAAAGGCTCGATCAAAAAAATAGATTCATGGGTTGTCGCAGTGTACGATAAATCTCCAACGGCCATCATCACCTTACCGAACCTCGAAGTTCAGGTCTTGATTGGCAATTAGCCTCATATTCGGTATGAACTCGCACTCCCATTGACTTCATCAGCAAGCGAGATAAGCAAGACAAGAGCTAATTGATCCTCTTTGATTAGCCATCTCAGTCAATCCCGGTCAACCCACCGCACATCACAGTCAAGATGTCTTTCCAGAAGCCTGAGAAGGATTTCGGCGAGGGCCCCGTACGTTCTCACCCCCTATGGCCCCTATCGGAAGAGATGAATTCATCATCATGGCGGTGCGACAATTGTCAAACACACAAGACACTAACTGCTTCTTTTCCCTGCCGTTACAGAAGGTCCACAAGATCCGCATCACCCTCACCTCTCGCAAGGTCGCTTCCCTCGAGAAGGTCTGCTCTGAGCTGATCGACCGTGCCCGCTCCAAGTCCCTCCAGGTCAAGGGCCCCGTTCGCCTGCCCACCAAGACCCTGAACATCTCCACCCGTAAGACTCCTTGCGGTGAGGGTTCCAAGACCTGGGACAAGTACGAGATGCGCATCCACAAGCGTCTCATCGAGTAAGTCGAGCCCTTTTGATGAATGCAGACAAAGTCGATTCAGCCGCTAATCCATCGCAATAGCCTCCTCGCCCCCACCGAGACCGTCAAGCAGATCATCATCAACATCGAGGCTGGTGTTGAGGTTGAGGTTACCATTGCCGCTTAGATGGATTCCATCTAATCCGGTACAGGGAGGGTTTTGTGTCAACCCTTAACTGGGGCGGCACCGGCGCTGTGCTCTTCGGGCCTCGGGGTGGAGGGATTACTCCATTTCTGACTGGCATTGTCGAGGCAGGGTTGATATCCGCTATAACCTGGGATCAAGAATACAAAAAATTTCAAAACCAGTACTCTTTGATTCAAATTTGTCCAAGTACCTTTTGTGGTTAATCACAAACAGGCGTAAAGCAGTCATATTCTCCATGCTCCCCTTCCCGTAGAACTCCGTCTGCGCCCCGTGCATTCCATTATCGAAAGAGAAGAATACCCAGTTGGCCTTAAACGTCTGACTGGACCTATAACACATAAAGATGTTCCTGTGTGCTCAACAGGAAAAGAATAAAAAGGGGAATTTCATGATCTCATTCAACGCTCAAAAGTCGAAGCTCACCCACTCGGTTTTTGGAGGAACACTGGGTATGACGCCATCTTTGAAGTAGCCATTCTTCACGAAGAATTCATATTGTTCAGTCACCTCAGGCGTATATTCTTCTGGTTTCCCCTGGGCATCTTTGAGGCTCGCTTGATCAGGCGGCCCGTTGGGGAAAAAGATGCGAACATAGGTTTGGCGGTCTTGCGGATGGAGGTAGCAAGGATGATTGTCGATGTATTTCACTGGTTGACCCTTCCACATCGATATTCTCTTCGTCATAGGGTCCTGGACGGTTTGTCCAGATAGAGGCGGAATGGGCTTCAAGTCCTGAGGGTCATCAACTTTGATCGCTGGCGGAGGACCAGTGCCTGCAGTCACTGTAGGAGCTGTCGCCACCGGGGCCGGAGCAACTAGGGCCGCCTGCGCAAAACCACCAGATGGCTGACCAAAAGGGGACGGAGCTGCCGGTTGACTCACAGTGCCAAACGGGCTGGCAGCCGCAGCAGGCTGGCCGAATGGTGCTGCTGGTGCTGAAGGCTTACCAAATGGCGACGCTGCCTGAGAAGGTTGCCCAAAAGGTGTTGCTGATGGTTGTGCTGCCGAAAGTTGGCCAAAACCGCTCGGTGCCGCAGGCTGTTGGCCAGTAGCCGCCTGGGCAAATGGGGAAGCCGTCGTCGACCCAGAAGGCTGCCCGAACCCGCCACTGAGGCCCTGGTTCTGGCCTGATATTTGACTAAAAGGAGATGCGGCCGTTGGTTTGCCAAATGCCGACGTTCCTGGGGCAGACGGCTGGCCAAACGCCGGCTGACCGAAACTCGGCTGGCCGAAGGCAGGTTTTCCAAAGGCAGACTGGCCTCCTAATGCTGAAGGTGCCCCAAATGCGGATGACTGGCCGAGAGCACTGGGTTGCCCGAAACCGGATGTCTGCCCGAGAGTTGAAGACTGGCCAAATGTTGAGGGTTGTCCGAAGGTAGACGGTTGCCCGAACGCCGACTGGCTGCCACCACCACCTAGTGTTGCAGGTTGAGGGGCGTTTATTTGAGGAGTAGCAGCAGACTGACCGAATGGCGAGGGTTGGCCAAATGCAGAAGGTGCTTGACCTGCAGCAGGACCTGTCTTGCCCTCGGTGATATCGATTCGGTTCGGATGCTCATTGATTCCGTCGAGGATGTATTTGATAGCACCATCAAGATCGTTCAAAGCGACCTCCATCTGCTTCATCGATTCCGCATACAGAGCCTGCGCTTCTTGGACAGCCACTTCAGCCTTTCCTGCTGCTGCAGCTTCGTAATGGCGAAGTCGTAACTCTTCAAAGCTCTGTTCTCTTTGAGGGCCACCGAACAACTGTCTCGGAGCGTTTCGTCCGGGTCCATAAGACGAGAATATCCATTCTGGTAAACCCTTACCGGCCGTCAAGTCGGTCTTGACATCGGTTACAGTAATCCCATAGCTGAAGTGGTATTAGAAAGCTCTAACGTTCAGTACAAAGTGTACACCTACTTGACTGGTTGCTGAGCTTGAGAAGTTTGTCGACCTTTTGAAAACGTTAGAGCGTGCATGAGAAAGAGCATAAAAATGTGAAAAATAAAGATCAAGAAGCTCCTGTAGTAGAATGAGAGGCGAGAGCAGAAAGACGAAGTGACAGAGGAAGCAGTGCAGGCTTCAATTGATAGATAGGATCAAATGAAATGATGAAGGCGAAATAGCTGAGACGTAGCCAGCTACGACAGTAGGCGAAGGTACTGCTTCAATAAGCATAGAGAACAGCCATACCTCCAAATCCTCCTCCAGCAAGAGCCCCAAACCGGTTGCTAGAGCCTACTGTTGACTGGCCGGGATGCTCGTTTTTACATCGTTCTATTATGTTCGTTAGCGACGTGCTCTCCAATGGTAAAAACCGAGTCGTAGAGCATATACCTCCGAATTTGCATCTACCCTGCTGGAAGAAGGTACAGACAACCATAATGCTTTGTTCTCCCCGAAAGTAGCGAGCGAGCGCGCAGGAGCAACAGCGATGTGCCCTTGAGTGTTTGGATCAAGCTTCAGGTTGCAGATATATAATTCACAGTCATCCCGCGCAAAAGTCCACTGTGCCTTTTGACAAGGAGTGAAGGGAAATCGGAATTACTGCAGAGCTCGAGTTCAGGTGAATGAAAGATGGTAGATATTATTCTTTGACGATGGAGGAGCCGATAGCAGTCAATTCCGGTGACCTTATCTCCGTACATTTCGCCGAGCCGAAGATCTCCCTGAAATGGAAGTAATGGAAGTACTGGTGGATTTTCACTTCACTTTGAATATTGTTTGAAGGAAGCCCCTAAAAGTGTGATACTCGATTTTGTCAAGGAAGAAATGTAATGAACAACATTGGAAATGTGGCTCGATTACTGGGTTAATACTCTTTTACTGACTATAATGTACGGGAAAGAAAGATATCTTCTTCTTCTAGCACTAACACAAGGATATCAAATCGACTCTGAACTCCTGTACCTTTACCCTTGGAATGCATGATGGGACAGATCATTATCGGTGATGTTTCATGGAGGTTGGCCCCTTCAATCATGACAGTTGACCATCTGTGCTGGGGTACACTATATTCGAGTGTTTCGTGCTCTGCCGAAGGGCATCCCAGTTCAGTCCATCGATCTTCTTCCCTCCTACCGACTCCAATTCTGCGGAAAGACCATCCATCTTCCCCGTTGCAAAGCGCCGCATCATGGCGGTGTCCTTGGCCCCATGCAGGGTCTTTGCGCTTCCACGCAGCAGTGCTTCCTCAAACCATTCTTCTTCTTTATGGTCGAACGGGAGACCGATCAATTCCATGGCTCGTTGGCTTCGCATTTGGCCAGGACTCGTCGTATGAACAAACACGATGAGTTGTTCCAAGTATGCGCGCCGGAGACCATCATCGCGTTTCCTTGTGAAATAGAAGGCTTCTGTGATGCTGGAACGGCACAGTATTTCAAAGTACGCTTTCTGCACTTTTGGTGCCGCCAACGGTGGAGTCACAGTAAGGTAATATGCCATCGCAAGGCTATCATCGTGTTTTGGGAGTTGCGGAAGGGTAAGAACGTAGAGGATGTCATCAGGGAACGTGGGGATAATGGATGGCTCGGTCAGGTATTCGATCGCGCGCTACAGTTGCGTACTCATGTTAGAAAAGTAGGGATGAGGCGCAACGTGCAAACATACATACCCTCAGCTCTAGTCGGTCTAGATTCCAGAGACCTTCGATGAACAGCCTGTACTTCTCGGGCAGGTGACACCGGCGCGCAAATTGTGAGGCCGCATCGTTCGCTGCGCGGCAGTCTTTCAGGATGTAGTAGATCAATGCTTGCTTGTGATGGATGTCCAGTGCGGAAGAGACAATGTGATTGACGAGCGCCCGAAGGTCAGCATTTGATTTCGGGGGGTAGAGTTGTGTTACTGTATGCCCATCATCGTCAATACTAAGCTCCTCATGCTTGGAGACATGGGAAAAGAGCCTACCAGCTTGGACACCAAGCAAGCCAAAGAGCCGGTCGGCAAAGAGCTGGTTCTCTAGCGCACGACGGTTGGACAGAATGTGGTCAATGGCTTTGTCATCGTAGGTGAAGTTCTTATTGAAGTAGAAGATGGTGTCGAAGTCCTCCCAAGGAGCCATTTTGACTGCGCCAGATGATTGACTGTGGATGTACTGGACGCCGAATGCTCTTTCTTATCGGATTGCTTCCTTTTGTTCTTTGACCAGAGGCGTAATAATAATGGAGCTTGAAATGACAGTACCGTACGCATATATTACACACTGTCTACATGGTAAAAATCAGGCGGTAGGTCACATGTCTCGGTTTAATCTGATGTTGTTGTGGCAGAAAAACAACACTTTTCCGTTTTAGGCCAAAAGGTAAACAACCCACTTCCACCATCACCACAACGCTTTTTGAATCGCAACTCCATCGTTTGCCTTCATGAGGCTCTCATACTCAACCTACATACTCACGACATAATGTCTTCGTCCATTGGAAGAGCGAGGCCATCCCGGCGCTCGGCTCCTCGGAAGAGCTATGTGATCGAAGAGACATCCGAAGAGGAGGATCCTGGAAATGTCACCCCCACAGCGTCCCATCAAAGCAGCGACGAAGAAGAGGATGAGGACGACTACACACCCGTTCCTCCCAAGAGAAGCGCAGCAAAGAGCTCTTCCCGGAGACGAACGATGACCGAAGCGGTAACACCCAGTACCGCGCGCACAGTGCGGAAAACCCGACAATCGACCGCATCGCAGCAAACAGATGTCTCGCATATAAGTGATGCGAACGAAGAGGGCGATAGTATTGTGCTCAAGGAAGAGGAACCCGAATCTCCTTCACAGAATGCGGCTGCGGCTCAGCAAAGAAAAAGTATGGCTCATCCCCGCAAGAGTCGGGTTTCTTCCACGCCCAATCCCGAAAAGTCCTCATTGCCAACTCCAGAGCCCTCAGTCTCGCCCCAACCCCAGCCGCGCTCTCAAAGAGCCAGCGTGCCTCCCCTCGCCGATATTACCGAGTCCGCAGTCAATCAGACTCCAGCGAAGCCCTCCGACGATGCGAAGCCGTCTCAGATCTCCGTGATCAATCCAAACTCGACCGTGCTTGAGAGGCCGATGGATATTGTTGCAAAGTCGCGGACTTTAGCCCCTCCTGTTCCTGAAGAACCATCTGGACCCAAACCCCGTTTGATCATCACCCATCTGGTTCTGACAAACTTCAAGAGTTACGCAGGGAAACAGATTGTAGGTCCTTTCCACGCGTCGTTTTCCTCTGTCGTCGGGCCCAACGGATCCGGAAAGTCCAACGTTATCGATTCTCTGCTGTTTGTCTTTGGTTTCCGAGCGAGTAAGATGCGACAAGGCAAAATATCTGCGCTCATCCACAACTCCGCGAACTTTCCGAACCTACCGTTCTGTGAGGTTGAGGTTCACTTTCAGGAAGTTTTTGATCTCCCCGGAGGAAAACACGAAGTTGTCCCAGATTCCCAACTGATGATCTCCCGCAAAGCGTTCAAGAATAATACCAGCAAGTATTACATGAATAACAAGGAGACAACCTTCACAATAGTCACGACCTTGCTTCGAGACCGCGGAATCGACCTTGATCACAAGCGGTTCCTTATCCTTCAGGGTGAAGTCGAGTCAATCGCGCAAATGAAGGCGAAAGCCGCCAACGAGCACGAAGACGGACTGCTTGAATACCTCGAAGATATTATCGGGACATCTAAGTACAAGACTCCCATTGAGGAAGCAGCGACTGAACTTGAACAGCTCAATGATGTCTGTGTTGAGAAAAATAATCGTGTTCAGCACGTTGAGAAGGAGAAGACTGCGCTGGAGGACAAGAAGGATAAAGCATTGGGGTACATTCGGGATGAAAACGAGCTGGCTCAAAAGCAATCCGCCCTCTATCAGATTTACATTGATGAGTGCGCTGACAACATCCGCGTCACTGAAGAAGCGATCCTCCAAGTGCAGGAGCTATTGAATCTAGAATTGGAGAAGCATGAGGGCAACGAGTCTGGCATCAAGGAACTAGAAAAGGCATACAAACGCGGCATGCGGGAGTATGAGAACATGGAGAAGGAGTTACAAGGCCTGGTGAAGGAGATGGCGAAATACGACAAGGAATCGGTCAAGTTTGAAGAGAAGAAGAAATTCTTGGTCAACAAGCAGAAGAAGCTAGAAAAGTCCATGCAAGCGGCGCGTCTTGCCGCGTCTGAATGCGAGAGCCTTGTGCAGAAACACACGGACGATATTGAAAACAAGACCGCGGAGACTTCTGAATTGGAGCACGAGATGAAGAGGGAAGAGGAAGAGCTGTCGTCGATTCGAGAGAGCTTGAAGGGGAAAACCCAGGGGCTCTCTGACAAGATTGCGGCTAAACAAAAGTCTTTGGAGCCCTGGGATGAGAAGATCAACAAGAAGCTCTCAGCGGTAGCCGTCGCGCAAAGTGAACTGGACATTCTGCGAGAGCGAAGTAATGCAGGAGCTGTGCAGTTGGAGGAGGCCCGCTCGAAGGTCGCTTCTATCGAAGAAGCGCTGGCAACCAAGGAAGCGGATGTTGAGGAACGCAAGGCTCAAAGGGATAACCTCGAAGAGGAACTCGCGAAGCTGAAACAGGATCTCAAAAAGTTCACTACCAAAGAGCCAGAGGTTCGCGCGCATGTTTCTAGTGCCCGACAAAAGGCCGAAGAGGCGAGAGCCAGCCTGGCAAACACTCAGAACCGGGGCAGTGTTCTGTCTGGTCTTATGCGTCTCAAGGAGTCAGGCCGTATTGATGGATTCCATGGCCGACTTGGCAATCTTGGTACCATTGACGAGAAATATGATGTCGCTATCTCGACTGCTTGTCCCGCGCTGGATAATATGGTGGTCGATACCGTCGAGGTCGGTCAGCAATGTATCGATTATCTCCGCAAGAACAACCTGGGTCGTGCCAACTTTATCCTTCTCGATCGTCTTCCTCGGCGTGATATGTCCCAAATTTCCACACCCGAGAACGTACCACGATTGTTCGACCTCGTCAAGCCTAAGGATCCGAAGTTTGCACCAGCATTTTACAGTGTGATGCAAAACACACTGGTAGCCAAAGACCTGGAACATGCCAATCGCATCGCCTATGGCGCCAAGAGATGGAGAGTGGTCACTCTCGATGGCCAGCTGATCGACGTGTCTGGAACCATGAGCGGAGGTGGCACTCGTGTGGCTCGGGGAGGCATGTCTTCGAAGCAGGTGGCCGAGGTGAGCAGGGACCAGGTTTCCCAGCTCAATTCTGATTTGGAAGAGATGGAGAGGAAATTCCAAAACTTCCAGAACAAGCAAAAGCACGTCGAGGCTGCCATCAGGGAGAAGTCCGAAGAAATTCCTCGTGTCGAGACAAAGATCCAGAAAATCATGATCGAGATTGAAAGTGCAAACCGCAGTCTGGCAGATGCTCAACGGAGAGTGAAGGAACTGAGCGTCGCTCACAAGCCGTCGAAGACTGATGCAAATCAAGCTGCACATCTGGAAAGCCAGATTTCGTCCCTTGAGGAAGAGATCGAGGACCTTCGGGCTCAGAAGAGCGGCATTGAAGAAGAGATCCATACACTCCAGAACAAGATCATGGAGGTTGGCGGTGTCCGCCTGCGAAGTCAGAAGGCAAAGGTGGATGGTCTGAAGGAACAGATCAGTTTGCTCTCAGAAGAGATCTCCAATGCGGAGGTTGGGAAATCCAAAAACGAGAAGCTCAGCATGAAGCATCAGAAGGCTCGCGCAGACGCTGAGAAGGAGCTTGAACAAGTTGCTGAGGATCTTCAAAAATTGAATACCGATGTTGAGGAACAGACGAATGACGCCGATGGTTGGAAGCAGGCTGTGGAGGAGGCGCAAGAGGTAAGAAACACAGCCCAAACCCAGAGAAATGATGAGACGACTTACACCTACTGGACAGGCTTTGGAGACGAAGAAGGGCGAGCTGAAGACTCTCAAGCAAGAGGTGGACGAAAAGGTCACTGAGCTGAACGAGACTCGGGCGACGGAGATTGAGATGCGAAACAAGCTCGAAGAGAATCAGAAGGCGTTGACCGAGAATGAGAAGCGCGGGCGATACTGGTCCGAGAAACTCTCCAAGCTAACCCTCCAGAACATTAGCGATCTGGGCGAGGAGCAGCAAGCCACGGAGCTCCAGATTTACACAAAGGACGAATTGTTGGAGATGAACAAGGAGTCCTTGAAGGCCGTCATTGCCGCTCTCGAAGAAAAGACCCAGAACGCCTCGGTCGATCTGGCAGTGATCGAAGAGTATCGTCGCCGAGCTGCTGAGCATGAAGCTCGTGTGGCTGATCTAGCCACTGCGCTGGCATCTCGTGACGGTGCGAAAGCCCGTCTCGACGGCCTCCGATCTGCTCGTCTGAATGGGTTCATGGAAGGCTTTAGCATTATCTCACTACGTCTGAAGGAGATGTACCAGATGATCACCATGGGAGGTAATGCTGAGCTGGAACTCGTCGACTCTCTAGATCCCTTCTCCGAGGGTATCTTGTTCTCCGTCATGCCCCCAAAGAAGAGCTGGAAGAACATCGGCAACTTGTCCGGTGGTGAGAAGACACTGTCGAGTTTGGCGCTTGTGTTCGCCCTGCACCACTACAAGCCCACACCTCTCTACGTCATGGACGAAATTGATGCAGCCCTGGACTTTAGAAATGTGAGTTTATGCTTTTCAGCTTCAGGTCGAATGATCTATCTAACCCCTGTTTCTGCAGGTCTCTATTGTAGCTTCCTACATCAAGGAGAGAACCAAGAACGCACAATTTATCGTTATCTCCCTGCGCAACAACATGGTGAGTGCATCTCCTCTCCTCCAGTTTCAGAGAGAGACATCGCTAATTATTCCCAGTTCGAACTCGCTTCTCGCCTCGTTGGTGTCTACAAGGTCAACCACATGACGAAGAGTGTCACAATTGAAAATAAGGACTATATCACCGGACGATAGATTCTTTGCTGGTGTTCTGTTGTGTCGACTTTTCTTTTCTAACGGCTGGGAATAAAGGATGTGGATATGGGTTTGATTTATGATTGCGGAACGGTGATGCCTTTTTTGTTTTTCTCTGGCTATGTTTGATATCACGCTTGTTTTATGGTGTTGGGATGTTGACTTTTTTGAACCTGAGCTGGTTGAATGCATTCTTCTACCTTGCGGTGCATGAGTCTGGTATATATCTAGGTCTGGGCATCTGGACAACATATACAGAACTTTTTTTTACTCTTGTTTTTCAGAGGTCAATGTGATATCCAAATAGGTCCGTTAAGTATGCAACTACCTTCAGCATTAACTTGCGTTACTCAAGATATCAAGCCAGCCATCCCACGGTCCCACTACGACGACTACGACCATACAGCGAGCGCACGTTCCAGCCTTTCCAGTTTTAATAGCATGACAATTCATTGACCAAGACCTCGAAGAGAGAAAAGGGTACCTAGGTCGAGACATAAAATACATGGGTTGGCCCGCGGGGGAGAGGATGAGGCAAAATCATCGGGACATGCATACATGAACAGCAAGCGCTTCAATTTGCGTAACGTCGGTACTTCCGTATATCGTAACGACATTTCACATCATGAAAAACCCAGCGCCGGCGGTTCTGGACCCCTCCCGTCGTTCACAATTAGAATTATTAAGAGGGATAAAAGTTGGGTATGGAAGGAGGAAGGGTTGTTCGGTAAGAATCAGAGTAAGACAGGTTGTTTCGTGTATCCGCGTTGCTGTGGATAGTGACGAGAAGAAGAGAAAGTGAGAAGGGGGGGGGGGGGGGGAAAGAAGAAAGACTGTAACCCGAAACCAGGTAGAACTCCGATTCCATGTCTTAGGGACGCCGTAGTCTATGTTGCAATCCATTCGGAGAAATCAGATGAGGGGGAAAAGAAAAAAGGCCGGCCGTTATGCAAGGAGGAAAAAAGCGATTTGAGGTATCATCGGTGATAATCGAGCGAGAACAGAACATGATTTGTGTTCAATGGATGTGCGGTGGCAAGAGCCGGGCGAGGAGGTAAAATGAGTAGGTTTGTTAAGTTGAGCCTGAGTGTGTGAGGTAGGGAAGAGAAGATGCGGCAAGGCTTGCTTCATTAGGCAATGACTGTACGACGAGGCGCAATGGGAATCGGCTTGGGGCCAGATGAAGACAGGTCCAGCCCGGCCATCCCAAAGTCACTTTGTGACTGATTACTGCCCGTCGAGTCCTTTGCGCCTTCGACCAGTGTACCGCGGCGCGATTTCATTTCAACATCATCGCCCAGTGTGCTGCAGACAAAGCGTTCTTCGGAGATCGGTGCGGACCCGAACATTGTGCCCAGCTGCTGTAGAAGGGCTACGAAGTGCGCGTGGATTTCGGCAAAGATGTATTGATTGCCCACGATCTCCGATAGATTACGTGCTCGAATCTGGCCCAGTCGACGAGGTTGACCATCGGGGTCCAGCATGCGGCCTGTGAGAAAGGATGAGACCGGGGTATATGGCCGATTGTTGGCTCCCTTGGTGCCAACGTTCTGCTCCTCCAGACGCTTCGTTTCTTCCTGATATTTCTCGGCCGAACTGACAATCCCCGTGGCAATTCTTCCAAAGGCGCGCCAAATCACCGGACACGCGCGGAAGGCTTTTCTGGCATCTTTTCCAGCCAGTGCGACAAGGGCATAGCTGCGCCGCTTTCCGCGAGCCATGGGATCCGGCAAGCGGAAGATGTATGCGATGGTATAGCCCGCAGTCGCATCACCGAAGCACAACGGTCCGGAGGAGAGGCCTCGAGGAAGGAGCTCGCAGCTAAGGGTACGAATGGACGAGCGTCGCAGAAGGGCGTAGTCCGCGGGATTCGGAGGTCCCCGAAGCGATAAATAGGTAAGAATGTGGGTGTGGCAAGATGCATCGGAGGCAATGGAGGATGAGTGAACAGAGTCGGGGAGGGAGGCATGGGTGTGAGAATCGTGAATACTGTCGTCGGCATCGGAATGGCTGGTGCCACAAGAGTACACCACTTCTCGCGAACGCAACACCGGGCTGCCGTTCCTTCCTTTGCCGTCGCGACTTGCTGTTCCTGGCGCACCCGGAGGAAGCTGTTTGCTCACATCCTCGGGTAATGTCAAGCTACAACTAGCGCACGTGTCACCATCAGCGCCTCCCAGGCGATTCAATTTCAGAGATTCGGCTGAGTTAGGCTGTCCCTTGAGAAAATATGGGGAATCTTCGATCTTCGGAGATTTGTCTGATGCTCCGGTGACTGCGTCTGGACGTTTGGGAGATAGAGGGTCTCCGGCGCTGCCGGCGCGATCGCGTAGTACGCCATGGGAGGATTGGGTATCGTGGGAAGTCGCAGGGGTATCATCGGAAGAGAATTCAGAGGTATCGGGATAACATTGAGAACATGGGAAAGGTAGAACCTGCGAACAGATGATCGAAGTGGGACCATGCACTTCGCAGAAATGCGTCAAGGAGAGCTGGTGAAGAGACATTGTCAGTACGTCGATCGCACCGGGGGTAGAAAGGGAGTGCGTTTGGGTTTTCGCAGAGAAACACCGGCATATATGGCCGAGTCGCATGCGGAGTGAGGCGACGACCCATTGCCCGCATGATGATATGATGAACTGGAGAAAAGGATGCGCGCAATATTGACGCAGCCACATGCGAAGGGTGAGGCGTTGTTGGGTCGACAAGCGCATCACGCTGAGAACAGAGGATGATCCATGACGGAATAGGAAAGAGAGATACTCACAATGAAGTCCATTTCCACGGAGATTCTAAGGTCTAGCAGTATTAAGCAACCATCTTAAAGCCATAATTGCAATACATGCTTCGTCAGTCCCAGGAAAAGAGGGAGAGAGAGAGAGAGAGGGAAGAGGCGAGTTGTTTGAGTGCTTGTGAGGGAGATCGTGTGGCAATGATGTAGGGCGAATGATAATGAGAAGGGCGGGAGAGGGAGAGAGGAATGGACTGGACTAGAACCAGTGAATGCAAAGACAAGGACAATGATGATGATGGTGATAAGAATAAGTCTGTGAAGCTGCAAAGACCAGCTTGCAGGCCAGATTCAGGTGGGAGCAATGGAAATTGAAGAATGACAAGATGGAGAGGACATGTCGTAGTAGTAGTAGTAGTAGTAGTCGTAGTTGTCGTCGTCGATGACCGTAGTAATAATTAAATAATAATTAATTTAAATAGATCATATATATATAATTAATTAATATATATATATAAAATAATATATAATCACATATAACAAAAAAAGAATTTAAAATAAATAAGAAAATAAAATCAAATCGAATCGAATAATCAAGGAGGCTACGATAACCACCTTGCCGATGGAAGAATAGTTAGTTAGTCGACTCCGTCGATAGTTACTAGTTGAGTAGTTCTGGGTCAATTCCGATCCACTCCAGCACCGACAGGCTTTTAGACGATTTCTTCGAGCCACCAGAACAGTTGATGCTTTTTCTAGCTTCTGATTTTTCTCCTGCGTCCCGACTCCCGAGTGGTTGGAGCTGGGGATATCGGAACACAAAGGGAGCGTCGGAAGGACGGATGGTATTCGAATTGTCTTGGGATGGTATGGGATGGTATGGGATGGTATGGGATAGTAGAGGCCCAATGATCAATGGTCAATTAAGCCGAACAGAGGCACACATGAGGGATCCGGTATTGTGGGACTAGTAACCGCTAGTAATGAGGCCTTCATGGAGGGGTACTCCGTAGTTTAGTAGTAGAGAGGAGTATGTAGATAGGTGGGTAGGTAGGTAGGTAAGTAACAGAGAAAATGGATAGATACATGTACTTGATCTTGAGGGAGATACATCCATGAGACTGAGACTGAGAGAGATGATAGGAATAGGATCTTCCTCTCTCATCATCATCATTATCATAAGGTCTAGATATCCGGTTTTTTTTTTTTTTGTTTGATTGAGAACTGGGAAGATAAGCTTACTACATCCAGTACTCTGTAGACTGACCACCTACTACCTCGAGACTAGAGAATATCCGAGACTAGGATGCGTTACAGGAAATGTACGTAATCGAAGGGCTATAGAACGAGAAAAGAAGCCCATCCGTTCCAGATCCGCTAGTGTTATATTATATATCATTTTTTCATCATTGGGCAGCATTTATTGGATCTTCAACCACGGTCGATTAATGCCTAGGTATCTATAGTCTTAAGGGTAACTATCCCGTACCTTACCCAGGTGGCCGCCGTGGATGTCGAACCGCGGACTTGCGGTAGTTTTGCTGCAAGCAATCATTTCTTCTATGTACCTCTGATGTTGTTGTTGTTGATGATTGACGATGATTGTCTGCAGTAACTTACATATCAATCGGCGCAACCGACAAATGGGATCTAATCAATGTTCAATAGCGATCAGGGTAGCTGCATATTGAATCAGGTCAATGACATTCATATTATTCATCATCGAAGATAGCTATTAGAAAGAAATAGGAAAAAAAAAATAGGACTGCCTAATAGAATTGCCGGCCCTACGGAGTACTACTTACTTACTGTGTAGGTATCGGCATCATCAGGGCTTGGCTATACGGAGTACGGTAGTGAGTTGAGAGTCTAGACTAGACACTTTGTTTTTTTTTTTCCTTGTTCCACAACTTCCACGGCCCCCTCATGGAATATTCCATGATTGTAGACCACAGTAGTAACTAGCACTCGATATTAAATCCTCATACTCTCCGCTGTTACAGACCACCGTAGTATCCTTTGAGTTACCGGCAGAAGGCTTAAAGACTAGTATGTCAAGGATCAGGAACTAGAACCAAAACCAATCTATCTATTCGAGGGTTTTCTTGGCTGCAAACGGTTCGTCCCCAGCCACAGGGTGAAGTTACCGACTCTATAATTTCCACCAACTTGGTGATAGATGTTTCATCCCACCTGATCGCATGTGATCAAGGGTAACGGTCAAGGATCATCAACATCAACATCACAATCATCACATCCCACCCCGTTGTCCCAGTTGCTGACTCGCTAACTTTGGTCTGGTAGTCAATATAGTCAATATCCAACGGCTGTTTCTTTTAGATCAACAGACAACTCGCAACATATTTAGCCTCCCTTGGCTCTACCAATGGTCAAGCTGTTCAAACTTAGCGGCTTCGTTTCGTTTCTTGTCAGTTGTGCCGTCTCTTCCTCTCCCGGAGCAGACTTCGGATCCCATTCTCCCTCCGGAGTAATCTTACAGTATCCTCGTTGAATTTTGATTACTGAGGACGGAGGGTCTTCAATCAGCATCAAACTCGCCCCAGGCTTCAGTTTTCCCGCGCTCCATCGCCTGGCATGTGCTTTGTTTGTTTGGTGTTGAGCAGCCCAAGTGAACAAAAGAACAAAAAGACGGTCAAGAATCAAGGACTCAATAATAAGCCCAGGTTTCAAACCAGAGGGGGGGGGAAGGGGAATCAACAAAAAAAAAAAACAAAACAAAAGAGAGAATGAAATGACTATCACCTGCAGAGAGCGTCAAACCACATGGGGGAATAGTTGAACACTGATGACCCGTGAGACAACAATCGCATTCCTATGCCTCCGATTTGTCCCAACTCCGTTGCGGGAAAGGCTGCTCTCAGCCTCTCCCTAACTACTCTCCCTAACTACTCCTAGTATACCTAGTCTAGATAGTTCTTTACTTTCTCCGGAGTACATTCTACCTGGTATAGACTTACCTAGGTCCTAGGGGCCGACTCCAGTTGATCAATAAACCTCCATATTCTAGAGTTGGGGATATGGAGACCAGTCAGTCGTATGCTCCGTATCCGGCATCCAATCCCTAGCGATCAGAATCACGATGTGGTGACTGGTGAGACCCGAGTGTCACTCCTTTCCCTGAACAGGTACCGCCGAGGTTGTGGTTTCGCCTCCGACACTCCGTCCTCCGTTGTCACGGGTGGACTATTTGCGGATAGGATTGACTTCCTTTCAAGGAACAGTCCTCCATACTGGACTTACATCGCTCGCCAGCTTGAAGCCTTCCATGTTAGTTGTAACTACCTGCCACTCAATCTCCGACGATGCCGCCGGCTATTATTTCCCTGATGAGAGGGTCATCGACAATATTGCATCTGCATGCGGAGTGCCGCTGGCTAATAGTCTATCTATCTACTTGGTAACAGATAAACCGGTAGAATGGCTAATTTCCTTTTCATCTATCCGAACATCAAACGGTTTAAGAGTTTAATATAATAGCCTCTCCACCACTCTTGAAGGCTTCAGCCAAACAGCCAAACACACAAAATGATCATATCAACACATTGAACACTTACAAGTCTCGCTGCTCAGTAATCGGCAAAAATGGGAATTGAGCCGAATGCTCCCGGTGAATGTTTCATGTCCCACGTTTATGCTTTGTGTGTACAATTTCCTCTTTGGCTTCTCACGAGATTACTCCGAGGCGTCGGAAGCCTTCATTATTGCCCATATTCCATAACCTATCACTAGTTACTCCGAAGTATAGTCCGCACTATTGACCAGGATCATCATCGAAGGGATTTGAATCCTGCGACCGGTGAGATTCCTTGTTCGATAGAACATCTAGTATCTACTCCGTCGACGAGATAGTCTGATCGTGATATGGCTATGGCCTATGGGTATCGAGCCCAGCCCAGTGGTTGCCAGGGACGTCGACAACGTCATGTCGCAGAAATAGCGGCCCTTTTTTTTTTTTTTTTGGTTCAAACTTCCAATTCGTCGGCCTCAGATAGACAATCAAGAGCATCTTCTTATCAATGGAATTGCGCAAATGACAGTATTCTTGATGCCTTGATGGATCATATGTCCCTTAGCACTGGTGAGTTATTGTGTACTATGTAAGTTCTTGGCTCTGTTAGGTTTTGATGACATCTGTCAACTATCTACGGAGTAGATAGGAACTACTCCGTAGTCCTAGCATCTACCAGGTTTTGTGGACTTGGTCGGATGGACGCTTGTGGATAAGATAGGTAGATAGGTAGACAGATAGTAAGTAGTCTCTATTATTCTATCAGTCTAGTTATCAGGATCAAGCTCTATCGATTTCATCCAGTGTTGGCTGCCAAAAGACACTTTCTCCAACCTTGGTCAGCACCAAAGTCAGACTTGACATCTTGGGATGGGATCCGTCGTACTCTGGAGAGACTTCCTATTTCCTCTGGTTCCAATTCAGTTTTGAACCTTACACAGTACGATGCGAAAAGCGAAATAATAGCCTTCGTCACGATCTGACGGTCCAGGCGCATCGAGGTTCGAGACTTGGGGGAGAAGGCTCTCATGTCTGAGGTCGGAGAACGCATTTCTCTTGGGCGGTATCAACCCTTTTCCAAAGATGGACAAGCGGATACGTTCTGGGAAATGCTCGATGGATCAGATCATATGCCTATCGAGTCAGCGATTGATCTGTGATGCTTCCCTGATCTCGTCAGTCGTCATCCCAAACATTGATGCCATCTCCATCGCCCATCTGAAACATACCCGGCATGATTCTGGAATTGATCTCCATCTTCAACTTTCAGAGAGTAACAAAGCACACGAGTTGGGGCCTAGAAGGCTAGAAACCGTCTTCCATCGTCCGCATGCTGCTGGCCCACTTTCAGCTCAGCATTTAAATCGCGCTGGCTCCACTGCGGTCGTCCACGGATTGGGCATGGATTATGGGACTCTGGAATATGGAATATGGAATATGGAATTATGGATGTTACCCATCAGTCCCAGACTCCCAGTCTCCCAGTCCCAGTCCCAGTCCCACCTGCGTTCACTGCGAACAGACCAATATCAAATCACCATTTTGAGAGTCGTCTGGTCAAGTGAAACAGTTCCCCACGTGGCGACCGGTGCCTGATTCTTCTTTTCTTCCAATTTGTCTGCCAGTCTTCCAAGCCTTCTAGTTCCAGCCCTGCCTGTTGATGGTCGATTTGCCGCCGACATTCATACGGAGGAATTCCGAACTGTCATGATTATCCCTGCACTCGAGTCCGCCCTGCAGCGTGCCATTGACGAATGAGCAAGGCAACGTTTATTATTAGTTTCTGTTGTACCTGGTCGTGAAAGACTGACCACTGAACTGACCAGCAATCCAGCATGGATGATAGAGAGCCCACCCCATCCTGTCCCTGCGCCGAGTCTCCCCCGAGCTGGCCGGGCCATCATGGTTAACGGCTCAGTGTTGACTGTTTAGCGATTACTCCGTATAGGTGGGCATGCGTGAGTGATGGAGTGCAGTGCGCAACCATTGTCCAAAAAATGTCTGAACTTGGAAGTCTGAACTACCAGATCGGTTATTTGCTGATGGACCTTGACCACTCTACATAGTACGGAGTACGCCAATGGTGATCGCCTTCCACTGATCTCCATCGGTTTCAGTGTTTATGGTTTGGCACCTCGTCTTCATTCTCCGGGCTAGCCGTTCCCAAACTTCCTCTTTTAGACAAGAGACCAGTGCTCACTGTAATGTGTAGGGCGTAGGCTCCCCGCCAAACTTCCAAGACTTTGTGTACTGTATGGATCTACCAGACTACCACGGCCTGCCTGCGTGGGATAAACATTCACCCGCCGCAGTTCACTAGATTAGATGCATGTATCTAGAATTCTAGATACATGATGTTCAACACATACATAATATGTGTACCCAATTATAGCATCCACTTCCTCCTCCATAAGTACAGAGTGTAGACATTATTATTATACAGCCCGCCCGCAGACTGCAGCCTGCACACAAGACACAAGTACATCAAGCCCACTAAACTACTACAGTCTACTACTAGATACTCGTTTCGTAAACAAGCAGTGGGGAGGCCGTCGGGCAGAAAACCGAATCCTCTCGTTCAATGAGCATCGTGACGATGGCTGGGAAAGGGTGTCCACTTGGTTTCTTCGATGTAACAAGCGAACTTAGCGAGCAACAATTCGTATTAACCATCCCACCCACCCCCAGGACCTAGTCCGAGCTAGATCTATGACCAGCTCCTACGAGGGGACTCAGCTTCTGTGACGGTGTTACCAATATTCCAATATTCCACCCCATACTCATGACAATGGCATATTGCACGCTATTCATAGGTGTAAGTACAGAGTAGTCCAGTTAGTTAGCACTCCTTGGTATCATCCTTGGTATCATCAATCGCCCTCTGCAGCGAGTCAACGACAATCTACGTAGTACACATGAGTAAATCCACGCCGCACCCAGTGGACGATCAATATGCCACCACCGACGATCCCCTTCCCCTCCCAATTGCATGTTTCCGATTAAGCAAGCGAGCCTCAATAATGGGAAACATCCTGCAGTAAGATTCTCGACTCTGATTCTGATCCTGATTCGGCTCTCTTCAGATCCAAACCCAGAGGCCGAGAGGTTCTCATTTGCCAAATTCCCGAATCCCCCAATTCTCCCGTCCTTTCCCCCCCTTCCTCATCCATGCACGCACATCCTGCAAGGGGAAATGCACTTGAGATAGGTTGGCTTGGGGCGGGGGGCGTCACCCTCCGATCCAATGGAGCTTTCTTGTCTGTCAGCCACTCGGCACTAACACTACAGTCCACAAGAAGTCCACACACGCTACGCTACGATTTCCTAGCCGCAGTGTCATTCTTTCCTTCCGCTAACACGAGGGCTGAGGGGACTCTGTGGCATCGAGTCACATGCGTTAGCTGGTTGATGCGGAAGGCCACAAACGAAGGCTGCGTGATGAGGAAGATGTTTGCTTTTTTTGGGGCTTTTGGGAGGCGGGCTGAGGTTGGGTAGACATGCTCCATCACCATGCTCACTTCTTCTCCTGCTGCGGCTCCCTGTTTCGTACTTCGGGGGGGAAGGGTTGGGGGATGGCATCTTGTCTCGGAGATGTGGTCTTTTTTTTTTTTTTTTTTTTTTTCGTACGGGAGTAGATATAGATATAGATCGGTGTGTATGATAATGCGACGGGGATTTCCATCCTGCGCTGCGTGTCATTACTGAGGCGGGTAAGCAATGCACGAGCAGGCTTGCCGTCATGTGCTACTCTGACATCCTTTTCCGTTGTGGCCGCAAGATGCGGTGGTACGGACGCAGAAGTGGTGAGTCGGACTGCGAACCATGGGTGGGTGGTTCACCCTGGCTGCGGTCGTGAAACTCTACACGGTACGATACGAAGTATAGATAGGGTGGCAGTAAGATAGGATAGGATAGGATGGGAATAGCAAGAAAAACATCGACGTATTCGGATTCCTCTTTCGCGCGCAGAGCACAATAACTACCAGTCCGTCTCGCTCTCGCTCCCCGGGTATGCCTTCTTGCGCAGCTTCCAGAGAGACTTCTCGCGCTGCGCCGCCTCGCGGTGTCGCCGGCTGTTGTCCTCGATCACCGTCATCCAGGGCACGTTGCTGGCGCGCCGGATCCGGTCCCTGAGCATGGCTGAGACCGTGGGCTGCTGGTCCGAGGTGGCCGCCGCGTCCCCGTCCTCCCCGGCGCCGGTGTCTTTCTTTGCCTTCGCGACTGACTGCTGGTGACCCTTTTCCGCTGCCCGCGCGGCGTAGTAGTCTTCGCTGAGGGCCCAGTTCGGGTTGTCGAGCATCCCGCGGACAAGCACGATGCCGTGGCCCTGCTCCAAGGCCTCGCGGATCTTCAATCCTGGGATCGGTGTAACGAGTTCCAGCTTGCGAGACGGGACGTCGATGGAGCGGACGAGCGCAAGGCCCAGGCAATTGGACGCCTTGGGGTCGAGGGGATTGCAGCTTCCCGCGCCGACAAACAGGTAAGGAAGATCTTCGCCTGATGTCCGCGTGATCATCGTCTCGAAGGATGGGGAGGCCGGTGTTGTGTGTGCAGTTTTTGTAGAAGGCGACGCGGGGCCGTCCTCCATGGCGACGTCCGATGCGACATCTGACATGTCTCCGTCACTTTGAGAATTCCCTTCGTCCATGGCTGGTTCGGATGGAGGTTGTTCGGATTCCCCGGTCATGATTGCGTTAGGCGATTCGACAGCCACAACACCCACAATGGCACCGTCCAGGACATCGTGAAGAAGATCGGGGCTGATCTGCGAGCCCATGACCATGATACCACGGATACCTTGTCGTGGCCCAGCATAGTCAACAACAAACGGCCGGCTCTTGGAAATTGTCGTCTCCAGCCACTGTGGGGTTTGAATCTCACTTGGCTGGGACATGTGGAAATAGGATTGTATCTGCATGGAGCGGAGCTGAGCACTCGACCTGCTGACAAAGTCGGTGGGCTGAGATGGTAGCGTGGTAAGAGGGATACGGGCCTCGTAGGCGGCCTGGCTCAGAGGCTCAACGACCTCAGCAGGACCTTTCTCGCTCATATAAACAACGTCGGACAAGCCAAGGGACTTGACCAGCCATGTCGCGACTTCCAAACCAAGTCCAAAGATCCACCCGGGATAGTTGATGATGAGTGGACACTGAGGGTAGCTTGCTAGTAAAGACCGGTAACGGTCCATAAGATCCATCGCCGCCAACACATAGTGATCAGGATCATCTTTGGGGGACGTAGCGCCAATGTGATGTGCACGGATGATGGAGCCATCTTGACCACCGTCCAAGGACGGATGTGTAAATGGCGGACCAAAGAACGGGGAGCCAAGATGTGCAAGATAAACCTGCCCCATGGGAGAGAACTCTGGTTGTCCAGGATCGAGATCCAGGAAAGCCACTCCGTCCGTGTTACGGAAATCCGTCTCTGTCTGTGGTGCAGGACTGAGAAGGTGATTCAGGAGATAACGACTGAATGTTGATTTGCCAGACGCTTTAGGTCCACAGATCAGCACTCTTAATTGTCCATTGCGCTGAGAAAGAGACTTGATCGCCGAGCTCCACTGCTTTTCAAGATGCAATGGCCGCAAATGACGGTTTAATGAGTCGTCTGAGGACGTGTATAGCTACCAGAAGTTAGCTGACGGTATATCAAAAACCGCAGAAAGAGACACTTACCACTGAGAACGTTCTCTTGGCCGAGGCAGGAGCTTTCTTTAGAGTGAGCCGATCTGCCGACGTATTCTTCCCGTTCCATATCCGTTGATAGAGGGGCGATAAGTGTCTGAGACGGTAGATGCCGCTGTGGCATGACTTGACTTCGATTTCAGCTTCGCCGTCCACCCCGGCGATGCATTTGATGACAGGCAACGAATGTGTTGATGGTGCATACACTCGGTAGACCCGTGCGGAAGGATGTAATTTCGCACCCATCAAGCTAACCACGCCACGTTTGACCCAGAGATCGTAGTGTCCCAGGAGAACGAGGTTCTATGCCAGAATCAGTATCCGATGGTTCATGCCACATGCGAATAACCATACCATCTTCTCTTTGATGCGAACACAGAGTGTTTGCTCATCACTATATATGACGCTGTTCTTATTCAAACGTGTCTTTGAGAGGGGAAAGTTCTGGAGATGAGCAACATCGACTGGAGATTCATAGCTATGAAGCATTAGTAGGTGTATATCCCCTGAAGCAGCATCTGGCTTACCCATCAGCATCACCATCTAAAGCAATGGCGCCAGCATCGTTCTCTTCTTCCAAGACTTCTTCATCATCTTCCTCCTCAAGTGCGCCTGAGAGATCTTTCTCCTCATCCTTCTGAGCTGGTGGTTGAGCTGCGCTCCGTGTCCTAACATTCAGAGCAGCTTTCTTGTGCTGCTTCTCATCAGACACGCCGGATCTCAGGCTTTCTTGCTTTCTTCTCGAAGAGCGCCTGGTCTGTACATGATCCTCCCCATTCGCGGTCAAGTTCGCGGCTCCTTCTTCCAGTGACCGTCGCGGTTTCTTCGAGGGTGGCTCTGTACTGAGTTCATTCGTGGCAGGCTTCTCCGAGGGTACGACTTGCGCTTGCTGTTGGCGAGCTTTGCGCGCCGCAAAAGCACTGACCGGAGCTAAGATGATAATCTGGTCAGCTAACTGCCATTGCGAAAGAGTATACTAGCATAGGGAATTGAGCATATACCAGCCGCCTGCTGCTTCTCTGCTTTCCTCTTCATTAGAAATCAAGTAGAGAATCAATTCAGTGAAAGGTTCAAAAGCAGGTGGAAAACAATCCAACCGTTGCGGCGGGCTCCAAAAAAATCATCTTATCTGCGGCCGCGGACTTTAGAAGGTGGTCTGTGCTCTGCGGAGGAAGAAAAAAAGTTGTCGCCCGCGATTTCGAAGCGGGAATAACCTCACAACTTGCCAAGTCCGACTTTGCGCCAGACTCTTTTTTAAATCTATCATTAAATCTATTTGTTCTTGTCGGACTGTTCTTGATTACGTCTTATCGCACACTATCACTCTCTTTTGCGCTGGAGTAGCACAGCCTTTTTAAGCGACACAATGGCACCACCCCGGACAAGCAAGGCTGAGCCGGAGGACGAAAGTAGCTCGACGAGCAGATCGACATCTCCTGAGTCAATGGAACAGTCGGACTCGGACCGCAAACCGGAAGATTCGACAAGCTCAAGTTCTGAATCGGAAGAGTCGAGTGGTTCCGAATCTGAAAGCGTCACCTCAATCCCAGAGAAAAAGGTCAAAATCTCACATACGTATGTTCTCTTGGAATAGATTAACCCTTCAGAAGCATTTTGCTAATCGTTGACCATCAGTGCATCTTCAAATGGATCCATCTATCCAACTGTCGCCTACAAGCCTCCATCCGGATTCAAGGCCGTGAAGAAACAACTGCCACCGTCGTCCACCACCTCTTCCCTCCTCTCGGACCTTCGCGGCAAACAACTTTTTCATATCACTGCCCCCGCATCACTCCCACTCTCTAAAGTCAAAGAAGTTTCATTGGCGAAGATTCTACAAGGTGAGCCTGTGTTGAAGCACGAAGGCGTACAATATGGGATCCCACCAGAGAATATCGGTCAGGGCGACTTGAACGGAAAGAACCTGCTCGTATACGATTCGAAGACGCAAACATATCACAGCGCCCCTGCCACCAATATCCCGACGTATCATGTTCAGGAGATGATCAATATCCCCACCAGATCTGAGATGGACAACGCGGTCCTAGCAGCAGCGCAAGACCTTGTCAAACCACCCAGAAAACAACCAAAACATCTGAAGATGCGCTTCCGCCCTGTTGGAAGCGGAAATGCCCCGCCAGAGAGTCTCGGCTCGAGCTCGGAAGAATCAGATGGAGAGGAGAAGGCATCCAAGGCCTCCAAGGGCTCGAAGAAAGGACGCGAGGAGAGAAAGCGAAAGCACGATCACGAGGAAGTGGACGCTGCCCATTCTGGCGGTCTCCCTCGAAAGAAGACCAAGAAGCAAACCGATAGTGCTGAAGCTCTAGCTTCATCCCAGATGGACATCGATGAGAAGGCCGGGCAAGAGAAATCCAAGAAATCCAGCAAGAAGCGAGATGAGAAGAAGCGGAAGAAGTCCGAGAAATCCTGAATTCGGTGGTACGCATCGAATCGGGTTTTCATGTTTTTGATATAGAGGGCAAAAGCTCCATGTCGATTGATGGTATTGCACATCATGGGCCGTGAAACCGGCTGTGCTGTTTTTTTCTGGTCTCTTTACGAGACGATTTCTGTACATAAGCGATGGGTCAAAAGTCTGGAGCATTACGAACTTTGGAATTTCGAATTCAATTGCATATCATTTGTCAACTGCACAGTGCGTTTTTCTTCATTATACAGGGGACAAAGTGCTTCAACATTGCCCCTCTGTCGACTAACATCCTAACCCACCCGTATAATCCAAACCTTTACATTGTATATTCGAAGGCAGAGATGAGTGATGACAAAGAGCAGATGCTTTAGAAACAACCACTGATTGGTGTCGATCACTAGTATATAGATGTTCTCGACCATAGGTAATCACCCGGCGATGGGGCCTTAACGCCTCGTTCTGGTATACCCAGAGGGTCCTCACTCATCAGTCACAAAGAAGCCACAGACTAGAGTTGTTGATATTACTCCATCGATGACTTTGATCCTCAGGCTGAAATTATGAGGTGTACACTCGAAATTATGGATGTCTAGGTTGAGTGGTATGAGCGGTATGGAATGGTAAAATAAATTACGAGCAGCTGATTAGGCTGATGACATAAGTCAGATGAGGCTAGAGCAAACGGCTCCTGATTGGATGAACTACTACCCTCAATCACATGCAAGCAGTTTGATTGGTCCATTTCTGCCTGATGAACAGCTGATACCAACCAGTGACGCCAGAGGCAGAGTGAGTACAAGCCAGGGCGTTCGAACCTCAGATTCCAATGCACATTGCTCAACCATTAGATTCCTATCCACTCTCTTTGGATTTCGATATCGGAGACAGTCATGTTTCATCCCTCTTCTCAGCAAGACCTCTAGCTTTACCTCTTACGCCAACCTCATGAGTTCCTTCGAAAACTCCATGCTGTTCTGATAAGAACCATCTCGGCCTCTAAGGCGCTTATCAGTCTGGGGTACTATACAGACGACAGTGAGCATTGATCTATCCCTTTATGCTGTTTTCCCCTACCTTCCATTAGGTCCTCCCGTTTTTTTGGGAATCTTGTGGTCTATCGCTTACAGTTGAACTAACCGCTATGATCATCTGCCTTTGTACCTAGGAAGTTCTGGTGTGACATCTGACTCGTTTCCTCCGATCAATTTGTGAACCACACATTCCTTCAACTACATCTTGGAAATCCTTCAACCTGCTCACTATCACTTCTCATCCCCGTTACAGCCTCATTTAACTCATGCTCATTTTCCCTGCGGACTTGCTCACAATTTGGCCACCTTGTGTCAAGGATGCGGCCATTTTTGGACGATGCGAAGCGGCGAGTGGACCGTAGACTCAGCGCAAGCAAACAGTCCATATCCACGAGCCGTCTCCTTCCTAGTGTTTTACCGGATAGATTCAAAGATAATCACGATGCCCAAGTTGATTTTACTGCTCCTCCCGGTGGTGTCGGGTCTCGAGAGGGCCACATGCAATACATGCAACAATCCATCTTCTCTATGATTGCCGCTGTTGGGTCAAGGTCGGACTTCCATGCGCGCTTCGATGAATCAAGCGACAGTGACGGAGAAACTGAGGGTCGATCACAAACGGAGTCACCGGTCAAGAAGGTGCTCGGCTCATCTAACCCGGTAAACTCGCAAACGGAGCAAAGATCAGGGTCACAGACGAGTCGCAAATCAGAGAAAGACCAAAGCTCGCGAGGTCGCCATCATCGAAGAACGATATCTGACCACAAATTCCTTCGACCATTTAAAACAAGCTCTAAGCCTGAGCCAGATACCGAGCCATCAACGGGAGATGAGAGGCTCCGAGTCACGCTGCCCAGGCGGCCGCGCAGCACCACTCCTCGAGCTGCCCCGATCCTGAGTCGTATGGTTGAAGCTCAGGCTCAATTCGACTCAAAGACGCCCTCAGCAGGACGTTCCCAAAACTCATCGCAGGAAAGCAGCATACACAGCTCTCACGAATCATCCACCTCACCCCTTTCAACGCGTTTAATGGAAATGTTCGATTTCAACAAACCGGAAAAGGTGCTGGTTGAATATGCCTGTTCACTCCTTCAGAGCATGCTTCTGCAAGGCTACATGTACGTCACTGAGGGACATATCTGCTTCTATGCTTATCTCCCGCGGAAATCAACAGTGGCCATCAAATCTGGCTATCTTCACAAACGTGGTCGGAAGAATCCGAAGTACAACCGATACTGGTTCTCCCTGAAGGGTGACGTTCTTTCATACTATGCAGACCCGTCAAATCTCTATTTCCCGAGTGGACATGTTGACCTTCGATACGGGATCTCTGCGTCGCTGGCTGAGTCCAAGGAGAAGGGCAGGGAACCGAAGGAATTCCAAGTTTCTACAGATCAAAGAACGTACCATTTCCGAGCTGATAGCTCCGTCAGCGCAAAAGAATGGGTAAAGGCATTGCAGAAAGTCATCTTCCGGACACACAATGAAGGCGACAGTGTCAAGGTATCTTTTCCGATCGAAAATATTATAGATATTGAGGAAAGTCCTATGATGGATTTCGCCGATACGTTCAAAATACGTGTGGTCGAAGACGATGACTCGTATGCCATTGACGAGGTAAATTTCCATGCTTTGATATTTATTACTTACGACTTATTGGATTTATAGTATTTCTTCTCATTTTTTGATTCCGGTCGCGAGGCCTTAACTCTCCTCAAGAGTCTAGTTAACGAAAACGCTTCGGGACATTCTTCTCGAACTCTATCACCACATGCAGATCGTTCGCCTCGCTCTGATCGTACTCGCAGATCCAGGAACCGTTGGTCCCTGACAAGTGGGACAAGCCAGCCTGGAAATGGAAGTGCAGACACCCACCGGAAGAGAAGTGCGAGCACAAGTCATTTGAGTCTTGGGCCCGATGCCATTCCCACGTCTCCGGTGACAAGACATCAGGACCCATCGGAATCGATTCTTAATTCCTTTGAACAAGGAACCGAGTCATCGGCTGTCTGGCAGTCGATGGAAGACGGTGCAGAATCTGCAAGCCAGATATTGCATCGCAGTGATGTTTTCCAATCCCCAACAATCCATAACCTAGACAAGCGGGCTTGCAGCGATGAAAGGAGTGGTCGGAGACAGGCTGGTGGAACCGCCCGATCCACACTCACACATGTCAATGCGAATAAAGATGGAAGTCCTGGTGAGTACAGCAAACTTGGTAATGATGGCAAGCCTGACCGGGAAATTCGGCATGTCATTCATGAACTGGACCAGGAAACACAAGGTCCGTCAAAGCCGGGCCCCGGAGCACCTACCTTGAATGAGCTTGTTAAAGCAGGGACATATCCCCTCCAACGCGCTGCAGGCTTTGCAGAGTATTTGAGGACGCGGTCAAAGCAAATGAGCAACTTACTGGCCAGTGAATCTATGGGCTATATCGAGAAAGTCTCTGGGATGTGGGTTGGGGGTCGACGGCATTATGGAGAAGCAGAAGATGTATTGCCAGATGATCAGGCCGTTGATCCTGAAGACAAGGAAGATGGCTGCAACTACGGTGATCGTTTCCGTGCACACTTTGCGCTGCCATCGACCGAGAAACTGCAAGCAACCTACTTCGCGTATCTACATCGTGTGCTTCCACTGTACGGGAAGATCTACATCAGCCAGAAAAAGCTGTGTTTCCGCAGTCTTATCCCTGGTACTCGCACAAAGATGATACTTCCCTTAAAAGATGTCGAGAATGTGGAGAAGGAGAAGGGCTTTAGATTTGGTTACCAAGGCCTGGTCATCATCATTCGGGGGCACGAAGAGCTATTCTTCGAGTTTCGAACGTCAGATGCTCGAGATGATTGCGCCGTTACGCTTCACCAGCACCTTGAATCTGTGAAATACCTGGCAGAGTCGGGTCTCCTTGCTGAACAGGAAAAAGATGAATCGGAAGCAGCGATGGCGGAGCACCGTATGCTTCAAGAGGCCAGGCTGGATGATTATGGTGAGAATGACATTCCACCGCTGAATGAGTCTTCGGGGCTTCACCCCATTTTCGATGATCCTCGCGCTTCCATTGTGAACTTCAAACCAGCCGAATCCCTCCGAATCACATGTCTCACGATTGGCTCACGAGGTGATGTTCAGCCCTACATCGCCTTATGCAAAGGGTTGCTTGCCGAGGGCCATAAGCCCAAGATTGCGACTCACGCAGAGTTTGAGCCGTGGGTGAGAAGACATGGCATTGATTTTGCTCCAGTCGACGGTGACCCAGCTGAGCTTATGCGCATTTGCGTTGAAAATGGCATGTTCACGTATTCTTTCCTCAAAGAGGCGTCACAGAAGTTTCGAGGCTGGATTGATGACCTTTTGTCGTCCGCATGGGCAAGCTGCCAGGATAGCGATCTTCTCATCGAATCGCCCAGTGCCATGGCAGGTATACACATCGCCGAGGCGCTGAGAATCCCCTATTTTCGCGCTTTCACGATGCCGTGGTCAAGAACAAGAGCTTATCCACACGCATTTGCCGTCCCCGAGCACAAAATGGGAGGTGCCTACAACTATATCACCTATGTGATGTTTGATAATGTCTTCTGGAAAGCAATTGCAGGGCAAGTTAACCGATGGCGAAAGAATGAGCTTGGGCTAAAGGCCACCACTCTGGACAAGATGCAACCGAACAAAGTGCCGTTTCTATACAACTATTCTCCTTCGGTAGTACCACCACCATTGGACTATCCAGATTGGATTCGCATCACTGGATACTGGTTTTTGAATGAAGGTGTTGACTGGACTCCCCCAGTGGACTTGTCTGCATTCATTCAACGTGCCCGGGAGGACGACAAGAAGATAGTCTACATCGGATTTGGCTCAATAGTTGTATCTGATCCGTCCGCACTCACACGCACGGTCATTGAGTCTGTGCAAAAGGCCGACGTTCGTTGTATTCTTTCGAAGGGATGGTCTGACCGGCTGGGAGACCCTTCCAGTGCCAAAACCGAAGTGCCACTGCCACCAGAGATTTTCCAGATCCAGGCTGCCCCGCACGATTGGTTGTTTGCTCAAGTTGACGCTGCTGTCCATCATGGAGGGGCTGGAACTACTGGGGCGAGTCTGCGTGCAGGCATTCCTACAATCATCAAGCCTTTCTTTGGGGATCAATTCTTCTTTGGATCACGCATTGAAGATCTAGGTGTGGGAATCTGCATGAAAAAACTCAATGTGAGCGTTTTCTCGCGAGCTCTATGGGAGGCCACTCATAGCGAGCGAATGATTATCAGGGCTCGGGACTTGGGGGCGAAGATTCGCGACGTAAGTGATCAATGTCCAAAGGTACTATATTTTAGTCGTAGTAGATACACTGACATCGGATGATAGGAGGATGGAGTGGCAACTGCCATTCAGGCGATCTATCGAGACCTTGAGCACGCAAAAACACTGGCCCAGCAACGCTCGATCGCCTCATCTACGCCCTTTTCACCAACACCGTCGGCCAAGAACACTGCTGAGCAGGGCGATGATGACGTTGAGGACAGCGAGGAGTGGACCTTTGTTGGTGATGATAATGAGATGGACATGTCGAGGAGAATGCGGGATCGAGCCATCTCCGACGCCGAGATGCTACCTGATCGATTGCTTACAAACTCCATACATGGAGCCGGCCGTTGAGCAGTCTGAACCCAAACATGTCACTACTCCGACTCCCGGTCGGCGACGTATCACGATTTTATGACATTGTTTCGACTCTTTGAGCTTTCTATACACTACACCGTTTAATGAATGGGTTTTCGTCGGACATTTCGGAGAGTAAGTCTATTTTCTGATAGATAGAGATGGAAAGGTGCGAATTTTTATTTTGGCCTTTTTCGTGTTATGCAAGTCTTTTTTTCTTACCGTGCAAGCGAATTTTCGATTCGTTGTTAAGATTTACTGCTATTTTTTCGCTTTTGCTTCGGATCCATGGTGTTGGCAGGAAGTGAGGGTTATCATATACCATGTTTTGGAGATATTGTTCCTTCATGATAGATTGAATGATGAACAGCAGTAATAGAACACGAAATCAGTTACCAAGACTGATCTTCTTTCAAATTCTGTACTATGACTGAGCCAGAGCTCTTCTCATCTGGGCTGGCTACCTAAAGGACAATGTCCCTCCAAACAATGCTGGGACCTGCAGATGAAAATACAAATACAGAGCAAATCATATATCTGCGTGCACCATATATCCGAAAATCAAAGATGAACAGATAAGCATTTTTTTCATGGATTAATCGTAACGTGGGTTCAGTACTATATCCCTATATCGGGCACTCAACCACCCGGCTTGCGCTTCTCGGTATGATCATCATCGTCTCCTTTCCCTTCGGCCTTTTCTTTCCGCCGCTGTACAACGTCCCAGTTATAAACACGCGCCGTCGCAACCTCTATTGTCTGTTTTCAAATATTAGCTTGAGCAGCAGGATGGAGAACAAAGGATTGCAACGCACTGTAATCTGCTCTCTCAAAAACTCCAGGTCCTCATCACAGTTCGCCAGACTCTGCTCCGCCGCGGACAACTTATCCTGCAGCATCGTCTCGGCCTCGGCGATGGGGTACGCCAGCATGACATTCGCGCCGAGCCAGAGGTATACCTCGTCGGTATCGGAGGGGGAGATTTGTGCGCGTGCGTAGAGGGTATCGTTCAATTCGAAACTAGTCTCGAGGGTCGAGGAGCTTGCCTGGTCCACGCCAAATCATCCGCGTTGGTCATCCTTCTTCTCCTCAACCGGGGTGAGGTTGGGTTGGTTTGGAGACTTACGTCTTTCTGCAGCTTCAGGAACCGGACCACTTCCAGCGTCTTCTTAATATCCGGGATTTTTTCGCGGAGGCCCTGCGCGCGGCGCTGGGTGTTGAGCTCCATGAACTGGTACTTGGAGATCATCTCCTGGAAGCGCTGGAGGGTGGGTTCCACGTCTGCGCGGGAGGAGACGTAGTCGCTGACATTGTCGATGAAGGGGGCGGCAGGGATGCCGCGGGGGTTTGATTGTGCTATTACAGTGCTGTTGATCTTGTGAGCCTTGGGAGGGTCTTTTTCTTGGGTATGTTGGGGGGTTGGAGGGGTATGCTGGATGTGCTCCTTTTTTTTGCTCCTGCTCTCTCGATCTTGACTTACTCTGTAGATTTCTTGTCTGCCATTGTGAGTGAGGTGGGACCGTGCACGGCCCAAACCTAGAAGTTTAAGAAATATGAGAGGGGCAGGAAGATATGGACGAAGGGCTGGCGATGAAGCCGTTGATATTGATTCCAATCGATTGATTGATTGGAGTCGAATTGATGTGGGGGGAGCTCAGTTGCCGAATCGGGCAAAGCTCCGTCATCGCCGGCCAGAGCCAAGTTTCCAGCATTTGACAGCAGAAGACAATTATCGACTACACATCCACCCATATTCTTCTCGAGATGTCAAGAAGGTGGTGACTGCAATTCCTGGAATATGGACTGAACACGCATCTCTTAATCGAAATCTAGATTTCCCTGCAACAACATGGTGCTCCTCGTTACCACTGCCCGAATCATCTCCGCACTTGAGGCCATCCCGCCCTCTTCACGCAAGGACTTGGACCTCCCTACCTCGCTGGTAGCAGACACTCCTATCTCTCACGACCAGCTGGTCCGTCTGTCGCGGTACCTCTACACAAATGCCCTCACCAGTCCCCAGGAGGCGAGTCTGAACTCGCTCCTCCGCGGCACAAGAATCTACGTCCCTCCTCCGCCAAAGAAACCAGAACCGGTAACCAGCACTCACCTCCCCTCACCCTCCTACCATCTCTTCCGGTTCCCCCTCAGCTAACCAAACCCCACCTCCACAGAGCCCCGAATACCTCGCCCTAAAAGCCCGCCTCCTCGCCGCCGCCGAAGCAGACGCCTACCACCGCATGACGACTTCCGCCCCAAGCCCCCAAGGCCCCTCACCCATCTTCTCCTCCTCCACCCCAACGCTCTCAAGCATCCACGACTCCTCCTCTGCCGCCGCCGGCGGCGGCGAAGACCCACTCACCCCGTCGCTGGTTCTCAACATCTTCCTCTCGGTCCTGATAACCGGCTTCAGCGTGTACTGGGCACTCACCAGTTTCCGGACCCCGGATCTGCTCGTCTCGTCCGTATCATCTGTCTGGCGGAGTGGGTCTGGATCCTCCAGCGCACGCACAGCCGGCGTCTCGGAGCCCGTGAAGGTTCTAGTTTCGTTGTTGACGGCGCTTGTGGTAGGGGTGGCGGAGGTGCTGATCTATGCGATTTATTTGCAGAAGGTTGAGCGTGCGCGCGCACGTGAGGCGCGTATCAAAGAGCGGAAGGAGGTGATTGGGAGGGATGAGGTGCAGAGGAGGAATGATGGACAAGACGTACAGATGGTTGGGGGGGATAAAGAGGAGATTTGGGGACGGGGTGCGAATGGGGGGGTGCGACGAAGGGTGAGGGAGAAATGGGAGGAGAAGGAGAGGGAGAAAGGGAGGGGGAAGGAGGCGGGGGATGAGGGCTGATTGTAAGTTATGATGTTGTGCTATATTGACGAATGAATGTCATCGCAGAGGTTCTTCTTCTCTCCCAAGCCACAGAGGTACAATACATTAAGAACGTCCAAGAGTGTCAAGCTACGAGAATCACTTATCAGAGACCCTTCATGAAAAGAAAGCTTGGTATTTCGTCTATCGAAAAAAATCTAACTAAAAAAAAAAAAAATCTACAGCTTGTTAATATGTACCAGCTGCTGTGCTGCTGCTCGATTCATTAGAATTAGTGATCGTCATGAAAACGAGGTTCGTCGTGGCTTCGTCGTCAAGTGTTGCTTTTTTGTGTTATTCGTGTTCAGACTGTCCGGGACGTCAACAGTCCCGATCGAGGAACGGGTGAATAGGGAAAATAAGGAAGAAGAATCAAACCCGCTTCTCCAGCAGAAGATGGCCGGCCGGGTTCTTGCCCACGAATCCATCGTCTCGGCTGAAAACCTTTTCGCCGCGCAGCCAGGTTTCGCGAACCATGCCGCGCAGGGTACGGCCTTGGTAGGGGGAGCACTTGTTGCGGAAGAGCATGGTGCTGGGCTCGACGACCCAATCGGCGGCGTCGTCGAAAACGCAGATGTCGGCGTCGAACCCGGGGACAAGATCACCCTTCTGGGTCTGCAGGCCGACCTGCGCGGCAGTGTTGGTGCAGCACAGACGCACGATGTCCTGGAGGGCGCGCTTGGTGTTGGCGTCGTCGGGGGCGGACGTCAAGCCCTTGCGGCGGCTGAGCTCGGTCCACATGATGGGAAGACCGAGGCCGACGGAGGAGATGCCACCCCAGGCGGAGAAGAAACTGCCGGAGTTCTCGACGTCGCCGGTCGTTGTAGCACAGTGGCCGGGGATGTGAGTGGGGAGGAGTTTCAGGTCCGGTGTGCAAGGGGAGTGATCCGAGACCACGGTCTTGATGACGCCGTCTTCAGCGTGGCGTTCCAGCTCCTCCCAGAGGCTATCCTGGTTCACTTGGGAACGGATGGGTGGGCAGCACTTATGACGGGTGTCTCCGTCGCGGATCTGCTCAGCGGCAAGGGACAGATAATGGAAGCAGGTCTCGGCTGTGATCTTGACACCATTGGCACGGGCTTCGCGCAGCAGGGGGATCACTTCCATTGCGGACAGGTGGACAATGTGGAGGGGGAGGTTGGGAGCCAGGTGGGCAATGGATAGGATCTCTTGGACGGCACAGGTCTCAAACGCCGCAGGACGGGAAGCGAGGAAGGTGGAATAGGCTTCCAGGGGACCTGCGGGGGCAGCAGGCGGCTCGGACGTCTGGACTGCGTCACCGACAGAGGCCGTAATGGGAGGCAACATCTCCGCGTGGAACATCAGGGTCGTTGGCTCGTCGGCGAGTTCCGCCATGGCCTTTTGAATATCTTGCGATGAGACGGCTGGGAATTCTTCCACCTGTTGGGAGAGAAAGCATACATGTTCAGCATACATGGCCGAGGTTCAACACCCTACAAGCGGAACGGAGAGTACTTACACCACTGTCAATGAGGAAACCTTTGAAACCGCGCACACCTTGCTGAACCAGAGCCTTGAGTTCACCCGCATTGCCGGGGATGATGCCGCCATAGAAACCGACATCCACCCAGCACTTGCCCTCAGCGGCCCGGATCTTCTCCTTCAGGCCGGCGACAGTTGTGGTAGGGGGGATGGCGTTCAGCGGCATGTCAACCACGGTGGTGACACCGCCAAATGCGGCGGCCTGGGTGCCGGTATAGAAGCCTTCCCACTCAGTCCGGCCTGGTTCATTGAGATGGACATGGGCATCGACCAAACCAGGCAACAGGACATTGGGGGAGTAGTCGGTATATGGGGTCCCCGCGGGGAAGTCGGTGGCAGAGATCACCGAGTCGAAGACTGCAGTGATCTTACCGGTGGTGCGAGAGATCACGATGGTTGCCGATGTCAGACGACCGGAGACGACGGCGCGGGACGAGGCCACAACGGCGATGGAGGGCATCTGAGCAGGAGTCTCCATGGTTGGAAGGTATAATCTAAGAACGAAAGAGAGAACCAAAAGGGGGAAATGAATGAAGGAGAAGGAGAGGTCACTCTCTGGAGAGAATATTGGCGGGGGGGATGAGAGGGGATAATTATTGATAAACAACGGACTGATAAGGATCAGAGATAAAGGAGAAGGTTTTTCTGGAACCGCCACCCAGAACACAAATGGCAATTGAGTCAATTGAGTCGTGTAAGGTACGTATCAAATCGAAGAGAGTGGCTAGTGAAGGATTGGAAATCTGGAGGCAATTTACTCTATGTGACTGATGCTGGACGGGGAGACACTCTTCCTTATATATCAGATAACCAGAGGAATCTGAATGTGATCGAGTAATACAAATGCGTGGGCCGCCCACAGTGCACAGTGCACAGTCCACAAGGGGAAAAGACGGGACTGCGAATACTCCACTGTTGGAGTTTGGATTACTCGATGGGAATTTGTTATGCTTCAAGAATGCTCGGTTTACGAAGATTTCCGTCTATCCACATGACTCTGCTTGTTGTGGTTTGCGTCTCCCAGTGTCCACTCACTGATGGTCAGACGGGGTTGAGAACGAGTCTTAGACACCTATACAGTATACTGCACACTGCAAATTGCACATAGACTCCAGTCCTTTGTTTTGTTAGTCGTCCAGTGTGGTTGGTTGCATATCATCTGGATACCCTCATGTTTGCCAGATCCGGTTATCGGAACTCCAAGGGACTCCTGTGGCAAGAATACGGAGTTGGTACGGAGTGCTTAGTCAGTCACTGAATTTTCATACTTCCGAGCCACTCCCGAGCCAATCACGCGGGATCCCATGCATTCGTGCCTGAGTCCTGAGGCACTCTTATCGGGCGTCTCCGCTGGTTCGATCGGGCATCTCCCACACTCCTGCTACTCGTTCAGAATGGCTTCAGACCTTCCCGAAAGAGTTTCTTTTACTCGATCAAATTGTGCTGCAGATGTATTCGTGATGGACATGGAAGTCATTGCGCTTATATCTTTGGGCCGTGCAGAGGGTGTCCTAGCAGCGATGTGCATCTCCCCTCTCCATAGTCCATCGGCGCTCTCCGTTCAGCCCAGTCGAGACCATTTATCCTTGTGAAAACTAAGGGTCTGCGTAGGCGGTAGTAGATGGTTATTTCGCCTTCCATAATAATATAACATATAATGCATGTTCCATTCTCTTCACCAATGTTCTTGAAGATCATCCAGGATCATCAAGGCCGTTCCACCTCATCGCCTCGATTCCATATTCAACCACTGCGGTGCTCGATTCCCTACAGACAGACCCTCGAAGAACGCCTCCTGTCCTGTCTTGTTGCTTTGTCCTCCTTGTCACTAGAAGCATTCACATTTACCCGCTCAAACAACCCAAGAAGAGGAGGGTCCGTGGCCGCGTCAGTCGGTAGAGAGAGAACGTCTTGGACCATTCGATTGGGCCTCGTAGAATCGATCGATAAGTACACACACAGTCGGATTTGCCAATGGAGTGACCGACTCGCGCTGCAGCCATGGCCACAAGCACAACGTCTTTTTCAACCATCCGTATTCTGGAACCTAATATGCTGTCAGCTGCTTCCTGTAGGACTCCGCGGTAACATCTTTTTGCTGTCCCCGCTGATGAAAGACTATCAACTAAGCTGTATTGAGTATTGCGCCGCATAGAATCGCTAGGAGTGTAGCGCATATACTTTTACAGTGGGAGACGATGAGGCCTGAGGACAGACCATCTGCCGGCTATAGAGAACAACCGAGCCGTCTTCCGAGTAGATAACTTCGAATTCCCCTCCACCCCAACACATTTTTAACATCCAGACCCCCATGAATAGACATTCTCATCCAGTATCATTCCATCTGCATATACTTCTTCTCTGTCTTAACTCTTGGTTCCTATCTCTTAAGTCTCAACTCCCAAGTCCCAACGGCCAAGGCTACTCAACGGTCCGACCCGCCGGGAAGTGGGCCAACTAAGGGCTGGAGTTGGGGGTATCAACTATCAACTATCAATAATTAATGAGCTCTTGCATTGCAGGTCAAGGTTCTTATCATTCTGGTCACTTAAATTATAGCGGTTATATGGTATATAGACGGAGTACCAACAGACCAAAGGACAGATTTAATCCGTAGCGACACGGAAGTATCTACCAATGCCTGTGTGGGCTCAATCTCATGGGAGGAAACGATATATAATCATGATCACGATGAGGCCTACACACACGAACAACGATTCGAAGATATACGATTCTCAGAGAACTATTCTTTTCATAATACCTGTTATGATAGCTCTCGTCGGTCGTAAAAAAGTAGAACAGGTCCCTCGTAGGTAGGTAGCACAGTCAGGGATCCTAGAAATCCATAAGGATATCACATCCTCGGTGTCCTATACCCCGAATTTGAATTCTCCCAACGCCGAAAGGGAAACCACCTGCTAGCTAGTTCTCTTCTGCAGTGCTCTCCGGAGCGTCACCATCTACTTTTCGGAATTCGACCTGTGCTTCACATTCAGAGGGATCCGCGTGCAGTTTCGCCAACCATTCAAGCATGCTTCGCCAGGCCTTTGGCATGATGCACTCCACATTCAGCCCCTCGCCGGACGAGTAGCAGTTGCAGCCGTTCTCGGCAAAGCCTGGGACTGGGAAATCCAGAGGCTGATCAGAGATCACATAGGCGCGGCAGCGGGAGGCTATGAACGAGGTGAAAGAGCCTGGCGATACGGGATCTTCCTCCACGAGGTCAACTCGAGGAGAGTGGAGGGGGTTGGACAGGGCGATGGCGGAGATGTACGGCTTCCAGGACCCCCCTTGGGCATGGTATCAGTATTGGCCAAAGATTCGCCGAAAGGAGAGGGGATGGGTGGACGTTACAGTCAGCCGCGAGATATCTGATCGCTCCCAGCCCTCCCTCAGCCAATCCAATGATGTCAATCTTCGCGTCCTCCCCGACGAAACGACCGCGCGCCGCAAGTATCTCGTCAAAGACGCAAGCCACATGTTCCTGCCAGCTGCCGTTCTGAGGGATCTTGTTGCGACGGGTCATCGTCGAGGGTGGCTCTACAGCGGAGGATCGCGGTAGTGCCAGCCAGCTCTGGTGGCTAACTGCACGACTCGAGCCGCAGTGCCAGATCAACTGACCTGTATTTGCCAGGATGAGGGCCGTGCCTGATTGTTGAAGGCCAGAATCGATGCCTGTGCTGTCGGTTTTAGCACCATTGTAGAGCACTGCTTTCGCAAAGGCCACGGCGGAACCCGCATCGATGCCTTCGGTGCCAACAGTGCGGTAGGCCCAGATCCCCAGGTCTTGGACAGGCTCTCCGAAGACAACGACCACACGCGACGCCCGAGACAGATTAGAAGAGACCCAGATAGGAACGTGGGGGGTTTTTGGTCCAGACGAAAGAGGCAGCTGGATGGTAGTCAGGCCCAAGTTGCGCAAACGAGACGAAACAATGTTCCGTATGCATTCTGATTGCAGTAAGCATAACACATCTTCGCCAGGGCCTCAGAGATGGTAAACGAGAACAATTGCCTGAAATCAATCAAGCGAAACCTACCATTCATCGCTTCTCGGTGAACCTCGTTCCATCGTGGATGTCTGTTGATCTTGAACTGGAACTCCTGCTCAGGATGGGAAATTTTCCTGATTTGATCGGTTTTGGTAATGAAGTACCTGCAATGCCATTCTCAGCGCTTGGCTGTCAGTCTCCTTACAAAAGGTTGGTGACCCTTACCCAAGTTTCTTTAAGTCCGCTGGGAAGACAGCGTCTTGGGGCAGATCCTCTCGGCGATAGACGAACATCGTGGGAGGAGTATGTTAATTTGTTTCCTGAAGATGAAATAAATAATTGAGCTGGAGGAAGCAAAAATGGTATGGGAGTAAAAACTTAGTGAGAGGTTGAATGAAAGCTGCAGCTATCCGTTGGGGAGCCAATATGAGGTGTGTTTGTTTGACGGCAGAGTGAATTAGAGATGACTGTCTCAGATTCTCAGATAAATCTCAGAGAGGTTCAGAGCAACCGAGAGTATTGAAGTCAGCAGTGGCTGAAGCTTGCTGCAGCTATTGTGTAAGTGAAGGTAGTTCTCCAAAGACTCATGATCGAAACCAGCTCATCAATAAGTAGCCTCAGAAAGAAGATAATCACTATGGTCATTCGTCAACGCGGAGTAGGTAGCACTTAATCAATCGAAAGTTCATCAAACAGTCAGAATTTCTCGATAGAACCGTTATATTCTATTGTACATTTCTCGAAAGCGGGAGAAGAGGAGAAAACGCCTTTGTGCAAACCACCTGTCCCAAAAGAATCGCCAAATATTCCATGATACAACATGCCAGTAATGAATTTGAAAGCTCTCTACCAGCTCGCCTTCTTCACACCGGGTAGTTCACCAGCCAGGGCTTGCGTGCGGAATTGGTACTGCGCACACGGGGATCAAGTCAGCCAAATGGTCCGAAAACACCACGAGGATCAATTCATCATTCGGCCTGCTTACTCTTGCAATTCTGAAATCGCGTATCACACTCCGGGCAATACCACCTGCTACACATCTGTTCTTGATCTGGGTGGGCCGGGTGTAGGCATGCATCTGAGAGAGCTGCAGCTGGGCCTGAGCACGGACACGCTGGGGAAGCGTGGTGTTGCGGATAATGTAGCGAAGAGCTTGACTGAAGCCGCAGAGCAAGAGTGAATTAGCGTTCGAACATCTAGTACTGCATCAAACGTTGCTAGGGGAGAAGGGGGCAGTTTTTGGGGGGATCGTACCGTTCGGGCTCATATTGCTCGAAGACCTTGCGCTTGGTGTGATCGCGGATCACGCGGGCATTGATGAACCCGCTGAGATCAAGCTTCTTTGCTCGGAAGTGCGACATGATGTATTGCGACTGGACTGGACTGGCGTTAAGTTTTGTCTTTGGGCTGTCAAAGTCGTACTGATGTATTGAGAGTATCGGAGGAGTGGATGAGCGGCGGAGTCGGCAAAATATGCCTCCCCAATCAGGACTAGATCAGAATGACTATCCATATCACAGCCAGGCACGCTTTTATCTTCAACATCTTAGATATAGTCTCGCAGAGAGAATTATGGGTTCTATTGTGCTATTTACAGATATTTATATGTTCAGGTTTTCAGTGCTTGTTAGATAGTTGCGGAATTTTCATTCGAGATACTACTATTGTGCGGGCTTAGATCAGAAACCAAAGGATAGAGATGCCGCGCTGTACACCTAACATAGAGGTCTAATCTCATTTGCAGTCGTAACATCATGGTAGCGATGAGATTGATGTTCTTGTTTGGGGATATCCTGCCTACACTCCTTGTAGGGGTCACAACATGCCCATCATCATTCAAGACAATAGGACACTTCAGGAATGAGTCGTGAAGATAAGCAAAAAGTAATGCAAAAGAGACCAGGAAGATATCATCAAAGGTAATTGTACAACTTGTCCGGTAGTCAATGAATTCTATATGCTTGTACAGAGGGATTGCCAGTCGACTCAGGATAACGTGCAACTGCAGACCAGGCGTCATGCCACCCTTGATCGTCCTCTTTCCTCAGCCATACTGGTATCATCAATGTCTTGCGAAATGCATTTAGTGCTTGACGTTCTTGGCGTTGGGGTTGCGGGGATCGTTCTTGAACTCCTCGGCTAGAAAGTGACGAATGTTAGTCGGTTCTCTGTTGGAGGTCTCGGAGGGGATATTTCGCGAGCGATTGCAACGAGACGACTGAAATGGGCGTTGACAAGCACACGGGATGACTCACTGTTCATGAGAGCGTTGGCGAGAGAGTTGACGCCGAAGAGGATGACCGCACCTATTGCAACCGTCGTTAGACCCGGAACATTGAAACTCGCGTGAAAATCAAATGATTATCAATCTCATTCGATTCTTTTGTACTCGACATATCCTCAAAGGAAGCAGAACGGCATACCGGCAGCGAAGAAGGGAGCCATGGGCTTGGCTGTATTGTAGGTGGTTAGTAACTTGGCCTGACGACTGTCGCGGCAGTGGCACCAATGACATACCGATAGGAGCCGGGAACTTCTTTCCAAGGAGAGACATTTTGGCAGATATAGCAATTCAGAGAAAACTTCTGGTTGCGGAGGTGGCTTGGAGAGTTCGATAGAGCTTGAGAGACGGTGCGACGAGGAGAAGCGGAAGCAACGAGGTTTGCCCGGAAGTCCGCTCGCTGGCCGCTTTTACGGAAATGGCATAAGGTTGCTAGTGCCGCTTTTACCGACCCGCAGCAACCCCTCGGCAATAAATAACCAAACAATGAGAGATAGAGCTTCATGGGCTGCAACACTGACTCTTAATTGATATGATTGAACTGATCAAGACAGACCCAATCGATCTCTCATCTCCCATCTTCCATCATGGCAGCCTCGCTTCAAGCTTCCGTCGATTCCTTACAATCCTCTTTACAAATTCTCGACTCATCAATCGCTACCCTCGATTCTGGCGTTAGTGACTTTCCCCGACTATGCAAGGTCTTGCAGACAACGCGGGTATGTAATAGGACGCACCATAAATATATTATGTATGGTTAATTTATCCTGAAATTAACAATGAACAATAGCACTTTGAACTCCTCCCAGAGCCCACTCTACGCGAAGCACAACAATCTCTCCTGGATGAAATCACACCAAGCATTGCGCATCTGCTCTCACTCGCATCAAACCACGTCGAAAAGCTCTCTCGTCGCGAACAAGCCCTCAAGGCAAAATGCGACCTCCAAGAGGGCCGGTTACAATCGAGTGAGGGCCGACAGACTTCGAGTCGCGGCCTGGGCGCCATGCGTGACCGCCAAAGAACGGATTCGGCCAGCGCTGCGGCCAAAGTGTTAGAATACAGACGACTGGTCCAGAAGAAAGAGCGGTTGAAGTATACAGTTGAGCGCTTAGAACTACAAAGTCAGCAGCGGGAACGCCAGCTGAGGAAGAGTATGGCTTTTCAGTGAGCGAGGATCGAAACCTGGGATCATCAATACCTCGACTATCGGGGAGATCGTTTCGGGCCCGTTGAGACAGTCGGAAGTCTCTATCTGATACGGGCAGTGCCGTAATCCAATTCATCAAAGAGGGGGATCGACTCCAAGTGTGAGCTCTCCGCTATGGAGGATATAGGCCAGGAAGTAGCTCCAAAGCCGTCTTCCAGAGACATATGCGTGCCACCCCAACAGATCCCGAGTGCTTTGTCTGCTGTTTGGCCATTGCTTGTCTATTCAGCGGCAAACGATAACAAACGGGATCCAGATAGGACCGCTGTGCTCATTAACTAGCTACACCATGATGAATTACTGGAGTAAGTGGTCTTGAAATGCCTGAGGCTGGGTGACGGGCACCATGACATAACGAATGAATGAATATGCTTCGAGAAGGCACTACCGAATGACAACTCTGAGTGAAGAGCTTTTCGCTATTGTGATCTATGCAAGATTGATCTATTGTACAGAAATTTGCAACTCATAGGAATCTCTAGCCTGATTTTGAGATTTGTATGCCCGTAAACCATAATGCGCCGTAGTCCAGAACTTCCCAAGCCCAAGATTATACACTTATTAATACACAACACACACTCGAAGTTGATCAGGATTCTTCCTCTGCCAGTTTAGCCGCGGTCTGCTTCTTCGAAGCCTGTCTGATCTTCTTCTTGTCCGCGTGCTTCTTCCAGCTGGGGATTCTCTCACCCTTCTTTCTGACAGGAATCGCCAACTCGTCAAAATCGGCAGACAGGGCGCTATCCAGTTGAGGAACATCTTCCCCTTCAAGAGCCGCTTTCGTGGCTACTCGCTTGGCTAATCGTTCCTTCTTGCCCTCACCGTGCTTATCGCCAAGTCTCAAAGACCTGGGAATACGAGTTTTCGCACCAAGAGCCCACAGGTCTCCCCAGTTGGCCTTGCGCGCATCCCTGTAGGCTTGACGGCTGTAGGAACGAGGAACGGTCCAGCGTTCGATCTTTCCGGCTGGCGTGCACACGTCGAAGATCACATGGCCACGACGCTTCATAGGCGTGTAGACTGTGCGAGGAAGAGATAGGGTATGGAAATCTTGGGCGGTCTGTGCAAGCGAAGAATCGCTGGACTTAACTTCATCTGTAGCTTCGGATTCTTCTGGAGCCATATCATGGAGATGCTCATATCCAGTGAAGGCAGCTTCAACGGCCTCGGGCCCCTGAATGATATTCTCCTCCTTGCGTAGATCCACACCTCGTTGGACCGCAATGTAACTGAACTTGACATCCTCGTGGTTCCGGTCCTTGGCACCAATGATCCGTTGAAGGAAAGCAGGCCTGATGTACCTCTGTTCAAAGTGGCAGAAGTCCCGACGTCCCTTTGCATGGCCTGAAACATGGTACATAGGGCATTTCTCGTGGTTGGTGCAAGGGGCAATAATCATGCCTTCCTCCTTTTCGACATGCTGTTCCTCACCGGGCGCCTCAGTGAGGGCTTCGTACTGCGTAGAACCCGGGCTCGATACGTAGCGTTTCAGCAGCATCTCACGGGCTCCAGCAATCGCCTCGAATCCCTTCTGGTGGCCCTTTTCGAGAAGAATCAGGACACCGCCATTAGGATTCAAGAGAGACCAGAGATTCTCGACATGCTCCTTTCGGATATACTCTTCCTCAATGCCGAGCAGTGTATGCGGAGCGATTATAACATCGTATTGCTTGCGCTTGGGAGGAGCACGCGCATCATCAAGAGTCGGCTTCTCACGAATATGCACGTAATCGGGCAACCGCGGAAGAAAGGTTGTATTTTCGAGCATCAGACTTGCGCGCATGCGTAGCGCTTCCGAGCCTGTCACCACAGTGGATCGACCCAGAGGGACGGGCTCGTTCTTTGGGTGATCCGGAACCATTAACTCCCACTCAGCGCGCAGAACGTCTCTCCAAGCCAGGATTCCGGCGCCACCAGCACCAGCATCAAGGACATTGGGGCCCCCTTCCTGGGACATCAGGCGACGAATCCAATCAGTGCCCAAGCGCTTCCGAACCTCGACGAGCACGCTCAGAGCCGATGCATACATGCCGGGGTACAATGCTGCGAGATACGCGTTACCCTCCATTTCGCTCATGTGGCGCTGTGAAGCTTCGAGAGGAATGGGGAGCTGCGGTATCTGTGCGCGTGGGGGTGGTGTGGTGGTGGAATGAGGAAGCCCGTTGCCGCCAAAGGTGCGGTGAGCGACATCTGCAATATGCTTGTTGGAGAATTCGGAGAGGATGACGGAGATAGGACCGGTAACAGTATCTTTTGGCAAGAATACGGTGCTCGGGTCAGTAGAGAACTTGCCTTCACCGGTCAGAGGATGTATGCGGGGAGTCGAGTCTGGTACTGCTTCGTCCTCAAACTGTTCGAGCATGAGCTCCCCACCCAGCTGCTCCGCAACTTCTCTCGTGCGGCGCATGGTGGCTGATTCCTCCTGTGGTGGACCAACCTCCATGTCATAGACAAGAGGAGGCTCATCCTGCACCTCAACATACTCGAACTCGACTTCTTCCCAACCTCCTTCACCATCTTCCCGGAAAAGCCGATCTGTATCCTTGTCGTCTTCACTTAATTCAAGTTCCGGCTGTAGCTCCAGTTCCTCCGTCTTGTAGATCGGCTCGCCGTATAGCCGTGTATACAACTGTGTCTCGGTTTCATTCAGAAACCCCTCCGGGAGATATTCTCCAAACTGCTGTTTCGCCGTTCGCACACGCGTCTCCAGCGCCTGCGCATTTCGATGACCGATCGTTTGGCTGACTGCATGATCAAAATCCGAACCGTCCACATTCAGGGCCCCATAGTAATCTTCTAACAATCCCAGCTCCTCCATCAATTCTGCGAGATCCAATTCTGTTTCATTGATTTTATCGATCAGGGCGTAGACGCTGTCTTTTCGATCCGCGAATGGGTGAGTGGCTGGAGCTGCGGTACTCGAGACATGTCTTCGTCCGACATGCCAGAATTCGGCGCGGCCTTTAGCAATATGTGTTGGGTGAGGCAAATTCGATAAGGAGGTTTGCGAATTGCGCGTTGTCGTGCTAGTGAAGCGTTGAGCTAGATGAATTGCAGCTCCGCGGCGGAGTTGTTGCGACGCCGTCGACGGCAAGTTGGAGGCAAATCTGCATAGAAGACCATGCGAGCATGATCGGCCTGCCTTTGATGCTGGTGATATTGACAGCATCCTCAGCCCTTCTCCTATACACAATGAAAGAGAGAGACTAGAAAGCTAGTGTATGAAAGAAAAAGAAATACAACGCCACTTGAAGAACTTTTGGATAGAGAAGCTGCGCCAAGACTTGATATCCCTATAAAAGATTGGACGCTTTTCATTGGTTCACCGCAATCTCAATAGTTACATAACCCATCTGTCAGAACATTATCGTATGAACTGGTGTTTATGAAGTATTATGAACTCCAATGCCTAAGATCAAATACAAGGGTAGAGAAGCCTGCAGTTATGTGTGTGGTTGGATATCTACTAGGGTTGATAATAAGGATCATGGCTCGCTATCTGTGTCGTCGGTTCCCATGAGTACCCTCAGGGCAGATAGCCATTTCATTACCTCATGCTCGAGAGCTGAGAGCTTGGCCATAACCGCCATCAAACTGGGATCTTGGCTCTCAACGCGGACCTTCTCCTTTACTTTAACTTCTTCTCCTTTCCACTGGAAAACGTCCCCCATCTCATCATGGGGACGGCTCCGGGATCCGAATAATCGGTCGCGGATATTGAACCCAGTAAGAGAGATATCAGCAGCAAAAGCTGTTGGGGCATGAGAAGGTGCGGTAGACTCTAAAATTCTTAGATAGAGAACGAGTGCTGAGTCCGCAATCAAGAGCTGGAATGACAGATACGGTGGCAAAGGGGGTTCAAATGTCTGTGAGATGTTAGTATCTAACCCAGGAGATAAGCATTGATGATCTGTGAGACTCACATTCTCATCCGCGCTGGTTTCCCACCATTTGCCTCGTACATCATCATTTTCTCCTTTCAACATTTGGCGAGCCTCCGTAATGGTCTCATGGAGAAGGTGTAATTGCCCGAAGATGAAGCTGGCATCGAGCGGATCACCTGTCCAGGTACTTACATCTACAACATCGAGGCTCTGATTGATGAGATCTCGCACGGACGACAGTTGCTTAAGCACAAGCTCTGGAGCTCCAGGAGCATTCGAGAGACATAGGCGGGTTGTAGGCGTGCCACGGGCCGAAGCAAGGGAACCAAGGCGAAGTTGGATATCCTATCACGTCGACATTACATTAGCAGCCACGTCGCAGTTACTAAGACAATACACGGAGAAATTGTACAGGCGAGAGGCAGCTTACCCCCTTTACAATCTTTGTCCCGACTCGAGTCACGAAGCCTTTCACACTTTCAGATCGTAGAGAGGATAGTACTAGGGTCGAGCCGGGCTCCTTCGGCGCCAGCAATGCAGCACACTCACGAAGACCTTCTCTGAGAGCCGCCAAGGAATCTTGTAAGGATCTGAGGAGCCATTCTAGTTCCCGTGCCTAGACCGACGTGGAGAGATGAGTAATATGCTACGTGCAGAGGAACCTGGAGTGCGTACCAAAGCATCATCCGCTTCCCTTTCCAACGACTGCAGAGGTAAAGGTGGGTATGCCCAAGTTGCCATACTGAAATGAATACCCAACGAATCCCCGGTAGTACTGAAATGGTGTTTGGGAGCTCCTTTGCTAGACTTGTGGCAATGCTTTCACAAGTTTCCACCAAATATCACAAAAGTTAGATTGGTAGAATTCAGTGACATAGGGTAGACTGGACCCCAAGCACTGCTCTTGCAGCAGTCTAGATAGTGCCCAAGCTGCAGTCCGCTGGTAGGTAGGTACAACCGTACAACAGCAGCTAGTGTTCCAAAGTGGGGTGAACTATTGCTGCACTGTGTAGTCAGGCAGCAAAATTCTGACTTCTGAGAATTAAGATTTTTCAATCCTGATCCACGTCGATCCAATAGATAGTTAAAGGAAGGTCATAGTCTCATAGTCCCGATCGATCAGCATGGGTGGTGCAACGTCAGCGCCGCTGGGGCCGTTGGAAAGGAGAACTGAAGGAGAGCAACCAGAAGGGAGAATACCCAGTGTGGTAGTGGACGCAGTGGACAGTTCGACAACGTCATGGATAGCCTGTCCGGCTAGCCTGGTTGGGTTTAGTACCGTGCGGTTAAAGTATCCGCTAGCCAGAAGAGGTAAAGTGTGACTGGGTGCAACGATGACGTCGAGATCATCTGTATCTGGTAATCTACGCTCTCTCTCTGTCTCTCTATGTTACCCCCATTGTGTAATGGGCGAAGGGGTGATGCTGCTGCCACTGAGCGAGCAATTAGCTTTTTTCTTCGATGATGATGCACTCTCATCATTATATCACTACTCCAATGATGCTCTGTTCTCCAGCAGGGGCACCGGGATCTTCGGATGGTTGATTTAATAGCAGACGTTCAGGCTACATTCCTCGACGGAAATCCTTGGACTTTTTCTTCGACCTTATTTTGACCCTTTACCCGTTATCTCGTTGAGAAATTGAGGTTACCTTCCTTCCCATACCTGCTTAAATACCGATACTAGACTCCTGTGCGTGGACACGAGCTTCACTCTTTCAAAGCACATAGGAAAAAAATGACCATCAGCAGTGAGTGTCACTCTTAAGAATCAAATTTTTACTACCAAGGGGAGAGTTACTAATCACTCCGTTATAGGAGCGGGATTGGGTCTGCTAGGCCTGTTCTTCACGGCCTCAGCTCTTCTGTTAATGTTCCTCGCTTTTCTTGGTGGAGCAAGGAACTCGAACCCGTTGAATAGGATCTACTGGCTTCAAGCTGATACAAGCAACATCCCGGGGGCTCCAGCCTTGTCTCGATGGACATACTGGAATCTTTGCGCCGTGAATGACAAGGGACATAATGCGTGCGGAAAGTCGTATGCCGACTACCCCTTTGATCCTCCAAGCCACCGCAACTTCGGCACCACTACCAACATCCCTTCTGCGTTTATCGGGTGAGTTGAGCTTACTCCCATAGGTCGGTTCAATCAGGTGTATGGCAGCTTTCTAACGTGCACTTCAGGACTAACCACTACTTCTTGACATCTCGCTTCATGTTCCCATTCCATATCATCGCCTTGTTCTTTGCCACTTGCTCTCTCTTCACAGGGTTTCTGGCCATGTGCACTCGCATTGGAAGCTTCGTTTCTGCGCTCAGCGCGTACATTGCATTGACTTTCCAGGTTATCACTACCTGTCTGATGACGTAAGTCTACCCGCCGGTCTACCCGGAGAAATATAGGAGCAATCATTAACATCTGCGTCACAGTGCGGTCTATGTCCAGGGCCGGAACAAGTTCAACGCTAACGGACAGACATCCCGTCTCGGCGTCAAGGCCTTTGCATTCATGTGGACTTCAACTGCTTTGCTCTTCCTCGCTGGCGTGATCTACTGCATGGGCGGCGCTGTTGGCCGAAAGGAAAGCGGATACAGTGGTCGAGAACAGAGACGCCGCGGTTTCTTCTCCTCCCACCGCTCGGGAAGCTTGAGAAGCAACAAGGAGACCGCCGCATAAATTCGAGACCCACTGCCAACCTGAGGACAGGGAAGCGTGTCCACCGTCACTACCCTCACTCCTTCTGAGGAGCACGCTTCCACTTCAGAAATGCGATTCACGAGCAATAATCTTGTGCCTGGCAGGTTTTATACTCCTGAAATCTAGCTGTCCATCACCAAGTGTTAGAAAATCTCCCCTGGGATATCTAGAGGAGACTTGTCACGTCTAGAGTCACGCTACTTGCGTACTTCACGCTCATTTCATGTGTTACGAATTGGTGGCATCCTTGATGTCTAAGGCGCTCTAATTCCCTCTATTGTCTTTGTCGGTGTTGCCTGTATGCCTATTTTGGCCTTATCGATGGTGTGTCTTGTGATATCTGTTAACCTATCTCCTTACCTTATCTAGTAATTGTAATATAATCTTGTTATATCAGAAATCCTTGTCAAACGCTCAGATGCGAGGCGGACTAAATAACGAAACCAACCGTGAGATACTTGCCGATTTGCCTACATAGACATCGTAGTGCGATGCTGTTCGCTGGATCTGGTTTCCATAGAATCAAGGCTTCTTAGGAGATGAAATTGTTACAACATTGGCCGGTTTAGAAGATGGAACTCGATTGACAGAGAATATGAGATACACCAAAATCAACCATTTTAGATGCTCTATAAATTTATAGTAGAAAATACGTTAACCATGACGTTGCCCGTAGAAGCCGGAAAAGAAACGGAGCTGCTTAATTAAGCCTTGGGCGACTCTACAGCACCGCGGACAGCGCTCTGTCTACCAACCTCGCGGGCTGTGACCTGCAAGCCGAGATCGGCATTGACGTGGATCATCAGCTCAACTTTGCTGCCGGCCTTGACGCCCTTGACAGCAAGCTCGGCAATGGGCTTCTCGGTCTTCCAAACGATCTCACGGATCTCCTCCTCGTCCTCATCAGAGTCGAAATTGGAATCATCCTCATCCTCGGTCTTGGCAGGCTTCTCCTTGGGCTCGGGCTTGGTGACCTTGATCGAACGGACACCCTCGCAAACGCGGACAATAACATCGCCGCCATCCTTAGGGGCAGAGAACTGAGCGGTGCGGCGCGCGGGCAGGGCAGTCTCGGCGTTCAGGAGGGGCTTGAACTCGACAGACTCGCCGGAAGCGAACTCAACGCCAATGGCGTTGTGCAGGTGAGGGGTGGCGGTGACCATAGGGTGAATGGACTGCTCAATGTCCTCCTTCTCGAACTCCTGGATCAAAGAAGCCTGAATGGCGGCACCACGGGCAGACAGCTCAGAGGGGTTGATGGCGGTAGTGGATGTGGAGGGAGCAAGGATCTGAGTCTTCTCGGGGAAGATGTTGCGAGCCAGCTGGGCAATCTTGGGGGTGTGAGAAGTACCACCGGAGAAGATGACCTAAAAAAAATAGTTAGCGCAAAGACATGGTAATAACAATGAGGGCCCAAGTTCACGAACCTCATCAATATCAAGAACATCCAGCTCGGCCTTCTGGACAACCTGCTCGATCAGGCGAGTGAACTGAGCGAAGACCTTGCCGGAAAGGAGCTCGTAACGGGTACGGTTAACGGTAGAGCTGAAATCGATACCATCCGCAAGACTTTCGATGCTCAAGCTGGCATTGGTACCCAGACTCAATGCCTTTCTTGTGGCCTCACCCTCCAACTTCAACTTGGCGAGTCCACGGGCGTTCTCCCGGGGATCGGTCTTGTGCTTCTTGATAAATTCCTTAGCGAAGTGATCGATGATGATCTGATCCAAGGAGGCTCCACCGAGTTCGTAATCGTGGGCAGTGGCAAGGATAGTGTACATGCCACCGCGGCAAGCGATGACGGCAGCATCGGAGCGAGTGCCACCAAGGTCAGCAACGACGACAAGCTTCTCAGCCACAACGGCCTCAGGTCTGGCATCATAAGCGAGGACGGCGGCGACGGGCTCATGGATGAGCTGCAGAATCTCAAGACCAGCAGCGGTGGCAGCAGCCGTCAGGGCTTCACGCTGAGCATCGGTGAAATCGGTAGGAACGGTGACAACGGCAGCAGTAACCTCCTTACCAAGATAATCGGAGGCAGACTTCTTCAAACGGAGGAGGTGACGGGTTGTGATGTCGGAGACGGTCACTGTGTTGGGAGTTTCGCTGGTGGTGTCCCGGATGCTGAAAGCAACAGTGGAGTCGCTCTGCTGGGGATGCGCCGACTGGTGGCAGGCGGTAGGATCTATCGACTTGAAGCTGTGCGCGAACAAAGTCAGCTTGTATGTTCCTCCGTCGGCTAAGATTCGTGGGGTGCTTTACTTCTTGCCAAGGAAATCTCTGAAGTATGCAACAGTGTTCTGGGAGTTGCGAACAAGCTGGGCCTTGGCCTGAGTGCCATGGTATTCTTCACCATCAATGTAGGACAGAACACTGGGGATCTGGCGGTCTGTATCAAGACAAGACAGTAAGTTTCTGGTTTATTGGGGCTCAGAAGAGCACGGATTGGGGCTATCGCGGGGTTGCCATCCACGAACCTCCTTCTTCGTTGGCAATAACTTCAGCCTTGCCCTCCTGTATATCATATTGTTAGAACGGTATTCCAACGACAATGCTTATAATGGGGATTAAAGCACGAGAAACATACAGGTGTGAGGCGAGCAATGGAACTCGAGGAGTTACCAAACGAGATACCGATAGCGAATCTCTCCGCGGCCTGAGCGGCAACACCGTTCGAATCACCCATGTTTAATGCGAGGGTAGGATTAGGAGTAAGTAGGAAGAGAGTTGACGGAGGGTGGGGGAATATGGATGGAATCGCAAGCGACTTGTGTGAGAGTAGTCGAGCCCAGGAATTGACAATTCTCTGGTCTCCTCAAGTTTCTTTTCCTCCGAGCGGAAAAGAGAAAAAAAATCTTTTGATTTGTTTGACGGCGGGAGGCAACAGTGGCTGGTGCTTATCGATAGCCGCTGTGCTGTGGCGGTGCAGAGTGCTGCAAGTATCACGTGGTGATAACAAGATAAGACCTGCGATTCTTTTGCAGAATTCCAGCTTCAATTTCCAGTCATCTCTTGTGCCATTCCAATTCTCACTCCCCCCGCAGTCAATTGTACGCTGCGGTATGATGTCGTCTCCCGTCATACTTCTCCCAGGCGATCATGTGCCGTCGGATCAGCTGTCTTCCAATAAGTCGGGTCCCCTGAGATTAGGCCCTGGTCTTCGATTACTGTCCGCCGCACCACCTACAACATCCGGACCCAGCGCTTCGTCACCTGGGCATGTTCTTGCTGCCACTCAAGCCGGAATTCTCTCCATCGATCACAAGAAAAATGCTGTTTCCATTCTCTCATTCCCCAACGGCAGATATATCCCAACACCAAACGATCTAGTGATCGCACAAGTACACCATTCGAGCGTGGACTACTTCTACTGCATGATTACACCCCAGTCACCTCATGCGGTACTTGGACAGCTCGCTTTTGAGGGTGCAACGAAAAAGACGCGGCCAATGCTAAAACAGGGCGACTTGGTTTATGCGCGGGTGCTGTCCATGGGTCTCGGCGCCGGCGCAGAAGTCGAGCTTACATGTGTGAACCCAGCAACCGGCAAGGCCGAACCTGGGGGATTGGGTCCATTGACAGGGGGAATGGTGTTTGATATTTCCACCGGTATGGCTGCGAGGCTGATGAGAGCAAGCTCATCCACTGCCGAGCAGCAAGATGGTGTGGCCGGGCTCGTGGTCCTGGAAGAGTTGGGCAAGAAATTGGAGAAGGTTGGAGGGTTTGAGATTGCCGTGGGAAGGAATGGCAAGGTTTGGGTTGACTGCTCGAACGGCGGAGATGCTGCTGTCAAGGCGACAGTCGCAATCGGACAGTGCTTGACCACGATCGATGAGCACAACCTCGATACAAACGATCAACGGAAATTGGTGACGAGAATTTTACGAGAAATGAAGATTGATTCTTAATCTTGCATGTGATGCGTCCTGTACTCTGTAGTTCAATCAATACCCAAAGGTTTCCTTTCTCTCTCTCTTATGTATCTTACCTCATATTTCTCCCTCTGTCTAGAGCTTAATACAGGAAAGGTACGCAACGCACCAACATATCAAGGCTCAGACAAGATAGATACAGGTGGTATCAAGAACATGGTCTGATGAATGATGAATGGAATATAGTGTCCGGCGGACGCTCAGGGCGGAGACAATCTGCAAAATGTCGCGCCGCCCGCGCAGTTTAGGATTTTTTTTCAGTATCTTATCCATTGGCGGCGCAAGTTCAATTTGGCTCTTTTGTTTTCTTTTGAGACATTGTTATTTCTCCAAATCATATTAATGAATATTTAATTTGTAGCTTGTCCAAATGGGTCAAGGGTCTTCGCAACCCCAGAATGGCGAGCTACCTGAGCTCGAAGGTCATGGTAAGGACCCTGTGGTCGTCCTCTTTTCCTCCAATATCGCGCTGTTGGAGATCCTTCGGACGTGGGCTAACCTGTGATTCATCGGAAAAGATGGCGAGACTATACTTCAAGACCTTCCAAGCCCCGTGACTGTCGTCAAGAAAGGGAAATCCGGAGTTCAGGTTGAAGGAACACCAGCTCCCAAGCGCAAAAGAAAGTCATCTCTCAACAACACTGGTGATAGCAAACCCTTTGCTGTACCAACAAAACCGCAACTGTCGCCTCAAAACCCGGCAGACTCCCACCCTTCCAAACGCACAAAGGTCACTTCCTCCACCACAACCTCCAAGGACGCTCGGAAATCGGAGAAAAAGAGCGCTCAGGGAGCGACTACTTCTTCGCAGATTCCCAATGGTGTCAAGCCCACGGAATATGAGAACAAGTCACCTCAAACGATGAATGCGCAATCTCCAGAAAGTACGGCGCACTTTAATGGAACATCCAAAAAGTCGAAAAAGTCCAAAGCGAAGTCGACGCGAGAGAACGAAGAGGAAGAGAACTTAGCGCATTCACTTACTCTTCCCGAGTCCGAGCCGCTCGTTAAAGCACCGGCATCTGCAGATCTATCGGCCATGGATACCTCAAGTGATCAGAAGGACTCGATGGACACAACAGGCGCACGGGGTCCTAGACCAGGGAAGAAGGAAAAGCTGGTTGGTTTCTTTGCCCCGGCAGAGGTCAGAGCACTGGAGGCCTTCAAACTTGATTTCTGCACCAAGCATGCTCTCTCTAGCCATTCTTTTGATCGGATGGTGCAGCATGTGGACCGACGCAAAGATAGCGGTTGGCCTTGCGACGAGGCTATCACCAGCAAGGCCGAGTTTTGGCAGGCCATCTACGATGTCTTACCAGGCCGAGACCGGCGATCAGTATACAGATTCATGAGACGGCACTTCCAGGACTCTTCGCAGAAGCCGCACCACTGGACACACGAACAGGACGAAGAACTCATCACGATGGTCAGCCAGTACGGGCCCAAATTTGCTCATATCGCCAAGATGTTGGGTCGCGGCGAGGATGATGTTGTCCAAAGGTGGAAGAATCGCCTTGAGCACCGAAGCACGATGAGACGGGGTGCGTGGTCGGAAGAAGAAGTTCGTGGGCTGCTCGATGCACTACAATCCGCTTGGGTTGCCTTGAAGAAGGATGGCAAGGATGTTGGTCAGGATATCTACGAGATGGATGAGGGCTTAATATCGTGGGGCCAAGTGAGTAATAAGCTCGACAATTGGCGCTCGCGACAACAATGCGCAGATAAATGGCGCAAAATTAGACGCAAAATCATGGGGCTGCGCAGCAGCGGTGTTGAAGGCGCCGTCTTTGATCCAGCGTCAGAAGCTAGGCCACAGGGCAGAGCAAAGTCCGTCACTCTTGCAGAGCAGATGGAGATGGAGAGGGTCTACAAGAGTGCCGAATATGTGAATTCGGATGACGGAAATGAAAGCGAGGCCGATAGCCCTGGTGCCAATAAGTCGACGGCTCCCAAAAAGGCTCAGAAAGAGAATACCAGCACTGAGCTAGCGGGAGTGAAGACCCATTCTCTACCTGTTCTACCTAAGCCGGTTGCGGTTCCAGAAAAGGCATCGGAAGACGATTCCAGTCCTGAATCCGAGTCAGAGGCCACCTCCGAATCTGGCACCGGCTCATCTGATGACGGATCTGAATCCGAGGCAGGTTCTCCATCGGTCTCGGGCTCCAGTGCTGGATCCAACAGTAACGATGAGATTAACGGAAAAGTCGATCCTCGGATTATTGCTCAAGATACGAAGTTGAAGAGCAAGGGTGTGAAAGATCACCCTGGATCTTTCTCGAAAGTCTCATCACAGGTGTCTGCCAACGAGAAACCTTCCTTGCAGAATACCCCGAGCAAGAAGATCAACCCTGCCGTTCAACCAAAGAGCATCGATAAACAGGCAGCAAAATCAATTGAGACACTGAAAGCTAAAGACCAACCAAAGTCCATTTCGCAAGCCCAAGCTCCAGAACAGCAGAAACCATCTGGCCAGAAGAAAAAAGTTCAACATGAAACACCAGAATCGGAGACTGGGTCTAGTTCGGACTCGCCGTCCGACTCGGATTCCGACTCCAGTGCTGAATCTAACTCGGGGTCCGCTTCTGACCCCGAGGAGTTTCCAATACAGGGGTCTTTCAAAGCAAGTGCTAAAAACGGACCGGCGAAAGCATCAACGTCAACTCAAAAGGCAACCGAGAAAATTAAGAATCCTAAAAGGTCTGAGAATGATCGCAGGAACACAAAAAGCTCTTCAGGGACAAGTTCGGCATCGTCCGAGGCTGGGAGCACGGAAGACAGTGCAGAGTCCGGCGATCAAACAGACGAGAGTGATGTTGAAGGCAGTGTTGACGAACCTATCGAGTCACCCAAGATAGCTCCTGCCCAAGTCTCCAAACGTAAAATTCTTTCAACTGCCCAAGCACCCGAAAAGCGCGATACCAAGCGTCTGAAGACAGACTCGAAGATTAGCCGGAATTCTTCTTCGCCATCCTCCCCGTCCGGTACACCCTCATCCGAGGATAGCGAAAGCAAGGGTGATTCCGAGGACAGTGCCAGTCAAAAGAGCGACACCTCGTCATCGGCATCAGACGGTTCGGAATCCGAGTCTGAGTCTGAGTCAGTATTGAAATTGGAACCCGAGTCGAAATCCAGCGTCGATCCCAAGGTTAGACCACATATCGCTCAATCCAAGCAGAAACTGGTCAATGGGCAGAAGCCGCTGCCCGCATCAGCGACCAAGGAGCGAAGCAATTCGAAGAACGGGAAAGGATCCGCACCCAAAGCAAAGGCGAAACCCGCTCAAATCAGCAGTCCATTGGTTAAGGACGGGGGACTGAAGACAAAGGACAAATTGCGATTAGTTCCCGCGGCCAAGAAGAAGGCCTCCAAATAGAAGGATAAATCCGTGTCTCGGATGATTGATCGATTGATTCATGAATGATGATGTTTTGGATTGTGACGATGGGGTTTGACTCATCGATATGTACAAATAAGCCTGTTCGAGGACAAACAGACCTGCTAGAGATACAACGTGGAGGGAGATCATAGCACTATCTTCTGTCGATATCTTCTAATTGCTAATCGACGAGATTGTGTTATGAAAACAGTATATTTCATTCATATTTTCATCCTGGTGATGCTTCACAACTGCAAGACACGTTCATCTCTGTAAAGATGAAACGGATATCCTAGAGCTCATCCTTTATCCAGTCAGATTCTTGCTCTTCCCGGTCATCAGACCGTTTCTCCTCCTCCCTCTGCTGTTGCTCCTCAGCGAGCTTTTTCGCCAATGTTGCAATCTCATCATCATATTCCGTCCACTCGGGCACCTGTCTTCGGGCTCTATCAAGTTTCGGCTCTTTGGTTTGCGGGTTATTGCACAGATCAATGGTTCTCGCCACACCGAGCGATTCGTCGGAGCACCACGTCTCGCACCACAGCCATTCCTGCGGGAGACTCTTGATTGGAATATGATGCTGCATGTGGTTTGGCAGGTCTTGGTCAAGATTACTCAGACTGTTGGGATCAGCCGAGAGCATCTGGTATTGGCCCCGGAGACGATCGCCAGCGGCAAGAGCCCGGAAGCGGTTGAGATCCACCACGTAAAGCGCGGAGATATGATAGGGAAGACCACGGAGGAAGTTCTTCCAGTACCCTTGCTTCCAGAAGCGGAAACCTTCCATTTCCTCGCGGGAATCGCACATAGGGGTGAAGCCGTAGGGAGCGCCTTCAAGGTCCAGCGAAACGAGGTCGTACAGATCCGTGCGGACAATCTGGTCTGCGTCCACGAAGATGACTTTGTCCAAGGAAAGTGGGAAGAGGACGTCCAAGAAGAGGATCTTATAGCCCCAGATCTCCCGCTGTTTCTCGCGTTGAGCGCGGAGCCAGTGTGGCCACTTGTACGTGACCATCTCATAGGAGAAGCCGTACTGTTCGGCGAGATGTGGAAGGAAGGACTTGAACGACGGCGAGAGAAATTGTTCAATGAACCAGAACTTGACGGAATGCTTTGTGTTCCGCATCACGGAGACCATCATGATATTCAGCATTCGTTCGTACAAGTGGCCGCTCGCCACTGAGAAGATATTGATATCAGCCTGCTTTTCAGATCCGTGCTTCGACCCAACTCCGACGCTAGACAGGACTCCCTGGGCAAAGTTAAAGCCCTTGGATACATAGTCCATTGCAGACCCTGGCTTAGCACCCGTCTCCAATACGTCCTCCATTTCCTGGCCTTTCTTTCGTGAAAGACTTGGGAAGAGGGTCTTTCCTTGGAAGGAAAGAAGTGAAACTTCATTGTTTTCATCACCCGGTTGCGGACTGTAACCTTGGCCACCGACGCTGTCGAGGTTGAAGATGGTCTGACTGCGACCAGGTTTTAGGTTGATCTTCCACAGCCCTGGCTGAGCCTTGAACTGGAAATATCCTAGATTGGCCATGATTATGGTGTCTGCGAAATGCGGATTGTCGTCGGTGCCAAGGACTAGTTGAACACCCTGCGGAGCTGTCTTGGTCGTCAGATCACGAGAGTGTCCTTCAATCAAAATATGTTCCAGTGCATAGATGGCATCAACATTAGACCCTGGTTTTAATGTACTGAGTTTGATGTTATCCAGGTCATATATCGACTCCTTGGGTGCAACGAGCCAGGGAGACGGAACGTCCATGCCCAAAGTCAGAAGTGCTTCCATCGGTACGCCAGAGAAGGTGGCTGTAGGCCTTGCAAGAGATCCATCGTCACTGAAGGATGGCTCTGAGTCCAATACATAGCGATAGAATCGCTTGATTGGGAGTTCCTGGATCTCATCACGTGGATTCAAGGACAATCTAACCCTGACGCTGGCGAGTTCCGAAAGTACCTTCAGAATTGGCAACCATCTTTGGGCAGTCTCCGAGGTTGGATCAATGGAAACAACAATGGTGATTGCTGGATCGTCGGAGTTCGAAACAGTGATTACAGAGCGTGAATCATTCCATTTTTTGAACAAATCCGTTCTGACATTTGATGTCGTTTCAAAGATGCCCTCAGGGACATCGGACACGGTTGAAAGAGCGGTAAGCGAAGTGAGTTTAGCCAGGGCAAGAGGACTGGAGAGCCTGGACTCAAAGCCAAGGTCCTTTGCTGCATCTGCGACAGGACCGACTCTTGTTCTTTGCTCGTAGGCCAAGAGCTGACCCAAGTCCTCTACCGATAAAGTCGAATCATCCAACAGAGGCCCGACTGCTCTTCCGTTGATGACAATACCATTTGCACCGGGAGAAAATCCAAGTTCTCCTGCCAATAGTTGCTGGGCTTCCCAGAATTGAGCCATTTCTTGAGCTTCATTCTCAGAAGACATGGGGGCATCGGCAGCCTTAAGGTCAGCCAGGACCTGAGCAGCATCTGTTCGACCATTGACCTTCAGAGAACGGTAAAGCAATGCAGATCCACTTTCCGTCTCCAGTTCAGGGATGGGATTATGGATTAGAACGACTTCCACCTCACCATTTTTCTCCTGATACTCAAGAGCAGTGACAAGGAGCTGCAAGCCTTTCGCGGAGTCAAAGTCACCAACAACAATCAGATGCTTACTATCGATTGCATTCCCAGCTTTCGATGCAATGACAAGAGCTTCAGAGAGTCCTTTACCAGACTCCGATAGCTTTGCAATATCCACGATTCGGATATCTTTGGCATCCTCGGGTACGATTAAGGGATTGCGGCGATCAAATGCTTGCGAAAGGAAGAGCTGGGGAAGCCACATTTCGTCATCGATAGTGCCATCCATGACTCCTTGTTGAATAGTCTGCAAATCCCGGCCAACACGCATACTCATCTCCTGAGGCCATTTCTCGTCCCGTACTATGAACACTCCATTGACCAATAGATGTGAGCCGCCACCTCTAATTCCGAGTCGGCTCTGGTACTTCGCCGCCCGGGAAGCCAGTGTCTCGAAGTCATCGCTCTTCAAAATCTCTTCAAGTGTCAAAACCTGCTTATTGGGACGAACATCGTGATCTTTTGTGGCATGTTGGAGACAAGCCTTGTCCGGCGACCCTATCTTGTTTTTGGCAGCGGACTGATTGAATGGGCATGTTAGCAGAGCATCACAAGAACAAGCTGAATGTCACTCGCCTCTTCTAAATATTGGATCAAGCTGGCCAGTCCATAGGTCTCTTGGAGATAATGCGCAACTTTGAGCTGTGCAATAGATTCAGGGGAAGAAGCGAGAGGAACCAAGCCAAATCGCACGGGGATCTTCTTCTTGACAAAAACTTGGATCGTCTTGACAATCAATTCCATGTCTTCAGGATTGGTGAGATCGACGGGAACAACGATGTTGTGTGCATCGCGACGCACTGCCGGGAGTTGGCCAGGGTAGATGGGTTGAAGGTACTACACACAGTGAGCATACGAATAAAATCCAACATCAATTAGATCAAAGCTTACCGCAGACACCTCGCTAGGCCAAGACTGGTACTTGGCGTCCTTTTCGAGGTCATTCATCCAAATGATAACGCCACCGCCCTCGATTTCGTCTTGATAGTTGTACCGCGAAGGAGCATCTTGGGCCAGCGTCTCTGCGAGAGACTCATGGCAAAGCAAATCGACAGCTTCCTGAGCAGAAAGGCCAGTGCTCCTGAACTTATCAATCGATCTTCTTTCACGGCGGAGATGATCCAGAAGGGAAAATGCATCAATTTGGCGAGGATCGATTTGGATGCCATTGATCCACATGACATTGGCGCCTGAAGGAAGCAGGTCAAGTCGGCTAGCACGGATATGCTGCAACAACGTCGTGGACGTATTGTAGGCCGCGATCTTCCCGGAATATTTAGGGAAATCCTGTGAGATCTTCACAAGTGTATCCAGAGGCGTGTCACTGTCCATCACGTAGCTGGCGGTATTGATTCCAAGTCGCGAGACTTCCGACGAAGATAGTGGCCGGAGGTCATCAGGGGAATCTTCCCCGTCGGAAGGCTCGGTCGAAGCGATAGTGTTCTGACTTCTTTGCTCAGCATCACGGTCGTCAATGACGATATAGTCCGTTCTCTTCAGCGCAAGTTCCACACCATAGCCAGAGACGAAGAGAGGGCGGGAACTCCAATGCTGGGGCGGTCGGTAGCGCACGCGATAAGAGACTTGGCCTTCTTTGACGAGCCCAGTCAGAGTATGATGGAAATCCTTGAACATCGGTGACGCGATGTCCGCATACAGGATGGCTGGAGGAAGCGATGTATCTCCTAGCACTCGATCAAAGGGGAGTTCTCGGGAGTCTCTGTGGGCGGCCTGGTGTTAGACATCCTTCGAACTGTAACATGGAAGCTCATTACTCACGCCTCATCCGACATATCCTGCTGCGCACGTTCCATACTGGAGGAGCAGTATTGCTTTCCTTCCGAGTGAACCCATACCGGGCACGCCGCATCCTGCGCGGCCATCAAAGAGTGTTGGACCGAGGCATTGTAGAATTGGTAATGAGCGGAGATTCGAGGGGCAGCGGATCGGATTGCCAGAGACAACTTGAAAGACGAGAGGAGTTCCGGGGTGCTGAGGTGTCCATCATCATGGACGACTTGTAGAAACCGATCATAGAGCTCCTTTTCCGTGGTTGTATCATCAAAGGTTCCCTCTGCGATGCGATCAAGGAGTGGGAAATATGCTGTCGAATTCTCTTCTGCAGTCGTCTCTCTAAATGATCATAAGCAAGAGTTGCATTTTGGCTGTGCCGTTCGGGATAGGGCTTGCTTACAGTAGTTCTAGAAGATATGGTGCTGAATCAAATGAAGCCTGTAGTGCAACATTGACGGATGGACTCGCGCGCGCCAAACAGCTCAGCGCAGCAACAACTACAAAGCACTGTCGCCAAGAGGCAACAATGTTTGAGCGAATAGCCATGGATAGAAGCACAGCTTCGAGTCCAGAGGATATCGCTCAACCAGAGTTATCAAATTACTAGCCGGAAGGGTAGCTAGATCGCAAGCATAACAGGCGAGCGGATCAAGCTCATCGAGCAATAGGGGGCAGCGTATGAGGTATTCAATTTGTACAATCAATCAAGTATAAATGAGGCACATCTAGCACCAGTTTACCAAAATGAAGTTGATAAGAAGCTGTCCTGAGAATGGCTTACCAGACGGTCTTCAGGCCACCTTGCCGCCTTCTTTGGAGAGCTTCTACGGGCGGCGCAGCGGCCACTCGCGCAGGACTTCCGTATTGTATAATTGGCCACTTGCTGTTCTACATCCTAAGGTGTTCAGCGGGCAGTGATCTCAGGGGTTCAAATAGTACCTGGGGTAGATCACGCAGTTTAGCCTAGCCTTTTGCACTAACCAAGTCAACTCTAAACTCATCGTTTTCTCACAGGGTCTCAAAACAGTACCACTTATTTCTTCATCTGGATGCCGACATTGTCATCGAAAGCCAACTTCCGTTTCCTTCCATTTGCATGGTCACTCGGCTGCGATCGATGGTGAGCACCAGAAGCAAGTAAAGCCAAGCTAGTGACTGAAAGAAGCTCTTCAATATTCGTGCTACCATCCTCGGCCATACATTGTCTGCAGCTCCAACCATTCTGGGCCTCCTCCATGATTCTACTGATTCTTTTGCCCCGGCTGGTAGCATCTAAGATGTTGCCAATGGAAGCATGCACGGACAAAAGTACGGGATTTGGTGAAAGGTATCTTTGGTCGTGATTAGGCAAAGTGAGGAGTCGATCTGCCGGCAGAAGTTGGTTGTACGCCGTGGGGAACCGCGAAAAGGTCTTGACACGATAATGGTGAGAGCCAGCAACCTGGACTGCGAATCGAAACTCCTTGAACTCCCGATGAAGCGGGGATAGCATTGTCATAGCATTGTCTTCCCGGTTGATATCTGCCGGAGAGAAATCCGTGAGAGTCTTCAAGACAGGGAAATAGCGATAGAGATTCGCCCACACGTCCGACTTTCTCTTCCTCTCGTCTTTGAGATCTCCAAGCACGGATGGCAAGATGTGCACGGTCTCAAGAGGGCCAGAGGGCGCGCGACGTGGACCATCCAGGCCCTGATCCAAGACCAGATCGACGTCCTGATCTGAGCTCTGGTCCGAGTCCTGGTTCGTGCTCAGGTCATAGCACCCAGATATGACACATCGATTATTGTCTCTCTGGAGACAGTTTTCTCTCAGTCTCGCAAGGTCATTTCGAAAGTCTGGATCGACGGTGTGGAAGGTGGTATTTTCGTCATCATCGTCATCCTCATCCTCGTCTTCACTTTCTTCTTCTCCCGCGGAATCTGAAGGCGAACCAAGCTCAGGCGTGTGGCCCCCATTGGCGAAGATCGGACGCAGCAGACCCATATCAAGACTCTCAGCTAGGTGGTAAAGTTCGTCGTCGGAGCCGCAGTTCCAAACATCGTCAACGAGGTTCCTGCGTCCATCAGGTGGCAGGTACGCGTAGAAGGCTGTAAGTAATTGAATCGTGTCATCTTGATCGTTGCGTGGTCTGTATCGTTTCACCTTGATGCTCCACGAAGTCATGACCTCAAGGGAGGAGCTCGTCAGATCTGAAGTAGAGGATGGCATCGTCACGGGTTATCTTATCCACCTAAGGCACTCGAGACGATGGCTTAAGTTTGGTGCGAGATTGGGGGAAGGAGAAAGAGGATTCTATAAGAAATTAAACAATAATTCGAGGTCACAATGGCATGGGATTTCGAGTCTCTGAGGGGTTTTCACATTCACTACTCTCTGTTTGGTGAAGTGCTCAGGTGTCACCCACGACACAAACCAAACCTCATGTTTTCATCCGATAATGGCAGATCAAACAATATGTGCCTAAAAAGAGCTCTCCTGTAAAGCTTCAGAACATAGAGAAAAGGCACTATGGGGAAACAATCATGAAAAGAAAGCACGAGGCTCCGTCCATGATATGACAACATGGAGATGAACAGTCAATAGCTTTGGATAATGCTAAGATAGAACCACGACACTCGTACGCGTGCAATAAAAAAAATGTCTCAATCATACTCTCTACATCACCGACTCTCGAGGGACACTAACAATGCTCAATAATAACAAACGGAATTGATCCTATCAAAGGTGGTCATAAGACATGTGTATCATAAGCTGGTAATCATGTAACAAGGCTTTTCTGCTTTTTGTGTGGTATCAATCGCTTTCCAGACGCCAAATTCTCCATCAAAACATGCTAGGCCGACCCAGGTGTGTTCAATGCGAAACAGAAAAAGAATACATCCTAGAATGTCAAAGAGGAACAGGACAGAATAACAGGACCAAACTCCGAAAAGACCAATACTCTAACCCGAGGCTTTTGTTTCCTGCTTTTTGACAAAATGAATGAATGCGAAATGTGCAAGTCCCAAGGATCATCGAGAGTCCGAGCTGGACTGCTTGGAATGGGTGCGTTTACGAGCAGTAGCCTCCCAGATGAGACGCCGACGCTTTTGTTCGTCAATATCAAAGAATGATTCTTCGTCTGGCGTATGACTAGGGAGATTCTCAGGGCGAACGCTGAGCGCAGCTGTTGAACGCATTTTCTTGAGGCTCTTGGCCTTGCCAACATCGCCGAGCTTTCGGATCTCACGAGCCAGTCGATCTAGAGCCGAACCACTCGATTTTAAAGGGAGAGGTTTCTCTGGAGATGGTGGAAGAGGTTTGTCCAGAATATCTTCGTTGCTGTTGCCACTGCGAATTGAAGGGGTAGGGAGCCGATCTGTGGAGCCGAAGCTGATACCTGAATCCACTTTGCGGCTTTTGTGGCCACGGGGAACGGGTTGCACTTTCCCATCGAGACTGGAAGGACCATTGACCAACGCACACTCGTCAATCATCTCATTGGTGATCCGAAGGTATTGGTCCAATGCATCTCGAACAAGCGGCCACCCGTTCGCCTCACCTTCCGGCGCTCCCTGGGCGATGACCTTGTCCAGCATCTGCTTACCGTTGGTTTCAAACGCAGAGATGTATCGGAAAAATCCGTCTCGTTGCGATTTGAGGATCTGAGTAGTGAGTTGAGAGGTAGGAGTTACTGTAGACTCAGTAACCGGAGGGAAGAGGGTGTTCAACATGGCAATGCAATTTGCTTTGTTGTGTGGTTCCAACAGCATTTCATTGATCAAGATCTGGCAAACTGTATTAGCAAAGATCATCATCCGGAACTAAGAGAGCTAAAGCTCACCCATCGACGTAAGCCCAAGTAAATTTGAGTGTAAAGGGCTTCGACCTTGCGGCCTTGAGCGTTGATGGACTCAATCCAGGCAAGTACTCCAGGATATTTCTTTCCCAGCTCGACCTTTTGCTTGAGGTCATCCGGGTGGATACTGAGACGTTGCAGGGCGGCAGCGACCTCCCTTCTCCGGCGATTTTCTAGGTCTTTGAGGTAATCCAGCGCAGTCAATGCCTGAGGAAAATCAACCTCATCGAGTAGAGGGGCAAAGCATCGGCGCAAGAATGAGGTGACGAAACTAGGCGGCAGACTGCACGGTTGCGAGGGCATGCGGGAGATATGGTGAGTCAACTGCGCCCTGAAGTCGGCTGCGGGATCCATGGAGAAGTCCTGAGACTGGATAGACAGTTTGGACGAGCTGGACGATCGATTGGAGAATGCAGTTTCCGGAGACTGCGTCCCTGTACCAGGCTGTCTCGCGGGGTTGCAGTTCAGTGCATACATGGTACGAAGAGGAATCTCATAGGTTTCGGGATAACGAAGGCAGTGATCGAAGATCCAGGTCCAAGCAGACCCGTCCGGGCCGCTCAGGCGTTCTTCCGAAGGCGACATGATTGTAGAGGACTGAAAGAAAGAGATGATCGGTGGATGATAGGGCCAATCGAGGTTCGTTGTGAAGTGCCGAATCGAAGACCGGGGTAGGAACGCCTTTTAAAAGTAATTCCAAGCCCAAGCGAATACTGCAAGAAATAAATGTATAACAGTATGGGCTAGGGGAGGGGTGGTTTGCGTGTGCGACGTGATTGAGACGCAGGTCGAATATTCAATCAAAAAGTAGTACCGAAAAGACGGGGCGCAAAGACGGCTGGCATCACTGGTGTGTAACGTGCGCCTCCATACCACAACCTGCACCTCGATAACAACAATTGACTCAACCGGGACAAGGAATTGGCTGAACTAGGGGGGAGAACGAGAGAGAGAGGTGTATGCGAGCAGCAGTATCCCTTGAGGGGGAGTCTCCGGCGTGAGGGGCGTCCCTGGAAGGAAACGGATGGAGTTCCGGTTTGTTTGATCTTCGCCGACGGTTTGATCGTACGTAGTAAAGCAAGTTTAGCTTTTTTAAACTTCACACTTGACTCTTCTTTGTTTCGAATTCAACCCAAAGCTGTCGGACAAATCAAGAGAGGTGAAATAGAGTGAAGATCGAATGAAAACAGAAAGGAAGAGAGAGGGAGAGAGAGAGAGATTTCCAAATAGATAGTGCTCGAATGGGGAAGCTGTCAAAGCAAACGCCAAACGGACCTCGAAGATCTGTGCGCCAAGAGGAGCCGAGGAATGAGGTGCTTTGTCAAGTTTTGGATAGATCCAGAATCAAGCTTTGAGAGAAAAGAGGAAAGAAATGAATTTCTGATGCAGTGAACTAACTATCGAGATTCTAGACAGATAGATAGATGGATAGTAGAAGGAAACAACGAATGTGGTGGCGTTAGAGAAGGAAGCCGACCCGTATTATTTTTCTTGTTTTTTTCTTTTTTGCTTTCGAGTCACCAGAACAAGAGAGAGAGAGAGAGAGAGAGAAAACAAGAATAACAAAGAAGACTCAGGTTGACCGAGGGAGATGGTGGACCATAGTCAATACTAATAGTAATACTAGTAATGACCAGAAGAAGCAGATCAAAACTAGACTGACTGTCTAGTGTCTGGAGACGATTTTCATGACATTTCTTTTTCCCAGTACTCTTCCTCTACCGATGATCGAGACTTCTGGACTGTCTCTGAGTGTCCCACTTTTTTTGCCCCTCCGACCAGGTCAATCAATCATCTCGTCGTGTTAAGTTGTTAACTGTTAAACTAAACTAAACTGATGCTTCCGAACAACTTCATTAGTCAAAACTGTCGGTTTCTGATCGGGGGGTTCGGGCCACTGGGCTCCAATCACTTTCGTCCATCAAGTATTCTCTACACAGTACACAGTACTCTGAGTAGACTATTTTCTTTAGTATGTTCTCCTCGATCTGTGATCCGGTTCCATGGGATTCGCCGTCGACCTCCGTGATTCCGTCCCATCTGTGGATGCTGCCACTTGAGCTTCTCTTTCTGCATGGTGTAGAACCTCTTCCTCAAAGCATCATTTTGAACAGTCTTCAAGCTGACATCAACTTGCATGAACAAGTTGCCTGTATGATCAACCTCACGACATACATTTATCTTCCGAGTCCAATGTGACACAGAAGATCAATCATCCATCTACAAACAGGAAAATTTTTTACCCATCACACGCTCATGTCTTTTCCACGACTCGATCCCTTTTCACATGATGGACATTTGGGGTCGAAGGGATCAAATCATCAAAATAGCTGATCAAGAAAGTCCAACGGATTTCCATCAACCACTAGTCTTAACTATCTCAATTCTAGACTAACGGTCAAGAAATGCAGATTCGACGGATCCACTCCGTGGGAAAAAGGATTAAAAAAAAAAAAAAAAAAAAAATTCTCGAGGAACAGTCAGTCGATCGTTGCGAGAATCTGAATGCTAGGGGGCAAAAGTCCGTTGCTGTGGTCCTTTATTTTAGTCTTTTTGGACTGTTTGACTTCGACCTCCTGTTTCCCGAATTTCCGCGCAGGCTAGGGTGTCTGACGATCAAATCAAATCGGCTAAGCTTGGAGATGGTGGATCGCAGTTGGACAGGAGTCAGGAAGGACAGCCCCCCTAAGTAGGTTGGCAGGCTGCTTACCGGCCCCCAATAATAATAATGTGCTGGATTCCGCCAGCATCCTAGCGCGTCGTTGTTCCGTCGTCCGGTCATCCATCTCGGTTCAAGTTCAGGCTTCAGCTACAGTAGTTACTCCGTAGTCAGGAACACACTTCCGTCCTTCCTTGGAGTCCAGGCCTTTTGCTCGGGTGGCTCAGCCCATCTCCCAAGTCCCAAGGATCTATCTACTCGAAATCCGAGTTCTCCGCCATGCAGCCATCTTGCATGATGCATTTGTCTGCCATCCTTATTGAACAATATGCTACGGATACGAATTTTCTGCTGTATCATACCCACAATCCACATCCACCGATTGATCCCTCAAGAGTCAAGGCAGGCCTCCCTCGTCCTCCACAGGTAGTACGCTGAAACAAATCTGCACAATACCATGTCGGAATTACTCCGTATACCCAGTACTTGCCCCATTGATTAATTCACCTCTTGCGGAGGTGAGTGGGTCGCCTGTACGTGACTACGTACTTGTCTTGGATCGCGACACACGAGGCAATCCAAGATCCATAGCTCCTGATTTGTACACCTTATCATAACTCAGGTCATTGATTGGACTGATGGTCGGAATATCACATCTATGGAACATTTCTATCGTCGGGCATAGTAGTACTATGTAGGTCTTAGAGCCCCGACACCCGGAACGCGCTACTCGTCTACCATTGTACTTCGTCATCCTTGGTGATCTTTCATTTTCGAGTGTCGATCATCCTTGACAGTCGATGGATCAACTTCAGTTGATGTCAATGACCCTGATAGGGAATAATCAGCCATCAGCTCCTTTTCGTTTCTTTTTCTGTAAAGTGCTGCACGAGGTGTTTTGAGGCGCGAACACTGGATTTTGAGACCTCAGCCCAGTGAGCCCACGTCTTCTTCATCCTCCGATGCAATTCATTATTCAGAACCTGGAATACTTCCCGAATAGTATCCAGAGCTGCTCGTATTCGACGTGATGGCCATGCATGTTACCCACGAGGGCACGCATCACGGCGCTGGAATCATTTTTTCCAGACGTCCTTTCCCTGAGAGATGATGCATGCTGCATGCTCAATCAAGGTATTCAAGTCACCATGACTGATCCACCAGTCTCAGCTCAGCTCTTAAAATAGGCAACAAAAGTTGGCACGCTCACCTCGTGGTAATCACCTAGATAGGGTGCTAGACTTACTAGAGAATCTCACTCCACTGATGCGCATAAAAGCAAGTTAAAAGCGAATACTACTTGGAGAGACATGGTGCATTCTATGTGACTAAGGCATTATGAGCTGTGCATGCATGGCTAGGAGAAGGCCTGTCTTCTTTCTTTCACGCCAGAGCTTGGGATTTTAAAGCATAGAAGCATGCTATTCATCCGACAACTACACTTGAATATGTAGACATATTTAAAGCACATTCTAGATAGTTAGGATGCCAGTTTGGAAATCTGAACCCAATATAGTTATGCTCACGTGTGAATGACGGAGGGAGGATTAAGAAGGGGAAACCAGGACTACGTTGCGTAGAGATTGGGTGAAGAAAGGACTGTGTCCACAGATAAGAGGGGAGATATGCAAAAGTTGGATAGAGAACGAGTTGACAGTGCTAGAGAGACCACATTAAGATGAATGAAGATCTTGGGATGGCAATCGACCACTATGAGCTTATAGGAGTACATCGGAGCGGGCTGGTTGGCCTCGGGGGTTTCGATACAGACATATTTGTTAAGTTGCTTTCAATGCCGGCAAAGTCACCATCTTGATATGAGGGTACAAGATTCTTGGGGGAGTCGACTGTCGAGCACTGCTGGGCCACCCGTTCCGGCGAGGCCCAGCATGACACAACGTTAGGCGGTCGCGTCGTTTTTGAGCTCTACTTATATCAAAGGCAGCAAGCATTTATGTTGTTAGGAGCACTCAAAATGATTTTCATTCTCAGAAACATTTGGCCGCCTGGCCCGTCAATTGATGCCATTCGTATCAACACGCGAATTGAAGGTATTCTCTGCTTGCGCTGTCGAGTAAGAATGCCACTATGGACGGCAATCACCTCTTCGTTCAAATCTTTTTCGACCAGGGCGCCAGGCGGAACACGAGTATCAGAAACTTGGGAGAATGCCACATTATTTCCTAGCAATGGATTCAAAGTTATCGGTGCTGATCAGTTGATCGAAGAGGAGGAGTTGCCAGATTATCAAGCTGATCGTTTCTACCCTGTTCGACTTGGTGATGTGTTCCAGAACCGCTACCAAGCGGTAGCCAAGCTTGGTTTTGGCTCTTCATCAACATCGTGGCTAGCCCGCGACCTGAGGTAAGTGTGCTCGAAATCTTTGTTATGTTATGCTAAAAAAAAAGGGGGGTAGAGACCATCAATATGTCACGTTGAAGGTGAATGTTCATACCTCGTTGGTCCACCGAGAACTCCCGGTTTACAGTCATATTGCCAGCCGCATGGTAGGTGACTTACACCGGGGACAAGGAAATATCCGGAGACTGCTGGATTCTTTCGAAATCGCTGGTGTATACGGTAGACACCTTGTTCTTGTCTTTGAGGCCGCCCAAATGAGTCTGCGCGACATGAAGATGGTATTCCGCCAGGAAGGGTTTGAAGAAGACTTTGTTCGGGGAGCTATAACCGAGCTTCTTCAGGCTTTGGACTTTCTGCATACACATGGGGAGGTCGTCCACACCGGTATTGTCCTTGTCTTTCTGTTCTTCTTTTTGACATCGGTGCAAATTCCACAGCTAACACACTGCAGATGTACACCCTGGCAATTTGCTTCTGGGTGCCTACGATAACCAACTTTTCCAAAAGTTTGAGGAAAAGGAATTCGCATCCCCAGTACCCCGCAAGCTAATTTCATCTGCTCGCACAATCTATCTCTCTCGCTTGATGCGCCCCAAAGAAGGCCCAATGCTGCTGTCTGATTTCGGTGAGGCCAGGATTGGCCCAGGCCCACACGGGGGTGATATAATGCCCCTGGAGTATCGAGCCCCGGAAACATTGCTCTATATAGGTTGGAGCTACCCAGTCGATATTTGGAGTGTTGGCCTTGCGGTACGTCCTTGGTTGGAGTATCTAACAGTTTTCTAGCGAGCTTCTAACATGATTGATAAAGGCTTGGGATCTTATAGAGCCAAGAAAACTGTTTACAGCACGCGATGATGATGGCGACCTCTATGATGCTGCTCACCTCGCCCAGCTGATTGCCGCATTGGGCCCACCCCCTCCTGATTATCTAGCTAAGAATTCGGAGAGGAGAGCCGAGTTTTGGGATGAACAGGGTATGTCGATCATCCGAACAAAGTATACGCGTGGAAGAATTGATTGGAATATTGTTATTGCCGTCAGGCTTTTTACTGACCAAATTTGTAGGAAATTGGCTGGGCCTCGCGCCCATTCCACATGGCAGGACAATGGAAGCACTGGAAACTCGACTGGAAAATAAATCGGACTTCCTTCGATTTATTAGAAGAGCTTTAACTTGGATACCAGGGGAAAGAGCAACTGCCAAAGAGCTCTTGCAGGACCCTTGGTTAACAGGTGAGGTCCCCCGAAACTAACGTCCAGTGAACAAGGCAGCTGGCATAAGCTTGCCGCTTACGCAGTGAATATGGTTTCTGGTAATCTTCTTCAAACAGCAACTACCGATGAAATCCTCCAAAACCACGCTTTTGAGGGTTACATTAATTTCTCAACCGATGGGCCTAGATTATATTTGGGATTATTCGTCTTGTCGAGCCATAAGGAGTAATGAGTCAAGTTAGAGCGATCACACCCACTCACCCAGGTCACGCGACCTCAGGGTAGCACTGCTCACCTACTCTAAGTCTACTCAGTATAACAACTTAACAAGAACAGCAATGGCCTTGGCGGCCGTAGTTGCTCAGTTGGTAACTTGGTAGTCACTAAGCCTGGAGGCCATTCTTCGCTGATCCTGGCAAGTTAGCAACTAGTCTAGCCCTACGACTAGCAACAAGCTAGCATCTCGCCATCTCGGGATCTGACACAAGTTTAGCACGTTATGCCTGATTCGGCCTGAAGCTTGATCCCGAGAAAACGGTTGGAGCTAGACCTGTCTTGTGTCACTCCTTGGCTCTCATCGTGCTTGTTTTGAGAGCCAGGAATCCAGGGTCACATCTCGGAGCCGGTGACGCGACTGCTCGATAACTACAAGTGTCTTTTTAGCGGAGAGATGGGCAGTCTTTCACGATATGAGATGCTATTAATTGCTATCGCTCACCATCGCAATTCGCAATACCCCTGATCGTGCCGATTGACCTCGCGTAGCTTCGACTTGGGGATCATACAGTGTGATCGATCATATTCCAGACTAACCTATTCATTGAACAAGTACAGTATGCACAAGTCACAACTTCGCTGATGATATAGTCGTCATACAAGGGTGACCGGTGACATCGACCCTCACGTTCTATTCTAAATGATGAAACAACCGAAGACAAAAAAAGGCATGTGAAATCCACCAAATCCTGGCACTATCCACAAGCTATCCTACGGGAGAGCTTTTTTTCATGACTGCCGGATCTTGTTGGTCAGTGTCATTTCCCGCCATCCCCATCCCAGAGCAAAAGCAGCGCCAGGTCCTCCAACCCATGTCATCGCGGCCAGAAACGCAGCCACTTTGAGCAGCGAGATTTGGACCCCATACAACTTCAAGTCACGGAAACAAAGCAGTAGCCACAGGAACCCGCTGGCCATGGAGAAGAGCTCGTCATACTTGAGGAACAGGGTGACACCATCCGAAAATGACTCCACCGACGAAGAGAACTCCCCTACCTCGGGGTAGAAGATCTCCGATAGCGAAGTCCCGGGTGGGACCGAGAATCGCACATACTGAAAAACAAGACCTGAGATCGCCGCCAGGGAGACCCAGATGATGTGGACATACGGCATATCCGCCCGCTGATCCACACTGAGGCTTGCGGGTCTCGAATCCTCTACCATTGACGTTAATAGGAAATGAATGAGGGGGACCAGGACCGGGAAGAGTTGCCAGATGGCGTTCATCCACTGTCGCGTGGCAACTGTCTCGGAAAAGAAACTGGCCCATGTCACGGGATAGTATAAAAGCACAAAGACTGGTAGGAACGTCTTTGCGGCGGAAATCCGCATCTCGCGACGGTCCGCAACAAGGATACTTAGGAGAGGGGAGAACAGAAAGTCGATCAAATAATAGTATGGAGCAACAAGACCAATCCCTTGGAACTGGAAGATTACACCACAAAGAACCGGTCTGCAAAGCAATAAAAGTCAGCGCTCAAGTCCTAAGGCAGGGGAGTAACCACAAACAGTAAAGATGCTATGCGAGAGTAGCCTCGCCGGTAGTTGTCGAGCAACCAGATGCCATAGACAGCCCCAATATCCGTGAGGAACGTCAGCATCTGAAGCCGAGCTATTGCGTCTGAACCCGTGATCGACGGCAAAAAACAAGTTACCATGATACGAACGGTATCATCTAGGAAATGCCAGTGGTAAAGCGGTCGGTTCAAGTCTACCACCTCTCCGTTCTTAGCTTCCCACTTACCCCTGTCCAGAATGGAAGAAAGATGAGGCAAGAATCCTCTAACAGTCGTGCCCATCATATGGTGTGCCAGGAGAATACACATCACCAATGGCAGAGCCCACAGAAGCCGAACCCAACCACGTTCGTCCTGCAATCTCTGGTAATTCCTGTCAAAGGCAATCGGACAGCCTAATGCCCTCTTTGGCAATGCAATGCCCTCCAGTTTCTCTGATCCAATGAAGACGGTAGAGTATTGATCTGTCAACCAATCGTTCAAACGTGGGAGGGCGTGAAAAGTGAAGAAGCTATGCCTCCATGTTGCCAACGATTCCAGTCGGGTAAGGTCATTGGCCGCCGCCCAGATTTTCTTTACTCGAGGCTGTCTGGCCCGCTCCCAGACGGATAAACAGTTGCTAATATCACTTGCAGACGGGACAGGAGAGACCTTCAGAAGAGACCTTAGATGATTGACAAGGGAGGCAGCGCTCTCAATGGCGCAATTGGCTCCCTGACCCATGTTGGGAGTCATCTGGTCAATGAATCAGCTTGTCTCTGGGAAAAGTAGCAAGACCTGCGCTGCATACCTTGTGAGCCGAATCCCCAATGCATACAAGTCGCTTATACGCCCATTTGTCGAAGAACGCCTCTTCAATAGGGATATGAGTCGCGAATGTGGCATTTCGGTAAATGTCTCCGAAGGAGACATCCGATGAGATGGGCTTGTCCAAGAAACGTGCAACTGTCTCATCCAGGTCTTGACGATTGAATCTGGCAAACGAGGGCTTCAAATACGTCTGGTCCAGTTTGATAAAGACAAACCAGTATACTCGACCATCTTTGCCCACCGCGGAGAGAAAAGACCAATCCATTGCACAAGTACGGTGACATTGGCTTACCGTCAGGTTGGTGGTTGCATCAGATATTCCAAAGATGCAAGAATATTCAATTTTTAACTCTAAAATGCTGGTCAGTACAGAAGCCCCTAGTATTCGTTTTTTACTCACTGGCACGTTCACGTTCGACCACATCTTTCAGGTCAAGGCTCTCCATGTGCCGCCACATCTCCTGTCGCACAACACTCTGGATGCCATCAGCACCTACAACGAGGTCACCTGCGTACCGACTGCCGTCGGTACAGTGTACCATAGCTCCAGAATCGGAAGTTTCGATTTTGACAACCCTTTTGCTAAGGAGGACTCTAGATCTGTCCTCCTTCAGATGTTCGTGGAGGATAGCGAGCACCCTCTGCCGGTCTAGAAATGACACGGGATAGCCATGTCTCGAAGAATAGGGTCAGTTTCATTGCTGCGACCCGCAAGCACAATTTCGGATACGCTACCTCGTCTGTATGTCTTTTATAGCTTCATTTTGGGTGAGGAGTGACCCGTCCTCTCGCCAGTAATAACTGGTGCCCAATGGCTCGGCCCATTCGAGGATGTCGTCAAACATACCCAGCTGATCTAGGATCCGCAATCCATTCGCATTGAGTCCAATTGAGGCTCCGACCTGCGGTGCGATCTCGTCACGAGATTCTAGAAGCACGTAGTCGATCTTTGCGCGTTTCAAACAATGCGCAAGTGTCAAACCGGCGATGGCGCCGCCGACGATGATGACTCGGAATCTCCTGTCTCGATGCTTTTCGTCCATCTTTGGCTATTCTTTCTCTGCTTCGCTTCTTCGCTCGGAACAACACGTTTCGCAAAGGTGGATTTGAATATCCGCTCAGTGAGCTTTTGAAGGATGGAATTAGCGCCGCTCGTTGTGGACGAGAAGTGAGAAAGAGTCGCTATGATCTTACGCCGCGGGAGGACTCACTAATTATCTAAGTTAATTTGCTCAACAAATGATCCTGTGCGAGGTTGTACGATGAGTAACCACGTTGGCGATCCGGATTCCGGAGCGTTAGGACTTGGGGCTCAGGCATCCCTGCACGCGATATCACTAAGTGCTCCTGGCTTACCCGCCTCAAGATACGTGGAGTCACGAAACACTACGACGGGATAGGATGACAACTATACGGACGGCCAAATCGGACACATCATAGATACCGCGTCTAGCCTTGAAACAACAATGTGATCGGCGGGGGGCCTTAAGAACGCTCATTAGCCAACCGAGCCATGCCTTCGACATGACCTAAAGGGATATGGACTTCACTCGCATTTGATGCTCAGTCGAGTGTATGGATAAAGATGTGCTGATGTCGCCAGTTGGATTACGATCGACAAGGTTGGACTATAATGGATAGACCATACGCTTAATTGCAATTTCAGACATAGATAGGTAATCGTAATCTATATAGTGAGAGGAAATTACATCGTAGTTTCTCCAGCATGGACTATTGAATGCTTCATACCCTGTTGGTACGATTTATGGGGATGCGTGGATGGCCTTTGTTACATATATTATGCAATAATACTGCCTCAACATGAATGGGCTATTGGGGCGATGCCCAGAAAGGGTGAGCAAAACAATTCCAATATGAGTGGCAGAGGGCCACAATCCTACTACTCAGATACGACTTTTATAAGGAATGCCTTCTTCCCACCTTTATCCTGTCTATTCACAAAACTTGAACTTTTCAGATCGGCACAGTCTAGATATATTCATACCTTGACCAGCGGGGGTCGTACTGCGAGACAATGATCGAAAATGTTTCTATTGCTTTCAAGGGAACAATAATGGAATGCAATAACGGCCATTTGGGCGTTCCTTGCCGTTGCTGATGTCTCTAACGTATATGAAGTTCTAGCGTGCGCCAATACAGACTTGTCATAATAATGGGTGAGGTGAGTACATTGGAAGGGAGGGCTGGTATCTCAGCCATCACGGCCGCATTCGGTAACACATTTCAGTTATGATATCAGGGACTTGCTCGCGCAGCCTTGCCACCCGCGAAGCAGAGACAGCGAGAGCACTTTCGCAATCGGGAAAGAGTTGTATACTAGGTGCCAGAATCCCAAAGATACTCGACCATGAATTTTCACTGGGGACCACCAATCAGAGGTCTTGAGACAGATAGAGTTGTTGCGTTTCTCTGTCTAGCCTACGAGCTGCAAGTTTCGACAGTTGACACACAGAATGATCTGCCTCGGCCATGGTTCAGCAGCTAGTCATGGTGGAGCAATGATGCCCAGATCTCGGTCATCGCCGGTCTTTCTCTTCGTATGAGGAGTAGAGTGCGAGTCAAAGAGGACAAAATATTAAGTCCCTTTGTGCCCCTAACGACGATCATAAACGCAAATATAGTGCGATTTCTTTGTTCATTTTCATCCATCACCATGACGGGAGATACAGAAGTGTTTCCTACACCTGCAGCGATCTTCCGACGGGCCTCTCGCTGCAACACTCGCATGTCTTCAATCGCGCAAAGAGCCACAGCACCCTGCAAGATAGCCACCATTTCACGTGGCAAGCTCAAGCACGAAGCCTCCTCTCAGGCCCCTAATCTCCGTCGCTGCGTCGGCCACCACGCCGTCTTTCTCAAGTCCACCGAGGCAGCTCAAGAAGAACACAGAAGGCAGATGAGCCCTCTGAGCTTTTTTGAAAACGATGGACCCAACTTTGCACCTAACGACAGGAGCAAGGCCGACATGCCTGTCCTCTGCACACAAGTCACCAAGACGGTCAAGGCGATCATGCGCCGCCGTTCTACGAGTGGCCCTCAAGCCTCTGATGAAGCAGAGAAGACTGCCGCCCTGATCCGTGTATCTGCTGCAGCAGACAACTCCATTCAACCACCAGCACTGGAAAAGAGGAAGAAATTCCTCGTCAAAAGTCGCGAGTATGCATCTATGCTGTTCTTGTCTGGTCGGCGGGCTTTCACGCCAGTCCTACAGACCAATACTGTCTACTGAACCACCTACCCCGTTCATCTCACCATTATCTCGCACCTTGAAACTTTTGACTCATCATCATTGAGGAAAGCGCGACTTGATATTTACGAAGTCTACGACGATTTGACACTTGATGAAGCGATTTGAGCAAGCGAGAGCTGTTTTTATCTCTTATTACATTCATATAAACTACCACGATAATCAGACCACACTGTACTAGATATATGGAGGACATACATTAATAATAAAACCCACATCCCTATCCATATTCTGTTTGAATGCTTAACCCGTAAAACTCCCAGAGCTGCCGGTTTTCTTCTTGATGAGCAAACCACTCTGGAAAGGTATGCAGCAGAATCACAGCGAGAAATTAGACTTTGGAAGTTCCATCGGATTGACCAAGTCCAGTACCCACAACTGCGAAAGACGCAACCTGGTTCCCACCGCATAATGGCATCAATCACAAGTCTGATTGGGCCATACTCTGTTCGCCTTCATCGGAGCCCCCGAATCAACAGCCCTGTTATTCTCCGATGAAGGAATCCGGGGGAGTCTGGCCAGAGTACTATGAGTCGCTGAATCGATCGGGGTGGCCTCGACCCTATTTCTCAAGCTGGATTCTTGAGAATACAGAGAGACTGAAAAGACCCGAAGATCTCCCGTCGACAGCATTTCTCTTCGAGGACGTGAATCCACACCTTCACAAAAGGCTAGCAATGAGCCTCTGGACCCGGCTTGAGTCATGATGAACCAGCATCATTGGCTAGACAGCTGACTGGCGGTACTGCCTAGCCAAAGAATACGGCAGCAGAACTCGGCAGCAGAACTCGGGTGGAGGGCTTCTCACCCCGATGAGGCTCGACCCCTCACTATGGTCAAGATCACCGTGGATGCTCTAGTTCCCCAATCCCCCCCACAACAGGACGGTTTTGAACCCTGGCCCTATTCGGTGATAATTCGTTGCGTCAGCGATGCCGATTGGGCTACAGTTTGAAGTTCCGGTGCCTTCGTCTTCTCAACGAACGCGTGATGGTGGCAGGACATATCGAGAACGTGCTAAAGCCTCTAGGGGCCATTTGTTTTGCTAGAGAATAAACATAACATGACAGTTGCGGAAGTTCTAAGAGTATGCTGGATACGCACCTAGGATAGAGGGAGGTTGTCCTTTCACTAGAGTATTCCGGTCTTTCCTTTCCATTTCAATCTTAGATCCTCGTGTTCATGTAGATAACTCGAACCGGATAATCCCATCGTGAAAGGGACCGAAATAATGCTGATGGTTCAACAGTCCATCCTCTGCCGTCTACTTGCCGATAGTTGTAGTTATATAAGACTCTATTTCTCTATACTCCATAGTAGGCGCAAAACGCCCCATTGGCTGGACCCCACAGCGCCAAGACCGCCAATGATCTCCAAGCGCATCGAAGTCACTTTTGCAATACACAGTAGATCCAACATCACCTCCCCATCGCGAGTGTCAATATTAACACAATACAAGCCTTCACAATGGCGAAACCATCCCTGGCGAAGAATCTCCAATTCGAGAAACAAAACAAGGACATGATCAAGCTCCCCAAACGTACATCCAACCTCCCCTCCCACTCCCCCAAGAAACGGAAAAAAAAAGGCAGGCAGGCAGGCAGGCAGGCAGAGAGATAGCTAACACAAACCACCCACAGACGCCCGAGTCCAAAAACGCCCTATCCCACACGCCCCCGTCGCATCACCGTACGCCGGCCCCTCCGTCCCGAAAATCGTCTACGTCTCGACCAAATCCCCCTTCATGAGCGCCGTCAAGCGCGTGCAGAAACTCCTGCGGCAGGCCGAGAAGCGCGCCACGGCGTCGGTCAACCTGGCGAGCAGCAAGCGGACGGAGCAGCAGAAGTTGGCGCAGCTGGCGCGCGGGCAGGAGCAGCTGAGCAAGGAGGAGGTGTTTGTCAAGGCGACGGGGCGGGCGATTGAGAAGGCGCTGAGCGTGGGCCGGTGGTTTGAAGAGCGCGAGGCCGAGTATGCGGTTCGCGTGAAGACGGGGAGTGTGTTGGTTGTGGACGATATTGTGGAGGATGAGGAGGCGAAGCAGAAGGTGATCGAGGAGGCGGAGAGAGCGCGCGAGCAGCAGGAGCAAGCGCTGCCGGAGTCGAGAGACGGCGAGAAACCTGTCGCGTCTGCTGAGTATACCGCACAGCATGCTTCGACGCCTGCGTCTGCGGAGAAAGAGACACAGCAGCAGCAGCAGCAGAAGAAGAGGAAGCGCGCTGCGAATGCCCCGACTGAAGACGAGGAGCTGCCCGAGACCCGGACGCGATGGGTCAATATGGTTGAGGTCGCGATCTCGCTCAAGTGAAGAGATGCATGCTCAATCTTCCGGGAGCTTGCCCAAATCGGGCTCTAAGCTCGGATCTTGCGTTACCAATTCACGCACTGGGCGGATCATTTGCACCCATGCTTCCTACAACACATACTTCTGGCGGCCTTAAGACGAAAAGACGAAGCTCAGTACTGATGTGTCTTCGCCGTCACCGCGAGGTCATGCCATGGAAAATGCCATCATCTCCCTCTGGTCGAATTTCCGCTCCAGACTCTGCAGCAATACCTTTCCAGTGATGGCACTCGCCCCAAATGAGTGAGATCTAATATCACACTAATTCTGTTGGTTCTAAACATATTACGGGCCAAGCTACCACGCCGCCATTACCACCACAACTCGGAACATCACAAGGCCTTTGCTCTCCAGCTTGATGACAACCGCACATCTCTCAGCTGCATTGCGTTTCGACAGTCCAGCTGTGTGTGTAGACATCCCGGAACGCCATCTTGGCTGTGGAGACGTGTCAATGCTCTCTATTTGTACATGGAGTTTGCGCTGTTTAATTCACACTCAAAGGCGCTTGACGGAGATTGCAAAGCCCAGATGGCAGACAACAACTCCAAACGAATGCTTGAAGATGCCCTGTTGATGAATATTAACAAATGTCTCTCTCTCTATGCATACAAAAGCAAATTTTCCGACGACACAGTCGCAGAGAAAGTTGGACTAGAAAACTGAGTATGGAAGCGCTGGATTGCGAATCACACCATGATTGAGTTAGATAATAGAATAGCAGTCCAGCTATAAGGGAAAGAACTCAAATCAATCATCGCTTCGACTGCAATTCTCCAAGGAGGTAATGCTACTATGAAAGAACTAATACACAGAGGGTGAGCCCCACACGACTTGCTTCTGCCCATGAAGGAAAAGAGACATTAACATAGAATAATGAGAAATGGCGACTGCTGCCAGAAAGTCGTAACTGGGCCAGCAGGGTGCTTATGAGGTTGACTCCTATAACAAGCCAGGAGATGTAAGAACGACTGGGTATGCACATTATGCAGGGTCATATCCGCAGATCAAAATGGGAAAACAAGAGAAGGATGACAGTATGAAACACCAAAGACCCCAGAGTACCAGTGGAGAAGATCCAGTCAATGGCCGGTGACCGGTATACATGAGAAAAGAGAGGAACAAACCGTGGAGTGACTACTCACGGCCAAAAGGATGGATATGAAATGATGAGGAAAGAAAGAGTGAGAGGATGGGCGGACCACAATGAACAAGGTCATGTAATCTCGTGAAAGCAAAGAGGCATCACTTATCCAGCTTCTGCCACCCGTTGAGATAGGCCATGAGACCAACCCCCAAGAGAACGACCCCAAGCATAGACGCATAGGGGCTTGTCTGCTCCAGAACATCTGGTTTGGATGGCTGCGTCGCGAACGCTGTTCCAGAACCGCTGACCTCTTTTGTACACGTGGATGCCACTGCCTGGGGTGCCTGTTTTTCAATTTCATCGTCGTCATCACCAGGCGCGTCTTTAGCTGCCGCAACAAACTCATCGTTGACGGCCTTTCTGTCGATGGAAGAATCGATGACCGTCTCGCTCCGTTCCGCACGCTCACGCCGCAGGGTCTCAATCATCTCCGCCAATGACTTGCGCGTTTCTACCGTCTCGCTTTCAGCCTTCTCCGCTCGATCCCTGAATATCGAGACCTGTTTTTTCATCTCCTCCATTTCTTCCATTATCATCTCCAGGCGACGTTGTAGTTGATCAGCCTGAGCTTCGGTTGGGGTCTCGGAGGCGAGTGGTTCCTCAGCTGGAACTGGCGGAGGTAGGTGATCGTTTGAGGGTTGATCAAGTGTGACCTGGTCACTGGGAGTGGTCTCCTCGGAAAGAGGGATTGTCTCGGATATCGGTGCAGCGTCAATGCCCTTAGCCTGCGATTCGAGGCTCCTAGCCTTTTCCTCTGCAGACTCGCGAGCATTGCGCTCGTGTAGCAACAGGTTCTCGAGCTCCTTCACACGGGCACCCTGGCTATCTAGCTCGCGCTTGGCAGACGATAATGCCTCGATAAGCGATAGAATCTGACTAGACTCACGCGAAACAGGCGAGCTGCTCGGCGCTAATTTTGGTTTCTCCGTGTCGGAGCGTTTAAGAGGAGAAAATGCCTCCGCGCCAGGACGCGGAAGGGCGTCGGGTTTCTCAGGGAGTGGTTGCTGAGGTGGTGGGGCAGGGGGGTCCGAAAACCGTGAGAATGAATCAACCCGTGGCATCTTGGGTCTTCCGTTAACTGGACGGGAGGCACCACTGTCCGGTGGTGAGTGCCTGGGCTTTTCCTTTTCCTGGTGACCCGGTTTCATGAGAGTTGTGAGAAACTCGTCTGTTTGATGAAGGTCTTGTGCTTGCTGTTTAGCCTGCTTCATCTCGCTCTGGACATAAATGAATTAGTCGGCAGCCACTGGCGAAGTAAGTAATTATCAGAAGACATACCGTGAGCCGCCTGACGATCTGTTCAATGGAAATTGGAGAGTTCCAGTAGTTCATTTGCCGTTGTTGCTGTAATGCGCTGATCTGACTGCTAGCAGTACTTTGATTGCTCCTGTTACTCATTGTGCTTCCCGAGCGTCCACGAAGATGCGACAAGGGTTGACTAAGGGGTGAAGGGAGCAATCCATTGCCAGAAGCAGGGTCTAAATCCCCAAGAGTGAGGTCGAAGATATTGGGCATGCTCCCATAGATACCGGCATGTTCGACCTTAGCAGAGACCTTGTGATGTACAATGGTCTTTTGGTCTTCGCTGACGATATCAATGCCCAGCTCCAGGGTATCACTTTCCCGAAGCTCATGGGGCTCCGATTCGCGATTCTCCGGCGAGAGCCGCTGGCCGTTAACAAAGGTCCCGTTCGACGACTTGACATCACGAATCCAAATTTTGCCGGTTTTGTCAGCCCAGATTTCTGCGTGTTGTCGGGAAAGCACTTTGGAGTCAAAGTATCCGTTCACGGGAGTCGGGACCGTCTTCACATTAGTCTGACGGCCGATTCGAAGAACCTCTGGGTAGAATGGCACGTTGATCTGTTTTTTCTCAAAGGTACCGTTCATGGGCAGTAGCGTCAAAATCGCAGGCGGCTCCGCGGATGGCGCGCTCCCAGCGCGAACGCCATTCTGTTGTGAAGGCTGTAACATGTGCTGCGACGGGACAATTGACGAAGGCTGATGGAGAGCGGACATGGCAGAGGCAGCGCCAGCCCCGGAAGAGAATGCAGGCATCGCCTGAGTGCGCGCGGTGCTTACTCCGGTGGCTGGTTCCGCCTTGGAGCTGGGCCAGATGCTCCTGGATGGCTTCTTCTTGGTAGACCAGGTGCCGGATTCGATATTGTTGCTCTGCACGGCATGAGCGTTCTGGGGGACCGCGTTTACTGTCGATGTTGAAGAATTGGATCCCAAAGACGATGAGGAGTTGGACCTATGGATCGTCTTCCGGGGTATGAACATCCGTGACACTTCGTCGTTCATTGAAGACAGAGCTCCTTGTCCTCCTTTACCAGAGTCGTACCATCCCAAGCGAGGACCCTCTTGCACACTGGGTGGTGATGCAACAGCAGTCATGGAGAAGGAGAATTCCCAAGTGTCTATGTTTCGGGGCTCCAGTTGTCAATGTCGTCCTATCGCATGGGCGTTCCGTCCGACAAAGACTTGAATAAAGACCAAAGGTATTTATGAGAAATGAGATATGCAAATCGCTTGCGGATGTTGATGATGACGATTAGGTAGATGAAATAATGTTGAGCGTGGATGCGAGGGCCGGCGCGATCAAAAGCACTAATAGTCCTTGATTCCAGTCAACTGTGAGGAGAGAGGGTCACGTTAGCTTTGTCTAGAGGATCCCAGCACACTTCTGCCACCCTTTTTCAAGCCAAAATAAAAGGGAAAAGTCGATGCGATATATTTCTCCAAGGTCTGCTATTTAAAACGTACCTTTCGAAGTCGGTTCCAGCGAGCAAGGACAGGATCAAGTATGGATGTGAGACAGTGGGAGCGTCCGAGTCAAGGAGGATGGAGGAATCGTGGTCCGATCCGAGTGAGCGACCGGGTTGTTAGGGGACGCCGTCCAAGGGGAAGGAAGGAGGCACGAGACAGAACTCCCGCCCTGTACAGGCTTTTTAGGCCGCCCAGACAGCGTTGTTTCGACGCGGGAAAAGCTGAAAGCTCCGGGGACAAAATCTCCTAGAGTGGACACACAGTGTAGCGGGCGAGGAGGTCAGTTTACGGTCGTCTGGAAGCCTCAGGCCCTCAATCACGTGCACAGCACACGTGCCCATTATGTAATAAATACCCAACTTCGTAGCTAGCGCAGCTCAGGTCGGCTCGGGTCACGTGCATTTGACGGAATGGGGCCGCGGGTGGTAAATGGAGTGACCGTTGGAAGCTTCCAGCGCAACTGGTTCAGTTCAAGCTCACCATCCAAGACGCTTGAAGACCTGCTGTAAAATTCAGGACTTGCGTATTGCAAACATCACTTCTGGGGTACTCGAGATCTAGTCCTTCGCTTTAAACATGCCTGTTGTTGCAGCTCCTCCCCAGGGCCACGGCCCCTCTACCTTCGATAAAAGTGAGTATCAAGGACTGCCCACTCGGCATCAGCGAATCGATACGGTTGCTTTATGAGCAAACGATGAACTAACCTTTTTACAGTGAAAATGGGCGCTATGATGGGTTCAAGTGAGTCGCATCGAGGTCGTCCTTTCACACGAGACCTTTCCGCTGATTAGAATTCCGATATGTGCAGCCGTGGGTGGTATCATGGGTTTTATCATTGGTTTGTCTTCTATAAGTGTGTCGGCATAGGTGAACGAGAGTCTCATGCAATCCTAGGAACTGTTACCATCTTCCAGTACGGTGCTGGGCCTAATGGTGTGATGCGGACATTGGGGAAATACATGCTTGGTTCGGGCGCCACTTTTGGGTAAGCTCGCCGTTCCCAGGGTGTCTATTATATGCTGTTCTGCTCTACACTTATCTATGAGAGGAGGTGATAAGTTTCCCGAGTGTGGCATCACGTACTAATCGTTCTGCGTGTGGCAATTAGTCTTTTCATGTCCATCGGAAGCGTCATCCGTACTGAAGGACCTCACAATGACGCCTGGCTGCGTGCTCGCGGACCCCCTATGATGCTCCCTCGCCAGTCACCTCTACGACCTATGCGCCAGTAGAGAAAACAAGACTTGTTCATGCAGAGGCCAATGCTGGGGAGAGATACTTTACGACCTTCGGGGACGACTTGTACAATATTAACAACCGGGATGGGAAGTGCGTACGACAGGGACAGAGACCGGTGTGTAACTATCGCAACTCAATAGTTGTGGAGTGACAACGGGGACGATCTCCCTACATAATGTATATAACACGGGGACATTGGACGCCGAGTCAGGTCGAATAAGTCTCCAGTGATGCACTATTTTCTGGCGTTAAATCAAGGGGTAATCATTTAATGAGAGATTGACGAAATGCCAATTTACTGGCCAGATCAAGGTTCACTGTCGAATAGCAACTCCCGACGGCATATTCGAGGCGGTACGTGTATGGTCATCGTGTCTACGTTCAGAATCTCTTGGATCATAAGGGGGAAAGCTGCAGATCGTGCGCGATATGCACAACCCAGATCCGAGCGGGGTTGTCTGCGACAGGAGATCATTGACAGATACTGTTCGATGAGCACTCAGCAGCTCCAAGAATATGACCAGTAGGTACTCAACATAGCTCGAATGTCTTGGGATCTAAGGAGGAGAGATAGCAGTCAGCTCTCCCAGCGATGTCCACGAGCCCTTTGCCATGTATTTTCAACGTTTTCACAGATTCCATAGATGATCAGTTGCATAGACGAGTCCTCAAGTGCACGCTGAGTCATTGACAATCCTTCTTACTTCTGTCGATGATGAGAGTCACTATTGCTGCACCACCAACTCTCCCCATGACATGGGGATTTCGATTCTACCTGACAGTTGGCAGCTGGCAAACCAGTTGCATTGAGCGCTGACGAGAAGTGCAGGGAGATAAGGCACAGGTATATGCAGAGTCACTCTGACATGCATACAGGGAATGGGCCATCATGCTCTTGCTGTTGGATGAACAAGGGCATGAGACTGTGGGTGAATCACTGAGTAGGTGACTCAGTGATCGATATATCTTTGGTCAGGGCGATCACAGCATCTGGGTCTCAGGGGACCACAGTCAGATACATCATAAGACAAGCGATGGGCTCGATATCTGATTGAAGTATCTAACACATATATAAGAATGCTCATTGATTCACCTCGGATCTGAGATGGCTCATGTCAGACTGGATCCTACCTAGCGTATGTACAGAGTATGTCTTGCTGGTAAATGCGCCACTGACCGTCGCCTCAGGCCAGCAAGCCCCAAACTGCGCCATGTGATTCAGCCCTGGTGGGCTCGCCAACAACACTACTGTGACTTGTGAGTAATTAGTAGTAGTAGAAGTAGTTCTGTTGGTAGACGGTTTGGTAGTATGTATTAACGGGATTTGGGGCCACCGTTCCCGTGGGTCTTGTCTGGATTTTCAGGAACAGCCGCACAGGTGGATTACTGGATTTCCTTTCAGTTTTACTACTGGCAACTGGCAAGTGATGACTGAAGACCGACTACACAAGTGATCAGCGACGGGGATGAGCGACTGAGGGACACTTCGTCATTCGTGAACGGCTTGATTAGTCGAGACTTTTTTGCTCCGAAATTTGCCATTAGGCGAATATTGGAGTCTAGATAGCTTTTGTACTCCGTCCAGTGCGGCGATTCGCCGGTCCAACAGAGGCAAAGCTGCAAGAGGCGAGGAGACGAAAAAGGGAAAATACGAGGATTGCCGCGAGACTTACCTGAATGGATCATAATCAATCCAATCTACGGAGCAGACTGTGAAGGTGCGACATGCTGAGTGAAACAAGTTGGGAGAATGCGCCATGAGTCTTGAAGAAGAACATCATCATCATCATCATAATAAAGGCAAAGAATTCAGATGAGATTTGAAGACCATGATCATCAACATGAATTTGCAATGATTTCAAGTTTTTCTTTTTCTCTCTGATCACTGGAAATCGTCCTCCATCCTTTCATGAAGCTCATTAAAGCACCCAAGAGTCCAAGAACGCCCCGAGGGTCCATCTAATTTAACGATGCCTGAGGTTGCGAACCTGACTTGCCGTGCCTGACTAGGTCCCAAAGTCCCAAGCTTCCCACAGCGAATCAATGGGTCTGATTCCGGGCGTTCCTGGGGGCGATTCTTGGGTTAATTTTGTTTAGGCTTTTTAGTGCCATGCAGAAAAGAAAAACAAAACGAAATGAGATGGCTTGTGGTCCGTGGATCGCATCATTCCGGCCATCGTCAAGTCAACGACTGCAGAAATACCTCTACCAGCGCCAACTCACCAGCCGTGAGTGTGACGATGAGCTCGCCTCTCTGTTCGATCATGGTTGGTTCGCCTTCTTCTTGATCCATCGCAGTCTGCTTGATTCGGTAGTGATCCTAGGAAAAGAGAAAGTATTTTCCTTGTCAGTCTAGGGTCTGGACATCTGGAGTCCTGAACAGTCGACGGCAGTCGACCCTCAAGTCCAGTCATGATCATGGCGATCCCAGATCCAATAGGAAAACCATCACAATGAAAAACTTTGCACAGTAGTCTAGTGTACCTTGAGAAATAGCGCGAGTCGCCTTGGATGCCCCCCTTGCGACTGGAGTTCTGGAGTCCTGGACGGATTCCCAAGGCCGGCTGCACAACACACACGCTCTCGTGTTGGTAAATAATCAACTAAGATTAATATGGATGCCCCTGTTGGGCTATTAATCTATTGTTGTTCTCCTTCATAAATCCTCCCTTCCACACGTTCGTTGTTTGACATTCTTTTCTCTCCCGTCTCTCTCCCGTCTCTCTCTCTTTCCCTTTCGCTCCCCAGGCCATCCCATATTGAGCAGCGCTCTCCCCACGTTCCTTACTATTACAAACTTCCTTTGCTTCCTGACTTACGACGCTCACTCGTTCGCGTACCTAGTCTCGATCTGAGTATCCAGTCATTCTTCTCACACCCTGACATATCGAGCCTGCTCAATCCTTGCGCCTTCTCATTGTCTCGTCCCCTGTGCTGGTTCCAGTCTCACCGTGAACACACCTTGTTGTCAACTCTTATCACTGTCGCGTGCCCCCCATCAACACTCTCCTCAGTCAACATGAAGGTTAGCGCTCTTGTCTCGTCGGTCCTCTGCCTGGCCGCGACCCAGCTTGTCGCCGCAGAGACCGTTACTTCGACCTTCACCCACACCATCACCAGGACGCTGGTCCGCGTCAACTCGGAAACCCCTGGAAGCTCTGCTAGCGTGAGCTCCTACGTGGTTCCTTCGAGCTCTGCGACTCCCTCCAGCAGCTGGGCAGCCAGCAGCGGTGCTGCTGCGACCACTCCTGCCAGTTCGAGTACCCCGTCTCCTTCCACCGTCACCCACTCCGGTGCAGGAAGCATTGTCGATGTGCGCATGCCCGTTGCGCTTGTCGCCGGTTCTGTCGCCCTGTTCCTTGGCGCTGCGCTGTAATTGCTTCCATGGATTGGAGTGACGTTCGCAACCTGGACAAGTCTGGTACAACTGGGAACTTCTCCCACTCGTCGTTCTTCACCGTTTGCGAATGGCTGTCTATCGACTTCGGCCTCTTTTTTTCTTTTTTTTTCTCTCTCTCTTTTTTTCTCCTCGCGCGCAAGTGACAGCGCAGGACCAAGATCAGAAGATCTTCGTTTTATATATCTTTTTTCTTCTATACTTTTATTTCGCACACTCCCCTTCGGATTTGCCTACGATTGGAGGAATGAAGCAGGAGGTGGAGGTGCTTTGAATTCATATACCCCCTTTTTACGACTTCTTCATCATGAGTTGACGGTGTTTTGCCCTCCTTGATGTCTACCGGGGTGATCCGGTTACGATTCACGGAGTTTCAGTTACGTTTGGACGCGCGAAGGTGGTTTGTTGAGCTTGGAGGATATTCTTGCACATACCGTAGTAAATAGGCCATCGAAAATCAATCAGATTATCAAAGTTGCTGGTCAGATCCGTTGGAGAGCATTTCCGCCATAGGTTCATTCATGTAGTTTGAATCGGCGCCGTTCAGCAGAACGCATCAATATCTGGCGGACATGAGCATCAAGAATTCGACCCCAAACCCCAGGTTTGTCGATCTCAGTGGAGTAGGAGTTCGACATCTAATTATCTCGATACTCTCCAGATGATCAAGATTCCAGAATCCAGATAGACATGCAAGGTGGAGTGGATACAAATACAATAGTAGTAATAGTGGTACATACTACATAATCAATCTCATCCAAGCTCTGCTTAACTAATCAGCGCGTGGCAGGCGAACGCGTGCGCCATTTCGGGTAACCCGTCAACTGCCCAGCTCTGGGAATTGAAGAAAAGCTCTCCTATTCCTAATTTTTTCCCTCGGTCACTTTCTCATTGGCACCTCCACATTCCTCCAGTCATCATGGCTCTGGCGCGGATCGGGCGTCATTGAGCGCCATCATGCTGAGATCGCCTGAGAGTTCTACTTCTACATTGCATCCTGCGGGCTGATCTGCGTCTGTTGACGTCGCGAATTCCTTCCCCCACTAGTTTACAGAGTACGTCCACGCGCCGCAACCTCAACGTCAAATATTAAGATAAAAAAACTCAAAATCGATAATATCCACAAAACGCATACCGCATTCCGAGAAGACGACGACAAAAAAAAATCCCCGTCAAAATGGACAACGAAGTCCCCCTGCCCCCGCCGCGACGCATCCGCCATCGCTCGCCCGCGACGCGATCCCACGCCACCACCACCACCACCACCGGCTCATCGTTGAAAAAGACATATCGGCTCTCGCGGTTCGACGACCGATCGAGCCAGCCGTCCAGCGATCCGGCGCTCTTCTCCAGCGATGATATCCCCGCGTCCGGGCTGGAAAACTACAATGGTCCCGTCGCTTCGGCAGCGGGTCGGAAGAGGCGATACCGGGGCACCTGGTGGGGAGAGACCGTGGTTGATCCGAAGCGGAAGAGGGCGGATTTCAAGGATAAACGGCTTGTGGATAGTGGTGTGTGGATGGGGAGCGATGAGTCATTTGCGGAGTCGCTTCTGCCGTCTAAGGATGCGTTGGCGTGGGGGGAGGAATTGGCGAAGAATATGAAAGGTTCGACGGCGACGGCGACTATTCTTGGGAATGATGTGCAGAGTGCAGTGGGTGATTCGAACGCTGGTGCTTGGGGATCGCAGCACGCGACCGTGCAGCAGCGGGGAGGAGCATTTCGAAAGGTGGAGGAGCCGAGGGAGCACCAGCTCGCGCGGACGATCATCCATGATTGTTTGGAGAAGGGGCAGGATAGCGTGGACTTGAGGTGGGTGCGCTCCCTGTCAGTTGCTTTCTGTATGGGATGGTACTCTAACGTTTACAGTGGTGGGGTTCTGAGGATGATTCCCCCTGGCTTGCTGCTTCCTCTTCAGCATCTGACCAAGCTGCCCTCCATCATTGAGCCTCCGATCTCGGAAGAGGGATACAGCGCTCTACATCCCTTCCTGCGGTTGTTTCTCGCTGGCAATGCGCTCACCGCAGTCTCGGGCGAGCTGTTTGAACTGAAGTGCCTACGGGTTCTCAGCCTGCGTAACAACAAGCTGACTGAAATCCCACCCGCTATCCGACGACTGACAATGCTGCAAGAGGTCAACCTCTCGGTCAACCGCCTGCAATGCCTGCCCTGGGAGCTGTTATGGTTGATCAAAAAGGGTGATCTCAAGCATCTCATAGTCCAGCCCAACCCTCTCCTGCAGATCAACGAAGTAGAGGTTGCAAACTGGTATACCCTCGATGGTAGCGATACATCGTCCCCCGAGGAAGCCCTGAAGTCGTGTGATTACGAGGGCCCAGCACCAGAGGAAGCATGGGCCCCCATCCACGTAGCCACGGGCCCGGTCCGTCGCTTCAATATGGAAGGAATCCCTATTGCGGACGGACAACCCGGCAGCATACCGATGCTTTCCCCAGACCGTGCATCGTCCCGTGTGCCGTCTCTGCGCGAAGTCTCGCTCCTTGCATTCAGCCAGTCGGCCTACTTTGACCAGATCTCCGATTCCGAAATGGCCGACTATCCAGAACTCATGCTTCGCCTTCTGCGGCAGGCGCGAGGCGTCCGAAACGCCGGTGGTCGGAGCTGCTCGATCTGCCACCGCAGCTTCGTCATTTCACGCACCGAGTGGATCGAATGGTGGGACTGCAGTACGTACGAGAACGGGCTCAAGGGCCCGCGTGGTTCGGGCGAGCAATTGCGGCCCCTGCCGTTCCGCAGAGTCGGGTGCAGCTGGGCGTGCGTCCCGGAGGCTGCAAGAACGGCGGCACAAGCTCAAGGGGAGTTGTCATCGTCATAGTGATCCTGCATGGTTCATTGTCGAATTTAGCGTGGGGAAGATGCATTTTTTTTTTCGTGCTTTGAGGGCGTTTTGTTGTATAGACTATTACCCTGGGTGTGTGCTGTACATATTTCGGCGCATTGTTGCCCCTCTAACCGCCTGGGGATGCGGGTGGTGTATAAATTTGCCCAGAGGATCGGATACGTCTTAGGTATGAGTGATCGATCAAGCAGTCTCTAGCGGTCCTACTGAATTCTCAATGTTGTGAGCCGCTATTACGAACATTCCGGACTAGACGTATCTCACAATAATCTCCTATAGACGGTTTCTTGATTAAATACTTCTTTAATATATGGACAGATACAATTGAAAGAATCAATAATCCACAGCCTGACATGCACTGCTTCCCCTCTGCTGCAACACGTAGCCTCCATCCCTAATAACCTCAGATCTTCACCGACAACCCCTCCTGCATCACCTTCTCAAGATCCGCCGCCCACAGCGCCGCACCAACGGTATTCGTAAACGAGAACATCAACGAGGCAAACGGCACCATCTCAAAGAGAAACGCGGCCATGCCAAGCCTACAACAATCAAGCAGTTAGTTAGCCAGTCAACCAACCCCATACCACCTCGCCTCTGGGAGACTGGGGCAGGAGAGGGGGGGGGGAAAGAACCAGCAAGAATTACATACCCAGTATACCCGCCGCGATTCTTCTTGACCCACGCCTCCCTCGTGCGGGCATCCCAGCCCTTCAGCTGGAAATACCGCGCATGCGCCACCGGCCCCATCCGCTTCCCCTGCACATACACATACAGCAGGGTGCCCACGACCGGGATAAGATTCAGCGGCAGGAGGACGATCGCCCTCAGCAGCGCGGCGGGCTTCGCTCTCTCCAGCGGGCGGCTGAGCATCTTGCCGAGACGCGCGACGGCGCCCTTGCCGGGGCTCTTGAGCTGGCGGCCCTGCGCGACGAGCGGGGCCTGGCCGCGGGCGACGAGCGTGCCGTCGAAGGTATCGGTGAGGGTGTCGGCGAGGAGGTAGGAGCGGGCGAGGAAGTTGGTGATGGTGGAGCTTTCGCTGAGGACGAGGAGGGCGGCGGAGATGGGCGCGAGCGGGCCGCTGGTGAAGGTCATGAGGGCTGCTTGCGGGACGTAGGTGAGGAAGAACATGGTTGTTGTGACGGCGAGGCCGAGGCCGATTGTCTGTGCGGCGCGGGAGACGAACGGCCGCCAGAGGTCTTTGTGGGAGGTGAAGTAGAATATCCCCTAGGGAGTGGGTTGATGCGTTAGTATACGGCGTGGATTGTGGGCGTGCTTAGGGAGTACAAGGTAGGAGGCAGACCTTCACGGGGTAGAGGTATGCGCCGGACACGGCGACGTCGTGGGCGACGGCTCGGAAGGTCGATGCCTCTTCTTGGAGAGCATCTTTGATCTTGTCGGACATGGTTCAACTATAGTTCAGTCTAGCGGCAATTGAGGGGGGATGTTTCGTGTGTAGAAAGGGAAGACTGAGTGAATGAAGCTGGTTTAAATATCGCGAGAAAGCTTATCTATCGGTGGACGCAGCATTGACGTCACCGCTGGGGGTCCATTATCAGATGTTCACCCTTGGCAGCCTCAGGCATGATGGGAAAGCAACCTCTTGGAATTATTAGACTAGACTATAATTAACAAGCAGACCACCTATGTATACTATGCCCGCATGCACACAGGGCAATACAGCTGATTATTGTAGAATCATACCTTCTGGACAACTTCGAGTTGTCCTGCATCGCCAATCGCAATAAGTAAGTTTGTCAGTGGATGTGCCTGCACCCTCCACTAGACAGCGCCCCAACGCCTATCCAGGCTTAATACGCAGTCCCCCAAGCTCGCTCATGCAGTACAGTTTAGGTGATGAAGTAACAGACGAAACGCTAGGAGAGGATTCAAAAGAGCAGGGAAAAGTCGTAGTTTTCTATCGCGCGTTATCTGCCCGGCTTTGATGCCAGATGGTGTCACCACTCAAAGCAGAGAAACTGAGCGCTGCCATATTTCTCCAGCTAGATTGCGGAGCAGAGGAAACATGTCCTTCCCGATGTCGCGCCTCCGAGCTCCGGGGATGATGCTCAAAATCCGATGTCTCATCCTCGCTCACACTAGCGATCGGCACTGGGGCGGATGAAGCGCTTTGATGATCATCTGAAGGGCCATGTTCCACATCGATTGCACGTTGAAAGGACTCGCGTGGCTCGACATCTGCGCTCTGAACCATCGATCGAACCACGTCTCCTTTACAGATCGGACATGTACGCCGGCGAGTGGTGAGCCAGGGAGTACTGCGATTTGAGGTTAGCAACGGTAGTACGCAAGGGAGTATCTTCGAAATACTTACATGCATTCTGCATGAAACTCGTGCCCGCAAGGTAGGCTCATCACTTTACTTTGCCCATCAACATACTCTTCCAGGCACACGACACATTCTACCTGCCGACCGGTATATTTGCGGCGCCATAGCGATGAGGAAGGACCAGACTTCTCGCCTCTCGACGATTCTGCCTTTGACATTTTCTTAGACCCGGCCGTCGTCTCACGCATCAGAGGTGGACGTGACCGCGATCTTTCATAGCCAGAGTGCCTGCGAGAGCCGAGCAGCGGGGACGTGGGTGAGACAGGTCCTGGACTGGGCGATCGGGACATGCTCGCCGCAGATGACGAGGTGGAAATGGTGTGATAGGTTCTCACTGGAAGGCGATCCACAATAGACTTCGGAGCTCGCCAGCGTCTCCGTCGAATGCGCGACCGAATCAGTAGGAGAGCGTACACAACGGTCAACGTCAGCAGGGGGCTGACAACAAGGACGAGCAGTGTATCGAAAAACGGGCTGGTTGACATGCTGGTTGGTGTCAAAGTAACCCACAGACCCTGGTGTTCAGTTGTTTTGGCGAGCTGGCTGTCCACCTCGTGCATTTGTTTGCCCGCCAAACCACCCGAAGAAGGAGACGAGTGAGCAGAGTTTGTGCTGTCACTCCTAGAGCGGAGAAAGTGTTTCGAGAACCATCCCTTATCGGAAGAAGAATGTCCAGGAGAAGATTCCTGAAACGCACCCTTCGACGAGACGGAATCTTTCTTGACTTCGCCGGAGTGTGCGACACTCCGATATTCGCCACTCCCGGGAGTAATGCTACCACCTTTGAGCAAAGAGGATGCCTGTTCCGAGCCTTTTCCACTGTTGCGGGAGTTTGTGTGGGTCGAGCTTGCGGCGCGGCTCGCTGCCGGAGACGGACTGCTTTTTGGAGGTAAGAGATCCGGATCTCTCCAATCCTGTACACCAATCATGAACCCGTCACCATCAATAGCGCCCGAAGCAGGTTCAGACACTAGGCGATCATTAGAAACGCGGTTGGATGTCGCCCGGTCAGAGTCAGAGTCCGAGCCCTGCGGTTGTCGATGAACCCGATCGATATTTCCGCTACTGGGAGGACGTTGATTTGGACGTTTGTTACTAGACCCTAATCCCAGAAGTGACAGCAGGCCGTGAAACACGCCGGCTTTAGGCTTTGGAGAAGGCTGCAGCGGATGGTCAATCGTGCTGTGAGGCGTGGACGTAGGAGACGATGTCACTAATGTAGTGGTCGTAGGGCCCACGCGCTGCTTGCCAGAGCTGCTGGAGAGTATCGCGCGGGAAGAGCCGGAACCGTCTTCCAGGCCCAAATCTGCTCCGGCCTGCGGAGGTACAAGAGAGGACAGCAAGTGTGCTGTTGTGTAGGAAGTAAATACGGCAGGTATGGTCACGTTGGAGGTATCCCCCCGCGCATACATAGTCACCAGGCTTCCTCCTCGAGTATCATCCCCAACGACGACAGCAATCGCGCCACGCCGCTGGGCCCACTTGACCTTCTCAAGAAAGCCACAGCCGCCCCTGCTCAGCAACACAACCTTGCCGCTGATCTCCGCACTTTCCTGTAAGGATTGTATATCTGCATGGGCAGCTGGCTTGTTTTGGCGGTGCTCGCCAGGCTTTTCCGTCTGAGCTGGGGTTACCACGTCTGAATCGGGTAAAGGATGGTGCAGATGGTCGTCGGTACCGTCGTTCGTGGAAGGTGGAGGGACTCCGGCGGCTGCGGAATGTTGAGAATCGGACTCGACCGGCGAGTCCGCTCGACCCTGGCCGAGAGAGGCTTCAAGATCCTCCTTGATACCAGATGCAGGGGTCTTGGCCGTCGTGACGGTTGACTGATCCGGTCGACCAAGGCCGTCACCTTCCTCCCATCCTGGAATATCGGAGCAGCCGAGTTCTCCTTCCACTCCGCCGTACGTCTTCTCCCCGAAGCCGCTTCCCACCCAGAGAGGGCCACTGAGTCCCTTTTCGGAGAGTAACGGGCCAAACGCGGCAGGTCTGGCTAGAAAGAAGGTAGAGTTATCATCGGTAAGGCTGATGATGGCGGAAGGAGGGAAAAGCGAAGAAGGGATGTTGAAGGAAAAGAGAGCGCGGAACCCGGTCGTCTGTCCAGCGAGCGAACTGGGAGTGGCTACATGAGGCGATGACGAAAGAGCCGAAAACAACGTAAAGAAGATAGGGAAGAAGATGATGCAGAAAACGAGAGATAATAAGCGTGGCGGTCGCATAGTTGAGGTTCAGGTTCGTTATCGAGACGAAACAAATTTCACGGACGATTCAGCCAGAATAGACTGAGGTTGGTTTAGGTATCGAGAATTAAGCCCAAGGATGGGCGATTTCTATTCGTATCACGGCCGTTGCTCTTATGACCGATCACCAGGTCGTCCCAAGGGTGATGAGTCCGACACTCATCGAGAAGAAAGGATCCTAAAATGGATAGATATAGGGAAGCCGCGCGAGACGGGGGGGTGAAAAAAAAAAAAAGAGAAAAAGACGATAAAGACGATAAAGCACAAATGAGATTTAATAGAAGTGAACGAGAGCGGCAGAAGGGGAGTAAGTATACTGAAATTGAAAGAGAGAGCGAGGGGGGGGGTGAAAGAAGGAGGGACAGGAGAGTGATCTAAGTACGGATAGTGTGGTCTGTTAACTCCTACTGGTACGGATAAGAGGCTTCGAAGTTTGAAGCCACCACCACCTGGAGAGCCACCGTTGTTAGTTTTCTTGGTTTCCTCGGCAGTCAACAAGAGCAGTGTGAACTGTGAACTAATCATATGGAGTATCCAGTTGGCACTTGGCACTATCAACAGACAACAGCACAACAGTAGATATGTTTCGTCAGAGCATCATCATAATAAATCAGTAATCACCGCCATTGCTCACTAAGCGGCAAACAAAGCACAGCCTCAGGCGGATCCATCAGGCAACGAACATTCTGTTTCAGCTGTGGGATCGCTGTATTGATGCTGTATTCCAATGGATTGGGCTGCAATATTAATAATGTGGGTAGAGGCAGGTGATAGAATTTGATCTACCATTTGTGGAAAAGCAGTAGATCAAGTCCTTTGGTATATCTCCAGACTCCATCTTCCTCTTCTTCAACATCTTGATTCTTGATTCTTGATTTCAATCTAACTACCTATCCTGGTCAGCCTGGTTGTAATTGTCTTACCAAAATCTCCACAGATCATGCTATCATTGCCCCACCGCTTATTTTAGCTGCAGTTGACTCTCTAACAGTAACGCCTTCCAAGATAGAGTACTCCGTAATACTTCAGTCTTAAGTCTTAACTCTTTATTACTCTTCAAGTACTCTCGTACAGTCGTTCTCCGTACTCTATACTATGGTGATCTGCAAACGCTTGACAAGACTCGACAACTGTCATTTGTTTGGGTCAAGTGGATCAGGAAGCTCGTTGCCAGTGTCTTGAGCTTGTCCGAATTCCAAGATCACCCGTGGTAAGTCTTTGCCGCACACTGGGCCATTAGGCTTACCTCTTGGATAACAATCAGAAATACCCCATACAAACTCCGGCATGGATAGGTGAGCGGTTCTAGATCGAGATCGGAATCGCAATGGTTTAGCGTTCCATGGGTATTATTGTCAACGAGGCTTTTCTATCATCAAACCGATTTTCCTAGCATTGTTCTAAAGAGCCCGGCTGTTTCATCAGCGCTGTTGTCACCACTTCCTTCTTTCTGGAACGGATGACGTTGAATGACACTCGACTCATCCTACAGTTTTCCCAATCCACTGTCTCTCATGGAGCAAAATGTGCGACAGATTGCGGATTATGACACTTGGATGATGGGAGTTTCCGATCGTGTGTATAACTACTAAAACTCTCAACTGGATGTGATGGCGTCACGGCGGTCTGGTGGCGAAGGAGCCTCTCGACTCCTAACTCCTATATAAATCTCAGATATCCAGTACCCGATTGAGGTGCAATTGTACATTTATATCAAAGTGAATCGAATAACGAAGCAATTCATCTCATAAGCCGTGTGGGGAATACATTACAGATTGTCAATATGTCTCATATCTTTAACAAAGTCAAGGATGCCGTGTCCGAGATGGTTCATGACGACACTGGTCACTCTGGCAGCAACAGTATGTATGGCCTAGGTCCAGGATGTATCAAAAAAATAATCTGATTGACTAACTATTCTTTGACAGGCAACCAATCCTATAACAATAATGGGTCCACCAACAGCAACTACAACTCTGGTGTTAATGATAACATCTCCAGCTCTGGCAACAACAATTCCTTGCAGTCCGGCAACTACGGATCCAATGTGAACAGCCAGGGCAACTATCAGTCCGATAACTATGGTGCCTCGAATGCCTATGGGCCTGACAGCAACAATCATTACAAGTCCAGCTCCAACAACTATGGCTCTGACAACTATAGCGCTGGTAATAACTCCGGATCTAACAACTCCGGATCCAACACAAGGTTAGTAGATCCAAGCATGGTCTTGGCGACTTTCATCAAGATTGACATGGATCCTATAGCTCCTATGGCTCCAACCGTATCCATAATCAGGACTTTGGGGATGGTCCTACTGGCAATAGCAACTACAACAACATGGGGTCTGACTCTGGCCAGTATTATTCCAAAGGCAGTCGCAAGATCAACAGCGCTGGGCGCAATATCAGCTCCCAATACCAGAGTGGCAGCGACACGATTAACAGCATGCGAGGCAACCAATACTGATGGCATTGGACTTGAACAAGGCATGGGATCCACCGAAATTAGATCAAAGCAGATTGAAGATCGTGTATATGGCACATTATAATAATAATAATAATAACTCTTGGGTACCAATACTTACAACATGATGCTGTCTGTGTCCTTCATATGAATGATATGTTATACCATTGTGCCCTGGGCTACTCGCACTTACCCAAACAGGAATCTCCTCCAACTCGATTTCCGAGAAGGGACGGCTCAGATGTTCCTTCCACTTTCTGTCTCGTACATAGTACTCTTGTCCATCTGTGGGAAGGAGCCATCCTGTCGACAGGGAGACTTATTGGAGCAGCAGCTATGGAGGGCAGCACTGCTCTCCGTCCAGTTAGTAGCCTCCAGCATCTAAATGAATACCATTCATCCATCAATCCATCAAGGCCATCTGAACATTTGCTCTTATTTACTTGGGCTACTCCACTTGCTGGACAGCAGGGTTATCTATTGCAACGTGCAATGGCCCTGATTTGAGCCTCACCTCACCAGATCGAGCACCCTCTGAAAGACCTGCTGAGGATTCTCGGATTCTAGTCTTTAAGCTTAGTCCATCTCAGTCTCCTGTCATCGACGGTGAGTAAATGACGGGTCTACGCATTGCGTTTTCATTTCCCAAGTGTCTTCTCTTCTCGCTGGCTTCGACATCACCCTGAGGTTCCTCCAACCAAACACAGAGAACCTCCTTCCAGCCACCCATCTCCGACTCTCTTCTCTTTCTCCTCCAATTCTTCTAACAACCTCCATTCTTCCAGCGGGTTCCGACTATCTTCAATACTAGGACGTTCAGATTCCCAGTCAATCATTTCCTTCCTTCGCTCTTGAACGACCTTTCCAAATACCTCTAGCAATCGCCCCCAGCCACGTATCGAAGCCAAACACAACCGTCCATTGGACGTGATTCTCGCTTTTCCTGGACACAAACATAGGCCGAGTCGGTCATGCTCGGCCAAGTACCGTCTCGCACGCGCCAAAATAAGCGAAATTTGACTAAAGCGTCTACTATAGACGCCATAGACGTGGATATGCAGCATGAGCTGAATAGTCTCGAGGAGCTGGCCTCCTCTCGTCCTATCGCTTTGAGTGAGCTTTGGAGCAGGGCAAGCTTGCGCGGGAAGGCGACTAGGTCTCTCAAGTCTGTGCAGCATCTTAGCGTACGTAGCGAGGATGCAAAAGACATTTCAAATGACGCAACATCTGCTGTTGCATCCCCATCCAAGACGCGTCCTCGTTTCACTTCTCTGCCCCAGCCTTGCAACGACGAGGGTCACAACAAAAGCCATCAAGGCGCCTCTTTGAAGCGTCCTCAGATTCAGTCAGAATTGTACACTGCAACGCAAACCGTTGAGGCGGAAGGACTGGGTTGGTATGCTCATTCCGATAATCTCATCCACGAGAATCCGCTGAGCTATACCACTGGTGTTGACCCTTCCCGTGCCCAATACCCTGGCCACGGTCATCATGAAGGCTCAGAAATTCCGTTCTTCAAATCCCGGGTCTTCCTTCGCATGGAGCACGCCAGTTGGCCTGGAGATACTTGTTCTTCCTACAACCCTCATGCAGACTGTTACAGTCAGGGTCTCGGCTCTGATGATCTGCATATGGCAGGCGCATATATAGAACTCCCTCATAGCAGCATCGATACCGAAGCCAATCGACTGTCCTATGATACGTCGACGACTCAGGGCTATCACTACAACAATGAAGACATCCATTCGACTCTCTTCGCCTTAAATCATAATTACTCCGAGCAACTTCAGCAAGGATACCAAGTACAGGAGCCAGAGCAGACTGAGACCGAATACTCGGAAGTGGTCCATGAGAAATTGCCCAGCAAATTTTCCAAATCGGCTCAGGCACGGATTTCAAGCTCTAAGGAAATTCAATACTCGAACCCCATTCGGTTTTCCAATGCTTCTCACCTCCGAAAACTGAGTGCTGCTGAGAGCAATTCGTCCAAGGACAGTGCTAAGCGATCTATCAAGGAAGAAGCGTCGGCTTACCTGCAGAGCGTGGTTGAAGATGCCCAGCAGGCGTCTCAAAATTCCATGGTGCAGTCGAGTACTTCAGTTCTCGGTAGACGCTCCGAAATCGACCACAGCGCAAACTGTTTGGGGTCGTTTCCTGCCATTTTGACCACCAAGCAAAAGAAGGTGGGAGAGACGCGCTCAGGCAGTGAGCAATCCTTCCCGTTGAACGAGCCCTTCACCCTGTTTCACGGCTCGTCCAGTTTAGGACAAACACCTATCCAACACAACGATCCGAATGGCAACGAGAGCAATGAAACACGAGAGGTGATTCACGGTCCTTATGGAGGTATTGAATCGGTTGCTGGCAGGATTACTCGACCTCCACCAGGACTGTGTATGCCATCAATGCCAGGAACGACCACCGAATCGTCGTATCCCGACAATCCCTTTGTGCCGAAGAGTGCCAGACTGGAAGCAGTCAATACTTGGTTTCATACGGACAATCGGGGCCAGGAGCAACTACGTCAATATGTTGCCGCCATTGCTCAGGACCACGCTGAGAGGACTGCGCTCTTTCACGATGGATCTACTTCAGTGCCTGAGGCTACGACTGTAATGCAGACCACTTTGCTATTGGGGAATGCCATTGCTAATCTCCAGACATACGTCTCCCGGAATCATATGGAGCAAGCCGAATACTTCGCAACATACGGAGAAGCACAACCGCACTGCTACGAGTCTAGTCCTGATGGGCATCCCAGTTTTTTCGATCGGGACCCTCTGTTTAATCAGTGGCGCCTACCGACCACCCGAGGCTCCCATTGCGTGAGCAGAAAATATGAGAAGGAACTTATCTCAATCCGATTTCATGAAGCGCGGGCCATCAATCAAACTTCCAACGGCTGGTAGAAGTTACGTGTTTCCGATCAACCCTTCCCTCGGTAACAAAGCAGCCATAGTTGATGAAGCTTGACACTATGGTAAAGCGTCCAGCCAATTGATCAGGAAGAAGGGGATTTTGTTGGTTCTGTGGCAGACGTTTGAATTGCGGTGCGATTGAATAATGTAGCCACAATGAATATGACCCTCAAAGGACTCATGATATGAAGATGCTGAAGCCTCCAACAGAATAGTCACGGTGTAATAAGTTCGGATCAAACGTTGAACAGGTAAGAGAAAATGATGTGCAGTATCGGCGAACTCCCTGGTGTATATATTTGTTGGCTCCAAGTTCATGTCCACCTAAATGCTGTGGCTAGAACCCAAATTTCACATGAGATATCAACGTTTCAACATCTGAGACAATTGGCGGGGCTGTACGCTAAAAATTTCCAAATCTACATTATATTGGATACCGCGAATACCATAATATCGCTTAGCTTAGCATCATAGCATGGTTTCCATCATTCTATGTGAGTTTGGAGTTTAGCTTCAGGAAGATTTATCAGCAGTCGAAGGCCGTTGATACGAACTGACTCACAGTCACCCCACCTGTGTTGAAGATAAAGTGATAGTTTTCCCCTCGAAACTTGTTGACTTGACTGGGGTGAAAAGTCTCATAACATCTAGAAGAACTTAAATCAATTCGAGATACGCAATGCCTCCATCCAAAGAGCAGTCCGAGTACCATTTCATCGGGAGCTTCACCCGATACTCCAGTACGCCAGACCATATTCTCCCGACTGGCGCAGTCAATCAACTAACCACCTATCACAGGCTGGACAGCTCGTGTTGAGACCGTCCTGGAGTACTTCCAGCTCCCCTACACGGCGCAGATCGTCCCCCTCAGCCAGGTTCGCCAGCCTCTGTTCCCCCCCCCCCCCAAGATACACAGCCAAAGATCCTAACAACCAAGCCAGGTCCGCACGGTCTCCCACTCGGGCCTCGTCCCTCTGCTGGAAAGCCGCTCTCTAAGCCCAACTCTCCGCATCAACGACTCCCTCGCCATCTGCGAGTTCCTCGCCGAGTCCAACCCACAGCTGAATCTATGGCCGCAGGACCGAGTCCTCAGGGCCATGGCGCGCAGCGCAGCCGCCGAGATGCACTCAGGATTCTCGACTCTGCGGAACACCTACCACACAAACTTTGTGGCGCGGTACCAGGGGAATATCCCCGTGTCGGAGGCTGCGAGGAAGGAGATCCGGCGCTTGTTCACAATCTGGGACGAGGCGCGGCAGGCGGCGAGGACTCGGCTTGCGGAGGCTGGGGTGCAGGATGAGGGGTTTCTCTTCGGGGCGTTTAGTATTGCGGATGCGTTCTTCTGGCCGGTGTTGTGGGTATGTGTATCTCCCCGCCCCCTTCCCCCTTCCCCAATTTCTGCGTGTGCTTGAGGCGAGGTGGGTGGATGTGTGCTGACAATCGCTTCTCTAGCGCTTCCGCTCGTACGATCTTCCTCTGGACGGCGCCAGCGCTGATGTTCTGAAGTGGATGCAGACGATGTGGAGTGATCCTGCCCTGCAGAAACTGGTGCATAGCTACTACCGCCAGGCAGAGCTACCTGAGAGTCATATTGAGCACTACGAGAACATCTTCCGCGATCGAGATGATATCCAATATGGACGGTTTCCGGAGGATTGGACGTTTAGCATTCCTGACAAGTCATAGATCTTTGGAGGATCATTTATCTACACTGGGGGGTGAACAGTATCCGCAATAAAGAAAGGAGCTGCCCGTCATCACCTCCTGCTGTCCAACGACAGCAGGACGTTCTTGAATATGGTATAATTCGACTCCCCCTTCGTATCCAACACCGCAAAGACGATCTCCTCGAACCCTCCAGTCCACTCATCCTCCTCCAGAACTTCCTTATAGATCCTGGCAACCTCATACGGCGGATTCCGGAACGCGCCGCATCCCATGGCCCCAAGGACACAATGCGTGATGCCCTTGTTCGCAAGCACACGCAGCACCTGACGCATCTTATTCTTCAGGATGAAGACATCACTCACGTTTGCTAAGAAGCCAAACCATCAGCACCACCCACATTCGCTCCCACATAACCTCCAACACAAAAACAAAAACAAAACCAAAAACAGAACAAAAGGGCAACCTACCAAACCGCCTCCCATCCCCCGTAAGCACCGGCCTTCTCAACGCCGCCAAACTCACCACCCCAACAACAAACTTCTCCTCGTCCCGCAAAAACTCACAGCCCGTGCCCACCTCCCCCCGAAACACAACCACCCCCGGCGACCACACAGCCCCATACACCGGCAGCGGGTAGTACCGCGCCGCCAGCGTCGCCGCAAGCGTACTCCGCAAACACAGCGCCTCCTCCTGCGCCAGCGCGCCGCTGAGCCACCCACCCCCGGCCCGCTTCTCACTGGCCATGTTCAGCACCCCGACGCGCGCCTGGCCCTGCGTGCGCTGCTGGATGGCCCGCGCGGCGGTGAAGCTATCCTGGTTTGTAATGGTGATGCGGGGGCGCGGAGCGGCGGCGGTGTTGCTGGCGTTGCTGGCGTTGCTGGTGCTGAGGCGTGGGAGAAGGTGTAGGTGGGCATGAGAGAGCAGCGATGCGCCGGTCGTGGCGGCGATGACGTACGGCGTCAGGGCGTGGGTTTCGGCAGCGATGTGTTGGCGTTGGAGGTTGTTGGGGGGTTTGGGGGTGGTCATTTTGAGGGGGAACTGCCTGTGGTGGGTTGAGGTATATTTGAGATGCTTGGGGGGGGGGGGGGGGGGTTGGTATATCTGGGGTTGAGGGATGTTATTATAGAATCGAATCATGATGACTCAAGCTTCGTATTCCGGGGCGGCCTATTCAAGTTGGCTTCGCGAGATTCGATACGAGAATTGTGAGTCAGACAGATGCCTCGTCTTCGAAAAGGACTATGGATGCCTCAAGGATAGGTGAACTCGAGCGGAAATTGTAGCTGATAATGGGACTGATCAGATTCCTTTAGGCTGCCGCAGTACACTCCGAGTCCCTGCGGGTGTATAACGAGGCAGAAACATGTTTCTCCCTACCTTGCACAGTAAACGGTATAGGCAAAATATACCTATTCATTACAAACATAGAGCTGCCTATACGAATGGTTCCATTATGAGCTATACCAGCCATCACAGGGGAGATACCAAGATTCAACGACATGAAGTAGATTAGAGGAAGGGCGATGCGCCCTATTCAGACTGTTGCAATCAGACCACGCCCTACGCCGGGATATGTGCGGAATCGAACAACCTCCGCTGAAGGGAAAAAAAAAAAAAAAAAAAAAAAAAAACATATCCATAACCGATGCGCCGAACCAATTCAGCGTAGCGCAATATCCGAGTCAGAAAAAAAAAGAGATACAAGAAAGAATTAAAGTCGTATGAGTCGTAAACTCGCAGCTCTAGAAGATGAATCGCCATGTTAACAACTGATGAGGTTGATGTGGTTGTCATGAAGCGCAGCGCAGGCAAGTATGGTGCGGTGTGGGTGGAAGGCAGTGCCTGCAATAGGAGATGAGCGGTTGTGTTGGAGGAAGCTTGAATATGGCTCGAAGGTGGATAGGTGAGTGCCATCCATGTTGAATGTCTTGACTTCATGGCGGGTCGTGCCACTAGTGATTTGGTCAGTCAGTTCAGGAATTTCCGGATCGTTCAGAACCATGAGAAACACATACACCGTGAAGACAGGAGCGTGCTCGTGAACACTTAATGTTCGGACTATGTCTTTGCTTGCATGAACTGTCGAGATGGGGTCATCCATTCGCAGATCCCACAATCTGATTTCGCCGTTCCGACTACCAGACACCAACTCCCTCAGTCCACCGCGTTGCATGTGGACGTTGGTAATCCATTGTTTGTGCTCACGCCACACTTTGACCATCGACGTCGTGGGCTTCAGACGTTGGTCGAACACGCGAACGGCACCGTCACCGAATCCCGCCACAAAAATGTTACCGGCTACCTGATCAGACGTCAAGGACGTGATACACGAGCTCGACCGCGCGGGAATATCCTGTCAACACCTCAGTCAGTAGCTGCTCTGCCAACACTTGATAGGTGGTGATCGTACATGGGTGCAAACTTCGGTAGCTGCGTTCCATACACGGATGACCTTCACATCACCTGCAACCAGCGCTTTACCTTGACCTTGTTGCCAATCAAAAACCAACCCAGCATTCCGGGTGCTGGGTATCAGCTCCGGCAAAGCGCGAAAAGCAGTCACAACCTCTACCCCCTGTGAGGACTCATAGTTCCTGAAGACTTTGAGCACTCCATCAGAGGATCCTGTCATCAACAGAGCTTGATCGTCCTCGTTGATGTAACGGATCTCGTTGATTCGCGAGCCAGGTGGATTTCCATTGGAGAATCGGTTGAGACGCTTGTCCCTCTGCCAATCCCAGATGCTGCCACACAAATCATTAGCATCAATGGAACACTTCTCCCGCACCCCTCTTACTTACGCGATAGTATCCCGATCATCCGCAACGGCCAGGTGGTCCTCAAATTGATGGAAACTCATCTTCAGTGGCTGACTAGTATTCGTAAGCAGGGCCACAGAGTTATCCCACCGGCTGCTGCCGGCTTTTCCTTTGAGGGGTTGGGTTTCCGTGATGATTTTCTCGTTGCGGCTCCGTCTCCAAAGGCGCTCGTTGTAGTCCGCGCTACCAGGTTCGTCCGGCTCGTTGGGCTTCATTTGGGGTTCCCGGAAATACTGAAGATGGGTAAGAAAGGGTTCATAGACGTCGAGATACTTCTTGCATATCAAATGAAGATGTCCTGGGATTACCTCTGTAGACCAATCAAGAAATCGACTCGTAAGGGGTATAACTGGGGTTCCGGATGGGTTTCGAGGTTCGAAGCCGCGGGATGTAGGGATCGGAGCTTGGTGATAAGCTCCAGCGGGTGCAACCTGATCATTGACTTCCGGGGGCCGGGTCCATTCAGGGGGCGCTCGTCCTCGTGGGGTAACAGGCATCCGACTCTTCGTGGGTGATGTCAAGGATTGCGATTGCTGATCTGCGGAGGAGGGGCCGCCAAAAGCAAGGTTTTTGAGCGAAGCGGCCACACTGGCCGTCCGGCGAATACTCAATGACAAATAGCCTTCTTGCTTGGGAGGGGTGGCCTGGGAGGGAGGGGTGGGAGGAGGCGCAGCAGCCTTCTTGGACTCGGCTCTCTCGCGGATCTGCATTCTCTGTGATAATCGGCTCGTAAGTTCCATAATCTCCTTGCGGATTTTGTCAGTAAGAGAAGCCATGGGAGACTGTAAAAGAGTGAGGTGGATGAAGTCGACGACCATGCTTGTGTCCTGCGCAATGTCGGGATGCGGGTCCACTGAAAGTATAAGGATTTGCTTCCAAATCGTGCCAAAAGTGGTATTGCGAGATAATTTCTGAGCTTTGTTGCTTGCATTTGGAGATCCATTCTGCGCTTCTTCCAGCGTGAAACCACGGGGGTCATCGTGTTCTAACCGGAGAAGAAGGGTCTGCTTTTCATCCTGGAACTCTTCGTAGGCAGCCACCAAGAATTTGTTTTGATAACGCTTCACGAAGGTCGAGAAGAAGACAAGGAGCTCTTTTCTCACCAACACATTGCCGTCCGACGCCATTGGCAGGACTGCCAGAGCTAATGATTCCTCGATCTGCGCCACCTGATCCGTCAAGTCTGGGATACCGAGGAAGGTAGTGGCTGCGTGGAGCATTGCGGCTCGTACTTCCGGCACGGGATCGAAATTGAGCTCACAGAGTCGTGCCGGTGCAGCGCAACGGATTCCCATCCACTTGGCCTCGGGGAAGTCCGACCAGAGCATGCTGATGCATAGACATGACCATTGGCGGAGCAACGGATTCTCCACATCAGTCAAATGCTTCAAGCAAGAATCAAAGAGCTCTCCGGAGAGACAGACGTTCTGACCTTGGGGGTAATTTTTGCAGAATATCGACACGATGAACGCGCACATTGCTCGGTGCTCGCTAGCATTGCCTACCGGGATTGGCGAGGAAGGATTGAGAATGGAGATGAAGTAATGGATGCCGTTGTCCTTCAATAAATCATTCTGGACGGTGTGGTCAACGGCCATGATTCGTGCCCATATGAACACCATGACAGGTTTCAGCTCCTGCGCTGCTGATTGCAAAAGCTTGACGACATACGGGAAAATCCCGATGCTTAGAGCCAAATGAACCGCCCACGGCCCGAGATCAAGAAACTTGCTGAGCAGAATGAGCGCTCTTAGCCTGTGTGCCTGACTCAAAAGTACCTGTAGAACGATGGGAAGCTGGTCCGGTGGATTCTTCTCGGTGGGTCCAGACGAGAGATAAACCTCAAACGCAGTGAGCTGCTCCGCGAAGAAAGACGAATGCTGATATTCGTACTGTCTGCGGCCTTCTTCATGGTCGATCAGGGCCGGCAGCTGAGATAGCACCATCTCCACGGCCAGATCCCAGCTTTTCCACAGTGGATGATGATGTGTCTCAGGAAGTTCCGGCGAAGAGATCGGATGGCACTTGTACGTGCGCATAATACGTTCACTGAGCAGGAAATTCCTGAACAAGGCAGCGACCATGAGGTCCTGCCGGAATAGCTTTTTGAATAGGGCGCGCGGCAGAGTGTTCCATGCGATGGTGTCAGTGATTGCGGTGAAGATCCAGTTCAATTCCCCGAGAGGACTCCTGCGATCTTGCAGACGACCAGGAACTCGGAATTCGTCGATCGAGAGATTCGTCTGGAGCGGATTTTGGAGGATGAAGTAGCGCAGCGCTATCTCTATTGGCGTTGTCAAGCAGCATGTAAACAGATCTGCCGGAAGGTCCGGGTTAGTGGGCAGCGACTCGTTCTTCTGGCATGCCGCCAAGAGTATGCAGTCCCCGTAGTTCTGTACAATGGCATTGGGGTCTCGCTTCCTTGCTTCGACATTCTCTTTTTCGTGTTTCTCAACGAAGGTGTGGAAGTTCTGCACAATGTTCCCAGCATGGGAGACATCGAAAACGAAAAGACTGGGTCCTGCAAGCCAGGATTGCAAGTCGTATAGTGAGACCGGGATGTACTGGGTATAATTCTTGTTGAAAACCCAGATTTCGCCCGACTGGGTCGGCAAAGGCACGCCATGGCCGTTGTAGTGGAACAGCACTCTCTCATCTTTGGCGTTGCGTCGCAGTGAGATGCAAAACTTTTTCGTCTCATCGACTGAAGGGTCTAGATACTGCTTATACCTAGTTCGCAAGCTGAGCGTCTCATATTGCTCTTGCAACTTCTTGCCAATCTGCTCCATGATCTTGTTTTGGCCCCCACCCGTAGTCGACGTAGGGTCAACCCAGCATTCCAACTTGGCCGCCGGGTTCGTCTTGACCACATCGGGAGGGTCGACACCGATATTCAAGCAGATCGCCAGGGCAGCGGAGACTGTCTTTAGTCGGTCTTTCATCCGCCAATCCTGGCTTGGCCAGCTTCCAACAGGGTCTCTCGGGACACCGTTTGTTTCGTGGCGCTTTTCGGTGAAGTACATGTAGAAATTCTGGACCGATCAGTCTAACCTCGAGAAAAAAAGAGGCGTCGTGGGCGGGTGTGCGCGTTGCTTACTGAATGGAGAATCTTGAGATACTCGCTTGAGGTATACTCCTCCTGCCAACCATGTCGCATGGCAAAGTCCTCCTCATCATCTCCAGTAGCAGCCCTATCGAATCCTAGTCTCGGGCCGTAGTCACTTTTGGCTCTTTTTAACGCTGCTGTTGGTCGGACATAATCCGACACCCGGTCCAACTGGGGTCGAGTATTCGAGTCTAGGATGGCCGAATGGTCCCCAGCTGACGAACTGGTCGGACGAGCAATGTGAGTAGATGGCGGAAGAGGTTGTATGTGGTCGACAGTCGTGAAAGATCTATGGTGGCCTAGCGAGGGCACGGGCGACTTGTCGCGCGGGGGAATGTATGTTTCCAAGTCTGGACCGAACGCGACACGAACGGATTTGTGGTTCTTGCGCGGTTCCGCCTGAAGGCTGGACGCCTGGGGCTTTGCTGCGGTATCTTGCTCCATATTGAGATTGGGGTCCCTCATGGTGTCTGGATGGTCATCATGCTCTAGATGGCGTCACTGAGTAAAGGAAGAAGATCGTGGAGAAGAGGATAGCACGTCGATCAGACAATTTTGGGATCACTGAAGAGATGATGCTTAGATGACTGAGATGGTGTCTGTGGGAAAAAGCCCAATCTCTGTCTGTGGGGCAACGAAGATTAGATATCTACCTTGCAGATGGTTCTCATACCTCATCTGGAGGCTTTCCCGTTCGTTATCTAAGCACCGAGGCACTGTTTGGGATAGGACAAAGTCCCAGTCTCTGTGAAGCCGATTGGAATCGATAGGGTATGAAAAGCCAGTACCGACTTGCTCACGACACTTCCACAAGCAAGCTCGTTCCCCTCGCTCACAGCTTCAAAAAGAACAGCTATCCGTCGACTTCGTTGGGAGAGCAGAGGTTCATGAGCTTCGGCGGTCATGTCTTGGCGTGGGACAGACTGGAAGATTATTTATTCCGGTCTCCATACGTTGTTGGAATCGACCAGCAGATATTATTACATCACAGTTCTTCATCCACAGCAGTTGGTTTGTACGCTGTCGATAATAATAATATCTAATCTCCAGTCTGTTTAGATATTCAAGATGGAGTCAAGTGAAGCTATTAAAGCTTGTGATATCTGCATTGAGCTTGGATTGAGACCTCGTGACTGACCTTGCCTGGCACTGTGAATATAGCTCAACTATCAAGCTGGAATGGAGTCTCTAAGGGATGCCATCCTCGAAAGTCTTTCACTTTGACTAGGATAAGAACCTCATCGAATATGGGCTACTGATGCGGGTTTTTACTGATAGTTCTTACAGGATACTGTGATAGATACTCAAAGAAAAGATCATACTCTATAACATCTATGGAGCAGTGAAGGCCACCACTGAGGGTAAACAGAACCACCATGATCATTCAATGAGGCTGCAGGCAAGGATTCTGAACATTATATAAAGATAGATGCTTGTATAAAGTACATCTGTAGGTCCTGCACAGTGGATAGGTATCAAACAGGAGGCAATTCAACCAGCTACCTATCTTCAACGCCATCCCTTTCCTTACTCTTAGTCCGGTAGTACTGACTCTGGACTAACACCTAGAAATGTAGGTGTCGAGACTCGAGTCCAAGAGTCCAAGAGTCCAAGATATCTAATGGGCAAAGCAAAATTGCAGCCAGGGCGATCACAGTGAACTACCGGCTATGATAGGCCCAGCAACATGCAATTCCCTCCCAGCCCCCTAGTGGTACCTGAATTATTTCGACCATTATTGTGTATGGAGAATCTCCCAATGATATCAATCCTGGCCGTTTCTTCCCCTCCCTTTCTATGTTGCTTGGAATTGTTCGTCTTTTTTGCTTTGGGTTATTTTCGTTGCTTTCAAGAAGAAAGAAAAAAAAATATATAAAATAAAATAAAATAATAAAATAGAACTCCCGAGTCCCACCCCTCCCCGAGTTCAATTCACTTTCGAATAAGATCGTCCGCTCGCAGGTTCTTATTTCGACTGGTCACTCGCACTCTAACTAGCCCTTTGTTCCAATGGTGGATTGCTATAGTGTACCGAGTACCTAGTATGTAGAAAATTGAACTAAAAAGCCTGAACAGACCAGTTCCCTGGACTATGTAAATCAACATAGCCTCATAACGTCTCTCCTTCTTGGATAGAAAGAAAGGATTGAATAGATATGGAGAGAAGTACTACACGTGAACGATTTGGGTAATGTTGAATATCCCTCCTCACATGTTGCAGAGTAATCTCAAGAAAGATGCAGACCGTCCAGGATCAAACCATATATATGTATGTATGCGCCTATGCGATGTTCCTGCTTCTGATCTGGACGGCAAAAGCTGTAAGGTACATCCGGTGATGGACATGGAAGAGGTTGGGTGCAGTTGAAGTATGGACAGGCGAGATTGAGATTGACTGTTGGATAGATAATGTTATTCCCACTTCCTTCCAGGTGTTTCCTACCACTACTGCCTTGACCATGTTAAGTAGTCAACTACTAGACTACTAACTAACTATACGAACTACGAAGGTTGGAGGAAAAATGATCCTCATGGGCCATGGGCTCAAATTTCCCTTGCTTCCAACTCAATTCAACCACTGGGGGTGTCTTGTCAGTTAAGAGAAAAGAAAAGAAAAAGGAAAGGAAAGGAAAAATTGACCATGCTGACTTTTTTTTTTTTTTTTTTTTTTATATTCAAAAATAAGGATTTGTCTACATGTCTATCAACTTAATCATCTCTCCAGATCATCATACATTGTAGTTTGTACATTATTACAGAGTATGCTGTTTAGGGAACTGTGAAACACCGGAGCCGCGCAGAGGTATTCATTTCATTCCCTGTTCCTGATCTCGTCTTCTTCCCCCCCCCCATAGCCCATAATAGTCCAGCAGTAAGTCCACAGGTCAATCAGAATCCATACTAAACAGCCTACCTCTGGAATCGTCCCTGCTACTAAGTAGGCTTCTATCTAACCTTACCATAATCATGGCCATCATTATCATCCTAATAAATAAATAAATAATAATAATTATTATAATTGACATCGTTGGTTCTCCGCTTCCCTTTTCTCTCTCTCTCTCTCTCTCTCTCTCTCTCTTTTCCTCGCTTCCCTCACTGTCCCCTTCTCTCCCATCTCCTTCAGTCTCTTAACATTCTCTTCTTCTTTAATTAGTCTCCTTTTATCACTTCTGTTTTTTTGTTTGTATGTGTGTTTTGTTTACGTTTATCTATTTCTTTTCCCTCCCATCCCCCCTGTTTCTCTCCGTCTTTGCTCTACTCTCTTATGCTCCGGAGTCGCGGTTCTGGTACTGCCACGGTGCTCAGAAATTCCATAGCAGGGGTTCTGAAATTACTCTGACGCGGAAGCATTGAAGTGTACTGGATGGATTACAATTCTGGTCGCGATTCCTATTAATTGAATCGAGAAGACTCTGACTTTATCCTGAAGATATCATCGCTGGCTTTGATTCTCTGCAATTCCGACGTGTTATCCCTCTGCGCCGTTGTTTGGCCTCTTGTGTTTCGTCAGGCCTTTCCCCCCAGCCTGGTGCTCATTCCGTTCTCCTGACTTTCGCGACCAGCCCATCACTCTATGCAGTTCCATATCCGAGCTTCTGGCAAGGCGTGATCCAAATACCTGAACGCGAGTTTCGAGTCGAACGTGTCCTGCACCTTCATCCTCATCTTATTGCGCCTTGAAACGACTGTCACGACTCGAGAATCTCACGATGGCTTTCTTGTTCAAATCGAAGAAAAACCACCAGATGACGGGGCACCCTCCAGCGACGAGAAACATTCATACCTCAGAAGGAGCCCCTGCGGCCACCTCACCAGGTCTCCCGAATGGGACGAAGGAACAGAGCGGGGGCGTCTCCCAGACACCGACACCGAGCAGTAGCTACAACAATTCGTTGAACTCGGTCAATAGCACAAACAGCCCTGAACGCCAAAGGCCCAGGCAAAGAGCTGAATCCGAAACGCAGGTTGGTCATTGGCCTGAGAAGAAGGGAAGAGAGAGTGTCATGCCATGGTTTCTGACTGTTCATTCTTAGGCGCAACGACCGTCTCAAGGCGCGACGAGCAATCCTCCCAACTCCAGCCCCGGTGCTTCGCTCTATCCTTGGTCACAACGACGGCTCAATTTCTCCACGCCCCAAGGGAACCCATTTCCACGATATGGCGCAGCAATTAACTCCGTTGCTTCCAAAGAAGGGGATATCTACATGATGGGAGGATTGATTGATGGGTCAACTGTCAAAGGTGATCTTTGGATGATCGAAAGCAGCGGGGGAAATTTGTCCTGTTTCCCAATTGCGACTGTATCCGAGGGACCTGGTCCTAGGGTCGGTCATGCAAGCTTACTCGTCGGAAACGCTTTTATCGTATTTGGTGGTGATACGAAGGTTGATGAATCCGACACTTTGGATGACACCCTTTACCTTCTCAACACCTGTACGCGCCCCGATACTTGACCCTACTTACTCCCAGGTGATCTTACTAATAGTGTGATCGTCCTAGCTTCTCGACAGTGGTCTCGAGCCATCCCCCCGAATCCCCGTCCAGCAGGACGTTATGGCCATACTCTCAATATCCTCGGCTCTAAGCTCTACGTGTTTGGAGGTCAGGTTGAAGGTTACTTTTTCAACGATCTGATTGCCTTCGATTTGAACCAACTCCAAAATCCCGTGAACAAGTGGGAGTTCCTGATTCGGAACAGTCATGAAGGGGGACCATCGCCAGGACAGATTCCACCAGCCAGGACCAATCACACGATGATCAGTTATAATGATAAATTGTACCTGTAAGGATTCCCTCGCTTTCTTGCGTCGTCTTGGCCATTGTCGATCGGTTTCTTATTTTTCTCTTACGCAGATTCGGTGGCACCAATGGCTTGCAATGGTTCAATGATGTTTGGTCGTACGATCCGCGAACAAACCTCTGGACTCAGTTGGATTGCGTCGGGTTCATCCCCACGCCCCGAGAAGGCCATGCCGCAGCCCTCGTCCACGATGTCATGTATGTATTCGGTGGCCGTACCGACGAAGGCATGGACTTGGGTGATCTTGCCGCGTTCCGCATAACCACCCGACGATGGTATTCTTTCCAGAACATGGGACCAGCGCCATCCCCCAGATCAGGCCATAGTATGACCGCCTTTGGAAAACAAATTATTATCCTGGCCGGCGAGCCAAGCTCCGCGCCCAGAGATCCAGCCGAGCTTAGTACGGCGTACATTCTCGACACCTCCAAGATTCGTTATCCGACTGAGAACCATAACGGGGACAAGGCCGCTGCACCTCATATTGCCATGAGGAAAATGAGTGGTGATAGACAAGGAACCCCAACAGGTCGCACATCTCGTGAAGCTCAAAACCCACCGTCTGCAGATTCACACCAGCGACGCGGACCAGGTCAGTCTCGGGAGAGTTTCTCAATGAACTCAAGTGGGAGGCCGGGCGACTATATACCAGGCCCGGGATCCCGTCTTCCAAGAGCATCTATCGCGCAGGCCCCAGCTGGGCCACCTCCTCCGGGTCAGGCTCCCACACCTGGTGCCAGAGGTAACGCACCACAACACGCTCCGAACGCTCGGAGCAAAACACCGACGACAGGGGACCGTCCATATGGCGGCCCCGTGACTGATACAGTTCGGGTCATAGCATCGGAGCGAGACAGGGATTCTACGGGTGCGAGAGAATCCTCGAAAGAATCCAGACCGGTCAATGATACAGGAGCTATGTCAGGTGAACGTCGAACTCCCACCCAAACACCATCCAGAATGTCAGCCAGAGCCATGGAAGCCGGTGAGGCTGCCCCTCTCGCTAGACAACGCTCCTTGCGTCAGCAACGACAGCGTGGTTCAATGGACAGCGCAGATGAATCTATCCTTGGTCGACATGCGAGCATTGATGGTTCGATCGAGTCTCGCGGACAAAGGAATTCCAAAACGATTGGCGATGAGCCGCGATCCCCTAGGTTGACTGCCCACCAAGAAGCCTTGATCAAGGAGCTTGAGGCAGCAAAGAGCCGCAACGCATGGTATGCGTCGGAGCTTGCTCTAGCCAAGAAAGCTGGCTACACAATCAACTTCTCCCACAGCCCTCTTTCGGACGAACGTCCGGCGGAAACATTCGCGGATGAAGATCGTCCCCTGATAGAAGCATTTCTCGCAATGCGAGCAGAGCTTGCGAAGATGCAAGCGACCGTGGATCGACAAGCGGCCATAGCTTCCAAGCGCGTCGCAGAAGTAGAACATCAGAGGGATGTGGCTGTTAACGAAGCGGCGTATGCGCGTGCCAAACTTGCTGCCCACGGTGGGAGCCAGCGAGGAACGCCCCAACCTGACGGCGGCTCTCAGGACACGGAAGACGCGGTTGCTGATCGTTCGACGGACATGGGTCGACGGCTAGCTCTTGCTCTTGCGGCTCAGAACGAACTCCGGTCTAAGCTTGAAGCGATCACCACGGATCTAGACCAAGAGAAACGCGGTCGGGAGCTAGCAGAAGAGACATGCGAAGCAACACGGCGACGGCTAGCAGAGCTTGAGTTACAGAACAACACGCTGGAAGTGGAGAGTTTGCGCGCCGAGCTTCACCGAGTGGACGCAGCTGCTCGAGAGGAGTCATTGCTGCGTTCCGAGGCTGAATCATCCCTGAAACGATTGGCCCTGGATAAGGAAGAACTCCTCAAGAAACTTGAGGATTCGTCATCTCGCTTGCGGGACTTTGGCAGCAACCTTGGCAACCTTCGCGAGGCCGTCACGGCCTCGTCGGAGAAGACAGCACTACTCGAACGGCAGCTGGAGGAGGAACGCGAATTGCGGGAAGGCCTGGAACGGAGATTACTGCAATTAAGATCGGAGCATGAGGAGAGGACGGCGGAGCTCGATAACGCCACTCGACGTCTACGGGACGCTGAGGAGTTGGCCGAAAGCAACGCCAGAGAAGCGGAGACCCACAAGAACGCTTTTCTGGCCGGGCTGGATCGCGCATCCTCCTTTGACTCTGATACTTCGATTCATTCTCTCGCAGACCAGCGAGTGGCTGCCTTGGAAGCGCACGTTGAAAGGGCCAACACACTGGCCAAAGCCAACCAAGTTGCTGCCGATGAGGCAGCGGACAAACTCAGACGTGCGGAGGAAAGGATCGCTGGGCTCGAGGCATATCAGGAACAAGCCAGCCGAGAGGGCCTGCAACTTCGCAGGCAGCTTCAGGCCGCTATGAAGGAAAGCCAGGCCCATGCTACTGAGAATAGAGAGCTCAAATCCAAATTGGAGAACCAGCTGCGTGAGGCTGGAGCCCTGGCCATCCAACATGCCGCTCTGAAGGATCTTCTCGGCGAGCGGGGAGTCAGCTACACAGATAGCAGACGGTCCCCACGACTCGAATCTCCAGGTTCTCGATTCGGTACGCCTGAACAAACTCGACTCCGTGATCTGGAACAGCAACTGTCGACAAGCTTGAAAGCGCACGAGGAACTGAAAGCCTCTTTTGAGAACCGCGAGCAGGAAGCCGACCGTGCGTACAGGGAGAAACTCGAGCAGCTGGAGAATGATTATCAATCAGCTGTTCATTACGTCAAAGGAACCGAGAAGATGCTGAAGCGCATGAAGGATGAACTGACCCGCTACAAAGCCCAGAACACTAAGATCCAGGCCGACCTCGAAGCGGCACAAAGGAGTATCAGTCAAGCATCTGGCCAAGCTTCCGAAGCACCGGCGGAGTGGGAAGCCGAGCGCCAGAAGCTGCAGCAATCCCTCTCCGAATTACAGAAAGATACCACATCGTCCATTGCTGCTCTGGAGAGTCAAATCACGAAGCTGAAGCAGGACTTGTCCGCGGCTGAGGCTGAGAAAGACGAGTCTCGATCAGAATACGAGAGCATTAAAGAGGAACTCGCTGCGGCGGCGGAAAAGAATCGTGCTGAACTCGAACAACTCAAGCACGAAAATGCCTTGCTTGAGGCCCGCGCATCAGATGCCGACCAGAAAGTTGCTATGCTCCTTGATCAAGTTGAAGCATCCGTTGGACACTATCGGCGACAGTCTCAACCTATCCAAGGTATGAACGGCATCTCGCGAACGCACAGCAATGCATCAAGCAATACCATCAGCGGTGTCAGCGGTGTCAGTGCCCGCCCAAGAGCAGACAGTGCCGTGTCGCAAGACGATCCGTTCCCCGACAATCGTGGCTCCATGGCACTGGATTCCCTTGCCAATGAGCTGGAAGCCTTGCGCAGTCACTGGGAGAGCACGAACCGCAACTATCGGCTGAGTACCCAATCTGAATATGAGCGAACTCCGACCAAGGAAACTCATGGCCTGAGTGACAGTTTGGCTGAGTGGCGCCGCAGATTGGACGAGGAAGAGGCGAGGGCTAGCTCTCCGGAGAAGAATAAGCCGCGGAACGCAGGTGGAGAATCCACGACAGCGAATATGATTTGAACCGACCTGACAGCATGATTTTTGATGGTATTCCGTTCGGAACGTGCCACGAAAATCAACGTCCGCGGATCCTGACTCATGTCCGATGATTCTTTCGCAATTGTTGTTGTCTTACCTTGGGGGATTGTCTGTATCTCTGTCTTGCCTCTTGGCTCGTTGATCTCTTAAGCATGTCCGTGATGTCCGAATATCTAATTTTTTTTTGTTTTTTTCTCAAAAATGGCCTTCCCCGTGCTCGGTTTGATTTTGTGTGTTTTTAACTATTTCTTCCCTATTGTTCTGACCTTATATCATTCCCTCCATGCCCCTTTTCTTTCAGCCTTGCCCTTCTTATCCTTTTTTTTTTTCTCTCTCTCTATACCCCTTCAATATTCCGCTGCCTGATGCTGAAATGTACTACTACTTGTTTGCGTGCTTCAGTGGGTTTCTGTCTGATTATAGTCAGAAGTATCTTTCTCAATGAAAGCTGGTTGCTCCCTAGACATCGCAGCTATATCTCAACGGTCTCTGACAATTCGAAGTCCACCCAGTGCCAACACAGTAGTCTGTGTGCTGGCGCGATGGCGGTGCAGACGTAAATCCTGCATGATGAGACGACATATGGGTGGTCAATCCGTCAGATCTACGGGGATGGAGTAACGATATGAACGCAGCCTCGCAGCTCAGCAGTCGACTTGAACCCCTGTCCGGGACTCCAGATGATATCACCTGGCACATGCAGATATGTCTCGATCATCACAGTACACCAGTTGGTGGTGTACAGGTCTTGGAACTCTTGTCCATCGCTGATTGCTTTAGGAGGGATGCAGGAGCATCAGTGTGAAAGGGTGGGTGAGGATCATGCCAATAGTCTGCAAAGCCAAGCGATAGGAAAAGCATCCCAGTCGGAACTTGTATATCGGGTAACTGTTATTGAAGACTCGGTGTTTCTCATCTAGTTGGGGATAAAACATCGATGGTACCTTAGGTTAGTAGGTATGATGGGGTGAGGTGAGGGCCATCAATCATCCATGACTGTGAGGCTGTTTTGTTTCGGCCCAATCTTACCTTACTTGATGTAGATGGCTCCCTAGGTTACCTTACCTGGGCGGGTAAGTCAGTAGGTATTCAGATTTCTGTAACCTGGGTACCTAGGTAGGTAGGTAGGTACCTACCTAGGGAATAAGATTGAACGATACATGAAAATGTAATTACGATACTGACACGAGGCTTGGGGAGGTACATATCAACGAGGTCATCTGAGCAGGGTTCAAATGTAAGAAGAAGAAGAAGAGAGGAGAGGAGAGGAGAAACTAATATTTACCTTGACAGTTAGTATTAATGATGGTAATTTGCGGTCGATCATGTTGTCAGTCATCCTTGGACACTGGCCTACAGGATTGTAAGGTACATTGCCACCGGGATATCTCTTCACATTTCCTGGAAAGGGTAGGGTTGTTGTGAAGGGATTATGTCTACGGAGTATAAGGATGTTCTGGAAGTGGAGGGAAATGAGGAGTGCAATTAGTCTAGACAGTTGTGAGGTATGGGGAAAAAGCAAGATGATCAAGCAAAGTGACAATTCCTATTCTTAGCAACGAGCCAACGACAAAGTGCCTGGGTTAGATACCTATGGATAATGGCTCAGTGCTCACCGACATTGTGAGGGATTGGATTGGGATACCATACCTGCGCCCTGTGGTTCAATCAATGCAAGTTCTGAATCCAACAGAGTGAAACCCATGGCGACGCTGCTACTCTATACTTAGTCTAGTTTGGCCATATCGCTTAAAAGTCATACAGTACCTAAAGACATATACAGATTTGCCGCTGTAAGCCTGTAACAGCGAGGATTGAGGCCTTTTGCGGTATTTTTTTGTCCGCTAAAACTCAGGCAGATACTGTAATGTATAACCCGTCGATACAATCTTACCCGCCCCCCTCTTACTGACTGACTTTCCTCTACTCAAACATCAACCATTCTTCTTCTCCTTCTCTCTCTCTCTCTTCCTCTCTTTCTCCTCCCCTCCCCCCCCCCCCAAATTACACCTTCCGATATCAAGGCTTTGCCCTTGGTTTTCGTTTCCTCTCCTCCTCCCTCTTTTTCCCCTTCTCGCTTGCAGCAGGGTATTTGGTTTCCTGTCTGTTCCTTCCCTCGTATTTCGTCTCTACAACATCAAGTTCTTCTCGAAGGTGAGTAGAAAACTCCTTTTCCCGTTTTGCCCCCCTCCGCCTTTCCTTCGGTCGGGCCTACAACTGTCGGGAATCCATCCGTCCACATCACCCTCATCTCGCCGTGTGTGTGTTCGACTTCAATAAATACATCAAGACTTTCATTTACTCTGTTGGTGTGGACATTCACTCTGTCCTTTTCTGCTTCCAACTTTGTGTGTCCTGGCCTGGCGTGATCTGTCTTACGGTTGAATTGCGGTTGAGGCGTGCATTGGGGTGTCAGCCAGCTCTCCACCCACAGCCTCATCACCTTACATACAACTTTGCCAAGTATCTACGCGCCGAAGGCTGGAGCTTGCAACTTTTTTTCTCTTCCTTGCAACTCCCTCTCGATCTCTCTCCCTCTTGGTCTCTTGTCGGCGTCATCCTTCTCTTCTCGTCGCTGGGTCATCCTTTTGTGACCATTTCTTGTCAGCATCTACTCTTTATTCCATATTTGTCATCTGCTTTTTTTTCTCTCTTATTTTCTATTGTTCCATGGGCAGTGAAGTTCTGACAATTGCACTGAACAGTCTTTGACATCATTTCCGGCCACAGCATCCCGCTGTGACAATACAAATTCAAGATGACGACCATGGTAAGTAGCCCAGGATGCGTGGGTGGCTGGGTTCTCACAACTAACCCATCTTCAGGATTTGCGAGTCGGTAATAAATACCGCATTGGCCGTAAGATTGGAAGCGGTAGTTTCGGTGACATCTACCTTGGTATGCACCTGCTCTCGTGCGGAGGAAGATCGTCGACAGCAATGACTTACAGAAGACCATAGGTACCAACATCATCTCCGGTGAGGAAATTGCTATCAAGCTCGAGAGTGTCAAGGCCAAGCACCCCCAGCTCGAGTATGAAGCTCGTGTTTACAAATCGCTCGCGGGAGGTGTTGGAATTCCGTTTGTCCGCTGGTTCGGCACCGAATGTGATTACAACGCCATGGTTATCGATCTCCTTGGTCCCAGTCTGGAGGATCTTTTCAACTTCTGCAACCGCAAATTCTCCCTCAAGACCGTTCTCCTCCTGGCAGACCAGCTGATCTCCCGCATTGAATACATTCACGCCAAATCCTTTATCCACCGTGACATCAAGCCCGACAATTTTCTGATGGGTATTGGCAAGCGTGGAAACCAGGTCAATGTGATCGATTTCGGTCTGGCCAAGAAGTACCGTGACCCCAAGACGCACTTCCACATCCCGTACCGCGAGAACAAGAACCTTACCGGAACGGCCCGTTACGCCAGTATTAACACCCACCTGGGTGTTGAGCAGTCTCGCCGTGATGACATGGAATCTCTGGGATACGTCATGCTCTACTTCTGCCGTGGCACTCTCCCCTGGCAGGGTCTGAAGGCGGCCACGAAGAAGCAGAAGTACGACCGCATCATGGAGAAGAAAATGACCACCCCCACCGAAGTCCTCTGCCGTGGATTCCCTAACGAATTCTCCATCTACCTGAACTATACTCGCTCCCTTCGGTTTGACGACAAGCCCGACTACTCCTACCTTCGCAAGATCTTCCGCGACCTGTTCGTCCGCGAATCCTACCAGTACGATTACGTTTTCGACTGGACCGTCTACAAGTACCAGAAGAACGCTGCCATGATTGCAGACGCCACCAACAAGAAGGATAAGGACGCCGAGGGCCGCCAGGCTGCCGGTGCAGCCCAGCTTCCTATGCCCGCACCGGCTGCTGCGGCCAAGCCTGGCGCTATCTCCAGCCAGCGTCGCAAGGTCATTGAACGCGGCACCCTCGACAACACCCCCGACACTAACCGTGCTATGGGAGGAAGTGACAGGATGTGAGTATCTGAAACCTAGGTTTCCGTGTAGGGAACCCCTTTCCTCTGCGTTTGGTGTTCAAGACCCGTCCTGCGCATGGAGGTCATCTTCGGTTCTAGAATCTGACTAATCTCATAGTCTTCGGCGTTAGGCTGCGTTCTGCTTCTAAGGTTGCTGCTTCAGGTGCTTATGGGCCTACTGGTAGCCGCCCGAAGCGGGATGATGGATATGGTGCTCAGTGGTACTGATTGGGCAATCTGGCAGTGTAGCCTGGCTTTACTCGTCATTTGGATTACGGTTCAGCTTTTCTGCACGCTCATGGCTCACAAACTTCGAAGCCCGGGACCTATTGTCATCACGGTACTCATCTGCGTCGTGCAGCAACTGTCTCAGACGTCTTTCGCCTTGGATCTCCATTCTTTAATTTTCTTTTCGTTATTCCCCATGCACTCTATTAGCCCTTTATCCAGTCTCGATCGTCTTTTCGATCCTTACCGTTTCAATGGGCCGCATCTCTTCCTGAAAACTCGTCAAATCGCCTATCGGTCTTCTCATCTCTCGCTCGGTTGGGTGTCTTCTTTCAAACTCTTGTGATACCTCCGGCTTGCGATGTCTATGACTCGGTTTATGGTCGCCTCTGGGAAGATACTGATGACCGCCTCGAAAACGTTTTTTTTATTGTGGCTATTTCTACCCTTCACCCACCTCGGTCCCGCCCGTGGAATTACCATTCGGATTCGGATTTCCTTCAGTCGCAGCGATTTACCGGGTGGGTGGGGTGAAAAGAGATGCATCAACGAGATTGTAAGTATTGTGAGAGAACCAGCTTTATCTGACCGTCGGCAAATGCCGTTGGGGATCCTCAGATCGATCATCTGCTGTTCTCTTGCAATGCTTTATTGGTCCGTACCCCTTTGTGAAATTGGGCATCTACCTTTCTTTTTTTTACCTCTCTTCCTATTTTCATGTCCTGCATGCTTCTCATTGCTCTGTTTTAGTTTGTGCTTTTCCTGAAGATTTATCGACGTGTCAAAGGGGGTGATGTCCTAGGAGGACAATGTGCAGTGAGGTGGTGGGGACGACGATTTCCCGTTGTCTTTCCTGTGTCTTTGTGTTGTCTTTGGAACGGATACAAGCTTTTCAAGATCCGCTCGTGCGTATCATGAGACCGCACGGGGGGTGGTTCAGACATGAGGGGATGCGTCTCTGCGTTTTCGGTATATGGCGACGGAAAATGGCTAGGGTCGCTTCCGGGGTGGTATCACGTCGATTTGCTGCGTTCTTGATGTTTTTTATCTGCCTATGCTTTCCTCTCGCTATCTGTAGAAGCGTCAGTTCTTAGACTGGCTGCCGCCCGAGGCTCCTCGAGAGCCGTGGGGCTCAGTCCCGTCGAATTGTCCCTTCAGACAATTAATCACCAAACCATGTTATTATTTCTGCCTAGTCTGCTCCTCGTCTCCAGATGCGCCTAGTTTGCGCAGGACTCGGTGTCTTCTCTCGCATGATGTCTACTTATCTACTTAAGACTAGGGGACACGGGATCAGGAATCAGGGACAAAAGACACATCCAGTCTATAGTGTTGATATCAACAACCTGAGGGGCCGGAAACAATTTGTGTCGCTGTAAGAACATTGAGTCGATAGGATATACTACGATTCGCCCACAATTGTAGAAATTTCATGATGATGACGAAGAATTATCATATTATTATTTGTGATTTAGTCGAATATCGTAGTAGTACTGCAGGATACTCCGGAAGTCAACAATTAAAAGATTACATATACACATCATTTTCAAATTTCCGAGCGGCGCAGGGCATCCCCGTTCTTCGTGTTGGAAGTTGGAACTTTCAAACTGCGTCCAGCACGTTCAAGCGGTCCTCATTTCGCCCGCCTTTCGAGACTTTCATTGAGCTCAGACTCAGACTCAGACCCAGACCCAGACCCATCGATCACTCTCCATATCACCCGTCACTCCATCTCGATAAGAGTATCTCAGCCATCTGTCTATCCGTTCTTAACTGAATCTCCTACTTCCTGAAGCACAGGAAGAGACGTGCTCTGGCTGGAGATATGGATTACTCATATTATTCTGATCCTCAGTCCCAGCAGTCGTTCCCACTCTACAATCTCCCTGGCATCCCCACACCAGATCAAAATCATCCACCCTCTCAGGGTGATAACCTCCATGATCCGTTTGCTTCTTTGGTCAATTTCCCTCGCCGCCTCTCCGTTTCCTTTTTTTATTTTTTTTTTCTTTTAGGAATGGCAGGGCAAATCTAGAGATACAGGAATACTAACCGTTGGCACCGAGACAATAGAACTACCAGTCCTTTGATCCTTCGTTTCGTTTCCAGAATCCCGCCGCATTCGCCCCGCCACCCCATTCTCCGCCAGAGTCGTTCTCGAAGCATTCAGTCTCAAGTGGCGATTATGCCAGTGTGCATCACGAGCCGGGATCTGTTGAGGGCGGCGATGAGCGGCTCGCTGAGGGGGCCCGGAGCAGCAGCGAAGAAAAGGACAATCTGACCCCGGCGCAAAGTAAGCGGAAGGCGCAGAACCGAGCTGCGTATGTACATGTCCATCACTACCATTTTCATTTCCGGGATCAAAGGCTGGGGTGCTTCATCGGGAAATTCGGAAAATGAGCTAACGGATAGCAATGGCGGGGGCCGATTGTACAGTCAACGAGCGTTCCGCGAGCGCAAGGAGCGCCACGTCCGCGAGCTGGAAGACAAAGTCAACTCCCTGGAACAGGAATCGACCACCCTCGCCGCAGACAACGAGCGGCTGAAGCGCGAGCTGGCCAAGTACGCCACCGAGAACGAGGTTCTGCGGGCGACATCGAGCTCGTTTGCGAATGTGCAGGGTCACCGTCTCGAGTCCGAGCCGACCGTGACGGGGCCGATGAAGTACACGCCTACGGATTTTTACTCCAATCTCGTGCCACAGGGCGAGCCGGCGCCTAGTCATCGGGTGACGATCTGCGAGAAGACGGGGGAGAGGCTGCTCGATGCCGGGGCGACTTGGGATCTGATCCAGGCGCATGAGCAGTATAAGAGGGGCATGGTCGACATTGGGGATGTCTCGAATCGTTTGAAGGGGGTGGCTCAGTGTAATGGGCAGGGCCCTGCGTTTCGCGAGGGCCAGATTCTTCAGGCCATCGAGGCGAGTGTGGCTGCTGGGCGTGATGAATTGATATGACCTCCCTTTCTTTTGACTATCCTTTTCTTGTGTTCTGAAAGCTGCTTCTGGAAAGCTATGGCGCTTCGTTGATGGGTGTTACTTGGCACTCATATGATGAAATATGGGATTGATATACATATGACTGGACGATGATTTTTCTTTTTCTTTTTATTCTCGCATATACTTGTTTCATGATTGTACATGGGTTTTAAAAACACGGAAGCACATGATATAATCAATGGACCACTGGACAGTACGGCCATCATGGTGGCCGTTTACCTGCTCTTTTTGTTCAGTACTTTCTGCTCCATCCTGGCCACCCAGCAATCTGTACATATGTGCTTTTGAACCTTGAAGACCTATATACCCACTTGGAGCTGATGGTGCTGCGTGAGGGTTTCTAACTGTGCTTGTTGACAGTAGATCCAGCTGCTGCTTTCTTCCTCGGTAGTCTGCTTCATGTCCAGAATCGACGCACGATTATGGCGAGCATGGTGATAACATTCTGCATGAGATATTATTCGGTATTATTACCCCCCTCATTTAATCCCAGTCGTCATCGTAATCTTCCACCCTGGCTTTGATCTTGGACGGGCGCTCCTCGTCCGACGAGTCGGAGCGCTTCTTCAGACGCACATCGCTTTCTTTCAGAGCACCCAAGTCCACCAGCATTCTCTCGAGATCTGTCGATACCGAAAGGACAAGATTAGCAAATCCCATTTCGACAATAGTGCACGGAGAAACATACCCTCAAGCTTGGTCCTGGGACCATTCAGCTCCCGCAATGTGACAAGCTGGCGCCGAATCTCCCCATCCTTGTACACCAGGATCGTCGGCGTATTCCGCTCCGGATATCCCTCAATGCACATGTCGCCACGGATCTCGCAGAACTTGATGTCCCCGTATTTGGCGGCGAGCTGGCGCCACAACTCCGACAGGACCCGCGACTCGACGTTCCCGCTCGAGGAGGTTAGATGGACGAGCACGAAGGCCTTGTTGGAGGCGTCGGTCACCTCGCGGCCGTAGTCGACTTTCTGTAGGGGGTAGACCTGGTTGTAGAGGCTGGTCTTTTGGATGGTGGAGATCTCCGCGAGGCGCTTTTGGCTGGGAGGGTTGGGTTATGAGTTAGTGCTTTTTACAGAGGGCCTTGTGGTTTGTTGTTGCGGTAGAGCTCGGGCATACCGGTATTGTTCGAGGAACTCCTCGTCTTCCTCATCTTCGAGATCGTGGAGCTCGTCGAGGTCTTTGTCTTCGAGTCTGTTCTCATAGGCCTTGCGCTCTGCCTCCACGAGAGCTTCTTGGATCAATGGCTCGGGGTCCTGGGGCTTCTCGGGGATAACGCCATGTTTGCGGAGAATATCATTCCTATGGCGGGGTGAGTGATGGGCTCTGGAACTGGAGTGCTGGAGGAATTGCTTTCTGCCTTACCACTCGGTATCCTCGTTAGGGTTTACTTGTACCTCCATGTTGAAGATGTGTCAGATCACTGCGAATAGAAAGGATATTCTTTCCAGTAGATCAGTAGACTGAAACAATGTCGTCTTATTATTAGGCAGAGCATTGGATATGATGATATACTGCATGCCGCGTGTTTGCTCTGTTTGCCAGTTCCAGCCACAGGTGGCTTGAGTGCCCACAGAACGCGGAAGGCCACCTGGAGATTGCTCAATGGCATCCGGAGCTACTTTGGCAAACAACAACCCCCTCAAAATCCAGGCACGATTCTCCCCTGGGACAGGTTCGATAGCGTCACCTCGAACAGCGGACTCTGCTCCTTTCCTCTCATCATTCATTTATCTACCTCTGTCCGTTCTTAACGTCCGCGGATAATGAGGGCGCGGTAATCGTTTACACCGCCTACATACCCAACTGCTACCTACTTGACTTGACCCATAATACCTGACCTATCCAACCCGTCCCTATTCTACCGTTCGACCCCCCGGTGTCGACTCTCACCAGACGGGAGCGTCAGATTGATACTCATCCGCCGTTGTCGAGTCAGCCGCTTTCACAATGAGTTACATGAAAAAAGATGAGGACGCTGATCAGGTCATGGTCAAGCTTGATCGGACCTCCGTCTTCCAAGATGGTAAGGGGATCCGTCACCAATTCCCCTGGATGCGCATCCAATTCCGGAGCACTATGCTAACGGAGACTTTTCTTTCTTTCTTGTTACAACAGCACGACTATTCAATTCCTCGCCAATCTCCCCCCGAAGATGTCGCACTCTGTTGACCAAGATCGCGGTCCTCCTGTTTACCGGAGAGCAATTCCCAACGAACGAGGCGACGACTCTCTTCTTCGGCATCTCGAAGCTGTTTCAGAATAAGGACCCTTCCCTGCGGCAAATGGTTTACCTGATCTTGAAGGAGCTTGCGAACACGGCGGAAGATGTGATCATGTCCACAAGTATTATCATGAAGGATACCGCTGTCGGCAGTGATGTACTCTACAGGGCAAATGCCATCCGAGCTCTGTGCCGCATTATTGATGTGAGCGTCCCTTTAGACCATACCTCCCTTGCATAAAAAACTGACGAAGGAATCACAAAGGCCACCACCGTCCAAGGTATCGAGCGACTGATCAAGACCGCCATCGTCGACAAGACACCCTCCGTTTCCTCCGCCGCGCTGGTCTCCTCATACCACCTTCTCCCTATTGCGCGCGATGTTGTCCGTCGGTGGCAGAGCGAGACGCAGGAAGCCGCGTCTGCGTCCAAGCAATCCACTGGGTTCCTTGGCTTTGGCGGTAGCTCTCAGAGCCACGCTATCTCGCAATCCAACTTCATGACCCAATATCATGCCATCGGCCTGTTGTATCAAATGCGCTCGCACGATAGAATGGCACTAGTCAAGATGGTTCAGCAGTATGGAGCTGCTGGTGTTGTGAAGAGTCCTGCTGCGTTGGTTCTGCTGGTGCGGTTAGCGGCGAAGTTGGCAGAGGAGGATCTTGGACTGAGGAAGCCGATGATGCAGATGCTCGATGGGTGGCTCCGACACAAACATGAGATGGTTAACTTCGAGGCGGCAAAGGCTATTTGCGACATGCGGGACGTCACCGATGCGGAAGCATCCCAAGCCGTCCATGTTCTGCAGCTGTTCCTCTCGTCCCCGCGGGCCATCACCAAATTCGCGGCCATCCGTATCCTCCACAACTTCGCCTCGTTTAAGCCCCATGTTGTCAATGTTTGCAACCCCGACATCGAATCCCTCATCTCAAACTCCAACCGCTCTATCGCCACTTTCGCAATCACCACATTGCTCAAGACCGGCAACGAGGCTAGTGTCGACCGCTTGATGAAGCAAATCTCTGGCTTCATGGCTGACATCACCGATGAGTTCAAGATCACCATTGTTGAGGCCATTCGCACTCTGTGCCTGAAGTTCCCCAGCAAGCAGGCTGGTATGCTGTCGTTCCTCAGCGGTATCCTCAGGGATGAGGGCGGTTATGAGTTCAAGCGCAGCGTTGTTGAGAGCATGTTTGATCTGATCAAGTTTGTCCCTGAGAGCCGAGAAGATGGTAAGTTTCCTGCCGTTCAAACGGTCGAATTTTTTTTTGTGTTCATGCAGACTAACCTCTACCAGCTCTTGCCCATCTTTGCGAGTTTATTGAGGATTGTGAATTCACCAAGCTGTCTGTCAGAATCCTACATCTCCTCGGTGTGGAAGGACCCAGGACCTCTCATCCTACCAAGTATATTCGCTATATTTACAACAGAGTTGTCCTCGAGAATGCTATCGTACGAGCTGCCGCTGTCACAGCTCTGGCCAAGTTTGGCGTAGGGCAGAAGGATCCCGAAGTCAAATCCAGTGTATCCGTCTTGCTCACACGCTGTCTTGACGATACGGATGATGAGGTTCGCGATCGTGCTGCTCTCAATCTTCGTCTGATGGCTGAAGAGGATGAGATGGCTGAACGATTCATCAAGAATGGTATGCACATCCCAAATCCCCTTATCATTCGATTCACCTGCTCACTGCCCTAGACTCCATGTACTCCCTCTCAACATTCGAACACCAGCTGGTCATGTATGTGACATCGACAGAAAAGGAGACGTTTGCTGCCGCGTTCGACGTCGCCACCGTCCCCGTCGTCACACAAGAACAGGCTTTGGCGGAAGAGAGAACGAAAAAGCTCACGACCGCCACACCCACTCTCAAGGCCCCATCTGCCGGTCCTCCCAAGGGCAAGGCAAACGGCGTTGCCGAAGCAGCTACCGCTGCAGCAACTCAGAAATATGCCGAGCAACTTATGCAGATTCCAGAGCTCAGAGCATATGGAACCTTGCTCAAGTCTTCGGTTCCTGTCGAGCTCACCGAGAGCGAGACCGAATATGTTGTCACAGCCGTCAAGCACGTTTTTAAGGAGCACATTGTCCTGCAGTACGATGTTAAGAACACTCTACCCGATACTGTGCTCGAGGACGTAACGGTAGCTGCGACGCCTTCCGAGGAGGATGTTCTCGAAGAAGAGTTCACTGTTCCTGCTCCCAAGCTTGCTACCAACGAGCCTGGTATCATTTATGTCACGTTCAAGAAGCTTGCTGGCGAGGATAGCTTCCCGGTCACATCGTTCACAAATAACTTGAAATTCACCAGCAAAGAAGTTGATCCCTCAACCGGTGAACCTGAGGACAGTGGCTATGAGGATGAGTACCAGGTTGAGGACCTGGAACTTACCGGCAGTGATTATGTGATCCCCACATTTGCCGGCAGCTTTGACCACGTTTGGGAGCAGACTGGTGCGAACGGCGAGGAAGTCAGTGAGACGCTACAACTTAGCAATATGAAGAGCATTTCAGGTATGCCTTCCATCCTACAATCAGTGTTGACTAAGCATGAGAAACTAACAGGACTACAGATGCTACCGAACAACTCATATCTGCGCTCTCTCTCCAGCCTCTCGAGGGAACAGACGTGGCTCTCAGCAACAGCACGCATACGCTCAAGCTCTTTGGCAAGACCGTGTCAGGAGGCCGAGTTGCCGCTCTGATCAAGATGGCATTCTCCAGCAAGTCGGGCGTTACCACTAAGATCACTATCCGAGCGGAGGAAGAAGGTGTCGCTACCGCTGTGATGGCAGCTCTCGCTTAAGTTTGTATATTGTAATGGAGGCAGGTTCCAGCAGGCGCGCACACTAACGACGGATTCTGCATTTTCATGAGACCAGAACCATTTTTTTGTGTTTTTGTTTCTTCCACTATTCCTCATTTGCCAGATTCTATAATTCAGGTGTCTAGCTAGATGCGATGAATCTTTTTTTTTCTTGTGTAGGCGCCAAAACTTTTTTTTTTCTTTTGGTTCTTTCTTCCCCCTCGTTCTCAATTTTCCGCCTCTCCTCGTTTTGTCTTCTTTCCCCAGACTCGTCTGTTCTCATTTTATCTTCCCTGTCAAAGCCGTCCCCGGAGGGCAGTGCTAAGACTCCGTAGGTCTTGATTCTGAGACCTTGAGTGTAGTTAGTCATCAAAGCAAGCGTATAACAAAAAGTCATCGATGTCTAGTTGACTCGTCCACAATTTAGCACGATATATTGGAGTATCTTGTGAAGCTGTAATGGTTATCCGATTATTCGCTTTCTATCCCCAGCACGACAGTGTTTTAATAGCATTTAGGTCTCTCACTACAAATCAAGATTTCATCTTTAGCCGATATTTGCTAATGCGCGGTAGTCGTCCCTGTCGTAACTGCGTGTGTCCCGAGACGGCCGTCGGTGACGGTTGAAGTGGTTCTGAGCGTCGTCAATGTTGGGGTTGCGACCACGGCGTCAGTTGTGTCCATCCCCGTCCATTGGTTTCGCAATTTTGTCTGCTGTCTCCGAACCCCGTGCGACAGGAATTGTCAAGTCCCTATGCATGTCTCGAAGGCGCCGTACGAGGTCGTCCACGCACCCCCTGTCCGCGGCGGTGCTTGCCTCTGCAGTCTGTGTACCAGTTTGCGTGCTCAGGGTCCGAGGGTGGCTGTCGGCATTCGCGTGTAGTTTGCCCTTCCCACTGCTCAGCCGTCCAGTCTTCTCGTACCATTTAAGCTCCTTCTGCCTTTCGGCATATATGCTCCCAGGTTGCATACTGTCCTCTATATCAACGGCACGGTTCGGGACCTCCGCCAGTCGTTGCTTGCAATTACATCGAGGATTCCTTCAGTCTTCTTCGCGAAGCTGGCAGTCATCGCTCGAACAGCAATACTGTTTCAGCATAGTCGTCGTTGCAGGATGGGGTTTGCCGCTGCAGGTATATAGCGACATGACTGTAGATGAGACATATACTTCGGAAGAGCATTATTTCCCGGTTCTCTTGCGTTACCGGCAGGTGCGGAGATATTGTTGTCTTTTTTTCATCGTGGCTATCATCCTGTTTTCTGTTTTCTTGGTCTCTTCAACATTGTGAGTTGATAGATGGACTGTGGTTTGAGGGGTGTATAGGTTCATTGGCGTTGATCATGGCGTTCAGCTTCGTCTGCGTTGCACCTTGGGTTTCTTGGACGGCCGCGAATATTGCAGTGATAGCATCATTCCATTTAATGACTCGTATGGGCTGTGTGTGTCATGCCGGGATGTTTGTGTATGGGGTAGAGGAGGGAGCGGCAGTAGATAAGGATACTCTGCTCCCTACCATAGCTTTGACTCCAGAAAATGCTTGCATTGCAAACAAACATGCCAAACTCAATGCGAGAGAATGTGTAGGAAGTAAATATCATGTTGGATCTAGTAGTAGGTCAAGGGTGACAGGGCCTCAGGGTGATTTTGTACTAGACATGGCAGCCTAGTAATGAATATATTATTGACAACAATAGTATGCTTGCACTCAGAAGAATGATATAACTTCAGTCAATAGAGAATATATATATGACATTGAGCATCAGCAATATGGTTGGTCATAGTGAATGGCTTGGAATTCTCATACTCTGCAATCAGGGAAGTGGAGATATATATATGGTCTGAGTGTCTCAATCTATATCATAACAGCAAATCAGTGAACAGTCATCTGTTGATTCTTTATGAAGCACCCTTATACAGGTCTATCATGCTAAATAGGGTCATAAATTATAGTAGCTTAACATACGCAAAATATAATCCCTGCCTCACATATAGTACACACCTACTTCAATTTCATCAACTTCTGCCTTAGTGTCAGAGCCGGCTCTCTGGTCTGCATTTCGGTGAAGAGCCTCATCAACCACCTCGTCTTCAACTACACGTTGATCGGTGCAGTAGACCTCCGAGAATCCGATAGAGCGGAGGTTGGACAAGCCTTTGTCTAGCGTTTGGATGAGCGACTCCGTAGTGAAGTTTAAAACCGGCTCTGAGCAGGGCAGATCCAATTCAATCACTTCGAGAGCCAACGGAGGCTTCAGAATATATAGAACATCAAACAATGTTTCATCCACTATGTCCCCGGGGACGTTGAGAAAGGTCAAGTCAGGGAGAAATGCCGTCACGGCATTGACTGATCCAGGTTCAAGACCGCGGTTGGCATGGGATATCGTGAGACGGCGAAGGGAATTGAGCTGCGCGCTGCTAAACAGACAGGCGATGCTCGTTACCGAAAGATCAGCACAATTCTTTAAAGTCAGGCTGGTCAAAGCGTTTGGCCAGGAAAATGCAGGGATGGTGGCAAGAGAAAAGTGGCCACTGATCTGTAATTTATGAAGCAGAGGAGGCCATGCTGTTAACGAGGTTTCTGGAGGATCGAGATCGGTTGAGCGAGGAAGTTTTAGGAGAGTGAGTCGTGAGAGACGGTTCAAGGCTTTCTTGAGATTGGGAAAGGGTATTGGATCAGCGACCAAAGACAGATCAAGGATGCGAAGATTGGTGCATTTTGACAATGCTGGAAGGCTGTTGACACTGTTGTAGGAATTGTCAGAGACGGTTTGCAGATTTGGTGCCTGCAAGTATGGAGCAGGTAGACTCACGCAAACGACACCCTTGGAGCAATAAAGACCTCCAAGTTCTCTTTGACTCGACCCAGCAGTCTAGACGTCAAGCTATTGGAGCTGTGATGCACAAGGCGACTGAGATCCAAGCGGCGAACGAAGCTTCCAAGATTCAGCTTGTTTCTTCGAGCACCTACACCTGGACAAATAGTCGCAGTGAACTGCTGAAAGGCATTTCCACGATGTACTCGAGGTTTCTGATACAGATATTCGACAGCCGCAGAGTACCATTGACGTGATACTAAGCAACATGCGTAGAGAGCCTCTTGCCGACCAGCTTCATCTGCAGCCACAAAGCGGACAATCTGTACGAGGATCTCAGTAGGGAGATAGATTGGATGAGAGGAGTGCATCTGGGGCATGTAAACTGCAGAATGCCATGATAGTGAGCTCAAGAAGATTTGTTGATGGACAGAGGAATAGGAATACCCCTCCAGAGCGTGTGTGGATGTGTGATGTTTGGTCCGATAAGAGGATAAGCGGATAAGATAGAGGATGATCTCATTGTTGCTGTGTCTGTACTTTGTCGATCTCCGCCCGCTGTCTTCTCTAACTCTAACTCTAACTCCCCCAAGCTCGCTCTCCGTTTCTCCAACTGACTCACTCCCTTCTTGTCATACACACGTTTTGTTTTTGTTTTTTGTTTATTTTTTGCATAGTTGTTATCTTGAGGAGCTCAAGACCTTCTTTATATAAGATATTGCAACTTCGTCAGACTACATATTCCCAATTGACGTTCGTTCAACATGAGACCCCAACCACTCTGGCAAACGTTCCGATCATTACAGAGCGCATACTCTCGCTCCTCTCTACAAGCTGGCCTGGGTCGCCGAGCCTTTCGGACAGCCACATCCTCATCACAAATTCCAGACTTCGCATTTGCATTTGAGTAGGTTGATAGTGTTGCCCTTTCTGAGAAAACAATTCCTAATTTCCCTTCTAGTATCGATGGTGTCCTCCTCCGTTCATCCAAACCCATCCCCGGCGCTGCGGAATCGTTAAGACTTCTGAAGGATCAAGGAATTCCATTCATTCTTTTGACAAATGGCGGTGGAAAACATGAAACAGAAAGAGTCGCCGAGATCAGTGAGAAGCTTAAGGTGCCATTGGACCCCACTGTGATCATCCAGAGCCATTCTCCGTTCGCCGAACTTGTAAAGGGACCCAACGAACAAAGCTCGCTAGAGAACAAGTGTGTGCTGGTCGTTGGTGGCGAGGGTAATCGCTGTCGTGAAGTAGCGGAGATGTACGGCTTTAAGAATGTGGTAACACCGGGTGATATCTTCATGGCCAACCCATCGATATGGCCGTTCTCGAACGTATTCAGAGATTACTACGAGAAGTTTGCGAAACCATTGCCGAACCCTCTGGATCCTCGAGATCCTACAAAGGGATTCAAAATCGATGCCATCTTCGTGTTCAATGACCCCCGCGACTGGGCCCTGGACGCTCAAGTGATCATCGACCTCCTTCTCTCATCTCAGGGCGTATTGGGAACCCTGTCGGACAAGAATGGACGGACCGATCTTCCCAATAAGGGATTCTTGCAAGATGGCCAGCCCCCTCTATACTTTTCAAACCCGGATCTGTGGTGGGCTGCCGCGTACCATCTCCCTCGTCTCGGCCAAGGCGGATTCCGCGAAGCACTGGAAGGCACCTGGGCAGCGATCACAGGTGGACCGAGCAAAGGCGTGGAGCTCAAAAAGACCGTCATTGGAAAACCGTATCAAGGCACCTACGAGTTTGCGGAGCACCAACTGCTCCGTAACCGCGCCAGAATCTTTGGGTCCGATGCCGCCGTACCGCTGCGGAACGTTTACATGGTTGGCGATAACCCCGAATCCGACATTCGCGGAGCAAATTCCTATCGTAGCGGCCATGGCAGCAAGTGGCATTCGATCCTTGTGCGCACAGGTGTCTACGCCGGGGGAGAGCCTGAGTGGGTTCCAGAGGTCATTGTCGACAATGTGCAGACGGCTGTTGAATATGGAATCAAGTCCTCCGCATGGCAATGAATCTACGGCGTTTTCAACGAAAGATCAAGCTTGCTCTCAGCACATAAGCCTGGTGCTCCCAAGTGGTTGTATAGAAAGATGTACATGATGGACCTACTATGACTGTAGCCAGACCGCTGTACCAATAGAATCGAGAGACTGGTATGTCCTCTTAAGTTGTCTACCTAGTCCATACCTAGATACTACCTGCTTACCTATTAGGTACTAGCGGTCGAAACATAACCCCATTGGAGAGAATCCAGATGCTGGCCGAGGAGCTTAACTACCTAAGAAACCACAACAAACTAATCTCCATCTTCCTCTTTCCTATTCAGCATCAGGGCTGCGAATCCGCGGTGGGATTGACCAGAGAGAAGCTCACTACTTACTGGTTTGACCCATGGAGAGTCGCGACTTGCCCGTTTTCCAACCTGTCTGCACAGCAGAACTTTGCTACATATCGGCAACTATGGTGGATTCTGAACGGCTCATTCGTCCAAAGTATGAGGAGTTGATTCTTGGTAGTAACGATTCTAGGTACTCCCAGCCTTTGTTGCTTTGCATGAAAGCGTAAGAGTGCAGTGGTGATGATGATAACAAACCGAGGCTTAGAAGCCTCGCGTGCTGAAGAAGCAATAGTCGAGTGGTCAGATCACGGGCATCACCTTGGTAGGATTACCACCCATTGGGTCATAGCACCAAGGGACCACTCAAGCACCAATTTTTGCAGTGTGCGAAGTTCGAATATCCTATTTGTGGCATGCCATCTGACTTTTTTTTTGTATTACACTTTGCACCTCCAGTCACTCATTTGAACCACATCGTTCCCTTGGGAGCTGGCTGGTCCTGACCTACTTTGGGTACTCCTGCTACTTTCAACCCAGCAACTTATCATGAATCTATCTTTAACTTTCACCTTAAATCTCTTGCATTTTCGCCTTACGTTGAGCCGTTCTGTATGCTGAACTGCGTTTAGTTGCTTAAGAGTCACAATCTTCCTCTCCAGTTGGCCGGATGGACAAGTACAGCTGACGCTGGGAGACTTGGTGGGAAGAGTGTATCTCATTCATACTTAAACAAATCAAATCGCAATGTTGACGCATCTCAACTCAGCAGGTAGTGAGACTGAAGACAACAACGAGCTGCTACCCGTGGGGAAAGCTGCAACTGGATCACCAATGCCAACACACTTGCTGCTTGCTCCTTTCTTCATTGCTTCAGTCCCTGTCAGACTAGTTTGTGGGCGAAAGGTCACCCTTGACTAAGCAAGTTGGGCATAAGCAAGAAAAAACCCCCTTCTCCTCACACACCATAAAGAAGCAAAAAGGAGTGGTCCTCAGCATATGAAACAAAGGTGGTTCCGGAATGGAAAGCACTAGAGACGGATGATATGATGCAAAATTGGGGGGTTGTATGACCCGGGGATGCAGGGAAGGACAATCGAAGATGAACGCCAGCGAGAAACTATTCCAGACAACTGTACTGGAGAGAATGAAAAGTACAAGATGAATGAGATCGAGGAGAGGGGAGAAGCTCCCACCTTTTGCTTTCTGTGCCGCTTGCCATTCCTGTGCTGTTTGGGAAAGAGCAAAAGCGAGATAGCCAGAATAGGAAGAAGTGAGGCAGTCGGTTGATTGCAGTCAGCGGATCACGAGAAAGAACAGTCTCTAAAAATTGAGATGGTCAATTGAAGATTCAGGGCTCGTATCTTTTATCCACAGTATCAATCTATAATTGCTCCCCTGGCATCTCTCTCACTGCTGACGACGAAGGTCGCCCTTCAGAGCTGAGTTCATGTTGAAAGAAAGATGCTGAACTTCATTCAATACCACCCTGGCCTTTCATAAGCTGACTGCATTCTGCATTGCTCTCTCAACATCAACCCCGAAGCTCGGTATTGTCGGACTCTTGTTGTAACAGCAACGGTAGTATCAATACTATCAAGCTCATCGTGGTCCTTCTCAGCTTAACATGGTATAGAGCATAGTCCGGAGTCAATGGTTTGCTTACTAGCTTGTCGTGAAAGGCTATTGATGACAAAAGGAGCCCAAGTTGGCAATAGAATAGAGCCTATAGCCCTACAAAGCAAGTAACGTCTGGTCAGTGGTTCACGCATCTCAGATCTAATGAATTCGAATCGTCGTCTAGATCTAGCGCTTATCATGATGAAGCCTCCTAACCAAGAGAGCAGCCCATGCCAGAGACAAAGTGCAACGAGGCGTGGTGGCGATTGAGAGCACGGTTGAGGAGAAGACGGTCTAAATTGACCAAGTCAATGGCATGCTGTCTCTGCTAGAATCTTGGGTGGAATTGATGAACTAGTTGAGGACATTCATCTTTATCAACATCGGAAGATAAGGATACTTTTTTTTTTTTTTTTTTTTTAAAAAAAAAAATATAGTTCCAGGTTTGATCAAGGCCTTCTCTTCATAAGATCATGCGCCGGGAACTTTGCCCAAAATTTCACAAGCTGCCTGCATTCACATTAATATTGCAATATTGTTTCAGCAACTGACAAAGGGGAAGCAGATTGAAGGCAGGTTGCGTGCCTGAGGCCGTGAGGCGTGCCTGAGGCTTCACGGCCTACATAAATTCAATGCCAAAATAAGAACCCCGCTTAGGGCTTAGGGCTCGGATCATGCGCGCGGGGCTGACTTCGAAGCTCAATTAAGTTGACTCATAAGAAGAGAGCTGCGAACGAAATCCCCAATCTCCCAAGTTCCTGTTTGCAAAGAATTCTTGACATATTTACGGCCATGGCGGATTCCGAATTGCCGATTCGTTCCAAGCCCGAGGAAACTCCCGCGACTGCCCCTGCCGAAGAAGCAGAACAGAAAGGTCCCAGCAAGAGTGCCCTGAAGAAGGCCGCAAAGGAAAAGGCCAAGGCCGAGAAAGCTGCTGCGCGCGCTGCCCAGGAGAAAGCTCAAGCTGCCGCTGCTGAAGCTAACGATACCGCGAAGGGCTTGTACGGCAAGCTCCCCGAATCCGAAGATGTTGTCCCGTCCACGAAATTCTCCGAGCTCGGCGAAGAATTCTATGAGCAGGAGGTGACCGTGGTGGCTCGTGTCGATAATGCCCGCGTGCAGAGCGCCAAGCTTGCTTTCCTGATGCTGAGGCAGCAGGGTCAGAAGGTGCAGGCTGTTATTGCGGCTGCCGAGCCCATCTCGAGACAGATGATCAAGTACACGGGTGGATTGAACGTCAATTCCATCGTCCAGGTTACTGGTATTGTGAAGAAGCCCGAAATCCCTATCTCTTCGGCCACTATCAGCAACCTCGAAATCCACATCAAGAAGGTCTACATGATCTCGGAGGCTGCCCAACAGCTTCCCATGCAGGTCAAGGATGCGGAGAGACCGCCTCCGGAGACAACCGAGGAGGGCAATCTGGTCGACGCAGAGGGCACACCCATTGTCACGCTCAAGACCCGTCTGGACAACCGTGTCCTCGATTTGCAAACGGAGACAAGCCAGGCTATCACCTGGATCTCGAGCGGCGTTGCTGAGCTGTTCGCCGAATACATGATCAAGAGTGGATCGAGATGGATCTTCACCCCTAAGCTGGTTGGTGCCGCCACAGAAGGTGGTAGCAACGTCTTTGAGGTCAAATACTTCAAGAAGAGCGGCTACTTGGCGCAGAGTCCTCAGCTGTACAAGCAGATGTGCATTGCGGGTGATATGGAGAACGTTTTCGAGATTGCCCCTGTCTTCCGTGCCGAGGACAGCAACACCCACAGACACTTGACTGAGGTAAGCCGTTGCTGCTGCTCACTCCATCATTAGAATTGACTTCGTTTTAACGCAAGTATAGTTCTCCGGTCTCGATTTCGAGAAGACATTCCGCGGCCATTACCACGAGGTTCTGGAGTTTGCTGAGGACCTCCTTGTGTTCATTCTGACTCAGTTGAAGGAGCGTTATCAGGATAAGATCGCCATCATCCAGAAGTCCTACCCCAAGGCTGGCGACTTCAAGCTCCCAAAGGATGGAAAGGCGCTAAGACTCAACTACATGGACGGTGTGGCTCTGCTCAAGGAGGCCGGCGTCGATGTCTCCGAGCAGGAGCGATTCGAGAACGATCTGACCACGGCTATGGAGAAGCAGCTTGGTCAGATCATCCGTGATAAGTACGACACTGACTTCTATGTGCTGGACAAGTTCCCCATGGCCGTCCGGCCGTTTTACACCAAGGCCTGCCCGCAGGACCCCAACTTCTCCAACTCGTATGACTTCTTCATGCGCGGTGAGGAGATCATGTCTGGTGCCCAGCGTATCAACGACATCAAGGAACTTGAGGAGTCGATGATCGCCAAGGGCCTCGATCCCAAGCACGAGGGCTTCGAGGACTACCTGGCTGCTTTCCGCCAGGGCTGTCCTCCTCACGCTGGTGGTGGTCTGGGACTGAATCGTATTGTCATGTTCTTCCTGGGCTTGCCTAACGTCCGCCTGGCCAGTCTGTTCCCCCGTGACCCCCAGCGCTTGCGCCCTTAAACGTGTAGTTTAGCTTTGCAACGACTCTACATACCCGCACAAGTAAATTTATAATGGAATTATGAGCTTAAATGAACAGTATAAATCATGTTTATCTCAACGGGTTGAACGAATATGGTGCCTGTACGGATACGCCCAGGGCCTCAGCTATTCTTGGTGTCTCCACTCCAAGCTATTTTGAAGGTGGCCCAAGCTTCCCGGGCTGGACTTTTTTGGCTCACAAGATCCCATACTCTGGTTGACCATTATTATTGTCAGCATCATCATAACCACACACATCAACATCATGCCAGAGAAGCGGAAGCCACCTACCTCTGCCTCTGGGACATCTCCGTATTCCAAACGATTTCGCCCATCGTACAGGGAAGAAGAGGATGCCGACGAGATGGCGCCCACCGTGACCCCATACGAACGCCCTCGCAACCATCCTGTATATGGACAGAAGAGTGCTTTCCCAGGCTTAGACGTCGGAGGGGATGATGAACTATTCTACGGGCCCGCAGAAGATGGGATGGAGTATCTTCGCATGGTTCGGTAAGCCTTTCCTTTCTGTCTTCACTCTTGATCCCTTGTATCCTGTTTCCCGCTTGCTAAATGTCTACATGTTCTTTATCCTGTTTTGTAGCTTGCAACTGCGCCGATGTCTCTGATCGTTTGAAATGCAAGCTAATGGTCGACATGTCATGGCTTGTGACTATCTGTTGAGAGTATAGATCCGAAGCGAATTCCCTACCTATCTTGTTCACTGCGCCCAAAGCTGCGGATGCTCCTGTGGAGCAAACAAGCGATGAGAGCGGAGCCGTGCAACAACCTCAACCGACTCCGACAGCAGTGCGCGAAGGTTTCTTTGCAGATGGCGTTTATGTCGCACCTTCTGTGAAAGCTGGAGACGCACAGTCAAACACCGAAGCTGCGGAAGACGTATACTCGGATGCACAGTCAAGCTACTACAACCTCCTCCACCACAGATTCCTCTTACTCCGTTCCATCCTGAAATGCACACCGCCCTCAACAGCGATCGCTGTATTGGATGACTCACATCCGATCAGCTTCCCCCGACACTCGAAGACAGCGCGCAAGGAATGGCGACGGCTTCTGTTAGTGGTAGACCCGCAGACGGTCCAGCTGGCATGCATGGATATGGACAGTGTGCTGGGTGTGCTGGGGATAATGGCGAGGCTCATGTCAGAGAATGTCAGGAGCGGAGACGCGGAACGGGTCCGTCGGATCGGCGCTTGGGCCTGGGGTCTCTTGGCCAAGTGTCGCGATGTTGGGCAGCTGGGGACTGAAGAGGTCGGTGACATACGTGATTTGGGGAAGCGAGCCGTGAAGATCCTGCACAAGATGAGGGAGGAGGATGAGAGGACCAAGGTCGCCCACCGAGACGGGGAGCTGTCGAATGAGGAATCAGACGACGAGGAGAATTTGGAGGACACTCACGAACCTGCCGAAGACGATCAAGCGTACAGTCCGCCCATGGAGCAGATCGACCATGTCATGCAGGATGTGGAAGAAGAGCCGCCGACCGAGGATCTGGAGACAGCCAAAGCGCGTCTGCAAGCGATGTTGAGCGGGAACGAAGAGCAGACAATACAAACAACCGAGCCAGGAAACGTTGGTATTGTCGACGACGTTGTACAGAGCACCGAAGGCAGTGTTGTCGAAGTGGCTATACAGACCCGCGCCATGCTCGACATGATCATCACTGTGGTTGGTGAGTACTTTGGGCAAAAGGATCTGCTCAAGGAACGAGAGTTCTGGAATGATTCCTCGCTACCTGCCACCACAGTATGATCTGAAGGGTTCCTCTGAAATGGCCCCAGACACTCGTTCGTTGTAAATCAAACCTACGATACCCAATTTGACATTTGTAGAGAGCTCCAAGCTTGTCCACCCAGACCAGCCATTTCGTCTTCATTATGTGCAGGACTTGAATGAAGCTATTGAGATGGAATCATTAAGTTTATACGAATCGTACACAGCTAAATCCTGCGACGGCACATATAATGTAGAATTACTCAATTGAACACTACCGATGTATGTGTTTTACATGTGGTCTATCCAAGGACAGCCAAGTGATTCTTTTGCGTCATTCTTTAGGCGGTGCTGCCTCAAGTGACTTTCTTATCTCCGTCCATCGTCCATCCTTCCGCAATACATCACCTCGACTTCTTCGCAAAGCCATAGAGATAGATGATTTACATGACGAATTCATGAGATCCAAGGAGTATTACACGATCCAACACCACAATCTTTAGCCAAACTGCCATCATGGCCCCGAACGTCGAGATCTCCATCCCCACCGCCAGCACCTCACACACCTCTCCCCCCTACACAATCTACAACATCACCCTCCGCCTACCTCTCCGCTCCTTCACCATCTCAAAGCGCTACTCCGATTTCGTCGCGTTCAACAGCACTCTCATTGCGCAGACGAACAGCCCACCGCCCGCCCCTTTACCAGGGAAGCACTGGTTCTCCAACACCGTCTCCAACACAAACCTGTGCGAAGAACGCCGACAGGGCCTCGAAACCTACCTCTGCGCAATCAACGAAGCCGAGGATGCACGGTGGCGCAGCACCAGCGCATGGCGCGCATTTCTCAACCTCCCCAGCTCCGCCAGCACCCAGACCACATCCGCGAAGCTCCACGCCGCCATCACCGAGCCCGGCGCGCCGGGCTCGCAGAGCGCCATCACGGACCCGACTCTGTGGCTCGACTGCTACCGGGACATGAAGTCTCATCTGCACGATGCACGGCTGCATCTCACGCGGCGGGACCAGGAGACGACGCCGCAGAAGCAGCATGAGAGCTCGGCGCGGGCGAAGAGCAGTCTGGTGCGAGCGGGACATCTGATCGGGGCGCTGGAGGATGGGTTGAAGAACCTGGGCGAGGCGAGTGATGGTGGGAAGCGCGGTGGATGGGGAGCGGGGAATACGCTGGGCGAAGGGGAGATTCGGCGGCGCAAAGACCTGTTGGTCAACGCGAGGAAGGAGAAGGATGGATTGGAGGATTTGTTGAATGCCATAGCTACGAAAAGCAGGATTGATAATGCAGTTGCCTCGATCCAGGATAAGGAGGCGCTGGTTGGCTCCGCGAGTAGGAAGCCTGCTCGGTCCGGGAGGGTGTTGGGTAAAGAGACGGAGCGGACCCGGGAGCTGGACAATCAGGGCGTTGTGCAGCTTCAGAAGCAAACGATGGAGAGTCAGGACATGAGTATTGAGGAATTGAGGAAGATTGTGCACCGGCAAAAAGAGCTCGGGATTGCCATCAACGCCGAGCTGGAAATCCAGAATGAGCTCCTGAAGCTCACAGACGAAGATGCGGACAGGTATGTCTTGGTTCTGTTTTTACTGGCTTGCTCACAGTTCTCATGCTAACACTCAACAGATTACAAAAGAAAGTCGATATCGGCAAGAAGAGGATTGGGAAAATCTCCTGATTCCGCGTTAGACTGGGGTTCTGCTCGTGCATACATGTTGATTTGTTTTATATCTAGATGAAGCGATGTGCATGTTGTCTCCCGCATTTCAGCGAGCTCTGCTTTCTCTTACACTTTGTTCAATTGTTTCGAACTAGCTATACCATGCAGAGATGGAGTTGCCATTTAATAATTTCTCAATTGGTATCTATTGTCATTCCTTGCTGTTAACGCCCTGGCTGATAGACCTTGTAACATCTCTTCCATGTCACTGGGCCGACATGAACTAATTGCGGATAATTATTAGTAGATCTTGTCAGGCTCAGAGGAAAGAAATACTTACCTCTTTGGCCTGTTCCTCAGTCACATCCGATTGATCTGATTCACGATGATGAATCAACCCGAGTTTACTCCGCCGAAGCAGCCACCAGAGTTCTCGTCGGTCTCCTCCCAGTTCCTCTTTCAATAGCTTGTCTTTGAGCTGCCGCAGGAAGTCGTTGTAGAGTGCAGGTTCCTCGAAAGCTATAAGCTCACCCCGCATGACCCCCAGTGCCTCATTCACTCGGTCATAGTTCGCATCGCCGAGACTGTTTTGTACTTGATCCTCAATAATAGTATTCATCTGTTTCACTGCCTCGGTAATCGTCTCAATGTTTTCTGCCTGAGCTAAGGTTTGTTTGAATTCTGGGATTGCGTTATTCGAAGAGATTTTCGCGCGTTTTTCCTGATGAAGGAGCGCATCGACGTCGAGGCCGGAAAGTGGCTTCTCGCTCTCACGAGCACGCTTGCGTCCTTTGGCCTTCGGTGGTACTGCAGATATATTGGATTAGCAAATAGAACTTTTCTCAAACGAGGATAGACCGACCCTTCTTGACATCAGCAGCAGCCATGAGCTTTTCTAGATAGCGCTCTGCTTTTTCCACCAACTCTTGCGGTGGTTGCGATAGCTTAGTCAAGTTTTTCGAAGGGGGAGGCACTGGATCGTTGGGATGTATGGCACGGTAGCGAATTGCGGAATCGATGCGGTGCAAGACCGGCGAGAAGGAGTTGTCGATAGGAAGACCTTCAACTGGTTCTCTGTAGGTATGTCAGCGAGAGCATTCAGCCCATTTTCATCGGGTATCTTACCCGTCCTCATCGGTATTCGCAAGTTCCATGCTATCCACATACTTACTCATAGCATCAAGCAGGTCCTTGTTGGGAAGATTTCGATGTTCGGTCACGACCTTGCCGGAGACAGTGATCACTCTATCCAGAGGAGGGAAACGATATGTCCGAACATCTTCAGCAAATGGTAGCTGGACTTCGAGGAGACACTCGTAGTCCGGTTCGATTGACGGGGCAAGCAACACCATAACCGGAGCTTTATTCTCTTTTGTTACCAAACGAGCAACAGCAAAACATTCTAGTTCAAAAAGAGCGTGGATGAAGGACGATACAGCCAATGAGGCTTTATCGTTTCCACGCTGCCCAACAATGATGTTGGTTGTTGTGAGATGCATGTACCGGTCGTACTGATAGAGGCTGTTAATCCCGCTACATGAATGGATGGAGCAAGGACTTACTTTATCGGTTTGTATGAAGCCCACCAGTTCCAGTGCTGCGAATGTTTCGAGTGTCGTAATGTTCTCATCCGTTGCACTGATATGTACCGCTGTCCGGCCGTACTCATAGCCTTTTGCCAATTCCTCCCGTTCCACATCCACCTTACCACCAGGGGCATTCTCATCAGTGACTTGGTAGGTTCGTAAGTTCCTCACGCTCGTAAGAGGGCCACCTTCAGGGTGGGTATCCGGTGTGCCTGTGACAGTTCCGGATTCTTCGAGGTCTTGCTCAGGTATCTCTGAGCGGAGTACAAAAGAGCTCGCGCTTGGGGGCTTCGCCACATACGTGCGGTAATACCGTTCGACGGGGATACGGAGAGCAGTCTCATATTCTTCCGGGTTCCCGAGCTGAAGATATCCTTTGAACGTTGCTACTGTCCTGACCTTTTTGACGCGCGGGATGTCCATCTCAGACACGGCTTGTTCAAGCGTACCATATGCTCCGTCGCAATCTTCAACCAGACCTCGAAGAAGAGCTTCGTTTTCAGCCTAGTGTATCCAATTAGAAAATGTTCTTCCGGTGATATGGTCATGCACTACCTTCTGTGCATCCTTTTCCTCTTCTTTGAATCCATATTCGGGATCGTCGAAGTCGGTGCCCCTGAACATGATTAGCACGTCTCCATTTGATATCTCGTGGCTGAGCTCACAGCACTACAAGCTCAATATTGTCTTCTTTGATCTTCTGCGTGATCTGCTCGAGATCCTCACTGCTCATCCATCCTCGACCATTTGTAACAAGGACAATCTTCCGCTTGTACTTGAGCTTCTTACAATATGTGACGATCATCTGAATGGCGAGGATGATGGCAGAAATAGCTGCGAAAGGCTTAGGACTGATTCAAACTCGAAAAAGAATGAAGCACTAGGGTAAGTGAAAATACCGTCTCCCTTGTCGGTCTTGCTGGGCTTAATTGTTCCCGCCAATTTTCTGATATCTGGCATGAGGAACCTGTTAGACGAATTAGCGGCTGAAGCTCAATTGAATTGACTCGTAAATGACGGCGAAGCGCACTGTTGGATCCCAGAGAGTACCGAAATGTGCCGAAAGTGAGGGTCTTCTTCAAGTTCATTGGACGTTTCTGCACCTTGCTATTAGTACAATGCTAAGGAGGCTATACAAGTCCAGATATCTCACCATCTGTTTTGAGGCCAATGACGCCGATTGTAGCTGTTTTGCGCCCTGTAGCTACCTATCTCTCAACATTAGCAACGGCTCAGAGGTTGACAGTCCCCACAATATCCTTACTATTGCTGTGATACGATCCCAGACATATTCCATGACCCATTCAAGATCCGTCACTGGTCGGCCATGGCGCTTCTCCCCCATGGACTTCCCCAGATCCACAATGTAAACCGTTGCTTCCTTGTCCGCCATGGTGTGTTCAATACGCTTCAATCAGAATCAATTGAAACGACAGACGAGGGGAAAGCGGCCAGATAAAGACTGGCCAGGGGCGGACAGCCAAACATGACACTCCAGGCAGACGCGCGATATTTCCCGATTGGGGTTTAGGCAGAACGCGAAGGCACATGACATCATTGATGGACAGGTGCGTGATAATAAACCAGCTTAATGGGTGGCCATATGATAATAATTAGATAGTACGTGGAATTAAATATAGCGCTATTGGTGCAAGTGCGTACAAATAGCTTCGATCATTATTGAGCTCTCCAGCTTCAGCAATCACCTGATCAATCCTATCATCACTCTAATAATTGCTGGCTTTCTATCTCTATCGATCTTCACAGTTCCCTTATATATCGAACTATCAATATGGCTGATCCTCGTCCGTATCATATTCTCAGGTAGATGCTCCTTTCCTTATTCTTTCGGTGTTCGACCCGCTGACATCCGTCTGCAAGTTATGGTACCCTTCTGGGCGTGCAAGTGTTCCAGGTAGAACTCCCCCAGGCAATTGTATCCCTTCAGTATTGTTGACGTTGGACATGCTAGACTTTTGTCTCCGGCATAGTTGCTTTCCGGGTTCTCCCTCGGCCCCAGTTCTCCGCGTTGCAAACTGCGACATTCCCAGTCTACTTTTCTCTGCAGTCTGCTCTGCCCGTAGTTGTCGCTTTGACTTCTAGTACAGGTGGACAGCTCAATGGTATCTCCGGACTCCTTGCCCCGGAGAACCGGTTTGGAACGTTTCTACCATTGGCGACGGCTGCGGCAGCTGGCCTGATTAATCAGTTTATTCTGCGCCCGCTGACTGTTAACGTGATGAAGGAACGGAAGCATCAAGGTATTTTCCTCTGCCTGCGATTTGTTTTCAACTCAGCATTACTAAATCCTGGTAGAAACTCGCGATGGAAAGAAGAGCTATGATCCAGCCCCTCACTCCAAAGAGATGTTGGCTCTGAACAAGAAGTTTGGTCGACTTCATGGTCTGTCGAGTCTGGTCAATATGGTCACCCTTGCTGCTACAGTTTGCTATGGCATAGTCCTCAGCAAGCGCTTATCCTAAGCACAAGCCTCTAGTACTTTGAGCCCACTGCTGGGATTTTGACCCCGGTGTGTCAGACCCTGCCATTGATCTAGGATCCTTTGTATATGGCCCCAGGTTAGCTGGCCTCGAATGACGTTTTATTGCATGAGAGATGCTGAAATATATCGGAATTTGCCCTCCATAAATCTCTCGCTTTGCTCAATGATCGCAGATCCTGTGCCACTTCTCGCCTTGTGATTTCGCCTACCCTGAGACGCAAGGAATGGTAAGTGGATTGATTACATTAAGGACAAGGATCGTCACGCTTTACCTCTGAGACCTTGTCATCAAGAGACAAAAGCCATCACAGCTAGCCAAGTTTTGAATCATTTGCTCTTGGTCTGCCAATGCACTGTATCAATTTGGTGCTTTCCACAATGGTAGATAGGAGGCTCAGAAAATAGGTTTCCAAATTCTTTGTTGCAGAACTGACCATGGTTGAATTACAGCTACAAAAACCCAGATGGGATTTATTACATCTTCTTTTCCTCAGTTTCTCCTTTTGAATTCCAGGAAACAGTACCATTGCTCTTTGCCTTTTCGCCCTCTGCGGTATTGCCTCCATTCCTCATCAAAATCTCAGTCCCGGATCACCACAGCTCACCCTCTACTGCTATTGAAATTGCCGTTCACAATGTCAATTCTACCATTTGCGATTGTCCTAATGAGCCTTATTTGCATGAGACTCCAGTCGACCAATGAACCATTCTCAGGAGTGCCCCATTTGAAGAAGATTGTCCATGAAATGGGTGGTTCCAGCGTCAACAATACAACCACTCAATTCGAAATACGGCCGTCACTTCACACATCACATTCAATAGCGTCCTTTCCTGCCATGGTCACGCCGTCAGAGCCGGACGTTGTGTATCCAGGATCAGATAATATCGACCACATCAACTGTTCAGCTTCTATTCCAGTTTCAGGTCGGCTGAACACACTGTGGCATATTCAAATCAATCAAACCTCGGCCTCCAGCTTAGAGCACGATCATATTGGCGCGAGTTTCTGGAACTCAAATCATGGCGCCCGAGTTATGAGCAGGCAGAATTTGTCACTGATCTTGATCTTTCTGTTAATGATTCCGGCAATAGCATCAGTCTCCACATGGTACTCTCAAAGGAAATGTGTTCAAGTTGCCAACATTGAAATTCTTGATTTTATCAATGACATTCGGGCTCGGAAAACATTTCTTATGGAGAGGCTGAGTTCCGCGGTTTGGACATTGAATCGCCATACCGACGGAATTCTTAGGCAAATCGCAATTGAGCATGAGCGAGCATCCGCCGAGCTATCCAATATTCTGGATGATGAGGTCAAAAAGCTACGGGAGGCTCTTGAGTCACAGCTCCAGAGTGAGTTCAATCGCCTTGCATCAGAAATGAAGGATTTTGCGGAGAAATTGGGCCGTGCGCGTCGCAGTCTTCCAGAGCCTGAAGAGATTGACGCACAGTGCGAGGAGTTCGACTCCGAGCTCCAAAAATGGAGGCAGCGCATGAGTGACTCTCTAGTTCAAGCTGGCACCAAGGCTTTCCTTGATGGTAACTTTCAGAGCTCAGGCGAATGTTGCGCGGGAAATCCAGCAGCAGGGATGATGACAGTTCAGACACCCGTTGCGCGATCTTTATATCACTCCTGGGAAGAGGGAGTTACTGGGGAAGTATTCGAGATGCCTATCACGAAGAATGCCCCAGTTACCGGGTACGAGGAGCAAATCACGAGAATGTCCTGGTGGGCTACAGCGAGTGGGCATTCCGTACCGACAACGGCTGAGTTCGAAGAAGGCTGTAGGATTCGGCATGGAAGGGTCATGAAGCGCAAGGGGAGTGATAAGAGTAGTCCAAGGTCTACAAGGAGTGAGTCTGGTGCACCGAAACAAAGGCGTCCGTTGAGAAACTGGCGGAGCATACTGCACAAGCAGACTCAAGAAGGGACCAACGATTCCAGTCCCCATATTTCGCCATGATGCTTCTGATTCGAAGCAACACGATCTTGCTCAGAACAAGGTCTACTCTTTCTGCATTTGTCCGAAGGGTTCTTAAATCACATTGCATTGTATTTCTTATTCCTTCCATCTGGTTAGCAGCTCTGGATACCTCTGTGGAGGTCTGTATCAAACAAAGTAGTAGCAGCTCTGATTGAAGAAAAGGACAAGATGGTATGTTTTCAGCCGGTAAGAATGAATTCCTAAATTCTGTTGCGATTGAGCATGAAGATAACAATAGCCGTTCAACGGAAGCTGATGCCTCTGCCAGGGAGGACAAAGAAGACTTCTATGTATTCAACACCCAACCACACCCGCACGGTTTCATTGACAATGAATTTCACTCTCTCCTCCATACTTGACATTTATTTCTTTGTGCTTTTATCTGAGTCCCGCTATCTCAGTCAAAAATAGACATTGCTCTACTGCTTCGTCGTTGTTCTGGCTCCTCAACCCCCCTGGCGGACGACAACCCTTCGTTCGAAGTGTAGGTTTCATCTTCTTTCAGATGAAATTATTTGCAAACTAAGATTCTTTGGCATATCTTCTTCTAGTTTGAATGCGTTCACTTTATTCTCTGGTTTGTTTCCAAAAATGGGGTCTTCGAACACCGTTGTCAAAGGGCGTTCATCGCATTCGCACTATGGCCTCATCTCTCTGAATACCTTGCTCAATGATATTTATTACTTACATATCCCAATCTTGAGGTGGTTTTGGATGGAAACTTTCCTATTTTCCCTTCCTTTTCCCTCTCTGCCAACAAGTCGTTCACACATATTCTTCGAATCTGAATCACCCTCGCACTCCCCTTCGCATTGACTACGCAACTCGGGTCTCTGCATCGAGCCCACCATGGACCACTTCATTTGGGGGGCGTTTCTCGCGCTCTCCAATCTCGGAGGCATGTACGTGAAGGTCCCGTACACTGTCGTTACGCCATCCCATACACCATTGGATCGGTTTATGGGCTCTTTTCAGCTCACCACCGCCGTGAGAAGTACTTTCTACGCTGCCAGGTCTATGCACTATCGCGTCTTCCCGGAGGCTGAAGATCTCGCAACATCGCAGCAGAATGCGACACTTGGACTCGATGAAATGCTGAAACAGGTTATGGAGCAGTATGCTCATGAGCGTAACCTGACAGGCAGGTGTCTCTCAGGTGTTGGGAATTCCGGCAGCATTCAACTTCCCCCGTCTGTTAGGATCCATCACCGGCTTTTTGGAAGAGACTTTGACCTTGAACTCGGCCATGATTCTGCTGAGATGATGTGGGCAGTCTGGACCACGGTACTTCTTGTGTGGATTTCCTTTCTGTTAATCGTCTCATGGTGCATTGATTACCACCGTAGGCGTGGTGCCAGGCCTAGTGCTCCAGATCGGACCGTCGGCCATTCCAGCAATCATCTTACCAAGAACGATGTTGTGGACTTGCTTCGCTTTTCTCGTCTTAGCATCGCCCAGGAGATCAAGGACGACATGTCTCACGATATCGAATTCATCATCGAAAGAATAGGCGACATCCTAGAGAGCTTGCGACATTTTGAAGGCACTCTCACACCCGAGGGCCCAGAAGAGGATAGCAAGGAGGCGGATGATGAGATTGTTTGCGAAAAGAACCTTGCAAAAACCTTCAATGAGCATCTTCAGTTTTGTTCTGGTGCAACGAACAGCATTCTGGAAATGCTCGATCAAATGAAGAAACGGATAGATCGCAAAATCAAGCTACAAAGCATCCTGCCAGGGAGTAATGGTGCGGAAAATGGGACCATCGATAATCCCGGTGCTCAGCTCGCACACTATCTGTCTGGCTCTATGATCAAGGATGATGCAAGCACGTCAGCTTCGGCTCTGGAGAAGCGCATTATTGAGGAGCTCGAAAGATGGTTACGTGAAAATCTTGCAGGAGATGTGTTGAAGCCTACCCAAGCCATTGACGAGGGAATTCAGCGAAGAATATCTGATGCCGAAACTGCATTGGCCCAGATACAACAGAAGATTGATACAAGCTTTGCCGGAAAGGACCAGCTAGATGAGACACTTAATAGCTTCCAGGAAGATATCGACAGCTTACGCACGTCATTGTCATCATTCTACCAACAGGGCACTGGAGTGCAAATTGAGGATATCGAAAATATCGTCAATGCGCAGGTCCAAACCTTGAACGAACGTCTACAATCAATTGACAAACCGGCTCCGATGACTCTGGAGGAAAAAGAGACGATCACGAACGACATCAACAATCTGAGGGAAACACTGTACGATTTGAAGAAGTTGTGCGGACTATTGAAGTCTAAACTTGATTCTGCGGTCACTGAAGATCAATTGAACGAGATTCTGAAAGAGAAGAATGAGTTCCTAGCTAAGCACATTGAGCAGCTGGGCGACGAAGTTACCCGACTCAGGAAAAAATACAACACGATCCAGAACATTGTGGATGCATCGGGTATAGATGATATGCCTCTCGCCGAGAACCTGGAACACATTCGAATTGCACTTGAGAATTCCACAAAGAATCACCAAGCAATGCAGCAAGAACTCAATTCGCACGCTATAAAGCACGCAGCTCTGCGGGAGAACGTTCAGTCACAGAAGGTCGAGCTCCAGGGAACCATTGACAAGAGAATCACCAATGTTACTAGGAATATCATGGAATTGCAAAATGTATTCCCTCGGGTCAAACAGCTCGAGGGCCAGATGATCATGCAGCAGAGAACGAACAGAGAGACCTGGTCATATCTTGACCAGTGCATGGATACCCTCGGAATTAAGTACGGCCTGGGTCGCGCTCATCTTCCCAGTTCGCCTACTACGGACCAAGCTCAGAAACACACATCCATGCGGATCAAAGAAGGCGGGAACGCCACACCCAAAGCTGAGTCTTTGGAAGGCGGGGGCGCGCAAGCTGAAGGCCCAGAGACCGCAGTTGCAGAAGCAAAGAATCAAGAGGCCGAAGCTCCGGATGCCGAAGGGGCAGAGGATGGAGCTATAAAGGCTGAGATTCAAGAGGCCAAAGTTCAAGGGGCTGAAGCTGCAACAGCAGAGGGTCTCGGAGCCGAAACTCGAGATACCAAAGATCCTGGAGATGAGGTCCCAACGGACAACGTTGCAAAAAAAGAGGCTGCAGGAGCCGCGATCCGAGAAAACGAGGTTCTAAATGATGAAGCTGCAAAACAGGACATTAGAAAGGATGAGACTCTGGAGGATGTTGCTAACCCTACAGGAACTGCACCGCAGCCAGAATCACCTTCCTCTGCTGCTTTTGATGGTACCGAGGGTGCTGCTCCCCAACCGCCAACAGAGCCTCTGTCTCCCAGATCGAAAGAGGTGCCTGTCATAGATGAATCATCTGAGAAAGACCCTTTGGCGGAAGGTCCGTCCCAGCCCAAATCACCCATTTCCGGGGGGCTTAGAGGAAGCCGGTGGGCTGCGTCTGAATCATCAAGGAAAGATAGCCTGACAGGAATTCCGTCACAACCTCAAACACCCAAAACACCCACTTCCGCAGGGCTTGAAGGAAGCCGATGGGCGGTGCCCGAAGCACGAAAGAAGAGCTTGACGGAAGCCTCGTCGCAGCCTCAGACACCCGTTTCCGGAGGGCTTGAAGGAAGCCGATGGGCTACGTCCGAGCCTAAGAGAAAAAGTTTGACGGAAACCCCATCGCTGCCCAAAACACTAGTTTCTGGAGGGATCGCAAGCCAATGGCCTGCGCCTGAACCAAGGAAAGACAGTCTGACGGGGCAGCCCAGAAAACCCAGTTCTGGAGGACTCGAAGGAAGTCGATGGGCCGCACCTGAATCATCAAGGAAAGATAGCCTGACAGGAATTCCGTCACAACCTCAAACACCCAAAACACCCACTTCCGGAGGGCTTGAAGGAAGCCGATGGGCTACAGCCGAGCCCGAACCTCAGTCTTCGCGGCGTCAGAATAACAACCGAGGACGAAGAGGCCGCAAAGGCTCCAGGAATAACAACCTCGGTGAAACTTTCTGAGCCCGAATGACTGGTTTGAATCCCTATTTTGACGACTTTCTCATTTTCTATTTTGCTGGTATGATTTGCTTGTTTTTCTTGTTCTCGGGTATCTGTTTTTCACTTTCGTCAATTGGCCGTGTGAAACACGGAGCTCTGTTGTTGGATCCTGATCGTTGCATTCCTATTTAAGCTCGGCCTTTTACATTTTGGAGACCGCTGTCCCTCACTTGTCAGCCTCGAAGTCTCACTTTCATCACGGTAGCACCAATAATAGATTTCTTTTGTTGCTAGTTATCTGATATGATCAAGTTCAAGCCATCCTAAGGGTATCATTGTAAATCACAAACCTTCCTGTAGCAAGACGAACATCAAGCCAACAAGGTCATAACGCAGCAATCTTACGGGCATTACACACTCGCCGTCTCAACCAGATATTTCCGACATGCGTCCTTCAACATATGGATTCGTCGCTGGGTCTGGATGAAGACCTCACGGTACATATCCAGACTCTCCTGGACCACCTCCTGTCGTGTCTTTGAGCCTGCGCAGATTTCCCGCATACGGAGCTCCATCTCCTTCCGCAGAAAAGGCTTGCTCAGGGACGGCTTATCTGGCAAATGAGCAACGACGTTGTCGTAGCCCTCGACTAGGGCAATGCCCAGGCGAGTAGGGATGAATTCCTTTACGGCGTTCCGCCCACTGCCTCGTGAATGAACGGCCACATATTCGCGGTCCTTGATTTTGGCAATGTGCTCTGCCATAGTGGCGTCCGTGCCGATTCCGTTGGCGTCCATGAGGCCAATGAGCTCTGGCTCGGTCAAATAATTCGGAGGTGTTGTCTTGCCTTCGAAGATTTTTGCTTCTGTTGGCTCAAAGAGTTCCCCATCGCGGAAGTTGGGGAGCTCCTGGCTGCTCTCCCACTTATCGTATACGTAGACCTCCAGGTAGTTCTTCTCAAGAACAATCAGGCCGTTTGCATGGAACATCTCTTCGCCGTATTGGATTTCGACTTCGGTCGCCTGGCCTTTTGCATCGTCGGAGCAACAAGCAAGGAATCGCCGCACCACAAACTCGTATACCTTCTTTTCGTCGGCGCTCAGGGCAGACGGTGAAACCCAGCAAACCGGGTGGATAGGTGGATGCGCCTGATCATTGTTCTTGCCGGATCGAGGTGTTTTAAAAGCACCATTGATGAGGCTGAGCGGAGTGGTTAGCCAGGGTAGGTAAGGGTATCAAGGCAAGTTCCTACCCTCGGGCATAATCACCCCAGTTACCATCCGGGAATTGCTTTTCGATCAATTTCTTCAAATCGATGCCTTTATCAAACTGATCAGTCTCTGTGCGAGGGTAGCTGATGAATCCTTTGGTGTAGAGGGCTTCTGCAATCTGGAATACCGATAAGCCGCTGAAGATACGTCGAAGAGGGTTATTCGAATGGAAATTCTTACCCTCATGACCTTCTGACTGTCCATGCGGAGGTATCTACTACCCATCATCTGCAAGTCCACAGTCGTCAAAGGCAGGGGTCTCCATTTGCTAGTAGGCTTTTGATTGACTTTGGTGACTTTGGCTTTTTTCGCCAGCAGACATCTCTCCATCATTACTGTCACAACAGCTCGATCAAAGAGATGAACTCTTCTCCATAGAAAGTTGACTTTCATGCCTTCCTGGACGTGCATCACTTTGATACCCCAGAAGGTCTCTGGCTTGAAATTCTTCACCCGTAAGTACCGGTCAACCACAAATCCCAATGTAGGAAATTGGCATGATCCTATTTGAAAAGTCAGAGATCAATCAAGCGCAAGACACAGCTCCTCAAATGCAGATCTCTGGCCTACCATAGCTAATAATTTTATCAGTTAGAGCAGCCGAGAGTGGTTTCAGCTGAAGACATTGCAGACGGGTAAATGCAGCGCCAATCCGAAGGTCGAGTTCAATTCTAGCCGCAACCGCATTGGCTTGGTTCTCATCTACATCGATGAGGGCTCGAGCAGCGCGCAGGACATGCCTGGACGTGTAAGCAATGTGAGACCAGTGAAGTATGGACGGTTTAGGTATACTTACGCCCTTTCCGTGTTGCTGAACCGAGCTCTTTTGACGAGAATACGCCCATTGCCTTTTTTGGCCTGCAGGCGGACTTCGGTACCGATATGCTCTCCCTCTCGATCACAATCAGTCCAGATAAATAGAGCCTTGGAGGCTCTGGCTTGATCCCGTATATTCTCTGCGATTGGTTGCTTGTCCTATATGTAATGTTAGTCTTGCCATGCACTTGACGTTTGTCCGACTACAGTTTCAAGGCCAAGCATTTGTTCATACGTACAGTTTCCACATATTCATGGACAGGGGCTTCAAAAAGTGACCCCGGGGGACAGGATTGCCATCCTTTGTATTGGCTCTCAAAGTCAAGGGCCATCAGATGTCCCAAGACACTGGTCATGGTGACCGAGCAGGTGCCCCAAGGGTCACCAAAATTGAACTCGAATAGATAATTCTTGACATATTGATTCCCGCGTATAGATATCTAGCACTATCTTAGTGTATTTGCCCACCAGCAAGAGGGCCGAAGCCCCATCAACCGCGACTTACTGTTCGCATGGATCCTCCTGATAAATGTTGAGCAACCGCTTTGGCGATGGCAGGCTTCTCTGCCACACAGAGGATTCTGGGAACAGTCATGGCTAAGGGCTCTTCAGATCAAAATGTCTCAGGAACTCCATGCTCGGTACCCGACACCCGCTGTCACTTTGGTCATTGATCCTGCGTTTTGTATCTGTGCTAGAAAATCGAAGAACAGTCGAGACGCGAAAACACGCGAATGTTGAATGCCTGAGGCATAGAGAAGCTGGAGCTATCTTACCTAAAGTGGTAAGCGTTATTTCTGTGTCATGTGACACAAGCACATGACCTCACCACTATTGCCAAGCTTTATCTGCCCAAAGCGGTCGATACTGTGGCCAATGACAGCTCCTGTCGTCATGATCGATCCATCTCTTTTGTTTTGCTGCGATCATTCTGATGTTTTGATTCTTGTCCAGAAGTTACTGTCGAGTATTCAGAATCAACCGGCTCTGCAAGTGGCTTCAAACAGCAGCTTCTGGCTCTAAACTAGCAAAAATGGCTATTCCTCTTCCTCAAGTCCACTCGATCGCGGATTGTGCCTCTTTCAACCGTACCGTCCTCCCGTTCCTTACCCAGCTCACAACGCTTCCAGCACAATTACAGGTTGCAGCTGCAGCAAAGGATGTCGACAGTTTAAAGAATATCTATCTCTCGACGAACCCTTTTATCTCAGCGCTTGGCTTTACACTTGTTTTATCATTCCTTTTCTTGGTTTTCTCGGAGATCAACCGCAACTATTCGCAAGTTGATCGGCTCTGGAGCATTTTGCCAGCTGTTTACAATGTGCACTTTATCGCCTGGGCGCGTATGTGGGGCATCAGAAATCAAAGCTTGGATACTATCGCAGTTATCACCTTGCTCTGGAGTGTAAGATTCCTTATGCACTGGCCTGATCCTGCTGCCATCTCTAACTCTTCATAGGTGCGATTGACATTCAACTACTGGCGCAAGGGAGGTTATCAAATCGGCTCTGAGGATTACCGCTGGCAAATTGTGCAATCTAAAGTGAACAACCGCTTTGTCTTCTTCCTCTTAAATGTCACCTTCATTAGCTTGGTCCAGCCATTGTTGCTTCTCCTCGTCACTGCGCCGACCTACAACTTTATTCTTCTTTCACGTCTCCCGGGTTTTGAACCGTTTGGGGTTCCAGACCTCGTTTTCTCTCGCCTCGCGTTCTTCTTCGTCATTCTTGAGTTCTTCGCCGACCAGCAGCAGTGGAATTTCCAGAACGCTAAGAAAGAATACCAGAAGACTGCGCGTATCCCTGACCAGTACAAGAGCCAGTTCACACCTGAAGACCTGGAGCGCGGATTTGTCGTCAGCGGTCTCTGGTCCCTGTCTCGCCACCCAAATTTTGTCTCTGAGCAAGCCATCTGGCTCACCCTGTATCTGTGGAACTGCTATCGTACCGACAGCTATCTGCAGTGGACCGGACTTGGTGTCTTGGGTTATTTGCTCATCTTCCAGGGAAGCACCCGGCTGACTGAGTCGATCAGTGCTGGAAAATATCCTGAGTACAGCGAGTACCAGGCGCGTGTTGGACGTTTCATTCCTCGCTTCTCGGTCAAACCCAAGTACAACGGCAGCAACAAGAAGACTCGCCGGTCTGCGAAGAAGCAGACGGATGTTGTCGAGGAGGTACAGGAGGGAAAGAAGAGTCAGTGAGAGAGTGCGAAGTTCTTGCACAAGCTATTTATTTTCTTGATATGTGCTCGATCTTTATTTCTTGGTTTTAGATCCCAAGTTGATCGGATACTTCTTGTTATATATAAATATTTAAACATCAAGTCGATTTTTCATAAGGTAAAAGGAGCAACGTAGAGACTCAAAGGTCACCAGTAATAAGCACGGAGGCTGAATATCGACAAATTTAACAATTTTCGGCGAAACAGAGGATTTTCCCCACTCTCTTCGAGAGTAAGTCTATCTGACTATGCTTTTTCAAAAGTGCGGATCTCAGAAGGTCTTACGACGCCGTCGACCGAGGAATGCTCTGTTCTCCTGGTCAATAATAACACATCCATTCGGACCAGGGGCATGCTTCAAAGGAGGCGGATCATCTGACCTTGTGGTTCCCTGGCATCTGTGTCTTTGCATCTGCATCATTTTCTTCAAGATGGGACTTTTCCTTTGAGTTTTATGTCAGTCACCTCTTGTGCCTCGTAGTTGATGTTGGCTTCCCTTCTACGCGTAGCCTTTGTTTCCCTTCAGGCGGACATGGAAGCCTCTCAACTTTTCCAATATGAGCTTCATCCGGGTACCAGTAAGCCAGAGGATTGAAGAAGAAACAATCCCGAGCTATATTGCTTCCCAGTGTTACCCTGTCCGGATAGGGGAAGTCCTCAAGGACCGGTATCAAATCGTAGGTAAGCTCGGATTTGGAGCCAGCTCAACTGTATGGCTTGCGCGGGACATGGAGTAAGATTGATGCCCGTAGCAGTCATGAAACAACACAATAGTCTAGATTTGTCTACGATTGGTACGGAAGATGTTGCAGTGGGAGCTAGACAAGCGGAGTTCCGCAAATGAACTACAGAACGATGAGTGGATTCTCAAACATTTACTCTGTATAGGCGTAAACTCGCAAGCCCGGTCCTGCTGGGAACATTGTAAGATAGGTCGTTAATTGTATGTTGTAAGACCATCAACGAGCAGAGTACAGGAGTGAGCAAATGAGTGAATGAGTTGACAGCTAAGAGACTTCCGCACTGTCTGGAAGAGCAGATAGAAGGACAGGAAGGCTCCCACTGCGTTCAGGATCTGATAAGCTCATGATTCAAAAAGGGAAGATAATTCTACCTAATACAAGACCACTGAACCTATAAGCTATTTCCAAACATAAAATTACAAGAGGAGATGCTTCCGTTAATCAGTAAATACAACACCCGACATAGGCAAAACATATAACACCCTCCTCGCCAAACCCACTGAATCTATAGTTCTTCTAAGAGGGAGGCAGGGGTGTCTGATCTCTTCCATCCTTGCCCTCGGACTCTTCAAGTGGTGGCGTAGGCTCGGGGGGAGCAATGGTCTGTCCGCGGCCGCCGTCGAAGTACTTCGTAAACTCGCTAGATTCGGGCCATGGCCGGGGCCCAAGGAGGCGGATCATGTCATCACGGCTGAGGACCTCCTTAGAGAGAAGCTCTTCCGCAACAATGCCGACCTCCTTCTTCTTCTCGGTGAGCAGGGCGCGGCATTGCTTGTACGCCTCGTCGACAATGCGGCGGACCTCACTGTCGATCTCACGGGCAGTGTCCTCGGAGAAAGGCTTGTGGAGCTGCTGTTGATCTTCTTCGTAGTAAATGTACTTGAGCTTGGGCGACATGCCGAATTTCGTCACCATGGCGGTGGCCATGCGCGTGACCTTGTTGAAATCATCGCTGGCGCCGCTGGTCACGGTGTCAAAATGCAACTCTTCGCTGACTCGGCCTCCCAGGGTCATGGCCATGCGATCCATCATCTGATTAACGTTCATCAGGTAGGTGTCACCGCCGGCTGGCAAGTACTGGGCGTAACCCAGAGCTCCTTGGCCTCGAGGAATGATCGAAACCTTTAGCAGGGGGTCAGCCCAGCGGAAGTACCAGCCACAGATGGCGTGTCCGGCCTCATGATAAGCGACGGTCTTCTTCTCCTCGGGCGAAAGCACAAGTGACTTCTTCTCCAAGCCTCCGACGACACGCTCGATGGCCTGTTCGAAATGCTTCATGGTGACCGAATCCGCGTTCTCGCGGGCCGCTGATACGGAAATTAGCATAAAGACTTTTGATCAACGCGAAGGAAAGTAAAGGACAACTTACCAACTAGAGCTGCCTCATTGACACAGTTGGCAATGTCAGCACCTGCAAAGCCGGGAGTCAGAGCAGCGAGTCTGCCTGTCAGGTAATCCATATCTTCCTTAGTGACGATCTTCTTCAGGTGTACGCGGAAGATCTGCTTGCGACCATCCATCGTCGGTCTGTCGATAGCGATGTGCCGGTCGAATCGTCCAGGTCGCATCAGAGCCTTGTCAAGGACGTCGGGTCTGTTGGTACCAGCAAGGACGACAACTTGTTCCGAGGTGTTGAATCCATCCATCTCAGTAAGAATCTGGTTCAGTGTGCTCTCCCGCTCATCGTTACCGCCGCCGAAGCTCTGCTTGGCTCTGGATTTACCAATGGCATCGATTTCATCAATAAAAATGATACAAGGCGCGTTCTTCCGAGCATTGGCGAACAAATCACGGACACGGGAGGGACCGACACCGACGAACATCTCTACGAATTCGGAACCACTGACGCTGAAGAAAGGCACGCCAGATTCACCAGCGGTGGCCTTTGCGAGCAACGTCTTACCCGTACCGGGAGGTCCCGAAAGAATAGCACCGCGAGGAATTTTGGCACCGAGCTTCTGGAACTTCTCAGGATGCTTGAGGAAACTGACAAACTCCATAATTTCGACCTTTGCCTCGTCCATACCCGCTACATCGGAGAATTTGATCTTGATGTCCGTCTCATGGTTGAAGCGCTTAGCCCGACTTTTGCCGATTCCGAAAATTCCACTCTGGCCACCTGCACCGCCGGCGGCACGTTTCGACAGCCAGAAGAAGGAACCGATCAGGAGAAGGGTAGGACCGAAGGACAAGATCGTGTTAGCCCAATGTACTTCATTAACGTAAGCAACGGGGATCCGCTCGGCACTGGGGATTCCCAGCTCATGCTGGGCTTCATCCAGCTTGCGCTCAAAGCTATCCACAGACCCAATGCTGAAGTAGTAGTGGAAAGTGGGCTGGTTGGCTGGTGAGTCGGGGTATACCCGTGCCAAAGCGTCACGATGCAATTCCACGCGGACCTGGTTGTTGTTGATGACAGTCAGCTTCTCCACCAAGCCCTTGTCGAAGAAGTTCGCTCTGAACTCCTGCCATGTGATCTCCTTGCTATCTTCGCCGGGGAAGAAGCTGCGGTAGACGTAGTAGGTGATGAGGGAGGTGATGAGGAATGTGGCAGGATCGAACTTGAACTCGAGGACCTTAGCATTCGGCGGAATCTTGTCCCGGCCCTTTTGTTGTCCCTCTTGCTGCTTCTGCTGCTCACTCTGTGCGCCACCCTCCGACTTAGCCTTCTCCTTATTCCGGTCCTCCTCGATCTCGTTTAACTTCTGGGCGTATTCGGTCATGTGCTGCGACATATGCCGTGTTAATTTGACATAGTCCATCAAAGAAGCTGGCCGACCGGACTGGAGGTGCTTCTTGATGAAACTCCGCATTTCCGGCGGTAATCCTTCCCTCAGCAGCAGTGTCCGCATGTCATCCAGCATCTGATGTTGCGACGGTGGCACCTTATTCTTCAGGTGGTTGATAAAGACGTTGACCTGCTCCCGCTGCTCCTTACTCAACGGGGATTCGGCTTCCTTCGGCGTCTTTCCCTCCTCAGGCTTGCCACCATTGTTCTCAGGGCCCGGTGTTGCGTGGTTCTGGCCGTCCTTGTCGTTCGGTGGCTTCGGACCCCCGGGGCTCTGGGTAGCATAGGTTCTAGCGCGGTGTGCGGTGATCAACGATGATAGTCTCGACTGTGAGGCTCGCGCAGAGAGCGGACCTGCGCGATTGATGCATTCTGCAGCTCTCCTCGAATATCGAGCAAGATTGCCTGGCCGTCTGAGTAAGGTGGCCATGGTTCGAGGAAGATGAGCCCGGAGGCAGGATAAAAAGGTTTAACGAGAATCAGATCAGGAGCAAAAAATTACTCCCAAAGGCCATAGAGGCTCTAATTTGCGATAGGATACGAGAAGGAGGGGATATAGAATGTTAGGTTGGAGGTCCTTGGGGGTAGCTGTTCGCCGCCAGCTATTGACGCCTTTCCGTCGGCCTGGGATTTTTCGTCGTTCCGCTGGTTGCGCTGACTCATCATACTCGGCGAGAGGACATCATCATCGAGAATCGCAACGAATGTAATGGACAGACTGTCTGCTTTGGGGTTTGCAGTGCAATTCTACGAAGAGGGACATAAGAGCATTAGCCCTTGGAATCAGAAAAATATGTTCGTCCAGATCATATTGTATAAGGAAAACTACATCGTGTATGGACATCAAACAGTAGAACCCATGCCTCCATATGCTTTTCGCAAATCTTTTGTACACAAGTCATCACGCAAAACAAGATGAAAAATATTCAGGAAATAGAAAAGTAAGCAAGTGGAGAAGCCCGTGAGTTTCCCTCAGTCCCATAAACACCATTTATCCCAGGCCAAAAAGAACAAATAATGTGCACTGTTTCATCAGAGCCCGCACAGAGCAAGCTCGGCTTGACTCCGTTAACTCCGGTGGACGGTCTACCAAGCCCTAGCAGATTGGCTTACGGCAACCGCCTCCAATTTGTACATCTGTAAATTTCCATTTGTTTGTACCATCACGTTCCACCTTGCGGTGGGCCGTTGGGATCGAATACCGGAAAGTTCGTCGACATGTCTGCCCAGTCCCATTCAATTGTCATCGGCATCTGCCACAAATCTTGCGGAACGAAGGGCTGCTGAAAAGAAGATAATGGAGTATTTTCAGTAGTCGTGAACGGTTGTTGGTCAACGAAATTGACACTTTCCAGAGGGTTGGGACTCAGCATGTCCGGGAAATCCTGTCCAAGCCCAGGCATGGCCTGTATTCCACCTTGCATACTGGTCGGGATGCCAGTGGTCGCAGAAACCCCTGTGTTGGGGGCAAACGCTCTTGTGGCACTAGCCATACCATGTGAGCCAGATTCAGCCAGGTTTTCAGCAAACAGAGGTGACGAGATTGGAACTATCCTTGGAGCTGCCCCAGTCGGCTGCGATCTCGTTGAGGGTGAATGAGCAGGATTCTCTTCAGGGGTATTCTGCTGTAAATCAACAGAGTCGTCGGGAGATTTGCGTTTCTTTTTGGAATGCGACTCCTTCTCGGCTTTGTCAAGAACCACTTTGGCGATTCTCTCAAATTCGCCACATAGTCCAAGCATACGCTTAATACTACCGTTGGACTCGTCGGAAACCAGAGTTGACAGAAAATTGACAACAACATTCATCAATTTGACATCCGATCGAGCGCGGGCATCACTGGGGTTTTGAAGGATGTTGGCAAATAGCGTGACAAGAGCTGAAACAGGGTAATATAGAATCAACCTAACCTTTTGTTAGCATGAAGGTTCGTGGATTGTACCTTGGGTAGAAGAGCACCTACCAGACGCAAGCAAAATCACCTTGTGGGATATACTTGATCAAATTTATGGATGCCCTGGCAGCAGTCACGCAGAGCACCGCAGATAAGAACACCCGGGGATTCAGGGGCCTGGCATTCAGACCTTGTATAGCATAGTTGGACAGACGACTTGTCCAGTATCCGTGATGCACAGACATGCGGTGGATGGTCGTTAGGCAGTTATAGTAGGCGAAATGAAGTACGACAACGTGAAGGATAAGAGGAGTATGTGTAGCCTTGATTTCATGCTCTGGCCGAAAATCTAAAGGTATGCTGTCTTTCCACTCTTCGAGCTCTTTATCGAGGTCACCAATAGTATTGAGGAGCTCGCCATCGGATTGCTTTGATGCTTTCGCAGAGTAGAGTCGTTTATATACTTTGCTCTCGATGGTAGCAAATCGGCACATTGATCGGAACAGGTTGAACTTGCTTCTGCCATCGGATAATGGCACATTGCCGATGTTATCAGGTGGATCGTCGCTGGGCAATTCAACATTCATATCATCATCGTCTTGAACGGGCGGGCGACCGGAGCGCAAACAAATACTATCAGGCTGATTAGCGCAAGATAATAAAGCCAGCAATTGACCAATTTGACTCACTCTTTGTCCAGCAGATAGGCGATCCAGAAGACTCGCTTCCGTTGCTCCACCTCTACTGGGTTCAGACCAAAGCCGGATCCCCTCTTATGAAGACCGATGCTGTGAGAGAGCCTGATAGCCGCTGCAACCAGGAAAAAAGAGGGCTGAGGGTTGGGTGTTCCCTGCAGAAAAAGGGACTAAATGATCGTTCAGCCACCAGGTCTTCTACAAGTGTTTCATTCTGTTCCTGGACTCACCATTCCTAACAAGGCTTGGACACTAAGAAGATCAGTGTTCCGCATCGTGAGTTCAGTCAAAACTCCCATAGCATTTTTCAAATATAACCAAGCCTTTCTGTCTTCTTCCTGCGGTACCAGGTTGCTCATGACTCGTAAGCGGTGGGCAATAGCCAGCACCACATTGATACTGGCCCACCAGCCAGATCCTTCGTATGGATCTCGGGAATATTGCCGCTCAACAAGATGCATGAAGGTCGGCTCATGGTAAAGCGGAAACATACAGTTGAAATTGTCAAAGAAGTCTTTGAATAGCGACATGGCTTCCTCCTTAGGCGGCAGGGGTTTGAAAACGCGGCGAGCGAAGATGTCGCTGAAAATCTCTGGTTTCCAGTACATCCATTTGTTATCATCTACGTAGGCCGATGAGATCATATCCTGAAACGAAGTGTCCCCGGTTTTCTCGTTGACCCATTGAATGCCTTTCGGCGAGAAAATCGAAAACCCGGAGGACGAACCTGCCAATAATCGTCAGATATCTTCCCTGCACCCAAATTCGGAATCCATACCAATATATCGAGTCTCCCCGCAGTTGTTCGTCACAAGGGAGCACATCATGTCTGAAAGACCCTCAACCTCCGTCTCGGATCCCTTTTGCGAGTCGGGAGACGTTGGAGCCGTCCGAGGACTTGAGTGAGATTCCACCCGAGGAGTCGAATAACGGGACGAACTATTTTGCTGTGAGGGAGCGGGCTGATTTGGGATGCCGATCTTTGGCGGATTATTTAACCCGTTGGTATGATATCGATCAGCAAGACGCTTCTCCAGCGTTCCAAGATCTGTTTTCCCTCCATCATCCTCGGACAGCAGTCCAGATAGGCGCAGTAACGATTCCATCCTCCCTAGCCGATTCTCCAGACCTTCAATATACTTCGCCCTATTTTCCACGATCAGATCAACGTTGTGGACTGTGAAAGTGAAGGGAAGCATACCCTTTGGGAGGATTCCGCTTTTTCTCGACCTGGGTAAACACACAGTCCGTCTTGTAATTTGTACAGTGCGAGCATTTGGGCATCTTGCCGTCGCATTTGATTTTCTTCTTCCGGCACATGTCGCATGCCTATCCACAGACGAACGCATCAGCCCAGAGATCCTTGAGGTGTCAACGCATGGAGCTTCCGCCACTCACCCTCGCAATTCTCCTTCTTTTGGCATCATTGCTGTCATCAGCTCCTCCCATCGATGACTCGTCGGGGAAGGCGGTATTGGAGAAGACGGGGGCGACCGGCGAGCCATCATGCCCATAACTTCCGAATATATGAGGTTGTTGGTTCATCAGCATGGGCATGTCGAAGCCCATTCCGTCGGACCCGTCCCCGATACCATCCATTGTGGTGACCAATCAGTCCGAAGCGGTCTGTAGTCGGACGTGTAACTCCAATGGCCGAGTGGAGTATCACCGGTTTTTGTCTTGACTTTGAGCGTTTTTGACAATGCGGGGTTGGAACACAGCGAGGAAGATCACGTTCCTATGCGTTCGAGTTCGGATCGTAGGCGAAAGGAGCGATGATGGAAGGCCGATAAAGATTGCATCTAGCGACGGAATAGCTAGAAGATGAGGCCAAATCCGAAAGCACTGAACCCCGATGGTCCAAGGAGTTTGGGCTTACTCAAATCTTTGTCCCCGAGGCAGGCACGTGGCGAACCCAATGGTTTTCTCCAGATCAAAAAGTGACGCTTGGGAGAGGAGAGAATGATCGCTTCTTGGGTAGACAGCAGCTGATTGCTTCTTCGGTATTGAATAAGGAGTGTGAGGAGTGAGCGTTGTAGAGCTCAGCAGTCTAGATTGGAAAAGATGCCCCAAGAAGTAGAGTGAGGAATCATAGTTCGGGATCAGTTCGATACAGTTTACGTAGGAAACGGTGCTGCCTTTGGGTGGACCAAGACACTAGGGGGAGCACCTTAACCACAGCTAAATCTTACAGGCTGATAGGGGTCTCTTTGTGAATTAAGAGATTCCTTTTGTTTCTGCCATCAAATGTGTGCCTCTTAATCTTCACTAACAGCATCCAAGAGTCATACTTTGTTAGAATCTAGCTAGTGAACCACTCTAAAACAATTCTCCCAGTCATCTGTGACTAACCACAACAGCCAACGGAACTCGTTAACTCCGAAAGCCGAAAGCCGACGGAACATGGGACCATGTCCGTACCACCTGAGGCAGTCAGGCAGTGACAGTCTCATTCCCTTTTTTTTGCTGACATAATGATGGACTGAGTAGGGAGCGCTTTGGGATCCGGAGGGCTTTTTTTACCTATTGGTAATGTTATGGGAGCCCGGACTTGCATTCATTCATTTACCACAGGAGTACCTATAGATACATATTATGACTACGGTCAACAGCTCAACGAACAACAGTCTACCCAAGTACTCCGTACATACTCTTATCGGAACAAGTTTATCCATATTCCGTGCTGACTCTCCAGCGTATTCGTAAATCGTATAGATAGTCCTATCCCTTGGTTTCTGGATCCTTCTTGGCGCCGTATGCCATTTGCTATGTTGGATGCAACCCAAGTCATCTTCACTGTCAATGATCGACACTACGAAGAATTCGACTGTCTCTTGATTCCTCTCCATTCCATCTACAGGGTATGACGCTGCCCACAGCAAACAGAGATATTGATATCAATTCAAGTCTATGAGATACAAGTACATTGCGATACAAAAGCACTCTTGTGATGAAAGTCGCAGTTAGAAACACAAGAATAAACAAACATCAAGAGCGGCGATCTTGTCAGGATATATATATGATGAATGTACACGTCTCCAAAGAGGAGCATGACGGGCTATGTGATAATACCCCATCCTCAAAATCGAACCTAACGCCACGCTATGCACCCAAAGAAAACGGTCTTTTATACAGAGGACGAAACCATTCCAAAAAGAATGAAATGACCCGTATCAATCTTCCCTAGCTCATCAACATTCGTCCGTTTGTATGGGTATGGTCGAGGATAAGTGCTAGACATGCAGTGACATCTCGTCAGGTATGTTTGTCCAGAAATTCCTTGGCTTCGTTGATCTTGGTTGCGAGATACGGGCTTCCACCACGATCCGGGTGGTTCAGCAGCATGAGCTGACGGTGCTTCTTGCGGACCTTGTCCTTGTTCAGGGTCCGTTCACTGAGTCTGTTAGCCGAGTCGGACGATGGAAGATGCAGGTCGATGCACATACGGAAGTTCCAGGATCAATGCTGCTTCGCGGCGGGTCATGCGAGGTTCAAATCCTCTAGGCAATGGTTAGCGAACTGGGTACATGAATTATGACATGAGGATGATTCAAGCGTGAGACAAACCCTTTGTAAAACGCCTTTCCCATAGCGTTCATGCCACCCTGATAGCGACGAAGGGCAACATAGCCAGCGCGACCCTAGTGACCGGAAGGCGAACGGTTAGCCGGCTAACTATCGCAAAATAATGTCCGGAATTTCTTTCTTACCAAAAAGGCCGCCGTGGCGACACCAAGGCCAACAGCGAGAGTCGAAGCCATGATAAAGTAGAAAGCAAGATTGGGAGTACAGGAGACAACGCAAGTGGGATCATAGTCCTGACGTTGGAGGAATTCGGTCCAGCGTCGAGATAAAAATCGGAGCGGCGCCGCGATGCCCCTTTAGGTTTAGCGCCACCTCCTCCACGCATCGGAGCTTTGCAAAAGTTTCAACGGATTTTCGAGCCGCCTTCGATAACAACTTTTTTTTCGCAAGAACCTCCATCCCCAGAACGTCAAAATGAGAGTCGAGACCTGCCATTTTTGCTCTCGGTAGGAACTACTCATGCGAACCTATTCTGTATTCACTACTGACTCGCTCAACAGGCCCGTATACCCGAGCAAGGGTATTACATTCGTCCGCAACGATGCCAAATCTTTCCGATTCTGTCAGTCCTAAAATAAACGCTGCTGCTACGATACGATAAGAGATTCTAACATGAGACCAGGTCGGAGCAAGTGCCATGCGAACTTCAAGATGAAGCGTCAACCCCGAAAGCTGAAGTGGACCAAGACTCACCGTGCCGCCCACGGAAAGGAGATGATTGTTGACTCGTCCCTCGTCCTGTCCCAGTTCGCCAAGAAGAGAAACAACCCCGTCAAGTACGACAGGAACCTGGTTGCCGCTACCATCAAGGCCATGGAGAGAGTCGAGGAAATCAGAGCGCGCCGAGAACAGGCCTTCACAAAGCGCAGACTGGGCGGCAAACTGGCTCGCGAGCGCAAGCGCGAGGAGGACCGCAAGGTCGTTGCGGAGGGCGAGCATCTTATTCGCAAGGAACTGCGGGAGAGAGAGGAAGGTGTGCCTCTGGATGTGTCCAAGATCTCCAGCAGAGTGGTTGGCGAGGAGAAGATCAGACAGAAGCAGAAGGCAAAGATGTTGGTGGATGGAGGTATCGAGGAGGAGATGGACATCGATTAGAGGGTGTTCCTTCGCTGCTTTGTTTCCTTGCTTTTCTCTTTCTTTCAGACATGATATCTTGGGTTTACATGATGGAGTTAGGTTGCTTTCTACGTCTCGACTGTTTCCTATCACAAAAGCATCTTCTGGGGATCCTATGACGAGCATTTGGCCTATGTCTGCCCATTTTCAATATTATTGGTGTCCATATATGGCTTCACTTTCGCCTCAATCCAGTAATTTGACGCTATTTTCTTGTTGGTTTCTGTTTTTAGCCTGGCCTGTGAGGCATTTACACCAGTCGCACCAGCTCACTAATGCCAGCCCCCTCGACACCATTCACAGTCGAGTCCACTGTCACCAGTGAATGAGAACTACCTCTCGGCAGCATTCACTGCAGAAGCCACTGTTGTCAGTGAATGACAGCTTCGACTCGACGCACTGTCAGGTACTTCTGAATTATTTCTACCATTGCTCCCCTTTCTCCCCATCTCTTTCTCTCTCTCTCTTCTTTTTCCCCCCTCATAAACACATCCAACTGCGCTCACCTCGTTATCAACAAGCTCCAATATCTACAATAAATAAAACTGCTGTATCAAAGTATCCATTCAGCTCGTTTCTTCCCCTCCTCTCATCTCCCCTGAGATAACCTTGAATGCGTTGGTAGCTAACCCGTTGTTGGACACTAGAAGATGCTTTTCCCATTCGTCGGAGGGTTTATCTTCCTTGCTCTCTGGGGATCATTCTTCCATGTGCCTGGAAACAATGATCCTCACGGGAGGTTCGTGAGGTCCATATCCGACGCCGTGCATGCAACAGCTATGGCGAAGGGAATCCACGGCCTGGCAGAGGTTATATCCTTTGTATGCACTGCCCCTCGGCACAAGGATAGCGTGCACGTCCGCTCGACTGGTTTCTCAAGTCCTGCAGACCGCGTAGATTTCCCGAACGTCACCGATACATGGAAGCCGACAATCAGCGTGGTTATCCCTCTGTGGGAGGAGGCCGGCGTGTTGCGCATCTACGTGGACTCCCGTCCCGTGGATCGCGACGCAGAGGCATCAGAATCGCCCGAGTCGTCTCTTCTTGTTCGCTTGGCTTTTGAATGGGGTCTTTTGGCTTTCATTGTGCTCCTTGGAAAGGGGTTCGTCTCTTTGGTTGCTTTCGCACTGGGAGAACTTGGTAAGCTTGGCCGATTCCTCGAGGGTACACCCAAGGTAGGCCTCTACCTTGCGGCCGACAGTGCCCCATCTCTATACGAGGAGGTGGACGCTCTGGTCGAAGGAAATGTGCTCTCGCAGGCTGTCGCGTCCGGTGCTGCTGATCGTTCTCTCACCTTGTTCGGCACTTTGACTCCACTGGAGGTGCAACAGGTGTTGAATATCGTGTATATCCTCCCTCAGGTGGAGCAAGCGATCTCTCGTCTGGAGCGCCAGCGGCTTGTTACTGTGTTCTCGAATTTGGGATTCCGCACCGTCCAAGAGCCGATAGTCAATCCCAACGGCATCGTCGATGGCCTCATGGACACCGCCCAAGGCACGCCCGATGTACTCGATTCGTCTGCTCCCCACTTGCCGCGGAAGTGGGCCCTCGTGGTCCGCCGCCCGGAGAACCTGTCGCCACTTATGGTGTTCCAACTTGTGTGTGCCTTGCTCGCCGGTTGGGAGCGTCATACCGCGTCCGCGGTCCCTGACGCTGCAGGTTTGCAGGTGGCCGAAGAGCCAGAGAACGACGCAGACGGTGCACCTACCTCTGGCAGTCGGAGACGCAAGCGACCCAGCCAGGCCAAGAGAAAGCGCTACGCAAGGAGACTCAAGGAACGGGAAGAAGGTCTGAACGGGGCGGCGGAAGCTTTAGCAGAAGCTGCGCCCTCCCCGTCAGCTCGTCCGACCACCCGTGAACCTCCAGCGCCAACTCGAAGCCAGGGGCCCCGATCTGGAGGCAACAGGGTTTCGTCTCAGGACGCGAGGCATGGGCAATATGGCGGCCCTCATCCGGCTCCCGCGCCTGTTATGGGTGCATATCCGTCGCCGTATGGCTGGCAGCCCATGTACAGACATCCGACTCCTCACTACTATCCCGGCCAGTACTAGCCTGCCTAGTACTCGTGTCGGCTTGGCGCTGTGGATTGTTGACTGGGACCAAGATGTGTGCCTGTCGCCGCCCTCCCCTCTTTCTTTTGTGGACCAGTTATTCTTTCGAAAGCTCTGTGTGGAAGCTGAAGAAGACGCGGTCGGTTGATTGGGCTAGGTCTTCGGACTGGTCCTCCCTGCTGTTGTTCCTTTGGTCTGAAACGTAGTTGTTTCCGAGGCATGCTGGTCCGGCTACTCTTGTGTCGTCACGACATCTCGCACGCTGGGTTACGATAGTACAAGGAGGGACATGGTGTTGGGGTTAATGCGTCTGACGGTGGTGTCTGGGATGAGTGGCGGTATGGCACATAAAACGTGGTTACCAAGTGAGTTCTTCACCGTTTCTGAGTCTCTGATTTGGCTTTCAGCTGATATACATGAAGTACTGTTCTTTCGGGCAGTAAATACTTGTCTTTTCTGACTTCCCCTCTCTCATCTGGGGATGAATGTCTATTTATTTTTCCCTTCTTAAGAAAAGCATGCTCGTTTTGTCGATTCTCAAGACGATGCCAGGCGATACCACGTTTACCTCTCGATCGAACACTGTTGGCAGCAGTCCATGCAAGCATTACCAGCGGTCATCTCCTCTCAATTTTCATAACATGCTTCTGCCCTTGTGACCGCACCCTACGATACTGGAATTGTACGACTTCATCTCAAGTGTGTGAGCGGCGTAAAAAACTCAGTTCTACACCAGCAGACATGACATTCTCAAGGGCTATGTCATAGCCCTCCTCCATCCAAGCCTGCACCGTGTGTGGTTCTCCTGCCTGTCTCTCTCAGAACAACCAACCTCCTCTCTAATGCGACTACCAACGCATCTGCAATCTGCATATACCTTGATGTCAACGAAGAACCGTGGACCACACAATCAATACCTTCAACCAATCTCATCTTCATCAGTCGACGTGCCTGTCTGTCGGGGCGCGCCTCATCGCTGCCCATGAAAACGATTCACTTCCATGCAAGATACAGGACACATTCCGAACAAACCTTTTTTTCTTCATTTCTTCTTCTTTTTTTTCTGTCGAAACAAACAAAAGCACAGGGTACATCTCCAACATTCCGCCGGCAACATCCGAAGAAGCAATCTAACCTCGTATAGATCATGTCATGTCTATGCTCAAATCTCGCTTCCAGCGAACACATCTCCACAATCAAAGAAACAAAAATACACAAAATCTCATCTTCACCTTGAAGAAGAAATCGTGCGTGCCACTCGCATCTCCCCAAAATCCAAGCTGACGACCTCTCACTCAGATCACATTGCTTGTCGAGACGACTCTTGACGTTTCCACCACACCGCGAAAATCCGATGGCTCGATGACACATCAGCATTGCACACCTACGAGACGAAGAGATGGCGCAGGCTAGTTCTGCTGGATTGGGACACCTCATACATCATTGTTTCTTTTAGCGGTTTCCATATGACCATGGTCGATTTACGGGTCTACGATTCGCGATAACGGGGACGGTCTGTATTGGTGTATGTATGCGTGGGTTATTGGTTTTTGGGGAAGAGGGATCTTTTTTTTGTCGTTTGTACATATATTAATGACGTGGTTTACTACGGTCTTTGGGTGTCAGAGTCGGCGGATCGGGTGGCCGTGCTGCTTCATGTCAGTAAGTATTCAGGAAATAAAAAGCGCGTTGCTACAACGTTGGCTGCTGGTCCAATCCGGAAAGCAGGGAGTCGAATGTCAAGAAGTACACGTGTGTACGTTACTTCACGGCGCATGCCTTAAATTTGTATGAGAAATCGTCATATTGACAATCCACTGGAGGGATTTGTATACATGTGAGGGAAAAGGAAATAGTGAGCAGTCATACACATATGCGGATGAGGTAAGTCCTGCTGTATATGTGGAAGAGGAAAGCTGACGCAGAAGGTCCGCATCGCAATGAGGCCAATGATACATGAGATGAACTGTACCAACACAAGAACAAAGAAAAGGTATAATGAGGGAGGGATATAAAAATGATAGAAAAAGAAAAGTGAAAGTAGACCAAGACAGACGTCTCCATGCGATGTAGCTGAACAGATCACTGAAATTCATCATGCATCTCAAGAAGCTCAGGTTGTACAGGAGGTACAGTTCCTGACGGGTGTCCTACACACGCAAAAGGGGATGCTAAATTCCAAAACAAACAAAAAAAAGCTTAGCAACAATAGCTGGTGAAGCCCACACAATGCTCGTACATGATCGTAAAAATGATTACAGCCGAATACAGCTGTTGAATCAACCCAAATTTGGGATAAGAGTGGTTGAGTATGAGGACAGAAGAGAGGCAAGAGCCACTCTACTCTTCCATACGACCAAAGACGCCATCGTCATCATCATCTGCGTGAGCGGGGCGGTTGCTAAAGTCGACATCCGCGTTGCGGGTTTGTCGTTGTACGCGATCCGCATCCCCCATCCGCACCTCGCGCTCGTCCGAAACCTTGTACGAGAGAGAGGGATTGAAGGACACGGAGAGGAAAAGGTTAGGCGTAGAATTGGCGAGAGACGAGGCCATCTTGCCATCACCGGATTGGTTTAGACTTTGGCTGGTGCTGCCGGCACCGTTGCTCTGGTCGAGGTAACGAGTCGGGAGTGGAGGTACTGGTGGGATGCTTGGGGACATCGGTACAGGTCCTGTACGTGGCGTGCCAAAATTGCACAGGCCGATAGCAGCGGCCAAATCCGCCTCGTCATCTTCGTGCAACTTGGCTTCGGCGGTCGATGGTCGGGTGTCGATGCTGGAGTGACGGAAGTGAGAGAAGGCAGGCGAGTGCAAGGGAGCGCTGTCGTTGTAGGAGCTCGAGGGAATGGACTGGTAAGAGTGTGAAAAGGGACCCGATGCGTTGCCGACACTGAACCTCTTGCTCGGGAATGCAGGCATGCCGGACATTTCCATGTCATCGTCTTCGTCGTCGTCGTCCTCATCCATCGGGGGAGGGGTCGTCTCCGCCGAACTGAGGCCGTCACGGAGTTCAGATGACGCATCGGGAGATGCAGAGGACGCCTCCGAGTCGGCCTCGGGAATGTCTGAAGGGCCGATAAGATTCATGTTCACCAGAACGGTAGCTGCCTCCAACAGCTGAACTTGCTGGTGTTTGGAGATCAGGAGTTTCGAGGTAATGGCCCACGCCGGATCATGTTCCCACCTAGTGTCCCACAAACGTCAACCAATTGAGGCCACCAGGGAAAAAAAAGATGAAGGGAGGGGGGAAAGGTGGGGAAAGAGTAGATGGCAAAGAGCTACATGAACCACGAGGGCGACCCCAACAGAGCCAACATGGCGCATCGCTCCGGTTTCGACGAGTCGGCAAGTAGTGGCATTTTTGGAGGGGAGTATACACACATATGCTTGGACAAGCAGCTGCCATGCTTATACCCTTTCCCACAGCGCTCGCAGCGAAGCTCGGCCAGAGTACGCTTCCCTTCACCCTTAACCAGGTGTGACCCTTCGCTGGCCCGACGATTTCGACTCTTGGTGCCAAGGGGTTTGCTATCCGAGCTACTTTCGTCCTCGCCGGTGGTGGTGGTGGTGGTGGCGGCCGCCGTCGCAGCGGCAGGGTTGGAGTTGGAGTGAGTAGGGGAGGCCTTGCGAGCGACCGGTGGTTCTTGGCTCGGGCTGTTCATGCTCCGCGAGAGATAGTGGCCGAAGCCGGAGAGGGCGCCGACCGAGCTGGACTCTAAGCCCCTCCTAGCGCTGCCCCGACGGTGAGAAGTCACCGGCATCCCAATCGGTTCCCCGTTAGTATCCTTTAAGGAGGCGGCCACGGCGACGGCGGCAGCGTTCGCGGCGGCGGCGGTGGTGACACTCTTTCGACGAGTCACCCGGTGATTCGAATTGACCGCTCCGAGAGAAATGGAATGAGAGTGCGAGTGGTGACGAGGGTTGGTTTGAGGGAGAGGTCGCGAGAGAGATAATTCCTGAGAGGGAGGAAAAGAGCTCATCCGTTAGCATGGCTACTCGGGCACGATTTACAAGCAATACTAAAATAAGGAGAGAGGGATAAATGGAGATACCTTGAACGAAGCCATGGTGTCTGCCTACGTGGACTCTCTCAAACTTTCGATCGCTGGAGAGCCCCGTAAAGATAACCCGGTAGACAAGGCAGCCCTTTTCTTGTATTTTCAGAACTTCTTGTTTCTGTTGAATGGATGATGGCCTCCCAAAGAGAGAAGAAAAAAAAAAAAAAAGGTGGTGAGATGGTGGTGTGGTTGGTTTGGTTGGTCAGAGCGGTAATCAGAGGAGCAAGTCACCTAAAGGGTTCACAGGGGAAACTTGATTGGGGAAAGTCAACTGACGGGATAAGAAGAGGTAATTGAGGTGGAAGAAAGAGAGAGTGGGCGAGAGAGGGAGGGAGAGAAGGATTGCGGGTATATCCAATGCAATCAGGGAGGAAGAGGAATCCAGAAGGGGAGAATGAAGAGGAGAGCTAGAAGGAAGATTGATAGAGAAGAGGAAGAGGAAGAGGAAGAGGAAGAGGAGAGAGAGGAAGAAAGGAAGAAAGAAAGAAAGAAAGAAAAGAAGCTGAAAGAGAGCAGCAGCAGTAGGAAGAGGAGGAGGAAGTTCAGGTACCTTGGATAGTAGTAGTTAGTTAGCTAGTAGGACTGTAGGAGGAGTAAGTAATCCACCAAACTGCAACTAATTAAGAAGTTCCCTGACTAGGTCTTATTATTATGAGCGATATACTCGTTACAACTGACTTCTTACAAGGAGACTTTCGGGCCCAATTACTCGGAATTAAAACCTATAATAATCCCCTTCTACGGTCTACCTCCTACTAGATAGATATTATTATGAACTGATGACTGACTACTCAATGCTCATCATTGATAATTCATAAGATCTTTGCGGGGGGGGGCTTTCTTTTTTTTCTTTTTTTTTTTTTTTTTTTGGCTCCAGCGGGCATTTCACTAGTAGTCAAGAGGCGATGCGGGGGTTCTGGTCTGGACACTGAACATTGTACAGACTAGGTAGTAGGCTATTATTATTATTATTAAGTGTATTTTATTAGTAAAGTCGCCATTGTTTAAGACTGCTATTTAGAGAATCACTTATATTATATCGGACAATAGATCTTCAGTCTTTGACCTTTCAGGGTGAAAGGATAAAAGTTCCCTGGCTGAAGAAAGAAAAATAAAATGAAAAGAAAATAAAAAAGTTTCTATCAACTTGATTTGATGTATTCTGGTGAAATGTTCCTGACTAACAGACAGCTAAAGATGGTCAACAAGAAAAAAAAAAAAAAAAAAAAACAGGGGGAGAAACAGCAGACAGCAAGAAATCACAAAGAATGGTGATGTTATTCTGGCTCCACTCCGCATCTGGAATCCAATTTAGATGGAGTTATCTATAGGGAAGCATAAACTGCAACAAGTTATAGCGCTGGAGTGATTATAGTATCAGGATTCTTGTCCCATGGCCTTTGCATCATCAAATCAGAAGAACAGTTTTATATAAGCATACCTAAGGTAGCTCTTTGAAGCATTTCTAATAGATCTACCAAAAGAAAAAAAGTCACTGGACTCCCTGATCCCAACTGAATAATAATAATAATCATCATGGCAAGATCAGCTGCCCTGTCATCCGCACGGGCTCTTAGACTACGAGGCCCACCCAGGAGAGGGCTGATCACATCATTAGGCGTAACTTTGGCAAGTATTACCGCGGAGTACCGACAACTAAGGCCAGGGAAACTCAGGTCGAAGGTACTTATGCTGAAGTACCTTTACCTGAATAAATTACTTGCGTTCATCATCTACAGCCTAGGTACAGGCTACAGAGTACAGTAAGATACTCAACAGCTCCACCCAGTTGGGCAATCTCACCAGTGCCCCGTAATAGAAATCCCCCAGCCTATCATTTGTATCGGATACTGTCCCACTGACCAAGTCCTGCAAATAATACCAGCGTAATGACCAGGTAATCCCTCCTCCATCGACCGATCTAAGTAGGGCCTATCCGAGAGGACACGGATGATGTCATTCATGCCTTCCCAAGTTACCATACGAGTTACGACACCTGGTACTCCATCGGTATCCACCTTACCCCGTGTCGGCGTGCTCCTACCGACTGTAAGGTAGGACTTTAGGTAACTGAGGTAGGTAGGGTCGGACTGGAAAGCCATCGGCCACGTACTCAAGGAATGGAATACCTACGGAGTAGTACCTACCAGGCTGACTTTACCCCTAAGAAAGTACCTAGTACCTACTACAGTACGGTATCTCTGTGTCAGGGAGGTAATCAGGACACGTATCAATGAATCATTACACACGAAATTACCTACCCTTGCTTATCAAAGTCATTATGACTGTCCTTACTTCTCAAATCCACTTCAAACTCCTACACAGTACAACGGAGGAACTTGATTCAACCCTTTCAGCTATCGCCGGATATGATATGATATGGTATGAGTTTATCGGACCACAAATTGCAGACAAATAATAATGAGCAAATCGCGAGTTGCATCTCAGCGGAGTATCCTGTTCTACTCCCCTGACACAGTGCCTTTCATCTGTCTTATCTCATGAGAGTATGATCCCAAGGACTATACATATTCATCGCTGAGACACCCTTTGAAACAATATCCTCCTATTTTTAAGTCGCATCAATTGCTCAGACTTTGCCATCTGCTCTTGTCTAATTCTATGTCCTGATGCTCATGCTCGTGGTGTTGACAGTTTGACAGTTTGACAGTTGGTAGTTGACATTTTGACAGTTGATGCGCTATCTCCCTAAAACAAACAATGCAAATATCATTATCCACTTTTTGTTTCGCAAAGAAGAACAAAATGTTTCAACAGCATCAGTCTGGACAATCACTAACCCCCACCTACTAATATTACCAGTGACGAGCTCTGTATAGATAGATGTACTCTTTGCATTTCTCTCTGAGAGCTTTTTTGTGACATTCCCGCCACAATGCTGCATTCGCGGCTTCGACCCCTCCCCCGCCGCCACGCACCCCTCCATCAGTCATCCTCTCCATCTTCTACCGCACCTGCGCCCGACTTCCAAGATCAGGATGATCTCGAAGTAGAAGAATCGCCCGAGGATATCTTCACGGCCTTTCTTCCGCATCTTTTTCCCGATGATGCGCCGTCGTTCCACGGCGACCCCGGTCAACACCTGCTCTACTCGTCACCCCGCTATGGCAACCTCGATATCATGGTTCCCTCATACCCTAGCCAGAGTGAAAAGCGAACAGAGGAGATAGCGGCGGGACTACCGCAAGATGGCAAAGTCAATCAGGTTGAAGAGGGAAGGAAGCTCTTTGCCCACTTTCTCTGGAGTGCTGCTATGGTGGTTGCGGAGGGGGTGGAGAACGCAGATACCTCTTCAGTAGATTCTGACACAGCAATGTGGCAGGTCAAGGGGGAGAGTGTCCTAGAGCTTGGTGCAGGTGAGTTCTCCAAGAACAGCGGAGCAATTCTTTCCTCTTGTTTGGTTGACCCAACTCACTCATGTCTTTCACAGGCGCCGGACTCCCCTCTCTCATTTCTGCGCTTGCCCAAGCCTCGCGAGTCACAGTGACTGATCACCCTGCGTCTCCGGCCTTTGCTGGTGCACTCCGATTCAACATGAGCCACAATATCCCCAAGACTATCTCGACTGACGTTTCCATCGAACCGCATGAATGGGGTGTCCTCGACGACCCCTTTGCTCTTCAGAACAAGGGAGCTTTCACCCGCATTATTGCTGCGGACTGCTACTGGATGCCATCGCAGCATGAGAATCTCGTACGGACCATGTTGTGGTTTCTGGCCCCCGGGGGTCGGGTCTGGGTTGTGGCCGGATTTCACACGGGTCGTACCATCGTGGCTGGGTTCTTCGAGACGGCGGTGAAGAATGGCTTGGAGATTGAACGAATCCACGAGCGTGACCTAAACTCGACGACAGAAGACGGGAAAGAAGTGCGGAGAGAATGGATGCCTGTGAGAGAGGGAGAGGCGCCGGAAAACCGAAAGAGGTGGTGTGTGGTTGCGTTACTGAAACGGGCTCAAGAAAACGAAACGTGAAACTACCAGGCCTTTTCTATCTTGCAATTGATGTGTCATGAATGATGTATATGATCATATAAAATCAAAGCGATCTAGCTAGGTATCCAAGCGCCCAAACCACACCACTACTCCTTAAGAGTCCACTCTCTGGAAACACACCGTGCAAACACCCTGGCCCTCTTGCCCCCCAAATCGGAACTTGGGGTATTCCACACGGCCCCAGACAACCAACCGATCTGCCGCAGCAGCAGCAGCAGCAGCAGCAGCGGAACCTTCCTCTCCCTCAGAACTCGTAAACCACCGAACCAGCTCCTCCTCCGTCCAATTGCAACTCGTCACCACCAGAAACCCACCCTTGCGCACCAGCTTGCGCGCAATCCCCGGATACCGCTCGCACACCCGCCGCTGCACCACCTTCCCCGCCGCCGTCGCCGTCACCGTCTCCCCCTCACCCTCACCCCCAGCCGCAGCCACAGTCTCCTCCGACAGCGACACCGCATCGAACGTCCCCTTGTCAAGCACGATATCGAACCCGCCAGCACCATACGGGAACCAGTCCACGCGGCGCTCCGCCAACCCCGCCTCCGCATTGAGGATATCCCACTCCTCGAACCGAATCGGGTTTTCCTCCGCCTTCTCACCTCCCCCAACGCCTTCCTCACATACTCCCTCAGCATCATGCTCATCCTCATCTTCCGACTCCGACCCACTCAAATAAGCAGAATGAATCCTCAACCGCTGCAACTCCCTCGCCAGCTCCACGCTGCGCGCCGAGTAATCCACGCCCACCATGACGCCCTTGAACCCGCCGCGCTTGCGCAGCAGCGCGAGCATGCTCCCGTTACCCGTGCCCAGGTCCAGGATACTCGGCTGGGCATCGGCCGCGGGGCGCGTGTTGCACGGCGCCAGCGGGAAGGCGTCGGAGGTGAGGAAGTCAAGGACTTTTGTGGGCGCGTTGTGCTCGGAGAACCAGGATGTGCCGGGGTCGTCATCGTCGTCGATGGAGTCTTCGGAGTCGGAATCGGGGTCGGAGGAGTCTGCGGTCCCTGTGGCTGTGGTTGTGGTGGGTTGGCGTTTGCCAGAGATGTGTGACAGGGTGCGCGCGTAGTATGTTTCCCAACTATTTTGATATGTTAGTAAGTATACTATACTCATTGGTCCCCTCCTGGCGGATAAGAATTCTGCTATGCGCGTGGGGGGTTTGGGGCTTGGGGTTGTAATGTTTTGTTGTTTGAATGCGAATGCATGGCGATTCTGAGTACGGTTGGCGGGGTACAGCGGGGTAGCACTGGAAAAATTTCCAGTGATGAAGGGATACGGGACGTACTAATCCTTGGTGCCTAGCTCGCTAGGGGAGAGGTATGTTGGGTGGTTCTCGTCTGCCATTGTTTGCGCAGACTGTGGTATGAAGGAATTTTTGATGCTGGTATCGGTGGTTATCAGTGGTAGAGAGGATCCGATAGCAATGGAGTCAGTATATGGAGTGGTGGATCGGGGGCTGCGTCGGCCCGACCACTAAGATACAGCTGGACGTTGGAGCTACAATATCATCAACGATGTCAACAGCATTATTCAATTATTTCAAAAGACTGCCCAGTGGGTATTTCCGCATTCGCCTGTCTCGCAATGCAATCACATCAATGTGTAAGGAATGTGTTATCGGACAAGCCGAACAGCAACCGCTTCTCAGGATCGAAGCAAACAGCCAGCTCAAAAAGATCCGTCAACTAATATTACAAGTTATCAGGCAGGGACATGGTATGCCTTTTGATCTTCTTTTGGAAAACATCCAGGACGCCGTGAGATCGAAAGAATGCAACAAGAGGGCCTCCCGTCAACCGGTGAAAAATGCTAATCAAGAAGAAAAGAGGAATCACGATATCAAAGCCTGCTTTGGTCATCGAGTCATCAGAAAAGAATCTAGAAACCAGAATGGAAAAGGATGGCAAAAGGAGACAGACACGATAGTGGGAGAAAAAAGGAAAGTGAGGATGGAAAGAAGGAGCGAGAACCAGATTATGACTGGTTAGAAAAGATCCAGAAAGAGTGTGAAGCGGAGGTAGTCCGGAAAATAGAGGGTAAACAACATGCAAAAATTGGTCATGTACTCGTTTCTTAGTCCTGGGATGACCGACTCAGAATGAGGCCTCTCAGTCTCGAAAGCAGTCCCAGGACAGAATTATAGAAATTCGTCAATATTTCTCATGATCAATCGCTCGGTTCCTGGAGGAGGAGACCGAGGGTCCGCTATCCGGGTTCGGAGACAGAGACCATCAGAGATACGCTCTTCCAACCCATGGGGAAATGGAGGTGCGAGAGAGGGTGCCAGGAATTGATTTGTCCGGGGAGAGAAAATGGCGGCTGGATCGCGAAGTGAGTCCCGTTCGAAGACATCTGCCGACTCATTTGCCCCTCCCGATGGAGCGGCATCCACTGGCTGACGAAGAGGCAATGGCCGGGGCGAAAGGCTGCGCTTATGAGTCAAGGATTTGGGTAACCTCCAACTGGTGGTGGATGACGGGGTAGTCGGGTGTGTGGAAGGTACAGCGAGGGCATTCGACAATGTCTGCGATGGACAATTCGAGAGAGCGGTCACGGAATCACCAGGGCTGCAACTACCGCAATCCGAAGGGTTTGAGTCCGCCTTCGTGGAGAGAGAAGCTTGGGGCTCGGAGCTTCTTCGTGGTCCCCGTACGAACCACTCCCGAGGTGCAGGTTTGGACGGGGCTCCTCCGTGCTGCAGCCGAGAGCGGAAATCGGTCAATTGGTAGATGAGACTCATGTTCGGTCCAACCCAGGGACTGCGTCCCTTGACAATATCATACATGGAATTGAAGTCCAAATGCCGGTTCTTGTACAGACCGTAGGCGATCACCAAGGAGGCCGATCGACTGGCGCCCAGCTGGCAGTGAATGAGTACTTTCTTGCCTTCGGAAATTCGCGAATCGATCAACTCGCAAAGTGGCTGCAAATCCTCCAGAATTTCAGAATTGTGGTCCCAGCCAACATGAATGTACTCGGGCCCGGATGAGTCTCCACCGCGGGGGGTTGCCGGCGACTCTGCCTCCGCCGTGGGATATTCCAAAGCGGATTTGAAGGAGATTTCTGAGATAGCGGTTGCTGGCTCCACGCATGACAATCGTTTTGAGCCCACCGAGGCACTTCGCCAAGTGCTCATGACGGTTTCATTCTTAGAATTTGCAGTTGCAAAGGGATTTGCGACCTCTTTGGCGACATTCACGACGACATCGAATTGAGAGGCTTCTCGCGCTGTCGGCTCCAGGTAGAGATAAACCCCAGAGTCATATATCCGCACGGGGCCGTTTGGATAACCCCTCTCGTTTCGCCGAGTGGATTCCCTCGAATCGAGATGGTCATCTTCCTCTTCGAGTTCGTGCAGAACTCCGCCCGCGGGAGAATCCTCTTCCACGGCCGACTGTAGGGGCGACAGATTGCCTTCTGAGACGCCGGAGGGACGACGGCTGCCGTGATGGGTTATTGGTCGCGGCAACTGCATGCCGCCCTTAGGGCCAAATGATGGAGAGAATATCGAGGTCAGAGAGGGCGAAGACTCGGTGTGTCTCAAAGAATGAAGGGTATGAGGTGTCGGAGGAACGGTCTCGGTGATGTTGCTGGAGAATGACTTGTCGAATCCCGGAGTTCGAATGGTGAGATTGGCAGGTCTCCGTCGGGTGCTCTTGGGAGGAAGATGCACCGGGGACGGGGGTGCGGAAAGATGATGCTGCGAGGTAGTTTCAACAATCGAGGCCGTCGCGATAGGTGGCCGGGATAAATGCGACGGCGGTGCCATTCTCAGAGAAAGATTCTTGAGGTTCCGTGCCCGTCTTCCGGGGGAGTCCGGACGCGCTGGGGTCGGCGCATCGGACAATGGTTTATTCATCGTGCCCTGCGCTGCAGACTGCGATTGGATTTCAAAATTGCTCGTGGGTGGCATGAATTTGGGGAACGAAAGCGGCATGGCCAAGGGGGATTCGGGCGAAGAACTAGGGGATGTATCCGTAGCCGACGAGGAGTCGAACGTCGAGATGGTGGTGGTAGGAGAGGAATCGGCTGATCCCGAGTTGGCAGATGATGAGACGCTCGCGCGGTGCCGGAAGGGATGCGGGCGCCGAGACGTGTTGACGGTGACATGTGGAGTGACTTCAAGATGTTTGAGTGATGCGCTATGTTCCTCCTTCTCGGGAAACCTGGGCGCGATGCCACCGAATACGGACATCAATGACGGAAACGAGTCCGGGAGCGATGGTGGGCTCGTTTGTACGGGCATGGCGGACCACGACCGTGCAATATACCGGCGTTTGAAAGGAGATACCCTTTCAGAGTCGCAGCTGTCGCGAAGTACTGGAACAATGGCAGAGCTGCACTGATTGCATCCAGGGAACTGAAGTGAAAGAAGTGTCGTCGAATTTGCTACCTGCGCAAACGACCTTTTCGACGGAGAACGATCAGCATCCATGATTCCGACTAGCATATCGCGTTTTCCAAACACATGAATACTCCAAATCGGGAGAATGGAAGGCAAACAGAGCTGCAAGGAGAGGTGAGACCAGGCCGACGGTCAGACCGAACTATAAAAACGAACGACAACAACAAAGCTATTGAAGGATAAGAAAGAATCAGAAAGTCATTGACTTCTCGAAAACGAGGTAAGCGGAATATCAAAGAAAAGAGACAAGGAAAAGACGCTTGGGGCTAGGCAGAGAAGGTATGAAGCTTTCTGAGACAATGTCGAACATACCAAGGAATGCCACAAGAGAACTGTTTTCCTCTTTGAAATATGTCCGGCCCCCCCCGAAGTAAGCGGGCAAAGGATTGGATGGGTCAAACAAATGACTGAACAATGATCACAACAAACAGAGCCGGTGAAAGAAAAGAAGAAGAAGAAGAAGAGATAATAGCAAAGCAGAGTCGTTTTTTTTCTCTGTTTGTTCCTTCTTAGCTTTAAAAATGGCGACTGCGAAAGAAGAGAAGAGACGGGTATTGTTTGAAGTTGAGGAGAATTGCCGCCCGATGTTGTGTATGTATGGGTATGGGCACTGGGGCAGTCGTTTTCCACCGGGGAATGACGAAGTGAAACAGGAAGAGTACTGTCGGTATTATTCTCGGGACTTTCGGTAGGTAGTAATACTGTAGTCTACCATAGGCCAAGAAAAGAGAAAAGGAAGAGAGGGAGCGACTACAGCACAATAGTGATGAGGGCGATTCACAGGAGACCTAGGAAGAAGAGCCCTATAGAGAAGGGGGAAGAGAACAATGAGGAGAGGGAGACGGAGGGGAGAGACGGCAGAGGGAGAAGAGCAAGAAGAGGGAGGGAAGAGGAAGAGAGAGGAGGGAGAGAATAATCATGAGAAGAGAAGAGAAGAGGAAGAAATGAAGAAAGCAAAGGTCCAACATGAATAATAATCTAGTGTGGAAACGAAGGTCGCCATCGAAGGTGGTACTTAGTAGATACTTACTCCGTAGTGGACAGTCAGTGTGGGAGGAGTAACTAACTGACTACTATCTTACTGATACTGATACTACTACTACTACGACAACCTATCTATCTACTGGATCGTAGAGACCTAAGGTACTGCTACAGGTGATAGAGGCTAGAGTACTAGAGTACTCCTCTCAACTCCATCACTACTTTGTCCTCCATCAACATTAGCAGCAGCAGAGAAACATCATCAAGTAGTTGTAGGAGTATCTCGTACTGCAGTATAACTGTAGTAGGAAGGGAGAGAGAGGGAGGGGGAAAAAAAAAAAAAAAAAAAAAAAAAAAAAAAAAGAAATTCAAATATTTCAAAAATAATAATAAAAAAAAAAAAGAGAGAGAATAATAATAATACCACATTAAAATGAAATGAACCGTGATGAAATGGATGGAACTAAGAATAAACCAGTTCCCTTGAACCAACAGGAATTCAAGAACAGTGATTGGGGGGGAAGAGCCCCGGCAGGATGGTGGGCTGCGTTCTCATGGAGAGCCAATCAAAATATCTCCCGCAATGGAGCTCCGCAAACTGCCTCAAGTCAACCAAAAGTAGGAGAACCAATGGAAATTCAGCACCACCGAACATTCAGCGCCTGGAGCTCTAAATTTAGCCGCCCAGGTTGATGGGAGGCTGGTATGTGCATCATGGGCGCCAAACCCTGACGAGGGACTCGCAACTACAGATCCTCAAGATCCTGCCAACACGAGCATTTCAGCTAGTCTGGCTATCGAAAGTCTGGTGTAAATGATTATGGGGAAGAAGGAAAATGAGCTCTTCCATCCTGAATCTTGGATAAAAACCATAGTATGAAGAATACGGCTGCTGTGCAACGACGACGACGACAAAGAAAGAAAAACCGAGGTTGGATCGAAATCTGATACAATCATCCAACATGGGGAGAAAATGTCCGTTGAGAATGTACTGTGACTGTTGAGTGAAGCCAGGAAGCACAGATCACGAAGTCCGGTGGGCCAACGGTATCCCATCAACTCCAGACGCGCCCGACCAGGAATCAGGTCTGTTTCAGATATTCCTTCATAACTTAGTGGTCTTTGGGCTTCCCCTTTGGATTTTTCAAATGAAAAAAAAAATAAAATAAAATAAAAAAGGGTCAGGTGCAAGTCAACAAGGAAGATGGCTCCACAGTCAGCGCCACTGGGCACTTAAGCCTAGGAGCTAGGACAGAACAGACATACAGTACTAGTCATAGAGTAAATTATCTAGTACTACTAGCCAGGTACATAACAAAGAAAGTGAGAGACAGGAGCGGGAGGCTTTTTAGGCAATGGCAGTGGCAGTGGAAGTGGAAGTGGCACAAGTCAAATCAAGAATTTTAAGGAGTATGGGGAAGCTGAAAGCATAGTAGAGTCAACAGTCGGAGCAAGACGATGAGGTATCCTAGACTCGGTAATATCCTCTGTACAAGTTTCCTAGAGTCGGCCAGCTTGAAGCCTCATGACTTCAGAAGTCTCAGTACACGGTAGTAGTACTGGATCCGGGTAAGATTATCATCGTACAGTAGTAATTAGTAAGTAGTATCTGCACCAGATGCACCAACTGCGAACTGTGTCTACTGTAGTATGGTCGACTGCAACCTGCCAGGTGAGCCACTCACCGTTTTCAGCCCACTGCTCAATGCTACTACTGCTGAGCAACATCCTTCATGGGGAGATCTTTCTAGAAAACATGCAGAACAATTGACTGTTGAAGATTATTATCTACTACTGAAGAAGCCTCTGAAGCAAAATATAGATCAACCATATCGAACCTAAGTTACTAGCCCCAAAAGATTACCACCGACTTGTTTGACGAGTCAACAGCAGCCTCAGACAAGATCACAGTACTATCAAAAGCCACAAAAATACAAGAATTCCAAATTCACTATTTTCGATTTTGACCCGCTGAAGTGCACGGTTCTCTGGTTTCTGTGGCAAACTGGCAATTGTTTGCTTGCTCAGCTGAGGCTTAAATTTGGCTTTTTTTTGGAGGGCTCCATTCTGATGAGATATCTTATGATTATTGACTCAATCGGTAGGTTGAAGAGTGTCAGAATTCTCACATGCAGACTTCAACTCAAGCACTATGGACTCTCCCCTGAAACCCATGTAAGAAGCCCTACATAACTGTCTCCTACGGATAGCCGCTGCCCATCTTGTTTCTTGACCATTGAGAAGTGAAACATCGGGTCAAAGAGTTGTCACATCGAAGAATCGAGATCGGCTCGAACTCGCCCCTGGACAGCGGGGACGACATCAAGGCGATGATAGGGCGGATGGAAAACATTAGTTACGTGACTAAGGATTGAGGCGCTGCCGTGGCTTGTCTATGGGATTTGGGACGTGCCGCCAACCTGCCAAGTGCATTCAGCTAAGGAGCTAAGCAGTGCCACTTTGGGATACCTACGCGATTCACCATGACCCTGAAATCATTGATAAGGAGGATGCCCTATTTCCTCCTGAGAGGCTGCAGACTGCAGTCTGTCCAGGAAAGAGGACAACGCGTTCAGTGGATCCGCATTGTCAGATCATTCATGAAAGACTCAACATTAGTCTGATTGCGAGTCACGACCTTGCGCTGAGATGAGGGTTAGCGTCTGGCGATCTAGATGATCCAATATTCCGAGCCCACAAGACAGTCAACTCGCTTATGGTTGGTTAGCTGCAGCATCTGAAACGACCAACAGCAAGACTATCACAGCGTGCGCGCTAACTCAGCGGAGTTGGGATAAGTTCTGAAACAGCATGGCAGAGATGCTAAGCCACTAGGGAACTTGAGGGGGTCCGAGTCACGTGTTAGCGCTCTTACTCATTCTCCACCAGAGCGCTTGGATTCAATCGGTGGGTTGATCATGTTTGATCGGCTTATATCTGGCACTCTATAGCTAACACTTGCTCATTATGAGCACTTGGGCCTGCAGTTCGATATCAAGCAAGACCCTATGCGGATATCAATCTCCAGTCATTCTGTTTTTGAAGAGAACCTACACTTGCTTTACTGGAGACTATAAGTTCATGGAGTACCATGCGTTCTGCTTCTGGCTTCCCTGTCCAACAAGTCATCCATCCAAGTCGTTGTTGTATCCAGCTTCAAGTGGCATGCTGATCTAAGACTCAAGTTTACCACAGCAACCGATTCTGAGAACATCGTCTCCGAATGGAGTAGCAATTTGAAACAGCATCCAAGCGCCCATGGCGATGAAAACGTGGGCAGTGGGCTCTCAGCTTGAGAGCTATGGCCAAGTTCCAGCTACTGCGATTCCCAGCGAGTCGGCGACACTTGAGAATTCCGAGTATGTTTCAGAATCCCGAGTCCCCAAATTCTCTCATTAAACCCTGTACAATAAGACGACCCCTATGGCCTATACTACTCCAGGGTGCAAGGATGTCGTCACCATCCACGTACCCGTCATGGCGTATTCGTGTTAGGTTCCGGAACTCGGATACGCCATTTCAATCTGCATCGCATTGTTGACCAAATCAAGTCGAAGGCTGCCGACTACATGGCGCAGAGGATGGATCTGTTTCCCGAAAGCAGCTCGGTAAATAGGCATCCACAGGTTCCATGAAGTATTAGACTCATGTGTTACCCTTGTCGCGCCGCTATTGTGACTGATGGGTACTGGGAATGAATCGTGGCTCAATATCACAAGTGTGTGATTCATTTTTGAGATATAACAGCCTCCTAGGAAATATATATGACGGGAATAACTATAGTTCTGCTGCAGTCCATAATTTCCAACTCATATGATCCGATCAATCTGCACAGCAGAGAACCTGATATTCCTGCATTTCTCTTGACTTTCTACAAGCCTGAGGATGATGCCCTTAGGCCCGAGATCTCACTCTCTGAAGCTAGGTTTACTTCGGAGCTGAAACACATGAATCCGTCCCAGGTCTTAGGCAAGTGTATTCCCAGAGCATGGAAGACCGAACCCTCAAGAGTTTGATATAGATTGAGGATTCGGGAAGAACCTTCTTAGTCTCAGGGAGTCGGGTTACTGGATGATCCTCAGGTGAGACTGGGAGCTCTCAGGCTTCTCAGCTCGGAAACTTTATACCTGAACCTACGTTTCGTGAAAGAATCCTACCATCGTAGTGTTAGATCGGGTAACCGAAGAAGAGCCGCCCAGCAGGCCAGCTACAAACCACGCGAAACCCAACTATGGGCCTTTCGGGCCTGAAAATCAAGGTACGCATGCCAATATGCTCTGTTGGTTTCCGGCTCAAGACGACAGGTCCGCTGTCATCCGTCAGATCGCTCAATTATGGACATGATCAAGTTTGACCTCCATATTCCGTAGTCTATCCGCTCCGATTCCTCCCCAGCGGAAATTCGTTACAGACCCAAAGAACTTCGAAGACATTCTGCCTTTCACCTTCGCAGAATGTAGCTGATTGTACCAAAAATTGACAACATGCTGGCTCGTATAACACGCAACAGACGTGTGCAGTGAAGTAAGGGGGAGGGTTCTTCATCGAACAGTTGGACGATGAAGAAATCGTGCGGTTTGCACAGCAGCGGTGTATATCAACAACCGATTCCCTGTGCTCCCTACTTTATATTCTTTCTCAAGAAACTCTTTCTCAAGAAGCGAGTAAGGCAGGGATGCTGCAGGATATACGTGGCACCAGATGAATATTCTGGCCCATAGTGGCGTCGCAGAAACACAATAGCAACAGAAATCTTCAACCCGGAAGCCCTGGGAAAACAAAACTGTCAAAATGGAGATGAGAAAAATCTTCACCCTACTGTGTACTTCTGTGATGCATGGACCAAGGATTGAGCTGTAATAACCCATGGTTCGGTAGCTTCGTTTGTTTGTTGTTGCTCCAGAAACTGTAGAGCGCGCAAGAAGACCTAGGTAGTACTGGGAGAAGATAGTAGTAGGTAGTTAGTATCAGAAGAGAAGAGTTTTATTCCCTGAATCCACCAAGGGTTTTGTGTGGTCTTCCGATGGCTTCTTTAGCTGGAAAGATCCACTTCTTCTCAAACACTGATTGTGTTAACTTGCACAGTTGCACTTGATATGGCCGCATCGGAGTTGTTCTGCTTCTAATGAAGCTATCGCTGTAACATCTTGGAGAATAGGATAATCTCTAATAATAATATGGAGGACTGGAGACTTGCTCGGTCGTCCTACAGAGCTCTCGTCTCACATCCTGAATCCTCTCTCAGACCCAAATCAGACACATCGATCATATTGATCACCAAGTTTATTCTCCGTCGTCTAGACTGATGATGCTCCACACGGCTCCAGATTGTCCCAGCCACCACCAGCTGCTGTTCCTGTTCCTGACCAATTTCAATGCTAAGTATGGACTAGTTGGGAGAGTATCTAGTTTTTCTCTCCCTCTCCCTCTCTCTCTCCCCGAGATGAGATCGGTCATCATCATTATAATTACTATTGTTATTATTAGCGAACGATTCTCTAGTATGTAGCAGCAGCAGCAAACAACAGCAACAACAGCAGTCTCTCTCTCTCTCTTTCTCTCCCTCTCTCTCTCACACACACACACACTCTCTCTCTCTCTCTCTCTCTCTCCCGCTTCCAGAAATTCCACCACTTATTGAAATCTCCTCATTCCCCATCTCCAGTCTGCATCCAACCAATTAATTCCAACCGGGACATGCAGCAGTGCATCGTATCGATGCCTGACCCTCGTTGCAAATGTCCAAGGACGTAGCTTTCTCTCCCGTGTCGACCATAATCCCACGATCTCCTCCAGATGACACTCTCCATCGTCGTCATCCTCGACGTCGACGACAGACGGATTCTGCTGTGCTTCTAAACCAGACCATTGACGCACCCCAGAGAGACCCGCATCGCATCCAGGCTCGCCGTTCAGTCGTGAATGCCTCCTCATGGGTGGCCACAGCAGAAGATAACCTAGCTCCTGCATCATACACTCTTACCACCTCTCCGCTCTCATCGCCCCGGTTGAACCAGGTCGAGTCGTCGTCGTTGTCGTCGTCGTCGCTAGTGTATCCCTGGAGGCGACAGAGATCGCAACGCCACTCGGATGACCCTCACAGCGACCCAGATCCCGCTCATGATAATAATTACTTTCACAACACCAACAGTAAACCCGAAACTAAAACTCACAGCCGTCAGACCGTCATGTTTGCGGCGGATCCCCGTGACGCGGGCAGAGCAACCACGCTAAAGTCCGCCAGTACCAGCGACTCCCCATCAGCGCCAGCAGCCACAACAATCACAACAACAACAACAACAACAACTTCTCCGTCATCATCATCGTCTTATCCTCATGCATCTTCATCTTCCGTACCTCGCTTGCCGCAAAGTCGATTTAGTTTCGAGTATCAGATTCCTCTGCACAAGCGAGCCTTAACGTCGTCTCACGGGACCTTTCCCATCGAACCAACGTCAAGCGCCGACCCGTCCCCGACCCCCCAGCAGCAGCGCACTTTCTTGTACGACAGACCCTGGCGCGCTGTCCCAGGTTTTAGTCTCTCCCGTCCCCGAGATCCGACCGCTTCTGCGACCTCGTCGCATCTTCCGTCTCCTTTATCCTTTTCAGAGGAATCGAGCGATCTGGCTTGGCCCTTCGATGCCGATTCGACCAACAACGCGTTGAACTCCAATGCCTCGAAGCGTCGTCGTAAAAAATCGTTATCACAGTATCAGCAACCGAATATCCAAGCAGATGTGAAGGGGAGGATGCCATCAGCCACAACGCCTTACGTTCAGGGGAACCCACTTGCAGAGGAGCGCGATCGCGCTATCAACCGTGTCGATCTATCCGACCTGGAAGATGGCGCTAGGACACCACTCGCAGAGGACCCTAGATCCAAGAATGAAGATATTTTCCTGAACATCGCCCGATCCGATTCGAAGAGGCGCGACTCCCTGGGACGGTCGGAGCTTAGGCGGGTGAGTCGAGGACAATCATGGCCAAGGAGACCATTGGCTCCCCATACCCTTCCCGTGGCTCCTCCCACTCGGGGTTCAGATCACATTGGCTGACAGTATAATGGCATTCTGATGAGATACAGTCGCGACTCGGATTATCTGGCAGCCATCTTCGCTCACCAACCTCCCGATTCAACGAGCAGACCCCTTCGCCCGATCATCAACAGCTCAACACTTATGAAACCCCCTTGCATTCCCATCATACCTCTCCATCCAACCCTTACAGCGCTTTGCCCTACTCCTACTCGGCCTCCGCCCATCCTCTTGATGACCATAGCCGCTCACGACATTCAGTGATCGGCTCGAGTTCGAGGTCGACCATTGGCCTGCCACGAAGCAGATTCAATCGGACAAGCCCAGATGATTCACCTCAATCGCCCGAAATCCCCATAGAAAGGAGAGGCTCGCTACAGGATCCTCGAGCATACCGCCATTCGGCGCTTGCTAGCATTAGAAGCAGTCGGCAGCCCTCAGGATCCGATGTCACGGAGCGTGCCCGGGTTGAACCGGACCGGTCTCGGCAGGATGGCACGGAGTCGACCCTGTCGACCACCGCTCCATCCACGGTCTGGGATGAGCTGGAAGATCTCAAGTCGCGCATTAAGAAGTTGGAGTTGACCGGAAAGCTACCCCCATCGTCTCAGGCGGCGATCTCCTCGGTTTCTGGGGAGCGACCGCGGACTGCAACTACCACTGTGACGACCGTATCCTCGTCGCCAAAGCATAACCACAAGACCAGCAATCTGTCTGGCGACTCCGAGAATGTTGCCAACCCGGTTCATCCACTTCTGCATTCTGCGCTACTCAAGGCAAAGACCGTGCTGAGTAATGAAGTGTTTAAGGCCCTTGACGCTGCAGTTACGGATGCGCTGGCCCTTTCAAACACATTGGGTACCAATCAAGCGCCCTCAGGCGGAGTCTCATGTGTGAATGGCTATAGTCCGTCTGATCGACAGAACAGGCGGAAGGCCGATAGCGTCTGCCGCAGCTTAACTGAGCTCTGCATCGCCCTGTCGGATGTGCAGCCTCCTCAACAGCAGCAGGCCTCTAGCGGTGATGATGACACTATAACTCAATTACACGTCAGCACAAACGGTGAAGCCCCCACGCCTGCTCTTCCCTTCCGGCGGAGTACCATTCAGGCTCCTGAGGACATAGGTTTAGGTCGGCGGAAGAGTATCACCAACCGCCTGGAGGCACGACGGGCAAGTTTGGCTGCTGCCACCCATACCAGCAGCAAAGATCAATCTCCCGTTGCAGATGGCAGCAATACGCAATTACCAGGTGGATCAGCTCCTAGAAGCCGTCTAAACCGTCTCTCAACCACATTGCGGACCAAGAGACTCCAGCCGGATGAGGACAATGGCGATGAGCCAAATCCGCATAGTCGTTCCTTCTCAAGAGCAATGACCGACATGGACAATCCGCGTCCGATTAAACGGTTCCCAACGCGGGAGCGGACTGGTGTGTATACTGCCTCTCAAACGGCGCCGGATACTCCGCGCGATCAGAGTTCAAGACTGTCGTATCAATCCCCACGTACGCAGCTTCGAACCCCGACTGTACAGTCAAGTATTCCGCTCCGTAGAAGCCTCGTCCCTCCAGGCAGTTTTACACCAGCAACATCCCGTTCGAACATCCTGGCAGGATCCCGCAGATACGGTGCTCCCGATCATGCCGCGACCCCCAGCGGGATTCCAATGCCGCCGAGTCCAGGCGAAAATGTGCACTCGCAGACGAGGATTTCCGTCTCGTCAAGCAAACAGGCGGCTAGCTATACCCCGATCCAGCAGAACCGGATACGAGCGAACAGCATGGGCGTCCGAGCTTTCGGCCTTAGGCATCGACCGATGGCCACTTACGATGACGCCGCGAGCTCTGTAAATGTCAGCATCGATTGATTTGAATCGAACCTCATCCTTCTCGTTTGTCCCGTTGTACGATTGTTTTCATCGGAGTCTATCGATGTCAGTTACGGCTTTCTACCATCTTAACGCAGCGATACACAAACTGGGACTATTGAATCTTCTTCTCAGCCGGCGTTCTTCCCCTATTTTTTTTGTCTTCGTCCCTACCTCCTTCGAAACACTCTGCATCATGCACGATTCTGCCTCCGAGCAAGCTTCCCTTCTTATGCACATTCTTAACGACCCCATGTTCGATTCTTCTTACCATGCTTTGAAATATGCATGCAATCGTGGAACTTTGGAAGCATACACATGGCAGCCCCACGAACTATCTGTACATTCCATTGTATTTATGGGCACTTCTTCAACGAAAGGTCCATGGTCACCATCCACGATCCCTTTTTTTTTTCCTTTCTCCTCCCTATTGGTTCCCTTCTTATACATATTCTTCTCGTTGCGAGGAAGACAAGACCGGACATTTGGCAGTTGGGTATAATCTGCTGTCCGTCCTTCTTCCCCCGACACATACAGCATCAGACTTACCTCTTACTTCCCTTTCGCCTACACTCTTTTGCAGCTCTTACCTGTCCACATCCATGTACAACAACACAGCTTTCCTTCGTGTACCGATTTCTTATCTGTCAAGTGCATGATGAATGATTTTAAATGCCCGTCAAGAGAATCCAATTCATAATTACCAACCGTTGATGACATGACGTAGAGATTCATCGAGGTCTACGCTACGCCACTAGACCATTTTAAGCATCAAACATCAAGAGCCGAAGCGTAGTTCGCATTTTTATTGTCCACTGCTAATCCATTTGTCTTTTCAATTTCGGACGAAATTCGCCTCATTAAATTCTTCATGTCTTTATTTGATCCACAACGGGAACACGGAGGCTCTTGCAGATACACATGTTGGATGGTTTTGCCAGATATGAGGAATCAAGGAAATACAGAAAACAGGAGAACTAGCCCGTATAATAGATGCTTGAGATATGAGGCATAAGAGGACAGTTGCTCCGCACTGAATTCATGCGAACGCACACTGGGTCATTGGGAGCGGAGTTGAAGATTTAGGAAAGAACATTCAGGTGAGGCGTGAGAATATTCGGGATATTTTGATGGCTGAGCCTGCAACGAAGCGACTTTTCAGAGAAGAAATGAGGGGGTAAAGCAGGAGCTAGAAAGGGAAAGGCAGAGAGTTGGAGAGAGGTTTGTTCATATCCGAAGAGCGAAGCTTAGGGAGGGAACGGAGATAACTGAGGATCGATAGTTGAACAAACATGGCGTCAGTCATTTTCTGAGCTCATTTAGCACGGGGGCGACCGATGGAAAGATCGCAAGGATCATGGTATTCGATGGAGATGTGCCGCCCACTGCAGCAACCCTGAGATTTGTTGGAAATTAAGGAGGCCGGGTAGATTGGAAAGAACAGGGTCGGAAGGAAAGAGATAAAAAAAAAAGAAAACAACTTCAAAGGCAGGAAATGGTTCAAGAAAAGAAGTTCGCTCCTCTGTAAAAGGTGTGTGACCGTTGCTGGAACGACATGTTGCGGGTGAAAACACATCGAGCTCAAGACCAAAAGACGAGTCCGAGGCCTTTATTCTTGGGGCAGCTGGCTGCGGCGGGTCTTCTCAGCCTCGAGGTTCTCGTACAGAAGGTACAAAGCCTTCTCGTTGGCCTGAGCGCTACCCATGATCGTGAACATACGCTCTCCCGTTTCATCATGAGGAGCTTTGGCGATGGAAATGCGAGCTCCAGAGCTCCTGCGGATCTCCGTGATCTTGCTACCACCTCTGCCGATGATACATCCAACCATGTCAGCTGGGATGCTGATGTTCTGGGTCTGGATCTCTTCGCCGTCCTCTGTGACAAGGGGATAGCCACGGTTGGATGTATCGGGGTTGGAGCGTCTGCTGTAGCCAGCAGATTGACCATCGCTGAAGTCGGCACCGTTGCCAGTCCGGTTGTAGGGGCGACTGTTGTAGCCGTTGCTCGCGGTGGTGTTGGTGTTGATCGAGGACCCCGTACCGACGGAGGCACGGACGGCCGGGTTGTAAAGAATGGTACCAGTTCCCCGCTGCCAGTCGTCAATGAGGCACTTTCCAATCTCCCAAACGGCCTTTTCGATTCCTTCCGGGGTTCCCTGTACTTCCACAATCCGCTCGGTAGACTGGGGGAGCATTTCCTTCTGAGCGACCATACGCACACCAGACGCATCTTGGATGTGTTTGATCTTCAAACCCTGTCGTCCGATGATGGTACCCATCTGATTGTGGGAGATGAGAAGGCGGACAGCTAAACACGGTCAGTCAGTTTCATTTTCAACAGAATTCCGACGGGAGATCCGTTCAACCGGTCTGCTGCGACAGAGCGGACACAATCGCATGGACAGAAGGGGCAGAAAAAAAAAGATAACATACGATGAGTTCCGTTGTTGTTGACAATGCCACCCATGCCCATCTGCGGGGCTCCCTCGAGCAAGCCCTTGGCCACTAGAGCATAAGCGCGGGCGGTACCTTGCAGAGGTCCAGTGACAGTCAAGACGCGATCATGGACACCGGGAACGACCTTGCTGACGCCCGCCTTGACACCGGTCTCGTCGCGCAGATCAGCAACATTCTTACCAGCCTTGCCGATAATCACACCAGCTTCCTTGGAAGAAACGATCGCACGGAGAGTAAGCATAGATTGCGCGTATTCTTCTTCGGTCTTGGGAGTGATGTCCATGTCACCCTCATCAACCACGTTCATGGCGTCGGTCATCGCGTCGTCCACGACGGGAGGAGCATCGCGCATCTCAGTGGAGTCCATTGTCGTAAAGGTGATGACGAGGAATTAGTGATCGGAAAAAGCGGATTGATGAAACTTCAGCGAGGAAGAGCTCCTAGAATGGGTCGTTCTACTAGTGGTCAGGAAGGGTGTGCAAATCGAGGAGAATAATTCAAGCTGAAGAGACGCTTCGATGACTAGGTTTCAGATTTTTTTTTTGGTGGACATGGTGTGTGGTACAGAGCAAGACACCAGAAGAGATAACACACGACTCAACTCTGAATGGATGAAAACAACATGACGGAATGCATCAACACTCACCTAGGAAGAGTGACAAGAAGTTGAGGAATGAAGAGACGATCCAAGGGGATCGTAAAGAGATGAGGCAGCGCACAACAACAAGATTGTATTGGCGGACAAAGGGAGCTGTAGGAGGGGGGATACGTCGTTGAGCGATTCAGAGGGGTTTCGGTAGGCGGGGGAGATGGAGGATCAAGAAGCGCAGACGATGGAAAGCGGGATGGAAGAAACGAGGAGGAAAGAGGAGAGGAGGAAAAAGGGGACTGGAAGGGAGAAAGGAGATGGAGGAAACGAAGAAGAAGAGGAGGGGGAAGAGGATGGAGGCAAAAGACGATGGGAAGATAAGAGTGAAGCAGGAGAAGGAGAGAAGAGAGAAAGGAAAAGAGAAATAATAAATGACGGGAGGAGGAGAAGATTATTGAAAGAGATGAGTTGAGTTAGTGTAGGAAATAATTCATTTGGTGCTTAGCTTGGCCAGTTGTTTGGCTGGTCCTGGGCGGTGTTTGACAGCAGAGATGCACTCAACGGGCCATCAGTCAATTCTGCTCTCTTTTTGTTGGACAGGCAGATAGATACTATTTACAAGATGCCTATTCTTATTGCTAGTTTGTTCGATTAACAATAAAGAATTGATCAATCTAATCTTGGACCACAGAGCAGGAGTAAATGTGGTCAAATATCCATGAGGTCCAAGTCCCGTCACCTGAGATCATCCAGCATCAATCTACGAGCAGAGGTCTTGGAGGCAGAGGAAATGAATGATTTGTGAATTTAGTGGATATCCGATCAAAGAGAAGGAGTTTCCACTTTAAAAGGGTATTTATTGGTAGGTTTGATCCGAGTATATACACTACTATTTATCAGCTTCAAACACAATCTTCTGCACTTTCATCGCATTGAAGATCTCATAGCCCTCCACAGCTCGCGAGAGAGGCATGATATTCTCTGTCATGAATCTAAGTCTCTCATCAGCGAATGCAGATTAATCGAAGGCGAGCAGAAGACATACCCTAGCAAGTGCTGATTTTTCTTGAGGACCTCCAACGCAGGTTCTGAAACAGATCTAACGGGGCATCGACCCATCTGAATCGTAAGGTTCTTTCCGTATGCGTCATTACCATCCCAGGGAATCTGATGAGTGTCAGAATTGTCTCTCGAAACGGATGATACGAAAGACGCGGTCTTACCTCTCCGTTGTGTACTCCCACACTGCTAATGACACCCCATGGGCGCAGCAGATCGAACCCAGTCTTCAGTGCTGGGCTTAGTCCAACCACTTCAATCACAGCATCGGCTCCTCGTCCATCCGTCAGCTCCTTGATACGTTTATCCAGCCCTTCCCGATCGGTCTGGAAGTTCCAGGGCTCAGCACCAAGCACTCTGGCCAGTTCCAGCCGCGCAGGAATTGAGTCAACTGCGAGCAGATGCTTTGGCTTGTACTCGAGAGCGTTAATCAATGCGCACAGCCCGACGGGTCCGCAGCCGATCAGCACCACCGTCTGCTCAGAGATTTGCTCCGGAGTGCGTCCCTTGAACGCATTACTCGCTGCAAAATACCCAGTCGGGAAGATGTCCCCCATGAGGACCAGGAGCTTATCCTCGACACCCTCAGGGGCTTTCATGACGCTCCCCTCTGCATTTGGGATCCGAACCTGCGAGCATATGATCAGATGTCAAAATAGAAACGTAGTAGTGGAACGCTGTCCACTTACAAACTCGGCCTGTCCTCCATCCAGAGCATCGCATCCAAACAGGACGTTCTTCTCACACCGAGAAGAAAAACCTTGTTTACAGTAAAAACACTTTCCACTATATTGGTTCGCAAATCAGCAAAAAAAAGAGCCCCCGTAGCGAGAACGTCCCCATCAAACCTACCAAGACGTCGTAAAAGCACTGACAACTTTGTCCCCTTTCTGGATCGTCGTCACAGCATCACCAGTCTCCACAACGACTCCGGTAAACTCATGTCCCATGATAAACCCCGAGCCAGCAGGCTCAATGCCACGGTACATATGAAGCTCACTATCGCCGTCAGGCCTTTGCCACCACACCAGATCTGTCACGGGTATCGGGTGCCTTACCTGCCGCACAGAGCAGTATAGGTTACCTGCACGATGATATCTTCCGGATCCTGGATTTTGGGCACTGGCCGCTCCTCCACGGCCACCTTGAAGGGGCCATGGAATACCACCGCGCGCATCGTATCTTTGGTAGCCATTGTTTTTTTTTAACCTTGGCTGCGCATTTAAAGCATCCAAGATGGTTCAAGCAGGATTTCACACGAACACTGATGATTCGAGAAGACGATGCCTCAGTGACCACTCCCAGTCACTCCACATCCGATAACGGCTGTCCCTCATGACGCTCCGCGGTTGTGGGGCTACGATGCAGGCTCTTCAGAGGACTAAACAATGTTATCCGAGGTATTGGAAAAGAATACACTGAGGGAATAATGAGGGATTTAGCGGGAGTATAGAATATTGCTCTCTTCGGCGTGGGATGCTGGTAAGATGGAGTCAATCGTATTTTGAGAATTGCAAGGATTAAAGTAATCAATAGTAATGTTGATCTGAACAGGGAGAGTGAGATCTTGGCAGTCATTGATATATATATAGCCCGACTTGGGGCATTGAGTGTTTACTGCTTCTCTACTACTCGGCATCTTTATTACAAGGAAATACTAGAGGGCATTCAGTTAGCTGTCTCTGTTTTGATCTTGTTTCAAATGCTGAGTCAGGTCAATAGCATTGCATTGCACGATGTCATACCACTAGGTGACTGCACATATGCTCTACGAGCCGGTGGGAAACGAATAGTGATTATACGCTGGCTGCCATGTGTTGGCAGGGATTCCTGCAATCATGACAGACGTTGGAGCACCCTCTACAGTCTGTGCTATGAGCGAAGACAAGTACTGTCGCCGATAGCATGCTCGAATACTTGAGCCCAAAAGAGAATAATTGAATTCGAGTGCTTTGATATACTGCTTATAATGACGGACTTAAGGCTCAATTACGCCTTGGTCTGCTTCAACCGCCCAAAAAGAACCCAAGAATAAAGAGCTGAAATAACCTATTTAACGCCGCCCACACCAACACCAAGAATCAAAGACGCTTCGCTGCTTGAATCAGTCTTTCCGATTGTATCACGATTCCCACTGCCTGCTGAGAATCGTCTCCATGGTTCGTTTGGAAGCATCCTCTGTTCCGGACCGAGGATCCTTCATGACAAGAGGCGCCCCGATCTTCAGCACACCACGCACAGCAGTTCTTCCTCCAGAATGAACTTCCCTTCCTTGTATTTCTCGCTTGTCTCGTGCGCCTTGTCGTACTTCCATCCTACTAGTTCGGTGCATTGCCTGCAGAAGATGTCCCGAACAATATGTCTGCCCGTAGTCATGTTACGGTCGACAGGCTCGGAGTGGGTTACGTTAACGACAGTGTTGAACAGGTACGCTTTTCCATGTTGGCCACGGAAGTTCTGCAGCAGCGTAGAACGAGAAATCAGCGAACGGCTTCTTGATTAAGGGAGCAAGAGGGACAAAGAAACTCACGCGGCTAATGATATCGTTGTAATCAGCAAGATGTGTTTTGCATTTCTTGCATCCAAAGATCTTATTGGAAGTAAGATAGACGTTGTACGCAAGACCCATGATGACCTGTATTGCTTTGCCTTTCCACTACCACCAACCTCGTGAGGTAAGTTCCGGAGTGCGAGCTCGACAATGACGAGGTGGGTAGCCCGTATCAGTCTAGTATAGGCCTCTGGTAGTCTTTCCGGAAGGAAATAAATGAATAATAGAGGAGAGCTGTTGTTCCGGGTTGCCCGCTTTGTTTAATACCTCACAAGGGGGAAACCCGACTTAGTCTGATTTCCAAGGGGGCGGCCAAGTTGTACCTTGATTCAGGGCTGGAGGACTGACAATTGTTTTCACCCAGGTATTTTCAGCCCTATGAGTTATATCTTCAATCGGACACCTTTGTTGGGAGCAAGGAAGTAGGTACGGGGTATAACGGGAACAACGGGGTGATTCCAGGAACAGGAGGTCAAAATAAATGACGAGATCAATACAAGATAGGGGTAGAAATGGAGGTCCGGAGCAGTGGGAAGGATAAGCACTTGATGCGAGACAGCCCAGAGACCCAGAAGGCAGAAAGAGAGGCGCAGCAGGTGTAATAATCGGGCAGCTGCTCTGTCTGTGCTGAGTGTGACTGGTGACTTTCTTGGGATCCCCGCACCTCAAGGGAGACGTGACACAGTACGAATAGATAACTGCTATGTACCTAGATAGCAGTTTTCCAGCCACCCCAAGTGGCGCAGAAGCATCCAGTGACTTGCGGGTCGGAATTATGGGGCGATACTATTCTCTGTCTCCAAGAGATATCTTAGTAATCGAGGATGGTTCATGCAATGGACAAATATTTCTGGAATAAATTGGTATACAGAGTAGGTCCGAGAGATCTTTGGTGTCTGCAAGGGTCATCTGAATCGCCTTATCTTTGTTATCGGACCCGTCCAAATAAATACTACCGAGGACCTACATGCGTCAATGTGGTGAAGAACTGCCAAATAAGGGCGTCTTGTATGCAAATATGCAATGAACAGGCGAAGCAGAGGATAATTTCTTCCTGTTGGTTTAGGATTCATAGTCTACATGTTTGGATCATGTTCCGAGAAGATTTGTGGCTTATTGGGACCCTACCGCTGGGCTAATAGCTTCATGTTCCTCTCCCAGAATTCTTTGCACTCTGTATGACCCCAATGCTCAACCCACCATTCTCCAAAGCTATCCTCAACATTCTCGTCAACCTTATGTAGTCGTTCCTCGCGCTTGAGCCCACACAGCGCACAAGCATGAGCAGCTTTGATGGCTCCCTGGGCCGAAGTAGCCGTTGTCACTCGAGCATTCTCTGAGATGACTTGGATCGGACGTCTTCCCGAGGCTTGAATTACAGAACTGAAGAGCGCAGTATGATCGCGCCACGTATTGAGCACATCAATCGTCTCCTGTTGTTCTTTGATACTCTCGTTCCTATTGACAGTGCTGAGTTTCATTCCGCCTGTCTTGCCGGCGCGGGCGGGACCTATACGCATACTTTGACTGAGTATACTGTCTCGCTTCCATCGCAGAGTGCGACCCGCGACTACACGTGCAGCCGCTTTTAGAGTGCAAAACACAAGGGAGGCAACATTCTCAACTGTGTCTTTCTGTTGCGGATTCCTTCTTGCTGTAGTAGCTTCCTGTCGCAGTTGCTCAAAAAGCCTGGGGAACAACTCCAATAGGACTGACGGTGGAGGTATGTTGGTTGGCCGAATTTGCGCCTCAGAGGCCCGCTCTTTTTGCGCTGTAGGGCTGGGTAAAGGAACGCGAACAGACTCGGTTGGGTTAGTAGTCCTGTCGGGTGCTGCCTTGTTCGCTGAAGCATTAGAGACTCCTGCTGAGATAGGCTCTTCGACTGGCCCATCAATAAATTCACCCCATTCCTCAAAGGACTCTTCATGTGCCGGGGTGCTTGACAATGGAGTGGGAGAGGAAATTCTGGTCTTTGAGACAGGCTCATTCGTGCGCCGTGTAACAGTAGATCTTCCAGGGATCGGAGGTTTTGCATCCTCAATGGACAATGTGTCCATCAAATTGATTGGCGTAGCTAAGCCTGGTGACCTTTGAGCACCCTGAGGTTTGGTTGACCGTTCAGCGTATGCTTGTGACTGGCGTTGGCCAGTCATTGTCTCTGCAGTCTCAAAATCACCCCAGTCTTCGCTCTCATTGTCCGAGACAGACTCCAAAGTAGCGTCGAATAATACATTGCTGTCTTCCTCGTAACCTTGAAACTGCGAAGAGGTGTTGCTCAGAGCGAATGCAGAATGGCCAGGCGATGTCCAAGATTGTGAATTATGTGAGAGAAATTGTTGATTATTTAAGTCGTTTTGAGGACTAGAGGCCGAAGTAGCTTCTTCGAATCCGTCCAAATCGGGGATCAAAGAGTTCGTTTGAAATCTGGGATGTTGCTGATGGGAACCAGCTGGGGGGTTGGAAGGTGAGCCCTGGTGCCCAAACTCGGCAAATAAGTCTGCAGACATTGGTGATGACACCCAGGATGTAGTAGTAAAATCGGCTAGGGATTGCGAAATGGAGCAGATCTGGGCTGTCTTTTGTGCAGAAGAGCTCCGATGATGCCGAAGATTGTACAGATATATAATAAAGATTGTGCGCCCCAAGTCACCAAATCCTTAAGAGACAAAACCTGGCCTCTTCTATATTTACATATCATCAAAAACAGCACACAATCCAGAGGACCAAAGATCAAAACAGGAAGCTCGAGGATGATGATTCGATATCAACAAGCTTGTCTTGGTGGTGGGGGAAATACCGCCCGCTACTATTACTAGCATGAATAATGATCAGCCCGAAACATTCCCCCCCCCCCATATGATTCAATCCCGCTTTGTTACTCCAACTTCCGTCATCACAACCTACCCAGCTTGAACAGTGCGCCGTCCGTGATCCCTATGGAGATATGAGAACCCTTTCAGATACGAGGTACTTGATCTATTTTATTTTAAAGGGGAATTTACTCATGAAATTCATCTAGACAGAGATGGGAGATCCTGTTTCGCGACAATGACACGCCATTTGATCTCCGAAATGCTATTCGATCAGAACAAGGCGAGAGATTCTGCAACGAAGGACTGAGATCTATTTGCTGGAAGGCATGCGGCATACGGCCCTGCGATTACGGATACTGTTGCTTACCTGAGCGCAGGCGTTCCTGCTCTTCGACGATCTCGACCGGTCACAATGGTCGCGAAGAACGTCCGACTCTCGAGACGCATATACCGCCCTGAAAGCTCACTACCTGAAATACATCGAGCATCCGGATGATTTGCAGTCGGTGATTGACCCACTAGCAGACGATGAAGAGGTATGACTACTTCGAGTCTGCTGCTGTGGATTGATATGACTTGCAATTCTAACCTCCTGTTTTGCTCGAAAAGTCCCCCTGGCAGACTCTACGGCAAGATGAGCAGATGAGAGCGGATATATCCCAAGATGTTGATAGGTGTCTCCAAGAGAATTTCTTCTTTCGGGAGCCTGCGACCAAAGCCAAGATGCTTGACATCCTATTTATCTATGCGAAATTGAACCCTGATCTCGGTTATCGTCAAGGCATGCATGAGCTACTGGCGCCTATCCTATGGGTGATTGATCGAGATGCGATTGATCCAAGATTGCTTGAAGAATCTACTTCAATCGAACCGAGTGATGAATTGATGTTGCAGCTGCTCCAGGCTGACTGGGTAGAACACGATTCGTTCGCACTGTTCTGTTCAGTCATGCAAACTACTCGAGTTTACTATGAACATAAAAAACAGCGATCTGCCAATGGCCAGATAGACGTGATTCCTATCGTCAACCAATGTCAACATATACACCAGAATCTGCTTACAGCAGCAGATTTGGAATTGGCAGATCACTTGCAGGCGCTGGAGATTCTGCCACAGATTTTCCTCACGTAAGTGGATGATCAATAGACAGATGCCCCCAATATGCCGAGGACCACGACTTATTCCAATGACAGTCGCTGGATGCGCCTATTATTTGGCCGGGAATTTCCTTTTCAAGACATTCTTGAGTTGTGGGACCTTCTTTTCGCAGAGGGGCTACGATCTGAGCTCATTGAGTTTATATGTGTTGCAATGCTTCTAAGGATCCGTTGGCAATGTCAGTCAGATCTCTTGTGTCTATTTTGGCGTTTATCTTCCTGACCCGTAAATCGCTGACATCTCTTAGTGTTGAGTGCCGATTATTCAGGCGCCTTGACAATATTGCTTCGCTATCCGTCGCCAGAACCGCATTCCCCACAGTCTTTTGTGCAAGACGGTTTATATTTGGAACAAAACCCTACTTCAGAAAGAGGCATGTTTCTTATCTCGAAATATTCGGGAAAACCTGCGGATTCCTCGAGAACGTTGGACCGGTCAAAGGAAAGATCTATCTCGGCCCGACGTTTCAATTTTCGTAATACTCTGAGAGAAAGCAGCCAAGCAAGTTCCCCATCAAGATCACCTGCGAGGAGTAGCCCCATTAGCTTCGAGGCTCTTCTCCAGGATTTCTCTGATGGACTCCAGCGGCGCACCGAATCGTGGGGTGTGGCAAAGGCTGTTCGAGGCGCAGTAACTGAAGCCAGGAAGAATATGCAGGCAATACAGTCGGACAGACTCGTACGAACGCCCTTATATGACGCCGCTGTCTCTGCGGTGGACACAAAAGACTCATCCAGACGGGAAAAGTCGGAGATGCTGGGCAACCTGAAGGCCGAGTTACAGAGCTTGCACGAGCGCAACCGGACGTTGGCGAAAACATTGAGCCAATCACTGGATGATATCATCAATCAATTGGCAAAGCTAGAAGGTTCGGACAAACCCGCTGCAGCCGCTTTGAGGCAAGCTCTCACTGGAGTCCAATCCGTCCAAGCATCTCTTGAAGACCCTTCAAGTTCTCAAGCCACTGTAGCCGGGCACGATGCTGCGCGCGATGATACTCCCTTGAAGCAAGTCTCGGAACCCATGGCACCCTTAGAGAAGCAGGATACCCTCGAACAGGTTGGACCGAGCCAGCCTTTAACGGTCACTGGCAGAGCGCGGGTGTCCACAAGGTCATCCGGTTCGTCTATTGAAGGTGAAATCAAAGCCCAGAAGTTGGCTTCCAGTAATAAAATGCCCTCCGCAAGACCCCTGAGACACACCACACGTCCGTCTCTGGCAGACTCCGAGTTCTCCTGGATGCTTGGTGGTAATCGACACCTCTCGAGTTTCGTCAGTCCCATCTCCGCACCACCAGAACAGACCCGGCATGGTGAAATGAAGAATAAATCTCAGACACTGTTTGGCAATGAAGATGGGGAGCCGAGATTTTCCCGGAGCGAACCCGATGGACTAGCATTGCGAAGTTTTGGGGTCGCTAGGGATCGAGATCCCGGGGGTGATGATACAATTTGAGCGATCTGATGCATGAATTAGATCGTCAGAGGATAAATCTTAATTATGGGATACGAACTAGTACTGATTTTTCTCTCTCTGTCTCTCTCTCTCTCTCTCTTCCAAAGGTCCAAGAGTAACGCTATCAAATCCATGCAACTGTGGCTCCAAGATCGGCACTATTAATCCTAGTAAATTCCTATGGCTGATCTCTGACAACCTATCCTCAAGACTCGTGGAGGCCACTTGAGTAATAGAGTTTAGTCTGGCCGCTGTTAGACAACAAGATAAATAAACCCGGTGTATAAGAGTTGGTGGTATGTTTCTTCTTCACCAACAACGGAGGAGGGGAACGGAGATAGGAAATCCCAAGTTGAAAGCTACTGTGGGACTCAAGATTGGGTAGATTATAGATAGATATACTACCGTACCTAGGTACGGAGTGGTAGATAGATCCATAGATCAACTAACTGCCACGATTACATCACCATTGACTGCTTGCCATCGCTGAAGATGCCTAACTGATCGATTCCAACTCAGAGCTGCAGCCTGCCTCTGAGATAGACGTGGTTTTGGTATGACTGCCTGATGTTCCAACTTTTCATTCATCTCATCCTCCTCATTCCTCTCTCTGCATGCCCTAAGCACGGGCTAAAGAAGCAGCAGAAGCAAAGAGCCAACAACAGGACGTCACTCCTGTCGCTTCTGCATTATTAGTTTTCACATAAGTATAACTACAGGATGAGCTCAGTCTCCACAACAACCAGACTGATTTGACTATTGCTGCTAGTTGTATCGAACTGCCTTGACTATCTCTTAGACTCCTTCTGTCGATTACTACTGACTACTCCCCTCATTGCTCCCCTTTTCCTTCGACTATCTACTGTCTGCTCCCATCTTTTACGATTCTCCCGCAGAGCGTGTCTCTTGTTGCTACTTTCTCTCCTTTTTGTTTTTTTTTTTTTTTTTTTTTCTTCTCTTTGAATGCAGTTTCCCCCTTGAGAGCAAGTTCCATATCCCAAAATTCGTCGGCCGTTGATTGACCCAACAAAGGCAAAACAATCAAAGCATTAAGCCCATTCTTCCCTTTTGTCCCGCGTGCTACGCCTTGTGCTGGTGCGGTGCCTGTGACCTCTCCAAGGCAGCTGCCCTCCAAGTCTCCCTCTTTCCGCCCAGTCCGCTGACACCTCGTTCTCTCAATCAGACGGTGGATGACTCTTTGTTGAAATAAAGAAAAAAGAACATCTCATCGTTATTTTGTGCTCTCGTCCTCCCACCTAGGTTGCCTTCGACGTGGAAAAGGGGTTGGTTGGTTGATCGATTACAGTAACTCGTTGGTCCCTGCGCGCCCGCTGCCGGCCCAAGAGGGAAAAAAAAAAAAAAGAAAGGATAACGAACACGCCTTAGGGAGAAAAAAAAAAAAAAAGATCTTGATCGACTCCGACTTGCATGTGGGGAACCCCATTCATTCATCTCATGTAGCATTAATTACGGCGCTCCTGTTTTCTCTCTCTCTCTCTCATTTTCCCTCTTCCTCTCATCCTCCTTCTGTGGCAGCATCCGGAACTTTTGCGATTCGAGCCTCATTTGGAGCCGATCGGATCGTTATCGCGCGGGTCGTTACATCGTTGCTTCGCTAGGGACATGATGGGCACTACATCATACAACCCCGATGGTTAGTCATGCGATCCCCTGTCTTCAACCCCTTGATGCCTTTGTAATTTGTCTTGTGCCCCTCCATTCGTGTCAGAGGGGGGTTATGATGGGTGCTGCTGCTTGTGAGATTGAACGCATACGTCAGTTGAAAGATTGGGTCTGTTGGCAGAGATTTGCAGAGCTTTATCAATAATCTGGAGCTATCCGTCTCCCAATTCAGAGCGACCTCGGATCTGGACAGTTAGGATTGCCGGGACACGAAAAGGAAAAGGAAAAGCGAAAGAGACAAGGCAAAGCAGAAGACGGAAAGAAGCTGGAGACGGGAGACGAGCGCGCTTATCGGATTTGCCGGGTGACAGAAACAACAGCTGATGAGGTCTTGCGATTACAGGCGAACCAAGTCCTCTGTCATCCCCTTTGGGACCACTTTCAGAATCCCCCGAACCTGATTCCTTCATCGGAGAGTTTCCATCCCACCGCGATGAATTGATGAGAAGTTCGGTGGACACTCTTTCCTCTGGATACGATCTTTCAAGGTAAGAACATTAAGGGCAATAAGAACAGAAGGATCTCCTTGCATTTTTGGCGGGGGGAAAGCATGTTGCATGTGATTTCACAGAATCGGAGTGAACTAATAACAAAACAACTTCTCATTCTGCAGGTCCTCTATACTTGAACATGAACACGGACGTGGCCCATCAGGGCTGGATCGTATACGCCAACCACCCTCGCGAATATTGAATCTTCCAAATCAGTCCACCTCGTCCCTCGTTTCTATATCACCCAACAGCAACGCTCCTTCTCGACGGTCTAGCACAACGTCCAAACCCAATCTTATGCGCATGTCATCGAACGAAAGCATCGGTACTTTGGAGGATCTCCATCGATTCCCCTTGGAGTCGTTACACTCCTTTTCATTCGCCCAGCAATCCGACGAGCTACTGAACAGTCGCCATAATATTTTAAAAAGATCGATCGACTTCATGCGCGACCGTTTCGGCTGGGCTGCCAGCAATCCCGCCATTGCCAATGCGCAGGCTCGCATGGGTGGCGATGCGGAAACACAGAGTATGGTTGATTTCATGTCGAGAACAAGTATTCTGGGAAAGGAAGACAGGCACAACTATGCTGGCTTGTCGCGCGGCCCGTTAACGAGTCCTCCGGATGTGGACAGCGGCAATATTTTCGACCACGCGTTCAATGGCCCCGGAAGCTCTGGGATGGAGTCCAGGGAATCGCGGCAAGGGCAGGATGTAAGTGGAGGAGGATTCTTAACCACCGGGAACATACCTCAACAGAGAAGGGAGATGAAGTCGGCTCCTTCGTCCAGGCGCGTAAGCTTAAAACGTACATACACGGATGTCAGCTTTGTCTGCCCCTGGAACAAGCTGATGGAGACTCTAGCACAAACGTACTCCGCCCTGGACTCATTGCCGTCAACCAGCTCCTCGACCTATGGATTGGGCTTTCCCGTTCCCGCCTTGCACACCCATAGCAGCAAATGGAACCCCGTCTCGCAAGCCGTCTTCAGGACCGAATCCCAAGCACCGTGGACCATTTTGGCTGCCAATGACCTATCCTGTCTCGTATTTGGTGTCACACAAGCGGAGCTCCGCAGGCTAAGTATTTTAGAAGTCGTACAAAGGGATCACCAGCAGTGGCTTGAATCCAAATTGCGAGACCCCACCACTGATGCCGCAGCAAAACTCCCATCGTTACCCGAAAAGTCTCAAATCAGAGCAGTCACCCCAAGATCTGGGGTGATGGGCAAGGGTGTCACAGCGCAACTGCTCAGTAAACCGCCCTCCCGAATGATAAAGTCAGGAAGGGCCCAGACCGACGACGGGTTTGGCTCGAGCCAACGCAAGTCGAGGCATCTAAACCATCCTGCCACCAAGTCACGAGGCGTCCTGCTGTGCGGGGATGTCATACCCATCCAAAAACGTAATGGGACGAAAGGATCTGCAAGCATTTGGGTAATGGAGAAGCGCGGGGGCCTAATCTGGGTACTTGAGGAGATTCAGGAGAACGTCGCCTACATCTCATGCGATGACTCCTGGACGGTCACCGAGGCCCGGGGCGAGACCGACAAAATTTGGGGTCACGATGCGGCGAAACCGGGTGTACATATCACCGAGCTTCTGCCTCACTTGCCCAAGACATGTCTCAAGAAATCAGTCAGCCAAGGGATCGCGGAACTTGCGGAGACCAAATACTACGCCGCCCGGGCTTCCGCTGAGATTTGCATCCCCGCTATCGTCGGGAAGGAAGGCGATCGCTGCCTTCGGGTTTCGAGTTTTCCTCACGTGGCTGGGATGATGGTGTTGTCATCATCCACATTGAAGGTGATCAGCTCGAACCCGGTGTTCTCATCGGCCCTCTTTGGTCATGAGCGACCGGAAGGAATGCATGTCAACAAGCTTATTCCTGGCTTTGACAATCTTCTGGACGTGCTCACAGAAGAGGAGCGATTGCCCTTGGTGGATGGGGTCGTCATCCCGGAACCCAGCTTTCGAAGGGCGCGGACACTTTCGATCCTTCGCGATGGCAAGGCAAATGTAGCTTCAGTGTTCTTAGAGCCAATGGGAATCACGGCTGCTCATCGGGATGGATCCACTATTGCCGTGGATGTTCAGCTGCGCGTCGTAGAAAGTGAGACTTTCTTCCGCACTAGCCAGTACGGGGACGCTGGAAAAGGAGAGGATCACAGCAACCACGAGGACGATGAAATTGCTGTGAAAGAGCTCGTATATGCCTTATGGGTCACATACTCGAGAAAGATCCATTCGATAGGGCCGTCAGCAAGCTTCTCTCCGCCTCGTCAACGGTCGGAGACGGCCAGACCTTCCGCAACGCACTCTTTCGGGGCAGACAGAATATCGGTAGAGCCGCAGATACCGTCTTCAACACTGAGCCAGCAGCTCAGCGAAGCAGCATCAGAGCCATTGACAGATCGGCCTGTGCAGCCAGTTCCGGAACTCCCGCAAGCCAATTCCAAGGAGACGCCCAAGAAACGAACGATTACCGACTACGTGATTCTTGAGGAAATGGGGCAAGGCGCATACGGCGAAGTCAAACTGGCTCGGTTGAAAAAGAACCCAGCCAAGAAGGTTGTGTTGAAGTACGTCACCAAGAAGCGGATTCTCGTGGACACCTGGACTCGCGATCGCCGCCTGGGGACAGTTCCCCTGGAGATTCATGTACTTGATTACCTTCGACGAGACGGCCTCAAGCACCCGAACATCGTCGAGATGGAAGGGTTCTTCGAAGACGATATCAACTACTACATTGAGATGAAGCCCCATGGTCTTCCCGGGATGGATCTCTTCGACTATATTGAATTGAAGGTGAACATGGATGAGGCGGAATGCCGGAATATTTTCCGGCAGGTGGTGGATGCCATTCATCATCTTCATACCAAAGCGCTGGTGGTCCACCGCGATATCAAAGACGAGAATGTGATTCTGGACGGCGAAGGAAGGATCAAGATTATCGACTTTGGAAGCGCAGCCTATATCAAGAATGGACCTTTCGATGTCTTTGTGGGAACCATTGGTAAGTCGGGCCCCTTCTGAGATGGGCTTTTAAACGTGCAACAATTGACATGTGTTTTTTTGCATAGACTATGCTGCCCCTGAGGTATTGCAGGGCAAGTCATACAGAGGCAAAGAGCAGGATATCTGGGCTTTGGGTATTCTTCTCTATACCATTGTCTACAAAGAAAACCCATTCTACAACATTGATGAAATCCTGGATCACCCGCTTCGAATCCCGTTCGTGCCGTTTTCGGAGGAGTGCATCGATCTGATCAGGAAGATGCTTGATCGCGATGTCGACAATCGCTTGACGATCACTGAGGTGATGGAACACCCATGGATGCTGGACGACTGAGCGACGGCGCTCTTTGCATTCGGCGCCTCGCGGAGGCGTTTCTCTTTTTATTTTGGATAACGTATCAAACCTGTATGGTTTGAGGTTTCTATATACCGACAATTTCTCGCTGGAAGAAAAATGATTGACGTGCTCTTTTCTATGTTATTTTTGCTATCACACCAATTTGCATGGCGTGGAGAATGTGTCCAAGGAATCAGACGGCGATGGCGTTTTATGACAGACAGGACGACCATAGAAGGTGAACCACGAAGCTGTATGATACTCAATTTTCAGCGAAGAGAGGTGGAAGGGGACAGGAGAGTCGCAGGGACGGATGGAATATGGATGGAATGAACGACCCATGATGCATAGAGGTACGGAAGTTGAGATACCCATCATCATATTCTATTTACTTGGCTAGACGCGAAACATTTGCTTAAAAAGAAACTTGCTTCATCAGACCGAACGTCCCAGCGAGAGCTAAGTATCTACCTTAGTGTTTGCGCGTCTCCGGCTAGGCGTAGGCAGTGAGGCACTAGACACAGATAAACTTTGCTATCCCACAGTAGATTTGCCTGTGTTGACTGGTTAGCTGCGGGGGGGACTGCACTAGTTTAGTTAGTTAATCCTACACAGTACAACTCCAAGACTCACCAAGAGTCGATGTATTGAGATTCATTTGGATAGAGATCAGACATTCATCCGACAATAGCCTTGGAGGATAACTAGATGACAAAGTACAGTTGTCTTCCACTCGCAAAGTACAGAGACCTAAATATTCTTACATGAGCAATTGGGTAGACATCAGCATGCACTTCACTATGTAAGGTATTGACTATGTGTACACTACATGGATATATATGATCAGGTCCACCAACACAGAACTACTACATAAGTTGGTGAAAATACCCCACATTATCACTATCAACTATCTGGATGTCAAAGCGCATCTACTCCGTACTAATAATGATCCAAGTCCTTCTTCCAATGTGTGGTTAGTCACCGAAACCCTTAAGGAATCTTTCTAGTTTCTACAATCAACCTTGGCGCGTGAGGCGTCCCTACTACTATAGTAGCGGCGTATTTTTCACGGGGTAACTCCGCACCTACTTAGGGAGTCTGACTCTGTATTCTATCAGCCACCACTCACCAGTAGCCTCCCCCCTCAGTCTGTCCTTTTGGTCCAAGGGGTTTGGCCATGAATCCATGGAAGATTTAGGAGTTGGGGGTTGGGAGAGCTGGTAAGCCGGGCATGGGCTATCTACAGGGTTGTTTGGTGGTGGGGACTGGATCGGTAAATAGGATCGAGTTGATGGGTACATCTACCTACTACGTACACAATCATCCCATGGAGGAGCCTCCCTTGTAAGTGGCGTGATCACTATGGTAATCGTATGGAATCCTCTTTCGAAATACCTACCTAGATGACAATGGTATCTGTAGTCTGTACGGAGTACCTTACCTTTCCGAGACTACCTACCTTAAGGTAGGACTCAAGGGATGGCAAATGCTACAAAGTATATATATACATACAGTACGGAGTAAATATAGAGTCAAAAACAACAGTGTTCGGAATCCCCCACTTGACTACTTAGTAGAGAGGGATTGTGCAGAGACGGCTGCTCTTCCAACTCCGAGTACAATCCGAAGCCAGAAGATGGGATATGGATATGGGAAAATGTACCTGAGAGACAGGGAACTTGCCCGGTCCGTACTAGCCGTTCCCATTTTTGATGGCCAGGAACAAAGCGAGAGTGGGAGATCTGTGATTGGGGGTTCTGTTTTTACATTTTTTTGTGGATGGGGTTGCTACTAGGTACTAGTTTGCGTGTTGCCACTCGGTTGAATTGCCTTGTCTTTGCCTCTTTCTTTTTTGTACTTGGTCATCCTATATGGCGGGTTGAGGGATAGACTTGGTTTGCTTGACCAAGACTACCTAGGTATTCGATTGTTTGTGAAATACTAGATCATGTACGATCCTGTATGACAATGATAGGACTGCACTGGAACCTTTCATCCTGGAGTCTGTCAATAATAGGTAGGTGCGGTACTGACTACTGAGAGGGATGCTGCTGGGTAATAATAATAATAATAATACTAATAGCTGTGCACCTTGCAGTTGTAGTGTTTGTATTATTATTATTACTTGTAGTGGGGTGTTTCAGTCACCAGGCAAGATATTCTGGTAAAATACCCCATAGTCCGTACAGACTAGCCAAGAAGAGCCAAGTGACGGCCACCAAGTAGGAACGAAAGGTCTATCGATAACTGATAAGTGCCGTCAATATTATTAGTCTATGATAAGCTGGTGGGGGAGACAATCCAGCGGCCATATAGTTAACATAGGATATCTAGGTAAATTCAATGTGGTGGCGGAGAAAAAGAGGATTTGGTAAATATATTATATGACTATACAAAGTAGATAGGGTTCTGCTAGGGAGGACATACCACTCTACACTCGTTCTAGATAACTGTTAAGGGAGGCTCAGCCGACCTCAACATATCATTCCCACGATCTGCTGACATCCAAAATCCAATCGACCTGTCCATGACAAAGTACGGAGAGATTATACCCACACCTTCTGTTCTGACCGGGTGTATTGTACTTACACACTGACACCGACACTGACACTTTCACTTTACACTTCCTAACTCCCTCTCCCCCTCCTCTGCCTCTTCCCTCCCTCCCTTCCCTTCGTTTGTCTTCTTCGACCAGCCGAGAATCTATCAATGTCACCTTGATTCTTCCTCACAATTCCGTTCCGTCTCCCAGTCTCTCCATCATTGATTTCCCATCAAACTCAACTGTCTGTTGGATGATGCCCAGGTGACGTCTCTCATCTCGATTTAGATTCTCTGATCCAGCCGTCGCTCCGCATCTTTGCTTAAAGGCCCCCCCCCGGGTTACGCGGTTATCGACGCCCATGGTACGGACGGTGACGGTTCCATACCCGAGAAAAAACACCTCAACGGCCATCGGTCAACTCTCTCTCCTCGTCCCCCATTTGGATTCCTCACTTTTTTCTTTTCTTCTCACTGGAATTTCGGTGTAGTTGGTTTATTTTGTTCGACAAGTGATTCTTGGTGTTTTTCGAGCCTGCGCCATCGGTTGGGTGTGATATTGCTGGGTTCTTAGCCTTCGCGTATAGTTGCGGAATGGTCTCTATTCTCACTATGAGTTTCTAGGCCAGTCTTGCGGGAATCCGCGTCTGTTTGACGTCAAATTTGCGAATTGGCCTGTTTGAACATCGTGTTCATCTTTCTGTCTCGGTTGTTGGGCTTCTTCTATTTACATCCGGGACGCCCGTGCGATACCTTTCACCCTTCGACGAGTGCGCTCATATTGCGATATCATAAGCTGCTAACATGGCTACCACATTTCCCGATGAGATTGCGCCCTCGCCTGAGGCCATCTCCCCCGTGAGCCCAACGTCGTCGACGGGCCAGATCCCTCTAGAGCGCCCTCCAAAACTCAAGGGGCGACACAAGTTACTGCAAAATCTCCAGCGCATGTCGTCCAGTCCCAGCTTAACCAGACGCAATCGATCAGCCTCCGCCGGGTATCGTCGAGATGGGAAGGCCTCTCTGTCTTGCGTCTCGCTTGGCCAGTCAGCATACAACCCCTGTCTCGGCAATGGAAGTTCGTCGCAGCTCTATGGGGGCTTGGGTGTCCGTCCGGTAACTCCGGCGTCACCGGGGGAGTACCACGATGGAAACGCTCGGATACGGCTGGTTGGGAGCGATTCTCCAAACGGTTCCAACACGAAGACGATCCCTTTGCCGACCGAACTGCGGCCGGGATCCCGTGGATCACCATTGGAAAAGGACACAGCCGAAGAGAGCGTTGCTACCCCAGCACCCAAGCCAACCTTCGACTTCTGGGGCGGCATGCCTAATGAGATCCAAATGAACATCTTCCGCCACCTGAGCCCGAAAGAGATCATTCGCTGTTCCATCGTGTCCAAGGCTTGGAACAAGATGTGCTACGATGGACAACTGTGGTCGTGTATCGACACCACAGACTATTATCGCGAGATCCCTAGTGATAGTCTTGTAAAGATCATTACATCTGGTGGCCCATTTGTTCGTGACCTGAGCCTCAGAGGCTGCATTCAACTTCGAGATAAGTGGGCCAGCGAGGGCGAACGCATTACAGACTTGTGTCGCAACGTCGTCAACTTCTCCCTCGAAGGATGTCGCATCGACAAAACCTCGATGCATTGTTTCCTCCTACGAAACCCCCGTCTTGAGGTCATCAATGTGTCCGGTTTACCTACTGTGACCAATTCAGCTATGAAAATCATCGCTCAAGCGTGCCCTCAGCTCGAGACTCTGAATGTGTCATGGTGCGCTGGTGTCACTACCGGTGGACTCAAGAGGGTTGTTCAGGCTTGCCCAAAACTGAAGGACCTTCGGGTCAGCGAGATACATGGCTTTGATGACGAGGAGTTTATGGTCGAATTGTTCAAGAAAAACACCTTGGAGCGATTGATTGTGAGTCGCACCGATTTGACGGATGACAGCCTCAAGCTTCTCATTCACGGCGTCGATCCGGAGATAGACTTGCTGACGGATCGACCCATTGTCCCTCCTCGGCGCCTCAAACACCTAGATCTACATCAATGCACCGAGCTCACCGACGTTGGAGTGAAGAGTCTCGCACACAATGTCCCCGAACTCGAGGGTTTGCAGCTATCTCAGTGTCCCGAATTGAGCGATGCTGCTGTCATTCATGTCATCCGCACCACTCCCTTGTTGACTCATCTGGAGCTTGAAGATCTGGAGCGGCTTACCAATAACAGTCTCGTGGAGCTTGCCAACTCTCCCTGTGCCGAGCGCCTTCAGCATCTTAACATTAGCTATTGCGAGAGCTTGGGAGATCTTGGAATGCTTCAGGTCATGAAGACCTGCTCATCCCTCCGCTCTGTTGAGATGGACAACACTCGAGTGTCAGATCTCACTCTGATGGAGGCCAGTTTCCGCGTGCGGAAGCGAGGCTATGATGAAAATCTACCGCAGATTGGCTTGCGCTTAGTGGTTTTCGACTGTGCCAATGTTACTTGGGCGGGAGTCAAGGAGGTGCTCTCGAGCAATGCATATCTCCCGCGCTCTCGCAGGGTCAACTCCGCTAAGCCGATGGTGATGCAGCAGATTGATGAGAGCGAGTCGCCAGACTCACCAACCATGATTCCTTCCTCGATCACCCCACCGCCACCGCCTTCAATATACCCCAACGAAATAATTCACCTCAAATGCTTTTACGGCTGGCAAATGACGGTGGATGAACACAACAAGCGAGTATTGCGCGGAGACCTCGCTGCTGCAAACAGACTCGACAGGAAGTGGGCAGACTACATGATGGCAACCGAAGAAGCAGGCGTGGGTGGTGCCGGTGCCCGGCGCAGACGTCGCCGAGCTCGTGAGGCCGAGAGGCTATACAATGCGGACGATGACGAAGATACATATGGCATCTCTGTGCTGGGAGGCAGGCGCAGAAGAGCGCATAGTGGCGGATGCAGCGTGATGTGAAAGGCAGCGCAGCATTTGGTGATTATTTCTTTCAATTTACTACATATGCAGGTATCATCGCGGTTCTGGAAACCCTACACTTATCCTGATGCGATGTCTTCCGTTTTCAAACGAATGTCGAAAACGCACGCAGCATAAATGCTGGTCATACTGGAAGGCCATAACTTTTTCTTTCGACACTCGACATATGTTGTGACATGGAGCCGCTGCAGTCTGGTGCGCCGCGGATAATCTTCGCGCCTTTGAGGAACCATTAAATCAGCGTCCTGGACTGACACGCGCAAATTTCTCATCTGATTCATTGATCATACATGATTTGATTACTCATCTTTCTTTTGTCTTCCCTAGCCTTGGTTTGGGGTCTGGAGTCATCGTGGTGCATTTTCGGTCAAGACCTTTTTCAGCTACTTAGAGGGACATGGTGATTAGGAGTCTGTTCGATTGAATCTGTTTGTTATCAGCCATTTTGTTTTAGTCATTCTTTGCGGAATACAAAACCGAGCCTCCCCAGAGGGCTTAGATGATTAGAGCCGATATGCAACCACCTCGCACTCAACACATTTGCAAGTCTTTTGAATGTAGATATTGACTCGGGTATGGTATAAAAGATATACAATGGTAGGAATGATCTATGGTATAGATGATGGGGAAAAAGCACAATGGGCCAACGCTAAACAACTCAGCAGTGAAATGCTCAAACTCAACCACAAATCCGGCGGCTCATATTTCGAAGAAGCCTCCATCACTTTCGTCACCATCGTCGTTATCATTATTTTTGGCATCCCGGTATGCATCCTCCTTCGCAGGAGCCCGTTTCGACTTCTTGTCTTGTTTGGACTTCGATGCGTCCGCTTCCCTAGACTTTCCGCTGCTCTTTTTCGAAACCGTATCCTGATTGCGGACCTTCCCAGCATCATCTGTGACTTTCGCTTTCGATTCCGGAGCTGGCGAATCAGCTCCTCCAATCTGCGCATCCAACTTGCCCTCACGGAGAAGATCCAAAGTCCCTTCTTCCATACACTTCTCCACAACCTGCCACATGGGCGGCCTCACGCCCGTAGTACTAAAAATGAGTTTGCTACCCGCACCCGCACCCCCATCCGAGTCCGACTGGCTCTGGTTGTCCGAGGACGCGGTGGGACCCTTCTTGTCCTTCTTCTGCTTCTTCTCGGCGTAGAGCGCGATGTACTTCTGCGTGAGCGGGTAATAAATCGTGTAGTTCTGGTTCACGCGGGCGACGTGGATTTCCTTCGCCAGCGCAGCCAGCTTTCCGTCTTTGGTCGCGGAGTCGGCGTCGGACTTGGAGATTTCCTTTTCGCGGCGCAGGAGGCGGTTGAGGTCCTTTGTTGCGGCTTTGCGGTCTACACCAAAGAATTTGGCTATGTTAGCACTTATACCCACCACAATATCCCACAAGTGCAAGGAAAGGATGCTGCATACCCAGGAACCGAACAAAGTGATACTTCTTGATCATCTGCGACCGATTGCGTCTCGCTAGCTCATCTTCGAGATCCTTCTCGTACCCTGCGAGCGCACGCTCCTGGATAATGCGCGCGTCGGCGGGGAGATCCACGCGGTTGAGCAGGCGCTTGACGTCGCGGATGCGCTTCTTCAGCTCGTTCACGGAAGGGTGGTTGTGCTCATGTTTGGGGGGAAGAATCTTCTTCTTCTTGGCCGGTGCGAAGTCTTCCGAGGTGTCGCCGTGTTTCCGTTTGCTGGCTGCTCGGGGGTCGAATTCTCTGGGCATTGTGTATAATGGTGAAATAGGGCAGATTATTGTACAAATGGGGGGAGGGGGGGGGGGAGGTCAAATGTTATTTATTTTCTGATCACCTCGTTAACGGAGATTCGATATCGGAAAAAATGCAAGCAGCGATAAAATATTGGCGGATCATCGGTCGGGCCGACAGCGATCCCCAGATAAAAGCAGCGGCCAATCAGAAGCGGGCTGGATGCAATGACGCGCTTAGCGATTGTGAATCGCTTCGCTTCCTTCGAGTGTGATATTTGCGGTACGGGTTGGCTTACAGAGTAGATGGAAAGGCGTCCGTCTTACATCGATTCTAGCTAGTGACAAGTTCTAATTGCTACTATGCGTCTCAGCGCCTGACTCCAGTCGGCTTTGCTTTGCAAGCTGGACATCTAGGATGGGCGTTGGCTGCTTGTTGTTTGACGCAGCAGATCAATACTCCATACCCGAGAAGGTTCCAACCAGGTGATCAGTCTTATTCGCGACACACAGCCTAACAACAACAACGCAGCGCCGCGATGGAGACAGCCATTCGCTGGTCGCCATCCTCCACCACGGCGGAGCAGCGCTTTCTCTCCGTGGACGTGACAGGGAAGGCATTCCGCCTGTGCAGGGTGACTGCATTTGACGGCCGCAACCTAGAACATGAGGTGCTGTCGGCGCATACCAAGGTGCCCGCGTTCCGCGCCTTCGATTGGTCTCCCATGGACGAGTCCCTGGTCGCCGTGGGCCAATCCTCGGGAGACGCGACCATCTTGCGCATGAGCAGCGAGAACCCGGAGTCGTTCTCGTTCCCCATCCGGCACCAGCGCTATTGCAATGCTGTCGCATTCAGCACGCATGGTCTGTTGGCGGCGGGGCTGGACCGTGTGCGCAACGACTTTTGCTTGAATATTTGGGATGTTAATCAGCGACTGGTCTTCAAGGGCTCCAAGGGTTATATCGAGCCACTGCGGAAATTAGCAAGCTCGGAGCCCATCACGAGTATCAAGTTCTTTAGAGATCAACCCGATACCCTGGTGACCGGTGTGAAAGGCCAGTATGTTCGGATTTATGATCTGAGAGGTAATCCTTCCCCCCAGCTCCCCCCCCCTCCCCCGGTCTTTTCGCGACAGGGCTGTGCTCTTCGTGGGTTGCGATACTGACGGTCTCTGCTAGAGGGCCCGGGAAATCCATCTCTACAATTTGCCACACGATCTGTCCATAATCTGGCTATCGACTGGCTTGATGAAAATTACATCGCTTCCGGTTATTCGACTAATGACCCTACCATATGCATATGGGATCGGCGGATCGGATCTCGGTTTACTGCATCCACGGTGGGTGCAGCGACTGCACTTGAGACTAGTCAGGCAGGTCCGGCACTTGAATTCAAGAACGTCCTCGGCCCTAAATCTACGCTGTGGAGTCTACGATTTTCAAGGACAAAGAGAGGATGTCTGGGTGCACTTACAAACACTGGCAGCTTCAAGACATTCGACATCGCCAAGGAATATCTGTCCGAAGAGCACCTCTCATCTATGGATGAGACTCTCGGGCAAGGCTCTATGAGTAACTACCCTGAACAGATCTACACAAAATCTATTCGCGATGTTATCAGTCCCTTCAATCATCCTACGCGAGGCTGCAAAGAGTCTGATAGGGTCGTGGCATTTGATTTCCTAAATATGAGCACTTCCAATGAACCGACGGCAGTAACCTTGGCTGGAGATGGGCAGATTAGCTTGGTTACGGTACAGCCTCCTTCTCCACCTGTGCGGCTGTCTTCTCAAGGTGTTCTCATTCGGGGTAGCTCTGAGGATCACGCGGACTTTACACAGTTGCGCCCTGTTTCTGGCGACCACTCGAGTATCTCAGAAGTTGTTGAACGCATCCGCGAGCGCAACCTCTCCACTTTAGACGCGCAGAATAATCTTTCCAGCCGTGAAGTTCGGGAGCGAGACTTATCCCTGGGCACTCTTGGCCAGCCATTGGCTGCCGACGAGGCGCTGGCGCTATTGACAGTCAATAGACTACGCTGCAAAGAAGGATACCTGTTTGATGAAGCGCGGAACAAGCGAATCCTAGCAGACGACCCTGATCTTCAGGGTCTTTGGAGCTGGGTTCAGCGTAAGCTATTTCTTCTGAGCCCTGCAGAGCTGTGTTGACTGTGATACGTAGGTGCACGTTCCGATTCATCAGGTTCTACAATGATTAGGAATGGTCTGGACTTCAATTATCTTGGAGTGTATGATATCTGGAACAATGACCTAGGTGAGCCTCTTCTTTTTCCGATTCCTTCATTGACAGGGTTGCTGAACTCTTGAAGGTCGGAATCTTGACAGTCGACGCGTCGGTGCAAACAACGCCGACTCCTCATCACTTAGCGAAAGCATCATCGAGCTCGTCCGGGAGCAATTACATCTACCTGAAATGAAAGGCTGTCAAACATCTTTTCCAGAACATCGCCGACTTTGCCTGCGTCTCTGTGGTGCAGCGCAGTCCCACCGTGAATTGGAGGAACTTGTGAAGACACTGTCCGCGGATAATCAGCATACTAAAGCAGCCGCACTGGCTGTCTTCCAGGATGAATCCAAGCTGGCTTATCTAGCATTGCGCAGTCACGAATCTACTCAAGCGCATAAACTACTTGCTATGGCGATCGCAGGTGCGGCCAAAGGGGAGGCTGATTCAGATTGGGAAGAGACATGCGCGGAGATCGCGAAAGAACTCGTGGATCCCTACGCGCGGGCTATACTGGCTCTTGTCAGTAAAGGGGATTGGAAATCAGTTATTCAGGAGACAACCCTCCCCCTAAAATACCGGGTTGAGGTTGCTTTGCATTGGCTTCCGGACGAGGAACTCACCGAATACCTGACCGCAATTACCGCTGAAGTAGTCCGGCAAGGGGATATCGAGGGAATTGTTCTCACAGGGCTCGGCTACTCCGCTTTAGATCTCTTCCAATCGTATATTAACAAATTCAATGATGTCCAGACGCCGGTCCTGGTCATGAGCCACACTGTGCCGCGATTCATCAGCGATGGCCCAGGCAGGGCTCGCTACGAGGCATGGCGCGAAACCTACCGCTGGCAGATGAATTCGTGGAAACTTCAGCTGGAAAGAGCGCGGTTTGATGTCGGCTCACGCAAATTTGCCTTCGCCTGGGACGGGCGCAGATTGATCCAGCCTCCTCGACAACAAGTCAGCTTGACTTGCAACTACTGTACCAAACCTCTGACACAACATGACGCATCCTCTCATGTTTCTCCATCTACGGCGGGCGAAGTGGTACATCCAACTGCAGGCAATCCTCTGGGAACAGCCGTCATGTCCGGCATGGTGTGCCCCCGCTGCGGACGACCTATGCCTCGCTGTGGCGTCTGCACACTCTGGCTAGGCTCCCCAGACCCGATGTCCAGGGCGTGTATCGCAGCCGATGTGGGCCAAGAGCAACGCAAATCTACCGAGACCGAGGTCATGCGCAGATTTGTCGTCTTCTGTATTAACTGCAATCATGGCTTCCACGCACACCATGCTCGAGAATGGTTCGCCAAACACAAGGTGTGCCCTGTCGCAGAATGCAGTTGCATTTGTGACCGGTAATATTGCTCGTTATTTTATCGAAGGGACCATTCCATTTTGTTTGTTTTTTAGTGGTGCTGTTGTACCACATGAGGGGAGGGATTTCTGTTACTTCTGATACCCATTTCAGGACAAGGCATGAGGTTATTGGCCTTCTTTTCAACTAATGGACATTACTTCTTTATCTTAATCCTATTTTTTTGGACTCACATAAAATACTCTGTAGTACTATGCTCCTATGCTCTTTGTAAATGAAGTATAGCAATGATTGCACTTCCCGACTCGAGTGCGACCTCTAGACAGTAGAGGTAGACTAGTTCTCTTATCATTGCCAACCGATGATGTCAAATTAATTTTTTCCTCGGCTTCCCCCACTCTGTATCTCATCGGTCTTAACTTTGAACTGAATGTTATATGTGAGGCTGAAATTGTCTCTTCCGTGACCGTAATTCTAATGTCTATTGATTTTGCATAGCCGTCTGTCTATCAGTCCGGTTGAACTGGAGTGAGGTAAGATGATTCATGAATAGACTCGCCCAGTCACCGTTGATTCACACTGAGTCATTCCACAAGCCCAGCCGCGAATCCATCTGCATGATTATCCTCTGACAGCTCTGCATGACAGCTTAAAAGCAACACAATACTACCTCGATCACTACTACCCTTATCCGCCGGTCTTCGAACCTTTCATCGTCCCTTCGTGCCCCTCGTAACCCCGCTTGCGGAACTCAGCATGTCGCAAAATCAACGCCGCGGAAGGGGAGGCAACCAAAGCCGCGAAGTGTCTATTTCCAAAGCATTGAGTCTACTGTTGCGCCATGCGGCCGAGAAGGAAGGGTTGAAACTGGATTCTCAGGGGTATGCCAACATGGCGGACGTGGTACGGCGCGCCCTCAAACCAGAACATACATACAACAAAGGCGATGCTAAACACTTACCGTTCGAATCAGTTGGCATGGAAGAAACTCAAATCGCTTAAGGTGACGTTCGCCGAAATCATTCACGCAGTGGCCTCGTCCGACAAGAAACGCTTCGCACTACTACACATCCCCTCTGCAAAAGCCAGTTCTACGACGGACGACGCCACGACGCCATCCTCAGCGCAAGACACAGAAGCAGCCACAGCCAGCGAAACCGAACCAAGCTCCATGGGCAGCTCCCAGGTCCCGACCACCAGCGCAGACGAGGAGACCGCGACGGCGGCCGCGCTCGCAGTCGAGGATACCGACCCGTCGCATTTCCTGATCCGCGCGACGCAGGGACACAGCATCAAGAGCGTGGAGGCCGCGGCGTTCCTGGAAAAGCTGACGCTCGAGGATGAGTTCAAGTTACCTGAGACCGTGGTGCACGGCACATACCATGCCGCGTGGCCGGCTATCCTCAACTCGGGCGGGCTGAGGTGCATGGGACGGAACCAGGTGCATTTCGCGACGGGGCCGCCGCTGGAATCCGTGCTACCGAAGCATGTGGATGGGATGTCGCATACGGCGGCGCCGCCGGGGGGTCTGAACGATGGACGGGTGATCTCGGGGATGAGACGGGATGCGCAGGTTTTGGTTTACATTGACATCAAGAAGGCGCTGGCTGCCGGATGTCCGTTCTGGCGCAGTGAGAACGGGGTTATCCTGAGTGAAGGGGTGGCTCTAGGGGACGGCAAGGATGCAGGGGATGGAACGGCGCAGAAGATTGTTCCATTGGAGTTCTTCGATGTCGTGGTGGAGAGAAAATGTGGGCTGGGGAAGCTTTGGGAGCATGGGGAGAAGGTCCAGGAGCTGCCGTTGGAATTGGTCCAGAAGGGCAACCCCAAGGGGCCACGGACAGGACCGAAAGGCGGGAGAGATGGGAGAACGAGAGGATGATGATAGTAGTAGGCTCGATATCTGCTTGCGAAACCATACTCCTATTGCATCACCAACGCTATGATCTGTTATTCTCTGTAAAATGTATGCAGCATAATTCAGTGCTCATTATGCTGCTGCTGACTAAGGTATGCACTATTCCGCTGTCAGCTGATTATGCGGGGAGATTCCATTCAACCAATCAGCAGCTAGACACTATCCGATATCCGAAGTCTGCGGGGAAGTCGGATCGTCGAAAAATCAAATAGTCATACGGTCTCTCGACCATCTGAACGCACGAAGAACAGCAGAGTATGGATGAATGAAAGATTGCCTGGACTGCTTCCGATTACCATTCCTGATAAATCAAGATGATCTCAAAGCTACCAGTGATCCGGCCCGAGTTCACCAAATGCCATCCAATTGCGGGGTGGTCTCCAACCAGTCCGGGGGCCCATTATTGGCATTGTCTTCCGGAACAGAAGACTCGGTGGATGTAGATGTGATTGAAATATAAGCCGATTATCTCTCGCGACTTCAATTCTGCTCTCGCTGATGCAGGTCTATTGCTATCTAAGATCTAGTCTTGTCTTCAGGGCTCGACAAAGGCTTGTACGCTTCTTCCGAAAATTCGATCTCGCCGTCGAATTGAGACACTACCGAGTCAATGCTACTGTCCCAATAGCTCCATACCCCTGCGAGAGAAGTGGTTTTCCGGCCTGTAATTACTTCACTATTTCTAGAGATAGTGTTCCATCACCAAGACCCGACAAAATCCACAATCGTCTTGCCCACCTGATCCGGCGCTTCAATACAATGCCAATGGCCCACCTTAGGCAACACTTCCATCTTCTTCTTCTCGCTCGACACGCGATCAAATATATATTTGCAGCTATCCAGCGGAGCAGACTTATCCTCCTCGCCAGCGATGAGCAAAAACGGCACCGTGATGGTCGAGTAGTCGACGACAGGTGAGTTGGCGACAGCCTGGCATAGTGCCGCGTAGCCCTTGGGGTTCTGGCCGAGGAGGAGTTCTCGGATGAACGATTTGGCGAGCGGAGAGGTCTGCGAGCCCGTCGCGGCGTTGGGGATAGTATTTGACATGGGTTCCATTCCGGCTGTGTGATGCTGTTGTTAGTTTGTTGGGGGGTTGTGTGGAGGGAACTTAGAGAGAAAGAAGAAAAAAAAAAAAAGAAAGAAAGAAAGAAAGAAACATACCCTCGAGCACTGTCTCGCTCCTTTTGCTCATCGTCGTGGCTATAGCCTCTGAGGGGTGGGTCGGGCCGATGGCGACTACACCCCTGATGCGATCGCTATATTGTGCGCCGAGTAAATTAACTGTCAAACCGCCCATGGAGTGGCCGACTACGACGGCCTTGGGGATGTTCAGCGAGTCCAGCACCCCGACCACGTCTGCAGCAATGGAAGCAATGGAGATGGGCAACCCAGTATAGGTGGAGCGAGCGGAGCCGTAGGTGTCGAGGGTGATGCAGCGATGGCTGGGAGTCAGGTGGTCGAGGATAGGGAAGTAATAATTTTGTGAAGAACCAAGCCCGTGAATGAAGACAAAGGTCTCACCATCCTTGGGAGCTCCCTGGGGATGAGAATCCGCATAGCAGATATGACGGTCGTGTACTTCGAGATACGGCATCTTGCGGACTCGGAGCGATGAGGATAACAGAGGTTGCGTTGGAGTGGCTGAATGGCGATACAGAGAAGGAGAGTACAGAGTATGAAGAATCCCGCTATGATCAAATAGTATTGAAAGCGGGGCATAGACAGCAATCGGGTACCTCCAAGAAGCTCAAAACCAAACGAGCCGACACGCTATCGTGATCGCGTTTGCTATCTTGCGTTGACGTCAATGTCGCGTTGTTGTTCTCTTCTTCGGCTTCGGTTTCCCTCCAGTCCAAACAACTCGGGGGTTTTTCTGCTATGAATATGATACTCCACCGCGCATAACAATGGAGCACGAAACTAGAGATCTTTATCGCTATCCAATATTTTCTGCTTGTGTGAGCTCTGCTTGTGACTTTCGCAGTCTTGCAATGATTCCGTCGGATCCCATTATCACAGCGGGGTCAACTCGCAACTCAGCTTATCACCGTCCGTGCCGAACTGGAGGATCGCGATCCGAACGCTGCTGGTCAAACAGTCCGTCGGGTCGGATCAACGGGTATGTGTGCATCTAGATGCTCTAAGAACGGCAATCGTACATCCAAAAATGAATTTGCGAGTTTCGTATGCCTATGTGCAGAACAGACGGCGCTATCCAACCACACGATGTATCCAATCCCTCTGCTAAACGTGTAGGAGGTCGGGATTCAAGCAATTGCTCCCACGGAATCCAAGCGAATTAATTCCTGTTCAAACTCCTCATCCGTATCAAGTTCATGACCAAATTCTTCGAGGAGTACTGCAGTATCGTCTTGGAATGATTCTCCCATTGGCAATACAGGTTTGCACGGTGGTTTCATCAGTCGATCAGTATCCTCCTGATTTCTAGGTGTTTCGAGGATGCGTGCAATCGTTTCCGTTTCTTTCATGATCTCTTCGTCGTAAAAAATCGAGCATTCCGAGAACTCATCGTCGTCTCTTTTGGGTGCTTGACCTACAACATCTTGAGGATCGCTGATTTCCGTCGGGCCTTTTCCAGCCCCCATCTCAGACGCCGCAGAGATCATCTGGTTGTCAAACGTAGCTTCGTCTAAACATGATAGCAGATCCTCGTCGATCTCGGTCGCGATGCTCCCCTCACTCGCCGACTCTGTATCCTCGCAATCCTCACTTCCTGTCTCCGGCTTGTCCGCGACCGACTCGGGCTTTTTGAGGAACCTAGATAGTAACGGCTGGCTAGCCGGAATAGCGAGGACATGGGGATCAGGTAGACCGTGTCGTCTTCGTTCTTCGCGTTCTTTCGCTTCCTTCTCTGCCCTCTTTTTCTTGTTAGCTAGGCGTTTCTTTTCCTTCTCTCGGAGTTTCTTGGCTCGACTCTCGCGTTCTTCTTCGCGTTCGATGCGCTCGATCTGCGAGGCTGTAAATTGGAATCGCTTGTTGCTGCGTTGATACCGGCGGCGCACTGTCCGGGATTTTTCCAGGGTAATGCGCCGCGGTTGATCGGGCATGTTTGAAGCAAAAGCGGTGTCAAGTATTCATGCAGCGGATAAGGCTTAATAGAAGCATTGAATTCTTGGTTTCTTTAGTTAGTAGCCTCGCCAGCGTTGCAGTGTCCACTGATTGAATGAACGGTTTCATTGTTACTGCAGAGAGCTCTTGTCGACATTATCTGACGGCGATAAGTTGTCCCGACCATTGCATGACATTCACATGTTTACAGATAGCAGGAACAAAGAATAATGCCTACCTTGCCTCATGAAACTAATGCTGCTTTATTATTATTCATCGATTCAGATTTCATCAATATACACTGTTCGCAAATCAATCATTAAGTGCTATCATTATTTGGATGAGGCGCCATAGTGCTTCACTACTCCGAGCTATATACATGTCGCAAAGATATATATATCCATCACTTACAGGCGAGCATCTTTAGCAGGATCCCAACACACAGGTGCATAGATACCAGTGTTCAAGCTCTGCATGTCCTCCTGGGATAGCTCAAAATCAAAAACCTGCGTGTTCTCGACGATGCGGGAATCGGTCACCGACTTGGGAAGCGGGACATAGCCCTATCCAGAGCAAGGTTAGTCAAGAGCATAGTTATGGAGAGGAAATGTGCCTATCATAATACCTTCTGCAAACTCCATCGAACCAAAATCTGAGCCGGCGTCTTGTTGTGTTTCTTGGCCAAATTCTGTAAGACTGGCTCGTCCATACGCTTGGCTTGAACGAGAGGAGAATAGGCTTCAACGATGATGTCCCGCTTTTTCAACCAAGCAACAATGTCTTCACGAGCGCACCAGGGATGAATCTCGTATTGACCCACAGCAATTTGGCCCCCAACATCACTGCTGTTGATATATTCCTCAAGTTCCTCCAGATGATGAATGCCATAGTTGGAAACTCCGATGGAACGAATGAGGCCAGCCTTCTGTGCCTCCACGAGGGCGCGCCAGGCACCAAGGCGGCCCTCTCTGCCACCGTAAGGGGCATGGAGCAGCACCCTGTTCAAGAGTCAGCCAAGTTTATTGATCATCCAATAGCGCGGGCAGGTCGCTTACAGATCGATGTATCCTAGATCAGCGTCCTCTACACTGGCCTTGATAGCTTCCTTGGCCTTCTCATAGGATATGGAAGAGGCAGGAACCTTGGTGGTGTAGAAGATCTTGGAACGGTCGATTCCGGACTTCTTCATGGCCTTTGCACATTCCTTCTCGTTGGCATAGTATTTCGCGCTGTCAATCTGAAAAAAGATGAATCAGATTCAACTAGCCCCGGTTAACTTCCGGCAACCCAAGGCACCTACATGGCGGTATCCTGTCTCCAGCGCTTTAAGAGTCACCTTCTCAGTGATCTCCGGTGGTCTGTGTTGCCAATTCAAGGTCAGTATTCGAAGTGTCTGTAAATCACTGAATCACTTGCAAGAGACGCACGTCTTGTAAACCTTATCGCCCAAATCTCCTGTTAGAATGGGTTGGTAGTCTCAGAATATACCATTGAGAGTTGTTACTCACACCGAAGCCGATGACCGGGATCTCATATCCCGAGACCATCTTGTAGGTCGACTGAAGGGAAGTTGGAGCCATGACGGCGACGTATCGTCGAATGGTGGTGTAATAGAAAGAAGGAAAGCTACGAGATAGATCTGACGCAGTAGCAACAGACTCAGGGGCACAGAGTGCAGATTGCGGATCGATTCGTGGTTATATCGTCGACCGTCATCCAGGGCCTATCGAGAACCGGAGAGTCGATTCACCATAGTCACTCCCGGCCCCCTCCTTAAAGGCCAATTCTCCATCCCGAGCTTCCAGATGAGTGATAGTGTCGCGGTGGAGAGGATCAACGTGGGGCGGGTGCCGGAAAAGGAAACAGGTAGTTATCTAGGAGATCTGGGTTTGGGGAACGTGAACTCGGCTCTCTGGAACGGAGACCCGGAAGTTACCCGCGTGTAGCAACTCAGAACCGCTGGGAGCTGTGAGTCGAACGCTCTATCAACGGTCTGATACTTAACCTGTCGATCTGATAGAAATGATATCATCTCTCAATAAAGCTAATAGGGCTTAGGGCTAGCATCTTATCGATAAGCATAGGCGCCAGTCTCAATCAGGAACTGTCCCGCATCTGCCTTGCGGCCTTGACGTTGCCTGAAATCAAATGTTGGATCACCCCCTCCACAGCTCTTGAAGGACTGGAACAATTCGACACTCCCTGCTATTCGTGATAACAGGCATATATACTCCATACTACCGGCATTTATCTTGGTTTCTATTGGTTGGAGCTACTGCTGAGAATTTATTGGAAAAAAACAAACTTAAATTTCGCCTTGGATAACGAGCTATACCAACCATATATACGGAGTCCACCTACAGTCCCCATGCGTTTGATCAAGAACAAAATCGAGCATGGTGGCTCTGGCACAGTCACTCTGTGCCCCGAAGAACCAGAGGATATGGTATTCAACCTGTTTCAAGTCGATCCGTCGCATTATCTGACAACTATGGTTCCCTCCAGTGGCACGCATACAACCTAATCAGGCCTGGTGATCTCCTTCGTGCCAGTGCTATCCGTCGCGTAACAACAACCCACGATTCCGGCACTACAAGTTCATCGCGAGTCCATTTGACGCTCGAGATCCGCGTGAAAAGCCTCGACTTCGACCCGCAGACCTCTCAGTTGCATGTGGGAGGACAGATTGTGAACGAGACACCGCACACAAAGATTGGGCAGCATCATACGTTGGATCTAGAGTTAAACCGCAATTTCACCTTGGAGAAGGAAATCGGCCAGGATGGAGAGGGAGTGGGATGGGATAGCATCGCGGTGCAGATGCTGAAGGATGCGGTGGACGAGAGCGGCAACCGGAGGGCTGAAGCTGTCGCGGTCGTTATGCAAGAAGGGTTAGCCCATATTTGCTTCATTGGGCAGTTCCAGACCATCTTGAAGCAAAAGGTTGAGATGTCAGTGCCGCGAAAACGTCAGGGCGGTGGAGGTGGAGATCACGATAAGGTACATACAATTTCTACCTCATACTGCGAGTGTACATGAACATAGCCACTGACGCAATCTAGGGAATGTCGAAATTCTACCAAGTCACATTGGACACTCTTTTGCGGCAGATGGAGTTCAACACCAGCTCTACGTCAATGACGACCAACGAGCCTGTGAAGCCCGTCCTTCTTGCATCGCCGGGATTCGTCGCCGCTGGATTCCAGAAATACATTCAATCCGTTGCCTCGACCACTACGCCCGCTCTCAAACGACTTTTGCCGAGCCTTGTCGTCGTGCATTCAGCCTCGGGGTACTTGCATTCTCTCGCCGAAGTCCTGCAATCACCCGCCGTGAAGACGGTGCTGGCGGATACCAAATATGCCCGCGAAACCAAGCTGATGGACGACTTCCTTGAGCAGCTGCGCAAGGAGACGAATAGAGCAACCTATGGACCCCGTGAGGTCGAGTCAGCAGTTGACCAAGGGGCTGTGGGCCGCGGGGGCGGCGTCCTCATTGTCTCGAATCGCCTGTTTCGGTCACAGGACGTGGCGGAGCGCAAGCGCTGGGTGTCTCTTGTTGATCGAGTCCGAGACGTTGAGGGAGGCGAAGTTCGTGTACTCAGCTCCGATCATGAGAGTGGGAGGAGGTTAGATGGATTAGGAGGGGTTGCAGCCCTGTGTACTTTTCCGATAATCGAGGAGGATTTGGATTCGGAAGACGAGACTGCCGAAGCCAGTTGATCAAATCGGAGCCATGTATAGCCGAATTCTCGATCCATCCCATTCCTTTCAACGCCCATAGAGAGAGAGAGAGCGGGGAAACCCATGACGATCACGATAAACGACACGATCAAATAGAACGCAATCTATCCATACCGGCGTCAGACATCTGGACCCGGAACGACTACACTTTATTCCTGGTGTAGACAGCCGCAATAGAACCACCATATATGCGCATCGTACCCAAAGGGGAAACAAGTTCACACACTACCTACCTCCTCTTCTCCACCCACGTAGTTACGTAGCATAGCATAGTAGACTATCTATCTAGTATCTATCTCACGCTCACAGATAAAGGCCAAAGTAATACCGCATCATGCATCCTTAGGCCCCTCCACACCCTCTCTCCCGTAGCCGCAAAGTCTGAAACCTGAGCACGGCTCACCAGTCACCACTCCTTCCCACGGGGCTCCGCAGCAGATCCAGCGTGGCAGGCGCCTACGCCGCATCCTGAATGGAGCGCAGGGTCCCGATTCCAGCCTGCCAAGGTGCAGGTGCATGATGCATGCGTTAAACAACAAGATACATCATACAAAATGAATACTTACATTCCACCTGTTCTTTTTTTTTCTGTTTCTTTGATTTGCTTTTCAACTTTTCTCGGCCGCAACGGACTAGGTGCACCCTTGGGGGCCGGATTCGTATCAAGTCATCCGCTACGAATAAGGAATGCGTCGATTCATGATTTCTTCCTTCAGCGAGAATGGGATTTCGGTAATAATACTGGCAATACTGTAGTCAGAAGTGATCCTTTGAGATCTGGAGGAGGGCGTGGATTGGCTGCTGTGCCGTTGTAACGGCCGTAGCCAGGGCGGCTATTGCACTACTGCCTTCCGGGGCCGTAAATTGCGGGTATGCTTTGGCTTGATGAGTTGAGAATTGAGACGATGATATGAACTCATTGACCTTTTCGGGCTTACGGCATGGTTGTTGAAGAAGAGTTCAAGGCGGGAGTTGTCAATTTATTATTATTGTATTGTTATTGAACCGTATCCACGACCGTGGGATGCCTGCCAATCTTCTTCGCATGATTCGATAATTCGTCTCAAGGTAAATATATATGTCCAAGAATAATCGTGAGTTATAGACAATAAACCCGCGGAGGTTATGTAGATGTAGTTGTAAATGCAATGCGCCATACCCTGCTAACCAGAAAATGCCACAGAGTAACTCGCTCACCACGAGTCCAAAGCAAAGTGCGTTTGGACTACAAGATTGAAGGCCGAAGAAGAACAAAAAAGGGCCAAAAAGAAAGGGAGAGAAAGGAGGATGCATGCACAGCTACGCCGTGCCGCCTCCTCCAGAAAAGTCCAGCCAGGATCGTTTTCGAGAATGGGAGGTGTCAGGTGTTCGCGATACTGGAGCACTGACGCGATCTCGATTTTCAGCCTCCAAGTCTCGTAGTTGAGCTTCACATTGCTGTGCCGTATAGGTCCTTTTGGCACCCAACTCTTTCATCTAAGGGGGTAGCATTGTTAGCAAGTGACCATTTCAACATATTCGATGGATGCAATCTCACCTTTTCAGCTATGAACCGATACTTTTCACGCTCCCAGTGTTCTCGAGCCGTGATCAGTAGCTGGATCTGGAGGACTTCGGTTACCAATGAATTTGGGGCAATCGTAGGGCAAAGACACGACACACATACTCACATCATTTTCGTCCCACCGCGCTAGACGTTCTTTGCGCCGCCGCAGCATCCGCATCTGCAGGCGTGCTTCTGACGCATCTTTATTGAACCTGTTGCGGAACATCTCTCGGATGACTTTCCATGCTAGGTTCTGTTCGCGCAGGCCCTTGACAAAGGCATCTTCTTCTTCGGCTTGTGGGTCGCGCCGCCCTCGGCCGGGAGCGCGAGGCCGCTGCTGGGGATGGGGATCAATGTACCCTTGCCGTCGTTCTTGCTCTAGTCGCTGGAGTCCTTCTGGGTGCGGCAATATCGACACTGGAGTTTCACGGGCAGGGCCAGCAGGTTTTGAACTGCCTCTGCGGACTCTTTTCGCTGCTGGCGGTTGGGGCGACAGCCCGGCTTCGGGATGTCCAAAGTCATAATCATCTATGGTGTGTCCAATTCCAGCGGTTACAGTTCGCGGGAAGTCGTTTGGGAAGGGAGCGGTGATGCCAAGTCCATGCTGCGCAACAGACTCGGATATGTTGTACTGGTAATCTTGAGAATGATGGCTGAGAACTGGACTGGGTCTTGCATGCACGAAGGAGCTGTCTGGAAGACTGATCGGGGTTAAAATGGCAGCGGACGGATAGGTAGATGTAGTGGTGTAAGGATTGTGGACAGCTGCGTAGGGAGACTAAGGAAGGCGAACGGTTGGTCAGTGAGCTGATCACCCTGCAGAGTTTCTTTGAGTATTCATAGACCTACGGTTTCAACTCCTGTCCACTGGGGAGGCAAATTCTCATAGTACTCGTCAATCCCATCTCCAGCTCCGGGAGTGACCTGCCCATACTGCATCTGGCCAGCATACTCGGAAGGTGTCTGGGGATACATAGCGCGAGCCGATAGGAGGACAATTTTGGCACGCGCCTGGATCAGGAAGAGAGCGAATGGATTGGTAGATGGCAGGAGAAGATGAAACACTTGTTGAAACGAGTATCAGGGGGAACAAAAAGGTGTCGGCGGCAAGAGGAAGGAAGAATGGCCAAGTCGGGGCGAGAGCAAGTATATAAGATCCCACGAGATGGATGCAGATGATGCGCTTCGATACAGAGATTATTTCATTCTTCGCAAGAAGGGATATAAGATGGGTTCAAAGACGAGGAGGCCTTCCAAAAGAAGTCTCTTCCAGGTTCATATACGTCAGTGAGGATGATCGAAGAAAAGTTGAACTGCCTCACAAGGCATGCCCAGATTCACGAAGCTGTTCGCTCAACAGGTCGAGAGAGCTCCAGAAAGCATGGGAGATACCGCCGACTATCACTGTGCCGCACAAAAACGCTCGTAACAAGAGGCGTAGACACGACGATGGTTCTGCATTTAAGCGCCTGGCTATACCAGAGATGGGGTCCGGATTATTCACAAAAGGGAAGCAATTCTCATCTCCTCGCGATGACATGGGCAGAAAGATTTCCAGCCCCCAAACTGCCGGGGCGCAGACCTTGGGGAGAAATTCCCATGGCCCACCCTTCTCGATGGCAAGGCAGCTCCCATGAAGTCCCAGCACTCCGGATCTTCCAGGGGTGGGAACTGGGAACCCGCGGAATGACTTTTGAATGGCATCGGGTTGCTTAGCGGCCTGTTGCTCGATCTTAGGGGTCAAATGATGGTAAAGGGGTTAGCGCTAAAGACGTCAAAAGTCAAGATGTGAGCTAGCTAGGTGGGGTGGTATGGGAAACGGACGTCTCTCTTGAAAGCCCGCAAAGGGTGTCATCGCTTAAGGGACGAAAAAAAAAAACAAAGAAAGAAAAAAAAAGAAAGAAAATGCTTTCCCAGAAAGTCAGGCAGACACCCTTGCCTACTAGCCGCTATTATTACTACTGAGCCTAGACGGGAGAGAACAAGGAGCGGAGTTGACTGCTCAGCGTAGCCGAATGGAACAGGTAAATGACCAGAAAATCACCGATCGAAATAATAGCTCGGAAACGGATGGACTTGACCAAACTCTAGAGGAAAGAAAGACTCGAAGAGCTCCATCCAAGGGCCACAGGTCTATGACATGGACCCAGTGTCCTAGACAAGGGTACCGGATAGCGGGCCATTAAGCGCTTGTTCGTAATTGCGGCTGCACATCCCGGAAGATTAAAGGCCTCCTGTAGGCTCTCAGAGACTCAGACGATTGTTAGACGCCTGGTCTGAGCAAGCTAAAATAGTTAGTACTGATATTAATGAGCCTGAGGTGAGATTTTAAGCAGAGCCTGACTAGCAGCCTCAGTCCAGTGACATCCACCTCCAGAGGATCGCGCAGCACTAGCCGTCTTGGTTGCATAGCTAGCAGCTGCGAACAAAGACGCTGAAATCTGCATGGCAGGTTTTCCATCATTTATTTCCGCCGATTCTGGTGCATCAGCATGAGCCATGATGTCCCTTCTCAGCATCCTGCACCACGTGTCCCACAGAAATCATGCTGAATACGCGCCAGAGAACGTCCACTTCTGTATCTGTTTTGACTTTGGGGCCGTCGCTTTCCAGTCGGCCGTAGATCCGGGATGGCGCTGGCGCTTAGAGAGCACGAACCGTTTGTTCAAATAATGAAGGATGGCCCCTTTGGAAAGAGACCCTGTTCGACTCAGCTGAGCTGGATGCCGATACCCATTATTTTGATCAGACATCCGTAATCGTGGTCACTTCGATACCCAGGTGTTCTCCCAGTTTTTTTTTTTTTTTTTTTTTTTTTTTTCTTCTCGTTTTGTCTTGTCTTTGTTCAAAAATCATCTTCACAGTAGCCAATTTAGACTGTCTCCACGTGAGCTTACAGGATTTTCGGTAAGCTGCGCCAAGACTGGCGTTAATCCGATTAAGATTCGAGGGACTTCGTCTTCTGAAGCATTTGTTCCGGAGACGAACAGTTTGACGTTGGCGTGTTGACCTCGTCAGGCGTTTTTTTCCCACTCTCCGTTTGACGGTTTCAGACGCCATTCCCTGTCAGGAACACGGATATGATTCGTTTCTTGTGGGTTGATTCGGTTGACTGCGGCATCATAGTCCATCCGGACCCTTCTTTTCGTGGCTATGGCCAGGCGCAGCAATGGCTCAGAGTACTTCTGAAACACGGGATGCCGTTTTGACCTTGTTTCAAGTTTTGATCTATCAAATAGTAGCTTGTCACTATGACTGGCTTGCTCGGCTATCGTGGATCACCCCACTACTTTAAACCAAGAGCCAAAACTGAAATATCCGCATGATTCTCGTGGATCTCATCATGACCAACAGTCTAAGAGGGCAAACAAGGCTAACAGGTTGATAACATGGCATTGATCGACGATTGCGCCTCAAACCATCATACATCATAATTCCAAAACATGATTCGCATTCCAGAATTGACCACTCAGAGGGAAGGAAAAGACTAAAAACACGGGAAAGCATGCCACCAGCAACAAGCACTTCTATATATAGCTAATGCCATCATCGGGAAACGGCATCAGTCATGATTGGGCCTAGTGGGTGCTATATGCAGTGGGCTTTGCTCGTTCGTTTGATGATCAAGGTTGTCATCCTCATCCTCCAGGAATCCCTCCATACCCTCGTTGCCCTCGTCATGGGGAGTGCGCCGATTGTACTCGTCCAAAGTGTCGTCAGCTGAGATGGAAATGCCTCGAGCACCCCAGCGGTTGTTGCTGGGCCTCTCCGTACCAGCTCCTCCGTTGCCTTCCACCCCTTCTGTGTGGAGGTTCTGCTCCTCGTCCAGGCTCTCTCGACGCCGCCGGATAGTGAACACTTTGTTTACAAGCCAGCTTTTGCCATAGTCTTCGGAATCCACCACGCCACCATTTCGAAGCTTAACGCGTTGGCGGGAATAATACACCCAAGCGAAGTCGGCGTAGAAAGCAGTCTGAATGATACCAAAAATCATCGCGACTGGATCCCAGTGATGTTCAGAGCCAAACCCACGCACAAGCCAGTTGAGGATGTAGAATGCGCGATATGAACCCAGAGTGAGCAGGTAGTATGAGTCGATAACCGTGGGAACAGTTGTCTGGCGCAATAGGAGGAGCTGTGGGAGCACGCATACGGATTCCAGAATGATCGAGAATGACCACATTGTCTGCATGATGAACCCATTTAGCCCCGTAGCAAAAGTGCCCTCTTCATGGGTGCTCAACTCACCTCAGTAAACCAATGTCTGGCAAAATTGTCCTTGTAGAAGATAGGAGTCACAATAGGCGCTAGAACAATGGCTGTGACAACGGAGCCAAGGGCCATCTTCCATGCCCGCTCTCTCTCGCGGGTCCGCGGATAGACTTTCATCATCAAGAAGATGATGTAGAAGGATGACAGTATGTAGAAGAGCTTGAAGAAAACAAGATAGTTTACAAATCGGAAGATGTCAAGGTATCGGGTAACAAAAACAGCAGCATAAAGCATTTGCGTAAGTAGGGAGACACCTGTCGTGGAGAATTGAGGTTTCAGCACGTTCTTCTCGTATCCACCAGGCAGTAAGTGTGCGTGCACATACCTTCCGCGCTCTTGTTGCGATGGATCGCCCACATCAGTATGCATTTCGATGAGATATGGGACAGGTCCGCTAGCACGCGAAAAACATTCATTTCCTTCATGTTGCAATGATTCCTCCAAGTTTCCAGTTGCTCGATTTGTGAACCGATGGAAGGGGCGGTGAAAAGGCCTGGTGAGACACTGTCTGGCTATGACTTTCTGAAAATTGCCTCGCAGACTCGGTGGAGGAAACTTGTATAGTCGGGGCTGGTAGAGATTGCAGTCTTTGGGTTTCTAGGGATCTCGCGATTGACGACTCCTCAGGAAAGACCGAGGCCAGATAAGGCTTGTTGTGGTTGCAACTCGACTTGCTTTAGACAGCTAGATGGCGAAAGTGCTGGTCTAAGAGACGATGATGGGTCAGGAAAGCAAAAGGATCAAATAAAGACTCTCCAAGCAACGAGAACGATCAGTATCGTTGACATGAGGGAGATGGATAGAGATGAGATATGGCTGTGACTGTTGGGAGCTGTTGTTATCTCGGCTTCTCCTCACTACGGAGCTCCACCCATCTTACCCCAAATAAGTCCGTCCACCTTACTCCGTAGAGCGTAGGGCAAGCGTATGTTGGAGTCACGTGAGCAGCTTCCATGACGTCGACCCTTTTGTGTCTGGCATAGTCTTGGCGTCACGAGTCTCCGAAGTTGGAGATGCTTCGTTTGCCGACCTTTTATGTCGAGATATCTGGGATGGATGACAGGCGAGCAAGGATCATGCCATAATTTTGAACTTGCTATACTGCAAGACCCCGAAACACGCTTATAGAACTCTATCAAGAGAGCTCAAGCAGTACTCCGTATATGCGTGGGCCATATGCTCGCTGATGCTTGATGTATACATTTTCTCTCCATGCTGTGGTGGTACAGCTTGAGGTTCGAAATCACGTATTGATGAACGCAGAGCGCATTTGGGCCAGATACTTATCCCCTAGGTATGCTTCTTTCTTACCCAGTGCAGCGTTTCTGAAATATGTTTGTGAGATGACAGATGCGTTGTCTAGATACGAACTGAATCCAAGCGAGAGAACTACAGCTGACTAGAAAACATAGAGCTCAATGGTGTGCTTATCATATATATTGAAAGGCAGTCGAATTGGCTACTCGCCGATGCATTCGTGATACCCAAATACCCTTCGACCAAATCAACGAGTATGAGTTGCGTGACGGGGATCTGTCCAAAGCACGGGAAAAACACTCCAGGTTGCTGTCCCCTTATCAGTGTCCAACGGATGCATGCGATCTCGATCATCACAGACAAACTGTTTCCACCGTGCAGAAATGCTGTGGATGATAAGTTATCTGAGTGGCTGGTTTGTGCTCGATCGAGGCCTTCAGCTTACCCCGCACTTGTCTTGAGCATTGACTTCAACATTGATTGTACTTTTCATCAGTCACTTACCTAGACTGCCTATCTATGCGTAGGACATCTAGATACCCCCAGATGACTATGTTGTAGGTAATTACTTCGAGGCAAATAGCTGATACAATTTCATCTCTCTCTCTCTCTCTCTCTCTCTCTCTCCTTTATAGAAAGATCACTTTCACACGCCGTTGTCGTCATCGCCGTCGCCAGAAAAACCCCTGGTCAGCAATGCCGCTAACAACGCGAGGGCCCCTCACTGTCCATCCTGTCCAGATGGACAGATTGGCATACTCAAGTACTTCGGTGCTCAGGTACTTCTCTTGGTATAGAATTGCAACTTCCATAGGACAAATTCCGCCACCTATGTTTGAGTCTCTGGATGGTTGGATCCCCAGCAATGACGATCAATTCAACGACTATTTATTTAGGACTGGAATAAACAGGTGGACTAGGAAGCTCTCAAGATCACAAGTCGTCCGCAGCACCGTCAATGAGGTCATCGCATCTACAGATGAGGATCTTATCCTCATTCTAGGTACAGTCATTACTATTTCGATGACCGACTCCAGATCCCAGGGAGTATGGTTGTATGTACCCTAACAGTAAGACGAAGCTATCTTCTTGTTTATAATTGCTCAAAGCTACGACCACCGACTTCTTACGAGTAGCTTATCTTTAGTCTCGTCCCTCACATGCCACGAGTCAAGCAATATCCCGTTTTTTTTTTTTTCTTTCTTTTTTTACGAATGAAAATGGAGGTTGTTTTATAAGCTGATCTTGTTCATAGTGAATGGTACTCATTGGCTTGCATGCTCAAGAGCAAGAGAGGGGAAAAAGCAAGTGGGTTCGGAGACAGCGGGATTGAATGAGGAACAATCAAGGACATCCTCATGGTACCCAGTCTCGATTCTTCTTTTTCTTGATGATATCCTCCATTTTTTGTTCCTTCTCATTCTTCGGGTTTCACGAAGGCACCTGTGTATACATCCCATTTACTATCCCTCCATGACGGATTCCAAAGACAGGTCAAAGTACTGTATAGTAAGGACGGGAGTAATTGGCGGGTATGAAGCATGTAACGACGGCTGGATGGGTGTTTATGGCCGTAGGGTCGACTAGGTCCCAGGTACCTAGTACCTACCGAAGATGGTACATTATTAGCACCTCTCAGCAGTCGTACTTTCTACAACGGGATTTGTTATGTTTAGCCTTGTTGTTGTTATTGTGTCGGCTGCAGTTATTCCTTCCTTTTTCTCCTGTTTCCTTCCTTCTCTTCATCTCACCTTCTTTCTCTCTTTCCCTTTCCATGCTCCCCCATTATTATTTGTTTACTGTCACCAGACTAACTGTTGTTTTTTGACCTGCACATGTAACTCTTGCTCTAATCTGTTCCATATTGTTACTACTACTTACTTACTTACTCTACTGACTAGTCATACATATTATTCCTGTTGTCTACTTCCTGTCTGTCTTACTGCTACTATTAGGTCGTCGTTCTTCTCTCCTCCGAGTCTTCCTATTGAGAGTGTCAACGATCCCAATAATGAACCCTGACGACCAGTAAGCCTTTCACTCTCACTTCATCCTCTCTGTCGCCTTCTGTATCTTCACCAGGTCCTGACAAAGAGTCTCTTATCATCAACGACTCCAGTCCACAGCATCGAGTCAGTCCGTACTATTTCCAGCCAATGTATCCTAAGATGCTAGAGAGCTACTCTTGTGACTGTGCCTAAACCTGTTTATACTTCTCTCTCTCTCATCCCCCTCTCACTCTTTACTTCCTTCACCTCCTTCTCTTCCTCCTATGAGCTTCATCTCCCTGCTTGCTCTATTTCAGTCCAATCTCTTATCGAAGTACTGGCATACATACACACACATATAGTACATGCATGCATGCATGTACCACCCTCTCTGATCGCTCTATCTTCCCTGCGCTCATTTTTCCTTTCTTCCTTTTCTGCACCGTTACTGCCACTTTGTGGGATGCGCCCGTGTCATCATTGTCTCTAGTGTAACAGAAAGAGCCCACTTCCCTAGACCTGACGGCTAATCCACACACACACACACACACACACACACACACACTCCTGTCAGTAGCAGATGTGCTAATCTCCTAAGCATGTGTATTGACAGATGAATCGTCGCAGCGTGACTGGGACAGCGGCGTATCTTCCAACATGTCGTAAGTGACATTGATTCATTTGGCGCCGCAGCGACAGGTTTCCCTCTTTTCTCACCCTACTTGCATGTACCCGAATACATATACACACCACATGCCATAGATTGTTGGAAGTCTGGTTGTGCTTCGTACTCATGGCGCCAAAGCAGCGAACCTTGTGTACTGACTTGGACGTTTCATCATTTTCTTCTGTGTTAGGTCACCTCCAACATCTAAGCGCATCAAGACATCAGTCTCAAACACCCTGCCCCCTCAACTTTTAACTCAACAACAGATAAATCCTTTCCAGCAGAGGCTCCCCGCTTACGAGGGTATTCCGATGCCCCCGGTTCAAGTATCGCCTCAGAACCCCCGAAAGCGCCGATCCTCTCCTCAGTCCAACACTGCGCCAACAATGGCTGCGCCAGTAACGTCGACTGCTACTTCGGGAAATACCTCACAAAATGCTCGTGCCGGCGCACCAGAGGCCGCGCCCAAGAAGAAAGGGCGCACTAATACTCCCTGGACTGCGGAAGAAGAACAGAGACTCAAAACCATGCGCGACGCCGGTCGCAGCTGGAGTGAGATCGCCAAGGCATGTCTATCTGATTGTGAATTCCACCCTGTGTTCTTTCGACGTACTGACTTTTTGTCCCCTTTGTGATGATTGTAGACTTTCCCTGCCCGAACTGAGGGAAGTGTCAAGAAACATTGGTACAAGGTGCGATCCCCATTCCGGCTGTTACGCGTCCATATTCATCATGCTGACCTCAACCACAGGATATGCATTATGCTGAGTTTGCGGAAGACGAGGTACAATATCCCGCAGTGAGCACCATCTGTAATCGGAGTCTTGCATTAACGCAGTTCAGTCGGTTGCACTCCGGGATGCAATCAAGGAATATGAGGCCAACAAATGGAAAGTCATCGGGCAGAAAGTTGGGAAGCCCGCGAAGGTTGGTCTTCTTCATCTTAGGAACCCCGTCGCATGGCTAAATTCTCTACGCTTGTAGGCATGCGAGCAGTATGCCAAGGAACATTTCAAAAATATTTGACGATCTGACGACAGGCGACGACGTGACGATTTTATGCGAGGGCTATGATGCGTCTTTCTACATATCAACTGGAGCTTCGGAAGGGTATGTGGATCGAATGATTCGGTAACAAATGGGGGTAACGGCACTGGTTCTGGAGTTTGATGCCTTTCTCTTTTCTTCTCTTCCCGGTCGTGTTCATTTCCACCATGAGGCTTTTCTTTTCGGCTTCTCTTTTGTGACAGCATTTCCTTTTGCCTCAGCGAATCCTTGATCACCAAACTGTTTGGCATTGTGCTTCAGCTAGCGGAATGCTTATGCTAGGAACAATGTGATCGGAGCTCTCGAGATGGAGATTTTGTATTTGAGCAGCTTTGCTAAGCAATTGAGTGGAGTACTTTTCCGCTATGATACATTGATATCTCATATTGATGAGTAAGAACTTTAGATACGAAGTCTGTATGGCACTGGCTCTCAAGGCGCTGATTGATTTTGGGGTGGCAACCTGGATAGAAGAACGACCAAAGGGTCAAGAAGATAGAGTCAAAGACAGCCGTCGTGGCGGCTAGGGCGGGAATACTATGGCCATGGTCGTATTCTCTTTTTGAGAGGGAACTTTTCACTCCGAAAAAAAACAAGTTGATACCCCCCCTCCCCTCACACAGAAGTAAGGGTGCTAGTAGACTAGTAGATAGATAGTGCTGCTCTGGAAACTGGTAGAGTTCTGAACAGTCATAGCAAGTCCCATGTATCAGCAACGCCCAGGCCCCAACAGCGGAGCAGAAAAAAAGTCATCAGTTTCCCGTGGCGGAAAATCTTCCCTCACCTGATCCCCTCCATGTCGATTTCTTCCCTTTGAATGAATCACTTCCTTCTCTCATCCTGTGGATCAATCTCATCTTTTGTTTACAGAAGAGAGGTCTGCAAGCAGACAAGGCTCATTAGGTTATCGATTTGTCGCCGTGGTCGTTTCGTGTCCCACTCTCAAGGTGAACTTCACACTCCTCCCTGACTCTGACACAGATCCCACCCCCCCAATCATCAGGGTGGCGACAGCCCTGCTAAAACCACCACGACTTTTCACTGACTCAAGAACCTTTGTTCCATCTTATCAGATTGTTGACTGTCACATTGGTTCGATTGCAGTTTAATTGAACTAGAAAGGACCATCTCCAGTACATCTCTCCCGTCTTCTTCAGATAGCTACCAAAGCCTATCATGAAGACGAGTAGCCTGGTTTTGTCAGTCGATCAAGGTAACTAGATAATCTGCCTGCATGAAGACCGGTGTTCGGCCTCTGTATTGTACTCTACATATCTCTCGATGGCAATACGTGTTCCAGCTGCATTCTTCCCTCGATTGCTCTGATGCTCGGTTGTCCTCCGAGGATATGTGGCCGTCACAGTTGTCGTTCTGAGATTATACGGTTGAACTTGATCTGGATAATTCCAGCGAAAGAACTCATGCGCGCTTCTTTCAGCTTCTGAACCCTCCCCCCCCTTGGCTTCCCTGGTATCTGGATTCTAACCCAGAATGTCACAGCATGTCGTCGGAAATCACGAATCCCCCGCTGAGGGGCCACTCCGAGAAGGAGACTACCGGCTTTCGCGCCGAGGAGCAGCCATCCACTTATCTGGACCCCAAGGGCGATGGAGAGCCCAGTAACAGGGCAAATGGTCCATTTATCCCCTCGCGTCTGGGCACGCACCTCAGAAAGTTCGAGCAGCAGCTTGTTGAGTACAATCTCGAAGCTCGTGGGATTGAGCGCGTGCACGAGGGCGAACGGAAGAAGAAACTCACCTGGGTGTCCTACCTCCAGGCTTTCCTACTCTGGGTTTCGATCAATCTGGCGGCTAACAACATCACGCTGGGGATGCTGGGGCCTGTTGTATACCAGCTGAGCTTCCGCGATTCGGCGCTGTGTGCCGTCTTTGGGGCTTTGCTTGGCTCCCTGGCGTCCTCGTGGATGGCTACCAGGGGCCCTATTTCTGGAATCCGGACCATGGTATGTTCTCCTCGATATGCCGATCATCGGTGTTCAAATTGGGAGCGTCTGATCTGATTGAAATTTCAGGCTTTTGGACGTTATGCAATGGGCTGGTGGCCTAGCAAGATCGTGGTGATCTTGAACCTGGTTCAGATGCTGGGATATTGCTTGATTGACTGTGTGGTTGGAGGCCAAATTCTATCTGCTGTCTCACCCAATGGCAATCTTTCCGTGGCAGTTGGTAAGTGGAATAAAGCTTATTCCTTTGGAGTGATAAAAACTAAAAACAAGAGCAAGGCATCGTGATCATTGCTGTCATTAGTTGGATCATCGCTACATTTGGCATCGATGCTTTCCATTTCTATGAGCGGTAAGGAAGAATCCTCTCCAAGATCGATTGACCACGACTGATCGTCTCCAGCTTCGCATTCCTGCCTCAGCTTATCGTCGTGTGCATTCTTTTTGGTGTATCTGCAACCAAATATGACTTATCCACGCCATCTCAAGGTGATCCTCGCACGATTGTTGGTAATCGGTAAGTCATCAGAGCTCATTACCTAGCATTGACGGCATGCCAAACAGCCCCTCTCTAATCATGTCCGTAGGCTGTCGTTCTTCTCTATCTGTGTCAGTGCCGCTATCACATATACACCGTTGGCGGCGGACTTCTTCGTCTACTACCCAGAGAGAACTTCGAAGTGGGCCATCTTCTCCTTGTCATTGTTCGGCCTTATGACCTCATTCACTCTGGCCCTCGTGGCCGGTATTGGCCTGGCATCCGGCATCGCATCTCACCTTGAGTACGATGCCGCCTACACACAGGGCGCTGGTGCTCTGATCGTGGAGGGCTTCGGTCCTTTGCATGGCTTCGGCAAATTCTGCTCTGTGATTGTCGCACTCGGCCTCATTGCCAACACCGTCGCCCCGACCTACTCCGCCGGAGTCGACTTCCAGATCCTCGGCCGATATGCGGAGAAGATTCCTCGGGTGGTCTGGAACACCTTCGGCGTGGTCATCTATATCGTCTGCGCCTTGGCCGGCCGTAGCCATCTTTCGGAGATCTTCACCAACTTCCTGGCCCTGATGGGGTACTGGGTCGCCATCTGGATCGCCATCATCTTCGAAGAACGCTTCATCTTCCGCCGCAATAGCGGATACAACTGGTACGCGTGGAATGACGCTTCACAGCTGCCCATCGGAATCGCAGCCTTCATCGCCTTTGTGGTCGGCTGGGTCGGCGCGATCCTCTGCATGGCCCAGTACTGGTACATCGGCCCGCTTGCAGGATTAGTCGGTCAATACGGCGCGGATGTAAGTCATTCCTTGTTTCCATGTCTATCCAACGCCGCCCGGAAACTAACTCTGTGGCCAGATGGGCAACTACGTCGGATTCACCTGGGCGGGCCTCATCTACCCTCCCTTGCGATACATCGAACTTCGCTATTTCAAGCGGTGATGCGATGCCACCACGCCGGACCTGCCATCTCTCTCGTAGGAGAACATCATCATTTGGGGTTGTAATCATCATAATCGCAAGATTCATACAGGCCTACATAACTGTTGGAGACTAACGAGGGTCGCCTCGGGAAAGATCACGAGAACACAGAAATGTATTCCTTACTCTCAAGTCCCCATTCTAGATCATATTTATTTTCTCCTAGATAGATCACCTAAAATGGGACTCTCATGATCTAAGTATGTTGATAGTTACAGACTGAACATACATTATTTCCCACCCTTGTGTTTGTCCCAGTTGGATGTACATGTAGAGCGATCATACTTACAGGCCGCCTGGCTCTTCCGCAGAATCTTAGAGTCACTGGACTCACTGGCTACTGCATTGTTAGCCGGAAATGCGGGCTGCGGAGTCCCCACTTCCGCTGTTCCGAGAAACATCAGACCATATCTGATTTTCATTTCTCATTTCTCATTCTCGTGTCATGTCATGCTGTTTCATCATGTCAGTGACTGCATGTATCACATGATCCTGCATGAATTGCGAGATACAGATACAGGATTCACCGAAGGTGCTTCTGACCATGAAAAATGCATGTAGAAATGTACTTTGGAACTAGGATCATATTAAAAAAAAACAAAAACAAAAACAAAACATACACCAATTCGCACTCCATTCAAATCAACTTCGACTATATTCTACAACAAAAAAACAAGACACGAGGAGGAGGAGTCAACACAAAGAAGATGACAACCATTCTTTAGGACGCCCAAGGGACTAAAAGGAAACGTCCAAAAAGGGCCGCGGGTGGGAACACGAGCTAATTTGACTGTTTTCTTGTATGCCGTCCCTTCGTTGGCTTCGCCTTTATCTTTTTTCCTTCTCTCCCCATGTGATATACGGATACATGACAAATCGACACTATACTTGGATTGTAGCGTGGGACGATTTACCGGTACCAGTACTCAGGCTTGACGTAGTCGGCGAAGGTCTTGGGCTCCTCGTGGGCGGGGTGGTGGCCGTGGTCATCTGGAATATAAGTAAGAAAACGAAGGTATCAAAGGATCGGAAAGATCCGGCTGTGAGAGACGATAAGGTAGACTTACGAGCGTGGGGATCCTCATCAGGACCAACGTACTCCAGCTTGACAACGTTGCCGCACTCGCCGCAGCGCTCGAGAGGACGCTCACGAGAGACCTATAGCAGTAAAAGAAGAAGGATCAATGGCCGGAACGGTTAAAGGCAAAGAATTTCGTGGAGCGGGATGGACTTACCGTCAGCCAGTTGACCTGGTGGGAGTCTGCGGGGAAGCCAGTGCAACCGGCGTACTGCTCATCACCAGCGCTCTTGACAATGATGGGGTCCTCAAGGGTTCCTGAAGAAAGCAAGCCATATTAGCCTCGGGATACAACGCATACCATATCGGTCGCCTGAAAATGAGGCTACTTCCGAGGCCGACGCGCAGAATACGCGCAGATACACGCAGGAGAGATAACATACCCTTTCTGGAAGCATCCAGGGGTCTCATGTCGAAGATGTCAATGCCCTGCATCTTACCGACGAGCTCGAGACGCTCGAGACCGGTGGCCTGGTCGACATCGGTGGGGACGCTACCGGGCTTAGCACCGGGGGGAAGGAGATCATCCTCAGTCTTGATCTCTGTAAAGCAAGGATAAGCAATTAGCTGAGTGTCTCGAGTCAATGGATCGGTCTAGCCAAGAGATGGTCCACGAGATGTGATGACAAGGATGCTGCAAGACCGAGGTCGACTGTCAATTGAAATATTCAATTGAGAAGCCTTTAGTAGCAACGACGGCATTGTCTCCTTGTAACAGCCCGTGGCATCCCAATGGCAATGACCCAACGAATGATATGGCTACCAACCCTCAAAGGGAAGAATCTTGCCCTCCGACTTCACCTCATATTTCGACTTGTTGCCTGCAACCCGAGAGAAAAAAAACAATGTTAGCCGGATTCCCAGTCCATATTATCCACAAGAGGACATCGATTGCGTAGCGTGGGCTCAATTGAGCCACGCAGAGGACGATGGTGTCATTGATCGGAAGATCTGGGCTGATCACTGGGTTCACGTACAGCGGACGACGGAGGAGGAAAAGGGACGAGCAGCGATGGCTCTGACAGGAGCGCGCCTGGCGAGGGCGAAAGCTGTGCGTTGAAGGAACATTGTCCTGGTAAGGTGATTATCAACGGCGGGCGAGGGGGTGGAGGTTTGGAGGTGAGGGAGTTTGGAGGTTCGAGGTGAGTTTGAAGCCGTTTCGGCCCGCCGTTCGACTGGAGCACCTGACTGAGAGCCGCCCAAACCCACCCGAGTCGTGCGCTGCGTCTTACTCAGCAGTGTGATCTGATTGGCTGCGGAGCTTGTACGGCGCGCTGCAATCACCAGTATAGCACTGCTTCCCGATCCGGAACTTCCATTAGGGCTTAGGGCTCCTGCATCTTCATCATATCAGATCCTCTAAAGTACCTATTAACCTTTATTCTTTCTACAGACAGTTGAACCAGTACGCTTATGATGAATGTCTGGTCACATCTGATTGTTACCATACACTTTAAGGGCGATGGTTCCATGTAACTGTTTTTTTCTAGGGCCAGCCATAATGATGTGTTCCATCCAGCACTCAAACAAGAAAGAGCAGAGAACAAAGTAGATAATAAGAGATCTCATGAGTGGTTGACCAGCCGTATACTCCTTATGGATTCCGTGGCTACCATTTTCTAAAATTGCGACGCCTTTTCTCGACAAGCTGCTGGAGTGAAGCCGTTGCCAACCTTCCCAGCGATTATCCGCCATCGGTCATTCTCATATTCTTGGATCGCTCGCTGAAGTCGTTGAACCTAGTCGAGTGTTAGAAGGTTCAGTCAAGTGTTTAGATATTTTATGATGTAGGGCTATCTACTCGGGGGATACTCACCATCTCATCCGTCCACGTCACATCCTTGGCTTTCAACTTGGTACAATATCGAACCTGCAGCGTTCCACTCGTTCGACCAGGAAAGAAGTCGGCAATCTGCTTCCACGTCAAGTTCTTGTTTTCTTTCAACTCCACCAACAGGGCGTCCTCTTCGGGCGTAAATTTGAGTTTGGGTCCTTTGGGCCTGGGTGCTGGGTCAGGCATGCCAGGCTGACCCACCACGCTCGGCGGCCCCGACGGGACAGGAGATGATTCTGGATTCATGCCATGTCGGTGTCCGGAGTGAACCGACGCTTGTGGGGGTAAGCGATGGTGGTGATGTTGCTGCGGCAGGGCCATGGATTCTGGCGGGCCAAATCCATGGCTCGAAAGTTGTTGATGGTGATGGTGATGTTGCTGTGATTGCTGCTGCTGTTGTTGTTGATGGTGGTGGTGGTGGTGTTGTGATTGTGTCTGCTGCGCCGAGTCGCCGTGTACAGAGAACAACATCCCCGGAGTGTGCGTAGTCTCGGTGTGTGCTTCGGAGGAGAGTGTTGACAAGTGTGGTCTGACCCCATGATCTCCGTGATTGCCATCTCCTTCCGTCTCAGAAAGGGGTCGCTTCCTACTATGGTGGAGGGGAGGGATCTCGAAGCTGGAAGGGGGGTACTGGACCGGGAGCTGTCGTGGAAGCATCTGAACCGGCGTGAGAACGACCGTCTGGGAAATGTCAGGATTTGCGGCTGGGAGTACGGTCGCGCTCGCATGGTGTTGCTCATATGCCGTTCTATGTGAGGTTCCTTGCGGGTAAGGAGGGTTCGTTTCCTTGTGGCGTTGAAGATGCGATTGTGGTGTCTGGTAAGTAATTGCGTTCTCATGACCCTCGGGTTTGGCATGTTGAGAGTAGTCAAGTGCATAGTCTCGGTATGGATCCGCCAGCGTCACGGACATACATCGGCTCTGCTAGGGCTTCACAGCCCCGGCAGGCTACACAAATATGGTATTAGAGGCTTTCGTGTGGGATGTGATGATGGAGGAGATAGACTGCGATCGATTGTGTCGCGAAGTAGGATTTTGAACGACGTTGAAGATGCGATATCACTATCAGCTGATATGAGAAGGCGAGACTGCGGAAAATCTCGCCATATACAAAGGCTAGATACCTAGACCTGTTGAGAATCGCGAGTAGATGGTTTCCAACGTTCTAGCACGCGTTGGACTATGTCAAAGATTAGAAAAACAACGATATGCCCAGATGATAGTGGGCGAGGAATATAGGGTTCGGAAAGTGTGTAACTTTGTATTCCTCTTAGGCTGGGGAGATTAGGTCAAGGGAGCCAAAGCCCATTAAGGCAGACGGTTCAGGCTATAGTTCATCGGGGCAGAATAAGCAATGAAATGGTTTGCTCCCTCACCAGATTATGTTGGATTCTAAATCTAAACCGTTAGGCGCGATCGTCACCGGCACCGAATGTGATGCAGCCAGCTTTTCCTGTTCCAGTCGACGGACAGCTCAGACTTAGAGCTCAAATGGCATCACAGGAGATTAGAGTGTGAATTGGGTCCTTCGAGACCCGCTGTCCCGTTACTCAAGATGCAAGGAAACGGAAATTAGCAAGAAGAAAAGGGAAAACCCAGAGGCCGAGACATTCTTAGAATAAATCACTCATATACGGTGGTACATGCCGTGATCTATGATAGGCTGCAAAGGCTCGATGCCTGCTGACAATAACGGACCTGAAGACAATAAGAGAAAAAGGTTCTGGAAGGAATTTTCGGAATATCAAGGAGATGGGCAGTTCATCCGTCCAGAATCAGAATGTTGCAGGCCGGCACAGGCAAAGAAAAACCCCCATTTGACGGATCTGCGTCACCAGTCAAGCTTAGCTTGCAGATGGGACTGGGAGTATTCAATGTCGACCAACAAGGGAATTTTAAGACTTCTGAGAGGTTATTTGCTCCTTGCCGGAGCCGTCCGATAGCTGCCAAGATAGGGCGAGTCCAGAGAAGGTATAGGAAATGGACAAAGGGGAGCGGGCAGCAGCCACAGCCCACAGAGCATGAAACACTAAGCTAGACAAAGAGAGTCTCACTCGGTCTCATCTTTAGCTTCCCTTGTCATCATGCCTGCCTACATGGATCAACCGGAGCGGAGACAACCAAGCCTGCTCACACGCCCGGCCTGGCATAATTTCCGGTAAACCTATTGGATAGAAACAGCGATGAGCGAGACATTGGATGTCAGGTAGAGGGACGCAGCCTACATACCAGAATGCTGTGGACTGTGAGCCCCAGTACTATATAGTTAGGCTCAAATGTCGATATGCCTCTGGTCCACAGTCACACACCGCCACCCATGAACAAGACGCCAATGGATGGAAAAGATAATGAGCACAGAAGAGATCAAGAGAAGCTGGCGAGATTCCCACGAGGCAGGAGGGGGAGGATCAGGATTACTAGCGGAAGGATGCTAGCTCAAAGCTGGTGTTTTAGTGGGCCGTCGCCCTGCCAGGAAGTTCCAGGCTAGCGCTCTAACTCGAGCATAAGAGCACGATCCTGGTCTATAAGTCCTGTAGGTCTCGAAATCGGTGTGGGACCTTGTGGTAGCATCAAGAAGGCAAGTTGCGGAAGCCAGATAGATACTGGCAGATTACACTGTAGATAGAGTGTAGCCTTGTAGGAATACCTCTGTGGATTGGATAGTCAATATCGCATCGCCATGCAGGCCAATTGTGGTGAGCTGTAAATGTACTCAGAAAAATCGGTCTCTTTTTACAAAGTCGTATTAGGGTCACCGGCAGCCCCCCTCCAACCTCACGTTTAATGGTCTGATTTCTTTTTTTTGTTTTCTTTTGATTGTCGTTATTTTCCCTTGATTTTGTCCTAGTTCTTTTTTATTTCTCTCTCTCCTTTTTTTTTCTTTTTTTTTCTCCCTTTTTTCTTCCTTCTGGCCCATGTCGCTGCTGGGAGAACTAGCAAGGGGACGGATAGGTCCCCTGTTGTTGCTCTTGTTCGAGACCATGAAAAAGGCAAAAGATGGTCGAGTAAGCTTCTCCCAACTTTATTTAACCATTTTCAGTGGCTTTTCTTTTGGGTAATGCCACTTGGATGAGATGGGTAAGCTCTCCCCGACCAAGGGACGGAGTTCCAGTGCCTAGTGCCCGAGGCCCCGAGCAGGCCCATGGTCTGTGTGGTTCGTTCATTCCTTTTTGTTTTTCGAGTTCTCTTGAGTCTTGACCCTTTTTTGGGAGTGGGAAAGGTTGATGATATCGATGATAGTGATGATCGCTGGGTATTTAGTACAGACTAATCAATCTCGTTATCTTGGAAATCAGCATCAAAAAGTCAGTTCGGATCATCATCGTCGTCGTCGTCATCAATATCATTTCAAAGGGAGATCATATTACCGTCAGGCTCCGTGGACCCATGAGACCTCATTCCACCTGTCATGGCGTAAACTGGTGGATATGATCGCAGTTTCGCAAGCTTGCGATCGATGGATTCCACCCCTAAACGTCCCAGGATCCGTCTCAGGGACCTGGAATTTTGACTTTTGGTTCTAAACCCGTGAAGCAATGGTGAAACGGATGCTCACAAGATCGCACCGTTGGCTCAAAAAAAAAGGAGATTGGAGCCGCCCGGGTAGATAGCGTCTGATGGGCTACGAGAAATCGGATTCGACGCGAAGAAATGGCATTGAAACCTTGTAATTATGGAAGAAATATCAAGGCTGACACGCAGGAAGGAGGAGCAGGGATGAAAATCATCTCAGTCTGGTCTGATCCAGGCCCTGGAGATGGTTGTGGTGGTGGTGGTGGTGGTGGATAGATAGATAGATGATGTTGTAGCGTCGTGGGGTTGGTGGAATGTTTTGAAACCGCAGCAGAGGAGAGTATCGAGACGGAGTCAAAATACCACTCGCTACACTAATAATCAAAGCACCATCTAACCAGGGACGTGGTGGGCTTACAATTGCCTCTCAATAACTACCATTTACATTGCAACCAGCTGCTTCACGTCGGCTCCTATGCTCCGTACTAAATTTAAGGGGGAAAAATATGTGATAGTCGTTGTACTGGGCAAACATCGATCTTTACCAATCAAGACGCTAATTAGATGGATTGATTGATATCCTGTCAGGGATCAAAAAGCTCATCAGGCCAGTCATACAAACACTAATAAGATCCATGCTACATACACATATAGAATCGCCTCATATTCATATTCATTTCATGTTGAATTTGCACTGTACGCATGATCATTCGTCGCTTTTCTGACCACATTTGAAATTATAGTCGCCCTAATAAAACATGAGTGTGAGAATGGACTCGAGTAATGCTTCCAGCGTGAAAAGCAGATAGAATAGTAAGATAATGAAAAGGAAAATACGCTTGGACATCAGGAATAAAAAAAAAAAAGAAAAGAAAAGAAAATAGAGATTAGAAGACATGAAAAGAAGAAATCCCGACACCCAACGCTGGTTTCATGCGAAATTATCGGACCGGTCAACCCAAATGTCCTCCAATTCAGCGAAATTTTGGAAGTGCAACGGACGGTGCTGATCGTCGTAGAACCGCAGTGGCGTGTCGATTTTCACATACACTGGGCGCTTCTCAACGCTGCCGAAGGCGCTTCCCATGAAGCTATAGTTCCACACATTATCTTCCGGGACAAGGAAGTAACCACGAATCTTGTCGCTGAGCAACAGTTGACATTTCTGACCCATGCTGGTGGAGAACCCTTGCGGTTGGTCAGATGTGATGTCTTTGTTCTCAGCTCCCCACTTGTAACCCTGAGGGGTCAACCCCCAGGCGGCAAGGGAAACAGAGCCAGGGGTAAAGGAGACTGTCATGGTCACGGTCTTCTTGTCCCATGAAGGATGGGCATTCATCAAACGCGCGTGCTGAGTCACATCCATGGCAGTCATGTAAGGCGGCTCGTTGCCAGAGATGGTGTGGATGACACCGAGCGGCTCAAGTCCGTTCAGGTAGTCATGCTGTGGTAACTGTTGAGGTAGTTGCACGTCTCGGGTATTTCCGACCTGTGGAATCATGACAATGGTGCGAATCTCCTTCACTTGATCATTATCTGGTGGGGAGGTACCGTAAAGGTATCCAGCGACCTGCACACGAAGATCGGCGATCGTGATGAAGCGCCGGAGGATGTTCTTGGGCATGATGTAAGTGTATCCCTCTTCTTGAATCTCGTCCGAGGAAATATAGATGTTGTTGGCCCTCGTGCGAAGGTTCGACGTCGCAATAGCCCGGGTACGCCATTCAGTCTTCGATGCGAATGATTGCTGCTCATACTGGGACGTGGTTGTAACAATGATCTCTTCGCCGCGGACGTTCTGCGTCTTGGTTGTGACAGCAGTAAGCTGCTTCTGCTCCTCCTGTTGCTTCTCGATCTCCGCAGCCTGCTGCCGTTGCAGGGAAGGCGCACTGATCTCCATACCTAGGATGATGTCTCTGACTTCGCTGCTCGTCAAACTCTGGACGTTCACGTTGTTCTTCTTGCCATAGTCGTTGAGGATCAAGTCGCGGAGTTGTACTTCGACCTTAATCCAATCCTCATCTGAGAGTGTGGGCCAGATGTGATGCTCCTGGGTAATAACAGTCTTGTCAGGTCGAAGAATGATCTTTGCCTTGTCGATATTGACATGGAGAGCACGCAAAATCAGGATCAACCGAGAGAAAGCCGTGTAAGGAGAGATTGACTTCAGCCATTCATCGTACAGGTTGAACAGTACCATCTGCGGTTCGGTCGCCCGCAAAATCATATCCGCAAGCTTCTCAACCTTCATGGCAGCCTGGAATGGCAACTGCAGCTCAGACGCACGGATGGAGATATTGGGGAAATCGAGCAGATGAACTTCAAGAGGATCCAGAAGACCTTTCCGAGTAACAATAAGCTGCTTGGGCTGTTCTTCCACGGGTAGGGACCGAATAAGGGCTGCTACTTCTTCTGCAGTCTTCCACTTAGCCAACTGACCAAGACGCTTCTGCCCGGCCCAGACACTGGTATGGATGATCTTCAAAAACAATTGACCGGTTCGGGGGTTGAAGATGAAGATGGCGCCGTTAATAGGCTTGGTTGTCAAGTTTCCTTCGAAGGTCTTGTGGATGGTGACACGGTACACATTGGTATCGTCGATGAACAGCTGGATCTGCGGGCTGAAGAGCTCCGAGTAGTTTTGAGAGTTGAGGAACTCCTGATTACTCTCGGAGGCATACAGCTGGAGGCCCTTACGGATACGTTCCCTCAGCACATACAGGGCGGGGTTGGCCTTCATGACCTTCGCCATGGCCTGCTGGATCAAAGTCTTCAGGCCGGGGAAGTACTGTCCGTAAGCCGAGTAAAGATTGTAGGCAAGGTCAATGCCGATCATAAGACCTGTAGCCGAAGGATAGATGCTCATGCTATCGGTGGTGTAGTCAAGATACTTGGCGCGCACATATCTTTCGATGTCGTGAGAATCGTAATCACCATATCTCAGCTGCACATCAACCCAAAACTTGTTGGTCGTCGTAGGCTCATAGACGTCTTTGGTGTCAAACAGAATGGAAGGCCTAGTCACGTTCCACTTGTTCGTGGCGAAGAGCAGGATGTCTGCGCACGAACTGTTCATCTTGTAAGACTTACGCGGATGAATAGTCTCCTTCTGCACAGCCTCGATGCCCAGTTGCTCGAGTTCTTGATCAAACACCTGGCACAGATCCATAACCACTGATTCGTGGATCTTCTGCCACAAATGGGCACGGAAAATTTGGATCAATGAGATCTTCAAGGTGGGGATTTTTCCATGCAGGAAGATACCTGTAAGATCCAATTGCACCTGGAAACCAACGTAAACATTGGCTCGGTTAATTGTAGGGGACCACCAGAGGGTAAATCGACGGTTGGGGATCTGGTTCAGACCGGACCGCTGGGCGTTGGTGAGTTTCTTGAACTTCATCGACCTACACATTTTGTTAGCAAAAATTTTCACAAAACCAGCGTAAACAGGTAGACGCACTCTTCGAAACCTGATGCTCGCTCCCAAAAGAGGCCCTCCCAAGACGGGAATGCAGTTGCTTTGAACAGGGTATGCTCCAGAATGGTCTCAACACCACCCAGCGCCTGGATGACATCCGTGCGGTAAGCGTTCAGGTTCCACAATTTACCATCATGGCGTTGACTAGTCCACCAGAATGGATTGCTCTTCATCAGTTGGTATTGTTTGAATTCGGCTCTGAGGCGGAAACCCTTGTCGAAGCTGAGGGTGCTCCGATCCTTCTGGAAGAGGGTGTTGATACGAGGCAGACCACGATCCCAGCTGTCCTCCAGATCCTCCAGAGTCAGACGACGGTTCTGTTGCTGAGCTTCCATGCGCTTCTGGGAGTATTCCATCCACACCCGTTGAGAGTCGATGAACTCGGCCTCCCACGGGATGATGTACCGGAAGATGTTAGGAATCAGAGTCTCCTCGTCATGAGACATACCCGCTCGGAAGTGAGTGATTCCTGTATCGGTTTGCTTGGACCATCGCTTGTCGCTAGCGGGGATGAGGATATGAGAGCCCGAGATCATACCCAGACCTCCCAGCTCCTTAGGTGTATAGAACACGGCAGGAGGGAAACGCGAGGGCATCTTGGAGTTCAGACCGATCTTGACACGAGTCTGAATCTTGGTCTCGCATTTGACGATGGTATCCAAGAGGTTGACGGTGGAGACAGCAGCTTCACGGTAGTAGGTGAAGAGCGCGATCAAAGCGGTGTTCCACTTGTTAGCAATCTTAGTGAACGTAGTCGAGCCGGAAGACATAAGAATCTGGCGGATTCTATTATTGAACTTCTGGATATCTTCTTCGGTCACTTGCAGGAAAGCATGCGCTGTGCGCTCCTTTGTTGTGTTGTCGACAAGAGACCACACACTATCTTTAACCGAGAACTCCTCATTCTGGTTGCGAATCTTTGGCAGAATGCGAACCTCGAATCCACACATGGAGAAAAGCAAATTTGGATTATCCTTGCTGTAGACACTGGCAAAGGTATCATCCCAGTCAATTGTGGTGATGGATCTTGGCAGGCGGTTCTTCAAATCCCAAAATGCGGCGCGACCGAGGTTAACGTCGTGCCTCATAAGACGCATACGGCAATCACGCGGCCAACACTTCTTGTTCTTGTATCCAATAACGTTTTCAAAATTGGGGTCAGGGTTTTCCGTCAGGAAGCGCTGGATCAAGTCTCTCGATTCGTCGGCGTTGAATCTGAAGAACACCCAGATCTTGTCAACGTAGCGAGTGTACAAGCGGATAGGATGTCTAGTCTCCGCAGCACGATCTCTAAATTGAAGGAAGTCATTCGGGCTCTGTGGCGGACCAGCCATCTCACTAGCTCTCTGAAGACCGAGGAGGAGCAAATCGATCATCAGGCCATAGTACTGGAAGACAAAGCCGGAGAACTGCAGACCCCTGATCAATCCATAGCTGTTGGTATGGTTCATATCCTTGTAGCTGAGCTGCACATTGTTCTTCGAAGTAATGTAGTCCGCCAAGTTGTGGTCCATAATCAAACGCAGCAACCGATTCAGGAGGGTCAGATCGATCTTCTCATAGACCTTCGAGAGCTCCGTCTCAATCATGACGTTAGTCTCACCCTCAGCGGTTTCCCAAACGTTGGACAAATTGTTAATGCCCTGAGCCCACTTGTAGGTCAGCAGCGGGGGAACTTCAGAATCTGACGGTTTGATCCAGGCAGGGAAAAGGTGACGCTGCTCTGCCTGGTACCAGAGATACTGATCAAGGTAGGCATCGGTAATTTTCTCAATTGGCTCCACATCGTAGACAGGGTTGATGTTGTTGTAGTTGTCATTCATGTCAATCCCAACTTCCTTGAATGCTCTCTGGGTCAAGAGGAATCTCTTGATTCTTGCCAGTGTAGTACCGGGAGAATCATAGGCCTGCTCGATAAGAGCAAGCTCCTCTCGCTGACTCTGATTCAGTCGCCCTTTGACGGAATAAGCTTCGCGAAGACGTTCCAAAGCAAGAATCAAGATCTTAGTGTCATGCTTGTAGGAGACACTCGGGAACGGAATTGGTGAAAACTTCCGGGATTCAAGCCAATGCACCATGGTGGTGTAGATCGCCACGGCTTCTTCCGAAGACACGTAGGGACCATCCTTCAGGTAATTATGCTGTCTCTCCTGCTCGGCTTTGAGCCACAGTCGAGTCAGTCGACCCAGGTTCTTCTTGGCAACCGTCTTATCAACTGTGGCGCCGCGGCGGATACGTTCGCGATTATAGTGCGCGACAGAAATCCACCAGTCGGCCTTGCTCTTAACGTATCGCAGGATGATATTCTCAATAGGCGCTGGGAGACCGGGCACCTTCCAGGGAATATTACTCTTCCAGCATCTCCAAGCCTCCGAAAGATGTTGTAAAACTGTATTGACCTTATTTTGTTTAATACCCTCGGGCATCATGTCCATGAGGTCGGCCATGACAGAGGCACGCAATTCCAGATCGAAGTGCGACTCCACACGCTGTTTGGTGACGGTCTTGGCAACTCCCTTGCTGTGACGACCCTCAAATTGACGAGAGAGCAAGTTTCCAAGCCATCTCTCCAAAAGGGGGATGATACCGCGCATGAAGAACAGCCAAACGCGCCATGCTGGAGCCCAGAAACCGCAACCAGGACCCTTGCCAACAGGGCCGGAGTTGAACCGATAGTAGATCAAATGTTTCAAATCCTTGCAAGAACGGATCTGATGCATCAACTTGTACTTATAACGATACATACCAGTCAACTGGCCCACGTGGTTGAAAGCATACAGAATGCCGTCAGCCAGCTGGAACGCGTCAATATTGCCCAGTCGATACTGAACTTGCGCGTCAACAATCAACTTGGTGAGGCGCAGAATTTCACGCATCAGATGGAAAGCGTTACCGAAACGAGACTTCTTCCGCTCCTTGGTTGTCAGTGTCTTGACGGGCTTCAGGTTGAAGTTATAATCGAGATGGAGATAGGTCAAATTCTTGCGGTGGATCAGCAGATTCAACATGTTAAATCCCTGACGGCAAACTTGAAGACCGGCTTCAACCCAGTCGATTGTTGTCTGCTGGAAGAATTTGGTGGACTTCAAGGTCTTCAAAAGATTCTGCTTGTTCTGAGCCTTAGGCTTCTTCTTATGCAACTCGTTGAGCACGTAAGTCTTCAGAAGCTTTTGGTACGAAACTCTAACTTTAACGGGCTGGCCCTGGGGACAGTGTTCCAGGTACCACTGTTTGACGAGTGGCACGTCCTGCGCGCGCACCATCTTTCCTGACCTCTTGTTGAACGGATGGGGAGCCCACCAAAGGGCTATGGCCGATGCGGTATCAGGTGTGTAGAGTTCCTCATCTGCGAAGAACGGCTCGACTTCAGCGGGAAGTTCGAAAAGGTCATCTTCGTTGTTTCCCGGTCCAAAAATCTCGTCCTCATGACTGACCGTGATGTTCTTGGGAGCAACAGATCGCGATGAGATAGGATTGATCACGGGGTCGAAGTAGAAAGCGGGGAGGTTGGGATCATCGGTTCGGACGTAGACAACCTGAGGGTAAGAATACCAAGAAACGGACACGCTCCTTGGAAGGGTATTATACAAGAAAGGGAAGGCGACTCTGTACTCCGTCCGGATGGGGGCTCGGAAGATGATGCGATCGATGGCATTGAATTCGCTAAAGTCCTCGTCATTGGGGTCGATATCTTTGTAAAGAGGCTCAAAGCGCGGGCCACCAGGAATGGCGACATTCAGGGCCTTTGCCGTGAAGAAACTGTTGAGATCAAACATGTAAAAGTAATTTTTGTCAACGACATCACTCAGCAGCTGATGACTTAGTCGGTAAAGAGTAGCCATCTGTGGGAGTGTCAAGTTCCAACTCTTATAGCTTGGCCCGTTGACATGGGGGGTATCGAGAAGTGGTCGGTGATCGTAGAGCCATTCGTACACGGGGCCATCTTCAGACTCATCGAGTTCCATCTGAACCGGCTCCAGAGGCTCAACATCTTCGATATTTTCCGACCACGACAGTGGAGGTTCCTCGTCATCGAAGGGGGGGAAGCGCATACGCTTGAAGTGTCTGCGGTCGCTCTTTTCTCGTCTCATACACACCCACATTGTTGCCCACTGTGCATGGAAGACCGGTTCAATAACCCTCGGTGTCTCGTTCACCAGTGTCAAGCAACCATTGACGTGATATAGTACCTTGACCTCGCGAGCCGACTCCCAAGGCATGGGCATGTTCTCCAGCAGCTTCAAAACAGCGTGGGGCATGAACTTGAGAGCGCCCAGGTAGCTACGCTTCTCGTTGCTGAACTTCTTTTGCGATACATCGCCGATGTCTCTGACAATCTTTCGCAGATGCTCCGGGGGCATGTCCGCCTTTTGCGTCTCGACGAATCCACCCTTGCGTTTCTCTCCGAACCGATTGCGCTGCGTCCGCAACCACTCATTCTTCTTCTGGGCAAACTTTGCGACGTTAGGATCTGCTGGAGGTTGGTATCCGGGCGGCGGCGGCGCCAAAGGCATCGAGGGAGGAGCTGATGCGCCCCATCCTGGAGGAGGCGGGGGAGGCAGCGACGCCATGATGATGGCTGTTGAAGGAGAAGTGCCTCTCTATCAAGTTCCGACTTTGATGCTGGAACGAAGTCGCGTCAAATCACGTCGGAAAAAATCATCAAACACAACGCGAATGCACCAACAGGATGGCAAAGCGCGCGGGAGGTGAGTTAAGTAATGCGCGTCGGAGGGATTAAACCGTAGACCCGAAGAAGACAAATTCAAACTCCTGCACGATCCCCTTCTCACGACGGGCGATGGAAGACGTTCTTCTAGACTACTCTCTTTGGTGATGGCAAGCTTGGGAAGAGGTGGCGGCTCTGCTTGGTAAGACGCTAGTCCAGATATGGAGTTAGCGCCACCTCGCCAAATTCGCGCTAGTGCGGCCTCCCAGGGCTCCGAGCGAAACCCACACAAATCCAGATGACTTTGAGAATTCTACGAGGACAACGACAACCGACGACGCCGCCGCCAAACTCTTGACCACCGTTTCAGAGGTTCAAGGACAATCAAAATGGCGAACAACAGATTGCAATACGTGAGTTACTATCATCATCTATATCAATGCGATGAAATACTGACCTTTGACTTTTCTTCGACAGCGGAGACGGAACCCGTACGTTTGAAAATCTCCTGCCCACATTTCTACCCAGAACTGCCCTTTTTTCGCTCGCTCTATCGACATTGCTCGCTCCCGACTCAGCGGCATTGTCCTCATGACGACGATAAATTTCAAGACTTGATCCGACATTGGAAACACGATATTGATGGTTTTTTGCTCTACAGGTACAACACGCGGTCCAACAAGGTCCGCATCATCAAGACCCCCGGCGGCGAGCTCCGGTACCTCCACATCAAGAAGAAGGGCACTGCTCCCAAGTGCGGTGACTGTGGCATCAAGCTCCCAGGTGTGAGTGCTCCCGAATCAAATTCTGGCTAGCGAGTGGTTATCTGTGCGGATCTCTTTGGGTGTCCCCGATTTGTTTCGACTGTGAGGAGAGACGAAGTGGAGGGACCGAAAAGCGCAGATTTACAACCTCCAGCCAGTCGCTTGGGGTGAAGAACCAAAAAAAGCTGATTTGGAATGCCTAGATCCCTGCCCTCCGCCCCCGCGAATACTCCCAGATCTCCCGCCCCAAGAAGACCGTCAGCCGTGCCTATGGTGGTTCCCGCTGCGCCGGCTGCGTCAAGGACCGCATTGTCCGTGCTTTCCTGATCGAGGAGCAGAAGATCGTCAAGAAGGTCCTCAAGGAGTCTCAGGAGAAGGCCGCTGGCAAGCGCTAAACGGAATGCGTTTTGTTCTCGGTGTTGGTCTTTTATTAAGTGGGAGCGAATGATATGGAAAAAATCGGCTGGGTACGGTTCTCTTAGGAATAAAAGATGAACAGGAACGGCTAGCATGCGAACCTTATACGGTCGTGGCTTTCAATGAAATTTCATTTTCATCATGAGTTATCAGCTCTCTCCCACCGACTTCAGATCTTCCAATGGAAAGACTATGAGGTATTCAGGATACAAAAAAAATAATGACCACTATCTTCAATCCCACATCGTGTAGCATTGTCGGTTCTACGGAGTAATCTTCAGAGAAAATGAAAGCGAGCGAGAGTAACTACGTCGTCGTCAACCTCCTCTGTCATAGGATCAATCCTCGTTCGCCTAAACCCTGAAATATAGTAGCTCGGAGCAAACTAATCCTTCGTTCTCATGTTCAGCCAGACGACCGGCCAACATGGGAAATGAGAAAGGATGTTATTTAAAAAAAAAAAAAAATGGGGCCTAATCCATCAGGCATACATGACGCTAGAGCAGTTCCGGTGCTTGCGACACCGCGCAAAACGAACAGCGAAAAGCAATGAAGGGAAAAAAAAACAAAAGCAACAAAGTGAGAGAGTCTAGACTTTAGAGCAACAGGTGAAACGAAATAAAATTTGTCAAGATGATGACAGGTACAAGCAACGCCTGTACGGAAATTGGACAACGAGAATACAATCAAGGGTCGGCCCTGATAGTATATTTCTGGGGAGAGGGTACCTACTGGTACCAGTACACCCATCCATTCAGACCTGACGATGAGGACTCTGCTGGGTATCACTACGATACGCCGAGAGAACGTGAAGAAGTGCTCCCCGAGCTCTTCATGACGGGAGCAATAGATGTTTCTCGAAAACCGCACAGATGGCTGTTTCCGTCCTTGTGACATTGATCGAACATCATGATCAACATCACGACACGGTACATTGCTACGCTTCTATCCTGGTCTTGTCCGAAAGGGCATGGCAATATACGTGAGACGTGGTACGTACAATGGAGTACATTCTGTAGAATTGCATCCGGTCAACCGGCTTTCCCAATGCTCAATGACTGCCGTCAAGTCCCTTTGTGACATTTAGTCCCCCTGTCCACGACATGGGAAAGTACCTGCTACCTGCAAGTACCGAAATTGGCTTCATCCCAGTTAGATGTCTGTGCACCCCAGCATGGTATGCAGCTCGCTATCACATATCTGAGTCTCTGTGACAGGACGTCCCACGGTTCTGAAATCGACTGCTGTGTTGTAGATCCTGGGGAATCCAATAGCAGAGGGCAGCTCATCGATTTCGAGTGCGGCCGATCTGGCCACAAGACCATGAGTCAGGGATTGATGGGGTTTGAGTATACACATCTTCCGGAGTTGCAGCCTCTGAGGAAGATCTCATCCTGGTCGCCACCGTCCACGAGCAATGGGTGGAGGCGAGATTTGAGAGCTGCTAAGCGAAGGATGATCGACAGAGGACGGCACCTGTCAATTCATGTAACCAGCCACAGAAAGATCACACATGTATACCTTTTCGGTTCGAGCACATGATTTATTCTCGCTGTACAGTGTACGCTGCTGTAGGCATCCTATAGAAGCGGTGAGGACATCACTCAACCTAATCTGCTGCCCCCCATTACTTCGCTAGCACCAAGTAATTCCTTGAGGAACCCGACTTTTTTTTTTGTCGCAGGGACCGGTCATGTATCGAATTGACCAGGTGTGATACAGCCTCATCGGCGTGCTGATACCCAAAGGGGTCCTTGAGCATACGCAGGGGGGGGGGTGGGTGTGTGCATGGAAGTATATCTACCCATATGCAGGATATATGGCAATAACCTCGATTCAGCAAGATGGACATGCTCGGGGGATGGTGGAAAAGAGATTCGAAACCCACCTCAATAAAGAAGCGGCTGCAAGCGGCAGTCTCAGAAACAAAGTACGTACCAGTCCAGATCTCATCTAAAGTGGAAGCTGATTGGGAGGGGCGTCTTTGCTGGAGCATCCCTGCCGCGACAACCCCGAGCGTTTGAAATCAGAAGGGAATCGGTGGCAGGCAGCCCAATCACGCACGATGCAGGCAACGAGCGTAGTCCAGAATAGAATTCGTTCTATTTTTTGATGGGCGACATGCAACATGAGGGATCTCCATCTGTCCCTTCAACAGGGACCGGGTAAGACAGAGAAAAAGGAATATACGCTGCACCACGAAAAAAGGGTAATGTACTAAAGATAAGAGGACTTCGAACTTCCTGGTCGATGAATCGATGACGGCGCAAAGCCATGCTCCCCTTAACTCAGCCCATTGGGGCCGCGAGATGCATGATTAGGGCGCCTATCAAAACCGATTGAAGCGCTCTCGTCACCCTGGACCGCCATTCCGGGCTATTTAATCATGATAGTCGTTCAGATTTCCTGGTAGAATAGGACGGGTGGTACTGGGGGGACTGGATGCTTTGACACCGTCAAGGCTCAAGCACTGCAAGTAACTCAAACTCAAAAAGCTTAGAGTTCGGAACGGGCCGTAAAATGATAGAAAACGTACTTTTTGACAGGTTTGTTTTGATGGCCTTGAAAGAAAGAAAGAAAGAAAGAAAGAAAGTGATTGATGGATATCATCGACGCGGTTGAAGAACGGTAGATCGATAGATCAACTGGATGGTCGTTTAGTCTCGAAAGTGGAGTAGACAGAGCGGGCTACTTCAGTAGACAGTAGTACTGTCTGATGTTTCGGAGTTCCTGCAGGCTGCAGGACACAAATTCGAGGTTCTAGGCAAAGAATCTCGATGAAGAAAGAGACAAAATCATTGACAGGTGTCAATCATCTGACAATCAAATTCCCTTTCGTTTTACCCGTTCTTGACTCTGATCATCCCTTCCAGGCTAGGAGGCTCTGACGTGGATCCAGCTCGTCTTAACGCTGCATTGAATGGAAAGGATATCTTCTCCCCTCAGGCAGCGCCATAATCGATTCGGCAAATGAACACCAAAGACATCAAATCGAAGGCCTTATTTTTTTTCTTTTGTTTTGGGGGGAGAAAAACCACTTAGAATGCACCCCGATAACTCCGTCAATTCCCGGTTGCAGGCTGCAGCATGCCATTACGACGCTATCAGCCTTGGCTGCATGAAGGCAGTGGATGTCATCGAGAGAGTGTGTTGATGGTAGTTACAACAACAACAATAATAATAATAGGATAGAATCACTATCTATTGAGTAGATGAACTGACGACTGTAGACCTATCACTCTGGATACGATGTGATAGTCTATACAGATGTGAGATAGAGGATCAATCCAATCTACTTGACAAACTACAGTATATTCATCACTCTATCCCCGGACCAATGTGTGTGTACTTATGGCTGTGTTTCTAGCTGGTTCCGTCCGTCAACCTTTCCTGCATTATTATGACTTCGTTAGTGCATAGGAGTTACTCGGTCTTCAGGTGAGACAATAATAATAAACACTGACAGTAGATCTGTATTGCACTAGGTACCTAAAGTAAGTCTACAGCTCGGCTGGACATCATTTAGTTCGACAACCGCTTACACCCCCTCGCGCCTCCAAAGACTATGGTCTATGTGGCCTCGAATCCAGATTTCATACTCTACATAGTACATACACACACCCTGGATGATGGTACATTAGCTCCCCTTCGCCATCAACCAGGGTCCTTGACTAGCACTGTCCGTCTAGCGGATATACGCACTCACAACGAACCACCAGTTCACAGCTACAACGAGGGCTGGAGGACGGCTGAATCTTCCGCCGAATAAGTGCGCGCCTACCCCGGTCTTTTCCTGATATTGACAGAGCACTCGGGACCGTCCTACGAAAGAGCCAATCCCCTCCATTTCCCAGCATCATTACTCATCTGCTTCCGATAGATACGATGGTCCTTCTTCCTTGAGTAGTTGCATCAGGCATTGCGAATCACAGAATCCTTCCACCTTTTCCTAACGGATGGCGATGGTTGGTGAGGCGATCCCAATGACAAGCAAGGACAGATAGATTGTTGAGAGCCGGTCTAGATGGAATGATTGGGGCAGCTTGAAAACTTAGAAACAGGCAGTGGTGCATTGATCACCCATTGGTCTTATAATGTTCGTATTATCAAGAATCAGTATCAGTATCCGTATGAGCTATTTATGATCACCATCGTTGGCATCATCATCATCATCATCATTATCATCATCATCATCATCATCCCCTCACGGCCTGCAGAAGGCCACATGTGAACATTCCCATGGCAGCAGTCCGAAAAAAATCATATCCAATAGAAAGAGATATGGAAAATCAATGCAGGCATCCAAGGTCGTATGAAAAACAGTTGAAAGAACCAACCCTCAACGCCGCCTCCATACTCAAGGTAGGAAGAACGAAGAAATGAGAAGGTAGGGGGGTGGAAAAAAGCAAAATGCAAAATGCAATGCGCCAAAGTAGACAAGGATTGAATGAAAGAGAGTGAAAATGTAGAATAAAGGGGAAAAAAGAAAGAAAGAGAAAGCCACAAACTGACTCGACCAGTTAGTTACGATACATTGATTAACATTATGCAAGTCAGCTGTCAGACTAACACTGCCCAACACCCCGACGCCCCCCAATATTTGCCCCTTCTAGCCCCCCTCAAGAGTCCTCTGGAAATCTTATACACTGAGCTTGAGATCTGGCGACATCTCCAGGCCGGTCCACCAGCCACTACTGGCATGAGGTAGTCCATTAGGGGTTGGATGGGAACGGACCCCACACCACCCCCCTAGGCCAGTCTCATACGCAGGATAATACTCTACGCATGGCCCAGTCATATCATAGAATAGAGGAGAGCAGGGAGGGGCCTCGCTGCAGCCAATGGCGCTGCTCAAGCCGTACTGCTCGACCGACAGTCGAGGCATGAGCGTGGCAGGGTCTGACACATGGGTTGGTGCCACTATCGCCGTGGAAGTAGTCGTTTGAAGGCTGTATGGGTGGTAATAGCTGCCCATCGGTTGCGGCTGCAAAGGTGCGACAGGCTGGTGACGGAGCTGCTCTCTCTGCGCGTCGGCCTGGCCCGTCACAATGAGCATCTGGCCGCGATACTTGGCTGTAATCTTCGTCGCCTTTCCGCCTTTGGCTCCAGATCGTTGGCGCTGGGGGGCCGGTGGATCCGAGCCCAAGGATCTTTTGTGATTCGCTTGCTTTCGGTACCGGGTGGTTGACTGAATGCCCTTCTTGATTGCCTCATCCGTAAGGCGCCAGTAGTTCATCGCTTTCTTGCCACCGGTGGCTTCGCCCTTCACTGCTTCGAAACCCTACATTGTGCCGTATACATCTCAGCACACGGACCAAAGTAAAAAAAGGCCAGGGCGTTAGAATAGATACCAAAAAGAACAAAGTACATACCGCATTCATCGAGAGATTGTGACGGATACTATTCTGCCAGCCCTTGGAGTTCTGGTCCTTCCCCTTCGTAGTATGCTTCTCAAACCAGCTGTAAACCCCCTGTAGCGGAAGCTTTTTGTCAGGAGCGTTCATGAGAGCTTCATAGATCAGATGAGAATATGGCGCATCCAGTGAACTGTCCTCTGTCGAATCTGGTGTGTCTCGTGTCTCTCCAAGGTCGACTGCTCGCTTAATCTCCATATGGTCACTGTGACTAGGTTGCGTGGGCAGCTGAGATGGGGTCGGGAAAGACGGGACTGACGATGCTAAACTTGTCGCAGGTTGAGATGAGATCCGGATCTCAGAATGTTCTGAGAAGGACCCAGGAACTTGAGAGGAAGCGTAGTAACTTTGAGCGTCAAAACCGATACGGTTTTGGCTCTCCACTCCAGGCTTCCAGTCTGACGGGCTCTGAGAAACACTAGGGCCTCTCAGTTGGGCAGTGCCTTGATCTGAGTTGGAATAGGATGCCATCGCTCTGGACGGCTCTTTATCATAATATGGATACCACTGCGAACTCCCGTCGGCACTTGTTTCCAGAGGCGAGGTAGACGAACTGAGTGTGTAAATCTGTGCCGTCTCATGACCCCAAGCCTTCTGCTCGGGTATAGATACTTCCAAGGTCTCTGGGCTGTTGGAAACGGAATGCGCCCAGGTTGGTGAACAGGGATCGGAGTAAGGAGGATTGTCTTGATAAGAACCATCAGAGAGAGGGGAAGATGACGGCTGAGGAGCGTGATGGTGCATAGCTCCTTCGTCCGTATATTTGGCAAAGAACTCGTGTGAGGGAATTGAGTGATCCATGTTGCCTTGTCTTTAAGACAGGCCAATATTGAGCTCAGGCTGTTTTAGAAACCCCCCAACTCGACCAAGGTAAGTCCTGACGGCCAGGAAGAGCTTGTGCAGAAAAGAGGGATGTTGTCAGACTCTACCAGAGTCTAAAACTGTGACATAAGAGAAGAGAAGTAGACTGAGTGCGGGATGATCTTGATCGCTGAGGGAAGTTGGAAACGGGAGAACAGTGTGTAGTGCAAGGAGCAATAGATCAATATGAAAGATTGGGAGCAGACAATACGAAATGCCCAAGAAAGAGACAAGTAAATACTCACAAGAAAGACCTAAAAAGATAAGAGAGGGTCAAAAATTGAGAAGAATTTTTTTTTAAAAAAAAAAAAAAAAAAAAAAAAAAACAAAGAAGCACAACCAGTTAGAGAACCCGCTACGTTGAATACCATGAGGTTAGAAAGTGCCAGCTCACAAGGTCAATATACGTCTCTTTTCCTGGCCCTCTTTTTGTTTTTTTCTCCTGCTGCAGACAGCCTGATAGATTCATGCATTTCTCGCCCCCATCAAACAGGGAAATCAACCTGGGGCATAAAAAGAACAGGTTCCCTGAATATCATGTGTCCCTTTGGAGCGCAGGATGTCCAACTGGTGACGATGCTTCCATCCCATGGATTCCTACTACGGGCAATGCTTTCCCAAGCTGTGGAACAAGTATTCCAGTATGAAGATGCAGCCAATGATCTCAGGAACTGCAAAGAGGCTGGATCTGGTGCTACAGAGGGCTGGAATGGATCAATTAGCGATTTTACAATGCTTGGCCGACCGGGATCAGCTAAGAGCTCGCGGATGGCGGACGCCTGCAGAGAGTCTGGCGTTGGACTTCATACATGGGAATAACCGAAACTGGGACTATGGCGAAAGCAGAAAAACAAAAGAAAAGAAAGGAGAACAGGGTACAAGCCTTTTCTGGAATCGACTTTGTTACAAGGCCCTTGAGAAACATCAATGCTTCCCCCTTTCAATCCCTCCTGCAGATGCTCCTTGCCATTTCCCTATTCCCCGACCAGCCGGAACCCGTCAAACGGTCTGCAGGTGGCATCAGTGTCACCATTGCCGCTGCGCCGTCACAATCCAATCTACCAATCAATTTGATTTTGGGGAGAGGATGTGAAATAGGATGAGAGAGGCCAGATGTGAATTTAAAATCATACGTGATCTTTGGAGAATAGTTTGAGGTTGTGAAGTCAAAAGGGTTGACGGAGAATGGTGGGAAGGACACGAGTGGAAAAATACCCGCATGAGGTGAGATTAAGCATCAGGAGGGACGACGATTTCCCACACGTGGACGGTGTTATATGCGAGTTCTGCCGTGAGATCGGAATCAAAACCTAAGATCGCTGGGTTCCTGCTGGAGTACTGAGTGCTTCCAATAATGATACGTCCCAACTGTGCATGGAGGTGCCTTAGGTTGATATTGAGACCCAGTGTTGAAGCGGACGGTTGATGTTTCCAGCCCATTCATGGAACATAGCCGTGTCTCGCGGCGGATAAGAAGCGAGGATAGAGAACGAGTGAAGAACCATCAGAACACAGTGCTACCTATATAAAGATGATTTTCGATAACCCGATGGATAATATAAATTCGGTGAGACCGTCCTATCGGTAAGTTCGCGCTGGTAGTTCACTTCCGGTAATAGATCTATCAACAACCAGTCAGTGTCTGTCACTCCAGCTAGGAATATTGATGAATCGCAAAAAAAAAAAAAAAAAGAAAAGAAAAAAAGTGTTCTACTCACTCGTTTGAATTGGAAGTGTAGTTGTAAGATTCCCTAAAAAAGTCAGCAATTGATGAGCGGGCAAAAAGCTCAGTGTCCAACTCAGGACATACCTTGTCAAAGGTGCTCTTGAAGCCCCTCTCTCTCTTGGCGCTATAATCCCACTCCTTGTCGACAATTCGGAATGCGATGTCCTCATATGGCGGCCCGGCCATAAATCGAATGAGGCACGTATCCTCCTCACCAGCCGCAGCGAAGGACTGACCGCGCTTCCTGCCGTGCTCCCGTTCGATACGGTACGTGGGCGCTTTCGTTTTGTCGATAAGATCCGGGTAGAAAATGTTGAACTTGTAGCCCTGAACCACCTTCGGAGGCGGGTTGTCGTGATCATAATGGGTCTGGTTGTATTTGTTCCATTCGTAGCCCATCTGCACCCGGTTGAAGTACCGTGGCTTGCGTGGCCGATATTTGCCAGCCCATTGCGGCTGCAAGCCTGTGCTGACGGATTCCTCCCCAGTGAAGATCTCCTCGTTTTCGCTGACTCCTTTCGCAAGCTCTCTTTCATAAAGGGCTTTAGTCGCCTGCGAGAAGTCCTCGTTGGGTATCGAAGAGAAACGAGAGGACGCAGTGGCGACCGGCAGATTCGATGTGTGACTCGTGGCGACGGCGGACTGTCTCTCTGCCTGCCGCTGACGAAGGGGAATGTAACCCATTTTCAGGGTTTTTTGCCGCTCGCGCGCCTGATATGCCTGTCAGCAATGGCCGCACCAGTGATTTCCAAAATTGAAGCAACCTACCACTTGGTTCAAGAAAGCTGCCTCATCTAAGATCTCCAAGCCCTTGTCCTCCGGCCGAATTTGCAGCAAAGGTTCGGGATCAAGGTTGCGGAATTCCACCTCATTGATGGATGCTGACCGCTGTGCGTCCTCGGAAGTCGTCTGGATGACAGGTGCAAGAGGGGCCAGCTTCGTTCGAACAGATTCAGCTTCCTCTTGTTGTTGTGTGCGCAACCCTCGCACACGTTCATCAATCACGGCTTGGTAGACCTTCTTCAACTTAGCGCGTGCTTTCCAGACAGTAAGGCTGCGCAACAACTCCTCCCAGTAGTCGGTGTCGATGGGCTCGTTCGAATCCAGCTTCCTCCTGACCTGCACCTCCAGAGTCTGGAGCTGTTCGTAGGTCTTTGGACTCAGAAGTCTGTTGATATCCGCAGCGACGGAGCTAAGAGCACGTCCTTCGGGCGCAGTGATCTTTTGGCGATCTCGGCAAATGACTTTCATCGTCTGATACAAGCATGAGTTTAGCTTTAGTAGAAAAAAAAAAAAGATCGTGAAATCGAGGAAACGCACCTTCCAGAAATCCCTATTTTGCGAGTTTTTCTCCAAGCTCAAAAACGTATCAATATCCTTCTCCAAGTCAAGTAGTTCGTCCTGAGAAAGCCCCTCGAAAACGCCATCAGGATCCACCAGGTCCAGCTCCGAGTCCGCGATCTCATCGTCAAGAGGATCCCGCGTGGGATCAATCACCCGCAGCGTAACCGTAAGCCAGTCTATCGGCTTCGCCCGACCCTCCTTCACTCGGATCTCGGCCTTCCTCTTAGCTTGCTTGAGCACAAACATGTCCTCCTGCGCCACCCACTCGCGCACTTGTTCGTCCTCCTGCAGCTGATTAAGGCGCACCTGGTCCCTCATGTTCCTCGGTGGCGGCTGCGATGGCCGGCTGCTTCTATCGTCCCGGTCTCTTGGGTCGCGGTATCGGTCTCTCTCATCGTGTTTGCGGGCGTGTTTCTCGGATGGCCGCCATGATGAAGGCGAGCGAGACCGGCTTCGCTTGGAGCCTGTCCTGTCAGGAAGTCGCGAGGACATCCTGTATTAGAAGCAGATTTATGAAGGAATGATAGTCGCGGGAGGGTATTCCTGCAGTCGACTTTGTTGCGATGGACGTCAATTTACCTTCATGTTCCGCGGTGGAATCCTTGGATGATGGTCTAGACAAGCTCCCGCGGCAGAAGGTTTACCGAACGGCAAACTTGCCGGTCTTGGCGCCCGCATCGCGTGACGCAACTGGTAGTGTTGCCTTGTCAGAGCAATAAATAAATACACCATCTTGCAACTGCTAGAGAATTCGGGAGACATGTCTTTGAAATGGAGAAGACTACATCTGTCGCGGCAGGGGGACTTGCCTCCGCTGCTGTTCAGATACTCTATAGCAGCAAACGGCTACGAGCTGTTCATGACTGATCTGACGAATATCTGGACGGAGCGCATGAGTCGGCGAGACATCCTCAGGAGAGCCGATGAAGATGCTACGACAATCGATCCGAGCGAGGATGTAGAGCAGTTCAAGGTCCTCCTCGAGAAGATAGGGGAAGCTCTAGAAAACAAGCCGGGGGCCGCGGCATCGCTCAATCCAAGATCGCAAGTTGATTCTCTGAAACTCATAGTCTCAGTCAAACTCCCTACTCCCTTGAGGCCTCTGACATGGACGGCCTACCTTACCAAGGAACCCGCGTCTTCCACGTCTCGGCATCTGCTACTTCCATTACTCAAAGCAGAGGCGGCGTGGGAGCCGCGCCAACAGACTCTACTGGATCAACTCAACAGAAAGGACTGGGCCCTTGGCAAGCTATTCGAGAAGATCGAGAATATGGGCATTGATCTGAGCACCATCTTTCCTGGCGTGACTGGCCACCGAAGAGCCCACGGCGAGACGCTGCTGTCCCAAGCAGCCAGGTACATCAAGGGCGTGGCGCCCTTTGACGAAGCAGAATGGCTTGGTGAAGTCGCGAAATCGTCCCCGGAATCAAGCCTCGCAGCCAACATGGTGGCAGAGCTCACTGGATTTGATGAAACCAAGCATGTGGATAGCCTCGATCCGCCCCCAGACGGATGGTGGGAGAAGCTTACAGCAGAGGAACCCGCGACACTAACGCCCCCCGGGCGCGAACAAGCCCAGGAGCCGACGGAGAAGAAACATGCGGAACACGATACGGCGATGGAAACCGATACAGACACGGGCAATGATGACCTCGACGGTGATGATGAATTCGAGGTACATGTGATCATCCCTTCCCCCTCTCAGTATATGTGAGCTCGATCTAAATCCGTCCCACTAGCGACAAGAAACACCCCCCAGATTAAAAAAGCCCACAGACCAGGAGAGATCGTCTCCGGCTGCTACGGCGTCTACCACCGCCGGGACGGCCGATGAAGCAACCCATGGCCACAAGGCCACATCCGAAGATGAACCTACTAAACACGAATCCCCAGCAAAAAAACCCAAAGGGCTGGGGGTGATAGGCGGCAAGAAACAAACGCGGCCAAAGCCACCAACGCCTCCACGGGCCCATGTCGCTTCGGAACCCACAGGCCCAGCAACACAGCCCAAGCACGACGACGACGCAACGGACTCAGACCTCGACCAATCACCACGCGCAGCCCCCAGGGCACCAGCGCCCGCAGAGCAAAAGAAACCAGCACCCAAGTCCCACGGCCTAGGCGTGATCGGCGGCAAGAAGAAAGAGAAATTCAAAACACCGACTCCCCGCACCTCGCGCTCCCCAGACCCAGCCCCAGCCCCAGCTCCAGCTCCAGCTCAGTCACTGCCAAAACGCCCAGGGAAGCTGGGTATGATTGGGGGTAAAGCCCGCAAGCTCCGCGACGCTGCGCCTGAGACCCAGACTCGGGCAGAGGCAGATGCACAGGCACAGGCGCGCTCTGAAACTCCGCCTCAGGCGAAGTCTGAGAGCACCGAGGATCTTCCTGTTCGGGGGACTGTGAAGAAGTCGGCTTCGTCGTCGGTAGCGCCGCCTCCGGAACCTCCGCGGGAGGAAACCGAGCATGAGCGGGCGGACCGAAAACGGGAGGAGTTGAAGCGGCAGCTTGAGGCTAAGAGTAAGGCTCCGGCGAAGAAGAAGAGGAGGTTCTAGGCAGGCGGGCGGAGGTAGTCCATGGGGGTTGAGTCCCAGGGTTTGGTTTAGTCATGAAGTTATGAATTGTTTGAGCGATAGTTGGTGCTGTGGCGTTCTGATTGGTGCTTTTCTGTATAGTCGTTCTGTTTACAATACAGTCGAATTTGGATATATGTAGGAAGAAATGTTGGGCGGTGAGGCTGTGAGCCCATATGCATGTTCGATACAACAGGTTCGATGACCGTAAACCTAGTCTTGTACATGAGGTGCATTACCGGTGGAAGGGGGAGAAAGAAAGAAACCGAACACAGGGACGAACACAACCAATCTTCAGCCGCTGAGTCCGCTACCACGACTTGCCCGTGTTGAACCACTTCTTTGTTTGCCCTGTTCACTCGGCGTCACCAGCCTCACTTTCTTGGGCGACATCATGCCGGACGAGGGCGCTCCGCCGGCGCCCATAGTAGCCGTTGGGGCATTGCTTCCCCCAGATGCAGCAACCCCCAGCATACCGCGGACCTTTTCGACAGCTTTGCTCTCGCCCTTGGTCCACGGGTCGCGCTTGACGAATCCGGCCCCAGGTTTCCGACTGGTAGAGTCCCGTTTCTTAGACTCTTCCTGTAAAACACTACGATTATGCTCGCGGCGTGGTCCTGGCCCACAGTCATGCATGCAGCCCGGGGTGGCGCAACCCCCTTCGCTGATAGAGACGTCACTCAACCATGTAGTGATACATGCCACATGACCTCCATGGCCGCAACCTTGGCACCATGTCCAGAGCGTAGAGCCCTTGGGCTGTGGGGAAGTATACTGATCGAGCGCGACCTCGTCTAGATACTGCAGCTCGGATGAGGGAATCTGTTCGGTCTTCAGTGAGGAGTGAGAGGAAGACAGCAAATGCGACGTGGCTTCAGAGTCTTCCAGATTGGTATCTCCAAAGGATGCACTTGGTCCAGAAGTCCATTCGAAGGGTGGGTCGAGGCTCATGCAGATTGCACAAGGTTCCTGGGGATTGTTGCATTGGTAACATTGGCGATTGTCCTGTTTTGGATTCTCGTATGGTCGCTTGCACGTGAAACAGAACACATTTATGAAGGTGTCCGTCTGTGTGTATTCGTAGACGGCTGGGTATAATGGCACGCACAGGAGTCGAAGCTCGGCGGCTTCTATGTACATCGATTGGCGTATAAGATGTTCGTGGTATGTCTTGAATATGAGTTCACACTCCTCTCTGGGAAGGATCTTCTCACATTCTTGAAAGAGCGTGCGTAGTTTCTGGAGCAAATGTGCAGCAGACTGTATGTCAACATGACTGCTGCTATAATAATATCTGATGGCTTCTTTGAGCAGGACCTCGGCACTCCAGGGTTTGTGTCCGCTCAGATGAGGGCTCAAAGGAACGCTGATCTCGGAGAAGTCCTCGGTACAGCCAGGTATAGTCCGAGTGATCGGTTCGCTACCAGTCGTCCGTGCGCTGTCTTGGATGAGGGCTTCCAAGGGGGTAGACTCTTTTACAAGCAGGGGAGGACTAGAAGGCCGTTCCAAGTGAGTATGGCTCACATCAGAAATTCCCTCTTGAAACAGATCATCAGCGTCGATTTCCACTTGATGCGGTGCAGATTCGGCAGCAATCTCTGCATCCCCTTGGTGGCTTTCATTAACAGGTGCACTATACTCGTCAGTCTTGGAGCGATCGTGGAGTCTAGCTACAGAAGAAAATGATGTTGCCAGCAATTTTGAAGGGTGCGAGCTGCCTGTTGATTCGGAAAACATGGGAAAGCTTTCCGAGGATTCATGTCGCTGGAATGCAGGTTTTGGCGACGTGATATGGGAATCAAGCGAGAGCACCTTTTTCGGAAAGAGCTTGTAGTCACGGATCGCCGCTCTCTTGGTCTCCATTTTCTGGTCGAACTCGTCGTCTTCCGAAGCCCCTTTGATATAATCAGGGTGATTTCGAACTCGCCAGTCGGCTCGACGATTGATCGACCGCGGTGCGGACCTTTGGTCGCTTTCTGAATTTTGGGGCACCGATTCCCTCCGTGGGAGGCTATCGAAGGAGGCAGGCACGATTTCACTGGCGTCGGATTGGCGATGTTCAAATTGCGTAATGGGATTGGGTTCAACATCCGACATTGACGACCAAACGTTCGAGTTCAGTGTTCCTTGATTAGAGCTTAGTACCGATGGCGGTAAAGGCTCGATATCGTCATCGTTCAAAGAGGTCATTTGCGAGTGAGAGCTGCCCAGGGAATCACCTGGCGAGTCCGGCAAGGGCCTTGCGAGAGGTGTGGCGATGTTAGACGTGCTTTCTGGCTCCACAAGAGTGTTTTTGGGAGCATCTGTCTCAATCACCCCCCGGAACAACCGATTCTTCAACCTGTCGGCTCTCCCATCGTCCAAACCTGGAGGTCGCTCAGCTGCTCGGCCCTCCTTGGATTGTCTTTTCTTGACATTGCGTGAACCCTTTTCGGAATTTTGACGTTGCTCTCTGGCCCTGACTTCCAGCTCCTGAATGACAGCGAGTTTGACAATCCTCCAGGTCTGAGCAAGTTTGAGCAACGAGACCTCGTCGGCGGATTCTGCATTTTGGGCTAATGCCTCCAGCAGTACGCGCAAAAGGTCAGTTCGCGGAGTTTCCAGCAAAGGAGCATAGTGGCGAGCCAGGTGTCGAAAGAGCGCCGGATCCGAAGTGGCCCCAGGGACACTGCCCACAACTCCTAGCTGGCGTGGCCCAGGCGGGCTGCTCTTGGACAAGGTTTCGTCCAGTTGTAGAACGGGACCAAATTCAGGAGCGCCGGGTGGCGTACTGCTTAGTGACTTGGACGGTCGACTACTGCTTGACTTACTGAATCGGTGATGCCGGATGGAAACGAACGAAGGCTCGTCGAGAACTTCATCCGTCGGGCTCTGACTCACAGCTTCGCCACTGCTGGGCTCCTCTTCCGGCTGGCCTACGAATTCATTGGCATTAAGACCCATGATGCTACGCCTCATCCGCTTCTGGGAAAATGCCAACACCTCCCCATTGGGACTCCAGGCGACAGCGCAGGTTGGGCGCTGATTCACCACATGCGGGGCATAGCGGATGTCGGTCTGAGTGAAGGCGCCAGAGTCACCTACCGTCCACAAGAGGTCTTTGGAGTGCCACAATAGATCTGTGGCATTAGAGTCGTGACGATCGAATTCCCGAAAGGGGACATGCGGCCGTCGGAGATCCCAGAGATGAATTCGGGGATCCTCCTTGTCATAAGACGTGACCACCTGGCAAGACTGCCAATGGCCAGAGAATGGCGGTTCTCTATCCGAGGAGGGAGGCCGCCATCGGACGTTGAGGACAGCTTGTGGTGTGCGGAAATGAAATGTGGGCTTTTGTCTTCGTTCGGCGGATGAGGAAAAGTCCCAGACTTTGACCTGTCTGTCCATGCCACCGCTGACAACATGCTTGCCATCCGGGTGCCAATCCACTGAAAAGCAAGGCCGGTCATGAGCCGTGATCCTCATGATAGGAGCACTCGCCTTTCGGTAGTCCCATAGCTGAATCGCACCGCTATCTGTCGCGGTTGCAAACATGGAATTATCATTCGGAGACCATTGAATATCACGGATGGCATCGCTATTTCCCAAATACTGTTCCTTACTGCCGCACATTGGCACGCCACGCTCGGTGGACGCGGCACGCAAGTCCCACAGGCGAATCGTTGAGTCCTGGCTTCCCGACAGCAGCCATGCCGGAGAGTGTGGATTGAAGGCCAGTCGGTGAACCTGGCGGCTGTGACCTTGGAAGCGGCAATATTCCAAGCCGGTCCGGTTGAGATCGTAAACGACAATACGACCATTAGCCACTGCAGTGGCGATAATCCGATCATACTTGCCATGTGACCATTTGACATCCCGGACAGTCAGCTGATCCTTATGCCGTGCGGAGAGGGCACTGCCACCGTGATGGGTGGATGAGTAACTGATGATGGCATTGCGAAGATTGGCTTCCTCGGAAAGACCGTCGGGAGAGACGCGGATCGTCTTTAAGATTTCCTTCCCGCCAATGACTGCGTGAGTCCGCTGCGGGGAGATGTCTAGGGCGGCAATGGGGATTCCCGTCTTATGCGTGACGGTTTGCGATTCCCCCGGCCTGAATCTGACGTTAGTGGATCATTCCGAATGGCTCCCACCGAAGCCCTACAGATACTGTAGGTATGTAGGAAGAACTTCGTGGTATTTTTTTTTTCTTTTTTTTGAACCCTCTCTTGTTTCTTTAAAAGGGGGAGGGGGACCAGTGATAGGTAAAAGTCAAGCAAGGGAGTGGGTTTGAAGCGATCGAACCAGAATGCAAAGTAGACCAGCAAGGAAAAAGAGAACCGTACAAGGACTTGGACCTGATTGACCGGGGACCAGTGGACAAATCTGCACGACCAGCTGGAGCCTGTGGGCTTGGTGGTCTCGACCCGGAGAAAAAAGGCTGGGCGAATCTTGCTAGAGCACTGGCCGCCCGATGGGAGTACTTCTGACCCTGTTGTACCGGGGCCGGAGGAGGAGGAGGGGGAGGAGCCGTCGACTGGTGGGATGAGAAAGAGAGTGATGAAGTATGGCCACGAGTGGGCAGTCGAGGGAATTCCGACATGGTAGTAGATCAGAATGATGAGGGGCGTAGAAGTCAAGAGAGAAGTGGCAATAAACGACTCAACTACGACTCCATAGAGTCCGACAATAGAAGACTTAACTTGATGGGGATGCCATCATCACGAGTCGTGGGTCTTGAGGAATAACGTGGGGGGAGGAGGGAAGAGATTGGAGGGGATCGGCAACAATAACAACATCAACAACGGAGGACCAACAGCTCAGCTCGAATCAGATCCAATGATTGGATACAAGACACTCGAGCGATTCGACCTGGAAATAATAACTAACAATGAAATCCAAGGAATTGTGTCTGGGGGTGGGGAAAGAAAGGGGGAGGCGGAGTTCCTTGCAATTCCAAAGTGTGAGCGCGCGTGTGTGTGTGTGTGTGTGTTGCCTTGCAGTTGGACGTTAGGGAAGAGGAAGTAGTAGTATGTATGATAGTATCTAGGAGAGAGTAGTAGTAGGAATAGTACTGTAAGTACTGTAGTCTGTAGTAGCTTGGACTCGAGTGGTTGATTGGTGCCGCTCAATCTAGGTAGTTGAGTGGGTAAGATGAAAATGAAGGAGAGAAAAGGCGAAGCTTGATGGAGGATGGATGAATGGTACCTAGTGATGATTCAATGACTGGGAGGATTGGCCATGAGCATCTCCCGCGGGCCAATAGCAGCAAGTCCAGAGTAAGTAGGTAAGAGTCTACTGGGCTCACTACTGTAGTGGAGTAGATCGATCCCAGCTAGACAGTACAGAGTACTCCGTAGACTTAACTATCATCATCATCATCATCATCATCATCATCCACCAAACCACCACTGATTAGTCTGTCAAGGTTCAAAAAAAAAAAAAAAGTGGCAACTTGTAATTGTAAGACGAAAGACTACTCCGTAAAGAATCAAGACGCGTGATATGCGGGTTTTTTGGGGAGTGGGAAATTTAGCGTCCCGAGTGGATTCGTTTGTTCAAAGGGCAGCTGAACAGGAAGACTAAATAGAGAGTATCTACTCCGTAATATCTATGGAGTATCTCGAATCTAGACGGAATAGTGACTTATGCCTCCATAGTCTATCTGACTACTAGCCAGGTAACCAGGATCAAGGCAAGGCAGACTGCAGTCGGTCCCAAGGGAATCTACAGGAATTTGCTGACCGTATATTTGTCAGTCAAAGGATCAATCAATCAATCATAGACAAACAGCAGGAATGTCACCTGGCCAGCTGATGGTTTGATTCCTGTTCGTTGACACTTGACAGATCATACCTACAGAGAGAGTCAAAAGGGGAAGAATGAGGGCGTGCTTCGGTTCATTTTAAACCAAGCTGTGTCGACGCCAGAAGTTAGTGGGCTGAATCCAGAGTTCCAGACTGCGAAAAAGGCTGCATATTTTAGTAATGGTTTAATCTATCAAAAGCGTTGGACGCATGCATGCATGGTTTGAGGCGGTCTAGGAGCTAATTCATCATCACTACAACCACCTTTGAACCGTTGGGGAGGGGGGATAATAATACTGACTCTTTTTACATACTGGAATCAAGATCAATTGCAGCTGTACATGCGATATTCCCCTGGTTTCAGCTGCCTAGTAGATATTTAGATAGATACTCTCCTTGTCTTAAACATGACTCTCCGTAATAATGGTTGATGATATACATGCCATCATCGATCTGTTTTAGATCATCCGGGCATTCGGGACTCGAGGGTGGGACAAACTAAGCTAATCGAAACTAAAAAAAAAAAAAAAAAGAAACAAAGCGAACAAGTTCGAGGGTCTCTTGAGTCTTGCAAGACTCGTGACTCTTGAGTTCTTCGAGCTTTGCAGTCTAATTAACTAACTACTGTAAGTCCTGTACGAAGGAATTATTAGTACCGCAGTTGACTAACGGTCAGATCCTACCGTAGATGATCATTTGATGCCTCACAGAAGAATTCTGCGTGATGGATAGATCATAAATCCACTGTTCCCCAGGTCCCGATCTTGGCAAGCATGGTCATGGACATGAAGAGAATGCTTACCCCGTTGGCCTCATTGGGTATATTTGCATGCCACCTGGATCTCTTTCCATTCAGAGATACAAGAGCTATGATCATTCAATAGATAATGTTCCGTAGTGTCTGTCACAAACTCTACGAGTCAATGTCCCTGATCAGCCACCGACGCAGAACGATTGTCAAAAGTCGAGATACTCGACGATACCTCCAATATATATATATATATATATATATGTTTCTCTCTCTCTCTCTCTCCAGGAGCACTCGGACCAAGTCGAGTCTCTCCACAATATGATCTGGATGACAAGGACAATCCCAGTTGACAATATCAATGAAAGGAAATCAAAATCTCAAGCAATCGTCCTCAAATCCATAGCCAAGTCCTTTTCTATAACGCAGTCCCCTGTACCAAAAGGGTCTACCACCCCATTCTTTTTTCTCCAACAATCCCAATCCTGGTCCATGTCTTGTCACACCCCAAGAGTCTAGAGCATCGAGTCCTTCTTGACTCAACCCAACCCTGAGTCACAGAGCTCATTTCCCCATGTCCAATCCCTTCTTCCTGGTTCACTCTTCCGATAGAAATCATGTATTTCTCTTACCCCCATACGTAGTTCTAATTATAATCGTGGTGTCTGTGTTAGATCCATAGTAGATTGAAACTAAACTCCTGGGACATGAAGCTCTCGAAGGACCTGGATTCTCCATTCAGCCTCAGGGACTCAATCAGTCTGTTAGATCCTCATGTACTACCTAAGCATACAGAAGCTCAAGACCGCTTAAGGGGTGGAATGATCGGAAATAATACAACATTCCAATCCAAGATGGAAAATGACAAAATCATCCGACCTGTTGCTAAAATACCCGGGGAAATGCAGACAAGACCGGAGACCTACTAACTATTACCTAGGTAGATATCTAGAAAATAGCTAGCAGATAATTTGATGTTTGGATACTTCATATTTCTTCTTGATTTTTGATTCAGATCAATTTTGAATTGTTTTTTTTTTCTATTATATATATGAATATAATTTTTGATTTCTATTTTATTTTAATTATTATTTTTTTGACTTATATAATTAACTATCTCTTCCCTGCCTGACCAGGAATACAATTTATTTTTATTTTTATTTTTTTCGCCTCCCAGGCTCCACAAGACTTCACTGTGAGACCATGCAGCCCAGCAGCTCCGAGTCCGAGTCTTGGAGCTAGACTAGTACCGTACCAGTTAAACCTACTTACCCTTACTACCTAACTACCTTACTATCTACAGTATCTACAGTATCTACGAGGTATCTATACTAACTACTGCCTCCCACACCGTCATTCTTGTTTCTTCCCTCCTGCTCGTCAATTATAGCCCAACTCTCCAATATTCCCGTGATTCTTATTAGATCAGGATCTCTCTGCTCTTCCTCTCTTCCTCTTTTCCTTCTCTTTCGATTTCTCTCTTCTCTTCCTGCTCTCATTGTTCAATGCTTGGTCGTATCTCAGATGTTCTTTCTCCATCCTTGTTCCTGTTTTTGGCAATCCATATAGTTTTTTAATAAACGACTCGCAGCTTTTTTTTTTTTTTTTTTTTCTCTCTCTCTCTCTCTCTCTTTTCCCTCTCTCTCCCTCTCTCGCTCTCTTCTTCTTCTGTACCTATTATCCTCTACTTATTTTTTTTTTCTTCTTCTCTCAATTCTCTGCTGGGTATTTTGAACTTCTGCCCTGCTTTTTCCTTCTGCCCTTCTTTCCACTTCTCTTATAGCAGCCAAGAAGCGGGCTAAGAAAAGAGACCACCGCAGTCGAGACCGTCGCTCTGCGCTCGATTGCTTCCCGACTACAGTACAGAATACTTTCCAACCTCTATACATCGTATCGACCTTTCTCAAGACACTGATTCTAGTACAACTACAGTCTTTCCGATTTCAATCCCGTCCAACCGCTGTCCCTACCGCTTCGTTTTTCGTGTCCCTCGGTCAAGACGGAAGAATACGGCCATCGTGTCATGGAAACGCTTCTACACACCTTGTGATCGTGTCGGATATTGCGCGGAGGAATAAGCACCATGGATTCTCATCAAGGAACCCGCGAGCTGTTGGGATACCTTCGCATAGGTTATCCAATCGTTCTCCTTTTGATCTTCATCGTGGCCTTTGTGACCACCTCTATTCGGACAGCCAAGAATGTGACCAAACATGGCAATGCAGCGCGGACAGGACCGGGAGGAAGACCTCTCCCAAAGCGGTCGCGAAGTACAATGGCCATCGTGAAGGAGACGCAGAAGTTCTCCCGGAACGCAAAGCTGCTCTTCAACTGGCTGTCAGCGGGTGTCCTGGTCACGTTGGTTGTTGATGCCGCTATCAATGTAGCCCATGTGATGATAGCCAGGGCAGAGCATTGGTGGTGCGGTCAGGCTGTGGTGGTAAGTGAGAAGCCGTCCCGGATTTCGCGAGTGCCAATTGTGGCCATTGGCAATGTGGTAGCTGATATCCGGGCTAGATTTACGTTGTCGGATCGTTCTTCGTCTACGCGGTGATTTTGATTTCACTTTTGGACAGCAAACCCTCGCCGTCATCTGCGCAGCTAATTCCATGGATCGTTGCCATCCCATTCGAATTGGCCATCCTGGGTGCCTCTCTTTCCATCTACTCCAGTGTTCATCGCGAACCAATTGTTGGAAACCCCATGGGTGGCCGCCTGCGGCAAGGCATGACAGGATGGGAAGCAATGGCAACCGTCTCCAACTGTGTCCGAGTCCTCCTTCTCGCGACTTTGGTCGTCATTTATCTGTTCAACTCGATCAGTGCAAGAACGGGCGCGCGGAAGGCAGCTCGGAGCCTAGCCATCAGTCCAGCGGAGTCGACAGGATTGCTTGATGCCGCCCACACAGAAACAGGAACCACGAATGGGTCGGCGTATGGCTCGACGAACGGTGTCCAGGCACATAACCAACCCCCCAAACCGACCGATCCTTGGGTCCGGCCCACGACAGTTCCGTCAACTAGTTGGTGGGAGTATCTCAGTGGCTACTCTCTCTTCTTTCCCTACCTGTGGCCATCCAAATCCCGTCGACTGCAAATAATTGTGGTCGTCTGCTTCGTGCTGATCATTCTTCAACGTGTGGTGAATGTTCTGGTCATTCATCAGGTGGGGGTCATCACCAATATCTTGTCTAAAACGGATGGGGACTTCCAAGTGCCGTGGTTAGAAATTTGCCTGTACATCTTGTACCGATGGCTCCAAGGCAACCAGGGCTTGATCGGATCGCTCCGGTCAAGCTTGTGGATTCCAGTGAGCCAGTATTCCTACATGGAACTCTCGACGGCTGCTTTCGAACACGTGCATGGGCTCAGTCTTGATTTCCATCTGGGAAAGAAGACCGGTGAAGTACTATCCGCTCTGAGCAAAGGTAGCTCGATCAACACTTTCCTGGAACAGGTGACATTCCAGGTGGTGCCCATGTTGGTTGATCTTTGCGTGGCCATTGGATATCTGCTCATCGCTCTTGATGCTTATTATGCCCTTGTCGTCACGATCGTCACGTTCTGCTACCTCTACGTGACCGTACGCATGGCTCAGTGGAGAGCCGAGATCCGAAGACAGATGGTTAACGCGTCAAGACAGGAGGACGCAGTGAAGTATGCAAGCCATTTCGTTGGGGGAAAAAAAAATAAGTTTTGAGATGATATCAAATCACTAACAAGGGAACTAGGAATGATTCTATGGTTTCGTATGAGACCGTCAAATACTTCAACGCCGAGGATTACGAGTTCAACAGATACCGGAACGCAGTCTCGGATTACCAAAAGGCCGAATATCACGTCTTATTCTCCTTAACCCTAATGAACACGTCTCAGAATACTGTGTTCATGCTAGGTCTGCTGATCACATGCTTTATTGCGGCCTACCAGGTCTCCCTTGGTCAGCGGAATGTGGGCCAGTTCGTCTCCCTTTTGACTTATATGGCACAGCTGCAAGGCCCCTTGAACTTTTTCGGGACCTTCTACCGCTCCATTCAGTCAGCATTGATCAACTCAGAACGGTTGCTGGAGTTGTTCAGGGAGCAGCCGACAGTAGTTGACAAGCCCAGCGCCACCCCCTTGCCGGTGTGCAAAGGCGACATCAAATTCGACGGCGTTAAATTCGCATACGATGCCCGCAAACCGGCTTTGAACGGACTTACATTCCATTGCGAGCCTGGCACCACCACGGCCTTGGTGGGTGAGTCTGGCGGCGGCAAATCGACTGTCTTCCGTCTTCTGTTCCGGTTTTATAATGCTAGCAGTGGACATATCCTAGTTGACAACTACGACGTGGAGGATATCACGATTGATTCACTCCGAAGACATATCGGGGTTGTACCCCAAGATACAGTTCTTTTCAATGAGACGTTGATGTATAATCTGAAATACGCGAACGAGAATGCAACCGATGAGGATGTCTACGAGGCGTGCCGGGCAGCCAGCATCCACGACAAGATCTTGTCCTTCCCCGATGGCTACAATACCAAGGTCGGTGAGCGTGGTCTCCGGCTGAGTGGAGGGGAGAAACAAAGGGTGGCAATTGCCCGGACTATCCTCAAGAACCCTCGAATCATTCTCCTGGATGAAGCCACGGCGGCTTTGGACACGGAGACGGAGGAGCACATTCAGAGCGCATTGGCCACTCTTTCTCGCGGACGTACTATGCTCGTCATTGCGCATCGACTGAGTACTATCACCACTGCCGACCGCATCTTGGTTCTTCATGAGGGTCAAGTCGCAGAGAGTGGCACACATGATCAACTATTAGCTTTGAAAGGCCGATATGCCAGCATGTGGCGGAAACAGATCCGTGCTCAGCGTGCCGCTGCCGAGGCACAAGTACTTCAAGACCGTGCCCAACGTTTGCGCAGTGCCTCAACTTCAGGTGTCGTTGACGATAGTTCGAGCCAGTCGGACGAAGACCGCAATAGCAGAGACGGTTCCGCCACCAACCGACCAACACCGGGTCATCCTCCAGCCCGACCTTAAACCGAGGCCAGGAACTAATTGGTGGAAAGAGAGAGAGAGAGAGTTGTGTGTGTGTGTGCGCGCGCGCGCGCATGAACCAACATCAGGAATTTGACATTGGAAAGCGTCTACTGGCTGTTCGCTATTCCATCCATTTCACGTATAGAGATCCTTATACTGTGGAAAGCAATTTCATTTGTCATTATAGAGTTGATGAAGCGAGGAGATACCATTCTCGGGGGTTTTGATTGATTTCAGGGACGCGTACTTAATTTTGCCCTTTCCGTTCGTTTTGCTGTCGGCTTTGTTGGCGTTCTGAGTGGCATACGACTTGCATGATGAGAACCTACCTTACCTATCTTACTATCGCTATTTGTACATGACTTGGTCTCCACATCTATCTTTCCTACAGTCCGAAGAGCGGCGAATCTGTTGGTTGCGATAGCAAAGATCCTAGACTAATAATTATATGGCAAAAAGTAATGAAGATGCAGGCCTGAGGCGCTAGTCAGTGGGTCCCACCCGATTTCCATTCAATTGTCTCTGATTGGCTGGACCTTACATCACTTTTGTCTCGAAGCTGGCTTAGGTACTGTCTTTCGGCCTCAGAGTTCAGGCATACAATCACATCGCCTTTCTCTAGCTCCAGCTCAATTCTTCCCTACAGTGATCGTTATTGCTCTCAATCTGACCAAAACAACAAATTTGGTGCTCATTCATCGAACGAAGCAACAATCTTCATTCCCGACTCCCGACTCAAGCCATCCATCCCGCTGCCGCTGCCGAATCCGAAAATGCACCCTCCATCCATCCAGCTCCTCCGCGCCCTGCGCTCCAGCGTCCTAGGCACCGCACCCTCCCGCCTCTGCGCCACGATCCCCCCCTCCACCACTCCTTTCCCATATCCCACGTCTCCCTTCGCACCCTCGCGCCGCAGCAACAGCAACCATGCCCGCCCAACCCGGATGATCCCTCGCTCGCACACCCCCAAGCCCACCAGCCGGGACCGCGGCCCGCCGTCCAAGGAAGACACGCAGACGGACTTCGCTGCGCTCAATGTCCTGGGCAACGTCCCCGCGCCGACGACCGCCATCGACGCCTGCCTGGACACGGGATTCCATCTCAACAGCGGGGTCAAGATCACCGGCGGAGACGGGGTGCTGCTTGTTGGCGGTGAGGCGTTTGCGTGGCGGCCGTGGAAGGCGCGCGAGGGGACGAAGGATGGGATGTTGAATGCGAAGGGCCAGTTTGATGTGGATGAGGAGGCTTGGGGGCTGCTGGGGCTTGTGTGGCCTCGTCCTGGTAAGTCTTCTTCATTTCTTTTTTCCCTCTTTCTCTTCAAAAGGCCTTTCCGGAAGACAGATGTGGTGGTGAGAGGGGGAAAGTGAGTGGCTAATGGGAATCGGTGCGGCGTTTTGCTAGATTTGCTGCTTATTGGTATGGGCTCTTCGGTGTTTCCTTTGTCGCCTGAGACGAGGAGGCATATCAATTCGCTGGGGATCCGGGTCGATGTTCTCGATACTCGGAATGCGGCTGCGCAGTTCAATCTCCTTGCGACGGAGAGGGGTGTCTCTGAGATTGCCGCTGCTATGATACCTATTGGATGGAAGAGGAAGTAGATAGAGTGGATTGGAGGTTTGGTTTCATGGGTTTGAGCTGAGCTATATATGGGGGAATGCCCATGATTGAACATTCTACGGATGTTGTATCTTTCTGGTCGCTGGTGGTGGTGCTACATTGTCTATCTGATGCAATTCATAATTATAGAGCCCATTCAGCTCTAATTCTTGTATAATGAAGAATCTCATCTACAAAAGTAGACAACACTTGTCGTTGTTCTCTCTCTTCTCATAACCACCAAGCAAATCAGCGCGTGACAGTATCCCCGTGAGCTGCCAAGCCCAATAATTCAGCTGCAACGCAGTGACTCCCTCACCGTTTCAGCTCCCTTATCTGCCTCCCGCCTCTCCTTTCACTCGTTAAACCATCCGATGCATCAAATCAATCGTTTCTACCTCGCTCTCGAATAGATTCCAAGATACCTCGCATCATGGCGCGCGACGAGCCTCTTCTGGCTCAGCGTCCTTCTTCGGAGAACTCGTCGATTCGGAATGCCGAAGAGGAGGACGCCCTGCTCACCGGAGAACGCACCAACCGCAGCCGCCAGGACCGTCATCCATGGGCCTTTTGGCGAGAGGTCGGTCTCTTCACCTGGGCGCTCCTAGCCACAACTGCCGTTATCGTTCTCGCGGTCGTCTACCAGCATGACACCGGCCGAACCAACCCCGATTCCAAGCCCTCCTGGGGACCCGGAGGCAAGCCGACCGGCAAACGCAACCTCATCTTCATGGTCTCCGACGGAATGGGCCCGACAAGTCTCTCTATGACGAGAGGTTATAGACAATTCACGGAGGGGCTGCCCATCGACGACATCTTGGTGCTGGACGGCCATCTGGTCGGAACGTCGAGGACGAGATCGAGTTCCAGCCTCGTGACGGATTCCGCAGCCGGTGCGACTGCCTTCTCGTGCGGCTTCAAGAGTTACAACGGTGCGATCTCTGTGCTACCCGACCACTCCCCCTGTGGCACCGTGCTCGAGGCTGCTTCTCTGGCCGGCTACAAGACCGGTCTCGTGGTGACGACTCGTATCACCGATGCCACGCCCGCCTGTTTCGCTTCGCACGTCAACCGGCGCCAGTATGAGGACCGTATTGCGGAGCAGGAGATCGGTGAGCACCCGCTAGGGCGCGTGGTTGATCTTATCCTCGGTGGTGGCCGCTGCCATTTCCTGCCCAACTCCACCGACGGCAGCTGCCGAGCAGACGATCGGGATCTGGTCAGTATCGCGAAGGAGAAGGGGTTCAGTTATCTCGATGACCGGAAGGGCTTTGACTCGCTGAACGGTGGATCGGAGGCCAAGCTGCCGCTGCTGGGTCTGTTCGCAGAGAAGGACATCCCGTTCGAGATCGACCGTCGCACGCAGAATGACGTCTACCCTTCCCTGGAAGAGATGGCTCGCACTGCGCTCAAGATTCTCAGCGATGCTACTGCTGATAGCGAGCAAGGGTTCTTCTTGCTGATTGAAGGCTCCCGTATCGATCATGCGGGGCATGGAAACGACCCTGCGGCCCAGGTGCACGAGGTCCTTGCCTACGATAAGGCGTTTGCCGCTGTGTTGGAGTTCCTCGAACAAGACTCGACTCCCGGCGTGGTGGTCAGCACTTCTGACCACGAAACTGGTGGGTTGGCGGCAGCACGCCAGCTGCACTATACGTATCCGGAGTACAGATGGCTTCCTGGCGTCCTCGCCAATGCCAGCCACTCTACCGAATACGTCGACGGCAAGCTCCAGGAATACCTGGCTACCAAGACCAGCAAGAGCAGCCAGCGATCCTATGCCCGGGAGCTGCTGGAAAAGGGCCTGGGGATTACAGACGCAACCGACGAGGAAGTTGATGCTCTCATTGACGATGACTATCCAGTAGCCTCCCAGTATGTATTCGCAGATATCATCAGCCGACGAGCACAGATCGGCTGGTCGACCCACGGCCATTCTGGTGAGTTCTTCTATCCCCCCCCTACAAACTCATTGCGCGAAGGCTGACCGAGCACAGGCGTGGACGTCAACATCTATGCCTCTTCAACGAAAGATGCCTGGCCTCTGGTGGGCAACCACGAGAACACCCAAGTCGGCAACTTTCTGGCAGACTACCTCGACCTCGATGTGGATAGCATCACCAAGCGCCTGCAGTCATCCGGCTCCTGGGCCCCAGCGGACGCGCATCCCGCCTCCTCCGCCGCCCGACCCTTCACCTGGCTGGGCGACCCGCTGAGCGAAGACGTCCGCACCGAGGGCCTGGACACCTACCACGGCGATTTCCGGAAACGCGGTCTGGACGTGGACGGCGAGGAGGGATGCGACTGTGGAGGAGTGCACTGAACGATCTTGTGTGTCTCTGTGGGAGCGTCGCTGCTTGAATGAGGGGGAGTACGGCGTTTTTTCTCTCTTCTGGATATATACTCGTATACAGACATGAAACCATTATCCTTTATATTGAGGATACCTTTTTTGTCATTGACTCGAACTTCTACTTGAACAGTTGAAGGATCGTCCAAATAAAAGTGCCATGGCGGCCCTCGTAAGTCATCTCACTCATATCCAGCTTCTCGTAAGGAAAAGGAAGAAGATAAGACACTACGCACTATGAAAACGCATATCTCCCCCTCCCCTTCTCTTCTCTTCTCTTGTTACACCCAGGAGTCCGACATCTTGCTCCAGCGGAGGACGGGTTTCAAACCTACTTGTGAATTGATGAAAAACAACTTGGGAAACAAATCATGTATTTTACTCAAAACTACGCTATCAAACCCACCAGATCCATGACAATGAGTACCGCCAACCTCGCATAATAGGTTAAATATCTTTCACAAAATGGGATATGTGTATGCGTAAGCGTATTGCACATGTATATGTCCAAAGAACGACGATTGACGGTTCGCCGGTGGGAATTTTAGGTTTCTGTTTCTGTTTCTGTTTCTGTCGAGGTGGGCGCAGTCGCGTCCCATTGCGCGGATCATTACTTTAACATCAAAAACGTCCAAACCAATATTTGGTGAGGGATACAGTATAAAAAAAAAGGCGCAAAATAGTTAATCGAGTATGGAAGAGCGTTTCAGTTGGGTTGGTTAGGGAGAGGGAAACGCCAGGTATAGAACAAGAAGATAAAGTGGGGAAAAGAAGACATGCACAAGAAGATTTTCAAAATCATGGGCAAGGTAGAAAGAAAAAAAGAAAAGAAAAAAAAATTAGTAACATGTGTGAAAAAAAGGGGGTGCGGAGGGAGATCCAAGCGTAGGTTGCCTCTTACAGTGTCACCAGAACCACGACGGCAACCAGCACGGCGAAGAAGGAGCCCTTCATGACACGCTCGCTCTGGGAGGGAGCGGCGTTCTTGTTGCTGGCCCCCGAGGAGCCGGTGCCCTGGCTGAAGCCGCCGGAGCTGCTGGAGTCGCTGGAGCCGCTCGATGCAGAGCCGGAGCTGGAGCCAGTGCTGCTGCTGCTGCTGTTGCCACCCTGAGAGTTACCGGGCACATTCGCAGAGCCACCGTTGCCCGAGGGAATGGTGTTGGCGCCGCTGCTGGTCTTGTTGGCGCCGCCCGAAGCGGAAGTGCTGGCACCGAGATCCATGTTCAGACCGGTGGCGCCGAACGAGGCGAGCACAGTCTTGTTGTCGGTGATGCGGACGGAGCTTTCCAGACCGTCGTTGTTGGTGAAGATGTAGGACTTGCTGCCCTTGATGTCGGCGCCCTTAGGGGGGTCGTAGCACTCGACGGTGATCTCTGCAAAGCTGGCCGAGAAGTAGCCGTCCTTCTTAATGTCCTCACTGTCCCAGTTGATCTGTCCACCGGCCCAGCTGATGGTACCCGGGGCGTTGCTGGCTTGACCGGCAGGCCACAGGGACAGCTGCATTCTGGAGGGGGTCTGGGGGTACTGATAGCGGTTGCTGGTCTTGTTGAAGGTAGATTCACGGGTCAGGGTTCTCTTCACCTCACCGTCCACGGACCAGGTAAGAGCGTCGGGCTTCCAGTCAATGCTGTACTCGTGCCATTCGCCGAAAGTGTCACCACCAGGCACCGATGCGTTTGCGCCGTTGTTGTCTGTAAATATAAGAAAGGGAAAAGTGATTAGCATATCTGATGCTCATGCTTTTCAAGGCTTTTTTTGTGATCAACACTTACAGTCGAGGACACCCTGGAAGTAGAAGTTGGTCTGAACGTTGGTCAGATCAGCACCAACGAACTCGTAGTCGATTTCGTCCTTGGTGTCGGACATCAGGATGAAACCGGTAACCACACCAGCGCCACGGCTGCTCTTGACCTTGGCCGTGATCTTGCCGTACCAGAGATAGTGGTTGTTCGCAATGAGAGTGCCGACGCTTTCCTTGGGCATGGTGAGGAGGAGGTTTCCATCTTCTATCTTGGGATAGCCGCTATAGACCCAGTCAGACTTTGAGGCATCGCCCAGGTACTTGGTGTTCTCGGCGAAGCCGTCGAGATTCGACCAGCCCTTGTAGGTCTTGCTCTGGCAGGTGGGTTCAGGGACACAGGAGTCGAGCGAGTGAGACATCAGAGGATCGCAACCACCCAAACAGTAAGCGCCAGTACCGCACTGGCCATACACTGGAAAGAAGAAAGATTAGAGAACAATTGAGCAAGAGACCCGGGGAGCGGGGAAGGGTTTGGTCCAACTTACGAGAGCAGCAAGGCCATTCTTCCGGACAGTGATTGTCTTGACTGCAAGAAGGAGGGTCGGACGCGGCGAAAGCCGTTGTCGCGGCCAGAGTGGCCAGATAGAGCGAAGAAGTGATGCGCACCATGGTGACTGATGATGTACAAGCGATCTGATATGTACAACGACGTCCAGATGGGGAAGGGGGATAAAACGTGTATAGAAAGAAGCAAAAATCAGGGTCACCAGAAGGCGAGAGAACGAGGGATCTGGGACGGTGGGGAGGGGGGAAAAGAGTCAGCAACGAGAACCAAAGAAGCTCTTCATTAAAAAGGTTACAAATATTGTTTTTGAACCGATTAATGGGGGAGAAGCGTACCAAGTATCGCAGTGGAACGGTGGACGGGAATATATGGATGGATGTGTCCGACAGGCAGACGAATATCAGTGCAATCGAAATGACGCACCAATCAACGAGAGGATAGTGTTAGAACTTCAATGAGCGAGAACCTGGAACGGCTGGAGGAGAGTAAATGATAGTCGATAGTTAGAGGAAAAGCGAGAGTCGGAGCAGAGACGGGGGAGTGGGAAAAAGAAAGTGTCGACAGTTCCGTAGAAAAGTAAGAAAGTAGTCTGGGGAAAACGAGCGTGATAATCTTTTCTTTTGTCTCTGTGGAGTTTCGGTTCTTTGTCAACCTTCTCCTGCTCACTACTTGATACTACAGTAGTAGAACAGTGATAATCATCCGTCGATCCAGGGAAGAAAAAGGAGAAGGTGATCAAGAAGTCGGGGGGCGGATTTTAATATGCCTAGTCAGTATCTAGTCATTGAACTAACTAACTCACAGTACTCACTATCCCGAGTAGTATTATTAGCTAGCCGGTCAGTGAGAGTTAGCCTGGTCCAGCTCATCCCCGGCTGCGAAAGCCAGTCCGCTGATTTGTTGTGTGCATGGCTTGGTAGTTGGTTCGTTGGACTTTGATGGCGTCGACCGTTTTCCATACAGATTACACAGCACGAGATGTCCAGGCCAAGTGACAACTAGATAGTAGTAGATACATAAGGTATGCAGTTGGGGATCAGGAGTTGGATCTGATGAGGATCCGCATTCAGTCATCCTACTTTAATCAGTTGTGGATGGTATAGATACTCTGTATCTCTGAGGATATCAAGATCAGGTGAAATACTTGAGGAATTCGCGGCCAGATATTACGGAGTAATATTAATTTTATTTTTATTTTTAATTTTTATTTTATTTTCTTTTCTTTTTTTCCGTTTGAATAAAAATCATTGATTTTTCCAGAACAGTCACACCCCACGACGTGATAATACGGAGTATGCCATACTCTGTCGAGCAACTGGAGCAGAACATAATTACCGAATGTAACCATACCGCTAGTACCAATGTCCCTGACCCACCCACACGCATCCAAAACTCAAAAGCGTTCATGAAATTTGAATGTTAAAAATTTTATGCCTGTTCTTTTTCGATGGTCCTTCCATATCTGTGACTATGACCCGGCTGAGTGTCTCGTGGAGCCGCAAACCGATTGGCGAACCGGTTACTAGCGGATTTTGAATTTGGATAGCGCTTATCGGTCAGGTAATAATAATACCCGAATATCCCAAAATACCACTTGACCCTGGACCTGATGGGAGTTCCATGAGGCCGGGATATTGACGGATATTGACTCGAAATCAACTATCGCTTATTCATGCATTATTCAACATCGACAGAGTACGTACTACGTCAGTACGTTGTGGTTTAATTTAAAAGAAATAAAAGAAAGAAAAGAAAAGAAAAACGATAGGTGGACGGGACTGTAGGAGACATCTGGCCACTCAGACACACAGACAGCGCTGTCTTACCTGCTATGTGGAACCATCGAGGGGCTCATCTTACTAGATACCCAGGTAGTACCTCGTATAGTACCGAGCACCTACGGAGTAAGTCCTAAGGTGCCTCAGAGTCTCTCAGTAGTATCCGGGCACAATCTGTGTCTTGAATCGATGAACTGCTCTAAGCCAATCAGACAAGTGATTTCTGAATTTCTAACATCTTTACATGTCTGATATCGTACGACATGAAACATTTCACTATTCAACATGATGCTTCTTCCTTGGTTGCTCTCCTCAATAGTCAATACTCGAGTCCCTAGTACTAAACTGTAGTGCTTCACCAAAAAAATAAAAATAAAAACAAGACCTGGTTTTAACTACGGAGTACAGAAGACTCCAAACAGGCACCCGAGCACCTCCTAATTGAGACACAGCCCCTATGTGAAATTGGGAATGCTCTTGGGTTCTCTTGGTGGGCTTTTTGGTACAGCAGCTGGGGACTTGGAATGCATTGGCAGTGCCAAAGAGAAAAGGAGACTCATGACTTACCTTGATACAGAGCACGCCGTATCTATAGCAAGTCCCTCGAGCTCGTTGACTCTGACAATACGATGGTTTGACACCTGAGCCTGAAGAATTATTTTTAGGTCTTGCCACTACAGAGTAGAGCTCATGCGCTTACTGGAATGCACCAAACTGCGAAGCGAAGCATTCGGCGAACAGAAGGAAATAGACGAAATAAATCAGGGACACTGACAAATTTTGAAGCGTCTGACTACTTTTATCGAGAATTATGAGGAAATACTCGAGTCTAGGTAACCATGAGGCACATGAGTAAAGTATTGGCCATCTGCCCCTTCATCAGGATTCAAGACCGGCTCAACATGAGACAGAACCCTGTCCAACAACCAAATCACCAGCTTAAGAGTATTTAAAAGTATCGCCCTCTACAATTTCTTCCGAGGTACCTATCTACTACCCAACCCTCAAGTTTGTACAACACTGTGGGAAGGCTTGAGTCCCAGCCAGAAAAAGAAAAAAAAAAAAAAACCCCCCCCCCCCCAAAAATATCGCAGAGGCTTCACCAACGGCTTCCATAATCCATCCTGTGACATTATCTCTTTACCTCCAGGCCATATTCCAACCACCGTCATCTTGACGCCATCTCGTCGATATCGGTTACACAAAACGGGCCCGACTCAATTGCATTGAGAAGTGACTGAGACACGGGATGATCGCTCCCTCATGTTGATACAGACCAACCAGGCTTTGGTATCACGTGACCTAGTATCAGGTGATCCAGATCACCTGATCCTGGATTATGTGACCTAACTAGCAACAGGAGGGATACCTTAACTCCTATATAGCCTATACTTAGATAAATAGATAATTAATAGATATATTTTTATTCTTACTATAATATAGTTATAATCCTTCCCTATTAATAGGTTATAAGCCTAGATTACTCCTTATAAAACTTTATATTACTCTTTTACTCTATTTAACGATGAAACAGTTAGCCAGCGGCCAAAAACAGCTACACTTGACGCCGTTTTGCGAGTCCAACTAACGCTCGACGCCCTTGGCGTCACAAAGCCGTATTGTCTCCGTTACGGTGCAGCGAAAGCTTTCAATGACAGCCGTGAGTTTTCTTACCTTGTTCCAGGGTGGATATAACTGCGTCCATACTAACGCGACCATCTTCTGACGAACAGCGGACGTTACCAACGAGCTCCAAAACGTGATGTTGCAGCATGCTAGCATCAACACTTTTGTCAAACACTATAGTGTGGGCATCCACGTTGACGCTCAGGCGATTGTTCGGGGGCTGCCGGCCCAAAAAAAACTGATGCGGTTTGCAGCATCCATGAGCCGATCAATTGACCCCCGTCGACCTTACAAATTAGAGGACACTAGCATTGTCAGCAAAGTTCCAAAGGTATCCGAGATGCAGAAGAAAGTCATCGAAAGAAAAAAATCTCGGGCGCAGAAGAAGCAAGCTTTCGAAATAGCAGAACAGGACTTCCAGCGAAAATTTGGTGATTACCTACAACAAAAGAAGTTGAAACAGGAACTCCGAGGCCCCACTCGTCGGGCACTCGACGCTGTAGAGCGGTGGGAGAGAAAGTACCTGCGCGCGACCCAAAGGCATAGTCGGGCACAGCGGGTGGCTCGGAATGAGTGGCAACGACAACGTAACCGCTTGGTGCGTGAGAATCTGGAACGATATAAGAATGAGCAGCCGGTCATTGACAGTGAGAGGCAACTCGCTGGAAAAGTGGTGGATGAAGAGGTGATGGGTGCTCTGGAGCGGACAGGATATATGACCCCTCAGCATATGACATTGATCGACACCCTCTTGACCATGCCAGGCCCGACTGTCGAAAAGGAGTATCAACGTCGGATTGCTGCAATCAATGCGATTATCACTTTCTGTGATGTGGAAGAGGGTTCACCCACAAAGCGACCGAAAATGACCCAGAAACGTCGCGGTACAGATGACTTGCCTTCTTCCCCCGCCTCGAAAAGGCAAGAATGCCCCTTACCTAATGACAGAAAGACCACACTTTCCCTTGCAATTGCGTCTGTTTGCATTAAAGCTCAACATCAGCGGCCGACGATTTGTTTCCTTTGCCTTGGGAATCCTTGTTTACCAGATCATCAGCGAGTCAAAAGCTTTCACACCCCTGGATCCCTCGGTCGTCACTTTGTTGACATTCACGTCATGCCATATCCGAAAGATATGCAGGTCAAATGCAGCATCTGCAGGAAAGACTTAGAGAGTAAATCCGCATTGATGAACCATGCTGAGAGAGTGCATGGAACTGTATCACGTCGGCCGTTGTCTGCCCTTGGCCCAATTTAGATTTCTAGGTGTGCACCTCCAGCCTGACCGTTTGTACTCCAACCTGTTGCTTTTTTGTCCTTACACTGCGTATCAAGGGCTGGTCCCACAACACCTGATACACTTGCTCGTACTTTAGTTACATAGTTCTCTCGTCATGTTAAAGTAATATGCAAGCAAAGCTTCAATAAGCTAAGGTATGAATCAATCCCGGACAAGCGAAATAGCGAAGTCCCCTTAGCTCGCAGTTTCGAAATGCGCTTGAGGAAGAGGTCTTTACCCGCCAGTCACATGTGTCGAATTTGTGCCAATAAGAACGATCATTTGCCAAATCTGAAACAGATGTTTCAAGGCAGATAGCAGAGTCCTTCTGAAAAGAAAGCACATATTAAACAAAGTTTCAGGAGACTAAAAATAGGTAATACAAATAGAATAGAACAATTAAAAGCAATGAGAAGAGATTTAATATAAATACAGCGCCGACATAGCATCGAGTAAAAAGGTCAGCTCCAGCATGCTTCCTCATATATGGCCTACCTCCATCCAGGACGCAGATGTATGTTTCTTCGTTCTGCTCACGGCTTACGTCACCACAGACATGGAATCAGTACAGAATGTTTGAATCAGGACAGCAGCGAATTTGATTTGACCTTAGTAGCAAACAATTTCGACATCTAAGGTTTGAGAGTTAACAATGAAAGGTTGATCAGTACAGATGGTTCGAGACTTTGCCTTGCTCTTGCGGAAAAAAAAAAAAAAAAAAAAAAAAAAAAAAGAACATCAAATCTTTGAAATCAATCTGAAAATGAAGACCACCATTTCAATTATTTCTGTCTATGCCAGATAAATGTACTCTATATCAAGTTGGGGTCGTGAAACGCAGTCTTGACGAAACCCGCTCTATAATGACGATATTTCAGGCAACCCGGACAGTCTGAAAAGTATATAAGAGATTTCCTGACTTTTGTTTGCGAACCAGGTAGGCCTTAGAAGAGAAACTCCCGCCGGTATAGGATACTACATTCGTGATACTAGGATTGAGTGCGCGGTCGGAAGTCAAAATTGGCGCGTGCTTGGGGTTCGACGACAGTTGAGAAGTCGTGGTCTTTTGGATGGAAGCCCGGCCCACTGGGGAGCTATCCTATCTCTATATGCCTGGTTACCTGTATAAGATCGTGATCATTTATAGTAATCCTCTGTATCTCGTCGGACAGATCTCTGAGGGGCAGAGCATTCTTTAAATTGGACCACGAGGATTATATGTTGAAAGACAATCTCAGGCAGCAACATCGCGATTAGCTCAAACAAATCTCCACGTCATATTTGCTCCTACCATTCTGATAGTGTGGATGCTTGCTGCAGTTGCAGTATATTATACCTATTGTTGTTCCCGGCGCGATGCCGCTAATACACATGGTAAACACCCCACAAGTTCGGGACGCCAACTAATGCCAAACTTACTGAGCTTCAGAGTCCTTAGTTAGGTTAGATTCCTTTCATCCAATCATAATCCATTTTCTGCAGTAATGGGATCAGGACCGCAAGTGGGAAGCAGAATGAAATGGGAGAAGATAGGTTTTACCATATTGATGTTCCGTAATGTGAGAAAGAAATCACTGTAGCATCATCCTGGATTTTACTGTTGCCTATAGTAAAGTGTTATAGGCTGAGTATAATAAGCTCTACTCTTTGAGATGCGGATACATAAGCAATGTACGTTCGCTTTGAATTCGACAATGTACCCAGTTTAGGCAATATAGGTTGTCTTAGCGACCGCCGCTGGCGTTCATTTTCTGTATTATTTTCTATTGGGTCTGATGAATGCGGCGGCGAGTCTATTAGCACAGATCAGTGCTTGTCTTCGGTCATTATTGATCGAGATAAGCCGCTTTCTTATAGAGCAGCTTTAAGCTATAGAAATAGCCATCGCGAACGATAGAAGCTCCTCGGCCACTTCATACCGACTAACAGACTTCTCAAGAGGGTAGTAGCGATACAGCAGCAGCGTGGGACCGGATTTACGCCGATAAAAACCAGAGTCAAAACATACCATTCACCTTCGCTTACTCATAGTTATAAGTTAGGGTAGTAGCAAGAGATCGCCGGCGTCGAATAGCGGCGAGCTACTACATTAAAGGCGAGACTCTCTTTTGTCGGACAGAATCTGAATGAGAAGGTAGATGAGAATGTGTGTGGGAGACGCATTTCTTCCGTTTTATTGACCCGATCTTTAGCCAGGGAAGTACTCATATATAGATACCTGGGAATATAGACTGGCCGATGATACTGCGCAAATTGGCCTGTGTTGTCCTTTTATAACAATCATTTGTCTTTGAAAGCCTCCGTTATGCGACTGGTGTCTCCTCAGGAAATTAAGACGCCTCAGATGACCGGTGATCATTTATGTCCTCGTATTCTTATAGGCTGGTATTGTACAGGAGCAAACATGAAGATCTCTTCTCTCTGCCGCAGAGATGCACTGTATTTCCTATATAAGCATTGTGGAACATGTGTTATGTCTGAATCCCCTCCCTCTGTCCATTCGGATTACCTCTGTCAAACATAAGCATCTGCGCTATGGAAGCAACAGCCCCCTACCTGGAACATCCACCCAAACGCAAGCGTGAATCGTCCTTGAGTCAATCTGGTCCTGCTAACGAAAGCAGAGGCGCAAAACCCATAGAGTCACCTAATCAAGATTCCACACAGGTATGTGAAGAAGCAAGTGCTGCAGGAACCCAAGAACGCCATACTCATTATACTTCCACAGCCGGAACCTCCCACCAATGATGAGAAAGTGCTATCAGTCATGGAGTCTTTCAGACCCTTGGCCCGTGAGCTGGAACGATTGGACGAGAAGGACCCCATTCTAGCTGCCCAGGCAGCACGCCTCGTAGCCCTCTACCGGCGCTTGTGGGAGTCCTACGTCGCCAAGAATGCTGAAAGTCAGCGCCTCGACAAAGAAAACCAGCAGCTCAAGAACGCCAATGCCAGCCTCTCTGATAAGAACCAGCAGGCAGAACACCATTTTTTGGAATATAATGTCCTGCTTTCCCATTACAAGGAAGCACACCAGAAGATCGAAAATGGTATCAACGGGGTCTTGGAAGGTTTGAAGGGGTCCCTAGTCGACTCTGCAGATGCTGCCCATCAGAAGCAAGATGGTTGAAAGTAACCTGGACAACCATGTGAGGGGCGGCATTGAGCGGATGTTCGGCGGTGCAAGTGGTACCGAATCTACAGCGTGCGAAATAAGGCTTTGTGTGGGTACTTTCTTGATTCCCATATCAAACATACCCATCAATCCATCCTTCAGTGTCTAGCGTTGATTGCAACACAGTCCTTCAGAAATTGTGTAGTCTCTCCCCTCCTTATCTGTTTACTCCGACGCATAGCTTGTTAACTGGGCGTCTGCATCTGCAAATGCGTAATTCCTCAATCCATTCCGACCGGCTCAGCCACCTTCCCCTACTGTCAAACGATCAACACCACTAAGCATATGTATTCCGTACCACTGCTCGCGCTTGCTGAATGTTGGATGTTCCTCTCGGAGGATGTTCCATCGGAAGAAGAGGTAAAAAGCCAGGTGCCCCATCGGGCAGCGTTGCACATGGCGATAGCGTGCCGCAATGCCGTACTCAAGTCGGTTCAGTTGATTTGTCTTTCCATTGTTCATGAATATCATAGGACAGGCCATGGGCCCTTCGTGCTCTAGCTCCATGCCGAAGAGATCGGGTAATTGAGCTGCACGAATATTCTCCCCTCTGAGCAGCATCGTGTGGCTGAACAAGAAATTAATCGCCGTAATAACTCTATTGTCACTGGCAATAACCGCTTAGGATCATCAGCAGCAGCCTCCCATCCCTCCCAGCAGAAGTGTATAACGTCGGCCATCTGCTCTGTGTTATAGCCATCCTGCAACGTGCTAAGTGCACGGTCCTTGAACTCTTCCTTCTTCCTAGAGGCCTCCTTAGCTAGGTTTGACCTGAGTAATAATTTTAGGGCCTCGCTTCGCACAGGCGGTTCCTTGACCGGGCGTGATGGACTGCTATACTGAAAGTTCCAGAGACTCATGATTGCGGACACCTCCCCTTCTACTGTTCTCTTTGAGATAGTGGGAATAATAGAATCTCCATTGTCATTAGTACGAGCTCGCTTCTTTATCCGCGTGCCTTCAGCTGGCCGGCCGATGATTTTCGTGTTAATGTACAGCAGGAGCTTGTCGTTGCTAACAAGCTCCCCGTCCACGAATTGCATCTCGGTACACCATTCCTACATAGTCTCTAAGGATTAGCGTCTCCATAGCAGAGGCAGAGGGAAGGGGCAGGGGGACCTTCCACCACTTCTGCCCATGAGCGTACACTTTGGTGGTGTGATCAGGCCGAGTCGTATGCCCTTCTTGAAGCACCCTCTCACTTACAGCAGCATACTGCGCGGCATGGTTGGTGAACTGCTGATGCTGTGTACGATCCATTAGATAAATAGCAGGAAATGAGGCTATGTTATAGCGCATCCACAGAAGAGCTTAACTATAATAAAATTTTGGTCCCTTGCTCACGCGAGGGAATGGCGCGGACGTAGTACCCCGCGCAATTACAGTGAGCGGCCCCTGATCCCTGTCAGCGATAGCCACTTATTGAAAGGCTTGGCGATTTCTGCATAGTAACCCGAGAAATTACTGGGCGGCTACCACCCCAAGATATGTCTAGGATATTGAAACGAACACTTCGCTCTCGCACCTATAAACGACGAACGCCGGACAGCGCATTTTTGCAATCTTGCAATAAATTTTATATATCCATATATACATACATATAAACCAGTATCTCTCAGATTAGTTGATAATAGCGGTGTAACTTTACTCCGTACATCTGTAGAGGGTGTGTGCCCTAGGTAATATTATGGCTATAGACGCATACTCTTACGGCAGTATCACTGAGAGAAAAAAGTAAAAGAATATACAAAGTATCACTTTGTTCGCTGAATATTACCAATCGCTTATTCATTGCTCTTCATCCTTCTTTACCATGCAAGGCAAACAGAGAAGGTAAAGGTTGTAAGCAATACTGTGGACAAGCCGTATATCCAACATCTGTCTACTAAGAATGTGAGACGGCCATCGCTCTCAGCCTCTAGAGCGAAAAAGTTGGTGCCGAAGAAGCTGCAGACCAAGCTTGCTGGCAGATAAAGCATAGTGACTATTGAGATAGCATACATCGAATTGCTGTCTCTTCTCGTGTCCTGTGCGATATCAGCATTCTTCCGAGCTATTTCTAGAGAAGTTAGACTATCGCGGGTGGCCGTGAGGTTATAAAGCTATAATTTTTAGCCCGAAGATTGGCACAGGCGTTTGGGCAAGTGTACCAGTTCAACAAGATTTTAAGCTCTTTGCTTACGATTTTTATATCTTCTCTTCCTATCTTCGCAGAGATGCTACAAATATAGGAAGGTACTCTTAATGCAGCTCTCGGTCTCGGCATCAAAGGCAAAGTTGGCCCCAAGAGATAAATACTCCTGGGTAAGCAAGTCGAGGTCCAAAAGAATCTTGCCTATCAATAAATAATCGTGTTCATTAGAGTGCTCTAGAGTGATTAAAGCTCGCAGGATTTTGTGTAAATCCTGAACTTGCTGTCCGAATCCATCAGCGGGCCTCGTCTTGATCAAAGTTCCATCCAAGAGTTGTGATTCAATTGCAAGTAGTTTATGGAAGGAGTTATCTAGGGGCTTATTCCTGGTATCGATCACATAATAAAGAAGCACAAAATGGCTCCAAAATGGATGAAGGAAGAACGATCATGTCTCTGACAGTTTCTCAAACCTTCTGAAGGATTCAACCGTTTCGCGATCCCTTTCTGGTATGGTGAAAGAAGATGCCACTTGTCTTTCTGAAAATAGGCATATTGAGTGTTTGTTTCCAATCTCATACCGGTAATACACGAGGTTAGATCTCCGTTCCGAAGGTTGCAGCTGATATGGGATGTAATTTTGGGAATCAGGCTGATTAGCCGTGCCAGCACTGAAGCGAATGTCTCGTGACAAGTGAGCAGAAGTATCATTATAAAAGCCACGTTTAACCTACCCAAGACCCGATCCAAGCCGCTTCCATGAAATGCAGAATGATAGGACTCTAGCTGAGGGGCCCTGAGATCTAATCCTAGGCCAGAAATAAAGTCGCCGTTCCCTTGGTATTTCCGGGCTTCCTTCAACGTGTCAGAAGAGATGACCCTGGCATATCGAAGTGAGCGTTGTTGACGCCATTTTCTACGAATGGCGGAGAGCTTACAAAATCAACGCTTGGGCCTGCTTGGGAACAGTATGTAATGTTTCCTGCGTTGCATTGTGGAAACAGCTAAGATCTTCAAATATGGAAGTCCTGGGCATGATGGCTTTGTTGTCCCAATTAAACTTACAGTCCTTTTCTCTCAGGAGCTTGACGTCAGTCCTCTTTTGAAGATCTACCTGGACAGGGCTGAAAAGTAGAAAGTCGGTAATCTGTGCATCGGCTATTGCTAGAAGACGTGAGAAATACTGGGCTAGTTAACAAGATATTTGAGGAGGATCTTCACCCTTATTAGAGCATCAGGAGGCCATCATGCGCAGCAATAGTACCAGCAATTTTGGTGCACATACCATAGAAGGGTTAAATGCAAAGAGCAGAGAATTTGCAAGTTGTGCGCCCTCAGATACTTTATATAATACTGGGCACATGCAAGACTGAGGTGTATTTGAAAATGCAATGCTCTACAGGTACTGTACGCGCCGTAATGACGAGTTGTTCTTGCTGTGAGCAATGTCAGCCAGTAACTAAGCACTGTCAACGGTAGTGTTTCATTGTACATTGGTTTCGCCAAGGCCGGTAGTCTAGAATGTGCAGGGAATCGCCTAACCGTGCAGCCTGATTTATCTGACTGTAGGTGGCAATAAACGAGCACCCGATATGCTACTTACGGTGCGTTCCTTTTTTCCAATAAACCTTGTTTCCGTCTTTGACACAGAGAGCCAGATGGAATACGTAATTACAACAAGCACTTGTCCACTGTCTTCGGCGCCCCACTTATATTATAACCCTTCCTCTTCGTCTAATCTCTCTTGCTCCGGCTGGGTTCTCATCAGTTGATCAGGGAGGATCGACATGTCCGCTCTATGCCTAGACCGGTAGGAGATGACACTATGGAGACATAATTCAGATTAATTCCTTGTAACTACACTTCTGAATTCGACCCTGCCCTTAAATGAGGATGAATATCGAACAGAAAGACATATTCAATGATGGAAACAGGGGGCAAAATAAAATAGTGGCTAAAATCCTTTTAGCATTCCCTTAAGCTGTGCCTAATAGTCATAGAGACTGTTGTCAACCTTAGAGCCAGGAGTGGGTATAGTATACTTATTTACTCTGAGGGCTGATTAAATGTGATCTATATGTAGTGGAAGACCTTCAGATAAGGTAATGTTATATGTAAGCTTAATAATATTCTTAATCTTCAGATATATGTTAGTATACACCAGCATCTTGGATGGAGTGACATCTTACCTGCTAACCATTCAGGCTAATCTCAGCGAAGTTATATATCTCATCTTCTAATATTTCTGCTCCTACCTTAGTAATAAAATCCCTAAAGACAGCCTGTCAAGCTAGTGGACCCAGGTTATAATACTGTAACTTTAACTAGATTTAGTCAAGGATGGCTGTATTGAAGTCCTGGAGCATATTTATTATAAGGAAGAAGATACTGGGATAATACTTAAGTGTGCGCAAGAACATAGTAATAAGGTGGTTATATTCTAAATATAGGTCATCCCATTACTGCAGATAGATATCTGCTTTATCCAGGAGGAGAACAGCCTTCTAGTTACTTATAATGCAGAAGGTATATATTAGCTAGACTTTAAGCTCCTTAGCTTAAGCACTGAGATCACCAGCAGAAATCTGTATTTATTAGCTTCCATACAGTTAAGAGGACTTAAGACTCAAAATACTGAGTAGAGCAGTTACTAAAGTCATTCTAAGATGGCTTCTACTGTTAAAGTCTTCCCCACACCTGGAGGGCTGCTTCCCATAACAGTTAACTTTTAGCTATTATGGGAGGTTTTAGATACATACTGCAGGAGTATGATGACCCCTTACCTATTTCCTTTAATAATGTCATCAAAATTTCCCTTAGTTGTTGCGTGGATCTGACTTTTAGTGAGAGACTTAATGACCTTCTTTTTATCCTCTGGGATTACTAACATGTCAAAGGGCGCATTAGAGAATTAGATCTTAGCCACCTCTTCTACAGCAAATTCTCCTAGTGACATTAGCTAATTAAGTCACCAGTAGTCAAGCGTTGACTTACCCCAAATCTTCTTATTCAGAGAGAAACCAAGAACTATTAGACTACAGATTACTAGCTCTTCCTTCTTTAACTCACCAGGATCCATACTGTTACTCTGGACACAGTCAATAATTTTGTGATTGAAAATTTGGCTAAATATATTAGTATAGGGCCTTTTTGTCATTAGTCTTACATAGTTAGGATTCTACTTCCGGAATTACTGAGCATCAACTATAACCCTGCTACTGACATGGACTTTCATTAGTTAATCCTTATATTGGATAAACATATTTCCTTCATATTACTAATGGTAACAGCTAATAAGCGACACAAATTTTCAACCAGCTGATACTAGGTGCGACCAGATTTCCGGGTCAGGGTGGAATTTCAATAGATATACTAGGAGATTTTTAATTCTGTAGGCTCTAGAGAACATTTTAATCTGCAAAATCTCAGTAGATTCACTGAATACTTCTCCATCATAATCAAAATACTGACACTGGATCTTAAAATAATCACTGTTCCAGACTGTCTTCATCTCTTTGCTGCAGCTGTAATAAACGCACTGGGGCAGACCTGTGGAAGGGCAGGTTATGTACAGTAGTGCACCTGGTTTAAAGAACACCTATAACAAGTTATATGTTATTTTCCTGTGAGTCAGGAGTGAGCTTATTTAACTAGTTGTTAACTCATATACTTCCTCTAGGTACTTAATTAGCAGATGTTGCATGCTTTCCTCTTCTATGGTATCACCATCAGAGCCAGTGCCAAAATTTTTCAACTCTAGGAGGAAATAGAATAATAAGTTCCTCTCCACCTATGCTGATATTAGTAAGAAAGCCTACATAAAGTATAAGTAGCCATACTACAGGTTTGTCTGCTTTAAGGCCTGCTGTTCTAACATCTTTTAGGATGCATCTTAAGGTGTCTTATAGGCCTGGTGACTTAATATCTATATAGATAATAGCATTATATGTGTGTTTCTCTGGACATATATTAGCTAGTCAGAGAGCTGGAAGGGCTAGCTGTACTTATGGATATGCTTGCAGATAATAAATATAAATTCATCTAACTCACTTATATCCTGTGGGGGAGGGGAATTAATAATCTTATACTTATATATCTTAGAATTCCAGCTATGCTTATAATCAGCAGATATAGAATAGTGACAGTGCTTAACATATACTTTGTTAACAGTCTTGTATTCCATCCTAGAGGCCAGAATCCTTTTGTCATTGCCATCCTAATTATTCTCTGCCTTCTTCTCAGGTCTAGCAGGACCATTTTCTGTGCTGCTAAAAGCTGTTTGAGGTTTGCAATCAAGCACAGCTTAGAAAAGGTCTTTTAACTGGTCCATTATAACAGGCTCCAAGGGAACATAGGAGACTTCTAGATAAGGTATACCCTGATGGTCACCCCTAAGACCTTCGGATTCGATCTCACGAGCCTCACAAAGGTCAAGACCATCTGCCGTGGCTGGAGAGTCAGCCCAGAGTCTCATTTTAGCAGCGTTCGCTAACAGGCTCTCAAGCCCATTTGCATTAAACTGAGGCGTTGAGGTGCCAAAAGGTCCTGAGGAGCATTTGTATTGGTCTTTCTTTATGGTGCAGCTAGGACAGAGATTAGCAATGTATTCAGCAAATAGATGGCACTGCTTACACTCCATGAGTTTCTCTCTTCTCCACATTTGACAGCCAAGCGCCTGCTACTAACCATTCTCCATTTGCGACAGCTATATCAACCGCACTCGGCGTTGATTGGCCATCATTCAGTGGTCCAATATTTGGCAGACTTGCACCATCAATGTTGTTGTCAGTGACTGACAATTTCGGATTTCCAGAGACCTTGCAGTTCCCTGCTTGTGGCTCCTCTGCATAGATCGAATATGCACTTGGGTCATCGCTAGAAGGAACAAGGGGGTCAGTGGGCTCTTTCAATTGGCCCATTGCGATAGTCTCCAACAGGGTGATGCATGGGCTGTTAGGTGGTGTCCCACCCTGACTATTAAGAAGCAATTGATGATGATTGTCCTTCTCTACGCTAACAGACGCTAACTTCGAGAGCCTGGCAGTAGCATTGGAAGACGGTGTGTCTTGAAAGACCTTCAGGAGGTCCGTCAGCAGACTAGCAGTGGTGGGTTGGGACTTTTCAGAGGTAGGCTCCACGGCCATCTCCAACAACACCTGTTGGATAGCATCGACAAAGTGTTGCTTCAGGTCGTCCTGGGCCGTACTCAATAAGGACAGTGCCTGACGGGGTCTGTCATGAGGCGTCACGACTTGAAGACATGGAGATGGAGGTGCAGTCCTTGCCTTTTGGTAAGATGCCATGTTGGATAATTGATTGAAATATTTTGATGCAGCTTTGCGCAGGTTGCTACGATAAATTGACGATCTGACTGGGTCAATGATGCTCGAGGTTCAGAGATTCCTGCGACAGCATGCCTTCTTATATGGCTGTCCTCCGATGAACCACCGCGTGCGACAATGTAGCGCATCGTCTCTCCATCACATCTGGATGTGCCGTAGGATGCATGGCAACAGGTCTCAATCAAGTTGATGTAAAGTACCCGCCACTATCTTGCCTGCAGTAAGATAAGGCTGCCACTTTTGGACCCAAAATGTAAGATTACCTGCAAAGGCAGAGTAAGCAAATCCACAAATTACGGCGTGGGAAACTATTGGTAGTTTTGGAAAGGCCTCCCTAGCGTGGATTTAATGGACAAGATGAGCGGGATAGCCCAAAGCGAGATATAGAAAATGAACATGGGAGAAGCCAAGGTAATGGTATCTACTGTTATTAAAAGAATTATTCCAAGTTCAATAATATTGAGAAATCGCCTTTTCCTCGTTGGCTCAGCTTTCTTAGAACTCATCCTAGCGAATTATGCCTTGTTTTGAATTTGATGCCCAACTACCACTGTACTCAGCGATCGGGCGCGTCATATGACACCAACCGTTCAGCCATTACCCCGCTAATGTTATAAATTCATCGAAAATGGTTGTGATGGCGAAAGTGTGGAAGATCCCTACTGTCGATATGCCTCCTGGGAACTAAGTTTCTAAGAAAGATAATTTTGCTATTCAGCGACAAGCGGCTACGCCTTTCAAGCAAAGAAGCCCTCTACAGAGACTCGTACAAACGCTGCGTTTCGTTCCAGAGCTTGGCTAAGCTCACACGCCTTCAAAAAGACGAGAATACATCTGATGGTGAGTCGCTTTTCCTATTCATGGGGTGGCCAAGCTGACATATCTTAGCCGTTTGACCCCCAAGATCTCGACTCCACCATAGACTTCTCCTCGTTTCCTTCGAATAAGATTAAGTGGGTTGAAGGCAAAGATCAATGGGTATACTGGGCAGGATGTAGCGCTCTTACGGTCTATGAAAACAAAGGGGAGGGGTGTGTGCACAGCAAGCTTACCGGCCAAGTAAAACTGCCCACTGGTATTGAGTTGTATTTTGTTGGAGGCAAGGTCAAGGAAGGATAATTCCAACACTGCTAGGGCCAAGTTCACATTCTATGTATATAACTTGTTTTGTATTTGAGCGCCACCTTTCAGCCCTAAGGACAAGTTGATAACCGCCCCTTCATCAGATCTGTTCGTAAATATCATTGAGACACATTCAGTTACGTGATTGCCCTCCTCTAGCTCCTTCTTGCGCATTCGGCTTGTCTTTATTGCTTCATGGATTTCAGGGCCGAGGATACAAAGAATAGCATCATCCCGCGCTCCTTTCAATGTCATTTCAGGGTTAGGAATCAATTTGACCCCCTCATTCAACATCACATGCCATACCTGTCCCTCGGATTCCACATGTACGTTGAATAAAGCGAATGCCAGGTATTCAACTTTATTCTAGTGGATAGCCAAGCTCATGAGGCAATCTACCAGTCCATCAAAAGGGAAGTCCATAGTAACGGCAGCTTTCAGGGATCCTCCATCGCCGGCTATGTCCCTCCTTATGGCGCCACATGTGTAGGGGTTAAAAACATCAGCAATCCCTTCCAGAGAAGCCTTTTCGAGGACGACGTGTTGTAGGGAAATTTGGGCGGCCGGCGAGTTGTTAGACACCCCCTTAGGAGTTGGAAGTCCGTCGTCAATTGAAGGACACCCCGTTGTCGCTGTGGGGTTTTGGGAATGTATTCGAGTAACAGGAATCTCTATTCCTGTAACTATATTAGTAAATATTCAACGGAACTCTAGTTGAATAGACTACCATCATTTGTAAATATTCGAGATATTTTGTCAATGGCGCTGCTAACAGTATGGTGCGGTTGTACAACCGTTACCGCCTTGGCGACGTATGTTTGCTCATCTGATGTTAGCCTTGCGAATGCGGCAAGAACAGACAGTTTATCATGCCGCCCTTTGTAATGAGCTTTGCCCTCTGTTGCAAGAAAATACGCAAACCAAGCTTGAAACCCTCCATAGTCCAGGAAGATTCTTGCTGTAACTTTTGGATCTGCAGCGCAGGTTTCCAAAAGCTTTTTCTTCAACCTCTGGGGGGTTCTTTGACGTTTCCAGGCTCGTTCAAGTTGCTGCCTAAATATCGTAACTGCCTGCTTAATGATCACCTGGTGTGCTGAAGTCGAGCTATCAACCGAAGCTGGAGAACCTTGAGTGAGCGTCGTATTGACTGAGTCTTTCCTTGATAAGGCCATGACCCTCATGCACTTGTCTAGCCATGAAGTATGTTATTTTCCTAGGGAGGGGCAAACTTACTTCTTATATTGCTCGGCCCCAGCAAGTACGGAGTTTACTAGCATATGGAAGTTGCTTATTAGCTGACCAGGAAGCAAGCTAGACGCCTAACTTGCATGGAGAACATTATCCTGAGCCAATCATGGTCGCTTTTTGGGTTAGATAACTTCCAACCTTGAATCTGATGGGCCCAAGAGCCATTTAGAGTCTTCTGAAGTGGCCACAAGGAGGTACACGCAGCAGCATGCCTAATAGATCTGATAGCCAATGCTATCCGGAACATCATACTTGTCGTCTTTTTCTTCGCGCTATAGTATATCTGTGCGTCAATGATCCTAGGATCTTCGCGCTCTTGCGGTGCTGGCGCGACTGCAGTCTCTGGGGGTTTCCGAGCGTACGAAACGATGCTGACGAGGTTTTTGTCTATCCTAGCGAGAATTTTCTCGGACAACTGGTGAGGTCGCTGCTCGACATCGGGTTCGATAGATATAGAGTCAGGTGCTGAACCGGGCTCAACACTCTGGATGAGACCCAGGGCCTTCTCTAGCTTTTTGATGGCGACTAGAGCCCTTTCACGATGCTGTAAAATTTCCTCTTCACTTCCCGCGTCAATGTAGTCCAACGCTAGTTGAAAACCTGACATGATGCGGATTGGAAAAGAGCATGAGGACGGATCGTTGAGTCCCAGTTGCACAAAAAATGATCACACAACCTGGATCAGTCTGGTGGTAGGGGTTCGCGGACAAAACCCCGCTTTAGCTCGTTGGGAGAAGAGGCTGCCAGCCTCGACTGTAGCGTTTGCTTTTTCTCACCTGTCCCCCGTTCTGTGAGTGGTGCGCTTGAACCTAAACCGAGGATACCACTTTGAAAAATGGCGCTTTCGTGATCTTGGCGCGTAGACATTCTTTGTCCATCTCTGTCTGTACCAAAAGATAGTTGTCCTTCTTTCTTTCCTGGCTTTGATTTCTTGACCATGGAGGAAAACAACTCGAAGGGGCCCGTGGGGAACGGACATGAATGCAACCAACGGAAACGCAAGGGGGTTGGTTTTCGCTCCTTTCGTATATTTTGAGCAATATCATTGGTAAGAATCCTTGTCGCAGAGGAAGGATAAAATCACATGCTGAGTAACCAGCACTGCGACATGGGAGCGCTTTTGTTCCCTCCATTTCAGGGAAGACTTAATGGGAAACGACACATCGCTCGATCAGCAGTGCTATCTACTATCCGGTCTTGCGAAATTGGTAGAAAGCACGCTAACCTACCATACTGGCGACCTACGTACGGCTCATGATTTTTTTGTTTAGAGGCTGACTGGTCGACCAGTAATGGAAGAGAATTTTGTATGGTTGCAAGCAACCACATAGAAATCTTCTTGGTTTTGCTTTCAGCTTATATGTGTTTTTGACAGACTTTATAATATATCGGAATCTCGTAAAGAACACCCGTTATGACTCCGCAGACAATTTTTCCAAGATTTCCTGGCCTTTCTCGTCCAAATCGGGATAATTTCGCAAATGTAGGGAGAGTGATAATTGGCCGTCAAATTTAGAGCCCTTTGTGAGAGTCGAGTCCCATGAGGCCCTCCATACAGAATATAACGGCTTTGACAAAATTCCGAGATGGCGATCGATGTCAGGGAATCTAGTCTACGCAGTTGTATCTACTATTTAACCTAAGAATTTAGTTAGTCGAACGTATCTGTACATCAATCTCCGCAATGGTTGAGCCCGCGGCCATCAGATATGCTGCCCTGCTAGCGTGAATCAAGTACATAGGTTCTCTATCCTACTTCTTGCATCTAATGCAACATAGATTGCATATCATGGATAGTATGACTGCATGAACGCGAATTCCTACAGCAGTCAGCTAGGAATAGAGTATCTTTCCTACCCAGCAGCCATTTTCAGAGGAGTCTCTCCCCGGAATACATGGAAGTAGGAACTGTCCTCTCCCCTCAGCTATAATAAAGTACCAAACACCACTGTTAAGGTTGAGTACTATTTTAATGGTAACTAATCCTAGTGTAGGGGCCCGTATCTCTGATTAACATCTGTAATCTTGCTTTTGCAGGTTCAACTACTCAGGATAAGACTCATGGTAACAAATACGACAGACCAGTCCTATCGGTACTTCCTTCCCGCAGCTACAGCAGGACCGTCTAAGGAGTAAACCAGGTAACTTCTTATTCCAATCATATTTTGGCGCTTCTACAGCTCTTCTATAAACTAATGGCGGCTTCTCGACAACAGGGTTGTTATCTTAGAGTGTATAAACATTGGTTTCTTACTGTAACCTATCAGCTACTGAACGCCAATGAGGATTGCTATCCCTACACTTTTGTATTCTTCCTTGTCCTTCTTCCTTCCCTTCCTGCCCCTTTGTTTTACCACTTCCTAGTTTCTATCTGATACATTAGTAACTGGGACATACAGAATCTATGTTAATGTTAATGGGGTTGATCAGTAGCAGAAGACTCAGAATCAGCTATGCGCTTCTTCTTGAGCGTTCAGGGCAATTAAGATGAGAAAAGTTCCCATATATACACATATAATGACTCATATGAAGGGCACCATTGCTTCGAGCGAGAGCGATCCTATGGTTTCTTATTCCCAGGATTTTTACTCTTTATATTCTTTTTATAGATAAAAACAGACTCTAATATATTTAATTATAGAGATACAACTACCTATTTTATATAATACTCTATAATTATTCGTCGTAATAGCATGAAAGTAGAAGGTAGTCTACTTCGTACTCATATAGTTGCTTTACCTCATTACCCTCTTGACTAAATATCCTCGCTGCTCACTCCACGCATATATTTACTGCACTAAACAAGAATAAGCTCAAATAAGTTAATTTATTCTTTGTGCTCCGACTGCTTTGGTATTGATATTATATCAAATTTTTACTGAGCAGTCAGACTGACTGTCTAGATACTGGACTTTAACTTCTTATTTCAATTGATTTATTTTTTCTCTCCTTCGTTAACTGCAGAGCATCAATGAAAGTTATACCTAATTTTTTTTCTGATGAAACTTGCTTATATTTTTGAAGGAAAGAGTTAGTATGCTCCAGATGTCAAGTAGTTAAAGGTTAGAGTGAACAGGAGACTTTAGCGCTAGCTGGCCCAATCATAAGCCAGTCATATTTGTGACACGTGCTAACTTGAGGCCAGAACCGGACTTTTTCAACTTCCGCCTCTGGCCATACCAAACTTCCTTTCCAGTATGCCCAAAAATTCATTCACGGACGACAAAGTTCAAACCAGTTGCGGGGGCCCAGCCTAGAATCAAGCTATTTCTTAATAGACTTGTTCGCCTCTTCAACACACCATTGTCCTCACACAGGGTCAAGGACCCGGCCAGTGAGAGCTTCCGTCGAATATCTCAGCCTCGTTCATTCCCCTCCTTACCTTCCCAAACCTGGTTGGTAGCTGTATCATCAGGGTATATTGCTGCTTTGTGAGACTTAAAGGGAAGTTCACAAAGAGTATGGCTCGCTTATTAACTAATAGTCAAGCTGAAGAGCTGTAAGTCTAGGCCTTGGTGTGCAAACTCTGAGGATCTCTCAAAGACTGATGCTGGGCACAATCCAAGGCACAAATCCATTATTGCTTATCTGTCAGCAAATGGCTTGCCAGAAACTACCGCTATATTAAGAAAAGAGCTGGGTGTTACAGAACATGACTTCAATGCAACTGCAGTAAAAAAATATGAAACACTGCTGGAGAAAAATGGACCACTACTGTTCGCTTACAGAGAAAGGCAGGTCGGAATTATAGATTACACTTTCTCTATGCTAGCTAACATATTAAAGATCATGGACCTGGAGTCTCGAAACGCAGCTTTGCAATCCGAACTTGACAATCTGACGCCTACATCCCTCCTCACACGCAGTCGAGACTCAAAGGCTTGGCTGCCTCAGCGCCCTCGGTACTCATTGCACTCACATCGTGATACTATTAATTGTATTGCTTTTCATCCTAAATATTCCTCTATTGCATCGGGTTCCGATGATTGCACGATTAAGATATGGGACTGGGAACTTGGCGAGTTGGAGGTGACACTCAAAGGCCATACAAGGGCGGTTCGTGATCTTGATTATGGCAGCCCTCCGGGGGCTGTTGGCGTCCTTCTGGCCTCCTGCAGTTCCGACCTTACTATCAAGTTATGGGATCCGGCGGACGGTTATAAGAATATTCGGACTTTACAAGGACATGACCATATTGTCAGTGCCGTTCGTTTCATACCAAATGGGAGCTTGCTCGCCAGCGCAAGCAGAGACATGGATGTAAGGTTATGGGATGTAACAAACGGGTACTGTGTGAAGACGATACAAGGCCACACTGGCTGGGTGCGAGATGTTTGCGCATCTCTTGATGGAAGGTTCATCCTCTCTACTGGGGACGACATGACCGTTCGGCTATGGGACATTTCGGCGAAGCCGGAAAACAAGTTGACTATGGTCGGTCATGAAAACTTCAATGAGTGTTGCGCAATTGCTCCTCCAACCTCCTATCAGTACCTTGCTCCATTAGCAAGATTGGCAAAGGTCTCACGTGCGGGAAGTACAGCTGAATTCATGGCGACTGGATCGCGAGACAAGACTATCAAACTCTGGGATGCTCGCGGGACTTGCCTCATGACATTGACTGGGCATGACAACTGGGTCCGAGCAATTGTTTTCCATCCTGGGGGAAGATATCTCCTTTCCGTCTCCGATGACAAGACATTACGTTGCTGGGACTTGAGCCAAGAAGGAAAATGTGTAAAGACGATTAGAGATACCCATGGAGGTTTCATTACCTGTTTGAGATGGGCTCCAGCAATTCTTAAAGACACCCCCACGGATGCTGCTAGGGCTCTTGTGAGGCAGATACCAGATGTTGCTGAAATTATGAAGAATGCGACATTTGAAGAAAGCTTTTCTGATGTACAGATCCGGTGTGTTGTTGCCACAGGCAGTGTTGACAAGAAGTTACAGATATTTGCTGGCTAATTACAAGGGTGATAAACAGCGAGAGGGGAGTGGTCTTATACTTGGCTCACCAAAAGGTGCAAATGTACTTATGGTTCTAATACTCCGCAAGACTGATTGTCCCCGAGCAATATCTGGTGTGCATATATATATGACAGGATAAAATAGCACGCCACGGAGCAAATTATCTCTATAATGCTCACGAAATCTTACAGTAATACTGTCCCTGGCGCATACAGTGGCCAATTTGTAGCTTCGCGGCCGCTCTAAGGATTTTTCATCGCAGTACCCACACAAATTAGGTGTAGGGCATGGTCTACAGTCTAGCTGACCGTGTGAGACAAGTCGTTAAAGATCATTTCAAGCTAGGCAAAGGGAAAAATTCATTCACTTCCACCGGACTACATAGGCTTACTGTAATATATGTAATGAATATAGTTGGTGAACTTTAAGAACCTAGGGAAAATAGATAACTGATTATGCGTTGTTGCGGAGCCCTCTACCGAATTCCAGCCTTTCTATTCCACATGATCGAAATAGGCTGACTGCAGGAGATCAAAAGTGTCAAGGTATTATATCATATGATTGAACTTAAAAGATTATTGACCATACTATTTGTGTAGGCGCTTCACTGTCAGCTATGCCGAAGCATGAAGAGCCCATGCCAGGGCTGTTATCCAAGAAATGGTGCGTCTCGGTCAGTGATCAACAGATATATGAAATAGCATCACCGATTGCCGTAGCCTAGCCATTATATTGGTATACTTAGGCTACAAGCACTACCATTGACATAGTCCATGCTAAATTGTAATAATGTATATTTATCTTGTCCTTAGCTAGAGGTAATCAGTACCCCGGCCTCACCTCAGATAATGCAAGCAGATGGTATTTCCCTCTATATTTTGTAACACTGATCACATGGATTGTCCGAGGAGGGCTGAGGCCGTGTACGGCGTGCGAGCTATAAATAAGGTGCCATATCTGTTCTATGGTCTGGGGTAACCCTTGGTACAGTGGCGGCAACAAATGGCTAGCTTCAGAGTCTGAATAGACTATAAGAGTCAGTGTGCTGAAAGTAACCGTAGTAAATATATCACCTTGAACTGAGCGCACAAAAGCTCTGCCACGGACCGGGCTCTTAGTGTCTAATTGAGTCATGGGCAACGGTCTCGGAAAACAGAGTAGTAAGGATTGCCTGTCCTCGGCTTTCGACCTGCTCAGGCTCCGCCAGCTTGGCAGGTGACTGACGAGCTGGCAACCTCACAAATTCCTTGTCATCATTGGCTGACTTCTATGAGCATATTCTGTTAAATCCATATCCAGGCTTAGTAACTTCAGCAACGTCCGCAAAGCAACCCCCCGGACCCCGTACGATACATGGTATGATGGACAGAGGGCATCTCTGGCGTCCTGAGGGGATTCGCGCTGGGAATCTTGGATTTAGCTTCCCATGCCAGGCCTCTCTCCATCTGACTCCAGCTGCTGATTCAGTCATGACATCGGTGGTATAGACAGCCCTATCACCGTGAACGGAGATGCCAACAAAAACTCCTCGTCTGAGTTACTATCACTGAGCTCATGAAGGGCGGGTCATGGGCGCCACAGCAACGATTTTTGATCCAAGGATCTGGGAAGGTCCTATTTTATATTCAATCTACTATTTAGGTACGGAAATCATCCAGGGCCGGCGTCAGGGGACCAGCACAAGGAACTGTTTGGACATGAGAAACGCGCGAACCACTCTGCCTTTCGTAGGAGCGCACAGCCCCTTGGGACCTTCTTTGTAGACCCTAAGAGAGATCGCTATACTAGGAGCCTGCTTACTCATGCGAACCACATATCATAGTCTAGAGCTGAGATGGCAGCCTGCCCACATTATATATTTCTTTATCCTCGCATACTAAGATTAGTACCTCGACCTGCGCCACACGGGAAAAGCGACAACACAGACTACTTTTCTTCTCATTCTTTTAAGATTTGGTCACTGTGCCAGTCAGTTGCCCCATCGCATCAAGAGATGCACACAGTCAAGCAAAGGACTAGATGTATATAATCTCAAGCGCTGTGCACTTGTTTTAAAAATGTGGTGATTCTGCAGGTCAAGAATGCCTTCTCAAAATCGTGTGTAGCAGGAACAGATCTGTAAGCAGTGCAATAACCTTCTCCATCACCACAATAATTTCTGGTGTCTATATGCCCTTTGCAGCTGGACCATGCTGGAGATGCCAAATAGCTAGATCTATATGTATTAATCCCATGCTTATCTGCCTGCTCCCACTAACTGTGAAATAGTGAGTTCCCAGCAACAGAGAATGAACTTGATGCTGACAGATTCAGCAGGAATAACCCTAACTAGCCATACATAAAACACTAGCAAACTATGCTCCTCTGTGTCTAACTAATATGATATTACTAATAGTGCCCTCTCTTAAGATGCTTAGATGCTAAAGTCTACTTTGGGATTTACTATTAAAATAGCTGAGCTGACTATACCTAGGCAACTATAGAGTTAATACTCATCTCTTGTGAGTTTGCCCACACCTTTTAACTTGATTTTTGGATACTAAACTCATATATTCCACTGTATGGCCTAGGATAAATTAGTGTGTAGTAATATAATTATAGGAAGTTCTTTCTAGCAGGCTTTCACTGTGGGGTATAAAGTGGGAGGCTATACATAATATAATGAGATGGAAAGTGCCCGCCAAAATAAGCAGATATTCCCATTAAATATCAGGCCACCTACTGTACAATATGGCAATAATGTTGATCACCTGTCCAGGCGAAAGGTAGATTAAAATCATTCTCGCGAGCGCTGCCCATAAAAGAAAGGTGTCCAGCCAGACTATGGAGCCAGGCCCCGATGGCCAATGCCACACAGGAATTTTGTCTACCTTTCTGTGATTTTCTACAATCTCTGGAGCCATACTGACTTGCACATCAGCATGCCATAATTTTTTTTTAACCACATATCCGATGGTCGCGACTCATGCGAGCGCGAAAGCAGTTGCATGGCAATCAGAATACAGATATAATGCCTAGTGACTGCCCTTGGTGAAAAATCAGTTTCAAAGATGCACTGAGAGGACAAGTAGGTGTCTATTATTAAAAGGATGGTATTTCAATCAGCATGACAGGGCCTATGGTGTGAAAATCACCATGCAGTGGATATAGATAAAATCCATTTCCTGCTACTGCTACTGGCACGGGGCCGATCGTCCCTATCGTCCCGGAAGGTTCATAGGGAAGGAAAAGGAACGATGGGAAGAAGCCACGGCTCCCTGTGCATGCCGGGAGGATAAGCATCTATCAGCAGCGCGGATGCGATGATGATGTGGATGTCATGTGGTGGACAGCCAGCTCGTGACGCGTAGGCAAGAAATTCTGCAAGACGGTGACCCAGCGATGGATCGACGGGCAGTTTCTCCCAGGCGATCGTGGTCGCTGCTTAGTGCGGACGAGCATGCTCTAGAGGAGCTAAGAAGGTCTATAATGCGTAACATATTTGCCTAGGCAAATGTCACTTGAGAAGAGAGCATACACTGAAATGGTGAATACCGAGTATTAAGTAAACCAACAGCAAGATTTAATATTTAGATCAAATAATTTAAATTCAATCCCAAGAGGGAACAGGGAGATTTCCACACTAAAACCGTATTTTTTCTTCAAATACTGCTGCTCGCCAGCAGGAAGAAGGTATCAAGCAGTACCTAGATGACGCTGAACAAGGGGCCAAGCTTCGGGGGGTGTGGGCTTCGCAGACAGTTTTAGTAACAACGACATGGCCCTTTCCAATCTTTTTTCCGAAGTCTGCCCAAAAGAAAATGCCTATCACACCCTGCCTTAACCCTGTGTTTCCCCCCCTTCCCTTCATATTCTTCAAACGCCGTTATTTTCAACGTTGGTAAAGGCTGGTGTTGAAGGATGCATCTCTATGTAGCTGATATACCTGTGCGAGACTCCCGTCATTTCTAGAGTAATTTCCGGGGCGCTTTGGTCGTAGACTGATTGGTAAAGGCACGCAGTCCAGTCAAGAAACCCTGTTGAGAGAAGGTTTACTTTGCACGATTTGATAAGCTCTGTTGAGGAAAGGTAGGCTTTGAAGATTAGTGCACGGAGCTTTCGAGTATGCAAGTTATTCAATGGATGTGAAACCACGGTTCTAGCTGCTCTTCAACAGGTTTTATAAGCTGTCAGAGAAGTAAGAAACTTCTGGAATCTGGGGCCTGCGCGGGGGTAACTCTATGTGTAAATCTGTGTTTATATTTGATTCATGGCTGATCTAGATCATACCTGTGCATTACCTATGGACCCACTGGTACACAAAATAATGCAGTACACATGTCAGAATAAAAGCTGTAGCTCCCGCAAACACTGTTCCTGTTGCAATGCCCATGTTTTGTCTGGAGATGATGCGCGCTCTCTGAAGTTGATCCAGAAGGGAATCAGTATTGACAGAGCTGGTCGTGATATCGGATGTCGTAGTCGCTGAAGGTCTCCGTTCTGGGTGATGAGGAATTGTGGGCGTGTTGATTGTGACTGCAGGTTTTTCAAAGGCTATATTTATTGACTTTAATATCAGTCTATTCTCCTCTATTAGCCTAGCAGGTCTTATTCTACTCAATCCAGAGTTGCATATCTCCTTAGTCTTAGTAATGTGTAATTAGTAGGATGGTGTGCTACTTAGAGGTAGAAGCTTACCTCTATTATCTTAAGTAAGAACTAAAGGCATAGAAGAGGCTATAAAGACTAACTCTCTATTAGTTATAGTACTTAATAATCCTCTATTATAAGCTACTTAATTATAATTAGAGAACAGAGGTATGCTAAGAGGTTTTGCAGGCCTCCTCATTACTAAAACCCTTTGCTAGTTCCCTAACATGTCAACCACTTGAGTAGGCGCCACCGTTGCTGGGTGTTGGTATAGCAGTTAATAGATAGTATATAATGTGCTAAGAGATTAATCTAACCCTTGCACCTAAAGGAGCTTTATATTTATGGCTAAATCAGCTTCTTAATTA